CAAAAGAGCAACTGGATGCTTGTCAGAAATCAGACGTGTCTTGCCCAACCGAGATTGTATCTCTCCTCAGACGTTTTGTTGAGGAATCAGCCTTGTTCCACGAATGAGGACTGTCAAATACTATAATGACCGCGTACATCCAGGTATTGTCCTGGTGGACTGGTCCACACTGTAATTGTATTACAATTAGTTATTCTGTTGAAGGGTATAAGTACTTTTCCATTTAGGGGTTATTTCTAATCTCTAATCTCCAATTTTACACACATTACTATTTATTATAGTGGTCACTTATGCCTTCTATCGTGATACCTGTATGTCGGAAATGGCCTTCGGCGCTCTCCTGTTTTCCACCGACGTCATGAATGCACCGCCGAAGGAAGGCATGGAACCCTTGGTCAGGATCCTCTTCATACATTGACCAAGCTTTCTTGATGTAAGCCTTCAGCTCGGCAATGAACTCCTTAATGGAGCTGAAATCCGGAGAGAAAAGCGGCAAGTATAGGAACTTCACTCCTGCGTTAGAGCACAACTGCTTGACTGGGTCCGAATGATGGAAAGATGCGTTATCCATAACAAGCACGGATTTTGGCTCCGGCCACTGCCCACAGTGCTGGCGACGCTGCTCAATAAACGATTCAAAGAACGTAGCATCAGTTGAACCTTTGAAAATACGAGACAAAATGATACCGTCTTGAGTATATGCTGGCAGTATCTGGTAGCGTTGGCCCCGATGAAATTTAGATACTTGGACAGGTGTCACGTCGAGTGGTGACCAACCAGTCCGTCTATATCCCACTCGTTTATCACACCCGGATTCGTCAACAAAAATCAGATGATATGAACGAAACTCGGATAGTTTATGGTTGTAGAAATCTCGTAGTTGTGGGTTTTGTTCTTTTGCTTTTTGTTGGGCTTTCTTTTTTGTCTAGCCAGCTTTAGAAAGATCACGTTTGACACTGGACGATGATGATAATACGTTGAACCCATCCCATAGATAGAAAGATAGCCATCTCTTCGACATATAGGCCGGGTTTTTCAGTGAGGTGGTCACAAAGGGCGTCCAGCATCACAGGAGTGATGCTTGGTGGTCGGCCGGCAGAGCTTGGAGGACATCTGGCACTGCCGAACAACCACATGTTCTTGCGTATATTAGTGACAGAGCGCTCACTACACTTCGCCACCTTGGCCATTTGAGATGTAGTTAGTTTGTTCCTACTGCGTATCATATGGACAATGATCTTACGCTGCCAGGGATCGAGGTTTCGTGCCATCTTGCGGTGGGTTGGGATGCTCAAGTTGTAAGGACGTTATGGTGGGGGCGTGGTTTATTTTTGGAGCTGTATTAATACATGTGCATACAGCTTACTCTGTTCTTTACGCGTTTAGCATCATACCATTCGACCTCGAAACAAATACGCAATGACCATATCGGGATTAGCGTATCATGTGATTAGGGTTCGAAAGAGCATCTCTATGTTTTCGACATGGAAGGCGATAACGGTCGATAACGGTCGCCACTGTACAAATAGCTGCACATATCAGTGCCTTTCTGCCCACAGAAAGGCACGGATACTCGCCTAGTTAGAGAATGATCATCATGGGCAGAAAGGCACTGATACTCGCCTAGTGATCACAAAACACACACACACACACACACAAACAATATATATCTTCACAACCTACCTGAAGGGTCCTTTGTCTACAGTACTCACAACGATCCGCACTATTCTGTACTGAACCATTGGAAGAGTATATCTCGACAATGGAAACAAAATTAAATGTGTTATCTGTGAATTCTCAAAAAACTCTTCCTCATAACCTTGGTCTGAAGTTTCCGTATAGGTTAGGCAGAACTCGGTTCTTCTCCAATTGATTCCACAAACGCCTATACAAGTTCTGTTATCGACATTGGTGGGCGCCCCTGGTCCGGTGCGTACGCGCGTGTGGAGGACCTGTCCCTAGCAAATCACAGTATCGAACCCTCGGTCGCCAAAAGGCATGTCGTTGGAGAGTTTAACCCATTAGCGATGGTTTTGTGAAGTAGATCAGGAATGCCGATCTCTGCAGCAAGCATGGTGTTTCAACGCGGTTATCGATCTGCCACCTCGGAAGGACATCATATCAACCGTCAACTCTTGGCAAGCTAAGGCCGCACAACTGTCTAGGAATATCCTTCGAGCGCCATTAATGCAGCATTGTAGCGAAACTAGCTAACCCAGGCTGGTTGATACTTTAGAAGGATGCGAATTCTTACATAGGCGTGGAAATGAAGATCGCATTCTTGTCAGCTCGTCGCCATTATGTGCTGCAAAGTGAGAAATATAACAAAAGCATTTAAGCCACCGTGCCTGATATCACTCCATCATAGCTATGGGGAAATTTGAAACGGGTCACAAAGTTGATAAATTCCAGGGCGTCTCCCTCGGCCTCCTTCAAACCGGAGAACACTGCCCTTGCTCTCCCTTTGCTGTCCCATAGCCGGAGGGTACCAGCGCTGTCCAATTGATGAAAGGTAATATCCCAAGAACTCTTGTAATGATCACCCTCAACTTCTTTGAGTTCCCCAGCGAGAATACCGAGGCGGTATAAGAGGAGAGCAGAAGATATGTGCTTATAAAAGCCATGCTGACGGATCGACCTTTCAAAATCATCTAACGACTGGTGACTCGGTTGAGGGCCTTGAGTATGCTCGAATTCGAATTTCAAATTGATAGAATTCCATCTAAGATCGTCATCGTACCAGCGAGTTTGTTCGCTTATGTTTCGGGGTGCGTGTCTTGCTTTGGGCTCAAGAAGTGGTGTCTTGGATAAGCGCCATTTCCGCCCGATGAGTTCCTGTAGAGAATATGCTGCCTCCCTCTCAGCTGTAGTTAGGCAATTATTGCCCTCATAATGTTTGAAAACAATCTTGTCAATACGGGGATATAAGATCTCAAAGGCCTTCCAGGTGCGAGAGGCTCTAGCCATTCTATTAAAGTATTCCTTTTGGTCGGAATCTCCGAGACACTTGAAATTTTCGTAAGAGAGGAGTGGATCTTCCATGAATTTTGAACTAATACCACAAAATTGATAACTTCGCTTTGATCCTGAAATTGTAGTTATATTAGTTTAACTACTATAAAAACACACCAATTTATAGCGAAGTTAGCTTACCTGATTCAACGCCGTTCGTCTCGATTCTTTCATTTGCTAGCTAAACGCACGTCATTTCTGGGGGTTGAGGAATGTGGGTACAAATGAACGCTAGCAGCCAGGATACTTCGTATACATTAAATCGGGAGTAGATTCCGTGAGTGTTAAGTTTTTCGATATAACAGGGAGATTCTCCACATTCGCTCCGTCGCAGAATTCAGGTGAGCTTATTAGAATAGCGTCTGTATCCGAATCATCCACTATACCAGGATCGCGACCTTCGTCGCCTCTAATACTCGAAGTTTGAAGGTTGTCTGAACCTAACGGCTAGCGATCAGCCATAATAAGCTGAAGTTTCAGAGAACTGTGTCGTTTTAGTAGCTAATACTTAGTAATACAAATCTGAAAGGGGATTGGGAAGCTGATACCTGTTTGACTGAATCAAGTTTTATAGTACCTAGAAATTGATGAACATAGACTTGAATATCACGAAGGGGCCCAACTATTTTATATCTTGATTTATTACATTTGTCTTAGTACAAGGCAGCTTATTAATGATTACGGCGATGTGAGAATGTACGCTCCTAGGAGCCCTAACCAGATTGGAATAATCTTGACTTCCTAGGAGCTATAACGGGTAATTTTTGAAGGGTCTACTAGGATACACGATGAATAGGGGACATATAGTGGAATAGATCACTATAGCTTACCTAGCTCTCTTGAATACTAGAATCTCCATTCCTTTACTTAGGAACAACCAAGCCAGCTAAAGCACAATAATTAGGCTAACACAACTCCAGGGTAATTCGGTTTTGAGTAGTAAGGCTAACATATCTTATTTATTTAATATACCTGTGCAAAATTAAACGACTAGGCCCTCTTGACAAAGAAACTATCAAAATGCCGTTTAAACGGCTTTTAGAGGCTCTCTAATTATTATTAATAACCACGACTAACGTATATATGGCGTGGTCTGAGAGTAATTATAGGTACACAGGTTATTCGGCACCTTTCGCTAGTCTTGATAGGAGAAAAAGTTCAAGTACGTTTGATTATGCTCTGTGTTATAATAGCCAAGGATTGAGAATTTGCCAGGCTTCAATGTAAATGAGCGACGAGACGCTGAAGCTGTCTATATGTGGCACAGTAGACGGGCGGCAATTGGCATGGGTCAACGTCTTTCTATCCGAAGAACTATCAGCGAGAGAAAGATGATTAGATTAGTATTACACTCACTTTCACTCAGTAGACAAGGCCAATTTTTAAAGGTCATCGGTGTAGGGAGCCATGTTCAGATGTATCTCCATTACGACAAGGCAGCATTGGTCAGACTTAAGCTCCCGGGAGCCTAGAACAATATTTCACCCGAACAGATTATATTGATTCAGCTATCTCAAAGATGTATCATTGTGACGCTCCCAGGAGCAAGTGTTTGGTCATGCGAATAGCAGATCTTACTTCCCGTTTATTTTCACCCAATCTGGCGAGAATGGTATGACATCAAAACCACGAAAGGTCTTTAGCTTAGTAGTAGGTGACCATAGAAGGGTATGTAAATTTTTATAGAGAGATCTGAAAGTGTGGGATCAAAATCAAAGAATATGCGAAGTCCGTCTAGAAAATACACATTTGCCTCCATAGTTCCCCAAATGTGGCCAAGTATCGGGGACGGAGAATGTGCCTCGGCATTACTAACCATCCCCGGAGAAACCGTTGTTCCGATGACGTGCGTGTGTCATCGGGCGAGTTGTGCCCCGATGAGCTCAATTGGCTCCCCGCACAGCATCCAAGTGATTCCGGTGATGCATTTTGCAAGAGCGGCTCGATCCTTCAATTCTCGTTCAGTTCGCCTGCAGAAAATTCGCGCCATGCATGTCCAATCGATTCCAATGTGTAAGTGTGGTGGGGGCGTCATGACCGCGTGTTTACGTTTCGCCTTATTCGCTACATGTTGCCGCGAGATTCCAGGCGATCTAACTCAGATGTCTTACAGGGACCGGAAAAGGCAATAATTATGCCTACCTCGTCACAGATGAGCCGTCAAAGAAGTCGGTCATCATTGATCCTGCCAATCCTCCAGAGTGTGTTGGCCCATTCGGACCGAGGTTCACGACATTTAGAGATGTCGTTCTACAGCTAATTTCTGAATGCTAGGGTTGCGCCGGAAGTGAAGTCGCAGATCAGCACTGGGAAGATCGACTTGGCAGCCATTGTCAATACGCACCAGTGAGTCCATGGATGCATAACACAATCTTGGTTCCTGCGCTGACATGTCAAATCAGCCACTGGGACCATGCCGGAGGCAATGACGAGATGGTCAGTTCAGATACAACCCTCTCTGGATTTACGGCTCTAAGCTGATGTATCTCAGTTGGCACAATTCGGCAAACTCCCCGTCATCGGAGGCAGCAACTGCAAGTCTGTGACCAAGACACCCGCACATGGCGAGGAATTCAAGATTGGCGACCGAATCACGGTCCGCGCGCTGCATACCCCGTGTCACACGCAGGATAGCATCTGCTACTTCATGCAAGATGGCGATCAGCGTGTCGTTTTCACTGGAGATACCCTCTTCATTGGCGGTACGTTGGCGATGGATCTTTGATGGTGCTGTGGTAAACACAGTTCTAACTTCACCAAGGATGCGGCCGGTTCTTCGAGGGCAATGCCGCAGAGATGCACAAGGCTTTGAACCAGACATTGGCAGCCTTGCCCGACGATACCAAGGTTTACGTATGTTGCTGCTTGTCCATTCGAGCTCCCCCGAAGCGTATTCTGACAGATTGTCCAGCCCGGCCACGAGTACACCAAGGCAAACGTGAAGTTTTGTCTCCATGTGTCCCAGTCTGAGCCCATCAAGAAACTCCAGGCATTTGCAGAGGCGAATAAGGAAACACAGGGCAAGTTCACCATTGGTGATGAAAAGGTATGTCACAGCTACACTTGGGACTGGGTGTCTGCCGGATGCTAATCTCATCATGTTCTAGCTTCACAATGTGTTCATGCGTGTCAATGTGAGTGCAACGATCCCCGAGAATTAATTTTCTTTCTTGACAATGACCCTAATCTTCTCCCAGGACCCTGAGATTCAGAAGGCGACTGGCAAGACCGATCCGGTGGATGTCATGGCCGCACTGCGGGAGATGAAGAATGCCATGTAGATCTAGTCAATCCACCAAGTCATGAATTTCCAAGACCCAACCCTTCCATTCCTCCGTGTGTAGCTACGTGTTTGCAATGGCTCGCTGTTCCTGATGACTGGCCCCAGCAGCAAGTAAAATTTCATGCATACAATGTGTCGTCAACCAGTCCCCGTGAAGTCGGAGTTGCATTTGAACCGGGTACCACCGTGGATTCAAGACGGCAATGGTCATAAAAAGGAAAAAGGAAATCTACCACAACAGAAGCCTCCTTGATCTTCGAAGATGCACAAGGAAAAAACTGGCATGGAAGGAAAATAAAGACCTATTATGGCTGTCATCTGCGTCCACATTCTCAAGTCTCTAAGTCTCCGCACTCGCATCCGTCAATCATGCATGCTGACAGGCCATCCCAATACCGACAAACAACATCATGACTTCATGGTAAGAAAAAAGATGCTCCAATTGAGAAACTCTCCGCATCATGTACTGACGTTGCCCTGTCCTTCCCAGACCGAAAAGTATACCACCTTGGGAGCCATTTCTGGTTTAGCGTGGCTTTTTCTTACCGCCTGGTGTGGCCGCGGCGGTGATCTTTTTTTGCCGACAGAAAAAAAAGATCCGCTGGTGGTTCATCCGGTTCTTCAGTCTCACCCACTCACTTCCTCCCCGGCAATGCAATAACGGCTGCAAACTCGGTCACTCCTGGCAATGGACCCAACCACCCTTTCCAGTAACTGGAAGAAGCTACAGGCCACACTCAAGAAAAGCGGTGCCGCCACGGGCACGTCAGCGGTCAAACGCAAGGCCGCCGACCGCGACTCCGGGACGGGGTCTGTGAAGAAACGGAAGTTTGTCGAGAAAGACCAGTCCAAGGCCCGAGTCTCCCAGTCCACATTCAGGAAACGGAAGATGTTGGACAGATCCACCACTGTCAGTGCCGCTGCCACCGAATCGGGTCCAACAGCTGCCCGGAGAAGATCAAGCACGGCTACGTCTACCCCCACGGTCACAGTATCACGGAATGCAAAGGTGAATGAGGGCCGTTCTCCCAGGTAAGTACCAACAGGAAGAAAATGATGGATTTTACGACTCGTTGTACTCATGCCCCGGTGATTCTAGTGCGGAGATCGGAAAATACATTGCGATGGATTGCGAGATGGTGGGCGTGGGCCCCAACCCCGACAATGACTCGGCTCTCGCTCGTGTCAGTATCGTCAACTTCAACGGAGACCAGGTCTACGATTCATATGTGCGACCGAAGGAGATGGTGACCGATTGGCGCACGCATGTCAGTGGCATCGCCCCCAAGCACATGGTGGAAGCCCGGACGCTGGAACTGGTGCAGAAAGAGGTGGGTGAGATCATGGATGGACGCGTACTGGTGGGCCATGCAGTCAGCAATGATCTGGATGCCCTGCTCTTGAGCCACCCGAAGCGCGACATTCGCGATACCAGCAAGCATCCCGAATACCGCAAGATCGCTGGCGGTGGATCTCCGCGACTGAAGATGCTGGCGGAGCATTTCCTGGGCCTGAAGATTCAAGACGGGGCGCATTCGTCGGTGGAGGATGCTCGGGCGACCATGGCCCTGTACCGTCGGGAGAAGGATGCGTTTGAACGGGAGCATTTGAAGAAATGGCCCATCCGCAACGCACCGGTCAGTTCGGGGACCGAGGACCAGAAGAAGAAGAAAAAGAAGAAGAAGACCACGCGCAAGCGCTGATGATCCTGATGGGGAGGAATTTCTGGGAGGCGATCAAAGTGGTGGACGTGGATTTTGTGCATTAGAGATACTTTTGGATACCCCCAATTTGCATTCCGTTCAAAGAGTTTGGCTGTCGATGAATCTTCTTCCCCACAGTTGTCCTCCCTTGTAGACCCCGGACTGCGAACTCAAACCCGACGCCACTGGACCTCCCAGGTACCAACGACGGTCCTCTTGGCATCTCGTCGAACAAAGTTCTTCTGTCGCATGGCCCCCGGACCTGTCCAACCCCCAGGACCAGAACCCGAACCCGAACCAGAACCCTTCGGCAAATTTTGCCTGGTCCAGGCACAACCAGTGTATACCGTACAGGACAGTTACGCAGGTTATGGCGGGTCTGGTATTTTGTATGTTTCTCATCGCCTCTACCGCATTGAAAACCAGACTCTGCATCTTCTGTTCTGTTGGACGAGATTTCGGATTCGCAAGTATTACATACGCCCATTACGCATGTCATCGGGAAGCCCACGCCGTCTGGCCCTTCGGAGTTGGTGATTCTGGGCCGTGTATCGCGTAATACGGTAATCTATTTCCCCAGGCCCAGCCCGTTCGGTGGGCGAGAGTCTAGAACGCTCTGTTTCTTTGGGCCTCACGTCTTGTCTGCGTCTCGTTTAAATAATGCCCGACCCTGGCAGCTTTCCCTCTTTTCCTGGAGGATGAATTATTCCCCCGAGATCCGGTTTGCGGTGGCGCCTTTGGGGATTCCCCAGAGACATGCGCTTCACGCCCTCCATCACACTCGTTTTTCACTCGGTCGCACCCAGCAGTGTGTGTGTGTGCACTGCCTCTCGGAGCCGCGTGGTGGACGGAGCATCCCCCGTATGACTGGAAGGTGAATCGCGCTCGGTCGGATGCGGATTCCTATCGCCGTGCAGCTGGGGCTGCTCGTGCTCATCACGACCCTGACGGGAATTGCCATCCTGGCCATTGCAACAGTACGCTCCCCCTGTGTGTGTGTGTGTGTGTAGATGGGTGGGTGCTTGGAAAAGGTCATGACGCTGACGGTGGTGTAGTGGTTTACTACCTATGACTTCGTGGTCGACGTGGGGTAGGTCAGACCTGGTTCGAGCGATGCGGGCATGTGCTGATCATTTTCCAACAGGTCGCAGGGTCTCGAGCTCGTGGCATCCATCAAGGCCAGTCAGATCGCGTCGACACTCGAGGTCTTTGAGGTCACCTGTAAGACCATCTCCACCCGAATCTTGATCCAAGCCGCCCTCAAGCGATACTATGCCGGCAATACTTCCACCAGCAATTGGGACAGTTCGACCCTGGATTTCCAGTCGGCCTTGGGGGGCCGAGGGTACCTCAGCATGTACCAGGCGATGCTATATTCCCGCAATGATGACAATGGAGTCTCACGACTGCTCAATGTCACGAGTGACACCCTCCCGGATATCACCCTGCCATACACAGACGCCAACGGGAGCGCGGTCATGCTCGGCGCGGATGTCTTTCCTCCCATGCTCTATCCAAACTTGACCTACACACACACCTCGAACGAGACTTCTTCATGGACCGCATATGCCTTTCCCGACTATGCGCTGGGCTTCAATACGACGCTGATGCTGGGCCCGCTTTGGGTCAACGACTCATTCTCCTTGGTCTCGTTGACCCTACCCATTGTGAACAACACTTCGGACACCGAGCTCCTGGGCTACATGACGTAAGTGATCTCCTTCCCGGCCACATCGGCCCATCCAAGGGTCCAATGCTAACGGGTATCCAGCGTGCTGGCGAGCGCCGCGAATATCCAAGACGTGCTCTCATCGCGCGATGGACTCGGAAACACCGGTCAGGTGCTGCTGCTGGGACCATTGCGACCGGAGAACCTGTTCGCCGCAGATGCCCAGCCGGCAACCGCCACTTCAGCCGCCGACTCAGCAGCTTTGGCAGAGGCCCAGGTGCATTATGTCTTTGAGCCGACACCACTCCCCGGCCAGGCCAGCCGACATCGTCAGATGACAACGGCTACCCCCTTCGCGCTGTCCCAGTACCCGATGGCATGGAAGATCATGGTGCAGCCATACAATCGGGCGAACAAGGCCGTGAGTCGGCTGACAACAACCAATGAAGAAGGATCCCAGGTGGCCGTGGGCGTCATTCGCCCTCAGACGAAACTCGCACAGTGGATTTTGATTGTGGAAGAGACGCATTCAGAGGCATTTGGTCCCGTGTTGCGCTTAAGAAAGATCATATTGGCGTGTGTCTTTGGCACGGCGGGCGTCATCCTTCTGGTCGTGCCACTGCTCACTCACTGGGCCGTGGCGCCAATCCGAAGACTGCGAGAAGCTGCACGAAAGTCCGTGGTCCCACAAGTGCAGAGCCCGCCATCTTCGCGACAGGCACCCAAAGACAGCAGCAACACCGACGAGGGTGACGTCGAAGCCGTGGAGGAGCAGCTGAACGAAAAGAGCAGCCCGGACTCTTGGTTGAAACAGATTCGGCGACCGCTGCAGCGATTCAACAGTACGACCAACGCACTGAGTGGCACTGCTCCTCGACCCTTCCAGATTCCGGCACGCGTCAAAGAACGTCGGCACTGCGTGAGGGATGAGCTGACAGAGCTGACCAGCACCTTCAATGAAATGTCCGATGAATTGACCATCCAGTACAACCGTCTGGAAGAGCGAGTGGCTGAGCGAACCCGTGAATTGGAAAAGGCCAAGCTGGCCGCCGAGACGGCCAACGAGAGCAAGACACTGTTCATTGCCAACATCTCCCACGAGCTCAAGACCCCACTGAACGGCATTCTGGGCATGTGCGCGGTTTGCATGGGCGAGGACGACCTGTCTCGGGTCAAAAAGTCCCTCCAAGTGGTCTATCAGTCTGGCGACTTGCTTCTCCATCTGTTGAATGACCTGTTGACGTTCAGCAAAAATCAAATCGAGCAGGCCATCCAGCTGGAGGAGAAGGAGTTCCGTCTGTCCGACATTCGATCCCAATTGACCACCATCTTCCAAAACCAGGTCCACGAGAAGCGAATCAACTTCAGTGTGGACTGTTTTGCAGGCGATGACATCCAAACAGGTCCCCGGAGCCGCATGTGCATCGACCAGGACCATGGGCAACCGCGGTCCAGTTTCGACGCCGCACAACCGGCGAAGCTCATGGACATGGTTCTGTGGGGTGATCAACATCGAATCCTACAGGTGTTGATCAACTTGGTGAGCAACAGTCTCAAGTTCACACCCGAAAAGGGAACGGTGGAGGTGCGGATTCGGTGTCTGGGTGAGAGAACCAGCGCCCTCGAGGATGTTGAGCCGCCCACAGAAGGTCGCACGGGGATTTCACAGCTGGTCGTCGATACATCTCCAATTCGAAGTACCGTGCCCGAAAGGGCTCGTTCACCGGTGGAAACTGCGAACGAAGACCAGTTGTCGGCAATTTCTCACCTTCCACAGTTGACCTTCCAATTTGAAGTCGAGGACAACGGACCTGGTATTCCAGGACATCTTCAGCGAAGCGTGTTTGATCCCTTCGTGCAAGGTGACTTGGGATTGAACCGGAAGTATGGAGGCACGGGACTGGGACTGAGCATCTGCGCCCAACTGTCCCACATCATGGGCGGTGTGATTCTTTTAGACAGTCAAGAGGGGCGAGGCTCCAATTTCACATTGCGAATTCCACTCCGGTTTGTCAAGGAGCTTACACCAAGCACACTGGCGCCCAGCACGCCAGGTTCCCGAACGCCCAGTGTGCTCTCCTTGGAAGAGTTCGCAAACGCAGCACGAACCCCATCCAATCACGGTTCTGTGCGAAATGAGCCTCTTGCGCCTGGTTTCGAGAAATCGGATATTCAGCCCCGACTGGTGGGCCTCAGTCAGCCCTTCTTTTCACCGACTGTTCCGTCGTCCACGCCGTCTTCTCCCGCCAAGAACGCTGGCTCGAACCATGGGGCCATGGCGAAAGAGGAACATTCCAAGAAGATCCGTGTGCTGGTCGCAGAGGACAACACCGTCAACCAAGAAGTTGTGAGACGGTAAGGATGAGAGATCACCCATCCCACATCGCATGAGCTGACTTTGTACCAGGATGCTGGCCCTTGAAGCGGTTTACGACGTGACCATGGTCAAAGATGGGCAAGAGGCATTTGACACGGTCAAAGCCAACATGGAAACGGGTGCAGTGTTTGATTTGATCTTCATGGATATCCAGGTATGGTTCCGCGGCACCCTACAAGCAAGTTCGATGAGCGCTGACTTGGACAGATGCCGAATTTGGACGGCCTGCAGAGCACGCGACTCATTCGCGAGATGGGATACTCGGCCCCCATCGTTGCGCTCAGTGCCTTTGCGGAAGAGAGCAACATCAAGGACTGCATGGATTGCGGCATGGATATGTTCATGAGGTATGTTCTGGAAAGCCCCATGCTCGTGTGCATCAAGATACTGATCCGATTATGACAGCAAACCGATTCGACGGCCGGTGTTGAAGCAAGTCCTTCACAAGTTTGCCACCATTCCTGAGGAATCCGAGACCACTGCATCTCGTTGAGTTGATTTACTGGCAATTTGTACTTTATATTTTTGTCGGCGCATTTTGGAGAAGTGGCAATGCATTGTACTGGGCGTTGTGGGCGATCTCTCGTTGTTTTTCTTGTGTTTACATAGTCATCCATGAAGCCTCAAGCACACATCCTTTTTATCTTGAACCATCTCTTACTCCAGCTCATTCGTACACTCTATCGTTCTGGAGTCCCAGCAGGACTACTTCCTCGCTCATGTCCAGGTTTCCATCCCTCTAGTCCTACCGGGACATATGTGCGTCGAGCTGTTTCGACGCATAGCCACATGAGATACTTGCACTGCCTTCACGAGCTGGTGAGGGTAATAGTGTGTGATCATTGCCCTGGCTGACTTTACCATGATGCCTCTTATACAATAATGTGGAGTTCGAGACCTACTGCGGACCGAATTTGACATGCATAAGCGCGTCGCCTTGAACGGTTGAACAGTCCTACATGAACAACGATTTCCAGATATCACTCGACCGTCGTCTGCCATACTTGTCGATATTACTAGTCACAGTTTCGTTATCCATCATTCTTCTATCAATCAATCAATCAATCAATCAATCAATCAATCAATCAATCAACACTCTATTAACCTGATGCAGCCTAACTAGTGGCGTAATAGCTATGCAGGCGCTTCCTCCGTTGGAAGCAAAAGTGATCCGAACGCCTGCAGAAGCACATGAAACAGTAGATACAAAGGAAAATGGCGTAGTGCCATATAAAATCAGTCCGAAAATCAGCCCAAAACAGTACCCAAATGCCTGCAGTGCCCGCAATCCCACGATATATCTCTCAATCGGCCCTCACATTAGCCTGCTACTTCCTCCACACCTCCATCTTTGCCTTCCGTCTCCGGTATCCACGCCCTCCTACTCCGTTCTCAATTAGTAGTGTTCGTCGTTAAATAACGTGTTAGATATAGTCTTCCGTCGGCCGTAGGTTTGGCGTTCCTTATACCTATGGTCTCCACCACCTACGACTGCTAGTCTATCCTAGCTCGTCGTTCTCCAAGAAACTACTAAACCATAAAGTCCCCGCGGTTCATTCCACGTTTTCCTTCACACATATTTTATAACGAACTTGGCTTCACTCGGATAGTAGAGAGATAAGTGCTTGAAATGCTGCCTTATATAGTAGTGTAAGAAATACTATCTCTACTCCATTCAAGTTTAGTATCCAAAGGAGGAGATCTGACTGTTTGGTTGCAGTCTTAATGCGAGGACCCGTTGGATCATAGAAACACTTGATTTATTGAGACGACGATTCCGGTGCAAAACGAGAGAGAATCCAAATAAATGGAGGATGCCTCCAGCAACAAGGCATCAACCAAACATGTGCATCGTCACATTATGGATGGCCAGCAGTGAATCCGCGCGTAGTCGAACTAATGCCTCCAGCGTCATATAACGAAACCCATGATCGGCATCACCTCCACGCTAACGTTGCTAGTGGCCTTCAAACCTACCATTTCCTGGTCGTCATGGCGAAACGGCTCATCCCACTTGCCTCGCTGCACCAATCAATAACCCCCTGCCCCTGTGGCTCCGGGGTCCAGCCAGCCCTGCGTACAACCTAGCGTAGACGCCTAATTAATTAGTAAATGGGTCGTTAAGGGTGAAAGACATCTTTGTTTGCCTTAGCTTTAATTTTCTCCAGTCAAAAGTAGCTTATTATTCTATTGCATCTATCGGCTGCTGTACGTATTTCACCCTCTATAATATTTTCAAAAATGATTATTTTCTCTAAAATAATATGATCTGCTTTAGAACTAGCTGTTGCAACATTGGTTGATCCATTTCTAATTTAACCACGAACGCTAAACTAATAATATATCGGGAAGGAATGTCACGACATGACAGTGGGATGCACGTGCCAGGATCCAAGTCTATGAATGGAGGGAACAAACCCTTCCCCCCCCCCCCCCCCGGGTGCATCTGTAGCACAATTCCCCTACTTCCAATGCTCTTATGGTACTTGCTTCGGCCGTAAAGATTATTCAACTGCCTCTTTTACTGAAAGGCTATAGTATAAGAAGGCGGACGGGCACCGAGTACAACGAAAGTATCAACAAGAAGGCCAGAAACTTCCTTATACCATCGTTTCTAAGCTCAGATTTACCAACATCAGTCACTGCTATTTGGTTCAACTTGCACGGCAATCATGCATACAACGTGCATTGTGATAACCTTATTTTTCGCCTTCCTCTCGGTGGAAGGCGTTCCATACCGTTCCATCAAAGCGCCGAAGCCGGTTCACACATCGGTGAAAGCCATACCCAGTGTCCTCGTAGTTGGGCAGCCGACTGCCACCAGCATTTCCTGTTCTGAAGTGGGCGATCCTACTGTTGATCCCGCGACCCGTTGGCAACTAGCGGGAGCAGACGAGGCCTTAATAAATGCGGTACAGTACTACAGAAACCAAAGCTCTGAGGGTGGCAGTCTGACGCTCTCCCGAGCGGTATCTCATTACTTCAATGGTCCTGAGGACTACGATTGTCAATTGATCGATGGTCCGTGTAGTGCGGGTGTTGGGAAGTGTGAGACTGTATCCAGCCCGGCTGGATGGTTGATCCTCAATTCTTTTTCCAATTTTCATAACGTACGTGATCACCGCTTTACGTTCCCTTTTATTGACGTATACTGGATTCCCCTAACTGACGGACTACAATAGCTATGGAGCAATGTCAACACAGCCCTTCAGGATGCAGAGACCGATATAACCCCACAGCTGGGCACTTTTACATCAACGTTTGCTCCTGCAGTGCAGGACGATACGGAGATGACAAAGATCCTTTTTGATATTAGCAATACCCTCCTCTCTGTGTTTAAAGCTTATATTGGATTCGAAGCGGGCTTTATTAAAAACCCTGAGTCTGAGTACCTAAGCAAGGGGTCAGACAAAGGGATATCTGCCCTTGTCGGTGTCCTTAGTGGAACTCAATCCCTAGAAAAGGATCTTTTACCAGCGTAAGCATCCACCCTATAAGCACAAATATTCCGAAGCCTAATATTTACGTCTATCAAATTATAGCGCTGAGCAAGAGCAAATTAATGAAGGACAGCTTGGAACAGACTTGTCGGAAATCACTAATGCTATGCAGAAAACCTACTCGCAAATGGTAGCGAATTTTAGTGAGACGGGTATCTTCGACTCTGCATCACCACCCATCAACCTTGAGGAATTATTCTTTAATGGTACATGGGTTAATTCGACTCTCTCAACCATCGACAATCGAGACCTTAAAATCGACTTCGAACATGCTCTTTATGGCTTGTTGGCTGAAAGGGCTTGGAGATTAACCTCAGAGATTTACCCCGCTGTAGTGTACGAATTTCGCGTCCTGGCCTTGTCCCTAAGAAACACAACTGACCTGAAGACACATTATAGTATTATGAACGAAACATGCGATATCGACGCTCAGTTCAATACTATATATAACGATGTTCCTAAAGCCCGATCGTGTGCAATCGACGGTGTCACAATTTATGTATTTGGTAAATTTCCCCTTTTATTCTCCTCTGTTCTTACTATGATCCTTCCTGCTTACGCCGAGTTCTAGGAATCCAAGACGTGCCGGCAGAAAATATAAGATATTCGTATGATTCGCCGTTATTTTCCTTTACCCATGTATTTTATAGGTAACTGACCTCTCTGAAGTAGCCCCACCCCCAAGTACCTACCAGGAGGCGACACAGATACTCTCACTGGTGATAGCGGGACGTGGGGAGGGTTGACCATTGACGATATTGCTATTAGGTAAGTTGGAAAATCTTGGATATACTGAAAGTTACTAATATATGCTCTCCTAGCTCCTATAACGGCTTCATAGCTAACGGCAATCAACCAGGGTGCCAGATGCCCAATACCACAAATATCATTGAGGATGGACAAGTTAATACCGATCCATTCCCCTTACAAGATGGGGTCAGAACCCCAGGGTTCTTTAATATCCCTACTTGCTATTATGACACTATGGCTACGATGCTGGATACGAAAGACGTAAGACAACAAAGTATTTCCACTAGTATAATGGGCCGGCTAACACCGTTTCTAGTCTTCTTACAACAACCGTGGTCCTAATTGGCCTTGCCAGCCCTGAGAAGTGTTCGTCATATGATCCTAGTCACATGATCGTGTCTATTTAGGTCAAACATCTCGATAGAACGTACCTCTTACCTTCACAATCTAATTACCCTTGAGGGTCCTCTATTTCTCTCTTCCTGTGACGGATGTAGAAGATTGGCAGCCTGTAACGAACTGGCAAGTACGATGTTTGCTGGGAAGGCCTTCCGAAAGGGGAAGTTCCCTGGGGGGTATGAAGGCCTACTTCCCACCACGCATCTCCTTCCCCTTTCCTTCTCCCTTCTCTAGACTTGATTATTTGGCAGACAGTACCGAATTGAGACTTCCGTCCTCTTCTCGCTTGACTTGTAACACAGGATGCTAGAACAACGATGCAGTAGAAAAACTTAAAGGAACTAAAGACTAAATCTGCAAAATCAATTTCCAATAAAATGAATGCAAACTGCCAATATGGGGATATATGTGACAAATGCAAAGAGCCAACCCAAGCCAGAAGGCTCAAAAAATTATATGCGCCCGCGAGACCATGACACGGGAGCGTTGTAGGTATCTAAAGAAACGATAAGAACAATGATGAGGTAGGTAGGTAGTAGAAGGAAAGTGTAGCTGGAAAAATATGCTCAAGAAATTCCACCGTGATGCAACCACTTGCTGCGGAAACTTTTAATACGGTCGGTCGTGATGCTGCTGCTGCTGCGTGGGTTGCACGACGGCTGCGGGGGAGGCGAATCCACGCGTCCCTGTTCCATTAGATCGTCTCGGTCGTGGGTGACACTGGGGCGGTGGCGGAAGAAGCGATTCCGAGTCGACGAGGTGCCGCTCTTGAAGCTAGGAGCCTCGGTTGAAGGGCGACCGCGTGATGGGGCACTCAAATTTGAAGGACGGCGGTGGCGCGATGACATGCGTGATGAAGAACCGTGGCTGCGGCGCTCTTCCTGTTCTTCCTCTACGGCCTCCTGGATACGCCGCTCTTGAGTCTCTCGATTTGTGGTGCGGATGACATCATCGACGCGCACGCCACGATCTTCAAACACATCGCCCATGATGTCGTTAGAGGACATGTCGGACATGCCGAGAGAGAAGTCGACATGCTTACGCGACGTGGACTGGCCACGGGCGCGGGCAGCAGCAGTGATCATTCCCTTGCGTAGGATAGAGTGCTGGCGGACTGCACTGCTGGTGCCAGTGTTTTCCGCTAACGAACCAGATTCCTTTCCGATGGGCACCTCCTCGACCTCTTGAACGTCGTCTTCCTTCTTTGGAGTAGGTGCCATCATGGGCTGAGCGTAGTTCACATGGAAGGGGATGTCGACATTTGCGCCCTGGAGGTTCATGCGTGGGCCCTCGATGCCGATCTCCTGGAGGGCAATCATGAGCATACAAATGAACTTGTTGCGACGCTGCAGACGCAGACCCTCATTTTGCCAGTTGGACTTGTAGAAGAAGACGACGTTGAGAGTGAGCGAGAAGTTTTCGGTAACGGCACGTAACTCGGTCAGGATGTTGCTCTGGAAGTCGCGCTTTTCACTGCGCACGAATTCCAAGAGTCGCTGGCGGAGAGCATCGATCTGATCGATGGTGGTGCCGTACTTGATGATGATGGGGATGGCTTCGGCGAGAGCACCGGAGCGACGTTGATTGAGAATGAAAAGACCGTTGAGATAGCTATTAGGTGCCTGCACAACATGGCCCTGCATCTTCTTGAATTCCGTGTACAGAAGGGTAATTTCCTTGACGAAATAATCATCGCCCAGACCAGCATCACCAGCGTTGCCATAGATAGTCACACGGTCACCGACATCAAAGGGGTGCTTGACGAAGACGAAGATAACGGACTGGAGGAACTCCTGCGCCGTGGCAGAGAACAACCAAGAAAGAGCCAGGATACTAGAGCCAGCCGAAGTAAGAACACCAGCAGCAGAGGTTGAGATAAGAGACAAGAAGACGATAATAACAATGACAAGGACGAAAAACATGAAGATATCGTCCAACTTAGAGACGACCGAGTCAAGGTCTTTCAACGAGGCAGTGATCGACTTGCGTTCACGGCCAATGTCTACACAAACGGACTCTAGCTCCTCCATCGAGATATCACCGTTCATGTCACGGTCAAACATAGAAAAGGCAGCCTCGGCCTCTTCGCTGTTGTCAAAAGCCTCCTTGAGGTCACCGGAGAAGACAGTCTCGAATCCATCTCGAACAAAAGTACGATACAAACGACGAGCCAGAACCTGGCAGCCCGATGTGGTTCGTAGCAAGGTACGAATGACCTGGTAGGGATCAGTGCTAGTGTGGACCTTGCGGCCCGTGAAATCAGCCGCAACGGCACCCGCCATATCGGCCACCTTGTTGCCAGCCTTGCTCAACGCACCCTTGGCAGCCCGGTGTGCCATTCCAGCGTACCGCAAGGGAGTTTTGACGCCACTTGGAGTCCCGTCGTCTTGCTTCTCTTGGAAAGCTTCGTCGGTTTCTTCGATACGATCACGTGACCATGCGTAGAGCTTGACGAGGCTGCCGATTTGGAACTTATTGATCTCGATGCGATCGGCATAGGTACGCAGATGGAAGCTGATGGCGATGAGCTGAATAATGATCTTCTCGATGAGGTTGAGAATAGTCCAGACGAAGATGACGATAATAATCTTGTTCACCGTATTTTCCCAGCTACGAGTGCCTTTGTCGCCATCGACGTGGTGGTTCTTCATGGTTGGCAGGAAAGAAATCTCCACGCCCAACCACCAGAAGAAGAGGGCAGCATGTAATTCGAGCTGATACGCCATATCGCGCCACTTTTTCGCATTGTTGGTGAAGATACTGGCCAAGACACTGACCACGGGAGGAATACACTTTCCAACTATCTAAACGGACGGTCGCGTTAGCAATTCTGCTTGACAATTTGAGGGCCAGAGGCAATTTTCAATGCAACTACCTGGCCTCCACATAATCCACATGGTACTTACTCTACCGGCCCAGAGGGTTAACCACACGATTTCCAACCAGATCGCAAACCACATCAGTTCAACGCCGCCAACACTGGCATCAGTGAACTTGAGAGCTCCAACGAGCAAAGGAACCAAGAGAATCAACACCACAGGCAGGATATATGTCAGGTACCGAACGATAAAGCTGGACTGGTGAATCTTCTTGACCAAGGCCGAGAGCTTGGTGTTGGGGCTCTCGGGGGGTTTATAGACAGCCGCCTTCTCATGAAGCGGGTTTGTCGCCTCATCGAACTCGTCCACGGCCTCACTGCGACGCGATCGCGATCGCGATCGACTCATCGAGTTCCGTTCACCTTCACCATGTTCACCCTGGGTCGAACGCGAAGCCACTCGCTCGGCCTGCAACAGCATCAAATCATCTTCCAGGCGAGTATATTGCTCGCGACGCGCCGATGGTGTGCTCATAAGAGGGGCATGCTCGTCGGCGAGGGAGGTATCGACTTTTAGCCGGTCGCCACGGTCTTCGGGGTGGGGGTGGCTATCGTGGACGTATGTGTCATCGTCGGAGGTAGGGGTCACTTCGTCGGAATTGGATGGTTTCCCCTCTTGCTTCTCTTGTAGATGGAAGGTCTTGCGCTCCTCGGAGGGAGAGGACATAATGGCACCAGGCCGATCGAAAGAATGTGGGGTTCGGTCGGAGCCTCGTCCAACTCTACCAGTAGATGGATGGGACGAAAGTTAGGAACGTGCCAGGCGATGTAGTCGGTCGTTTAGTGCGTGCAATGATACAATCGACCAAAGATCGAGAATCCAGATAGAGATACGAGGTAGAGAACGAGATCTGAGCGGTAGGTTGGTAAGTCGCGGAGAGGAGAAACGAATGTAGAGCGAGAAGCTCGGTAGAGACAGTCAGGAGCGGAGTAGCGGAGAACGGAAAGGGCGAGACGAATGCCAGAGAATAAAGACCGAAGATCAACCAGCGTGGGAATCAGGAAGTAGTCAAGTACCTGCTGGGATTATTTTATTATTACAGTAGGATTGGGATTGTGATTGAGCAACGAGCGAAACGGAGTGGGCCGGTGGGTCAAGGGCGACTTTTGGCTGGGCTTTCGGAATACTTGGACCTAAAAGTATATACTTGGGCCAAACTCTTGACTTTCAGGGTCGAGAAACCAGATGCGACCAATCTTTAATTTCTAATCTCTAACTTATTCTTGGTGATATGATAGTCGTATGAATGATGACTTCTATTTAGATTCAATTGTACTCTGCCCCTATCATCATTGCTTATAGTCGATGATCACGATGTGCCGTGTTGCGAAGCCTGCCACGTTGTACAGCGTCATAGCTCAACATTCATAGTTTAGAGTTCATAAGTATAATTCAATTCAGCCTGTACAATCAATTCATAGTTTCACAAGAATCCTCCTGCTTTTGTGTTCATGCTCAAGCAATACCCCTAACCACCAAGCATATGAAAGATCCAACCGAGTGTCCAACACGGCATCTACTATACAGCAGTACATACATATCCATAATAATGCACGTTATTCACCGATTCCGTCCTTCTTTTGTGCTTCCGTGACCCTGTCAGCATCCACTTCCTCTTTACAGGCCCACCAATGGCCAACGCCATGCTCCACCACCAACCCACCACCGTTAAGCCTCGGCTCCATTCGGCTCCACCGGGTGGCGCAAAGGGCAAAAGTCTAGCCAAGCCAAGACTTATCCTGGCCTATGAGCATTGGTGATAGCCCCGAGACCCAGGAGACAGAGCTCCCAGCCTGTTCACATTCGCAGATACTCTGATTTTTTTTCTCCGCAGCCTACGCCGCTGTCGCCACCGTGCGTCAACCCCTGCATCGGTCCTTGGATAGCCCTGAGGTCCTGAACTGTACCACTGGACTGACTACAGGAGGTTGTTCAAACCGCCAGGAGCCTGTGTGGAATGGACGTAATCACAAGCGTTGTCGTGGCTATCTAGACCTATGTCGTGATATCACCCACGATGAGTCTCGACCTTCGGTCGGGTCGGGTCAACGATGAAGATCCGTGACATCGCTGGTAATTGTGTACAGAAACTCAAATCTCAGCATGAATCAGGGTGTGTAATACAATAAGTCTGCAAAATAATAGCAAGTAGCGATCTCCATCCTACATAACATCGCTTGGAGACATTCGTGCTCTACTACTACTCTCCATAAACCCCGGCACTGCCAACAATGGACAATCCGATCCCCTACAGAGTCCTACCCAGCCATACATAATGTCCAATCGCGCCGATCGGCGCGGGTGTCTTGAATCAGTGCGCGCAATACAGGCCTCTGATAGAGCCATCGTGTCCAGGCCAGCCCTATCCGACGCATGCAACCTGCGGCGTACGTGTCCCTGTGCGTTCGCTTTCTAAATCCACCGTGTCCAATGCGAGTGATTTGGACTGGGAACTGGACTCGTCCCTTCAAGTTTTTCTTCAGTGTCCGTTCGAAGTTCGGCCCTCTAATGATGCAGGATCGTCGGCGGATCGACGTGAGACATTCATTGGTAGCGCCAAGTGCCAAGATCGCTTTACCCGAGGGCAAATGTTCGCGAATCACGATTCACCACTGAGGTGTTGGTCTAGACGGGGACGACGGGACGGTCTCGTTTCCTTCTTGAATTGGAAGACTTCGCCGATTACTAAGGGGGCCTGATAAGGGAATGTAGGGTGCGTAGACATGAATTCATATAACAAGGTTTACAGTACGGAGTACTTATTGCACTGATCTTTTATAGCTTGGTCGAAAGCTAAGGTGCACGGTGGCTTGAATAGACCAGGTAGACCGTGCAGCACTTGTCGTAATGTTGAAAAACATATTCCAACCCTAAAAATAACAAGTACAATTTGAGATTCTCGAAATGTTAGATTTCCTGATGTCGAAATCTAGGCTTACCAGAATCGAGACTTCTCTAGACTTCCTGGAATCAAAGTGTTTGTCTGAGAATTAGATGTCCAGAGTACACTTGTCTAGTTCAATATCTCTCGGAATTTAGGCCAACTAATTCACCTGCAGTAGTTTAGCAGTTTCCTACATTTCAGATATAACACTTAGACATGAGCCGATAGAATATCCTACTATACAATAACTCTAAATCAAACACAACCATAAAGTGATGCAGCTTACGATAATGTCTCCCATGAAAGGCTTCTATACAACATCGGACGGCTCTGATTAGGCCAGTTCGTACCATGGATCGCATCGTTCCTCAGCAGTAGGAGTACTCGCATCAAATTACCAGGATAGCTATCGGATAGCTTCCCCACGTCCACACAAGACTCGATAATCTTGCAAGTCCTGTTCTTAATATTTAACGCACCATTGATCTCAGTGTGCAGCACCGACAGGAAGATGGGAGGTGCTAGATCCTGGGGGTTTGGATGGGTGGATGACGTGGCTATCCTAGTGGAATCAGAATCATACAGTACTACACGAACGTGCGGACGATAGAAAGAGTGCTTCAGAAGGCAGAGACATGGGCCAAACAACATGCGGCTAAATTCGCACCCGACAAGTTCGAACTCATCCATTTCGCCAATTCCGAATCAAATAACACTCAGGAGGATGACGCCCAAGTTGACATCCAAGGCGACATCCAAAACGAGAGACATATCGACATATTCGACATTGAAACAGCGCACCCACAGGGTAACAATCAAATGCCCGTCAAGGTCAACGACGTACTATCAATACAACCAACACAATCTGCTAAATACTTAGGGCACTATACGTACCATTTTTCCTCTGCCGGGTGGGGCTTTCCTATCTTAGCTGCCGCCGCTTTAATGAGGGCGCTCAGAGTCAGGCTCACTGAGTAAATTTCAGTCCGGGCTCAGACTCACTGAGCTGCTCAGATCCATCACGTGATGATCAGTGAGGTCCAATGAGCGCTCAGTGACTGCTCAGTGGCTGCTCAGTGATTGTGATTGGCTACTCACTGATCTGTCCTGGATTGATTACTCAGGATTTATCCAGGGCATCTATTGAGCACTCAGTCGACACTCAGTCCATGCCAAAAGAGCGCTTGCCCCACAGTACTGTTTATCTTGCGACCTGCATTTTTGATGGACCTAATTTTTAACCGTGCCCCTGTTTTTTGAGGTACTCGATCTTCTCGTTCTCCTCTCAAAAAATAACGCACTGGTGCACGATGACACAACAATGGAGGGCTTGGGTCCTAGCTGCCATGCACTGGCGCAGAAAAAAACCCTTCCTCGGTCATCGGACTGCTAAGATCTATGCCCAAGTACTGAAGTACAAATTGAAGCTATGTCTCTCATCTCAAGCTCCCGCACAGATTTTTCTTCATCCTCTATTTTAATATCCCCCTCAATTGATTTCTTCTGAAGTTTTGTTGGGATTCTTTCTGTCATGGGTCGGAAGCTCTTCTTTGCTCAACAAGATGCCAACGCCAAAGAGAATTGCCGAAAACAACTAGCAAAGAGTGGCTATATTTTTGGCGCTCATGCAGCTGAGGACTCCATCCGAGAAAAAGATAAAAGGATACCTAAGACTAAGAGGATGTATTCCCAAGCTGTCCGTTATTGGATGAAGTGAGTTAGGACGCAATTGTCCATGAGGAGTGCCCGCCGTGTGAGTTACTAACTTGCTCATAGCTTCTTTGTACAAAATGGAATCAAGGGCTACGAAATCGGGCCAGGCTGCCCGACTCCAGATTATACGCTCCTTAAAGAATTTATTCGCTGGTACAGTCATTTTGCGCGAGGCAAGAAAAGTAAAAATGGACGGCCAGTGATGACATCGGTCCTTAACTGTGCTGAAAGGCTATTTGGTGGGTTTGAAGAAGAATTGCAAATCAAAATTGTGATGGAAGACCGGAGCGAGATATATAACGTAAGCTGTTGTTAAATCTCACGGTGCAAGCAAAATTAACCGCAACACAGTGGATAAGGAGAACATTGGCAGGAAAGGAAAGGTGGATTGAGAATGTTGAAGACCCAGACCACAGCTTTACCAAAAAGGATTTTCTCCGAATGATATCGTCTATGTGGCAAGCGGATCATCGCCGGTTCATGCCTGGATTACTCAAGGCTATCATCCTACTAGCTCTTCAGTTATATCTGTTTACGGGAGCAAGAATTGGAGCTTTTATACCGGCTCATGAGGATAAAAAAGAAAGAGGCCTAAGATACAAGGTAACAACACTGAGACGTTGGGATTGTGCGTGGCTAATTTCTAATCCAGCACATCGATCTGGTTTTGTTTCCATCGTCTACGTCACCTTGGAAATTAGAGTGGAAAGTCAACCAAGTGTGGCTGAAAGGGAATCGAAACCCAGACTATACGGTATAAGCCCCTACATATACAACCTTGAACCAGCTGACGTAAATTGAGAGCTACTCGCTGACCGATAATTAAGGTTTGGAATCGGTATACGTGACACCAAGAGACTATAATTCGCGTCTAGATATATTCTCCTAGCTATTGCCCTACAGCACGGTGCCCTATTCGGCATCGAAACGGTAGAGGACCTCGCCAAGTTTGACCTTTCAAGCGTAAAGCCTATTGAGTTGCGCTGGAAGGATGAATATCTGGAAAAGCCTGTTCTCAGAAATGTCACAGCCGACGGCCTACAAGACGTTTCGCTCTATAAGGAGCGATTTTGTGAGTTACTACGCGGAATAGTCACGACCGCCGGGTATAACAAGAGCGTGACTGTTCACAAAATTCGGAAGTATCTAGGAAGTGTGATTAAAGGTGAGGCAGTCAAAGCTCACATCCTGTCGAAAGAGAAGATTTTTTCTAACAGCTAGCATAGGAAAGCATGGTTCTGCCTTAGTATCTCAAATCTATGGACACAAAGATGCGGGAACGTATCCTAAAGACTATGTATTACATTGCTCTTCAATAGATACAGTCTTAGCTGTTCTGGGCGAGGAAGACCAGTCAAGTCACATTGAGTACTTCCAAGGATTTAAGAAATTTTATGAGCGCGGACTTCCGGGGGAACTGCCGGCGCAAGTTGAAGAGAATATCCTGCAGAAGCCAGAACTAGTCGAGATCAGAAGTCGGATTGCGGAACTTGAAACACTCAATAGCAGAAAAGCGTCTATAAATGCCGAGCGGTTGAACTACAGAAAGGCATTAGTTCGATTCCGACTTTCTGGGTTGAAGGAATACCAAAACCGCTGGATACGGGAAAGAAGAGACCAAAGAATTCTCAACAAGGGGAAAGAAGAGCCAGTGCTTGAGGATGGCGACGTTTGCACGCGAGCTCAGGCTTTGATGATGTCTGAATTTGCGCGAGTTTCAACCTTGCTGTCTTCTGACAAGGAGCTTTCTTTTAATGAAATGCTTCTTTTCGTGGAAGACCTAAGAACTCATTGTGATCGCGATTTCGATGTGGTTTATCTTCTACATGAAAGTCCTATTCGAGGTTGCTGCCCTACTAGAGGTTGTCACAAAGAGATCAAATGGTGAGCTGCTTAGTCGTGTAATGATGGAATTATGCTAATATTCTCAGTTTCAAAAAATCTGACCGCAGTGCCCACATTCATAACTGTGTTCGACGCGAGATGGCTTTGCATCTTCAAGTCTCAGAATCAAAGTTGAAATTTTGCTACGAGCGCATGAAGTGGTTTCAGTCAAGTCAATGGCGAGATTATCGCTCTTTCCACCTCCAGTCATAGAGAACTCAGCACTGTGAGGTGGTCGTTTACCGCCACACGGCGGTGATCCGTCCCGGCTACTACCCTTTTTGCCTGTGGAACGAGGAGGGTGATGTAGATGATCGATTAAGTTATTAGCTGAACAGTAGCAATTTGAGGCAACATATTGAAGAACAGTATATGAATGGATATCGGTGTTATGGAACGAAGCCAATATGCGGATGTGGTCAAACCTTCGACGAAGAACGCGGCCTCCGACACCATTTGCACGACACCCACAGGCTAAACAAAGCTATATAGCTAAGTCCCAAACGCCAGAGGAAGAGAAAGCATCCATACAAGGTGGAAGCGCAAATGTCCTTATCAGAGCTAGAGCAGGGCTGCTCTAAGAGACTCCGCTTCTACCGCTATCCACCTCCGCGTCACGAACATAAGCATCAATTGGCCGACACTACTTTCATGCCTGTCCCCGCGCTGTGCTCCTTTGTGGAGGAGCATCCACGGTACTACTATTGTTCGAGTTTGAGTGATAAGTCAACTAAAAGCAGCAGAATTAGCTCAGTTGGTTCCTGCTTTTCTGCAGCAAGTTCTCCACTCAGCTCGCGACTAACAATTCCTGAATTGGAGAACATTGATCCGAGAATCCTCGGGCCTTTAGAGGTTCAGAAAGGACACGGACGTTAGCTTTGTGATCAAGGTTCTATGCAAACGAGCTCCCTTGAAATCCCACTGGATGAGCATAATATCAAACCATCCAATGATGCAGCACATTCACTGTCTCGTAGTCATGGTGTTGATATTCAGCCCACTCCTATTTCCCAGGTGAATGATCGTCGTACTCTCGACCCGGCTCATCGCCACAAGGAGGATGCACCCCAATCTTGTGATCCCGTTGCTAACCAGCAACATTCTCTCAATCCATCTCCTAATAGGGCTCAGGTCAAGACGACGACACCCATTGAATCGCGAATTCGAGAAAGCCCATCAACGAATACTATTGCAAACGAAGTGAACGAGAAGAAGAAAAACTTGCGAAATGAACGCCGGATTTTCAAGTCGGGCAACCGCATATGTTCTGTTGTGGAGAAGGGGCCCGAAAGTCATCTTCCTGCCCATCAAGAACTCATCGATGGGACCACACCTCTTAGTTGGGATTATATAACTAATCCCAAGAAACCTCTTACCCGAGCCCAGGCAAGACAACGACCGATACAGCAGTTTTCGAACCATTCAGCGGGGAAGACACTCCGACAGAAACTTAAGTCAACGGAGAAACGGGAGCTTCGTGAATTCAAGAGGAAGAATATGACACTGAGGCAAATTGGGCCTTATTTTGCGGATGTAGATATGATCTGCTTACGGCAAGCTTGGATGGATATCAAACCTCCTCAGCGATGCACTCGATCACGGGCCAATCAGATAGGATAGTTAAGCAACTGTAATTAGATCAAAAGATAACCACACCTTGGTGGTTAAATTACGATTTACTTGTAAATTATGTATTTCCAATCATATCGACCCCAAGAGGATCCAAATTTTCTAAAGGTCGAAGTCTAGCAGGCAACCGCTGGCGTGGTTAGTATACCAGTTAAAGTAATCATTGGCTGGCAATCATGCCACAAGAAATAAGTGCATGATAATCCCTTGTTTTACTGTAGAATTTCAACCCTTGATCGAAGATTAAAGATCGTACAACCCTTTTCGTCTTGCAAAGATATATATTACATTAAATTTACAATAACAATTTTGTTACAGCACTGCACCGCCACACTCTGGAGAACAGTTTTGCCTGAGGTTTTTGTAAGTGGTACTGTAACTACCGCGTGTGGTGGGCGCTTTTTATGTTGGATACGGTCCTTTGCGTGAGGACCGGCCGCCCGCCTAACATCGACTTGGCTTTCTGCACGACCCTCTACTAATTCCCTACATCGAGGAGGACTTTGGAGTCCGAGGAATCGCTCAAATTATCGACAACGTATCTATCCGGAATAACTTGATGGCTGTTTTGTTGACTTCCGGTGGTGGCGCCGCCACCACCACCGGACCCAACGAAGCCTCGATCGACCATACCTACATCGCGAAGGCCGGCTCAAGAAACGGAAAAGAAGTTGAGAAAACACAGATGGACCTGGTTGAAACTATCACGCCGATATTTCCCTATCTTTCCTGTACGGAGTCGACTTAGATACTCTCATGAGAGAGGCTATTCAGACTCTGTACGCCCCTGGGGTAACGAAGCGACCCTGGATAGAGATAGAGATTGCGATATCAAACCTTAACACGATTGCTGACAAGTGGCTCTCCCGCCTCCCAGCAGAGTTTCATTTCGCGGAGCTAGACGCCACCGCTACCGATCCCTTCGTTCGTCAATGCGCCGACCTTGGCTTCCGCTTCTACACCACAAAACTCTTCATCTCCCAGGCCTGTCTTCGTCACATAGGCTACCAAGCCCCCAGCGTGAGTCCTGGCGGAGCTCTTTGTAGCACAATGGCAGCCACGTGCGTGCAAATGGCATGTAAAATGTTGGACATGCTCCCGAACGAGCCGGACGCAACCTGGATATACAGAGTTTCACCCTGGTGGTGTGTTCTACACTACATCATGCAGTCTACGACTGTCCTCCTTATCGAGCTTTTCTCACGCACACAACCTGGAACTTCCGAGGCCATCCACCTGGTAGAGAAAATTCAGAAAGCTACACAATGGCTCCGCGAGATGTCCACCAAGGATCCCTCCTCCCGACGGGCCTGGCTTGTCTGTATGGACATCCTCTCTCGACACGGAGAAAGGTTTTTATTGGGACTGACCGCAGGCTCTACTACGCGCTGGTCGCACACCTCCTGAATGCCTTTTTTATTCCTCTGTCCGCTCAAAAATCGGTTCTAGGCCTGGACGACGCTTGCACGGATCGTATTCCGCGACTGTGGTCGTCTTTTCCTGCTTGACACCCCTGCTTGTTCGAGGAAATATATCTGTTGGGGATGAGTTATTGTTTTGTTCTAAGCAGCCTTCTCTTGGATCGCTCCATCGTATATGCAAACCGCACCCATGCATTGGGCAACAACAACGATACTTGCTGACACTTCCCTGGGACCCGTGCTAAACCTTTCTAACTTCCAACTTGTACCCCCACTAATAATTAATATAATTGCGGAGCTAGACCAAAGTCCAGGACCTGCATCATAAGTATTAATAATTATGACGAGGCTTAACGATTGATATTCATAGTCGGTTCCATTCAACTCCATCCCACTACAAAACACAATCTTGAACTTCTTTCATCCATAGTTTCGAGGCTCTGTGGCGAAACAACCATCAGATCTTCACCGCCCTTTCTCCTCCTACCCCTTCGCCTTCGTCTAGGACACTGGCATTTGTAGTTCTTATAGTTGATGTGGCTTGTGGGTTCAAATGCATTCCCGACGGCCCTTGTCTCCGGCGCATTGTCCTTTCCTTACGCTGCCCTTTGAGCTGATCAGTTGCGGTTGAGATCTGCTGAAGAAGAGACCCAAATTCTGAAGGCAGACAAGTGTCAGCGAGATTATTGAGCAAAATCTGGGGTTCATGTACCTTGACGTGGTGGCGAAGAAATGTCAAGAGCCTCTATTGGATCTCCTCGACTCAAGAACTATAAAGGTAATATCATCAGAGCAGCACACAAATACCTGAATAATGACTTACTGTGGCCATGTCAACAATATTGTCCTTTAGAAGTAATTCTGCTTTCCCTTCTATGTCTTTAATTTGTTGCTCTAACTCAGTTGCTCGTGCATTTGCAAACCAAAAGGGAATGCGGTTTTTGTTAACCAATTTCCGTGGGTTGTACCACCTTAAAAAGGCACTAGTCTTCGTAAAATGGTTGTCGGCGAGCCATTGGATCAGTACAGCGTGCGCCCCAAGCAGATATAGTGCATGATAAGTACAAGAACCTCCTTGGTTTCTTGCCTTTTCAATAAGAACACCATCAGTAAGGGAACGACCGTAGTATTTCTGTAATAGCATCCGAAGTTTTCTCCGTCCAGGCATATTATGCCCCATGCCATCATGGATGTCGATAACGACTTCGGTAACAGCGCTCAGAACATCGTTTGAGACAGTGGCCGCCATTATGCAACGAACTGTTTTTGCTCAACAGGAATTCGGAGGACCTGACTTCATTAGATGCACAGTGTTCTTTACCCATCTTGTTAATAGGAGATGTCTAGGTTCATATAATGCCCCGCAATACGAGAAACTAAAACGTAACTATGACGTATGCTCCGAAGCTTAAGTTCGCGGACGGCTACACCCCGACAGAACAATTGACGGAACCCAGCACCAAAGCCCTTGCTGTTATTGATCATTATCGATTGAGTTATTCCAACCCTTGGAAACATTCCGATTGTCCTGAGTCACGAAACAAAGGTGATGTGAAGGATCCAGTCATAGGACCTCATTCATGCTTAACCCGACAACGCTAGGTTTCATTAGGTTGAAGCACATTGGTCGCTTCTATAGCCCAAGTAAAGCATTCCATGGATGTACCCAGCGAAACCCAGGACTTTCTACGCATGCTAAATGTGATGTCCTATTAAGATGACCTGAATTCTTCCTAGCTGCTTTACGATGGGTTCGTCGTTAGAGCGTCTTACTATATCGTGGCAAAACTACGAGATAATGAGAGAGGTGTTAAGAGCCTACGCAGAATCTTTCCCTGTCGTGCCTCAAAGCTAAGTTGATAGTGAAGTTTGATATTAAACCATTTACACCATGGACGTGCCAATCGCAGCAGGAGAGGGAATGGCTGACACCGAAATATTTCCTGACTCGTTCCAGCGACTGTCAGGTGTCAATACCGGTATCGAACACCCACATGGCCCTATCTTTCCAGAAAGTGATATGTCCCCCGATGGAATTTCATCTGCATATCAAACACAATTTGTCTTGAACGAGCCCCGCTTTTGGTGCGAATTATCCTCCCCATTACCCACGCAAACCTTTGATCTACAGCCTACGGACCCTGTGGATCATTCAATTTACGATGATGTCTCGGAAACCTCTTCGCACGGGCTGTCCATTCCTAATCCAGCAACAAAAGAGACAAGGGGCAAGCATAGCGAGAGAGCCAGACTCCTTGAAAATCGACAGCCATTTTCCTGAACGTGACAACGAAGTGCGGGTATTACATCCAGATCTAAGCGATGCCAGCGACCAGACACACCACTTTGAGAAGGATTGCTCTCCAGGCCGCCTCGTTTGGAGGCCATCGAGAGATTGTCAACCTGGTCTTAGACAAGGGGGCGTGCATCCAAGCCGAGGGCGGCCGCTTCGGAAACGCTCTCCACGCCGCCTCGTTTGGAGGCCATCAGGAGCTTGTCATATTGCTCTTAGACAAGGGAGCAGACATCCACGCGGATGGCAGCTTCTACGGCAACGCCCTCCATGCCGCCTCGTTAAGAGGATATCAAGAGATTGTCAACCTGCTCTTGGTCAAGGGAGCCCACGTTAACGCGGAGGGCGGCGACTACGGCAATGCTTTCCAGGCCGCCTCGTTTGGAGGCCATCAAGAGATTGTCAAACTGCTTTTAGACAAAGGGGCGAACATCCACGCAGAGGACGGCCGCTACGGCAACGCTCTCCAGGCCGCCTCGTTTGGAGGCCATCGAGAGATTGTCAAACTGCTCCAAAGAAAGGGTGGTACTACATCGTGTTCAAAGCGGTCCGGGTCCAAGACTCCAGGCAACCCAGCGAAGAAACTTCGTCTTATGGACTCTGAACCTTCTGATCAAACTCAATAATTCGTTTAGTAGCACCCACCATGGTGTGCACTTATTGCCTAGCTTCAGGTCTGATCTCTCTTATCCCATCGCAGATTCTAGGTGTGCCTAGTAAATTCATGACAACCTGCGAATACTGCTACATCTGGGCAGGGGTTTCTATGTATCCCAGATTCCACGGAATTCCCACGTGTACTCTTAGTTCTTACACCCAAAGACTCGTTCACTAGCTGAGCTGCGTGGTATGCCCTGTCTTGTCTAAGCTTTCCTCGTACGCGGGAGCTTCAGTCCAAGAATGGCCTAAAAGTAGGGTTCATTGGCGAGTCGCCAGACCTACACAACGTCCATATCGCTGCCAACTACAGCATCGGATCGACGGCTAGCCTGGATAGTTAAGCAAGAGTAGGAGTATTCGCGGTTTGGAGTTCGCGGTTGGGAATTCGCGGTTTGAAGTTTCACGGGTTGGAGTTCGCAGTTCTGGATAGCAACAGTAAGATCTCGCCTCCACTGAGCACCTTACGCGACATATAAGAGCCAAATCATCCCCGAAATAGCTGCAAGGCACTGGAGTCGAGCACTGATGAGATAGCCCGGCTCTGAAATATCGCCACAGGAATCTTGTAAAGAAGTCGAAGCGTTGAAGGGACTATCACTAGGCCTTACTTTCGTCAGGACGGTTCCCAATCATGACCAAACTGGAGTCCTTTGATCACAAATACTGATGTGATCACAGTGATTCACCTGGCGTCGATCTGGAGATCTCCGTTGTGGAGGGGCAGTGGATAGCGTTGAACAGCAAAAAGGTACTGTGGCTTCCTCCTATGTCGGCCTAGCTGCTCCACCACTCATAGTAGTATGCTGCAGCGGTCCGGTGAAAATGCCACTGATCGAACTAAATCCGAGTAGCCCTCAAAAGTCCGTTCCAAAGTTCCTGTTGCAATGTCTTTCTACTCCTATTTCACTCTTTCGATAGTTCAACTAGGCTGGTGGGGTTTACTGGATTCAATAGCTGCAGCACTATTGGACAGGACAGTGCATGACCTCCTCTATGTCATCTCTCTATTTTTGGAGCATCTATGGCGTATTCCTAGCGCTTATTTGATACGAATAATACTCTCTTTCATTTATCTGAAAGTGATGCCTGAGGCATCTCTTTATCCATTGAAGTGGCTACTTACAAATGGCTACCACCATGCACCTGATCTGTTTTGAGCAGAAAAGCAAAGCACCATGCAATTTGGCATTAGATTTTGCGCGGTCGCATACGAGGGAGACAAATCTGGCGGTAAGGTTTGTCCTAGATCAATTAGAGCAGTCGATGCGAGCAGCCGGAGCGAGATTTAAATACCACGAAAAGAGCGAGCCAGCGGAAAAGAGCGCAATTTCAATGCAGAACGCGTATCTCCATTCGTGGGATACGGATACAACATATTGAATGGATGGAAAGAGCGCGCCGCCTATGCCGGCCGTAGTCAAAATTGCTGCTGACCGTTTCGTATGCCGCCCCATACCGTGTAAACAGATCGCAAAAGCAGTAGGAAAAATTCCCGCACCGAAAAAAGAGAGGAGGATAGCCATAGTGATGCTCGAATATCCTTTTATCACCATAGTGAGGATAGAAAATGCAATAGCGCATAGGTATAGAAGCAGCAGAGTCCAGCGAGGTTTGACAAAGTACAGCCACAACGCGGTGCAGAAACAACCTGCGGCGACTGCGGAGTTTCTGATAGCAGCAAAACCATAAGTAGGCAGATGAGCGCTGCGGAGACGTTAGTGGGGGATCTCTTGGGAAGAAAGGAGATGTTCGGAGGTTGAAGAGGTACTTACTGTGGTTCGTTGAATGTTACGAAAGAAGTGAAATTTGTCTGAAGGGCTTCTTGGGCACCAATGGTACAGAATTGTGACAGAAATCCGAGGGTCATAGTTATCCAGGCGTATCGAATACCACACACAGAAGCCCTGGGGTCTTGTTGACATCGCCTTGCAAGTTCGTCGAGTTCTTCGTCGGATGCCTCTGGAAGCCGCACGAAGCTATACACCACTGCCAGCACTAATGATACTATCGCCAGAACAAGAAAGACCCACTGAGTGGAGACCAACGCTGCTGCACTAGTGCTGGACTTGAAGAGGACTTGTTGGGCGAGCAACCGCGATGTTGTCCAACCAGCAGCTTGAATGCCTCGGGCGATACTCAGCCGCATTGCCCCTAGACCGACTATCCCGCAGAGGGTAACGAAGAGATCCACGGCCGTTTCGACAATAGAAACGCCTAGCCCAGCAATAAAGCTTGCAACGAGGAGCGCCGGGAGTGAGATGAGGACTGTAGCCGGCCAGAATAGCAGCATTCCGAACCAGAAGATCGAGAGGCCCGTGACGATAGTGGCTTTGAAGCCCCACCTTTGTAAAATAGGCATCGCCACTATAAGAGGTCCAAAGAGGTAGGCTCCGAAAAGAGTGGCGTGCAACCCAAAGCTCACGACCCTGCTGTAGTGGGTAACCTGTGGGAACTGCCAGTAATACGTAGTAATGATACCATAGGCAAATCCCCAGAGCAAGAAAATAAAGAACACCACGGTCAGTGGCATCACAGATTCTCGTCCACTCATTTCTAGCATGTTCTTTGACCTGGTTATTCGGATAAAGTCAAGGGGAGGGTTGACTGGTCCACCTCCAGAGGCCGATTGCGAAGTTTCGTGGAAAGAGGTGCGGTGGATCGGGGGAAAGCGTCTTACTCGGATAGTCTTCCTTCTAGGCGGGGCAGCAGCAGCTTCTGGCAAGCTGAGGAGCTCATGCTCCGTCCCTTCACTGGTAGACATACCCCGTTGACTGCTAAGGTGCCTAACGTTAAGGATACGTGGAAAGAGACGAGCGACCAGAGGCTTTAACATAGGTACGCAGCCACACATGATACCAAGGCACAGTTCGATAGTTGACCATAAAAAGACATATGCATCATAATCTACGTCGATAGGTCAGTGCGTGCAGATGCAATATTCGCAAAGGAAAGGTAATAATTGCTCCCTACAGGACAAATCGTGGACACTCGGTGGCTGGTGTTTAGTCACCCGGGAGACTGCTGCCTGTAAGAGAAACTCTGTGCGAAGGACACTTATCACAATAACAAATACGCCTGTCCCGAATGTGAGAAGAAGAATTGCCTTCTGCCTCCTGGGGAGTCGCATGCGCAATAGGATCGGTATTGGAAGAAAAAAAATGGCAACATCGGTGACGATATTGATGGGAGCAGTGGAAATATAAAGAGCTACAATGTCAATACAATAGGTCCCAGGAGGTGTTGTAATGTGAAAGGAAGCCGAGAGAGGACGACACGGGAAGAGGTTGACCAGTGTCAAAGCGGTTGTCGACAGGAGGACTACACCGAGAGTGATATAGATTCCAAGTCGGAAGAGGAACTCTTCTTTCGCCAGCGTGAGATAAAACAGGAGGATGGATACCTTGATGGCCGCCAGGGCTGGATACTGCAGAGGCCGCGTTAGATAAGCTGACAGCACCCCTGACAAGGCAAATGAACATACGTAGAGTACAGCAAAAACATACTCGGCCCGAGCCAGCGGATTCCTCCAACTTTCGAGAACCCCTTCACGAAATCCGAGGCCTTTCGTGGTCGAATAGATGTTGGCAACCGAGAGAGCGCAGACAAGAACCCAGCCAATCAGCATCGCATAGTCCGATCCTGTTACTCGATGAGCGATGTGGATGCGAGATGTGAACCGCACAGCCAGAAATAAAGTGGCCAAAGCAAGGAAAGTTGCATTGACAATCACATCTGCGTCGCCGAACTGGTCCATCTTTTTTGGTCCTCCTTTTTTCCTACTCTCCATTCTTCGGGGAGTCTATTCTAGTAGACAAAGACAGGGGGCGTGTTGTCAGAAAGACAAGGAGATGTGGTAAATCCTTTTTTATAGGACAACCCAGATGACTCGGGAAGTAGCCGGAGGGAATGTAGGCACTTAAAAAACTGGAAGGGGTCAAGGCAGATCAGACCACACTTATTAGGCGACAGCTGTCTTTTCGAGCACCGGCCAATCCAAATCTCCTCCGCGGGGAACCGAACCCATGGAATGACTCCGAGAGCTAGGTCAGAGGCTTCGAGAGACTTGAAGTTGAGCTTGGACCACATAGCTCTTGACAGCTCTTGGCCATTATGGAACTCTAAGCTAGGTGATCGGGTTAGTGTGGCGGCGGAGATGAGATAATAAAGTCCATGCAGACCAGCTCTGGTCAATCAAGAAAGATGAAAATACGCTCCGGTGCACATTTTAGTATCAGTAGAATATCAAACATAGAGAAATAGCGCAATATATCGATAGAATTATTTGATCTACTAACACTAATACCGAGATAGCCGCAATCGGATATTATCATGGGGTTGATGTGTATACAGTTATGATGTCATCAAGAAAGGTTAATCCATTACGTACCCGTACTCCGTACGGAGTACATGCAATACTCTCTCGGCATGGCATCCTGTCGCTCTTGAACACGTTCCAGGCTCATTAGCATAGCCTTGGGGCAACTGACCAGGATAGTCACTGGTTTATTATTTTCGAGCTTGTCCTCGGAGTTGGAATAAGTTGTGGTCTGGCTTGCCAGGCACTTCCATACTTTGCCTTTGTCACCTTGTTGAGAATGTGAAGAAGGCGATGCCCATTTATGAAGTAGATTAGAATAGGCAAGGCTGGGTGTTCGGAAAGCGGGTTGAGAAATTGGTCCGTTTGTGAATATTGCCAGTTCCATGTCATGCAAATAAAGTTCCATTACCCGTCAGGTTTTGAATCGAATTTAATTGTACAACAGCAGTGGGGCTCCTCAGCCCTGCAAAGTGCGACTTTCGATCTCGAAGCCTGCGCATCTTTCAACCAGATGACGATAATAATCAACTAGAGTTTCTGGGCTGGGAACAACGTGCCATTTCACTCGAAACAGAAATTAGCATGTGTGGCCAATCGTTGGAGGTAGCTGTGCACGGAAATAGTCGGTGGAGATCGTGAGTGAAACCGAGTAAGCTGATTTTGTTGGAGTGGTATCTTGTCATTGATGTTGATCAACTCCATAACCATGTCCGAGATCAACGCAACCAGGATAGGCGTCTCAGTAAACTCGTAAGAAGCAGGTAGTAACTTGATTTCGGGTTTGGAAGCCGATGGCTGCGCCGATTGTGGGCAATTCGCGTTGGCAGTCAAGGGAAGGCCCAAACCTTTATTTGTTGATCTTGTCTCGCATCGGCCATCACGGTTACTAGATCCTGAACTGCAGGAAGCCATCGAGGAGAACGTAAACAGGGCCTCGCGACACAAATTTGAGGCAAAGTTTGTTGTTAAACGAGCGGTATTGGAGTTCCACCGAAAACCCCTCTGGCGTGCCAATATTCGACAATGCATGCCAGTAGTTTGGCTTCTTCTCTTTTTGTCGCTATTAACGCCAACCGGAGAAGCTTCGGGTACCCGACTCTCTTAGTGTGCGTGTAGTATGGTAGGTGGAAAGATGGCCAGATGCTCGTAACAGACGAACCGCCCTGAAGCTTATGGTAGGAGTAATTAAATCATGACATGAAGACATAGATATTGACTGTGGAGGCAATGGAAAGCTTGGACAGAAAGATTGCGACACAACTGACGATCCAACGCGTCTCTGCTAACACGGTCTAGCAAGACGTCTGGAGGTCTTGGAGCGACCACGGCGCTAGCAAGTGGGATTGGAATACAGCAAGGGTGCTGGGGCGGGGCTCTCTTCGCTGACTGCTTGCGGTATTTGCAGTGTTTGCACTTAGCACTGCTGTCAGCTGAGCCACGTGATAGAGCGGGCTTTGTACCAACCATTCCACGAAAATTCCTCGGCATCTGCAAGCTAGCTGAATCGAGACTAGGCAGTTTCACCATCAGCTTGACGTTAGGTTTAAAAGAGTTTCCCTGTGCAAATATGGGGTACTTATTCAATATTCCCCTTTGCTTACTAAAGTCCTTCTCAGGATTTGATGACTTATCTGTCTTCTATACAGTAACTAGTAACAAGCTTGACGTCAGAAAAGCTGAAACAACTCGAAGGCTTGTGGGGTTGCAGTTTCAAACCACCAAATAACCGTGTCCAATTAGCTTCCGGAGAACCACATTTTCCCCACCAGCCTGTGGTGGAGCGCCTACGCCCCAAGTTCAAGAATACTTTCAAGTTCGCGGTTCAGAACAACCTCATTCAAAACCTCGGCTCTTTATGTCTTTCCATGTGACTCAAGGCTACTTAAAACGGCAGTCCTCTCCCTCTCTAACAGGAGCAGGCGAGAATGGCTATCTTGCGAAAAATGCCGCCTCGGTGAATCGCGCATAACTAATTTCGGTCTATGATGACTAATGCAGTTTCAAGACCCACGATCAGAGGTTCCCAAGCTAGAGACAGATAGCAGCCTAAGACATAAGCTGCAGGATGATCAGCCCCTAGGGTACGCCATGCTATCCTTTCTTGGCATCCAACTCGAACCGGGAGACTGGGGGGAATAGGACATTGTATTGGTATGGTAAGCCCAATCTGCTCCGTTTTGGGTTAAGTCTTGGCGATAACGCTTCCAACCATCACTCTAAATGTAGAACATGGTGTCCTTGATGCTGGGGTGAACAGTTGCCTGGCTCTCCTCGGGTACACTACCACCACTTTCACCAGCCACACTACCCGTCGGAGTCGCAGAGGGAGTCGGGTCGAACAGATCACCCATGTAGCAGCGAGAACGGGTGCAGACAAGATCGGCGTAGTAGGCAGGCGGACACACGCTGACGGCTTTGGTTGCTCGGCCGAAGAGGTAGCAAATCTTGCGTGTGAGGTCCTGGAGTCTATCGGCAGCGCCGATGCGGGTCCGACGCCAGGGTGTAGTGGGTAGAAGATCTCGTCCCAGACGGTGAAGTAGTGGGCGGGACGGGCGGTGCCTTGCAGCGCGGAGTGAGCCTGCAGTGGCGGGCCTCGGAGATTCCGCGGTCGACGACGGTGCCAGGTTGAGGGTTGGCGGAGCGTTCGGCTTCAACATCGGATGTCGGGTAGAAGCGGGTGTTGTGGCGCTTTCCAACGACGACGATGGCCATGCGGGGCAGGCCTTTCTTTGTATCCGAGGCTGGGTAGATGTTCTGGCAGGCTTTCTTCAGGAGGGGCAGCTCCTTCTCAATGACCATGTCGTATTGGCCCTCTGACACGCCGTCACGGTAGACGATGATGTGTTCCAGGAACTTGCCCTTGTTGTGCTTTGCCCAGATCTTGATGCGTGATTGTAGAAGGGTATCGAGGTCAGAAACCATTTCCTGGCGCGCAGGCTGAATGCGAATATCTGCGGGCCACTGTGCAAGTTGTGCGTCGACTGAGGCGACGATGCCGACCACACACGGTGCCGAACTGGTAGCTGGCCGTTTCATAATTACCAGAAATTACCATTTATGAAATGGCCAGCAAGGTCTCCTTTCCGTATTATTTCCACTTGAATTCAGGGTTGCCATTTTTAGTTGGCGATCATGCCAGACTCTACGGAGAGTAAATGAAGGGTTAAGAATCTGTATTATAACGACCGTGCGCTACCGTCCATTCGCTGTGGTTATGGTTCCTCAGAGCGTCTGCATTCGTATCCCACGTCACATCATGGAACTAATATTGAATATTAGGCGCACCGTGCAGTAGGGTTCCGGGAGAGGGACTCGTCCGAACCCAGCAACTCGGGACCTGAAAACAGTAATACAGCAAATCCATTTCGCCTTTTTCTTGAATGACACTAGAAAGTGTCGCCTTAAAAGGTATCGAGCAGTGACCCAGGTTATTGCTAAACTCACCATCCGACAGCGAGCAGTTTAAAATACATTGTCTGAACTTGGCGGCAATCATACATAGGGTTCTCAAGGGCATGCCGCCTTGTTTGTCTTGCAAACATCTACCCTTCTCTCTAGGTCTAGGCAGAGAGCCTTGTTCCTTTTCTATGAAGACCACCTTAGCACTGTTCTGCAGTGACGACGCCCTGGAAGAAGAGCCGGCGATCAACGTCGATTACCTTTCGCACGTATGGAGAGAAGAGGATATTTGGGTGACAAGGAGGTATGTGCTTAGGGAGAAAAAATCCTTGAAGCACAGCAACAGGCTTGAGAATGCACTATGGAGGGCATGGATGAAGTACCAACAGCAGCTGAACACTGTGTCGCCCGACAGTGTGAGTTGGTTAGTGAATACTAAATGTTGCCGGATTGCGCGAAGTCAACCAGTTTTAACAATTCTGTTGTTAGGGAGAAGGATAGCGACATTACCTGGCTCTATGGCCCATGGAAGTGCATTGAGCCGTCACCCCCTGCGCACGCGGCGGCATCCCAAACATCCCGCGAGAGCTCACAGTTGCCATCTGCCATCAGACCAGCACTAAAACGAAGGACACGGCTGTCTTTCGCATCCTGCACAACACTCGCCCCTCAACGCACGACAAATGAACCACCTGTCCTTGAAAAGGATGTTCCCAAAACTGCTGCCGCTCGGGCATGGTTGAAATTTTCATGGCCCCAATACCTGGTATCGCGTCTGGCTGCGTCCGCAGTCCGCTACACGAACGAGAGGTACAGGCGTATCTGGCCCCAGTTCCCGTCAACGAACCGCTCGAAGGTCCACTTTGACCTGGAGGTTCAGCAGTGCATAGCTATAAATTCGACAATCACGCACGACGCAGCCTATAATGGCGATAGTTCTCTCTTGCAGAATCCCCGATTTGATGACGCTTCTCGCGTCCCTGGGGAATGTTATTTCTTTATGGACAGCAGTTTATTTTGTGAAAAGAGCCAGGGACACACCATCACACAACTACCGTCTATTGAAGTCAAATCACCTCCCGGGTCCATCGAGCCTCGCCAAGGAGGAGCTGATAAATTTTCAATTAATAGCCCCTTCCACTGTTCGAGCTGACCATGGGTTTTGAGCCAGGTGCGTACGGTTAGCTGCACTAGTCGGTGCATTGTGAAAGTCATGCTGTCTTCTCCGACTGCTATCAATGAAAAGTCGCAGAGGATTGTAATGTCTTTTTCAAAATCGCCGTCAGCGTCATCTTCAGACTCATTGTCCGTGTCTTGTTCGCTTGAACTGTCCTCTAACTGCTCTAGAGTAAAATGCTTGCCGCCTTCCTGATTCTGCTGAACCCGAAGCAGATCCTCGGTGATTCCCTGCCAGTTGAAAAAGCTCATCAGCGAGAGCAGGTCAGTCGCAGATGGCAATATAATCAAATGATATTTGCCATGTGAGCAGAATCGAGTTCTTCGCCTCCCAGTCTCGGTATAGGAGGCCAGCCTCGTCATTTAGTACCCGTACTGCGTCTCGGTCACCATTCTTGATTTATTCGAGGTATTGCGATACTGAACAATGCGGTGATTGGTGTGTGATATAGCCGGCAGCTTGGACGATTGCGAGTGGCATAAATTCAAGCTCACGAGCCAGCCGTACCACTGTCATTTTCTTCCGACCTGCAGCCATAGCCCCACGAAAACCAACACCGGCAGCAGCGCGCATCATCCGGCCGCCCTCCCGCGGACGACATCCGAGGCGGACGCGCCTGAGATTGGGGAAGGCAAAAGGAGGGAGGGGGAGAGGGGAATCGCGCGTGCCGTGCGAACCTTGCCGGTCCCCAGATCCCAGATCGCAGCCCAATCCGGCAACTGAGAGGGCCATTTCGACCTGCTCGGCGGCCCGGAATACCCTATAAGATAAGCGAGGACCAATCCTAGCTGTTCCATAGTGTGTTTCTGGTCATCAAAAACTTAAGTGCCAATTGGCCCATAGAGTGAGAAAGAATACAGCCGAGATTTTATTAACAATCATGCATTTAGTAGCTACGGATATTGAATCTTCCGTTAAAGGAAAACAAGGACCCGACGTCTATTTACGTACCTGCAGACCAGGCCCTAACTCGATCGCATCGTCTGCCTTATATGAGATCTTGAGGGACTGCTCACGGTAATACACCGTCATAGACCCAGGAGAGAATGCCTTGAAACTCGCCTTCTCCAGCCTCCCATCAAACCACTCCATGTCAAGCTCCAGATTACCTCTAAGCCGCATGCCCTTCACAGCTCCTTCCGACCACAACTTAGGAAGTGCCGGAAGCAAGTCGACCTCCACTGGACCTCCCAGGTCCGGCATCAGCGAACGCACCAGCATCTCCGCAATAACCGCCGCACCCCCAAAATTCCCATCCACGACGAAGATATTCTTCTCCGCGCCTGCTACGCCTGGCTTGCTGTAGCTGAGCAGGTTATCAAAGCTCAGCTCACCAACCAGATGGCCGATCTGCGCCTCTGCCTTCTCCGCCTTGCCCAGGCGGGCGTAGTTCAGGCCAAATAGGGCCGCGGTGAACTCGATATCCTCAAGATCGTCACGACCCTGCCTCCGCTCGAGTGTCACGCCAATAGCCTCGGCCAGGAGCGGAGTGTGCCGCAGAGACACCTGCGCCGACCGGCACAGCGCCATGGTGTGCGAGAGATGGCGGTGATATGGCTGCGCCTCTTCAAAGTCGTACAGCCACTCTTGTAGCTGCCCATGCTTGCCGACCTGGAGCGGTGGCAGCTTTGCTTGCGCGGCCTGGACTCGCTGGGCAAAAGCGGAGTCTGTGTTGAGGCGTTTTGCGGCGTGCACACAGAAGGCGAAGAGGTCACGTAGAAGCTCGACGTCAATGGTAGGCGACAGGCAGACTGAATGCTCTTCCTTATTACCATCTTTGCCGACTATGAAGAAGCTGTTCTCGGGGCTGACAGCCGGACCCGTGAGCAGCCAACCCGTTTCCGGGTCCTCAATCATGTAGTGCAGGAAGAACTCTGCCGCGCCTTTCAAGATCGGATAGGCTGTTTCCCCCAAAGTGTCTCGTCCAGGGTATATTCGTACATCTCTATCAGGTGGCTCGCCATCCACAGCCCCCCCGTCACGTTGAGACCGTATGACGTCTCCCAGCCCGGATCAGCGAATCCCCACACGTTGCTGAAGACGTGGGCGACCCAGCCATCGCAGCCGTAGCAGGCCTGTGCAGCATCTTTGCCGGCGGTGACAAGGCGCTTGAGATAGGAGATGAGGGGTTGCATTAGGTCAGGCAGCGCGCTGGGGAGCATGGGAAAATAGTTCATCTGGGTATTCATATCAATGTGGTAGTCGCAGCTCCACCCCATCCGGCATGCTTCCCCGTCGTTCCACAGGCCCTGCAAGTTCAGCGGTAAAGGAGAGGTGGCGCGTGTACCTGCGATGGTGAGGTAGCGTGCGTAATGGAAGTAGAGTGTGAACATGCCCGGGTCGGCGTAGTTGGAGGGCTCGAACTTCTGCCGGCGCTGGTCAGTGGGCAGACTCGCAGGCTCAGAGCCTGAACTGGGCCCGAGGGTGATGCTCATCCGACGGTAGAGGGGCTGATAGTCCGCCAGGTGTGCTGCGAGGAGATCTGCGACAGACAGTTTCGTGGCCTCCTCGATCTGCCGAGACGCTTGCTCTCTCCAACCATCGCCAGTCTGTTGGTAATTGGTGGTGAAGGCGAGCAGAATCGTAGCGCTCTTCTTCCCCCGCACAAAAATCTTGCACTCTTTGCTCTCTACTTCTTGACTGTCTGAGTAGACACCAACAACACCGTGACCTGTGACGCCGCAATTTCCATCACTGTGCACGGTCTCGAGAGCCTGTGCATCGAATTCGATCCTCCCATCCCTACTCCTGGCAGCAAATGCTTCATTCTGGCCTTGAATACTTACCTCGAGGTTTAGACCCTCCGGATCGTCGCTCTCAAAGCTCACTATAAGCACTTGATGTGGATAGCTCATAAAGCTCCTCCTCCGAACCCGATGTCCGTCGCTGTCATACCTTACCTCCGCGAGCGCCGAGTCGAGTCGCAGCTCTCTCTCAAAACCGCGTACGCCCTCGCTATCCATGGTGCCATTTACAGTGATGTCGAGCCTCCCCACGACCAAATTGGTACCAAAATTATTCTCCATGCTCTGGAGATATTTCTCTGACCTTCTCTTCCCTTCTTCGTAGTCGCCTGCAAGCAAGCAACGCTGTGTCTGCCGCAGCTCGGCCATTGGGTCAGCGGCCCGAGAAGCCAGGCCAGATCCTGCAGTGTGCGGACCCCCAGACCAGAAAGTGACTTCATTGAGGACGAAGGCCTCGCGGGAGGGCGAGGAGATGACGGAGGCTCCAAGTCGGCCGTTGCCGAGTGGCAGGCTGCCTGAGAAGGTTGTACAGGGGGTGGTGTAATAAAGACGGTGCTCTGTGGACATGCTTGCAGCGGAGAGATGAGGCGATGGTCCTTGGAATGACCTTAAATGGCTCTGTTGAGACATAGAACTAATGGCAAGGTGATTCGGTGGGAGCTTTTGTACTTGGCGAGCCTGGGGTTTGCTGTTGGGTTTGTTCCGTATCGGCGTAGGCTTTATGGGTGCACCTAGTTCGAAAGACAAGTAATTTTGATGCTGGCACCATAGTCAGACCGAGATTTGTGCCACTCTCCATCTACGACACCAGTCTCCTCGAGGTGCGGGGGTGGGGAAGAATGGCGCGGGGCGAGCTACTCCGAACAGGCGCGGCGGGAATATCGGACAGACTCGCCACATTGGAAATGGTTAAAGTCAAAAGCACAAGCCGCGCCTAGCGAATTGCCGAATTGCCGTGACCTTCGAAAATATGAAGCCAGGATCGACATAACTGATGGATAGATTCTGGGCATCTGGCGGCGAGAACTCTCGAGTCATAAGTTCTAGTGGCTTGGGCCTCGTTGGAAGAAGGGCCACCTTGCGATCTTCTCCCCATGGAATCTGCTAAGGCCGCTGCTCTGCCCACGGGCCTCAACAGTTTTGTCGTGTTTGTGATGTTACTGAGGAGTAGTAGATACTGTAAACGCTAGCTCGATGCCACAGGCGGTTTGCATCCGGCTGGGCCGTGCAGGGCAACAGTTGCCTAGATCTCATTCTCACCACATGCCAACATCCGGCCGTCCTGCTTCCTGCAACCTTGCAATATCCACCACAATGAAGAAATAAACAATAGTCTACACCCTTGAGGATGCCCCAACCGGCACAGTCAATCCTCAGCTCGTCCCGAGAAGACCAGCATGTTGGTAGGCACCAGCTCCGCCATGGCGAGCCTGAGCAACAAGCAAGGGCACGAGCAGAAGCACCGACTGAGCTACTGAAAATCTTTCAAACTATGCTCCAAGGGTCTGTTCTGGTCCATGTTTATCGCTCTGAGCATCATCATGCGGGCCTACAACAACGAGATCATCGGCAGCCTTCTACGCACTACCTTTCCAGATTTCCACACATAGTTAGATAACCCTTGCACCCTTCATCTTCCTATTAATGTACATAGACCAAGGAGGTAATTCTCGAAGACTTTTACAAATACTGGCAAACGAGTGATGAACCTAAAGACAGATGAAGGGCAAGAGCGAACTTGGAACTAGGAGAATCATACGAGCGAACACTTGTCGTGGTATGCTCACCGAGTGTCGTGGAGGAATATTGATTGTACTGTATTTGTAGCAGAAGAGGAAAATTGTGCCCTTAAGTTATAGAAAGCCGCACAAGCAATTGGGTATTCAGTTATAAATGATGAGCCGCTGAGGAAAGTCAAGCTCCATGTTAAGTTGCACAACTCCCAAGCATTGTTGTTCGTGATATATGATTCTGGCCAACAAACGACTCCGGGACTCACTTTGCTGCTTGTACTACTACTACAAGACGCTTTCCCAGCTTTTAGTCCTTAACCCAAGTCTGCTGGAGCTTCTCTAAAATCCAGGCCGATCTCCTGGTCCTCGAAGAGATCCACTTCAGTGCTAGCGAATTTCCTTGCCGGGATCCTCTTCGCAAAGAGAATATCCAGTTCCTGATAAGACCGGTTCCAGGTCTCAGGAAGCCGGAAGAAAGCCCAAAGAAACATCAAAAAGCAAGTACCACCCCAAACAAATCTATAACCCGAATCCTTGTTAGTCCCAGCGAGTCTACCGGTTATCATGGGGATTGATAAATACATACCCAACGTAGCCCTTGAGGTTCCACGCCTGTGGATTCATGAAGTACTGCTGGAGAACTCCCGCTACGATCCCAACAACACCGTTTGCGTTTCTTGCGATACAGATGGTCTTCTGGCGGAGTCGAGTGGATCCCATTTCAGCTGGAAGCGCCCAGCCGAGCTGCCCGGCAGAGAACTGGAATATCAAGGTCCAGGCTAAAGTAAGCACAGCTTGTGTCATGGCAATCCGTTTGTGATGAGTCCACACATTAAGGATACCAATCACAATGAGAATCACAGTCATTACTGCCATACCCCAGACGTATATCGTACGACGACCGATATATGGCATAAGAGCTAGGGAAAACTTAAGTTAGTAAACGAATCTAAAACGTAGAGAGTCGCAAATTGAGACTCACCAAACCAATTGACGAAGCATCCAAAAAGAGCCAGGAAAGTGCCCCCAAGGTTAAGGGAGTAAGTTGTAGATGTACCAACACCGACATTTTCAAAGAAGTAGGAGCTATTATAGGCAAAATTGATACCGCATAAGATTTGACCAGTTAAGACCATGCAAGCGATCTCGGTTCGGCGAAGCTCCGCGCCTTTGAAACAGTCCAAATATGTTGTACCCACCTCGTGCGTCTTTTCAAAATTATCAGTATGGATAATTGCCGCGAGCGTGTTTGTGGGGTTGATATTCGCTTTGGGGTTTTGAAATCGTCGTAGTGATTTCTCTGCGTCGTCCAAGTGGCCTTTCCTGACCAGATACCAGGGGCTTTCAGGAGCAAAATACACAAGCGGAATTAAGAAACAAGGCCACACCCATTGAATCGCGAAAGGGATTCTGTAGGCCCATGGATTTATATGGTTAGACAAGCCCTTTAATATGCCAGCTGCAATGAGTTGACCGATTATAAAGCACATATTGGTGAATGAAGTCAGGTATACCCGGAGAGAAGTGGGCAGAACTTCGGACGCATAGGAGGTGGCACAAGTGGTGAGGATTCCCCAGGGAAAGCTGGGGCATATTAGTACGGATTAAAGACTTGGGACTGCCGTAGCCAGAGTATACTTACCCGCAGATAAGCTCTCCAACCGTTAAAACAATCAAATTGGATGCAAAAAAGGGAAAGAAGATACCAATTATTAAGACGATGAGGGACCCTATAACAACACGCCTCTGGCCCCATCTTGGTACCATATAGCCGTTCAGAGCGGCTCCGAAAAAGCTGCCGACACCACCGGCTTGGCCCATGCCAGCTTGCCAGGCTGCGGTTAACTGATATCCACTCGGCGTGCTTGGCGTAACTCCCACGAAACGGCCGAATCTGATTTGAAAAGCAGCTAGCAAACCAGTTAGCAGTCAGATGCCACAAGGGTGCCATGGCCGTACGATATGCGTAGAAGCTCCCAAGCAGGGCAGTGTCATAACCCTCCATGATAACGCAGGCTGCGAATGCAAGGGACCACAGAACGGCATTAGGATAGGCTTTAAGTGCTGCCCTTGGGCCTAACTCTTTCTCATCGGCAAAGCCGATTTGCGCCTCGGCGATCAAAGCCTTTTGGCTGCGTTTCTCGTCCTGCGGCGGTCCATCGATATTTACGGTGTCCGCACCGTAACTGATGGTGGTAAGTTCGTTTTTCTTCGTGCCTCTCATGATGTAGGAGTCTGGGTAGCACAATCTTGCAACCCCGAATAGAAACGTATGATTTGGAAAGCTCTATTTATAGGCGTTACAAAGCTTTACTGCCAAGGACTACAGACATAAAATCTGGAGTTATCCCAGAGAAGGAGGATCTCGTGAGGGGGTTCTTATAGCTCTATAGTGGATAGAAGAATTCAGTTAAAATGACATTGAAGGCGGGGTAAACTGGTTCTCACTGTGATTCTTGAGGCGTGGTGGATCACAACGGAAACAGTGAGAGCTCGGGCCTCATGTGCGGCGTAATTCCCCTCATTCCTGTGTTGTATGGCTTGAGCTGCCGAAGCCAACAGCTCTGTCCATATTTTGCAGATCGCGGCCAATTGACACGAACACAGGCGCGCGGAGACATTTCTTACGGGTGGTTTCTCGGCGCAATCCCCTTGTAACTTGAAGAATCCATGGTCTACATGCTCTTGTACCAGTTTGTTACATGTCAAGTTGTAGGATGTCCGTACGGATTAGTACTAAGGGAGCCAATTGAGATGATTGATTAAAGAACTTTTCGAGAGATCGCTGCTGAGAGGGGTCTGTCGAACTGAGAGGGTGGTCAAATACTGTACCGCTAGCACCCCTCGGGACATGATTATCAGCATGAACTCGATCCCCTGCTGGTTAACTAGTTAACTAGGTATTTATACGGTAATCAGACAATTAATCTTTGTTCTTCAATCCTGTCAATTGGTTCCCTCAGTACTGGGCGTACGGGTATCCTTCGATCCGACAGATCAGTTGACCGAGTCCTAGGATAACACCATATGTTACGGTGTATTACTTCTGGTATTGGTCTTATTGTCCATATAAAAACAAACGAATTGCGGGAGCATGCTGAATAATCCTGACTTTGTAATGTAACTAGTTCCCCCCACGAACTCGTACAGCATGTACTGTACTGTACATTAAACCTGCAGAACGGAAATATCCATCTCGTCCAACGATCCTTCACTCGCTAGTCCTGCATTCCTGCAATATGTGACACAGCAGCGCAAGTAACGGCGGCTGCAAGTTTCAGATTATCGATCGTAGCGCGTTGCCACCACTTATTAAATCAGTGACACAGATACAGTCACCCCAAAACACCATACTAAATGCGTGATTTCGCAACTTTATATTTCAAAACTCAACACTGATTATCATAGTCTTGGGATACCTTAGTGCTTAATATATCATATTAGATATTTATATCAGGTCGAGTAATATTTGAAGCCATGACAATGTAGGGATAGATGTCGTCAAAGCAAGGTCGAATTATACTGGTATGAATTAGGAAGAAGTCTAACCACCGGAATCATCAGATAAAAGTGATTGACTAAAGAAGTAATCTCCAAGTGCACAGAAAGAAAAAGGGCCGGGTTGAGCCGTCCCCATGTGGTGTAACTGAGTATTCGGAGTACCGTACCGAAGTCGAGGTGTTACAGTACCCACATTTACATACAAATACGCAGGCAATCTGGTATTCCACGTAACAAATCCCTTGTCACTGAAATTTGTGTCTCCACTTTTCCACGACAGATGTCCACGTCGCCCGATCGGGGCGTCTTTTTGGTAATAGCGGCATTTAATCAATTTCAGAATAAATTAATTACGCTGTATATCCCAAACACTATGAAATCTTATGCTGCTAAAAGTTAAGTAGAATTCTCTTCTCGTTGTTGATATATTGTGACATGAAATAACGCATTTAGTATGGTGTTTTGGGATGGCCAGGGTAGACGGGAACTACGTTAGCGGTAATCTACCCCCAATAGAGTCTGTCATCAGACCATAAAGGTATTAAAATGCCAGGGGCCAACATTGTTTGGAAGATAATGCGGGGTTTTCCTAGCGTTTCCCTTCCAAATTCATCCTCGCACAGCCATTGTGTTTCGGGCAGATTTTCGGCACAATCAAAATCCTGCTTACTGAACAGGACATATGATTCCCTTGCGCACCTCATCAATGCGAAGAGGGTTAGTCGAGTTAATTTTCGTAATAAAGATATCCCGATAGTGACGTGACATTCAGACGGTGTAATGGAGAGAGCCAATTTTCGTTGAAAGCACTGTCTCATCGAGCAGCGGAAGGTGGTTAGGAAGTCAGTATTAGTTTCCTTTCGAAAAGATGCTTGAAAAGAACTTGCCCGCGGACTGTACAGATATCACGGCATCGTGGCAAAACGGAAGATGAATCTAAGCGACTCATCCTCATTTTACCTTTCATTCGTTCTCACAAAAACTTTGTATTGATCGTCTTCAATCCATTAGGAACGTAGATGCAAGAGTGAATGTCGGGAAATCGTGAGCCGGTCCGCACTATCAATAGGCCGAATTTACCGATCATGGAGGTCTTTCTGCAGTGACTGAGGAACCGAGAATTCGACCGGAATGGGCCAAGTCAACCAACCCCTGTGAAAAACATTAGCACGTTAGCCACCTGGACCTTGCATTTACCACGCATAGGTACACACGAGCAGGACAATTATCTCTTGGCAAAAATGGATTCTTGAAATCTCTCATAACCAGGGGCTATATGGCCTTAAGGAGTTCAACTTGCATCTAACTCCAAGCGCCATCACCTGATACCAGTTTCGACCGCTATGTCAGCCTGACGAGTGGTCTTTTTTAGCCTAAGTGTATAATCTAGAATGGATCAACACACCTTCTTTCCGGCCTTATTTTCCGCGGTTCTGAACCCAAGCCATCGCCTGTACAATTCCTTTCCCGTATGTGCTGTGAACATGTAGGAGAGTCAGTACATAATGTGATCGTACAAATGATGAAAGTTCCAAATACTTCCTGGTCCTCCATCGATACTATCTGGGGACCCATGATTGTGGATCCGCGCAAGCCCTTGGGGTGTCCACTGGCCATCTGCGTAAATCAAGTGCGGGAAGTGGACGGCTTTCAGTCCATGGTTTAGTGACTATAAAAAACCTGTCATTTCAGACGCGAGGCCTAGTCCGCGTTTTGCCTGGGCCTTGTGGATGAGATCGAGTAGGCGCCACGAGTGCCTGCCTATCGTTATGACTCTAGCGCGATGCGGAGTTTCTAGGCCGTGTTTGAAATTCTAAATCTTGCCCGGAAATTTCTATATCGTATCCTTGGGGTTGAATATAGGGAGAAAAGTGATGAGGTCTACCTCTTCTCTAACGCCCTAGTTGAAGTTGTTATCTTCTGGGGAAGGGTTCGGTGGCTCTGGGCCTATAGGTTTAATTCATGTGTCATCCTCCATTTTCTGCTGTGGTATGCAGGGTAAGGGTTGTAGATGAAGGGGTCGGATGTGGACTTCAAGGGCATCTGAGCTGGTTAGGTCTAGGAGGCTACCCAGGTAGAAGTTTTCATCTCTGAATAAAACAAAAGTCAGCGTAACTCAAAAGAAGACCGGGGATGTGATTCTGATGTTACAGACCTCCTATCATGCAGAAAGCCCATCTCATCGGCTCCCTCATCCTGTACTGTACCCTCAACAATAGAGTAATGGCCCACTTTCTCCCAATATTGACCTGGCTGAAGGACTGTTGGGTAGCGAGACGGCTCCATCCATCGCCATACTTTGTTTTCTCTCATATTCTAGGGAATTCCATATCTGAATCGGCCTCGTACAAATCCGGTTCTTTCCTGCATCTAGGTCTCCATATAGTCTATCAAAGATGTTGTTGACCAAATTAGAGCAGGCAATGGCTTGGAGTTGGATTATCGTAGACAGTTCATTACCTAGTTGGCCCTCTAAATATTGAAGTCAGTAGTTTGCGAAACGAAAAAGATTTTCCCTTATATATTCATAGAAATCGATACAACAGCGCAAGATTTTGCGGGTTAAGGTATTCCGGGTTTCTCAGCGACCCGGTTAGGTGGATTAAATCATCTCCTTCGGCGTTGAACAATTCAAACCAATCCATGCCGGTGGGAGCATCTTCAATGTTGCTCAACGAAGCTATAATTTCGGTGGCCTGGTTGGCATTATCAGCCGTGTTCGAATCGAGGGCCTGGTATGTACTGTCACAAGGTATATCAAATGAAAGACACTTGGGCATTTGGTCCTCTTTTGCGAGATGACTTGGTAGAGGGGAAGCTGGAGTTCCTGCATTATCTGGCCGCAAGTTTTGAGCCGTTTGATCGTCCAGGGATTGAAAGAATAAATCTAAGACCCAATTCTTTCTTGAGATCCCAGGGGTTTTGTAGCTCTTTCAGTCCCAGAAGACACAGTTTCGCTCGGTGCTCATGAAGCTTTCGAGCCGTATGGGGTCACTCGTCCGAATTGGATAGTATGAATGCACAATGCAGAAAACATATGCGTTATGCTACGTAAGAGTCAGACCTATCATTTTAGACCTGTTCTGGGTTGTGAGACTCTCAAGTGAACCAATCCATGCTGGACCAGGTCTTCTGATAATAAATCCTCAAGTATGCGTGTACTCCATGTGGCTGCGTCCAAGGCCATATTCCCTTTCGTATTTGGCGTTCCACTGGGTTGTTGTAAGTATAACGGCCGGTATATTAGAACAAAGATATCACTGAGCCAGTATTAGTCTATGATAATGCTCAAATTGCTGAGGTTGTGGTCAAAAGGGATGCAGCTTATTTATAAGCCATATGCAGCATTCCAGCAAGGAACCTCACGGGTCTATTCGGAGCTAGCTGAAAATTCATCTCCGACGGTAGACTTTTCTCCCAATCGACTAATTGCTGATGGAGTAATGGACACGAGAAGTTATTCAGTTTTGATTGCCCGGGCAGATATTAACTTGTGACAACCTCTCCTACTGCATTACTGGAGATCAGGATATCCGGCGGTCAAAAATTAATCGATCACTGTATGCTTACACATTTTTGCAAGTTGGGCCATCAGAATCACGTAAGAGACGTGGGCCGCAGGTGGCTATGGAAAGAATTCCGAAGGCGCAAGACAGTGGGCCTCATCAAAATCTGATGGCTGGAACTCTATAACTTCACAATCTTCGTTGCGTATTCTGGATGGCAATCCCAAAGCAGCCGAAGTCTGTTAATCATGAACCTTTTCCAAGTTAGGAAAAAAAAAACGGAAGAACATTCAAAAGTGGCATACGTATAAAGCCCACCAAATCCTTTTCCAAATTTTCTGATCGCGACCACCCAGAAACAATAGTTTGGACCTACATTATTAGCCTTATTCATCACAGACCAATGAAGAGACAACAAGGCACAACAAGGCACAAGAGGGCACAAGAGGGCACAAGAGGGCATAAAAGACAAACATACATGACGTGCATTCGCTTCTTTTGAGCGAGATCAGTCGCTGCTCCAAGCCAAAATCGAACATCTCGCTCCTCAGTTGCGGCTCCACGCCAGAAACTCAGTAAAAATAACGACGGTAGCAGAGCTATGGTGTCCGCTTCCCATCCGATGTCATAAATATCCTTCGCACGTTGATAGAAAGTATTTTTCGCTTGATATCGATCGTGGAAGCCCGTTGTAGCAAATGAGGTGTCAGATCATAGGCTGACGCCGATAAAAAGCATAGCCTGGAGCAACCAGGGTGCAATTCTCTTTTCTCGATAGTCATTTTGCACCTGTGCACGTTCTAGAATTGGGAAGCAAGAATGAAACCACTCAAAGTATGCATGTCAAAGCGCTTGACTTTCCTAGGAACATGGTTTTATGGAACGAATGACCAGAAGTTGTCGACCCAATCGAAGGCTCATAATTAGAACTAGAATCATATAAAGGTTCTTGATGAATTTGCGGTACTCCTGCGTCCTCATAATGATCGGTATCACTGGAGTCCCCACAGCTTTTTTGGATCGGCGTAGGTATCTGGAAAGTTAGCTAGGTGCACGGTTAGTCAGGATAAAAATGTATACTTGCTTTCCACGTCGTGACGGGCCTATCTCGCAAGACAGATTCCAGGCTACACAATTCCGGCATGGCTGTTTCTCCAGCACATTGCAGCGCACGCGGCGGGTGTTGCAAGATAAACAGGCCCTTTTCGCGCGCATGCGAGGCAAACCTAAATTTTCTCTCGCCATTTTAGCGCTGAAATCTGACGTTGCAGAAACAGCGTCACACTTCAATCACCTTTCCTGGTACTGCTCATTTATATTGTTTCTCCCAGTAGTTTTAACGAGCGGGGTATTTCGGTTTCTACGGTAATATACTGACCACCGCAAGAGTCCTGATTGTGCAGATCAAGGGTGCTTAAGCCTCGGTCGCAGACCGTCTGATTCTCGTTGGCTGTGACGGAATCGGGCCAGCTCATTTGGTGACGATATCCGTCCTCTCTCGATTCAACCAACGAAACCTTCACGAGCCAAGAGGCCGAAATGCCCAATACGTAAATCACGTCCCTGCGTAAATTTAAACCATACCCCAAGTGGTTTAATCAGCGCTAAGTTTAAAGTCTTTGGCAACTGACGCCAGTGACCGAAGTGTTGTATCTCCGATCGGTTCAATCGTCGAACATTCCAGGGAATAACCAGCTTGATCACTTGGACCTCCATCATCAATATACAAACTTGGGGGAAAGCTGATCGCGTGAAAGATGCCAATAAGCTCCGCCACGCGAACCGGGCAAATCGTCTTTCACAGTTCTTATGATGGCTTGGCTTGTTAACTCATATAGTGTTTGATTCTATGTCTTTTCGAGCCCATAACATACCAATATCTTATTCAACCATTCAAAGGCTCAAGTGCATATGGACCCCAACGAGCCCAAAATGCCCCGCTCAATGGCTTCCGTCGTCCGACCCAGTGCTTGCGAGACTACACAGGCCCCATCGCTTCACTCGACCCTGCTGGAGGAAATGATAGGAAATGTGTGTATCAGGGGCATAGCAATTTGATTATGGATGGCTTTTTTAAGCACCATATTTGTTTTCTCCCAGGAGTCGACCGGATTTAATCCACCATTTTCTAACGGGGAAACTCTCGGTCAACAGATCAACAGACTCATCAGCCGGATCAACGGTTGAATGCCTAAACTGCGCTAAGACAAAGTCCGAGATATTTGCCGATGCTCCCTGGTCCTCCGTAGAAGGAAACCGTAGATATTGTATTCATGTGTCAACTATGATCTGCCCGCAGACGCCCCGCCATAAATTACCCGCTTGGCCACTTCTACAGAGACACGGACCTCCGCAACCTAGGGATCTTGGGCGTAGGTAACGCGAGCGGTTGGACCGAGAATTCTACCGAATGGAACGTCGCAACGCAGGTGTGACGGAAAACATGTATAAACAGTTCAACCCGAGACATTACAGTCTGGAACCTACAATCACAAGGATTCGCTTTGTGTCACCATGATTAGTCCTATTCTAGTTGGCATCACTTGCATTTTCGCACAAGTTGCGGCCCAGTGGACTTGCGGCGGGTCCAGCTATACTCCAGGTTCGGTCAACTTCACACAGACGTGCTACGACGCTGTGCAGAAATGCATCAACCAATTCGCTGTGAATGCCAGCCTGGTAGATTGCCAAGATTCGGCAGGCAACCTCTACATGCAGCAACAGGCATCTGGGGGCAGCAACAGCGACTATACGAGTGCCTTTGAAGACATTCTTGAGTTTTGTCTCCTTGACGGATGGACGACGGGCACCTGGGATGATGGGAGTGATGGGCAATGGTACTGGATGGCAGCCGAGGCTAGGTGCTACTCAGCAAGCGGAATCATTGGGACGACTGGCCCTGGATTCTGTATTCAAGACCGGACGGACACGGTTCTCAATGGCTGTTACCCTCAGCCTGAAGCCAACTCTGGCGCACTGCAAGTTCCGCGTACGACGAAGACTCCCAACGGCTTTACTTCATCCGGCCGCGGATGGAACTCGTGGGGAATCCAAGCGCTCTCTAGTCCCACGTCAGTCATACCAGACTGGACAGGCCTGAATCAAAAGAGTGTTCTTGACCAGTGCAGCGTGCTCGCTGGGTCTAATTTTCGCGCAATGGGCTACGACCTTTGCAGCTTGGATGCAGGATGGTCTACGAATGACGTCGATGAGCACGGGCGCATTCAATACAACGATGAACTATTCGACCTACCACAGCTCGCGCAGCAGCTTCATGGGATGGGACTGAAGCTGGGTGTGTACGTGATCCCTGGAGTCCCCTGTGGTGCGGCTAACCACACAATCAAGGGCACGAATATTCATATCAGGGAGGTGCTAAATGGTAATAATGACGGGCTTGATTACTGCGACTGGGACTTTTCAAAGGATGGGGTGCAGCAGTGGCACGACTCCTTGATCGAACTCTGGACATCCTGGGGCGTGGACATGATCAAGCTTGACTTCGTCACACCGGGGAGCCCGTGGAATGGGGCGAACCTGATGTGCAACACCAGTCCAGTAGCTGAGGCCTACCATAAGGCGATCCGAAATTCTGGTGCCCAAGTCCGGCTGGACCTCTCGTGGAAGCTGTGTCGCAACGAGACATATTTGCCTGTATGGAGCTCCCTTGCGGAGTCAATGCGGACGGATCAGGATATCAACAATTACGGAACCAATACCTTCCTTGCCTGGCAAGTGGTCCAACGCGCAATTGACAACTACCGCCAGTACATCTCGCTGCAGAAGCAGCGAAATGTTCCTATCACAATCCACCCAGATATGGACAATCTGTTTGCATGCAACCCGCAGAACCTGACGGGTGTGAGTGATAAGGAGCGTGTCACCGTCATGAACCATTGGCTTGGCGCAGGCGCCAATCTGGTTCTTGGGTGTGATCTACGCCACATCGATGAATTGGGCATGAAACTGCTCACATCCACTCAAAGCGTAGCATTCGCCAACTTTGCCGCCCAAAATCCGATGCAACCGCGGAACCCGGGGACAGGTAACAATCTGGCGCAGCAACTGCAAGCTTGGATAGGCGGTCCAGATGAGACGGACAAGGCCTATATTTTACTCGTCAATTACGGACCAGATCAGGGCAGTGGAGGTTTCGGTACGTCGCTGGAGGGTGTGCAGAAGGTGTCCATCTCACTGAGTGATCTGGGTATCGCCGGAAGAAAATGGAAGTTTACGGATGCCTGGAACGGTAACTCAAGCACGGTGTCAGCTTCATACATCGCATATCTAGATGAGGGAGAGTCTCAGCTGTTATACCTGGAGGGTTAGCGGAGGTTATCTTCTGAAGTTGAGTCTACAAATGTATTGTGGCGAGCTGGAGGGATAGCAAGGCAACTGGTCAATGAGTGTTTGGGTGTTTGATGGAGCTTGCCAGATGGGGGTTTCGGAACGTGCATAAAAAGGGCGATCTCCCAGCAGATGGAACTTCTTCTTCTTTTCTTCTCTCTAGATTTAGTTGGTTCGTTGAATGCTACCATGTTGATTCGATATCCTCATGCCTGAGTGTAACATGTATGATCTATCTACAGATTCACCTGAGAAGTTGTACACAGTGACAAATTTTGCAAACTTTGCGTACTTTGATTTCGACTTAAAAAATACAAATAACAAAGAATATTTGGGACACATAATGTACATGGGACGGCCAAAGAAGGTACTGAAAATCAAAGAGCAAGTTGATCGTTTTAGTTGTGCTATTGCATGAGTTGACTGTGCTGTTGACAAACTCGTCAATCGTCAGCCCCCCAGCTCCATCGTCTATCAAGAAAGAGGGAACGTGTCGGAACAATACCAGCTCAAATTCTGACATGGGTTATTTTTAATGTTTGTGAGTGAATAAGCGGTGCAATTCTCGGCATGATTCCTCAGGTGCCTCCGTGCCCCCGCTCGCCTTCCGTCGACCAAATTGACAATGAGGAATATAATAGGATACAGCATCCCACTAATATGCCCTCATAATCCGTTATTTCATTTAACCATGGGCTCTCATTATGACTCAGATCTTTCAATCGTTTTCGAACCTGCGCTAGGCGAGACGGTTGCCATCGACACTAAGAGTTCGTCTCTAGTCCTCTCCGCCGCCAGCAACAAATTCACTAGACCTCACCGCCCAGGTTAGCCAGGCTCTTTGTAAATTTGACAGAAGTTATTTATTAAGCCTCTCCGACGGGGTTGAGCTGCACCAGGCCTTCGTGAATCTGTCTTTGTTCTCTTGTGACGCCCCGACAGAGATTTCCATATTTAAATATCCGCTACCTCTCCACCTTCAAGGCCCCTGGAATGATGGCGAGGCCAATGTTATGAACTGGAGTTGCGACTATCATCGGATATTAACACCCAGATGAACTATTTCGTACAGATTCTATGAGCCTGAGCGACTGCCAGTCGCCTTTGATGAAATTCATTGTCGATCTTCCAGTCACGGGAGAGTCGACGGCATCTCAGTTTTACGGGTGCCTTGGGTGGGTAGCACATGTCTTCACGAATGCCTGTAGCTTCACGCATCCCGGTTGGGAAATTTCCTGGGGGTTAAATGTTACTGGAGGGCTGTGGCTACCCACACTCATGATCGAGTATTGCAAGTACGCGCTTGATCTAGAATTCCTCGAGCGACATGCCTACCCGGTTTTGAAGCAGGCTGCTATCTTCTTCTAGATTACATGGTCTATGACCCGTGGACGGGATATCTCGTCACCGGCCCTTCAGTATCAGCAGCAAATCGCTTTTTCCTGTGCTCGGGCCATTGGGATGAACAGCATCCTCTTTCCCTTGGACCAACTATTGATATCATACTCGTTAGGGACTTGTTCCGCTTCTGCATTACTACTGCCCAAGAACTGAGTGTTGACTCCGCGTTCACAGAGACACTGCGAGTTGCACTGAACCGGCTGCCGCCATTGCAAATAGGCCAAAAGGACCAACTAGAGTGGCTTGAAGACTATGAAGCACAACCTCAGCACCGCCATTTGTCGCACACCCTTGCCCTCTGCCGCTCCAATCGGATCAGCGCGCAGCTCAACCCGGTTCTTGCGGCCGCCACAAGGACCAATCTGACAAATCGCCAATCACGAGCTGATATGGAGGACGTCGAATTCACAACGGCGCTTCTAGGGTTTAACTTTGCCCGGTTGAACGACGGGCAGTCTGCACTCTGGCAGCTGCGCCACCTGATCAGCGATCTCTCGTTTGATAATCTTTTGACATACTCTAAGTCTGGTCTCACGGGCGCGAATAAGAACATCTTCGTCTTTGACGGAAACATGGGTGGCACAGCTCTCATTACTGAGATGTTGATGCGGAGGAGCAGCATCAGTGAGATCGAACTGCTGCCGGCACTGCCCACCGCGTGGTACGACGGCTCTGTCCAAAGCTTGCGAGCGAGAGGGAACGTGACTGTTAGCCTAGAGTGGAAGGAGGGGAAGCTGGTTTATGTAAATCTCAGCGCACTATCGCCGGTGGGAGTGGTAGTACATTATGGCATTCATGGGAGGGAGATCAACTTCGCAACGAACACAACGGTCAGGTTGGATGGGTGATTGGCTGTACTGAAAGAATGAATCAATGCCATAGTAACTACACGTCTGCTGCAGAAACTGCTCATGGCAAAATTTCAACAGTAGTCAAAACGTATTTGTCTATGGCAACCTACCATTAAGATTTGCCAAAACTCCTTCCGGCAGTTTATTCACCTAGAATTACGCTAGCTACTTACGTATTTTGCTGCTATGTCAGCTCTAAGCCGTCACATGTTTGATGATCTTTGTTTGTCTCTATTGGCCAGTCAATCCAAAGCAAGATGGTCATTGCCGCGGCGATCAGGTGCTACCAAAAACTTTCATAAGCGGCGGTTACGTCGATTATCTTGAGAAATCCAAGGGAATTATCTCTGAAATTCGGCAGGGCTGTTAAATTCTCTGTTCAGTTTCTATCAGTAAGACAGATATTGGCAATTTTCATTATCGAATGGTGAAAAAGAACAAATGATGTATTATTGGGGAGGTCGCCAGGGTAAGGTCGTTTTCACGAGTTGTATCTGAGGTCATAGCTTTGACCAAAACCTACATCATATTGAAGAAATGACGTACAAAACAGTGAAATTTTTAATAATCAAAGAATCCCACAGCTCATCAAGGGCCTCTACTCATGAGATAAATATATAAGGCACAGATTACGGAATTTGATGATGGACAGAGAATTGGAACTGCGGGAGAGGTCATGATCCACTCGGACATATCTAAATTAGACATATGCAGTTAAATTGGGTATTGATAGGTCCATTTGCCTATGGCTTCTGTTGAGATGGGATAGGATCTTGAGCGAACAGCGCAAGCCCGCAGAAAAGAATGATGTTGAAGATGGTGTGCTTTACACGCTTCCCAAATGTTCGCTTTACCATACAAAGCTAGCGTGTCTCAGGGAGGACGGAGAGCAAGAGAAGTCACACGATATATATCAAGGAAGCTCCAGCGGTAGTGAAGACTGCTGAAACCTCAACAGCTTCCAATCCCAAATCAACTGATCAAAATTCGGCGAAATTTTCGGTCCAATTCTCGGGCCAGCCAGCCACCCTGAGATACACTAAATCCACTAGCTGTATTTAAAGCAACAAAATCAAACTCAAAATGCACACCCCAAAAATGATTTACCCTATGTTCCGTCAGGTAAGGTAAGTGTCACCATCGGGATCCTTCACTATTTCGAACAAAGATTAACTCTGTTAATGGCGAGGTTAGTCCTAGAATTGCACAGAAGGCCCCCCTTGGTGAGGCCAATAAGACGGGTGCAAAATTTATGCCGAGGATACTGTCCTAGGTTTATGTGATAGGGGATATTTGGTACCCATCGCGGCCATAGCCAACATCTGGAGGCCACAAAGCCACCTCCGATGGCCAGCCTTGAAAGCTTCAGAATCCAACTACCGCCCCGACCAATGACGTACAGAGAAATGGCCAGAACGAGGCCTTTGGGGCGGATATTATTTTACCTACACAGCTATATACCTGAAGAATTCAGAGGTGCGATGCTGGAGAGAATAAGATGAGCTCTCTGGACTGACAAGGCCCCGAAATACACCGACAAAGCCGAACTGTCGAAGCTTGTCATCTTATTTGTATATATCTACCCCCACGCCTACCAGGAATCATCAAATCCAATGCTCCTGCGGTAATTTTCCCAGGCTCAGCGTGGGGCGATGCCGTTTAAACAGCTACGGTACCGGGATAATCGGAGAGATATTTGCTACGATTGCGCGCGATACGAGCATTTCGTAACCCGACTCAACTATTTCTCCGGCGCTAAATTGAACAGAGATATAGCCGATATACAATTTAGAACAAGTTTATTGGCGGACTCTTGTCTAGTGATTCAACAACAGTCCCGCTGTTGAGTGTTTGAAGAACATGCCCTCTCGAAATTCCAGCGAGCCGATTTTCGCAAAACCAGTTGTCGGGATGAACATTTTCCTGGGTATTTAAGGGATTGCCCCCTCCAACAACTCCGACGAACAAGTTCGACAATCTTTCCATTACGGCCCAGACCGCCAACAATAACTCACCAGAGCCCCAAAATGAGGTACGGAAACCTCAACGACGAGGGACTGATTCCTCCATCGGCTTTCACCGGATCGAGTCTTCCCATAGATAATGTGAGAATCGAAGAGTTTGAAGTGTTTGGTAGGGTCAATCTCCTACTATTCTCTCCGTGGAGATAAAGATTAACCCTAGATGTAGACCTGCGATTTCCGACCAGTCTCGATGCATCAGGGTCCGATGCCATGAATCCGGCAGGAGATTACAGTGCTGCCCACATCCAGCTTAAAACCAATACGGACCTCACAGGTCACGGTATATGCTTTACGATCGGACGAGGTAACGACCTCTGCGTTGCTGCCGCTGGTCAGATTGCAGAACGACTTGTCGGCAAGACACTAGGTGATCTGACCAAGAACATGGGTGAAACATGGCGTCATCTTGTGGCTGATTCTCAGCTTCGATGGGTAGGCCCCGAGAAAGGAGTCATACATCTCGGACTGAGCGCCTGTGTCAACGCGCTTTGGGACCTTTGGGGCCGGTATCTTAATAAGCCGATCTGGAAACTAGTTTCTGATATGACCCCGGAAGAGCTCGTCGCCTGCGTTGATTTCAGATATACTCTCGACGCTATTACCCCGGATGAAGCGATAAAGATATTAAAGGAACAAGAGAAGACGAAGGCAGCTAGGTTCGAGGACGCACAGAAGAGCGAGGCCGTCCCGGCGTACTCGACCCAAGCTGGCTGGCTTGGTTTCAGTGATGAACGGATGATAGAACTGATCAGCTCAAACCTTGCCGAGGGAATTGATAAATTCAAACTTAAAGTTGGTGGTAACCTACAGGACGATATTCGCCGGGTCAAGATTGCACGAGACACGATTGGCTACGATCGTACGATGATGCTTGATGCCAACCAGGTATGGAGCGTACCAGATGCTATTGACTATATGAAAAAGCTGGTTCAATTTAAACCTTTGTGAGTCATAAAACTGTTATTCAGCGGAATACAGGGACAAAAGTTAATATTATGATAGATTTTCATCGAGGAACCGACCTCTCCTGATGACATTCTTGGGCATGCGACCATTCGCAAAGCGCTCGTACCCTATGGTGTCGGTGTAGCAACCGGCGAGCACTGTCAAAACCGTGTCATCTTCAAGCAGTTATTGCAAGCTGGCTCTATAGACTACTGCCAGATAGATGCATGCAGACTCGGAGGCGTCAATGAGGTTTTATCTGTGCTGCTGATGGCGAAAAAGTACGCTTTCTCCGTTGGACTTTGACAAGAAATTATCTTACAGGTTAACAGATTTAATGTGCCAATCGTGCCACATAGTGGAGGCATTGGCCTCAACGAATATACGCAACATCTTGCCCTTCTCAACTACATTTGTATATCGGGCGAGAAGAGTCTTCTTGAACACATTAACTCTTTCAGCGAAGTTTTGAAGTACCCTGTACAAACAGAGAATGGATTCTTCGTTACCCCCTGGGAGGCAGGTTACAGTGTGGAATACAAGGCTGAAGCAATTGCAACCTATGAGTATCCAAACGGGTGCTTCTGGCAAAGCGAGCAAGGTCTTGCTATTCGAAATGGTCCGAAACTGTAAGCCACGAACTTCTCTTGAGGGTCACCATTGCGTATGGATATAATAGTTCCATCATGTGTTTGAAATTTTGAGCTTCTTATTCGTATTGCTCTGTGAATAAGAAACAGGAGCTACTAGTACCAACGGTCATATAGAAGGGAGGAGCGAAAGATACGGTTCGTCATCATCTAGCCAGTTGTATAGACTCCCATCTCTATAGGCAGAAGAGTCACGGATAGTGACGAGTTGGTCATAGTTCGAAAACACATCTTTGGAGCTGATGGATCAATCAATCAATCAATCAACACTCTATTAACCTGATGCAGCCTAACTAGTGGCGTAATGGCTATGCAGGCGCTTCCTCCGGCGGAAGCAAGCAACCCACAAATATGGTAAAAGTGAACACTTGGAGGGCTGTGTGATAAATCCTGGCCTCTTTTCTGTGTTTCTGGGACCCAATAGGCCTGTTCCTCGCGACGATGTGCCCTGATTCTTGAAAGAGCATTGAGTTCCTGGGACAAATGCCGACTTTAGCAACTGTTAAAAAGGGTCTAATAATCTTGATTTCCTGGGTTCCGCTTTCTAGAATGGTCCAAGACCATTTAAGCCCCATACAATACCAGCAAACCGCCCATCACGCGCGTCGGGCTTAGTGAGAAAAATGGGAATCCGCCTGTTATTACCCTTTGTAAACAGTGCGTAGGTCATACTGTGTGGAGCCAAGAAGTTTCCCAGGTGAGCTATGCCTGAAAACCATGAGCAATTTCCTTATCCCAGAGCAAAATCGGTTGTGCGACCACAGTTCTGCAGGCTCAGTTCGGTTACCAGTAAGTGCGGTGCCAAGGTGCATACTGGTCGGAGGTTTTGCAAGCATGTTGACTAAATGTTGAGCGGGCATTTGCTGCTGTGTGAGGTTTATCACGCTCTAATGCATTATTCCACTTGATTATGACTCTCTTTTATTTTTTTCAATTTCTTATCTGTATCTAGGGTTACGAGTTGCATATAAAATTACCCAAATAAGTGTCAAGCTTATCATCCGCGTGTAATATCGTAATCAATAATGACTGCAAGCCTCACAGGACCGGGAGCAAGCTTCCCACCAATACCGCCAATGTCAGCAACAGTACTTGTGTAGGCGTTGTAAACGACGGATGCTGCCGGACCAATAACAGAGCAGATATGAGTGAGAACCCAGGGCTTATCTTTGGGCCCTCTAACAGGTTCTCATTTAGCCACGGACCCAACCTCTCAACTTCATCTCCGTACTCCACCATTATAAGTGGTGGGTAATCGTGGACCTCCTTAGATGTAACCAAAATACAATGTCTCTTGTAAAGCTCTTCATGGTCAATGCTCGCTCCTTCTAGCAGCGGCTTGAAGTTTGGATCCTGTAGTGAGAACCTTGGTTCAGACAGCGATCGAACTCGTCTTGAATGCTCGAGCAGAGGCATTAGAGTACGGATTTTGAGAAGAAGGAATACGCTGTCATCGGTATTACGATCCCTAGTTCATGGTCAGCATAGGGTTTCTGTGACGATTTGTCCAGGCACTAGTAAATTTGTATTCTGGTAATGTGTACAAGTTAGTGATAGAATGGGACGAGAGGCGTTAAGAATCCTTGGAGAAACGTGATATCTCAGGATGGATTAGTTCTGAACGTTTGCTTTCTTGGCCGCCTTGACATGCGCTATGGATGGGATGCCTTTGGACACTCGTGTTTCGGAAATTTCGATAACATAGCCTGTGCAAAATCACAATGCAAGCGGCAAGGATGCTTGCTCCTAGAATACTGCCAAAAATTGCCCCAAGGCTTTGCTTCGAGGGCTTTCGCGATATCCCGCTCCCATCCAACGCAGTACTATTGGTGGGGCTCGAGAAAACAATATCTGCTGTTGTTGAAGATGAAAGGGGGCTGATATCAACACGTGTCGTAGATGATTGCGGGCCATAGGCTCCCTGTGTTGTTTCCCCTGCGAGGTATTCTGATTTTCCATCTGCGTATGAGAGAAGTGGCCAAGTTGCATACGGCCCTCGTTATCCGTGCAGATGAGGGAAGCCTGAGTAATTTCAGTTTGTTCCAAGTCGTCATTACTGCCGTCACTCGGAGACTTGCTGCTTCCTGTAGTTATCGATGCAAAACGCTCGATACTAAGGTCGACTTGCTTAGAAGTGGTTGTTAAAGCAGTAAGACTGTCATATAGAGAATCTAGGGATTCTTGATTGCTGGTGGACCTTGAATATATATTGACTATTATTAGGCTTTGAGTCGGAGAATCGGTGGAAGGCGCTGCGCCAAGAGGACTTGGATCTGAGTGGCTTGTCTCAGGAGATGGCTGGTTTCGGGTGACGTTGGACTCTGTTGTGCTTGGCAGACTTTCCGCTGATGCCGTTGGTGGAGTTATGTTGGACCCATTATCCAAAGCTCCAAGGAGCGTTTGTTCTACAATACAACATGAGTTGGCTACCTGGGCAGGTTCCATCGGTGTATTTGACTAATCAACCCGTTCGGGTGGCAATGAAAATTCCGTCCCGATCTAAGCCGCTGTAATGTAAAGCCGAACGCGGATTTCACTATTATCATCGTACCCGATTCTCCGTCCCTATGAACGGGGACACTAATTAATAATAAATCCCCCCTAACTATGCTATAAAAGCCCATCATTTCCTAGTTGAACGAATTATCCCTACCTAGGTACCCCTAACTACCATTACGTCATGTCTGCTCCCTTAATTTTCATAACCGGCGGTACAGGTTTTATTGGTAGCGCCACGGCTGTCGAAGCTCTCAAGACCGGATATCGACTTCGAATTGGCACCCGCAAGAAATCTCTTAAGCTCGAAGCGATACTATCAGACTATGCCGAACAACTGGAATTCGTCACCATCCCAGATCTCACCGAGGAGGCTGCTTTTAGAGGCAAGCTTGACGGGGTGGACTATATCCTCCATTTAGCATCACCTCTTGCTCGCGGCACAGAAAAGGAAGCTTTCTTTGGCCCCGCGGTGAAAGGAACCTTGGCTGTTCTCAAAGAGGCAGCTAAGGTACCAAGCATAAAGAAGGTTGTGGTAACGTCATCTATCGCATCCTTGATTCCTCTTGTTGGGTTGCCCAGTGGCGGTGTCGTCAAAGGTAGATTCAATGCACATGGTGGCTGAATGATACTGTTGTGAAGTTTGGCAATATGCTAACATCGGCCTCAAGAGGTTAATGACTGGGATCTCACTGTTGACCCAACAGCAGATTTTGTCGATCCTCATAATCTTGCCGCAACACCGATGACTTTGTACCGAGCGTCCAAATTACTTGCAAACAACGCGACATGGAACTTCTGGAAGACAGAAAAGCCGCAGTACTCGCTAGTGACCCTTCATCCGTCGTTTGTCTTCGGGCACAATCTTGTACAAAGCTCCGCCGAGGAAGTCCAAGAAGGGTCTAATGGCATTCTCTGGGGTAGCGTGATGGGAGGTGTTTCAATTGCGAGCATCACGGGTGTGCACATTCAAGATGTTGCTCAAGCCCATATCAAGGCGTTAGACCCGAAGATCAAAGACGGCTCGAAATATCTGATCTCTGGACCGCCAACAACGTGGAAAGAAATTGCTCGTATTGTGCACACGGCCTACCCCAATGTTGGTGCGAAGATTATGGAGCAGGCTGAAGGGGCTTCCTTGCCCGTCGATACCACCAAGGCCGAAAATGAACTTGAAATCCGCTGGCAACCTTGGGAGGAGATCGTGCAGAGTGTGATGGATCAGCAACTGGGCTTCCTTCAAACTTGAGTCGTACAGACTGTTAAGTGTTTTTTTAGATAGATATTTACTTCGAGCTTTGAACATAGATCAGGCGGTCCAAATCCGAGTGAAGCTAGTCCCAACAGATGTGTTTTTTAAACCAGACATCCAGACCTTTGGCCGCTATGCAACTTCCCAGTCGGGTGTAGAATGCGAAAGAACCTGTCTCAAGGCCCACCTACAGTACTTTCTACTTTGTTTAACTCACAGAGTATCTCGCAGTTCATATTAGTGGTTAAGCTGCGGAGCAAAGCTCCTTAACCTCGGTCAAATGCAGAAATTCCACTTTAATTGTGGTTTTCTACCCACGGCATGTCATCAATTGCGCCACGACTTGCTCCGCAAAACTTCGAATACGAGGCGTATTGGTGCATTAGTAAGGTACTGATGGATCTTCCAATGCGGCAGCGCTTCGATGATTTTTGTGCTGAAATCAGTTGAGGATTATCCGTAAGGGCGGGCAATGCATAATAGGCCGACCTCATAGGCGGTTAAGGGTATCTCGGCATCACCCAAATGCACGATGATGTAAAGCAACAGTTTGGTCTGCAGGCCCATTCCTTCTGAAATATAAGAAAAAGAAACAAAGTTGAACTATCAAGAAGATTGCGTAATTTCTTAGGATTTCATGAAGTATACGGCGTGGCGGTAATTCAGAAGACCGAAAGTCGACCAACGTTCCTATGCCTATAGTAATTGAACCACGCACAGTCAAGCTCTCTCATATTACTTCGCATAATACAACGCTATACTAAGCTGGAAAATCCACTACTAACTTGCCCCCGGCTACAGTGCCTGCTCGTAGTTTGTTCAATCCATCTAGAATACCCTCAAACCCATCCTTTTCCTTGACAGTAGGAATCGGTTTTAACATGTGTGTGATTGTTGGAAGGACATTGTAAAAGCGGACAAGAGCTTCGCGGTCGGCTGGTTTGGCCTCGAACTTTGGGCCAATTGGGGGTAACCACTGAAAAGGGTGACCAAACACCGTATACGCCATCACCGTCTCGTACGACACGCCCGGTATGCTTGACTTGCCGTTAGGCAATAGCGTTACCACCGTACCGCCAGTGTTCTTCAGTACTTCTGCACATACGGAAGTAGATTTTCCTTCAGAGAAACAATCGACGGCCTTCGAGATCTTAGGATACTCCTTAACGACATCTGCTGCAACGGTTGCTGACCTGTAGTCAAACACTGCAGTGGCGCCGTACGCCTTGACAAGGTCGAATGAACGCGGCGAGGCCGTCGCAACAACTTCATACCCAGCTGCCTTTGCAATCTGGATGTGAAAAAGCCCAGTGCTGGTGGCGCCAGCGTAGATGAATATCACCTCATCTTTAGGGGCTGCCTGATCACCTTGGACGAAGGGGAGGCCATGACGGACATTGAGGGTCAACATGGCAGTCACAGCTGAGACACCGTACGTGGTGGCGTCCGTGTCGCTGATTTCATCCGGAACTTTCCAAGCCAAATCCGCGTCGACTTTCAAGTACTCGGCGAAAGCGCCCTTGTCGGGAAAAAGGCCACCGTGGACGGCGCCCGCCACGCGATCGCCGGGTGTCCATCCAGACCTGACGGCGCTGCCGACCTGTTGGACCACGCCGGCATAGTCGCAGCCGATGATGGAGTGAGGAGGAGAAATGACATCTAGGTGCTTGAAATCCGTAGGATTCAACGCGACCGCCTTGACTTTGACCAAAATCTCGTTGGGTGAAATTGTAGGAATGGGAACATCATCCTTGACCTTTCCCCCCTGGCCACCGACTGATTTGCCACTGGCGTGGTTGAAAATTCTGGTGGCAATACTGCGGTGGGAAATAAGAGCCTTCATGATCTGGATGCACAACAAATGACCAAAAGGATACGGTGAAGAGTACAGAGTCGGAGGTCGTAGTACTTGTGGAAATGGTCAATTATCAACGCCATATGCCTTTCCAGATAAGGCAGATCACGAGGAAAGTTTAAAAATGCGCCACTGGAATTTGCGGTTGGGATGGAGCAATTATCTTGCCGACGGCGTATAGTTAGTGGGGTCGTAACGGAATGGTTATGTAACTCACCCGAATATCCATGGATGGATCCATGGATCCATAACGCGGGAAGAGTCAAGCCACATCAGTATAGGTGGCTGAGAAATGTGTTTAATAATCAGCTGATCTTAACTAACTAGTTAACTAGTTAGTTAACTTATTCCTATATCGTACATTATACCTTAGGTTACTAGTGCTTCATACAACTTCAGTATACATAAGCGGTGTTGTGCGGTTCCTTCATAATCAGCCTTATTTCTCCCAATATGTCGGACTCAAAGCAAAGGTCAATCCTTATCACCGGGTGCGTTGAGACCTATCCACTCCCTCCATATTCCCTGACCTAACCGCTCACCCACCAGATGTTCCCAAGGGGGTGCCGGTAACGCCCTAGCCTTGCAGTTTGCTTCTAAGGGCTTCCGTGTCTTTGCGACCGCCAGGTCGCTGAAGACTTTGGCCAACCTTCAGGGGGAAAATATCGAAACGCTGACTCTCGATGTCACGGACGCGAGCAGTATCAAGGCCCTAGCGGCAGAAATTTCGAGTCGTACAGGAGGTTCCTTGGACATACTCTTCAACAATGCGGGCACTCGTGGGTTATCTCCAGGATAGTCGATAGCAGGTTTTCGCACGGAAATTAACGCTGCTCGCACCCTAGTTTACGAAGCACCCGCCATCGAGGCAGATCCCGCCCGCGTGCGTGCACTCTTCAACACGAACGTTTTTGGCCTCATGGAAGTGACTACTGCCTTCACCCCTCTTCTGCTCGCCAGCGTGAGCTCAGGCTTTTCGCCGATAATAGTTAATGTCGCCTCCGTCCTAGCGCGCGTCCCGAATCCATTCGCTTCAGCTTACAACGCTAGCAAAGCGGCTGTAGCTGCCTACTCGGACACTCTTCGACTCGAGTTGCAGCCGCTTGGCCTCAAAGTCAAAATCTTGTACATGGGAGAGGTATCGACTCCCTTGATGGTGGCGGACAATATCAACTTTGGGCCGGAGAGTATCTACCGTGCCGTGGAGGATTCTGTAAAGGCGCGAACAAACACTCACCTTGCAAAGACGATGGCGCCGGCTCAGTTTGCCCGGGAAGTGGCAGACGAAGTTTTCAGTGGAAAGAGTGCCACCATTTGGAAAGGTACTAATGCCTTTGCGGTTTGGTTTTTGAACGCTGTGGGACCAAGGAATGTATTCGACAGTACCGTGTTGAAGGGGTTGGACTAGACAAGGAAGAGGCCAGGTCGAGTATTTTTAAGCTTGGCCAAGCAAAGGCCAAGAAGGATGCGCCAGGAAAGGGGTCAAAGTAGCCAGATATAGCTAGGCTCTCAAGCCTTAGGGAAGTTGACACATTTGGCATGCATATAGTAATACAAGTGTTTGGTGTTTGATTTTCCCACCTTGACTGTTCTAATTTTCTTTGAAATATATATGTATATATGCTTGGGAAGAAGAGACAGAAAGCTTGCTAGGAAGAGAGAAGAGAAACTGTCACCAACTGACATAGCGGTTGTGCGGTCTTTAATTCGTGGGTCGATTGCAGGTATTAATTGGAGATCATTTTCATCGAGTTCAGTGATACTAACATCCTTCTGATTTGCCTCACGTCGGACCACAGATAATTTCAATTAGTGATCAGTCATCGCTCCGATGATCCTGGCGGAGACGGCGTAAGTCAATACTAAGCGAGCGCAGTTCCACTTCTGTAGCTAGCAACCCATCTGGATGAGATAGAGAGCTGTCGAATTTATTACGAAGGCGCCATCAGTTGATCTTGTGTTTGAAACAGATAAATGCTTTGAGAATTTGCCTCCTACCTCAAATCTCATATTATTTTTTTCTGAACCAGACATGAGTGCCTCCAAAGTTCTAGTGGTGGTCGGCATTACGCGAAACCAGGGGTCCTCTGTCGCAAATGCCTTGCTCAATCTTCAGGGCTGGCTAAGAATTAAGCCCTCATCTTTCTGGTACTAAAGCGCCACTTCCAAGTTGACTTTAGCAAGTTAGACTTTTTGAAAACTTGGCCAACTGTGAGCACACGAGAACTCATGAGCAGCATTCCCCACGCCTTGGCCCAAGATCCACTGGACCGAGCATGGGAATCCGCGCAGTGTTTAGTATTAGGTTTAGTAGTGGCCAGGGGAATTGTTTGAAAGATTGCGCTGTGAGATTGTAGTCAATGCGAGCGCGTCGTGACGAAGTTCGTCAAACCAAACCCAGCCCTCTCGCTCACGGAACAACCTAGTCGATCGATGATGTCTGTCTACATGCGACCAGGTACCGTCAGAGTTCCAATACTCAGAAATTCTACCACTACCGGCGCTCTGTCGGCTTGGACGCATGATGTGACAAATGATACTGTATTGCCAAATTTTCCACTTGCTTCTTCTTATAGGCTCTCACGCAAACAATTCTGCTTCTCAGATGTCTAATCTCAACGTCAAATTGAGTGAGGAGAAGCATCAAATTCAAATCATTTCATGAGGCAAGAATACATGAAGCTTAGAATTTCAACAGAGCATCAAGTTCCTCCAAGGAAACCCAGGGGTGTTCCGTCTTGGATCTCAGCTCCGTAGGCTCTGGAGAAGCATTAAAATCACCTGATTCAAGCTTTGAATGCACTATTATAGGCAAAAGGATCACCCTCTTCGTCGGTACAAAGGCATGCCTGGGGTTTTGCAGCCAATTTTTAGTGTGTATGCGAATGGGCAGAGAAATCAGCTCCGACAGGGTTGTTGATGGTCTTGTCAGGCTGTAAGTGTCTTCACAATCGATCATCTCCACGGACTCTGGGATATTGGGATTGCGGATAGCTCCCGTGGGAGGTATAAGTCGTACTATCTCGGACAGTAGCGAATGCATCACGCTCCAACGCGGTACGTTATCGTCCACGCCGCTGGGTGACGAGAGTCGGAGTGTGGGGTGAGGATTTCTGCCAGCATACTTTGACGTATGCGCAGTGGATGCACTGCATAATTTGCAATTATATCAGCAAGCCGCAGTAGTTATATCAAATTGACTTCCATGACTTAGAAGACAAGAAACTTAGCTATACCGTGCTCGACGTGCCCAGGGCAGGCAGACCTGGTCCACTCTGATGCAGTATGTACAACGATGGCGCTCAGTGTAGACACATCGTTTCTTCCGAACATGGCATGTTTGACAAGCTGACATCTTGATTGAATAAGAATGATGGAATCTGGATTCCTCCCATGAAAGGAGATCCTTAAGCTGTGGGAATGCCGATAAATTTAGATCTATAGCCCAGTCGAAAGGTATCCGGCAATTGTTCTGGATGCACCTGAGGTGGCATCAATATGAGCTGATGGAAGAGAAAACTGAATATGGCAAATAAAGTTCTTTAAGAGACCAACAACAATAACATGCACTCAGTTGCTTGTCCATCCCATGTCTACTTTTGCAAGCTCCCATTTGTGATGGCCGAAACCTAATCCTCTCAGACCATTACGTGTCCCATTGACGAGAAATCCCATCAAGTGGCATGAGGGTATCCGCATTCGCACTTATCTTGCCCTGTCAATCTCGTAGCCACGAGCCTCGGCTGAACTAGGGGGAGATCACTCAACATCCGCTCCATGAATGTAATGCTCCACGTAATCCCTAATTCTCCAATAGCCTACAGATTAGATCCGAGTGAGCACAAAATGATAGAATTTGTAATCGACACCCGGGTCATTCTCGGGTACCTTAGAATACTTTGTAGGCGCTTATAGTGGGTAAACATAGTTGAAGATTTCTCGGCTGCCGTAGTGATCACTAACAGCGTCCGAGGATCAGGGAAGTGTCTCAACGGACCTTGCCACATTTGTTTTTCCTACTTAAAATGCTTCCATACTCACAATTATAATAATTTCTCTACTCATCATCTTGTCATCTTATCACATTATCACCTGAACCACGTCTAATCAGAAGGCCGTCATCGTGACCCAGCCCAAGACGGCGGGCTTGGTCACTGACCGCGCTATCCTCAAGCTCTGTGATAATTACGTTCTCGTGAGGACAGTCAGCGTGGGTTTGAACCTAAGTGACTGGAAGTACGTGGATTTCCTCTCTCCTCCCGGCGCCCTGTTGGGAGGTGATTACTCTGGCATTGTCGAGGCCGTTGGCAAAGACGTCAAGCTACCCTGGAAAAAGGGAGACCGTATCTGCGGTTTCGCCCACGGTGGTAATGCCGTGCAAGCCGAGGATGGGTCTTTCGCCGAATATATTGTCGTCAAGGGTGATGTGCAGCTCCGAGTTTCTGAACATCTGAGCTTTCAGGAAGCCGCTACGCTTGGAGCAGGCATTCAGACTATCGGCCGGGCATTATACCAAACTATAGGTCTAGCTCTACAGAGTCAACCTATCAAAGATGCGACTCCTATTCTTATCTATGGCGGTTCTACCACTACGGGCACCCTCGCGATTCAGTTCGCTAAGCTCTCCGGTTATCAGGTGCTCACTACCTGTTCGCCGCACAACTTCGACCTTGTCCGTGCCCTTGGCGCTGATGCTGTCTTTGATTACAAGGACCCTGAGTCAGCCGCTCAGATTCGCAAGCAGACCAAGAATAATCTGAATCTAGTCGTGACTGTATATCGCTTCCCTCTAGTGTTGATGTCTGCAACCAGGCACTTTCAACGGAGGGAGGCGCATACCTCGCACCCCTGACCGTGAAAGTCGACCGCGCCAACGTGAACAGTCGATTTATTCTGGCATACACCGTCCTTGGCTAGGCCTTTGAGTTCGGTGACATGTGGGTTCCCTTTAAGCCAGCCAGAGGATTTCGAGCACGCCAAGAAGTTCACTCAAGTGGCTCAGATTCATTTGGATTAGGACAAGATCAAAGTGCATCCTCCTAAAGTTGGGAAGTATGCTCTACGTGGAGTTTTGGAAGGAATGGAGCTGCTCAGGGCCGACAAAGTCAGTGGTACAATGGTTAACGTAATTCCCGGTTAAGCCGGACACCAGGTTAAGCCGGACACCCCAAACACTATACTAAATGCGATTTTTCACAATTTCATATTTCAACCCCTAAAGCTAAGAGTATAGTCTTAGGATATCTTAGTGTTTACTAGGTCGAGAAATATTTTAAGGTGTGATAATGTTGATACATAGTGGATATACGGGTATTTTATAAGCGGCTGCACTAAACCCTAACTCCAGTTGTTAGCGGTAAAGGCTGGGTATCGCCTTCGCTAAACCCGAAATAGGTTGATCTCCTTCCGAGGGCAGATCATCTATCTTTGACTCACTCAATTCGTGAGAATTGAAGATGGACCGCGTCTCGACATCAATGTGGATGCAAGGGTTTTGACATTTCGAGTCGGACATGCTGCGGCCACATTCCCTACAGCACCGTGCTGTCTTGGTTGTTCTGGGCTACTGTAGCTATTAAGGTCAACTAGTTAACCCGCCCCGGTTGGAAAAGATCGGACACACGGTTGTTACAAGGCAAATCTGGGCTCGTATTTGTGGAGACTATGGCACGCATAGGGAATGGCGGCACGGCGCAAGGCAAGGCATCCTTCCAGCCATATTCATCCTAACCTGATGAGCGGTCACTGGTCGAGTGGTTGGCGAGACCCCTTCTCATTTTCCCGTTTCTTGTCTATCGAATTGCCAATTCTTGGAAGCCGGCCAGGACCGAGTTTCTTCAGCTTCCAGAGTGCTGCTCGCCTATTCTCCACTCGAAACCCATTAGTAAGCATGTAAGTTTCGTACCACCCAAGCTTGGACGGGGACGTGATTCGTTGGATAGTTGCGTCATCAAACGGAATGATGAGTGATCATGCCGAGCCAAAGTTTACCCTTACAGGTTGTCTTCAAGGGGCATCCTTCCAGTCCCGGGTAGAATCACTCCATAGATCACCAATCTCGAAACAGCTTGTCTACTGAAATATAATTGTCTGGACGATCAGCCAGCGCTGGTCGGGTTCTAATACAGGCTGTCTTATGCCCTGGCCCACATGCTCTCGATTGGCTGACCATGACTATATCTGTCACATCATGGACCAACAATTACCAGTGCGGCTGTCAAGCGACCTGCCTCCCTTCAATTGGGATGAGTTCCATGAAAGCACATCCTCATCCGAACCTACTTACCCCTTGTTACACGAGTCCGCGACCTCTGATATCAACTCTTTGCTCTCAGCTCGCTCCTATCCCCTGCCCAATGCACATAACACTCAAAATGCTCAAAATAGTACGCCATCTCCCAGTCATGGCGACTTACCTCTCGGGCTTATATCTTACTTAAACCCGACAAACACAAACCAAACACCCCTTCCAAAACCGACGGCACCGGGGCCACAAAAACGCCAGCGACGTGGATCCAAGAAGGCCGCACCGTCAGGGAAGAATCGCGGAGCTCCCCAAGACGATGGAGGTAGAAACGAAAGCCCTGAAGAGGTTCGTAGGCCATTGATGGACCTCCAGAATAATGTAAGGGTACTGACCGGATCAACTACTTGTGACAGCGGAGGCGTATGCAAACTCGCCAGGCACAACGTGCATATCGCTCACGACAGCAAGCATCAATGGAAAGCCTCAGGAATCGAATTTCCTTTCTGGAGACCTCGATAGAGAAAATGAGCTCTGCTATGCTGTCGTTCAGTGAGCAACTAGTTCAGAGTGGTGTGCTTAGGTCACAGTCTGCTTTAACCACCAATTTACGCGATACGATGAAGATATTCCTTTCTTTGGCATCCGGGGCAAGCATCGACGAGGGGACGAGGACCCCGGTTGACTCCAATAGAGCAACTGACTTGCCGCCAACCCTACCACAACCTACCACCAAGCGCTTGTCTCTGGACGTCCCCTTTCACTTGCCCTTGGTGGACAGCGGAGTATATCATTCTAAAAGTACTGTCCTATCGGCGGCCGTCAAGTCAACTGGAACGTCGATTATAGACGTGACCGAATTCATTGAAAGGCTGCTCCTAGTAGCTCTTTATCAAGGACATCTGGCTCTGAGCAATCTGTCCTTCGGCATGGATCAACTCCAAAGGCCCTTTGGGCTCATTTTTACTATGATGAACCGTGACCGCCTGACATCTTACTTCAAAGCAGAATTATATGCTCAAGTAAACCAGAAGCCGTTGGACGGATGGGAGGAAGTCCCCTTTTTCAGATTGGGGCGTGCGGGAACCCATTATCCTGACGAGAGCACGGGTGCCTTTCTCCCTCGTTTCCAGAGATGGGGCACCGTGGAGGACCCCTTATCACTGGTTACGGCAGATTTACGAAAGCAGCTAGATGGGGATTGGTTTGACTTGCAAGATCTAGAGGGGTATCTCCGCGATAAGAATGTGCTCCTGGTCGTGTCAGCAAGTGAGCCAACAAGATGCTCGGAAGGGCAGATCAATATCAATGTCTCGCGTTTTATATCAGGTAAGTCTGCGCCTCTGTGCCTTGTTCGTCATGATCATTCTGACTTGGATAGCATTGATCCCCAGAGGAGTTTGCCTGGGTCGAACACCTGGGTTTCAACGTGGTGATGTGGAGGAGGCCCTGCATTTTTCAACAATTGTGTAAACTTGTAGAACTCATTAGTTTGAGCACCAATTACTTGGCGAAATATGCATGATGTGTCTATACACACTACTGTACAATACCTGTGGTGATTTTGCCCTTCTGATTTGACATTTGGTTTGAAAAAACTTTTTTGAGGTCTCACATTCAGGCATGTATTCTGTCGCAAAAATTGTGGGGCATAATACCGCTAGACTAAAAATGCTTCATGGGCGACATTCTTAGTTTATACGGTCATTTATTGCTTCGACATATTCATATGTTGTACTTTGAGCGTATCTTACTGTAGGTACAGTCAGCGTTCAAAAGTATTTGAACACGCTACATGCCCCACTTACTTTTCTGCCGGTTAAACCACCTAATCCATTCAATATTTCAATAACTAGTATGCCATCTTTTGTATCTAATGACCTCCTCGACACGATGAGGTATTGCTTTAGGTAGATTAACAAAAGAAGCGAATACTGTAAGCCAATTTACTAGATTCGAGGACGCGTGTGGCTACTGTAAGGTACGCGGTGTAGAAAAGTGGCAGGGGGGAAGTACTGTGTTCCAAATACTTTTGGACGGCCACTGTATAAAATTGCCCCACAACGAAATGCAGAGTTGAAGAAGTAGATAGGGGACCCTGGATCCCAGGTTATACATGCGATAAACTCCACGGACTACGGAGTTCAGGTGTATTCATTGCACGCCAATCACACAGGTGCAAGGGTGGCGTGTGTTGGGCTTGCTTTAGTTGACGCCCTCGAATAGTCGCAAATTTTGGTATATCAGGGTTCAGTGTGCCTGGTTCTCCAAGCCTTGGTCGGCACAATCTGAGTCAAGGCCATAACGGGACGTCCGTCTTTAGAAAAAATTGGCCCCGCTGGAGTCTCGCTTGACTTGAGTATGCGGGCCGAAAGCAAGCTTAAAACGGTTAGCTGGTGGCCGGGGCAAAGATGGAACCCGGTGCGGGAACGCCTTCTAAGCAACCCGACGGTGGCAATCCAATGACCCAACCCTTAAGCTTTGCTTGGATCAATGGCCATTGCTAGATTCCATACGGAATCGATGACCTCATGATTGCTAATCTGCGCCCGGGAAGAAGGTAGTAGCGGAGAAGTTCAATTCGTCTAACTTCGTCCGTCCGAACAACACAGGAGTGAAGGTGGAATAGGTGACGCTTCGCGAAAACCTTCCACAAGAAGACCCTTAGAGTTTTCGCCAGCGCTCGGAATACAGTCAAAGTCCAACATCTCAAGGACATGGGTCTCGAAATTGTACAGCTCGATGTCACCGACAAAGAGTCAATCAAAAAGCAGTGTCAACCGTGAAGGCTGCGACCATACCGTTATCGACCACGTAAAGTTGCACGGGCATGGTGTTGGGTGGTCAGCCGACCCGAGGGTTCTATCGTCTCGTCGCCCAACAACGATGGAAACGGTAAATTGACTACTTGTAACAGAGGCATTGGATCATCTAAAAGTGTGACGTCGGTGTTCTCACTCAACGAGATGTCACGAGGCTGAAGGGCCTCTAGTCCAAATCTTCTTTTCATACCAACCTCTAATTTATAGACTCTGAGCTGGACAGCTCTCAAGGTTGCTGCTCAATCTTGACCAGCAGACTCTGCAACCTCAGATGTCGTAGGCCGCGGGGCTTTCAAGAAAAATGAAAATGTAGCGATATGCAGAAAAGCCAAGGTAGTTCAATTTCATTAAGACCAAGAAAATGATTTATGGTGAAAGCTGAAGTAATCTAGCAGCAAATACCTGCATCAACCCCGTCCTCCGAGTGATTGTGTTGACTAGCATCATCACACGATCTGTGCCCTCGGTCCTCGATATATAGGCACCCGCTAACGAGTCGCCGGCAGATGCGATCTAACAATAGAAGTGATGCAATAATCAACAACTCAGTTGTTCAAGAACAGCTCAAGCTCCTTTGCGTAACGCTCCGGCACCTGGAAGAGATGTCCGTGCCCTGCGTCAGGATAAAGATGCAGGTGGGCATTGGCGATCTTTTGCTGCAGGATGAAACTGTTTGACGTGGGCGACATAATGTCCGTATGGCCGTTCGTCACAAGAACCGGGGCCTTGATGTCTGCCAAACGTTCAAAGTTGCGAGTATCGGTGGTGAATTTGAAAATCGCAGCGAGCTGCGCCTGTGCCCCGGTCCCGGTAAGATACGCCTTCCGGGGTTCACCTTCAACGTTGCGCTCGTGGATCCGCTTCCACCAGGCATGGCCGAGGGCGAGGCTGGTCTCGGAGGGATAGAAGAAAAGGTTCATCATGTCATCCTCCGTTGGTGGCTGGTCGTTGTTTGCTCCAGCGCTTTCCAAGACCTCCCGCGGTGGCAAAGCCACACCTTCGCCAATTCCTGGTTGAGTGCCCGCCAGGACCAATTTGTTGACAATTTGAGGGTATTCAAATCCAATATGCTGCACGATGCCACCGCCCATGGAGAAGCCAATGAAATCGGCCTTTGGAATTTCAAGCGCAGCAAGAAGTTTGACAACGATCGCAGCCATCTCAGGAACAGAGTCTGGCACGCTTCCTTCGCTGTGTCCAATACCAGCACTGTCGTAGACAATCACTTCGCGGCTTTTGGCGATACTGTTAAACAGAAGCGGATCGAGCGTATCCATGCTACCACGAAGATGGTTGACATAGATCAAAGGCAATGGACTGCTTGCCCCGAAGCGCCGGTAAGCGATTTTCAGTCCATTGATGGAGACAAATGAAGTCGGAACGATTTGAAGGGTCGTCATTGTAGTGTTATGTTTGTTTGAAGCGCAATCGGAAGTGAAGAGGTTTTTTTGAGGATAGACACCGGCGGAAGGGTCTATGTGACAGGGACAGGTTGTATGTTTTATAGGGCAATTTGTCAACCTCCTGACAGCCCGAGACTACGCTGTGTTCCCGTAACTTGATCAATCTCCTAGGTTGCCACAGGACGGTTGTCGGGTCGGTGGATTGGGAGTTCAGTATCGTCACTAAGGAGGCCCGCACACTAGGCAATGGGATTCCCACTCATCGTCAGCACTTAATCGGCGATTCCATTCCTAGGTTCGGAATAGGGTGGATGAGTGAGTGATTGACAGCTAGTCGCACGCTCGGAGTGTCGACTCATCGTTTCCGACCTAGGGTGATGGCCCGAGGCTCCACTCCTATCAGCAGTTCCCGTGAAAATCGACTTGGCCATGGACTGCACTCCTGCAATCACCTCCAAGTCCTCACAGTTAAAACTGACGAGTCAATGCGGGTCCATGAATGTCTGCCCGGTATATGCTGGTTTGTAAGCGTCATGAAATGTAAGAAATCCGCCACTCTCAATAATATGCCGCTGTTGCAGGCGAATCAAGCTCTTTTCTTTTCAATATTCATGCTGAAAATGCAACGACCGTGAACTGACCGCCTGGTGATCATCACTTGCACCCTTTGGCCTGAGTTTCATCAGGCCTGTAACCCGTTCAAACAGTCAGCGTTTTCCAGAGAGTAATTATTAAACGCTCTGTTCGCTCGCTACATCAACGTAAGGTTATTTTTCGCAACATTCTTCACACGCACTGCGCAAGACTCCTCCTGTTCAGTACTTGCTTGTCTTGGGGTCCACACTTCCGGTAGACTCCGTCCCCCGGACCCCACATGCATTCCCGAACAAGTGCACGTAGATATGGTGCCCCAGCTCTACTCGGTCTAATAAATCCGAATCGGAGCCTCGGCTCAGAAATTCAGAGATCGTAATTCGCAGTAGAGTATCAATATGGAATACTGCTAAAGTTTATAACAATCCCGAGGCCCTTTCTGGGGTTTGACCTTCTATTTGTTAAAGGGTAGTCCGCCATTTCACGCCCATCTATCCTGCGGAATATCTTGTCTTCATTGTATTTGCAAAGAAATTCACCGATCCCACTATTATACCATTACTTTCTCGACTCTTATACACCAGATCCAGCAATCTACCGCCTCAGCGCCAGACGGACAATATGATGAAAGCATTTCAATTTTCCAATGTTTCCAAAGGACTCGAGTTCAAAGATGTTCGGATTCCGTCCCCAGGGAATGGTCAAGTGCTTGTTCAAGTCAAGGCAACCGGCCTGTGCCATACGGATTGCAATGTAATTTCTGGCAAGGATGATATGCTTTTTTGGCAACGACCTATAATACTCGGTCACGAGATCGCTGGCACGATTGTTACGCTTGGACCAGATGTGACCGAGTTCAGCATTGGTGAAAGGGTTGTTTCTGGCCTTGGTGTGGACCATCCTCTCACATTTCAAGATGTGACCACCTCCCCCGGAATTGGTTATGATGGTGGATATGCAGAATACGCTGTCTTCAATGTCCCGAAAACATTGCGGATTCCTGACAGCGTGACTTTCGCTCAAGCCGCCGTGGCTACTGACGCCATCGCCACTGCCTATCATGCAGTTGTGGTGGAAGGTCGTGTTTCTTCGTCTTCCACCGTTGCTATCATCGGCCTCGGTGGGCTTGGCCTCTCGGCTGTTAGCCTTGCACGTCTCATGGGAGCAAAGGTGTACGGGTTTGATATCGACCCCAAAAAATATGTCTCCGCTCTACAATCTGGAGCGTTAACGTGCGCTAAAAGCCTGGACAAATTTTCGGGAATCCGCTTCGATGTGGTGGTGGATTTTGCAGGTGCAGGCGTTACCACCGCTGCAGCCGTGAAGGCCGTGAAGTCTGGTGGACGAATTATCCTTGTTGGCCTTGCGGCCAAAGAGGCTACGCTGTCTACCTACGATTTTGTTGCCCAAGGTGCCCATTTGATAGGATCTGCTGGTTCGTCTGTAGAAGAAGTTAGGGAAGTGCTTGAGCTTATCGCAGCGGGAAAGATTGATCCACTCATTGAGGAAATCCCTTTCGCCGACATTCCGAAGGGGCTCGACAGGCTATCTAACGGTGGCGCACTGGGAAGGTTATATGCTGACCCGAGCAAGGCTTGAATTCCAGTTCCCTCTACCTCACTAGATATTTCCAATTGGGAGAAGCATATTGTCGAGAAAATGTGGGGTCCTGCATTACATTGACATGGGATTCGCCCATCTGCGTCCCACCTTTCTAATGTGTTTGTATGTAATATGTGGGTAACATTTGGGTTCCAGTATGGTAACTCGAGTACTTGGTTACACCTCAACCTGCCCCTTTTCCTTATTCCTCATAGGTTTTCCTTGCTCAATCAATCAATCAATCGCATAATTCTGATGATTCCGGTAGTTAGTCCTTATTCGCCACAATGTTTACTAGTTCGTACGCTTTTAGCTGGTTCTAATGATGATGATGATGAATTCATTTGCCCGATGTAGCTCGCTCTAATACATAGTGGCTATGCGGGATTGCTGTCAGGCCAGCTGGATTCCCGCTTCATGAGAGTCGCAAGGCGACTTTCTGATCGGTCATCCCCGAAAATAGTAGTAATAAACAGTAAACACAAGAAAGTGCACGACAATGAATGTTATCGTCCTCAACGACGCACGCCCCTTCTCACTCTTCTCGATTTCGATCTTCCCGTGTCGACTCCACGTTTTGTGCAACCATCCCACCTGTCGGCTGCCGCTTTCGTGCTCGATTGAATCAAGGGAGGACAGCGGATCTAGCACTGTACTCCTCACGGGCACCATCCTTCTCCTTCCATCACACTGTCCTTGCGGACCATTCTTTTTCTCCTCTCTTTTCACACCTCTGCAGAGGCGTTGCTTGGGTAGAAGGCAAGGAATTCACCACATTCACTACATTCACTGCTCCTCTTCGCTCCGCTCGTCGACATCGTACCATATATCATCGTCTAGGGTTTCAGCAACAGATACATCAGGAATAGTCATCAGAGGGGTTTCGTTTCGCAAGAAGCCTGGAGGTCCTATCCAGTCGTTGTCATCTGGCTGCTCATCCATGATGTCCCCCAATTCGCCCACAGGACGCTTCTTGGACCCACTGTGCTCAGACTCGAATCTTAGAGCGGCTGCCTGGGATCGTGTCAAGCGCTGACTTGTCGGCTAGATTGGGGGTGATGGGGCCTGAGTTCTCGGCTTGATTTTTGGTTCGTTTGGCATTCTCAATGTTGAGCTTCTCTATGTGCCAGATCCTCAACCGAGGTGGACAAGTTCGGGTGAACAAGTAAAGCAACCCCACTTTTCGCCTAACTTTGCTAGGTTTTGCTAGTTCGTCTGTTCATAAACTTTGCACGGGTCACTCAAGACTATCCCAATTTTATTGCAAGATCGATCACGTCACATCCGCGGAGTGGCATAAATCCACGTTCCTCGCGGTCGGAAAGAGGCTTAACCACAAGATCTAGCTTAAACGGATAGATTCCTCGCTTTCTCAAGCTTCCGCGAATGATAGAAGGTGTAAGTGCCTCATCGCGAATATCACGATTCCCCCGGAAAAACACAGCTTCCCCGCCGTACTGGGTGACTAGGCGATTCCAGCTTCGAAAATGAGTCTTATATGTCTGAAACACATCACCGTCGAGTGGCTGTATAAGGTGCGTAGCGTGGGAGATAAGCTTGAAGGGAAGAATGTTGGCTTGGAGGCAGTACTCGTGGAACTCGATAGTTAAGTGTATTTTGTGACCGTCGAATAGTAGGAGATGCGTCTCATCTATAATATAAATGCTTAATTAGTCTATGTTAACTCTGAAATAATTAGAAAAGCATATAACTTACTCTTTTTTGCGCGGTTTAGAGTGTGTTTATCGAAATGTTGGAGCCACTGAAATGCCAGATCGGAATTCACAAAGCCAGTCTCAGCTACCGAGACATACCAATCATTAGGCTCTTGGTCCTCCAACCATCTCTCGAGAATGACTCAGCCTCGAAAGATAAGAGACGGTGGTATAGCGAAGCCGTCTGCAGCAATACATTCAACGATAGTCTGGCTCTCCCGCTTACTCGGGTTCACCTCAGCGCGCGCCTGCTGACGACCAACCGAGCGCGTACGAGAAGCCTGCTGGCCAGGCATAAAACCGCTCTCATCGAGGTTGTAGATATTGTAGTGTTTTACTTCTTGAAGGATTACCTGCACGGGTCCGCGAAGTCCTTGCTGATCAAATGCCTGTGAATGGCGCAGCCTATATGGATTCGGTTGAAAAGTCCTTGTCACTCATGGGGGCTTGGGCCAAAAGTAATTTTTATAGAGCGCAGGCTGGCAACCAGAGCATAAGGGGAAAAAATAAAGATCAACCTTGTTACCAAGCCATGTACTTCACCCTCGAGTTAATACAGAATCTAACCTACCAGATTGGTCACCTTCTATTACTATGGTGATCCTGGTTCGTCGATCGGCCGGGTTGATTGCAGGAACTTCCAAGGTGTCCCTTGTACAGCCATCACACCGTCACCTCCAAGCTGGTGTGAATTATAATAGTAAAGGAGGTTGGCAAATAGGGTTAGGGTAGTTTCATGTTATTTATTATAGACAAAGAATTGGGAATTCACTTACAGCTTCTTAGTAGGAGAACTTCGGGGCCCCAAATGCTTCCTCGACCAACTTTGATATCCGGGTCTTGCCAACAGCGCCTTGATCAGCTAGCGAATCGTGACTGATGACCCGCTCTCATTCATTGATTTCGAGGACCTGTTCACTTCAAATATTGCGCGATGATAATGAGTTAATTACTAAAGCAATTTTTCCACTTGAAACCTGCCTCCGTCTGAGCTTTCCAAGCTATTTGATTCCCGTCAAACCCATCGTCCGTCACAGTTATTGGAGGGTTGAGATGCGGTAGATACATTAGTAGGTCTCTGTAGAATTCAATGAGAGCTTCAGAGTCTGAAGGAATAGCGGGCCTGATAGGATAAACAAGCCGGAGCCAGGCGAATGGACGTCCAAATAAGGTGTAAGCAAAAGTCATCTCATACTCAACGCCTGGAACTTTTGACTTTCCTGTATCAAGCAGCGTAATGACCCGGTCGCCATTCTTTCTAATTACTTTGGCGCAAAAATCGGATAAAGTACCCTTGGAGAAGCAATCCAAGGCATATTTGATGTCAGAGAATGCTGCAGTAATCGCCTGAATTGCGGTTTCCGACCAGTAGTCAAAGACTCGATCCCCCCTATTGTCGGACGAGATCGAAAGGACGCGGCGATGCAGTCGCAATAACTATGTGTCGAGACATGGAGTGGTAACTTACCACTAGACAGGGGCAATACTGAGTGACCCACTTTCCTTTGTGTTTTGTATAGTAATCTGGTATTCTGGGCATTACGGCTGTCGTAACACCGTGTACCTATCCATCCATGGGGTATTTCAACCTGCCCCATGATATTCGTTTCTTCTTCAATCAATCAACCTTTTCATCCAAGATTGGTTCCGCTTAGTCCTATCCTCGATCCCATTTGCCTACCAGGATTACTAGCCATTACTGTCGCAGCTTGCTCCGACACTATGTAACCTTCTCTGATGGAAAGGTGTAGAACATCAAGGGCCACACTGGTCGGGGCAGCATAAATAATTACACTAGGCCTTGTTTCCAGCGATCCAGCCACATCTCTGAGGAAGAGTCGAGAGAGCCAGCATTGCTGTGACGGCTGATATACCATATGTGGCCGCTACTGCGTCACTGATTCCTTCTAGGATCATCCAGGGGAGATCACCGTCAACCTTTCAGGAACTCGGTGAATGATGAGCCATGGTCGGAATACGGCCCGCCATGTACACATCCAGCAACTTGGTTACTAATTTTCTATCACCCCTTTGCATTCTTCCTAACGTCAACTACCTCCCCAGCATAATCGCGTTAGGAGGGGAGGTAATATTGGTGTGTTTGAAGTCGGCCGGGTTGAGCCCGATAACATGGACTTTGAGAATTTTCAGGTCTTTTACAACCAGAATACGAACGTCTTTAACTGCAGCTCCCTGTCGAATTGATTTGCCCAAACTCAAATTGAGAATCCAGTTAAGAATATTGCGTTTTGTAAACAAGGCTTTCGTTGTATCCTTGGGGATATTAGACTGTTTTATGCTAGGGTACTGAAACCACTGAAGACTAGTGTCGTTTTATGGACCGCCGTGATCTTAGGACGCGCAGGTACATGCACTGACCTGTGGATCCACGATATTTTCGGAATCCGGTGGGTAATCTGCCTATCTTGAGTTTTCCAGCTTTCACCTTTCTCGGAAAAAAGTAGATAGTATGTTCGGGAATATCAGTAATCATTTTGTCAGTCTTGTATTCAACCTCGGCTTGCCCCTAGGAAATGAAGTAATTATTAAGCCGAATCTGGATTACGCTTTGAGACCGTCAGAGATTCTCATGGCCTCCCGAAATCCGACGTTAAATAGCTCAGACTGTCCTGTGTAAAACGTTTATTATTTAACCTATCGTCCAATCACTCCCTGTTCTCTCATATACTGGTCAAGGAGACACGACACCTGGCGCCGAAGATGTCTTTTCTTTTCCGAAGAAACAATACCTATAGTCCCGACAAGGATATTCCAGACCTCGCGGGGAAGGTAATCTTGGTAACTGGAGGAAATAATGGTTTGGGTAAAGAAACCATCAAGCAGTTGGCAAAGCACAACCCCGCAAAGATCTACATGGGCGCGCGCAGCAAGGCAAAAGCTTCTGCTGCAATTGCAGAGCTGAAAGACCAAGTTCCTTCCGCAAACATCAACCATCTCGAAATCGACCTGGCATCTTTCTCTTCTATTAAAAGGGCAGCTGCCACCTTTTTGGCGGAGAACGAGTGTCTCCATATCCTCGTGAACAATGCTGGTATTTTCGGCACTGCGCCAGGGTTGACAGAGGACGGGTACGAAGTACAGTTCGGCACCAATTACATAGGTCCAGCGCTATTCACCGAATTACTGCTACCGATCCTGGAGAAAACAGCTAGCATTGCTGAAACCGACGTTCGAATTGTCAACATCAGCTCGGAAATATATACCTTGGCTCCCAAAGGAGGGCTTCTGCTCAGTCAAGATAAGACGCCACTAAGGGAGATCAGTTCCCTGGCCCGCTATGGCCAGTCCAAACTTGCAAATATTTACTTCACCAAATCTTACGCCAAACGCTATCCCGCCATCAAGTCTGTGGCCTTACACCCGGGCCTCGTCCGGACCAATATCGGTGGTGAAATGAAGGGCTTCTCTATCACGTCGCTTGTTTTCGGCCTTCTTAATAAAGTGAGCTCTGTCGATGTAGCCACGGGGGCCCTAAATCAGCTTTGGGCGAGCACTTTCCAGTCAGAAAAGGTCAAAAGTGGCGCATACTACATTCCATTCTTCAAAGAGAGTAGTAGGCGGGATATCACCGGGGACGAGAAAAGAATGGAGGAGTTGTGGGAATGGACTCAAAAGGAATTCAGGGAGCATGGATTGTAATCGTATCTCAACAATCCTGAGGCGATGAAGTTTATCAATGTAATTTATCTCTGTTCTCCTAATTGAACACCTGTCGCGACCCAATTGTTCAATTTTATCTTCTTACTAGATCAGACCATGAATCCGTTTGGTGGTTTGATTCTCTTCGTCACTGCTGTTCCGCTGGCGAAACCTAAGATGGCTGGACTATTTTCCGGATTGGATGTAGATGAGAAAATCTTTTATTTAAACTCTACTGCTATATTTTTCTCTCAAAACGTTACTAAACGACTATTCCAGCACACTGGAAAACAATTTATATCAATCATGGCAACAAATCCCCTCGTCACTCTAAAGGACCCGGTAGATGTGTCCAGAAACTGGTATGGATTTAGTGAAAGCCTATCTACTGTAGTAATCAAGAAAGCTGTAGACTATTTTTCAGAAGGGAGTTGTATCACAACAACTTTATGCTGGTTTGTCTGAACTGAGCCGTGACATTGTGATACAACAGAGGCGGGTTTAAGGAGGTCTTTGTGGGTGTTTCTCACCCACGAAACGGCAGAGTCTGAGTAACTAGAGAACTGTACTCCGTACAGAGTGCTAAATTCCCTCTAGCATCACATAGGAATCAGTGCCAATATGCGCTTTGTCGATTCAACCGCGTGTGCGATTGTCATCCTGAATTGCTGCAAGTGAAACCTTGGCTTGGTGATGTTATTAGTTATACTAGATCACTATTCTTCTGTAAGGCTATGTTGGGTATCACCAGCTAGGTACCGTGTACACAGTTAAGTGGACAGTATGTATGCTTCCAAAGCAAAAAGTCAATTGATTCATGTATGGTAGATCTGTATCTGAAGTCAGGTCAGGTACCAAGATACCCCTTAATTCCCTGTGCCGACGCTGGGCAGTCACAACACCGAAACCGCAGCTCCGCGCAAGAATGTGTACACCAAGCAAGGGATGTTATCCCTCGGTTGACAGAAGGATATATCCCGACAGGCTACGAAGTCCCAATTCATGGAGGTCGAATTGAATGAACATTCTAAACTATCTACGAAAAGAAAACTTTATCTGCGACGGACAGTGAAATCCACTAAACTAAATAAAGGAGCAGCCTTTCGAAATCTCTGCGGAATCTGTATGTTCCATACTTCTGTTGGTGGCGGTGGCGAGGTCGATTACCAAGCTTGTTACCGACGATCTTCAGCTGCCTTACAGTGAAGTAGCCCCTTGGAATCTTCAGCGTCGGGTTAATTAAAGTTCAAACTCAGCTCGGAAATTAGGACCAGTTCCCGGGTCGGCGTACTCAGTTCATCCATTCAAATCAAGCCGTTGAATTGTTGCTCTGTTTGTGTCGGGTATCTGATCGGTCCGATCACTAATCTGCCCGGGAATTATCGGTAGGATATTGGGCAACAGTGTTTCAAATACGCCTGGTCAAAAAGTAAATTATATCCCCTGTAATGCCCCCTAAAAGTTTCATTTACCTCCGGTATCAATTGCCTATTCTCATCAACCTCTCAACTAAAATGCCGTCTCTATTAAACGATGCAGTCAAGCTACCCTGCGGCTTGGTCTTTCCCAATCGCTTGTCCAAAGTATGTGCCAAATTGAACTTATAGATAAGACATTGCTTACAATCATTCAGGCGGCCATGGCCGAAAACCTAGCGACGTCAGACAGCAACCCGAATGAGAACTTCAACCTGGCCTACAACAGGTGGAGCGATGGAGGATGGGGAATGATCATGACAGGTTCGTTGTCTGTTACTTTACGTATCCAACCAATCATAATTCTGATTTTTACAGGAAACGTGCAAGTCGACGTTGACCACCTCGGAAACTTCAAAGACCCTGCCGTGCAAACCGACTACGAAACCAAGAGTTCCAAATTATGGAAAGCATACGCCGCAGCAAGCCAGAAGCATGGCAGCCCTACAATTGTGCAGCTCGCCCACCCGGGAAGACAATCGCTCCGTGGAGCTGGGCGCAGAGGACTCTTTGCTCCGACAATTGCACCAAGCGCGATTCCGCTGACTATTGGTAATAACTTTCTGGATTCTGTTATTACCTCCCTGGCATTTCCTAGGCCGAGAGAGATGACCCAGAAAGACATAAATACTGTGATTCGTCTGTTTGTGGATTCTGCGCGTTTTATAGCAGAGAGTGGGTTTTCGGGTATTGAGTTGCATGCAGCGCATGGATATCTTCTAGGTGAGTTTCACCTTGCATGCATTATCTATTTGATCGGGATGGGATGGAAGAGGTATACTAACAAGCCATCTTATCTTAATACTAGACCAGTTCATAAACCCCAAGGTACATTCAATTGAATGCGCTATACACTGCGACTTATCACTAACTCTCGGAACAGACCAATCTCCGAACTGATGTGTACGGAGGCTCAGCAGAGAACCGCGCGAGACTCCTCCTTGATATCCTGAAAGGATGCCGAGAAGCCGTGCCGGCAACTTTCTGCATCGGCGTTAAACTAAACTCGGCTGACCACAGCGCAGCGAATCTCGAGGATACAATGACCCAGATTAGGCTCCTTGTCGATGCCGGGATTGACTTTCTTGAAGTTAGTGGTGGGACTTATGAAAATCCACGGGTACGTAAGGCTCAGTTTCCAGTAATATATGACGTGTTGCTACTGATTTGATTCCCTATTTAGATGGTAGATGGCGACAAGCCCGCAATCTCGCAAACGAAATCCGCACGCACAGCAGCCCGCGAAGCATTCTTCCTCGATTTCGCAAAAGAAACCCGCAAGCGGTTCCCGAATCTCGTGCTCATGCTCACAGGAGGGTTTCGCAGCCGTGCTGGTGCAGAGGCTGCCATAAAAGAGAATGCGTGTGATCTCGTCGGTATCGCGCGCCCAGCAGCAGTTAATCCGAGATTTGCGGCATTGCTTCTAGATGAAGGTACCAGGGATGAGGATGCGCAGATCTCTCTGGATAAGGTGAGGCCTGGGTGGCTTCCTAAGCTTCTACGGAGTCAGATCTTGGGGGCGGGGGCAGAGAGTGTGAGTTTTATTTTCCTTTTCTTTGACCCTAGGAAACCGGAGAGGTATGACATTTCTAACAGGAATAGACTTATTATGCGGACCAGATTCATCGGTTGGCCAAGGGACGGGCTACCGCTGTCCCAGGGCATTGATCGGCTTATTACTCTGCATTAAATAGCGTGTATATTTGAGATGTAGTTGTTAGTTATTGCAAGAACCTAATAATATTCTGCCAGTGTTCAGACCGCAGGTGCCCGTGCGGGCCAAAATATCTCATCCGTCTCCACTTGTGCCAGTGTAGCAATGGTTTGGAATAGATAGCAGGTAGAGTCCACTTCGACTAATGACGGCTGCAGCAGCAGCACCTGTACCACATTAGGCAGTAAATCCATCACCTGCACCCTCACATTCTTCACCAAGCCTTTTTCAATAGAGACACTGCGCATGATGCTTGCAATACAGCCAGTTTTCAGCGCGAGGGCATATGGTGGCACGCCTGATTCATCGACAGCAGGTCTGCTTCCGCCACCGTAGGAAGATGGAAGGCGGTATCGTCCAGCTCTTTAATCGTATCATGGCTATAGTAGGTGGCTGGAATCCGTCCATTATTAGTAGGGTGGTACGCCACATCCAGAGAGAAGAAAGAGAGTAAGGCATAGTAGGACAGGCGAGGGAGCGGAGGGAAATACTTGCACAGCCTGACAGGCGGTCCAGCATTAGCTCATCGAACACATCCACACGGGCGTTAACGTGATCCACGGTCGGCTCGGACACACGGCCGGCCCGGACACCACATCCAAAATCCCCATCTTCTTAGTACCTAACTAATTCAACCAACTACCATGCCACCAATTCGCACTAAAACCTCGCAAGATTCGGCCAATCAAGAGGGCAAGATCTTATTAGCCCTTAGTGACCTTCAAAATGGCCGAATCAAATCTCTTCGCGCAGCAGCCAGTCTATACGAAATCCCCAGATCAGCCCTATCCGTTGGGGCGGAAGGCCACGGTCACGTGGTCATATACGGGCATGGGCCCGTTACACATGACGTGTTTCATCTCGGCCGAAGGGAGTTTCACGCCTCTTATTCAGTCCCCTATCGTTCAATTCGCTTGATCTTCTTCAACTGGGAAGAGGAGATTATAGTAATTCTTGAATATTCGCGACATTTATCATAGCGTGCGCGGCGGATAGAACTCCCTCCCGTACCTGTACGTATAGACAGGTCTAACTCTGTCTTCAATTGATCGGCAACATAAGCGAATAAGCGCGCTGTTTTCGCCATTCCTCTTTGAATGGGAAGCAAATCTGGCTAATTGCAGATTAAGCTGTTCTATCCGATTTTCTAGTTTTTTGAGCTGACCGCCTACTTTGGGGGTGGGCTGAAGTGCTGAATTCGTTTGAATCAGAAGGATGGGGTTGTGCGTATAGAATCACCATTACCACTCTCCCTTCAGCTCTCTCTAACTTAGAATCGGAAACTGTTCCCAACCCTCTCAGAATTAATAGGCCCTAAGTTTGCTAATCTAAAACTGATCTGCATAGCAGATTTCTTGAAGGTCTTGTATTGTGGCGATCGCAGCGAGGAAATTCATCCTAAGCAGACTGCTCAAAGCTAGTGTCGGTTGTATCCTTAACAGTTAGGTACTACAGGGTTTGTGCACTTTAAAACACCAGCGTCCGACGGTTGAACAATACTACTACTACTGCATGCTAAGGCAAGCTGAATCGGATAATCCTATTTGGCTTACAAAACTTGACGCCTTCGTATTTAAGGTGTAAGCCAAACCTATCGCAGGTCAACATGCACTATAAGCTTTGCGCAGGACCAGACTCGTGGATATGCTGAACTCACTGGTAGCGAGGCTATCGTTCATATAGCCACTATCAGTCATCGTGATACTCTTATGTTCTTGTTGCCGTTCAAAGCTGCGTATTAGGACCTGGAGTGCACAATGGTTTTTAACCGGAAGTATGCTGATCCAGCTGTTGAAACAGCCCCAATAACCGTCACCAGTTGCGACTGATAACGCTGCCGCCAATGCCCTTTTGCTCGTTACAGCCAGGAAGAGATCCAGGGTCAACTTGTGCCATTTGACGAAAGTATCAAGACTAGAGAAGAGAAGAAAGAGAAACCTATCTAGTGGGATGATGTTTGATATGTCCCCCGGTAAGAAACGCCTTTTCTCCCGATTCGGCCATGTTTGTTTCCATCGCCAAATCCCCAGACTAATCCCAATCGCGTCTAGGTCGTCACATTGCTTATGTTTGCGTGTATACCTTATTGATCTTCCCAACGCAATTGCATAGTCAAAACTCCAGATACCGTGTGGGTTGATGCTGTTCTTAAAGTGAGTCTTGTGGTGGGTATTAATCCAGCCCTGAATCACAGATTTGTCTTGCCTCTGTTACCTCTAAATATCTACCCCCCTTCAGCGTAGTCGGTGACATTCATGATGCTGACCGTGAAAGAGTTTTAGCTATTTTCACAGACTGGAAGAGGAGGTTCGGGGGATACGGCAGAGTGTTTGCGAATGATAGATTTAGCACCCTTATTGATCTTTTTTCGCATAGTGGCCAGTCACACAGAGCTTGTCCCTAAGTAGAACAAAACCTCCCATAGGTATAGGGGTGCTAAGCGAGGGATTACGCCTCTTCCACTGGGTGAGGAGAAGTTGACATGGAACGCGCTTGTTATGTGCCCAATTGACTAAATTTGGCCTTTTGAAAGCTGACATGGCTTCAAAAGCTTCCTGAATGCAAATTTCGATGTCTTCGTTGGATTCAGGCACAGTAGAGTTAACAAATCGCATGTTGAATAAGTTATGATAGGAGAATGTGAAATATTATTGTTTGGGGATAATTACTGGTTTGGGTTTCGTCATGCGAGGATCTGTTCTATGTGATAATTTGTGAAAGGGTCGGTTATTGAGTGAACATGGACTTACAGGGACTTGCGCAATTCTGTCTATTGGAGGCAGATGTATATACTCTTTGATACACTATATCATAAACAACCTCACTAGCCAATCAGCTGTGTTGGCGACCATCTCCTTTGTACATGTATGCCCTGTGTTCTTTTGCACAAAGCACTCAATCTTCTTGCACGGAGCGGGATTGGTATGCTGTGCCCACTGGGTTGCGAATTCACTGGGTACAAGAAGATCCTGTTCTCCGTTCTGGATCAACATAGGAATATCCTTCGGAAAATCTTCTTCAATAGTACGGTCGGTCTCTTGCACTATCTTACTGAGGGATTCCGGCCAGCGTCGCTGCTGCTCTTCTGTCAATACAGTTGCCAAGTCTTTGTAGGAGAGGGTGTATAGGTCCCGATAGGTCAATTTAAGGATAGAAGCGTCGACGCCCAGGCGAGTCAGCATGAGGCCGGTCAAATTTGGGGATGCGATGATGGGTACGATGCCGTGGATTTTGTTGGCGCCCACTGACTTGGATACGCGCCACGCGACATGTCCTCCAAGGGACACACCTGCCATAATGTTGTAGAACTTTTTGAAGCGGCCGGGGATATAGGATGGGAGATAGTCGAATAAAATGCCGAAATCGGACGCTGATGCCGATATAAGGGAGAGCATATCAGGGCTACGGAATCATTCTTTAATCAGATTAATTTTCACGTGTCCAAGTGTGAATCGTCATACCCATGTGTCTCATTACCCGAATCCCAGGAAAGATTTGCTTCCCTGCTAATCTATAGAGACAACGGTTTTAGTTTCGCTTACATGAGGGACTTTGGCGTGAGGAGCGTTGGAGGCCGTGAAGAGAGTGGGACAATGTACCTCGCGATCACCGTGGTTCGGCATATCTAACGTAACAGCAATCAAATTGGTCTTCCTCGGCCGACGGTCATTGCGATACCGATGGAGGATCTCATGAGCAAAGCCTTCCATATTCAAGTACGTGAGCGTGCGACCGTGAGCGAGGTATAACACCGCGATTTCATTATTGGACCAATGCATCAACTTCAGTTCCTCCAACCCGTACACGTATATTCGAAGACCAGCAACCACGAACTCGGTCTTACTCGAACGAGGTGTTGAATCAGGGATTGAAAATTCTGGTTCTGAATAGGAATTATTCATGTTGATCTGGCAAGGTTACCAAACAAAATATATGTTGACGCAAATCGGGAAGCTCGACGAGTATACAAGAAGCGAATGTCGGATATAACCCTGCTTTTAGGTTCTACGTTGCTGAAAGGGGCGCTAGGTGTAAAATAAGGGTCAGATGAAACAAAGCAAGGTTCCGTACTTGTCACTAGCGCATTTCCTCCAGTAAATCCTGATCCTCCCAAATCTAGCTAGAGGGATCAATGCTGATCACTGCGTATCTAACCTCGGGTATCGTGAGCCTTTATTGTGGACTAAAGTATAATTTGCTTTTCACCGATCACAACCCCGGCAAGCATCACTATCTGTTGAGAAGTGCTGTTTTCTGCATCTTATTTACAAGCTCATGTGAGAAGTTACCATAGGACCGAACTAAATCAATGAATATTCGTCACACAAACTGCAGTTCACCGCCTTCGCTAGCAGGCATACGACTTTCCAGCTCGCCGATTTACCAGAAAGGTGTGAAATTAGTTGGCCACTAATGTTGGAAATCCAACACTGCATTTAATATGGAAACTTCTTGCACGATGATTAAACCTATGGCCTACAGTGTTGTGTTACACATTCAAACTTGCATGACTAAGTTGAGCCCCAGAGCTTTAGCCTCCAAATAAACTGCCTATGAAACATATTCCCATGAAGGTAGTTGACGTGGCTTCCAACCCAGTCTACATATGTGACTTGCAATATTCAGAGAGTTCACTCCCCAGATCGCAGGCCCTGAACAAGGTCCCCATCAATATTAGGACACTCCTCTACGGAAAACGGCTGAACATCGGGGGTTTTCAGATAACCGTTCTTGAACTTGTCCGTGGTAACGGCCTTCGCCACATCTTTCCAAATATGCTGCCCGTTTTCAACGAAGTAGTAACCATCGCCGTTCCAATCTGCCTTTCCACCCCATTTTAAGGCTTCCTCCACAAGAATAACATATCCATCCGCTAAATCGGGGGCGTGAATGTTCCTCCACTCGTTCTGCACCTGAAGGACAGTCAGCGCCTTCTTGCTGTGTAGAGATGTTTTTGCCAGAGTTGGAATTTGAACACTGCGCTGTTTAACTGAACTAGTTTCGGTGCCATCATATATGGTAGGTGGGCAGGCGATCGCTGTCTTGAATTTGGGCTGCTCGACCGGTTGGCTTGCGGTTGCATCCAGGACAATGCTGTCCACATTGCTATAGCTAAAAGAAAATCAAAATAATCTTGTGCATTCAACAAAGGTATCAAGTCTGGGGAAGGAAAAGAAGAGAAATCTATTTGTTGGTTTGATGGCTGATATATCCCATGATAAGGAGCGCCTTCTCCTATCATCCGGATTCAACGATATTCGGGTCCCATCTCAAATCCTCATACTAATCCACCGTGCAGACTCGGTCTTTCCATTCGTGTTAAGATCGGATATTCTGTAGTCCGACATGGCAGGATCACACCCAGTGTAGTGGGGGATCTAATGACATTACTTAGCTTAGTTGTTTCTGTTTTGTGGTCTGTTTGTCCGGTATGCTTTGGTGTATTTCAGCGGAAATCGTATACTTTGATTCAGGAAAGTGAAGATATATACAACACACATGACAGGAGTGATGTAGGATTGGACACCTTTTCAATGGAGTTTTTCTTCTCATTTTTCTCATTTTTCTCTCAGAGCAGGACGTCCCTTCAATTCTTCTACTCAGGCCAGCCAGATCTACTGTTAGTAGGGCGTTTACCGACCGTGCGATCCCATCCTCTTGTTGCCTCTCGTACGGCAGCTTAGCTGTTGGGGGTTTTTTCTGCCCCTGCCCCGACCCGGCTGCTTTGAGCTTCCCCACTTCACTAGGTAATAAACTAAAGCGGAGTCTAAACTCTAATAGGTTCCGCTTCCGCGGTATGCCATCGATCCAGAATCGGCCGATACGGCTGCAGGGTCCTAGTGCTGACACCTGACCGTCGGAGACGGTGTTCTCAGGCCACAAGGCAGCTCTAAAGTCGCACACGCTTTTGCGAAGATCTCAGTATTAATGAGAAGGAGATCAAAGGAACATTCCCGTGCCTAGTAAGGAATATAGATAAATGTTACGACTATATCTCTGTTTCCCGAAGAGGAATAAGATTTCTTATAATAATTAACCTTACTATATCTGTAAATCCATCCCATGTCCGACATATGTTAGATCATGATTTCGCTTATCTGATACTACACCAGCACCTGAACATCTTTCCATCCATTCCGCCCTAATGCCTCATACTATTGTCTGTTAGATTAATATCACAAGGTGAACAACTATAAACATGAACGAAAGCCAGAAGTAGCTCATTATCTTAGAAAATGATGGACGTAATTTGCAAGTAGCGGCGAAATTAAATAAGTGACTAATTTCCCGAACATATCTAGCTTCTTCTAGAAAGCAATAGGCAACTTCCGCACTTGCTTCAATGCATCGAGTACTAAAGCCTCCTCGACATCATGCAACCGAATTGCAATAGTACAGGTAACCATACCTCTAGTCCGGATGAATTGAAACAGCGCAATGAGCATAGGGCCCCTTTTCCTCACTCTAGACGTCTGGTGGAATTGGCGACGTATAGGCGACAGCAGGAATAACATTGTCGGATAGAAACCTGACGCTGTTTTACACATTTTGGTTAAGAATCGTGTTCTGACAATAGGAAACAAAGGCGTGTTACTACCAAATCCTTCTGTTTGGAATAATAGTGACCATTCCTATTCCCTGTATGTCTGAATTCTCACGTGTTTGCCCTAATATCACCCAGAGGGACAAAATTTGCATGAACCACACGCTGTATGACTTCATTTTACTTCCGCTCGGTCTCCCGGAAGGGAGTCTTCTAGTTGCTCTCGATTAACCCTCGAAGCAAGCATTGGGGAGTACCATGAACAATGGCATCTACTCTTTCATGCCCCAGAATTGGGGTCTGCTACACAATGAGCAAACTCATACATAATAGGCTGCCTCTACCATGGTGAAAGATGACGTGAAACCCGACTCCTCTCAGTCTAAGTAAAGGCGGGACCCATCATCAGACTGCATGCCTCAGAGCACCTACATGCTGAGAACATTGATAATTTCTGGAAGGTGGACCGGTTATACCCTGACACCGATTTTAGCGTTGGGACGGGACATCTTTGGATATATCGGCATGATGTTTTGCATTTGGTTGTTGCTTCTGCAAAGACTTTAAGTTTTAACTCTCTTAATTTCACGGGTTTACAAAATTTGCTGATCAACTGACTCTCAGATAATAACATTTTCTAGCTTGGAGAAGCACAAGTGGTGTCAATTAAGATTTGTAAGTTTTCTTAATATAGAATAATTTACTGAGTTTAAAATCTATAGCCCTGCGGAGAAAAGCGGACAAATATCACTAGTTTTAATAACCCGTCAAGAGGGGAATTCGAGCTGTAGTGCTATGTCAAAATATCTCCTTGTCCAGGACCACGGAAAAGCTATGCATCTCACAGACCCTAAGGGAGATACCACCCCGGAAAAGTCGATTGCTATCACCCCCTCTGCCTGCTTGGGGAACCCCCGAAGTCAAACTCCGGTACTGTATAGTAAGCTAACATCCGTGGACTAGAGCGTAATCAACTACTTGTCGACAGCGAAAACACTTGTCCCTCAAATGAACTCGGGTCAAGAAACATATACTTGGACTCTCTCCGGGCAAAAAACCAGCTTCCATTTACTTTTTACATAACATCTTCGTAGATGGCAAAGTTGTTGTAGTAAGATTCTCCAGGTCCTTTGCCGATCTCGTGCATGATCCAACGGCCTGTGGCACGATCACCGTCGATTTCGATGACACCTGAGTGTACCATTTGGGCGAAGAAGTCTCGTGGTTCAAGTAACCTTTTGACCATGTCCACGATCTCGTTCACCCCCGTGGCGGACATGGAAAATGGTTTACTCAATATCCAGATCGGTTTACGGTTGCTGTCTGGGACCCAGAGCTTTGAGAAAGATTCATAGTCCGGAGGACTGCAGGCATTGGCAAAACGAGCAACCAGATCCCGGATGGCTAGTTCGTCTTCAATGTGCTGGATTCGATCCATGGCTGACAAAACCGTTTCCCCGGTGGCGAGTTCATATTCAGTGTCTTCGTATTGATTGTTGCCCGACATGGTTATCGCCTTGGACAAGGACAGGGTATGCAAGATATGAAGGAGTACACCGCCGGAGACAATTGATTCAGTGGTTCGTTCTGCTATGGAATTTTCGGCGTAGTTCAGGTTTTATATTCTCATTTTTCAAAGATGGTGCATTGATTGATTGGGTTGTGCCACGTTTGGCTCTTCTTTACATCTTGCAAAGAGTGCGAAGTCCCTCCCGCATTGACTCGCATATCTGAGAGTACTACATAGCAGACTGTCTGTGCCCGATGGTCCACAAAATGGCTTTATATGATGACATATGATAATTTGGTGCTTTGTCTTATAAAGGATTCATTCCTATATCTCTTCATATCGAAGATTATGTCTTCCTTACAAGAAAAGTTCGACTACTATGATCAGAAGTGCTTGTGGCATCGCCACAGCAAATTCCTCGCCTACAAGGGTGCCATCCACTCTCATAGAGGTATCAATACCAGATAGCTCTTACAGGCGTGATCTCAGCCATGGCTGATGATCAAAGTACTCTAGGAAATTAGCGAGTGTCTCGTAACATCTTCGGGACAATCCGGAAACATTTGAACCTCTTAAGCGTGCAATGCGAAATCACGCATAATGAACTCGGAAAGCCGTATAATTCCCACATTACCTATTATGCACGGGGGCATTTCGCATTAATTGGGACCTCTGATGGTCATCATTTTGAGAATGCGCATATTGTGCCGGAATATACTCGGCCGATTTGTTCTAAGTAAACCTTGTATGGAGTCATGTTTCGAGGTTCGCTCCAGCTCGGAAGATGAGTTTTGGCGGTTCAGGTGCTAAAATCTCAAGAGTGGAACATTTTGTCCCACAGACAATATGATCGCAAGATATCAAAATTATATACGTTTTCTCATTGCTTAAGTAGAGTGTTCATAGAATATAACAGGCAATCTTTGTAATAATGTACGAATAGATGGGTAACGAAGATCTAATGTAAATATTCTGAATTAATTTGATCTAAAAATCAATATTTTTATTGCAATATTTATTTGACGGTCGTACGAGTCGCCAAATCTTTCAACCTAGGGTCCATTATTCGACTGCGATTCCCCAGCCTGACTCTGAATCCACTCTACTTTGCCAGTAACATCTGGGTCAAATTGGCCCATATTCGGCGTGATAATTGTTCGTTCTTCTTATATAGAGGCCACGTGAATTATTCCAGCCAAGTGAAAGTACAGACATAAAAAGAATGATGGGATAAGCAGCAAGGCTCACCTGCGCATTCACACTACATCACCAGGATATAAAAAGCACTGTCATATAGTTGAGGAATCTGGAAGCTACAATTACTTAGAGGTTTGACCCAACATAGGTGACGAATTTGTTTCAGACAATATGAAGTTCCTAGGACCTTTGTGTTATATTAACGAAGCAGCGGTAATTGATGAGTCCCTGTGCGACCGGCAAGTACGGTTAAATGGTATTCGTCTGGCGTCCTAAAAAGGCACCAAAAATATTTGAGGGGTAATTTACTTGGTTTACAGTAATATTTGAAAAGCAAATTCGCAAAGCTGCGAGTCACCTAGTGACTCTAATCTGATAGCTTGCTTACGAACATGGAGAGCAGCAAGAACAGAAAGTTTTGTACTGAGAGTATGAACAAATCACTCTATTATTGAACTCAAGTCTGGGAGAAACGAGAGAACAATGCCCTAGCGTTCTGGAAGTAAATTTTGTTGCGCAATGTCTCGTCCATTGGGAATGAATCCAGTTCATTAGAAAATGCCCTGACGCCCTCTTCACCAGCATAGGGAAAGTCACTACCATATAGGATACGATCGTGGGATGCAAAATCCAATAGAAGGCGCATTGTGTGATGCGATCCGCATAGTGCAAGATCAAAATAAAATGACTTGCAATCTTCAAGAATTTCCGACGGCAGCAAATTCGTCTTTCCCATTGGCGTTCCTTTCACTAGGTTGGCGACACGGGTAGCCAAGTATGGCATCGTACCTCCCCCGTGAGAAAGAATCACTTTACAGTTGGGGTGGTGACGCTTTGTTCCTGATAGGACGAGATCCATTGCCGTTCGTGTTGTTTCATGTGGGTAGTCTATCATCGGCTGTGGCAAGGAAGAACTGACCAAATTCGTGTCAGCTGCATGGGTGGGGTGAATAAAAACGACTGCATGTCGTTTATTCAACTCCTGCCAAATAGGAGCAAAAACAGCATTTCCCAAGTAGAAATTTCCACTTCCATATCTAGTGAATAATGTAATTCCATCGGCATTTAGGATATCAAGGCTATATCTTATTTCGTCAAGACAGCCTTCCACGTCCAACAATGTAGGGAGCGCAGCGAAAAAAGCCATAGCGGCCAGGGTTATTATCCCGCAAAGCTGCGGCATAATCATTGGCTTTTCGCGCTAACTGGCGTCCACCTTCGCCATGAAGGACTGAAGCACCAGGGGCAGTGATGGACAGGATAGCCGTTATGATTGAACCATTCTTCATAAAAGCCTGCGTCGTCTCAGGCTTCCAAGCTGGTATATGGGAGCCAGATGGATCGCCATGAGTCTCGATCGCTGTATCGAAAGTCGTTAAAGAATGCTACAAATACGACGTGTTTTTTGACGTACCACTGGCATAGAAATCCGGTATGAAATGATGGTGGACATCGACCTTCTCTGGTAAACTATTCATAACGATACTTTGAGAGTAACCAGTTGATGTGATCAGGGGAAAGCTTTTTATCCATTGATCGTGGGTCAGTCTGGTCGTTGACATTTATGGGATGCTTCCCGTGAATCTTCTTACAGTGGCGGGACTCACCGGACCATCTCCGCCTCAATTTCGGCATGAATGCTCTTACCCCGCACCCCGACTCATAGTCTTGAATTCGCGGGCGGACAAAGTTCGGATTTTGTTCCAACCCGGAACGTTGGATAAATGAACCCATTCCATGGAGCCCTTGAAACCAGAATCGCAGATAGACGCACTCCTGGTGGGGTGCAAAACCAAAGACCTGTATCTCCGTGAACCGAACTACGTTTACTTGCGAAAGGTCTTGTTCAAATTTGATCTTGGTCCCCTCCACTCTATCACCGAGAATGAAGTCCGTACTGGTACAGTATGCGGATTTGTGTGGGCTCATTGGTGGTGATGATCCCTCGCCATCGGCAACATGTAGGCTGCCGCTACTAGAGCTAACGTTCCGTCTCTAATTCTAGCAACACATTACCTGTAGGCTAACCTCAAGGCAAGTGGTGGCCTGGCTGACTGGAACTCCGTTTCATGGCTCTCCCTCCGCTTGGCTTGGAAATATTGCGATGCCTTTGCACGGCCATGCAGTGAGCCAAGCGTGATAGTTTTTATAACCTATGAAGAACTCCTTAGAAACGAGAATGGCTAAAGGGCTAAGAGAATGAGTCGGGCCACCCAACGCTACCAGACTCAACTAGCTAAGGACGAATCTGAGAGATATCTTTTGTTCTCTTGGACGAGCTAGAGGTAGGCAAAGCCAACATGTAAATCACTCTTCATTGATAAGGGAAATATGTGCCTGGAAAGATAACGACCTCGACCTATATTCTTGTCTTTGGCACTGATCATTGTTACCACATTCTACATAATATGATCCAGATCCATAGTTCCAACGGCAACGGTCTGACACTCGTAATAGAAATATGAATCGCCGGCCTTATGATGGAGGTTTCCTGTCGACTGCAAAACGCACCAGGATTCTAGGACATGCCCTTAAGGTCTTACTCTTGTCTTTTATCAGGAAGCTTCTCCTCAAGAGTTACCTGGTCTTTAGTTACTTAAGAGTAGCGGAAGAATGAAGCAAGTTGGTAAGCCTTGTTCAGAAGTATCGTAGATATACGTTGTGGTATTTGGTGTTGCATCTTTGGATATACGCGTCCTTGTGTTCCACAGCCTAGAGGATCCTAATTATTGCATATGGCTACCGAGGTTCGTCCGATCTTTTCCGAATCCTCTCCTGCATTAGCTAGTAGTTCGCCAAGGACAAAACCACACCTATGACACCTGAACGTGTTGCCTGGTCTCCTTCCCATAATGATGTCCTATACGTGAGCCTGTTTATATACCTTTCTTGATCTGAATTACTACCGCTAATATCCCACGTCATAGTCAAATTCCCAAAAAGAAGTAAAAAGTGGAGAGAAAGCCATTTTCTTGCCATGCGGTGTTCACTTAGCATAATCACTCCCCAAGAAGAGCATTAACTTTACAGCTCAGATCTAGATCCGTGACTAATAAGTTATAATAAAGGCATCCTTAGTTCGCTAGCAGCCGTATTCTCCCGACTAGAACTACTGGTTCTTACCATAAAAACTATAAGCTGCAGTAATGTTATGATTCCCATTCCGCCCCACATTTCTAATGCTCCACAGTCAATTTTCAATAATTTAACACCGAGCTTACAAACTCTTTGTCAGATGGAGAAGCCCAAGTTCACCAATTCAATTGGACAAGATATGCAGGACACCAACATCGTTATTGGACTCAGTTGAAAACGTTGGGAATCGCCGCGAGTGAATTAATGATGGTCAGGTACGACGACAATTTGCCGAAATATATATAAAGGCATTGCCATCCCTAATCACCCAATAGATCTGCTCTTCGACGACTAACCAGGAAAAAATCCTCAACAATCCCCATACAAGCATTCCAAAATCCAAGCACGTTCAAGATGGGTTCCATCCAAGTCGATTTCAAGAACCCCGCCACCACAACTCTCCTTGAGCTGGCCAAGTCCCGCCGCACATACTATGATCTGAAGGCCGAGAGCCCTATCTCCGACGATGCCATTGAGGCAATAGTCCAGGATTCTGTCCTCCATGTCCCCAGCTCTTTTAACACCCAGACTTCCCGTGTAGTTCTTCTCCTGAAGGAAGAACACAGAAAGGTGTGGGACATTGCTATCAATGCTATAGAAGAGCTGGTTGCTGCTGGTCAGGTTCCTAAGGAGGTGTTTGAGACCCAAACCAAGCCTAAGCTGAATGCATTCCGCGCTGCTTATGGAACTGTAAGGTTTTTTATTTTTCTTTTTTTCCTTTAAAAAGGAGTGTAGTAGGTGCTAATGGGCCAGGTTCTCTTCTTTGTCGACTATGACTCCCTGGCTTCGATTAAAGAGAAATTCTCTCTATATGCCGACAAATTCGATCCTTTTGCCATGGAGTCGAATGCCATGACTCAGTATCTCGGTACGTTAAACGTTTTCCAACTACTGTCCGTAATCACCATATCAGACGCTCATTGTGAATAGTCTGGGTCGCCCTCGAATCCGAAGGTTTTGGTGCCAATCTCCAGCACTATAATCCTCTGATTGACGAGCAGATTCAAAAGACTTGGGGCTTACCCACCTCATGGAAGCTTGACGCACAGCTAGTCTTTGGTGTTTCTACCACGGACCCGGGTGAGAAGACTTTTACTCCCCTTGAAGGTCGCCTTAAGGTCTTCGGAAAGTCCCAGTGAGCTTGAAATAGGGATAGTTTTGAGTCTGCGGCTATGAAGCTATTATGCGAGGGCAGAATATTAATTAAAGGTCTTTAGCATGTCTGGTTCGCGTATTTGATAATGATCGCTCCTGTGGAGAAAACAGTCCCTTGTCATAAATATCCCATATTCGGTAACTTCATGTAGTCTTGCCGAGCACCTAGCAACAGAACATCGAAGAAAAGCCATTCTCAAAGATTTCGGGCGATACTAGGTAACCATTCACGTTACCACTTTGCTTCGTCATGTTTTTGCAGCGACTATTGCTGCAGCTATAGGTGTCTCCGAGAGACCAACCCTATCGTCTTCTATAGTCACTCTCCCGCTGTTGAATACCCTCAATCGTTCGCGGCACTGGATTACATATAATTATCCTATTTTGGACGTTTCAACATGCTAAACCTTCTTATTCACCATAATGTAATATGTAAGTCGCAAATTTCGATGTTTAAATAGGTCACTCACCGCCGGTGAGTCATCTTTGAGTGAGGACGAAGCCTACTTCTGGCTGCGCAAAATAGTAGTCTCGCCTCTTTTCAGTCGGCAATAACAACTTGATATTTTCGTTATCCATTCAATATATTTCCCCTACTCAATTTCGATTGCAAATTTCATAATATTTGATATAAAAATAATCTGCGATCCCTCCGTCTCATGTTTTTCCCAAGTCACGATCTGTCATGTAGGCGGTGTGCATAGGGCGGTGACTTCTAGCAAATCAATATCGCGACAGCCAAGTGAACTGGAGTTTATGGAGGACAACGATGGTTTGACAGGTGATGAAAGAATATGGCTATTTCAACCAAGCGTACTCTCAGAAATCGCGGTAATAACTGGAGTGCGCCATATTGTGGATTTGCCAGAGTCTGGTTGAGGCTTGGCAAAAATGCTCACACGTCGATGCGAGGCTGTTCAGAAAAACAACGGAATTACCGGGCTAGATCGGCCTTTGCGCGCACTGCTGAGGTGATAAAGTCCGGTTAGATCCGGCTTAACGGAACTTTGGTTGTCGTTACAGCCTTCGGGTTATTTACCAAACTTTACGTCGGAAGCCACATTCTCCAAATCGTTCCGCCAGAAGCGGGGAAGCGCTAGAATATATGGCTCTCGAGACAAATGACATATGGTGATCTAATGCTGAGTAAGTTATTAGTTAGCTGGGTGATTAGGTTTAGTAAAATAGTTGATATATAGACCCTTTGTAACCCAGAGGGCCGTTGCCTATATATGGAACGCTTGCCACTAACTGCAGTAGGTACGCACACCGTACGTTTCCCAATATCTCGCAATGGACAGCAAACCTTCAGTGGTACCCTTGTGGATCGACGGGCGGTCTGCTGCAGCCCGTCCAGCCGTGACGTTTCCCATTTCTCCGGACGAGCAAGGAAACACGGCTTTTGCTCAGTCCGCCGATGTGGATGCTGCCAAACTTGCAGCAGCGGCGGCGAAGAGGGCTTTTGAACAATGGAGGCTTTCGAGCCCAACTTCTCGCCGGGATATTTTACTGCGTGCAGCTGGTCTACTTGATTCTCGACGAGCAGAGCTCGTTGCACTTCAGGTCTTGGAGACCAACTGTGCGGAAGCTTGGGCACAGTTCAATATTGACAACTCAATCAATAATATGCGCGAAATTGCTGCACGGATTACATCAGCCTGCACAGGTAGTATTCCTGCCATAGGCGGCGAGAAGAACTTGGGCCTAGTCTTCAAGGAACCTGTTGGGCCTGTCTTGCTCATCGCGCCGTGAGTATTATACTCTAGTGGCATACAAAATCTCGATGTCTGCTAATGTGTTCCCTCGCTACTCTATCTAGTTGGAACGCAAGTGTCATTCTTGCCTCACGAGGTTTAAGCTCAATTCTTGGTGCAGGATGTACCGTTGTCTTTAAGACTTCTGAGATATGCCCGCGAGTGCATCATTTGCTAGTGAATGTATTCATTGAAGCTGGAGTCCCAGCGGGCGCTATAAATGCCATCCAGGTTCGACGCGAAGACGCACCAGAAGTCACTGAAGCTTTGATTGCCCATTCGGCAATTCGAAAGGTAGAGTTTATTGGCAGTGCTGCCGTTGGCAGGATCATTGGTGCCATGGCTGGAAAGCACCTTAAACCTGTCCTGATGGAATTGGGAGGAAAATGCGCCTCAATTATCCTCGACGATTGTGAGCTAGAGGATGCTGCAGAAAAGTGCCTTCTTGGAGGTAGGATCCTCCATACAAGGACTAATTTCACGTTTACTGACCATATCATATAGCATTCCTTCACCACGGCCAGATTTGCTTCTCTACGGAGCGAATCATTGTGCAAAGATCCATTGCAGATCAATTTATCCAGTTGCTGAAACGGGGGCTGCTCAGTGGCCAACAGGAAAGGGAGTAAACAGGGAGGTTGTTCAAAAGTCTTGCGACAAGCTTCTAGACGCAGGTGAAAAGGGTGCTCAGTTTTTAACGGGTGGACCAAACTATGCATCCGAGCTATCTCTTCGGCCAACAATTTTGATGGAGACAACGAAGGAGATGAAACTTTGGGATGAGGAAACATTCGGTCCGTCTGTGTCTCTATTCGTAGTGGATACGGACTGTGAGGCGATTGAACTCGCGAATGACTCGTCGTACGGTCTGAACGCCGCAATACATACCAACAATATGCAACGAGCAATTGACATCGCAAGGAAACTTGAGGTTGCGCAGGTACATGTGAACGCATTAACAGAACATGATGACCGTGAGTGGCAGAGTTCATTACTCTTCAGTTATTTGATGGCTAATACTTGGGACCACCTAGCAACCTACCCTCTTGGCGCGGTGAAAGGGAGTGGCTGGGGGCGTAACAACGCCTCATACGGTCTGGAGGAATTCCTTGTGCCGAAGGTAGTGAGCCTAAACATGAGTCGTCAGAAACTAGCCTTCGAAATCGGAGGGAAGTGAGATCTCTCATTGTTTTTTTACCTGGATAATATTAGGTAGTTTCTAAGTTTGATAGAATTATCGAAGGCCAGATATAAATGAATAAATTGGACATACTCTGCCTCCTAGCTCTTTGTTTCTCTCTCTCCTTTTGTGCTGGATACTTCAATAATTCGTGCTTCAATTCTACGGTGGCTGCTAGGCCCAATACAGGCTCTGTATTTGTCCCTCAAGAAGGTCGATACTTCGTTTTGTTTTCTCATGAGCCCCCCCGAGGAGGGTATAAAAACTATGGCTTGGGGTGGATCAGCACAGAAACCATGTTAAATAACCCATGCATAGATACATTTAAAAAGGCACATCGCATTATCCAGTCAGTTGGATCTCATCGGTCGACCACGGTAATGAGCATACTGCATCCTTCAAAATCGACGTTAATACATCCAGATAGCAACTTTAAGGTCTGGAGCCTCCATCTCTGACTCGGATCGAGTCGGGCGAGTCGTGAATCCCTACAAGGTTTCGGGTTAGCTATGGGACGCAGGTATTGCCTCAACGAGCTCGCCGAAGTACAAGGAGTGTTCAGGACTTTACCCTACCAATCTGAACGTAACTTAGTCATGCCTCAGCCTTTACATTCGACTTTGATCAATAGTTCTGAGGTGAGGATCCTATCGCATTATTTTTAAGTAGCTAGCCTCAAAATAATCGCCCTTCCTGGGTTCAATCACAATTAGATCTCTGAGCTTCGGCATGGAACTACTACAATAGCAACCACCCCAAGGACACGTGCAATGCTCAGTTATTCGTGACATATTTTGCAGCTACTAGAGGATCACTTTTATAAACTACAAATTAGATAAACCTCTACCCCCCAGCCTGGCAAACACCTTGAACCCGCCCCCGGGGCTCTAAAACTTCACTAACCATAGATAGCGCTAGCCTGTTTATAATGAAATTACACCATGTGTATATATATATTTATGACGCTAAAGTATGTTCCAAATACGACTATTTTTAGTACAAAATATAGTGTCGGAACAATAAATGGCCGCATAGGCTATGAATGTAGCCCATGGAGCATTTTTGGTCTAGCGGTAAAATGCCTATATTCGTGCGACATCAAGTGACTTTGGGGCGTCATTAAAGTGTCTGCCAGGGAGGAAAGAAGAGTTTCATCGTGCACTAAATTAGTTACAAAAGCTGTTCACAATCAAAAGGAATAAGCATGAAACAGGATCTCTACTGCACCAGACCGCCATATAAAACAGTATGCCATCATTAAAAAAAGCAAGGCTTGGTGTATTCGGTCAAGTCTTTCGTCCCCCTGATAATTTAGAGATATTCATTATTTGACTGACACTGATCTTTTCACTCCTTTCATCAAAGTTTTCATCTGAGTAGATAACGAAATCAACCATGTGCTCGTGATTGAAGAATACAAAACATAGTATTCGATGAAACTTCACGTTTACTGCTCGTTCCAGTTGAACTCCGTCATTTTCGCTGCGAAGGATGCCATCTCAGGAGAGAATGTCCTCGAAACAAAATAACAAGCCGAATCCAGGCCAGATGAGACTCCGCCACCTGTGATGATTTGTATATTGTTTTCTCTCATGCCGCCATCCACATATCTAGCATGGATAACCTCGGTTTTTCCCTTTGTCTCACAGAGCGTTCGGAGTTCATCGAGAAAGAGGTGATGAGTGGTGGCCTTGATGCCATCCAGCAAACCAGAAGCACCTAGAAAGAGAGCTCCTGTACAGATGGAGAGAATAGTCCGTGGTGTTTTACCCTCTCTGGGCGCCTGGAATCCAAAATCCCTCACGAACTGGAATTCCTCCGACTCGCTCTTAACTAAGGAGGAGATGATGTCTGGCGGTCCGCCGGGCACCACCAGAACATCAAAATCCTTCAGTTTGGAGCGTGCAGTGGCTAGGGTGATGCCTGGACTAATCTGAAGGGATGCACTTGTCGAGATTTTTTCATTTCGCCCGATGATTGTGAGCTCAAACGCTGGATCTGGAACGGAATGGTTCATGCTGTGATTGGCATGTGAAAAGATTTCAAGCGGACCAGCAAAGTCCAATACATCTACTCCATCAAACACGAGAAATGCGGCCTGCAGCATTGTAGAATAGATGTAGATTAGCGTGGGCTCGGTCTTGCTGGTAAAGTGGGATCATGATCTAGGTGTCTATTTATTTCAAACTAGACGGACTCATGTTATAGTCAAATGTATACGGCCGTAAGGTGAGGGGTACCCGGTCACGTGTCAATGTTGTTGACTAACGGAAACACTTCGTTACCACGTAGAGCAAGGGAAGTATGTGTCAGAGCAAGCTGCGACAGTAATGGCTAGTAGGCCTAGTAGGCGAATGAGATTGAGGATAGGACCAAGCGGAACCAATCTTGGATGTAAAGGTTGATTGATTGAAGAAAAGAACGAATGTCAGGGGGCAGGTTGAAATACCCCAGAGATGGCTTAAGGTACACGGTGTTACGACAACTGTAATGCCAAGGATACTAAAATACAATACAAAACATAAGGAAAAGTGGGACACTTAGTATAACCCCTGTCTACGTGGTAAGTTACCGCTCTGTCTCTACAGGATGTTAACGGGTCGCAGGATTTCCGTACATGCTAGTACTGAAAGAACCAATCGAACAAGTTATTGAAGAACTAAAATTTTATGTGACAGCACATGCAGATCAAGTACACGCTGAATAATAACATCCCAGAAGGGGCTAGCGGTATGTTAATATCCTCTAAGCCTGACATACGTATGTCGAAATGAAGGAGCGGTCAAATTCCACCCAAGACCCTTTTGGGATAGACTATTTTCAAGACATGGAGGAGGAACTTTCCACTCAGACAGGGGTTGTACTGAGTGACCAACTTTCCTTTGCGTTATTTGGCATCCTTGGCATTATTGTTATCGTAACGCCGTGTATCTTAGCCATCGATGGGGGATTTCAGCCTACCCTGTGATATTCGCTGACCCTCATGCTCCACGCTCCTTCACATCTGCTTCTTCTTACCTAGCTGACGAACTCTTCTCCATTGTGTATCCCTTGGGTGTTGTTGAAACTTATGAGGCGTCACTGTATATTTTCTATGGAATAAGATATTGAAACCATATCATCTAGGTAGTATTCCTAACCTATTAGAGCAGTACAGGAAAGTTATTTGAGGTAATGATAGAGGAATATGTATTTCTATCTCGAACTTCAAAACTACGCCGCATTCAATGGCAAAGCATCGAGATAATGGGACAAATAGCTTAAATTTGAATACGTTGCTCCTTTTGGGGTGGCTGGCTCAGGTGTGAATTGCGTTATTTCGGCTGAGTAAAAAAGCCATGAGTCGCCTCCTCCACCTCTGTGATGAATGTTGACTTGTTAGACGAGGTTTGATAAATATGTCATTAGTGATACCCAACTTGCAGCCAATGTTCCGTGTATGAGGTACAATTGCATGCATGGGTTTTGAGTCCTGAGCCGTATTGGTGACCAAAGAGGGCTTATTCGACTTCAGGGTAAAGGCTTAGTCTCTCTCGGCAAATATGACTGGTTGGTGATTGTTGGTTCACGCAACGGTCGCTGATCCTCGTCGTTGCCGGAATTATCATTTCCGAGCTGGGTGTTGGGGTGGGGCGGGAGGCCATATAACTTTAGCAACAAAGTAAAGCGATTCGAAGTTCTTTACTGGGAGTCTACAACAGGGAGCAGCCAAAATATTTTGGCTCAGAATTTTAAGGAATGACAGCGTACAACCCTTGACAACAAATATGTCTTTTTCCGTTCTTGGGAAATCTGCGATAATTACGGGGGCGGGGTCTGGTAAGTTACAAGTTGCGTTAGCTCGGTGATTACTGAAAATTTTGACACAGTTTCACACCATCCTAGGACTCAACCTCTGTTTTGCGAAAGCTCTTCTATCTCGAGGCTGTAACGTTCTTCTTGCCGACATTGCTCTTCGGCCGGAAGCAAAGGAGCTCCTCAGCAATCAACCGGGTTCTTTGAGGCCCCCCCGCGCTATCTATCAGAGATGCGACGTGACGAAATGGACAGATCTCGAAGAGATGTTCGCTCGTGCAGAGGCGGAGTTTGGCCCTCTGGACATCGTTTGTCCTGGTGCTGGAGTTTATGAGCCACTATGGTCCAATTTCTGGCACCCTCCTGGCAGCAGCCTATCGACTGATAGGACAAATAGTGACGGGTATAGGATGTTAGACATTAACCTTATTCACCCCATTCGAGTTACTCAGCTGGCCATCAGGCATTTCCTAGAGCAGAAGAAGCGAGGAAGCATCGTCCATATCTCGAGTATCGCCGGGCAGGATGCGTCGCTTCCCACGCCCATGTACATCGCGGGCAAATGGGGTATTAGCGGATTTGTGCGCAGTCTGGCGCCATTAGAAAAGGGCCTTGGAATTAGGGTAACTGCAGTGGCCCCTGGAGTTGTTAAGACTCCTCTCTGGGTGGAGTCTCCGTGAGTGGTTCATCCGTAGTTTTACAGATCGTGAAGATGCTAATGACGTTTAAGTGAAAAAATGGAAATGATCGCCAAGGGTGATGAATGGGTAACACCAGAAGCCGTTGCAGAAGTGATGGTCGACTTGATTGAGAAGGACGAGTGCAGGGCTGGAAGGATCGATGGTGGGACGATTTTGGAGGTTGGGAAACGAGTGCGTCGGGTGGAGCAGTTCAATGATCCAGGCCCAGGAGGAGCGGGAAATATGATGAGCAATAAAGACAAGGCTACGAGAAAAATTGTCGAGATGTTGAAGGAAGGCGGATATTAATTGATCTTTTATTGTTAGTAATTGCCTCCCCATGAGGTACCATTATTATAGGAACAGACCTTGACGATGTTATATCCACTCTTTTAAAGGGGAGTGCATGCTGCTTGTATAAGTACAAGGATCTTCTATGCAGGAACCAGCCGGATCTTCTGGTCTGTTTGAGTGATGGACTACCGAGTAAGGAGCGAGAACCACCCCCCACTTTTCCCCGCGTTTAATAATACAGTACCATTACTGAACGTAATTCAAAAGAGAGTGAGCTACACTGTCCACCAGATCATTCCAAAGTAGGATTTCTTCAACCAAAACGCCATCATATTCGACGAAGCTATTTCGTAAGGCAGCAATTGATCTTATGTCCTACCTGCCCGCACCTACTACACTTTGGAGGAGCTCTCATGGTAGGCTGGTAAATGCGGACGTTATAACCACCGTGGCCATCGTGTAGTCGCCAAATTCTTTGAATTTTCTGGAACTCATGACTAGTGCCTTGATTTAAGCCCCGAAATGCGAAGAACATCATTATAAATCGAAATCTGCCGCTAGTTAACCCTTTGCTCAAGGTGATACGTATCGCTTCACTCTCCCAAGTCTTCTCAAGAAGTTATATTTGCGAATAATATGTCAGGCGGCCGGTGATACGGTGTGTGATTTGATTTATCAGCGGCGAATCGTCAGACCCTGATGCATTGAAAATCATTCCAATACCAGAAAGTTCCCGAATTTGATGCAGATCACCCTCGAATTGTTCCGAGTAAGAAAAGCAAATTTCAGATCCCTCGTCCCAATCATACCTGAGATTGTGAATTATTAATTCATTTATCTTTATAATTTATTGTTGGCGTCTTGAGAATTAAATCAAACATAGCCCGGTGTAGTCGGGTTTATTCGGGAATATAATATCTTTTGAATTGTGGGACAGTTCTGCTATGTATTTGCGATCGTTTGAGGGGTCCGTGCCTTAGAGAAAGCGAGTCTTAAACAACGAACGCTCAGGATGCGTAATAGTTAAACACTAGTTACGAGGTTTATATGTGTAATACTAGGTTCGCTTGTACTACGTATGCATTAAAGTCAGTCATCATCACTAGATCGAGTCAAATGTGGACACACGATGTATATTTGGTCATTGTTAGAGAATTTTAATAAGTGTTACTTTACCTTCGACTCAAGTTTATTGATAAAACTTGATTTGTTTTAACAGACTTCTGCTTTTCTCTGTATCGCACAACTGTGTAGTGGACATTCCCAGTTGAGCGCTTGGCGAGGGAAGACTTGGCTAGATTAAGCCATCACATGGAAAGGTAGCCAAATGAACATTTAACAGATGATTTATACATGACTTCAGATATCGAGTCGTGAGAAAACAGTGCTTTGAGCCAGCTCTCTAATAGCTTTAAAATTCTCTACAACGGTACAAGGCTTACCTACCTTCATTGTCAGCGTGAGTTAATGCGAGAGGCAGAATGGGCTGCCACTTCTGGGTTTCTTTCACGATAGTAGCAACATATCCTAGCTGGCCGTAGTCCGACCCGGACAGTTGTTCGATGCTCGATGATGGCAGTGTCAGTCTCTTTTCGCGCATATTCGATCCCATCGCCTATTTAAACTGTATTTTAGTTTAAAAATGCCTTCCATTCGGATTGATAGAGCTCTAGTACGTCTACCACGCTGGTGTAACCACTAACTTTACTCTTTTACACGTACGAAACTGGGCGAATTGAAAAACGTCGCCCGATGAACCTACTGCCAAACCCAGAGGAAATATCCTACCATTCCAATCACAGTACTCAAATATATTGATCGGCCAGCATTAACGCCCGAACATGCCACCGCCCTGCTCCAGTGGGCACAAGAGGATGAACCTTTTGTACCGCAATTTTGGTACGAGTCTTCTGTTTTGACGAGTACATAGTTGAGCTCGGGATAAGTCAACGCCGTGAATATACATTTACGCCACGAAATCGCTAAATTACTGGACGTGATGTTCGCGGTCTACCGATGAAAGGGAAGCAGGTTAAGCAGATGTTTTGGGCTGCATTTTCAGGCTCTACGCGACGTACGGGCCTAATTCCAACTTTCGGATATCTTACTCAAGGCCGTGGAGGCTTAGACAGCTATGTGATTTGTGATCTATATACGCGTGTAATACCTACATTGCTACTTAATCGCAATGGATATTCTAGCAACATAATGTATCAACACACCGCATATATTGTACGCGAGGCTCTACCAAGACCGGAGATATCGGTGATAGACTGACTAGTCGGCAAAGTCACTGGATTAAACCCCAAATTGAGAACCTCTGAACATTTTTAATGGATAAAATCTGAGAGATCTGTCCAGATATAAAGAACATGATAAATGACGACATTACGCATCTTTACGAATCGGGATAGCCACAGGAGGAGTCAGATCTACTTGACCTCGATATTCAATCAACTTGTCAGCCACTATGTCGCGTATATTGTGCAATGATCGAGGCAGTATTAAGCATCATATAAAATTGAGTGCGTTGATTCTACTGACAGAAAGTTTTGGCGCGGCACAAAAAAAGGGGTGGACGGAGACTTTGAAACACCATTGTACCTGGAGGGGGGTTGTCGTTTCTTCTCCCAGTTGTCAGAGCCATACATAACAATCCAAAAGTGGCGAAAGGGATAAGAATGACACCGATCATCAATTAATTAGGTAAAATAAGATAGTAGCTACTTTATAGGTATATATACTTTTATAGTAACTGCAAGTTTGAAACAGACTTGCGAAGCCAGAGCCTGCATCCTCCAAGCCTCATGATACAAAATGACTTTTAATTAAACCTGGGTAGTCCAACTTCAGGTTTTCCCAGACAAATAAAATGTGGAAAGTAGTGATGCGGGCGCCGGGACCGAATTTTATGACATCCCAGACCAATTTCACTCAAACTTCGATATGTTAAGGGAATTGTGGGGGGGATGACGGTCCGCTAGATTTACACTTTCCGTGGTCCCTCTCCGGCACCTAGCAGGACCGCTCCTTCCGCATTCCTGGATATTATATGCTACCCCTTCTTTTCTCCCCACCCTTCCCTCCTGCTCTAACGGCCGTATGAACAATTAGTGCCAAATACCCATTTGAGAGTTGGTCTTGACAGATTTAGTCATGTAATACAGCGAATGAACTGGCCAATCACGGCAACGGAATCAAAAGGAGATGAAATAATTGAATAGATATTGATAATTCTCAAGAAAAGAAAGAGAGCGAAAGACGCATGATCTCTCGATGGGGTTGGAAATACCACTAAGACTCCTAGAACTCCTGTTACTCTTGTGTTACATCTTCGAGTAGCAAGATAAGAACAAAAGCACCCGCTGACCCCATACAAAACTGTCCACAGCTGGCACAAGCCATGTGTACGTATCTAGTCGCACGAGTTCGATATAATCTTTCAATTTTAAATTGAGAACTGGGAAATCTAGCCGGATATTTTGATTTAGTAAGACGGGGCAGGGAAGTGTTCGGAAACAGATGATCCCTCCACTTCGACGCTCCCTTTCCATCTTAGCACACTGGTCTATAACTATAACTATACATAACCAGTAGACGGTACCTTGTTTGAGTTAGAAATGCTAAGTATTGTAAAGGATAAAAAATAGGTGTTTAGATTCAAAATCAGTTCATGCCTTATTTAAGCGATAAAGTTTGCCCCGCGATACGACGCAAATTCTATAACGTCCGTCCGCAGGTTCCACTAGAGCGCTTAATGTGGTCTTTATATGTCATCTTTTAGGTAATTAAAATTCTCTGGTATCGCGCAAATCTACCCTAGCCCTATAAAATCCCCCAGTTCCACTTCAGCCCTGTTTACGGAAACCACATCTCATGTCCCTTACTAGGCAAAACCCGATCATATATAGGTAACAATCCTGTTCTGATCTTGTTTGAAAATTTTTCTAATGTCAGCTAACAACCTTGTAATCCCCTAAACACAGATCTCATCTCCAAACATAACCGCGAAGATGGTCGGAACGCTGCTCAGCTTGACCGCGATTTTCGCATTGAGCAGTGGCGCTCTGGGAGGATACATTAGCTGCAGCTCTGGATCAATATACGCAGGAGGCGGATTCAATGAGGGTTGGAATATTCCCGCGATGTAGCGCACTTTGATGTTGGTGACGGTAGGGGTGCATGCTGGGAACGAGACCCAATTGTTGGGGAGTGTGCAGAAATGATTGGCCAGAGTGATGGGTCTCAAAAATTCGACTGCCAAAATGACTCCGTTTCTGCCAGCTTTTGGATCACGGATGACAGTTGTCTGAATATTGAAGTTGATGATCAGCACTACTGTTGCTATGGAGAAACCCTGAGCACCGATGGCGACGCAGGGTGTTACTTGTAAATATATTCTTTTTGTGCTGTGGCTGGCTCATGGATATACCCATGTAATAAGGCTATTATCATGTGTCCTTCACGTCTTATGATAATACGTAAAGTCTTAGTTTTGAGAAAGCTAGTTGAATCACCAAAAAACCCGGAAGTCAATCGTAAAAGTCGTGTGATGCGATTTGTTTTAATTACCAAACTCCACGTGTACATTTCCTTTTAAAGCATCTGAGTTATTGGATCTTTTCAATTAGGAACCGTATCAACGATAACTAATGTAATCCACGGTGAGCAGTCAACACCAGTGAACGGTTAAGTATAAAACGCATACTAAATGCGATAAGTTACAACTTCATATTCCAACAACCATACTCTAATAGGATAAAATGTTGAATCAAGTTAATTGAAGAAGGATTTCTAGTACGTTAGTGGATCCTAAGTTTAAAGCTCCACGAAGAAATATATATTTCATACTTAGTGCCGTAACTGCTGTGTAGTTTATTGTAATGATAGAAAACAGCTTCTAAGGGACTTAAAATTGAGATATGTTGCTTTTGACAACTAGAGAACTTTAGGCAAATTTTTAAACTAAGATATGCTGGGGCTGTTGAGATATGGAGTCGCTAATTATTCTCGTTTATTGCGCTGATGGGAAACTGTGTGTGGCGAGATCTACTAGTTTTGAGCGATCTGGTTGGCAGAGACCGAAGGATATGAGGGCAAGTACTGCAGCTTCAGCACTTCTCCCTTCTCTCTCCTCTCAAATCTCAGTATTCACTGCATAATGCACTGTTTTCTCGAAGACAAGGCACTTTTCACGTTACTGTGGTGTTTGGAGTTAACCATTCACCGATGTTGAACGCGCACCCATGGAATACGTTAACTAGCACATTGCCAGCTAGGAGATGGTAATTGATAGATGATGGATGATTGCGCGGATATGCGACAAAGTGCTTGGGTGCGCAGCTCGCCTACAGATCATGTTAACAACTTCTCATATACTCTTGATAGAATTATTATTAAAGGATAAGGGAGCATCATCTGCTTCAATTCAGAGACTATTAACAACCTCCTTTGCCCCAGGCTGGATGACGTGGGCTAGATAAGGGAGATGATTCTGTTCTACTGACCAGAGGAAACCCTTCAGTGCTTGTAAAAATGATGATAGCGAACTGCAGAGAGTCTTATTATTACTTGTATTGTCTGCAGTGATGGCTAATAGGCGAGACTCAATTTGGAAGGACTTAAGGGTACTGAAGACGTGATCTGCCGGGTCTTGTTCGGTGAGGGTTGGTAATAGATGGGTCAAGCAGACTTGATTTCTTTTGACCGTGCCAAGATGAATTCCCGTACCAGGGGGAAGGAAGTAGATCCACATGATTGTGGATTGCTTATATTTTCGGACAATAAAACGAGAAAAAATCATTTCTACCCGCGGAGATACTACGGAGAATCGGGATTCATCCTGTGTACAATGCGGAGTACGGTCTCCTAAATCCGAAGGGGAATCGCTAGGGACACCCCAAAAATATGGGTAACCACTGTATTCGAGGTCTCGGTAAAGGAATTAGAAAAACACAAACTTACTGACTGTACGGGTCAATGAAACGAAATATCATATACTCAGGAATAGTACGGACGAGGGATTTGAGAATGTTCATATTCGCCGCATTTAGAGATCTGCCTTAAGTTCGGGCAAATTTCGGTCAATCAGACCGAGTTCAGAGCCAGACCTCCTTGATAATTCATCTCTGATTAATCGACCAACCATAACACTACATGCTACGCCGCACATTATTCGCAGATTTCATGCCTTGGGAAAGGCTGTAAGAGCCAAGCGTTACGAATCACACCGACAAAGGGGTCAATCGTCTCCAGATTTCACTTTATCATTATTCTTCCACACCTCGGTGTCAGGATCAAGTGCCATAGCCATATGATTCAGCGAGAAGACATAGTCTAGTGAATTCACAATGACTGCGGTCTCTGTATCGTCGGGGAGGTTGTGCATCCCTCTCAGGAAGACGGCCTCTGAGGCACAGTTGCGGTTTAGTATTTGTGCTGTGGTCCCTCCGGCCAACACAGAGAATTGGACTAGAGAATGGAGCACACTGCTTAGATTTTTTTCTGTTACAAGCAGTGCCGTTTGCTGCGACAGAGTATATTGACTTCAATCATTTGCAAGTACTTGACTACGCAAATCGAAAAGTAGCCAGGGAGGCTTTCTTCGCGAGAGCAAGGCATTTGTACGACCTCAAATATGAAAATGACACAATCTCACTTGTCAAATCTCTCCAACTAATGACATAGGTGGATAATATGAATGAAAGCAGCATGCGGACTAGCATGATCGTCACCATAAGAAGATTGACAGGTCAGCTTTCGGAGATTCGGCATTGTGACCAAGAATTGGAATGGTGGCGATGACAGCTCCTTGCAGCAATCTAATTCTCTGCTGTTGCCCCTTGCAAACTTGGCCAAGCGCAAAATGTTATGTGTCCTCACCGAGCACTCCTAAAATGATATATATTGCTAACTCAAGCGCTCTACATCGGCCCGAGCTTATGGATCGAATCTCGGGTCAGCAGCGACCGCGATTTCAATTATTCTATTTGGCATGCAACACTTGGAACCCATCTGTCGTCTACCCGTAACTGGGGTGACGGTGCTCTTTGCCGCTACTGTTTGTCATGTATATGGTATAACATTTGACGATCCAGATGTGCATAACATTGGTTTTATGTGCTTCGAACGCACCATACGTGCCTTGCAAAACTTGGAAGAGACGTATGATGCTCTAGGCCTTGCATGCGACTGTTCGCAAGCAGCGATTAAAAAATTGGAGCGAAATTTCAAGTCGTATCAAAAGTTATATACACTTCGCCCAGCAGCCCATTGACTCCTGTGGAGCAACTGGATACCCCAATATGTCGTTTAAGTCTATTGGACGACGTCTCCCCAAATGTTGTTAGTCAAGCGAGCATAAGAATAATGTACTACGACTTACCGTGGTGACTGCAGAGTACCCATAGCATGCTCCCACGTTCCGTTTGAACTATTTCATCCTTTACTAGCCAAAATGGCAATGTTTACAGTTTGAAACCGATTCCTGGAAAAGTGGTATTAAGCTCAGCGCGAACTTTAGGACAGCTCGTAAATTTTCAGTTAAAATATATACAAATACCTAAAGATCTAGTGGATCGACTTATCCCCCGGCTAGAAGCAAAGAATATTAAAAGAAAGGCACTGGGGAGATGTATCCGTACAGCACGGTGCAGTAGTGAGAGCGATTGGTACTGATGGGAAAGTCAAACAGCTCAGAATAAATTTAGTTAGGCACTTTGGTAGAGTAAGGTTTTTTTGTCTTATTCATTCGGTGAGTTATACGAACCGGGAGTCGAGGTTGTGAGAGCTACGAGTTTTCTACGACACGTGGGAATATGTTGAATTGCCTCATGACCAAAAATACCCGTTGATACGAGGTTTTTGATCATGTTCCATCTCTCTAGAAACCCAGACAAAGCAATGACAGTCGGGATCCTTGCAAGATCCGTGCGAGATTTCCCCGAGAGCGGAGGAACACTTTTGTCGGGCTATCCTCGGCACATTCTCGTACGTACAGGATAGCCTCACTGGCCTTTAGGCTCCCTAGATGGTGACACGGTCAACTTCACTACGAGCTCTGCACTTGTAACTGAGATTGAGTTATTGGACCACGCCCTGTTTAAAGAGTGTTATGCCCCTTCGCTTTAAAACACTACCCTATTTGACAACACGTGCTGTCGATACACGCATTTCATGAGGCAATGGCGCCTTTCCTTACGAATGATAACGGCGCGCCTGGAGCGGACCGTCAAAGCAAAGCAAAAAAGGCCACCGGAATAGAGGGAATGGGGATCACTGCCGAGCGCAGCCACTCACCTAAAGGACTTGAGCATGGAGTTGATACGGAATTCCTCATTGCCGGAGCAGGACCTGCTGGGGCATCCTTGGCTTGCTTTCTCGGCTCTCATGGTGTGTATCTGGATAAGTACCGCGGTGGCTATTAGGTACTAAAATCATCAAGGGCTGAAGGGCATCATGATCAGCAGTGCCCCAGGGACAGCAAATACCCCCCGCGCACACATTACTAATATGGCGGCGCTAGGTCAGTGGTCTGCCTAACTAGCAAGATTCGTTCGTCGTTCTGACTTGTTTACTCGTCCCTTTAGAATGCCTTCGGGATATTGATTTATACGAGGAGCTGGAAAAGCTGGGATCGACAGGAGAAGATCATACGCAACACAAAACCTCATGCATGGCTCAACAAAGCAACCCCAAGAGACCCTATTTCCACAATCGACATTGCTTGCCATGGCATGTTCACCCTCCTGAGTGGAATCGGAGGCGGACCCTGGAAGAAAGCAGCTGAAATGGTTGCAGAAACACTTAAGGTTCCGATCCAGGTGCACTCCATTGGGTTTAGACAGGACTGGGAGGACGTGTACTTTGAATGGGAAAGCTTGCGAGGCGTGGAAGAATCAGGAGCGGTGTTGGTGCGGCCAGATCGCTTCGTTGCATGGAGGGCACCAGAGGTTCTCCAGGATACTGGAGCATGCGCGTCGAAGCTTCTTATCGTTATGAGGACTATCCTAGGATTCGTTGATGTATAGTGGTCACAATGTACTTGGTCCACTTAGCCATGATGTCTAACCACTAACTAACGGCGAAGGCGCGGCAAGATTATATTGGTCGTCGGTTCAGCCCTTGTTAGCAAGATTATAGACAAAGAGTATACCGTCAGGGATGTTGTTTAGCGAACAGTAAACTTAAAGCCTTAATCGTGAACCAACGGCGAACACATTGCCTGGTGTACACGGCTTTGCACTGATACACTGATATATCTGATTGACATAACCGCGAGCTTAAGACGACGGAATGGTAAAGTTTATGTTGTTAAAGATTCTACATGCTCCCTCAGTTTGAATCTAGATATTGTTCCGCATCTGTTTCTTGATGAACAAGTTTTTCTGAGGCTTGCCCTCTTGAAGGTATTCCTCTTGACGAGGGTTATAATTCAGCGAGAGATGATCTGGAAGGGCATCCTAACTGACAGGTCTCTACATGCGACATTTAAGCATCCGTGAAGGCTGTTATTACTACTATTACTTTAGTGTTCCCGGATAAACGAAGTCAAAGGATGATCTTTTGTTAGAGAACTTCGAACATAAACTCTCACTCTACAGAAGTTGCTCTTACTCATAGTAGACTTTGTTGATCAAAGTTCCGATTTTCTCAACCTCCACTCTTATATCATCGCCGTCGTTCAGGACGACCTTAGGGTTACGCATAGCCCCAATTCCGGGACCTGTGCCCGTCATGATAATAGTACCCATTTCTAGGGTCGTCCCTTGAGAGATAAATGCAATAGTCTTTGCAATATCGAAAATCATTTCCCTTAAGGCATGTTAGGTACCTTCGAACCTGATACCGTCGCGGAAGTCAGCTCTCTGGGTAGACGCACCTAGTGTTTGAATCCTGCACCACGTTGCCATTGTGGATAGCTTTAATGTGCAGATTGTGAGGGTCGCCAATAACGGAACGAGAAACGAGGACCGGACCCAGTGGGCAAGATCCATCAAGGCCTTCCCATCAAATCAAGTGTCAGTTCTAGGTTCATGGGGACGTATAAGCTTAAGAGACAACTTCTTGGCTTGACTCACCTTTGGAGAAGGACCATTGGCTGTTCTTGAACTGCTGTGTTCGAGCGCTAACATCGTTGCTACAGGTATATCCCAAGACATACTCCATCGCATCCGACTCGGGAATATCTCGACCCGACTTAGACAAAACGATCGATAACTCTGCCTCATAGTCGCTAGAGCCATCTTGCGCAATCTGTGGCACATTTATCCTAGCAGGATAAGGCCCGTTGAGTGCCGTACGAGGCTTGAGAAAGAGGACAGGCACATCCGGAATGGGCATGTTGGCCTCTTTGGCATGGTCGCGATAGTTAAGTCCCAGGCACCGAATAATGGGCACTTCTTCGATTCCAATGGGTGCCAGAAGCTGATTTAGAAGGAGCAGTTAGTTCAGATATTCCGTTCCCCATGTCAGGATGTGGAGTACATACTCTGGCAATGTGCAACGTGATATCTGTTACAATGCCATCAAAGATGGATCCTTTAACCAAATTCACCGCAATCCTGTCGCCGTTAACCACTGCAATACCAACATCTGGATACTTGCTGGAGTCAACCTCGCCAAGGTGAATCTGGCCATCTTCTTCGCTGATGAATCTGACTAGGTTTGTCCAATTGGGAGCCATTTTGCTAGATTCACAGGTCGGATATTATCTGGAAAGCTAGAAAAATCGAGATTTATTACCCAGGGTGAGATATTTAGGAGTGCCCCAAGGTGGGCTTTTCAATTTCAAAGGCCAGGGAGGACAGGAACGGGTCAAGTCGATGCTTCGATGCCTATGGCCCCACAACAAGATTACGAAGAAGACCGTGGAACAATTTCGGTCAATTTGCATCCGCCGGCGCTACAAAAGCCCTTTGCTCCCTTGAAGCTTATTCTAAATATAGGATACCTGCTAGAGTGACCCAAGGGGATCCTGTGCCAAACCTTCCGACTCGCTGGTTAGAATCAGACTTGAAAATTCTATTCGTTGCCTGCTCGAAGGTATAAACCAATCTAGTATCTTGTTTCAAACTAATGAAGTTCAGGCGAGTTAGCAGTTCTGGTGCCAGGTCCGAAAGAGTGCAAATTCCATTTTCGGACGGACCATATTCGGTGCAATTCGTGATCCGATGAGGTATTATACTAGCGGGTACCTCATACGGATTTCGCGATCTTGTCGCTATCGAGAAACTGTGAGCTCAGCCGAAGTAATCCATGTTGAGAAACAAAAAGAAGGAATCTTACGATAAACTGCATGTCATGAATTGTAATCGGAATCCCAACCTAATGATCCGGGAATTCTGAGAAAGTACCTGAACCGGCTTAGCATTGATCATCTAGATTTAGGGCTTTCTGGTCTCATCCTCCACAAATTACATGACCTTGTCTATCATGGCGAGGCGCAAAGAACGTCCCAAGATGGGTAGGCTACTGCCTTGGCCAGTGAAATGATCAGGCCTTAACGTATTGCAGGCTATATCCGTGTCTTTCCGCCCACCCACACCCGTGCGCCCCGACCGATTTCCAAACCACACCGGGTTTCCAATTTGACCGCATCTATTCAACACATCGGGCCTGGGTCTAAATAAAACATCTCCCTGTTCTCCTGAGATACCATCGCTGCTTCGATTGCTGCCTCGCTTGGCTCTTTATTCAACAGTGGTGGCTTGCGACCGTACCTTTTCTCATAGCCCTTTGCGAACCGTCTCTCTTCTGCGGCATCTTCTTTAGTCATCCTGGTCACAATTGATCGATTCGCATCGCGCGTGGCTAATTTACCAGTGTCACTAAGGCCCTTGATTTGCCACTTCGTCTTATCTCGCTGTATTGGCTCTTGTGTGGTCCTAATTCGCTTGATCATATCATTGGCTTTTGCAAGGTGATCAGCACCTACACGATTGTGGTGGAAGATTTGCTTGAGTTTTCGCTCAAGCTTTGCCGTAAGAAGAGCTGCATGCCTAGATAGCGTTTTCTGGCTCTTCTGAAGCGCTTCAGTCGATTTAGGAGGTGTATTTCCAACGCTAGACGATGAGAGATTGGCTGGTGGTGACGGTGTATGGGAACCGTAGGAACGAAGATCAGGCGCGATTAAATCGGGTATGTTGTCCAAGAACCCATTACATAGCTTGCTTATGACCTTACTACCATCAACCGGGCAGATATCACGATCTTAAAAGACCCACAAATAATTCGCTGGTTGAAGGCCTTTGATCGTACAGGCCCGATCACGCGTAGAAATTCGACCTGCCCATCGTCTTACCTGCTCAATAAGAGATCTCGTTATTCACCCCCCGGAAGTGTTGTTTACAACTCAGAAATGGCTTACCGTCGAGCAGCTGACAGAAATGTGTTGAATGAGCTATAAAACCGAAAGGTAAGATATCGTAGCCCTTGCATTTTTGTAAGAATTCGAGGGTAAGGTGCGCACCGTGACCATCGAAGATAAGGATACGCTTCTCACCCCTCTTCGTACGATCGCGAGTAGCTTCGACAAAATAACCAGGCCACTGATAGGTTAATTGATCCGATATCCAGCCACTAGGCGAAGTTCAAACCATCGTATTAGGTGACAGATTTTCGATGCCGTCAAACCCCGCCTCCATAAAAGCCCCGTTACTTTCGAATATAAATAGGGAGTCCATCTGCCACCCATTGGCAGCAATGCATTCAAGTGCAGGAATAGTTTCGCCTCGCTCAGTCTTAGCAAGACCAGGGCCAGATCACTTCTTATCTTTCCTACCAATCACACGCTGGCGTTTACCCTTGCCTGGCTGGAAGCCATACTCATCGAAATTATATACTAGCCGCCGGGGTAGACCTTTATCCAGATTCGCAAGTAGATCGTACCAGCGGGCTAGTAGGCCTGCATCTTCTGCTTGAATACGCCTAGATTCCTTCGTACGCCGCTTCACCGGGCCTAGCTGTAGGTCCGGTGAGAGGCGCTTAATAATCGATTCACCCACATTTCTTACTAACCCAGTCGGCTTGCCAGCAGATATAAGCGAGCGATTTGCCCACGCCTCGATCAGCCTAGGTGTTGGTGGCATATTCCAATCGTTTAATTGCATATCCAGCATACTGCCGCTTCTTCCTGAGCCCCATCTAGGCCCCTATTGACGGGTGCACTGCTTGCACGAGCCGGTATACTCTCTTGACACGATTATGGAGGGCACGCCGAGAAACGCCATATTCACGCGCAATTTTGCTAATCTTCGATTTTTCACGCGTTTAGCAGCTTTGTATGCTTCGATCATGCGAGATTCGGCGGATTCAGCGGATTTGGGCATGGTGGGTGGAATATATTGCTTCGAAAAGGGTGGAGGTAGGTGTATTGGTCAAATTGGAAACGGTGTGTTTTGGAAATTGGCCGTGGCGCATCCACTACGGGTGTGGGTGGGCAGAAACGCACAGATACTAGCTATTTTCGCCAGAAGACTAAATTCTATGAGTAGCGCTCAACGTGCCGGCAGCGTATGATGGCAGAGATCAAAGACTCATGGTATTAAGTTCCCAAATACATGTCCAGGAAGCACGAATGTGGTCGTCCAGACATGCTGTTCACGTGGTAGAGCAGCACCTACCATATGACCCATGTCTCAACCTTACAAAATGCCGAGACAGCTTTATTTTCTTAGTCATCCTCCGTCTGTGCCATACGCTAACTTAATTCAGCTCGCACATCGGGATAGGCTATATCTAAAGCACTTTTCTACGTGTTTCCTATTAAAAGTCAATCTTGCACTGAGTGTGCGATGTTTCAGCATCTGAATTGTACATTTATTTCTCACATCCATTCTGCACATCTATTTTCGCAACGTAACTAAACATTATGAGCTCACAAATAGCTATCAAAACGGAGCCACAAAGTTGCTGAAATGATACATTCATCCGAATTTATCTTCCTTTAATCTTCCTCCGATGATGGAGAGTTCATCGAAGCAACTGTCAAAGGCTCTTCTGAAAGCCGAAGGAACAATTTGATGGCATTACCGGGGCTGAACTTCTCCTTTATCTTGCTTCCACCGCTTAACCTCATCCAGCTCCTTGCTAAAAAGACTGACGCTAGGGTCAGGTACATATATCACTTCCAAAATGAATATGATCAAGAGGAGCAAATTTCTGTAGAGGCAAGGCGAACGAGGAATCTGTTAGCGCGAAGTCAAAACGGAACATACGCGCGTTCTCCACAAGGTGTTCTGGTGTCATCTTGGAAAGTCCGAGGCCTTATAACATTATCGCTAGACGCCTGGTCAGGTGCGGGACGTTCCCACCACCGTGCGACAAGATGATCTTGCAATTATCATGTTTGCGGACAACATCCTAGAAAGAAGATCCACACCTATGCGAGGTATCTCATGCGATTAGTCAATCATAAGCTAGGGAAGCATCCAGTCGACGAGGTTGGTATCAACAGTATGAGTTAGGCAAACAAATACCATTGCGGCACGCCGATCCCACACCTCCCAAATAGGCCGGACGTCGAGATGTCCTAAATAATAATTCCCACTACCATAGCGGATGAAGAGAGTTATATCATTTGCTTGGAGCTCATCAAAAGCATATCCAATAGCGCAGCAAAGAAGCCGTAATTCTTAGGGTACGTTTCTTTCGGAGCCTTGCTAAACTCATTGCATTCTCTGGCAAAACGGGTAGGCTCAGCTCCTTTGAGTATCCCCGCACTGGGAGGATATTTATGGGTTTAAAATGAAATTCTTAAGCCCTTGACGAAACTGGTGGCGATCCTTCCGGATGGACGACGCCCGCCTGGTGCCTTGACACCGATCAAAAGATTTACCACGACTGTGGAGTTGAGACAGTAATTTTATCTGTAACTCTTCAATTTATCGGTAAACGCACTTTGCAATTAGGCAGGGGGGATGTAGTGGCGATGAGAATTAATGCGTCGTGCCATTGTTACAGCTTCTGCATCTTATAACGGCTTCTTGCGAGAGGTTCACGCCAATAGGCTCGTAACCAGTTTCCCAGAGTGTCCAAAGCATTGGCTATACTTAAAGAGCATTTCTGTCTCATGGACTGAATGGATGGTTTGTGCGCCGCGGCACTTCGGGTCGCCCGAAATGCTGTGCTCTTGTCCGCTCCTTTTTGCCGATCAGGATGAGGACCCGGCTGACTACGAAGATTTTCCGGGGTTTCAGCCCCCGCAATGCCTTCAGGCCGGCTGTCTTGTCTTGAAATGGGGTTTTACTCTCAAGTACATTTTACGTAACTTAGGTCAGCAGCTCTCATCTCTTGTAAACTCGGATACGCCTTAGGAAAATCAAACGCACTTTATATTATGATACTGTATGTGACGGCTGGTACTTTCTAAGCCTGCGAATCATTTTATTCTGCGGACTGGCGCTGAGATATCTGTTTAGGGGTTTGGAATGTTTACCTGCTTTCTGGGTACCTGAGTCCTCTCCTCCTGGCTGACCTTATTTTTACTCATGTCCCTAGGTACTGAATTTATCTTGTTCTTTTGGATTGATCAGTAACACTGTACTCGTTTCTAACTCGTTTCTAAACTATCCGTGCTAGAGGCTTGATTTACGAAGCGCCGTTGCTAGCATTGAAATCTTTGTCCAATGCTAGCTTATCACCTCATGTGCAGAATGATCTTCGGTCGTCCATTCCAGAGAAAAATCACAGAAAAGAACAACTACTGGGATTTTTCGGGTCATATGGCCCTGAGATATCTACATCACCATCGCTCTTTCGCTTCCTTTCCCTTCAATACACACCATCTACTATTAGGACAGGTCTTCTTTTCTCCGGCAGATCTGCTGTCATCTTGTTTCCTCTTGCGCTTAGCACCTACATGCTATCAACAACAAATTACAAATAGACGTCATTTGCTCTGGAGTTGTGAGGGTTTAATGCAGGACTTGATTCAATCTAACTAGACCACATATAATCTACCGAAAGCCTGATCAAATGATCCTGGAAAGCGGGGGGGTGTCAGGGACGGTCCGGTATACAAGAAATGTCAATCGTGCTCATCTCAACACAAGGAGGACGGTCTGTGGCCCAGCGAGGTAGGTGCAAGACCGATCACGTACATATACATGATTCCCACTGGGCCGTAACCCATTTCAGGGGTTGCTTTTTGAACGTTGAAGATGATACAAGGCCCAATTGAGGACTAAATGTAAACCCTGAACACATTCTATAACGATTGGCGAAAAAATGTTGCTTGGCTACTGTAACAGGAGCAAGATGTTAAGCAGCGTACCCATCATAGAGTCTTCATGATGGTGTCGGAGAGGATAACGGGTAGAATATGATCCTATTTACTGTAAGAAGGTAGGAGGAAGGTCCGGGCCTAGTGATAGGTTAGACAATGGGACTATACCACGTGACGCTTGAATACCTACCCCATACATGTAAATTATCCGGCGTGGCAAGGGATCGATTCGTGGGTTGTTGATCGTTTACCAAATCGCCATCCACGTAATGTTCGATAATAAAGCGAGAGGTGTCAAACCTTTGATTAAATTTGCGTGTTAGAAGTTGTTTCGAGAGAAATGGTAACATGAGATATACCAATAATCGAAGATTTGACTGCCCATGATATGACGTCCAACGCCCCAACAGTTCTCATACCCTTTACTGCGAAGCCAGTCGTGACCCAGCACTTGAGTGTCAAAATCATGCGTCTCGAATGATGAGTGATGAATGTGCGACCTAGGGCCTTCAGAGAAGAAGAAGCAATGGTGATCGACCAACTCAGAGCCGCGGTCCAAATGAAGAAAGGCCGTTATATCTCTCCCGGTGGAATCATGAACTAGCTGTATCACGTTGCAAAAGGACATTCGATAAGTATGGTTTGAGCCTCATAAAATGTTGCACAGGGGAGAAACTTACATCACTCGGCTTGAAGTTGAATCGGGTGGTATAGAAGTCTAAAGCCTTCGCAAAATCGGTGACACACATTCCGAAATGACCTAGCTTGTGTACCGGGGCAGGCCCTTTTGTTCTCAAAGCAATAAGAATAGTTTCCAATAATTAATTAATTGACTGCTTACCCTTCTTGAATCGTTGTGTTTTGTTTCCTGACCGGTGTTTGTCCGTTGGCTTGGAGAGGCTCAGGGTATTTGAGGAGCAGTAGCAAGCTTCACACTAAAAACAACTTACAAAATTAAAATCAAGCTGTGGAAACGCCTTTTCGTCGGCGTGGGGCTTTTGACCGGAAACAAGATGAAATGGGAAGTTGTCGACAGGGTCATGGAAAGTCACGCAGCGGCCACCGCCTGGCGCATCTCGTAAGTCATAAATCTTAGTCGCCCCAGGCAACTTTGTCGCAGCGACAAGATCGGACTCGGATTCCACGACGAAAGCTGCCCCTCCAAACTCATCGTGTTTGCCCTGTCGTGCACAGTACACAAATGGCTCCAAACCACTGCCACCATAATATATATCACCGTCAACGCGCTTGACTTCCTGGAATCCGAAGTCGAGTAGAAATTGATGGGCTTTTTCGATGTCTTTATGGGTATAGAAAACATGCGAAATGCGAACCAGATTGATCCGAGGGTCATTGCTTGAGCCTGCCATTTTCGTCACTTTGAGTCTTCTTGGGCAGGGGTTAGGCAACACTGCTGAACAGTGGACTGAATTCAAAGATAGAAATCTCGAAGTGATATACTTCCTTGTCTCTGTGTCTGTGGGAAGATAGACTGGAGTTTCTGGAGTGATCTTTCTTTTAATAGTTGGATAGTTAGGGAACTGCGGTCAGAACTCGCACGAAATTATGCCGACCGCACACGGACTAACTTCGGGCAGTCCTTTAGAAGAATGGAAGAAGGAAACGGTAGTACTTTAGTTAATATGTGCAGAGTATTACTCAGACAATTCTTTAATTTACACTTGGATTTGGAATATTCAAATATGAGCCAGACAGATTCTTTACACTCGCTAGGTGTGGGATCGTCCTTTTCAATTCGCCGAATCCGTGGTTCTTTTTAGGCCCTGCCAATTAGTTCCTAGGCTGTATTCGTATTAGCATGCGCTTAAAAAATTCAGCGGAGTGTTCAGAGTGTTGCGACATACAGAGAAATATCAGCATGCTGACTAGATAAAGGAGATAGCGCAATTCCAATGCAAGCTGGCCACCCCAGAATGCCAAAGTAAATGCGATTTGCTACATCAATAATCATAAGTTGAATTCACTTGGTTGTCGGTAGAATATCGCTTCTTGGTATAAGAAATACTATAATTTTACCTGAGAACTATACTGCAACTGAACCAGCATAGATATATATAATGTATAACGTAACTGCAAAAATTTCTTAATACCCTATAAGTGTGACGATCTGAACGGAATCGGCGATGTAGGATGTACTTAAAAGTGTTCTGAAGTAGAAAGCGAACATGATAAATAGTAGCAGGTGGTTGTTATCAGGAAATCCACGATACTAGGACTTTCCCTTTCTTTCTCTCTCTATTCAGTTTCGCTACCTTCGTTGAATGCACAGGATTATCCCGGCTTCCTTTTGGCTGTAACAATAAGTAGGCTAGATAAGAACTGAATAATGTAATGAGGAATCAGTCTTAATTACCGCTGCGACACAGTACCAGTACCTACCTGCATCCTATTGGAGGACTGTCCCATATTGCTTTTTGTATGGCAGATAGTCGTATTTGTGGAGGATATAAAGTACTCTTCTACTCAGAGGTTCAAAGAACCTCTAAGTCTCCAATTTATCCCATCTATGCTGTCTACTAGGCGTACAACCTTCTTATCTCTCTCCTCCTCTTCTCAACATTGTGCTAGAATATTGTAGAATCTCATAATAAACTAGCGTTGTTGAGATACCAAAATGGAGATAACACACTTAATATTGTGTTCTGGGGTGGCCAGCTCGGCTTAGCATTAAGTGAAGGTATATTCGACAGATATTATGTCACGGCGCACGGTCGCGAGCGGCCGTTCATTGGGGGCCGCTCTCACGATGGGTGGCAGATTGGACCATGACACGTCTTGTGTATATTCTAAGACAACTGACTGTAGTAGCCTGCCGTCAATACGTGATATAAGCTGTCCTGAATCCGCACCCTGATATATTAATGTTCACAAAATGCGTGAACTACCGCGAAGACACGGCGATTCTGTTTGTGGTTTAAATCAGCCTAACTTGCCACTGAGAAAACACAGGGTGATAAATCTAGCTGAATCCGTTGGATTTTCCATGGCTCAGCAATGGCGGCTTTCCTTTCTTCAAAAATTCTTCATATATTTGCTCCGTTATTTGCGTGCTCTTAATCTCCGATTGCCATCACAATATGAGTACTTCTTTTCCGCAAATCATTGACATGGATTTGAAAGTCATTTTGATGAATCCCCATCTCGAAATCTACCATCCACATTATCTAGCATTATGATGGCCAGCTTTTCTCTAACCCCAAATATGGTCTGAGCCCCATGAAGATATCTATCTCTCAAGGGTGGGTAATACGCAATACGGGATGAGACCTGCCGTGACCACATCTACGACTTGGGAAAGAAAACTCCGATCGGCCAGAAGGTATTCAATATCAACATGGACAGAAAATTTCAAATTCCCATTGCAAGAGGACCAAGCGCCGCGTTGAGCTTTGGAATCGTTTCATCCAAGTTGCCGAGGTCTATTCTGGAAAATCGGGTCTACCATGCCATTTCTATCAGAGCGTTATCGAGCATGGAGTCTACGAAACTAATGGGACCTCTGGAAGAAATAAACACCTTAAGAGTCAGGGGTACAAAAAGCATCAGCAGCGTGATTTAAGCGAGTCGATTATTAATGTGAGTAATTTTATTATTCAGAACAGCGACATAGTGACAACTTTAGCGGGAAACACGAACATCTAGTAAAAGGCCCTACTCTGAGATTTCTAGCGACCCTTTTGTCATCGGATGACAATGTTACCGACGCGACTCTCTGAGCCATTATCTCCTTAAATATTCCCAGGGTTATTGATAAAACCGCCTTCATTGATTTGCTTCGCTTTACTAGATATATGCATGGCTGTTGCCAAGGCCGGAATTCTTGACGGCATCCAGGCCAACATGCTGAGACTTATGTTTGCCTTGATCAGAGTCCCTAGGCCAATGGTAGAATGGCAAAAGGATAAATGATGTGTCTGATGCGGGAATATTTGGACCTTAGACGAGGTTACTAATGACCTGGGAATAATGCTTGCATACCTGAGGAAGACGTATAATGAGGGCATTGTGGCGCTGGTTATTAAACTTAATGATCTGTTTGACTGTGGAGATCCTTCTGATATAACCAGTTACCAATTCTCTGTGTGCACTTGCCTGCTAGGGGATACTAATTCGTGAAGACTAATCCACATTGCTCCTGCGTAGGCGAAAGCTGCCTATATATAGTGTAGAATCACACTCCTCTTAACCTCCTCTGTTCCTACCAAGATTATCAACCTATACAACCATAAAGAGCATTTGAACGCACACATACCTTTTACTATGTGCATGAAGAAAGAGGCTCACGATGCTAGATTTCCTAATTCTGAAAACAGGGGTGATTCCTTTGCAGGAAGATATTATAATATCGTACTTCATTCTAAGACAGGATTGCCATTCACTGTCTTGAGAAGTATCACCTTTCAAAAATCCCACTGAATTTTTCCTTCGAATCCTCTTTCAATCTTTTTAAAGCCGACATTCCTCCAATGAACAAAATATCTGTGCCTCCAGCACACCGAGGCTATCTCTAGAATCTGCTGAAGAATCAACCTTATAAACACTGCCATGCCAAGGTACATTCGGACACTTCGCAGGAGGATAGGTTCCCACTATCTTTGTATCATATTATAGTAGTTTTGACAAGGGTATAACGTACGCTTCCATTCAGAGGGTTCCTTCTAATTCTCCAAGTTTTCGATCCGTCTCATTCGGGCTGCCTACTGGGTGTGTTTTCATCTAAAACGTCCTGTCTTCATAGACTCCAATGTACCAAGCCGACTACTTTCCATTCCACCAACCAAACACTGTCGGACAGCCACGTAATGTGTGAGATAGACGTGGAAACAGAATATTGGTCGAGGACGGCAGATTATTATCGAGCGAACAATCTCTGCGATGGTATATCACAATCTAACAGTATAATAGTATGTCACAATAGTTTCACGGCGCTTGTTAGAAGTACAAGAGCCTGGTTTACCTTTAGGAATTGCTGATTATCGTGTAAGGGAACTCGAAATGGTACAAAGCTGCAGAAACATCCACTTTCTAGTGTCCCGATATTTTCTGATTTGAAGGCATGATATGACGCAATCGCTGTTTGGCTGTATTATGCTGCGACCACTGTCTGGGAAACTTAGACTTTAAGCACTGAATTTAGAACGAAATAAGCAAAGCTGAAATGGAAAGTCAATGAAGCTGTCCAGTAGGAACGGAATTCAAGTGTTACTACTTCTGTACTGTGGCCGTAAAATTGTGTTTCTGTATCCGGCTGAATAAATACCCTGGATGATCACAGGCTGCAGCGTATAACCAAGCCCCTAGCTAATCGTGCAGCAATATACATGAATGTATTTGGGCCATGAGGGTATTATGCACTTATTGGATTAAGATAATAGGCCAGGGTTTGATGAGATGGTGTTATGATGCTATGATTGTAATCTACCATGGTTAATTAATTCCACTGTGAAGTTGTTCCTCGGATCACTGCTCCCGGAAATATATGACTATTCGGATGGAAATTTCTCGTGTTTGTCTGATGTGTTTCAATTTTAGGATACCTTAGGCTTAATAGAGCAATTGAATTCTAATTTTCTGTTCATATGTATAACGACAACACTAGGATGGAGAGATCGCCTTCAAAGCTGGCAAGAACGCTAACTTAGTGTTTGCCGCCAGCAATCCAGTCGCATCCCCCGTCTCCCTGGTGTCGGGCCCAATGAAGTTGTATGGGAATCCAACATTGAGTGGATTGACCCTTTCCAAGTATTGGATTTGTTCCTGGGTTAATCTTCAAGGTTTGAATGTCCTCATGGGAGAAGCCAGCTCGCAGCCACTCACTAGAGCGAACACATTTGGGACCATAGAGACGACATAAGTGATAGCAATAGCAGTCACGAATATAATACTGTGTTCATCGGCAACACAGTGCTTCGCTCATCCGGACTTCATCGTAGGCCTGATTCCCAACACCCATCATGCTGTGGAGTCTTTTGGCCGTTCTTTTCCTGCTCCTCATACTACTTCTTGTACTGAAATTTTGTACTCCATAGAACATCCCATGGAGTGAGGGCTATACCGAAGTGCCTAGACATAGGGATGATTACGTGCCGCTTCATCAAAAGCGTCCAGGGGTCTGAAAGAGCATTCTTTGTCCATTGATCCTATAAGACTAGACCCAGCGTCTCCAATAAACATGGTGCGAAGGTGGAGCGGACACCTGAATACCTGCTTTTGAGGAGAGAATACGGTACGAGTTCGACAGCTGATTCGGGGGCAGGAGAGAAGGTTGTCAACATGATGAATGGGCTTGAAAGCTCAACTGGGTGAGGTTAGATGAAGACACTCCCAACGAATGTCACCTGAAATATGGGTATGGTCTTTGTATATATTAAAGTGGGAAAGCTCAAGGCAGTCCGGTCGGCACGGACAGGTCGAGGCACGAGAGAGGGATGAGTTCTTTGTAAGCTTATCTTGCGCATACAGAACGAAGTTGAACGGCGGAAATGGAAAAGTCTCAGCTTAAACACAGTCAGAAAATGTCGCATAGGCCACACCTTATTGAATATGTGCATCACTGAGCGCGAATTGAAACAGATCCAGATATGAGCAAAAAGATATCAGAACAGAACTTTCTAGTTAGAGTGGATGAGATTTGTAGCAAGTCAGATGCAGTAAATATTCTCTTTGATAAGAGTATCGCAATCAATCATAGATATCCAAGTTGCCGTCATTCAGTTGTGGTGGAAAGATTGGGATCAAGGGGTAACCGTAGGTGGCTTATTGCGATTTCTTCTGTGGACTGAGGTCGCGATTGGTCAGCCCACTGGCCGTGGACATAGTTGAGTGGTATTTTAGGATCCAACCTCTCCCCAACATGCTGCGGCATGACCACAATCTCTAAATCTCTCAACTTAACGGGAGATCTTAACCCCTTTACCTTCTGTTATACACGCATACGCTCTGATATTAATGCCAGTAAATATCTTCCTTTCATGGCCCGGTGTGCAATGATTTCTTGGGTGGTCAGCTAATTTTGGCACATGTGGAACATGGGAATCTTCGACAAGGGCTCAGCAAGATGAAATCTAAACACCGCCAGATTCGGCTTGCTTCTTTGCTCATTGGGTAGGCGAATACTTCGAATAGTAGCAAAAGTTCGACGTTGTATTGCTGCTAATAGGCACTATACCATGCCCAGGGCTGTAAATCCTCAGGTGATTCTAGCTCCACTGCCGCTTCAAGGACCACGGTACCTTTATCTAGTACGATTTGACGCAGCCTGTTGGGAATCCGATATGTGACGCCGTTTATGTAGCGATGCAGGAGTACCACATAAAGTAAACTCACTATCATCTTCATTACTAGACTTTCCATCCGTTGCATTGGTCCGGTGGAGGAGGCATTCAACCAATGACTGTACTTCGCTCCAATCGAAATGCGAAAGGCCTCGATTTTGGAAACAGCCCCAGTAAGTGTGAGCTTCTTCTGGTCTATCTTATTGCGTAACGTCAGAGAATAACGACGCATCTCCTGGCATTCAAACCGGACCATGGAGAATATAGCATCATCCCACGGAAGGGGAATGCTGGATAGTGGAGCCGAACATTGAATCACTTCGAGAGGGAGCGGTGTGGTGTATCCGTCATGGTGGATAAACAGATAAGGCGTCGTACTTCGCACTCAGACGGTATGAACCCATATTCCGAGGGGTCGCGGTGAAGCCCCATGCATTCTGCTAACCTAATCGCAAGGCCGATCGGAACAGAATGCGCACGTGATACTTCATCAAGGCACATTGGAAGCTTTAGATTATGGTACAGTTAGCATCTCCAGTGCTTGAATGGAAGAGTGAGAGTAGGCCACAAACGCCTGCAGAGTTTCTACTCTTGATGACTTCAACAGCTGCGCCTTGCTAAGAGCAGCGTTTGTGCCTAGCTGAAGGTGACTCTTCAGCTCTTGCCGTGAAGTATAGCAGCTGTCCTGAACATCTGTATTGGACATGCTAACAACTGCGGAGGAGAGGATAGCACACACTATCGCTGCCAAGGATGGAGGAACTTCATGGCCATGGTCTATAAAATTCCAGAGGGTTTTATATCGTTCCTCAAACTCAGGTCTATTCAGGACACGAGCAACCGGATGAACAGCAATCCAGTACCAATTGAGCAATGTTTCTATAATACGTCGAGGCAGAATGAATCTTTCAAGAGGTTCATGAGGTGGGACTGACCCCAAAAGCAGGCCAGTTGAGGGTGCTGTGAAGGACGGCCCAGGCTTCAAGTACATATCCGGTGAAGAAGCAGGCAATGAAGGCGTCGCAAGTTGAGGTTCTGTTTCTGTCTGATGCTGAAGAAGATTCAAGATCTGTAGTTCCTCAAAGTCAGAAAAAACACTTGCTTGAAATGATTTCAGCAATCAAGTCTGTGTACCTCATCTACAATGCGGGGGCGGTACATGCCACCAGTCCTCTCTCCTAATCGCATTCGGCCAAGCCTGATACCTAGATCGTCAATATCAACGTCACTGCCATCAGTGTACGCGGCATCTCGAATTGCTAGCGGTGTAGGTTCTTAATAATGATCGTTAACAGCATCGTCTGAGAGGGGTTTCAACTCCGCTCCCAGTGCAGGTGATCTGGGGTGCTTCCTGGACCGCTCTAGATTTTCTCGTTGCAGATGAACATCGTCGGGTTTCAAGACAAGTACTCCTTCGAGTGCGTCTTTGGCTTCCTTCACATGGGCCAAATGTTAACGGAATTAAGCATCTTCAGTAACGTAATTACATCGTTGACCAGATACTTTGCAATTCTCACAAGGTTCCTACAACATCGTCAGACACATCTTTCGAACAACACGATTCGGCAACGACTAACGGCTCTATTGCATTTTAGTTTCGGCCGACGGCACTCAATGCAGGAATGGATGCGACGATTACGGTGCAGGGACATTCTTCCAGGGTTGGTAACATTTTCGCGGTGTGGAGTAGTGTGCGAACTGAGTTTTGTTTCTGGAGACCTTCCTTTGGCTGGTGGGTGCTCTGAATTTAATGTGATAGGTAGAACCATGCTCGATTTGGCCTGTATGAGTTGGTGGCAAAGTGTTTGAATATACAAGTGTAAATTCACGCCCGGTGAAAGGAAATGCGAAAAAGAAAAGAAAATCAAGTTCTCACGGGCGTAAGTTCGATTGCTGGTGTCACTAGTTACAGCTCGACCGTTTATCACGTAAGCACGACCTAATCAGAGGGAATAGGACGCCACAGGTTTCAATAGCGGCACCCATCCGTATCGAAGGGGTATAGGGACCGTACCAAGATTCTGTTATAGACAATTTAGATCCAAATTTCACAGCGATGGCACGACTGTTGACCACCGCATTTAGTCTTGGGTCTTTTCACACCAAAATGATAATATCAGCACTAATTTCCGCCAGCATTTACATGCAAATATACCATGCAACCTGGTAATAAGGCTTCCGTCGCCCTTTGCTATATGAGCTTATAAGCGCGCTTTCAAGAAAAAGAAAAAGCTTAAGTCAGTCAACTTCTAGTCGTTTAGCGGTACTCACCTGCTGACTTGCCATAGTATCTATCTGCCTATACCGCGTCGAAGGTATCGAACGATCAAACGCTGTCTATACCGTCCCTTCGATTAGTGGTCTGGCTTTACATCTGAATAATCCAAGTTATCGGAGATGATGGGACATTAGTTAACGAAGCTCACTGAACTTGACGTAATTTACAAACGAGCGGGCTGGGCCACCCTACCAAAAAAAAAAAAAAAAAAAAGAAAGGCGTCTCTATGCGTACCCAACTTCAACCACTCACCATGCCACCAAAACGCCAAATTCTATCAAAAATCCGTTTTGTTTCGCCAGTTTTTGCCACGTAAAGGGAGGTAAATGGAATTGTTGAACAGGGTTTGGTTTTCTTACCTCCGTTCAATCATATCCTAGTCCTGTATATGCCCCGCGTATTGGGGTGGCCCACTTGCTTATATAGCCCACTGACTTAACATAATTCACGAGCGGCCCGTCACCTCTGAACACCATAGTAAATGCGGTGCTTTAGATCACTGTACATCAACCATGAGAAGTTGGCTCTACTTCATTTTTGGTAGGATATGTTACGTGCCAAGAGGTCAGTTCCGAAACTACGTGTGCATTCAACGAAGGTAACAAGACTGAGGAGAGAAAAAAGGAAAGATCTATCTGGTGGGGGAAGTTGTTGATAAACCCAGTCGTCCTGATTCGGCCATGTTTGCCCCCATCACCAGTCTTGAGATTAAACATGCAAACTCATCAACCATCGTTCCAATCCTACCACCATCAATTGTCCCATGCGTAACAGGATAGTGTTTCTTAGCTTAATGGATAGTATAGATTCACTAAGGTGCAGAGTAAAGCTGAATGTATTAGATCGTGGGGTACCCGTACGCTCTAGTACTGAGGGAACTAATTGACATGATTGATTGATGCAAGGAGATCGCTGTTGAAACGTCTCTTAGCCAGAGAGGGTAGTCTTGGCGTTTGATAACATGGGTATTCCGAATTGACCCGATTTCCACACAAGTAGGTATGGCAGAGTGTGTAGAGCTGAATCAGCCTTCAGTGGTAGAGTATCACTGCTCATTTCAACATAACTTCTTCCACCGCACTTCCCGAGTGTCCTTTCCTCTGCGACTAAACCGTAGTCAAAGCCACTTCAATGTGCTCTAGCGACTGAGTCTTCCCTTCGTCTACGGAGGAATCGTTGTCACATTCCTGTAGGGCAAGGAATCTTTCCCTCACCTCCGGCTTTGCGAATATCATATCGACCTCTTCGAGCGAAAGACCAGTCGTCTCGGGACAAAAGAAGTAGACGTAAACAACTGGGTGATGAAACCAAGTCAGAAGCTGGTCTTGAACACCGTGCGGCAATAAGTTCTCAAAGGACGAACTCACCAGTGATAGCGCAGCAAAGCAGATTCCATATCCAGATCTTGGCTCCAACACGCTGGAGGGCGATGCCACCAGCAAAGACCGTGACAAAGGCAAATAGCCACTCTCCAAAAGCAGCCATGGCACCTCCTATATGACGATATTGGAGAGGGAAATCTCAGACGGATAGAGCCACTATAGAGCACAAATCGTGGTCAGACCATGGAGGAGAAACAAAGGGGTGAACTTACTGGAACACCGACCCAGCCCCAACCGAAAAAGAAGTTGAAGCAGATGACCATGGCAACAGCAGACCACTGCGTTTTGTCATTAATCAAGGGCTGCGGCAGACAAACAAGAATTACGAAAAGCAGCATGCAGAATGTGCAACCAATGGCGGCCCAAAGCATGCTGTATGGAAGTACATTCCATTAGTGCTACCACATTTACCCGACTTGGGAATAACTTACAGATTGCGACGTCCAAATCGCTCAACAGTTAGTGGCATTGCCACGCACCCAAGTGCTAACTAAGACAAGAGGCCATCAGATCTGATGCTGCTTTCAAGACTGGGGTCACTTCAAGCTTACCAGACTGTTCATTGTTGCCGCAAGAACTTGAGACAGGAAAGGTGAGAGGCCGATGTTCGAAAAGATCGTAGTGGCGAAGTAGACCATCATATTGATACCTACAACGCAAGGCAGTGAGCATAATAGTTAGCAAATCTTTAAGGTGTGGCGTACCCATCAGATTATCGAGCGAGTAAAGGATGAATCCGGTACGTAGTCTCCGGCCAACCTGGAGATCAGATTTATCCCTGCAGCACCATAAGTGTCTAGATTTGTATAGACAGTGAAGGTAAAGAAACGAACCAAATCAGGTCCAAAACTCTGAATCCATTTCCGGCTTCGCGTTCAAGCTTGATACTTGCTAAAATTTCACCGCGCATTGCTTGTACTCGGGCGTCGTCAATCGGCCTCCCGTGGAGTTTAGATAGTATCGTATCCCCTTCTTGATCGCGGCCTTTAGCATAGTACCATCGGGGTCTGTTAAATGATGCGTTAGCGATGATAGGATGTCACTGTAATGACCCAAACATACGTGTCTACGTCCAGAAGAGTCGATAATCAGTACATGTCTCCAGTGAAGAGCTGTCAATTGAACTCACCAGGTAGAATGGACATCACAGCGAGGGCAGTGAACGCGAAACCGGACTGCAACCCGATTGGAAAGCGCCAGGACACCTGGTTGGTCATTTGAGTGAACCCCAAGTCTATCCAGTATCTGTTGCGATCACCTTAGCATACACGTCATTCAGCACCGTTTCGCGGGGACTGTAACAGGGGATCTCACGCAAGAGGAATGCCGCTCATCAGAATCGCAACCTGCCATCCGACAGCCGGGCTGTTCGACCTTGTGAGACACGTCATACCAGTTAGGAATATTGTGGCAGGCTTACCCCCGCTGGGACACTTCGATAGAAAGTTCGGCGATATACATTGGAACAGTGGACGAGATGAATCCCATGCCAAACCCAGATGTGAGTCTCCCAACAATGATCTGGGCCACAGAAAATGAGGAAGCCTATTTGAGTAAGCCAAGAACAATTACCAACGATGCTGCATATTTTACCTGTAGGGCCCCTCCTATTACCACGACGGCATTTCCCATTAAAATAGACTGCCGGCGCCCCAATTTCATGCCTACGAACATGCAGACAACTGAACTTATAGTGGCAGCCAGACTGTAGGAGGAAGCAATCATTGGAATGACATAGCTCCCTTTGGGATTCTGATGAACTCCAAATCTGTCAGTTTAACTAGTGCCCGTGATTGAAGCGTCATGATGGATGATATAGTCTTAAACATAGCGTCTCACCCCGATGGCATCAAGAAATGGTTTGGTTGACTGAACCCCTCCCAGTACGCCGGCATCATAACCGTAGAGCATGAAGCTCACTCCAGCTGCTATGTTCGCAAGCCGGAGCAGACTTTTGCCTGAAAGCCTTTCATAAAACATCAGGTCTGTAGGATAATGACAAATCTTTTCATAGAGTGTCCTCCAGCTTCATAAACGTGGTAGACATGACTTTGCCTACTAATATACTCACCCCTTCTGTTCTGCAGGTAACGAGCAGCGAAGGCGGTGTCCTAAGTGGAAGAGCCTCTGAACGGGCCGTGCATCCCCGCATTAGGAAAAGATAATACCTGAACCTTATCATCTCCCCCATGGGGAAGCGGGGCCCAACGCCAGGCAGTGGGGACCAAGAAACCGGGGAAACAAATTTTAAGAGATGGCTCGGAAATGCAATCTCCGCTGGTCTAACCCAAAACCCGTATATTTTTACGGGGACTGGGTTCTTGGCAAAACCCGTGGGGGCGAAAAAAAGGGATTGAAAGGTGGCCCCGACATTGGCGAAAAACTTGGCACAAACATGGGTAATACGATGGTATTAACTAACGTAATCCACGAACACGGTTGAGCGGAACACCCGGAACACCATATTAAACGCCATCTTTCATTCCTCTATATCTCCGTTAACGCATATAAAAATCCTCCTTTACTCGACCAGTAGGTCAGAAATACTATTTAGATTACGTACGCTTGATACAGTTTTCTAAATAGAAATATGCCACAAGATATGAAGCTGTAATTTATCGCATTTAAAATGGTGTTTTGGGTGTTCCGCTCAACCGTGTGTTCCGTGCACTCGTGAATTACGTCAGTGTCCCTTTAACTAACTAACGTAATTCCCAGCCGATCTGGACACCCGGCCGTCCTGGACACCCCAAAACATCATACAAAATACAATTTCTTAGGTCACAGTATATCAACAACGAGAAGATGGTTTTGTTCGATTTTTTGTAGTATCGCATTTCTGAGCTTTAGAAATAGCATGGCATAACTAAGGTATGCGAAAAATTATTATTTACTCACATTACCAAAAATACGCTCTGGTCTACTGATGCCGATATATCTTAATGGTGTGAAGCCTTAAAATTCTTACTAACCTGATAAATATCTTTAGAGAGACATCTAGTGATAGGATAAACTTAGACCTAATGCTAAGCCTTGAGTGTTGAAAAATCAAGTCGTAAAATATCGCATTTACTATGGTGTTTTGGGTGTCCAGGACGGCCGGGTGTCCAGATCGGCTGGGAATTACGTTAATGTCATTCACTACCTGATCGGCTACACCAGCCAAGCCACTCTAAAATACCATATTTAAGGCAATAAATTACAACATTATATCTCAACAAGCGTAACTATTCTAGATAGGATATTGAGTCTATGCAATCTAGAGATTATTTCGAACCTACTAGTGGTGTATTGAAAGCTGACTTTATGTAGCGATGAAATATATATTTCTATCTCAATTGTCAAAATTCCCTGGTATTCTACGGCAAAGTATTGAAACAATAGACCAAATGGGTTATTATCTAGATATATTATTCCTTATATTTGGCCTGTTCTGGAATTTTTACGGAAATAGATATCCGTGCCTCTGCCCACCCAAACCGCTGCCCGCTTTGGTGCGCCACGCGTTCTTCATAGATTTCTGCGTCTCCTCTACAATCGGCTATCTCAACCACCCAACATGCCTAAATCTCCTAATTTTGACGAATCTCGCATGGCCAAAGCCTTCGAAGCCGCCATGGCTCAAAAAAAGCCGAATATTGCGAAGATTGCGCGTGAATTCAACGTGTCATACCCTACACTCTTCAGTCGCGTCAAAAAGGCTAAATCGCCAATTACTCCTACCAGATCGCAGAAATATACTCTAGATCCATACCAGGAGAAGGCCTTGACCAACTGGATAGTCCAAATGTACGCGTGGAATCTACCACCTACTGCAGGGCTTATACAAGCGTGGTCAAATCGTGCACTAGAGCGGGCGGGCCAGGAGAGACAGGTTAGCAAGATGTGGGCGTATCGCTTTGAAGCACGCCTTCCAAAGCACCTAAATCTAGCTCCAGTGAAGCAAAAGACTAAAGAACTAAAGCGAATCCAAGCCGAGGATGCAGGCCTTCTTCAACACTGGTACGACCTACTTGAAAAGCTCCTCTATGACGTTCCCGCCCGGCTAGTATACAACTTCGATGAATGTGGCTTTCAACCTGGTCAAGGGCGCGCCCGAAACGTTATTGGGTCTAAATCATCTTGCCCTGACTTAGCTGAAGGAGAGAAGGGTGAAACTATCACCGCAGTTGAGTGTAATGCTGCGGATGGCTGGCTTATGGATCCGCTCTTTATATTCAAAAGCTCCGGTAAAAATTTCATGGAGGCCTGGTTCTACGGTAGCGAAAATCTACCGATAGATACGATCGCTGCAATGTCTCCGAACGGCTGGATTTCTGATGAACTAGCTCTAGCCTGGCTAAGCTATTTTATTAAATCTACAGCTACTCCCGACTGTCTAAAACGTGGCGAAAAGCGCTATCTTATATTCGATGGTCATGGTGCGCACCTTACCCTCGAGTTTCTAAGTAAATGCGAGGAAAATCATATTATTCCATTCGCATTTCTACCACATTCAACGCATCTTTGCCAGCCACTTGACGGAAAGCCTTTTCTCAATTATAAGCAGCAATTTCGGTTGATGAATAACGATCTATCTTTCTGGGGCGGGCAACCGTATAGGAAATCGGATTTTCTCGCGATTATCGGGCCAATTCGCAAAAAAGCCTTGACCCAGCGAATTATTCGAGAATCCTTCAAAGATCGTGGTATTTGGCCGGTTGACGGTAGTAAGATTGTTGAAAATCTTGCTAGTCAGCTAGTAATTCCTGATCTCTACGCCCCAGAGCTTCGCTCATGGGGATCGTCTACACCATCACCACCACTACCACCAACAGATCTCGCATCCTCTAGTATTGAAAATAGCCCTCCGAAATCTATTGAAGCACTAGAAAGGAATCATGCGAAGATTACCAGACATCTCGAAGCTCTCTCGGAGAAAATGCAGCGAAATCTAACGAAGATAATGGCGCACCAGCGGGAGATAACGGAGGAGCTTGAGATGACCCGAGATACAATTCGGCGAATTAGAGCCGCGCAAACGCCAGTACGTCGCAAATATACTAAGCGGCAGGTTAAACCGCTTAGCCAGACTGGTATATTAAGGACACGCGATGCGAATCGGTCAATTGTAGCTAGGAGAGAAGAAGAGAAGGCGAAGGAAGAGCGGAAGCTGGCGAAGCAGTTCAAGAAGTTGTATGGCTACGAACCCACGCAGCGGTCGGAGGAATCTATTCAGCAGGCAATTGCAAACGAGGAAGCGGCTAGGCAGGCAGGAGAGCCTTTTTTTGTTGATAAATAGCTGGTTGGTTGAGAAATATTCGATTTGATGCAGAAATCTATGAAGAACGTGTTTCTATGAAGAAAGGCACGGATATCTGGATCTCCCAGAAAAGTACGGATTATATGCCACGGAAGCGGAACCTAATAAAGTTTAGATCCGGTTTTAAGTTAATGCTAACGTAATTTAGGAGCGAGTGGGCCACCACAAAACAGCATATCTACATCATGTCGAGAACTAGAGCGGTAACATACCGCGCTCGGGCAGGATGATTACATTGATCTACAGTGCCAGGCAAGAAGTTTGAATACACCCCTACTTCCGCCTAGCCTACCGCCTACTATTTTAAACCATAATTCTAGCACCCTGCCAACCATCAAGACAGCCATCATAATAAACAACAAAATAACCATCAAAATAAACAACAATCAGGCTACCCCTATTTGAAAGGTAGGTAGGTAGGTAGGTCAGTTAGCCCCTATCCAACTACCAGATTCAACCATCACTAATCAATATGGGTCGAGTAGAATTATCACCTTCTACAAGGTCGCGAATCTGCAGTCTTCGTACTGATGCGAAGCTCTCCTACGGCGAAATCGCTAGTCATTTTCCCTCTATCTCTCGAAGCACAATTATCACCACCTGCAGACGTGAGGCTATTCGTGGCAAAGAAAACGATACGCTAAAACGATCCGGTCGGCCAAGAAATCTCTCTGAAGAGGAGCGCGATAGTATTTATGATTATATTTAGCAAAATCCTAGCTGCCGATATTACGAGCTACTCGAATTGGTTGACTACAAAATCTGCGAGCGTACCCTACGAAACCTTTTAAAAGAGTTTGGTCTACGAAAGTGGCGGAAGATTACAAGACCTCAATTAAACGATAACGACGCAGCAAATCGTCTTACCTGGGCGGAGCGATATCGCGATTTTACACCAGAAGATTGGTCGCGCGTTTATTTCTCTGACGAAACATCAATTGAGCGTGGTTCTGGCGCTGGCGCTCAATGGACCTTCGTACGACCAATTCACCAAGCTCGCGAGGGCGAAATTCATGAAAAACCTTGTGGGAAACAGATTCGACAGATGTTTTGGGCTTGTATTAATGGTGATACTAGGCGAACTGGCCTAATTCCAATAGACGGAGATCCCGAATCACCGCGTGGTGGTGTTACTTCACGAGTTATTCAATCAACCTATTCAACCTACCTTCCATCAATTCTATCGAATCGATCCGATGCGATTTTTATGCATGACAACGCATCAACACACACTGCGCATATCGTACGCGATCTCCTAAACGAGATAGATGTAGAAGTTATGCAGTAGCCACCACATTCGCCAGATCTGAATCCAATTGAAAACCTCTGGGGGCTACTCAAGCGTAGGCTACTAGAGCTATTTCCTGAGCTCTATGATATGCCTAACAATGAAGAAACGCGTGTTTATCTCATCAGCGCAGCGCAGCACACCTGGTCTCAAATAGACCCTGATATCCTGCGTAAGCTTAGTATGAGTATGTGTAATCGTGTGCAGGCAATTATCGAATCCAAGGGGTGGTATACTACCTACTAGTCTATGCGAATATAACAGTCTGTTGATTTTAATTAATTTAATTTAATTTGGCCGGCAGAAAATTATGTAATCTACCAAGGGTGTATTCAAACTTCTTGCCTGGCACTGTACACTTCCTTACCTTTTGTATGGTAATTTGAATTTTACGGTAACTCAGCCGTCATAACCCCGAGTACCGGAGACATTTAGGGCCCTCTCCCAGGACATCTTCTAATTTGATTCAATTAACCATCTTAGCTAGTCCCGCTTGATCTCATCGCCATTATGCATAATGTATCAGTTACTGTAACACAACTTCATATCTCAACAGCCATATGTGTTTAAGATAAGACATTAATATAGTGTAATCTAAATACCCTTCCCAGCCTCCAGACGGAGTACAGGACAATTACTGAAGGTATTGGCGCAGATATACGTATTTATCACTCAAACTGTCTAAATTGCACTATATCTTATGGTAATGGGGCGAAATAATAGTCCAAATGGCTTAAAATCTAGGTATGTTATTCTTTGTGGGTACAAAAGTGTATGTGCCGAAATTCAAGTAAAAAAACCCTATGGCTGTCGAAACACAAAAGTAAAAAAAATGGTGTATAAAATACGGCATCTAGTGTGATGTTATGGCTGATCCACTCGCCCACGAATGGCCGTATTGCTGGAGGTCAGCTAACGTAATTCATGTTCTAACTCGTCAAACCACCAGGGGGAAAACTTCTTGTTTGGAAACCCCAGATAAATTTCATAAATCATGATGACATAATATTCCGCGGGTCCTACGACCGTCTCAATTCCAGCATTACCCATATAATTTTTTTGCGAAAGCTCGATTAACAAGGGGGAACCGCTGTTTCTAAGTGAATTTGGTCTGAGAAAACAATCTATGTTGTTTATACGAGGCGATTTTAGAGGTTCAATGATTCTACCAAAGCGGAAAGCTTGGCGGTAGAGCAGAGATGAACGGAGACTTTCGCCTGACATGCCGAGTATCGTCGTATTCGTTCATACGGGTCTTCAACAGAACCCGGCGTTCGACCCGTTTGTGTGGGCCCGAAGGCCAAGCAGGCTGAACCAAGGGCGGTAAGCTACTTTTTGACTCTCATGACCACGACATCATCAGGTGTGCCAAGAAATCGTCGGACCAACTTCGGCGGGTTTTTTGAAATCTCGTGACGCGCCCCAACCCCAGGTTGTAGATCGTACCCCGCGTGGCTGCCCTTCACTAACCTCAGTCCCGTGTCGATCTCATCGGATGAGAAATGTGAATTCTGGGGACAGCTTGAGAAGCCTCTCGCAAGAATGCCAGCATCTGACTTGGCGTGTCATTCGTGTCGTAAGTAAGTGACGCTCCATCTTGCTCGAGACAAAGAATTGAACATGGCTCATTGTGCGTGTTGATAACTAGGCGGAAGGTCAAATGGTATGTGATGACTAGATTCAAGTCACTACAAATGCTCGCGAAGTAACATCTGCTCAGTGACCGGACACATCCGCGGTGCATGGTCTGTGATCAAACAGGGCAGATATGCAATTATCCTCTTTGGCCGATGAAGCCAGGGCCTAAAATCGGTAAGAACTGTCCTCATCTTGTCATAAGCCCCAGTAGGCTAGAATGGCGTTGACAAGATCTAGGATCCTCGCAAAAGCGGAGAAAGTGCCGACCATTGAATGAGACTACGCAGAGTCGATGGATTAGCTCTTCTAGTCTATCCAAAGGTCCTGGCACCGATCCACGGAATGGCGATTTCGACAGTTTGGACGGTGGACTGGAGAAAGAAGAATTGGTCCACGCGGCCCCTGCCGATCCTACAGAGACACCATCTGGTGAAGAACAACAAGCCTCGCAGTTGAATACGCTTGATCTCGCCTTCATCTTACATCCATCACACGAAGTCACAACTCCAGATGAGACACAAAAGGAGAGCCCGAACTCTCAGGATGGTGGTCACACAGGTCTTTACCGCCAAGCTTGCAAACTGTTAGGCGTCTCACAGGCTGCCGTGAATCAAATGTAACGAGCTCAGCTATCCTTCTTAGTTTATCAAAGTGGAGTGTAGAGAAACTAATTGCAGCACAGTATTCGGATCTTTTTCGAAAACATGGTGGCCATCAATATCTTTCATGAGCCTTCATTTGCAGAAAAGCTTTCGAATATCTCCTCACTTTCTCAGCTGACTGCCATTCTGGCGGCCATAGCTGCTTATGCCTCACGATTTGATGCTCCGAAACCCACTGACATAGCCAGGGACACAGCCCAGCCCACAACAACAAGTCACCAACAGCCAGCATACTTCATTGACCTTGCCTTCGAGTACATAAACAAGGCGCTCGTGGAATGTGATGATGAGATGCCGCCGCTTTGCGTTTTGCAGGCTCTTATTGTTGCAACGCATTGTCGACTGTCCCAGGGGGTTCGCGGAAAGGCGTGGAGATCTCTGGGACTTTGTGTCAGTTTGATATACGAAACAAATCTGCATCTTCTTGATTCCCGAACGGCCTTGAATACGAAAAATATTCACCAGTGGCAAGATGATGAAGAAAAGCGTCGTGCTTTCTGGGCCATCTGGGAAATGGATGTTTTTGCGAGTACCATCCGTCGGACGCCAACCGCCATTGACTGGAATCGGATGGAAATATTGCTTCCAGTTGACAATACCCAATGGTTCTCGGGCCAACCTACTTCGAGCTGCTTTATGGAGCGTGATCCAAACCAACGTTGGAAGACGTTGCAGGACAGTGGCAGCCAGTCACCGAAAGCGTGGTTCCTTGTCATCAACTCTCTTATGAAGGACGCCCAAATTGTGTGTGATCCGCAGGAGGTGCTGGGTGGTCGACATTATTACCAGCCAAATCCAAACCAGCAGCTACCCACCGCCGAATCAGCCGTGGAGGCTCGCCAAAAATTGGAGACGTTGGCAAACGCAGTACGCTGCTTCAGTTTGGCTTTACCCGGTCAGATCCATTATCGCGACCAGTACTTGGCCTTTGGGACGCCAGTACAGGGGGAGGTGGAATCTCAACGACAGCAGCATTGCTCCATCTACAATATTTTCGTCATGACCCAGCTAGCTCGGTTGATGATCTACAGATATGATGCATTCAGATCTCAGAGTCGTCAGTCTGAAGTCAATGGCCATCAACGTTCCGGAGATGCAACTGGTCGCGGGACTTTTAGTCCACATGGTGTGGGTGGGGCGCTACAACAATACTACGAGGCAGCGGATGGCATCTTAAGGATAGTGAATCGGAGCTGTGAGGAGCATATCTGGCATATTAACCCATTCCTGTCCAGCACTATTTGGCTTGCTTCGGCAGTGCAGCTAGTTCGCAAACATTTCGCTCGATTACCTTCCAATCGAAACCTGATCAAGTCACGGTTCGACGTTCTCTACTTGACCTACAAGCGATGCATTCATTTCTGGGACACTCAAACCGCCCTCCAAAGGAACCTCGAGTCAATCGTGGAGCAACTGGAAGCTAAGCATAATGATCCAGATGCTGGAGATTGGCCGCACTTTCAAGAAACGCCAAAGCGAGCGTTGGAAGACAATGCAGGGATCAGCCATTCCTCTTCGGATCGCAATATTGAGCATATCAGGCCCCGCGCGAAGAGACCAGGGAAAACTCGACAAAAACCATCACATCCCAAGAAGGAAGGCCATTTCCCTCAGCCTCCAAGTACAGGAAAGCTCAAAGTGATATCCCCCGCTCAATACCTCTCGGATGCACCAATTGTCCCTCTTGACAACCCAGCCTTAATTCATGACGGACCAGACATGACAGCTCAAAGCTACACGCAACGACAGCCAGCAACAGCAGGTAGCATGGCCACGCTAGACTTTATGTCTCTTCAACAACCTGATAGGAACCAGACTTCGGAAGACTGCGTGATGCATACGGACTCTAATACCCTAAATTCAATATATTTGAGTGATATTCAGCACAATCAGGCCCTGGACTCGCTCAGCTTCGACTTTCCTAATGGAATATATGATTTACTTGCCGGGTGGACTTCGTACTAACCAGCCCACTTTGGTGCTTGTTCCTCAGGGATATCCTAGCACTATTCTTCGATAATGGGCCCCCTCGTCGCATCTGCGTAGAGGGACAGTCTTGTCCGGGTCATCGTGCGGTGATACAATGTTTTATTGCCTGAAAGAAATGTATCCATATATTTATTGTTGTTAACAATACAAAGTTATAATTTCCTGTTACGGCCCGTCCTACTTTCGATATCCTGAGATTATTCTGTGCATAACTTCATAGGACTGGACACAATCCCCGCGTATTAGGCATCGATTTTCTAATATTGGCGATATATTAAGTGATTCCTACTTTATCTACTTTGATTGTTCAAGAACTATGCATCCAACCCAGTTACCATCGTTGGCTCAGCTCCTCAAATTACTCATTTGCTTTCCTCCCTTGCCTAGTCTGCAGGCTGATATACCCTTCCCTATATGTCGTAACGCTCTGACGACTACACTAAACTTCTGAACGCAACGATAATACCGAATGTTGTCTAAGCACTAAGTGGCTTGACCTAAATCGAACACCCACCCAGCCAGAGTGAATTGAAGAGGACTTACGCTCAGCTGGCAAATGTGAAGAGTAATCTATGCCCGGGGCATATTCGAACATTCCAAACCCAAGAGTACAGTAAAAAATTTGTCGGTGTAAAATTCTGTATGTTCCAATGTACTAAATATTTTTTTCCATTCTCCGGCTTTCCCTAGTAAAGAGCAGACCGGAGGTAGTCCATATTTGATCGGTATAATTTCGTGCATATTCCTTGAATTTCCTCAACTCCCATTCCATTAAGGCGCGATCGCCCGAAGTATACCAGTTGGGGATTTCGATCTTCAACTGCGTTCCATTGTTAAGTGTTGTTTCCTACCTTTTGTTCAAGAAGACTTAACTGATGAAAAGGGTGGCTTCAGCAATAACCCTTGGCTCAACCTGCTTCGCATTTCGCATGGTACGTATACCCGTACGACGTCGATAAGGCCCATCAGTTCTTACTCAACTTCAGATTCCAGTAAGTCAAGCGCACAGACAAGGGTATATATTATAGTGGCACAGCTCCCAGCCATTTGTGTAGTGTGCAAGACAAGGCAAACAAGATGGGTTTCGAGAGGCGACCTTTATCTTAGAATCCGAGTCTGATCTCGTTGTTGCGACAACGTTACCTGGAGTAACTGGGATCTACGACTTACGAGATGCGCCGGGTGGTAGTCGCTGCGTGACTTTCTATGACCCTATCGACAACTTCCCATTTCATCTTCCTTTTGGCCAACATCTTCTCGTCGATGAAACAGTGTTTCCACAGCTTAATTTCGATTTGGTAAGGTTTTTGTAATATACAACTTGCTGCTCCTGTCTGTAGTCCTCACTCCGCCAACGGTCAAACACCGGCCAGGCAACAAAACCGAATGATTCAAGCAAGGTCAGTAGTCACAACCAATTAATATCTAGGAACTGCTCTTATTTCTCTGAAGACGAAAAGGCCAGCCCCGGTGCAAGCTTTCAGAAGGCGTTTGACTTTTACACCACCCGATTCAACTTCAAGCCGAGTGATATTAGTTTCTCCGTATTCAACATTCCATGCGACTCGAACCATACTTATCAAATGTCCATTGACATGATACAGCTGGCCCATGATTCCACCAGGAGAGATATAACCGCCTTTCTCCGTTTGGACCACGGCTCTGAGTTGGTCGATCACCGTTGCTTCTATTTTAAAAGGTCCTAGGCCGCACATTCATCACTCATCGTTCCAGACGCATGATCCTGATACTCAAGTGCTGGGTCATGACTGGATCCGCAGTAAAGGATACGAGAACTGCTGGGGAGTTGGGCGTTATAGCATGGGCAGTTAGATCTACGATTATTGGAATGTCCCATGTTAACATTTCTCTCAACACAAGCTCTAAGACGTAAATTCAATCAAAGCTTTGTCACCTCTCGTTTTATTATCAAGCATTACATGGATTGTTATTTGGTAAATGACTAACAACCCACGAATCGACCCCTTGCTATGCCAGATAATTTACATATTTAGGGTAGGTCTTCGAGTATTATGCGATATTGTCCTGTTGTTCACATCTATCACTAGCCCTGGACCTTCCTACAGTAATATGGGATACATATTTTTTTCGTCGTTCTCGACACCATCCAGAAGATGATGTCATAGATACACGCCTTAACATCCTGTTCTTATTACAGTAGTCATATTTTCCCCCATTAGTTGTAGAATGTGCTTAGGGGGTTATATTTGGTTATATTTGGTTCTTGGCTTGTCTTTCTATCATTTTCAATGTTCAAAGAGAAACTCCAAAGGAGATGACGTCCGTTATAATTTGCTGCCCTACTCTGTGATTTGTCTTTGGAACGAATTATCGAAGGGCATTCTCCGCGTTAGGTGATAAGCTAACATTGGACAAAGATGTCCATACTAACAATATTGCTTCATAAATGAAGCCTCTAGCCTAGATAGTTAAGAAAAGAACATTATCATATAAAGGACGTTTGGTTTTGGTAAGTCCGATACGGATTCACAAGAAATGAGGGCAGATTCCCTAACTTACAGCAAATTACCTCAAGAGTACAATCCTGTTCCAAGACAAGGCAAAGGCATGCATGCATTCCAGTGGCTGAAAACCCCGAATCTCCGTGGTATCATACGAAGGTAGTCTACAGACTCTGTGCGCAATCGATGAAATCAGCGGTTAACTAGTAGTAGGCGCTGCTCAACTAAATAGAAATTATCTTTTTAGATTTATCTTATTCAAAAAAATAGTTGTTCTACTGTACAAACTCTTCCCAGTGCGAGTTTCTGTATGTTTATCAAAATGTTGAAGCCATGCAAATACCAGATCTGAATTAATATACTCAGTAGAAGCTACTGAGACAACCTAATCTGGCGGTGGAGCCTCCTCAAAAAATCTCTTAAGAACAACGGCGCCTCAAAAGATGAAAGATATCAGCTGCGAGGCAGTCGATCAAGATAAGACTCTCGCGAGTATCCAAAGTCTCCGCGCGGACCCTACAGTGACCACTTGAGCGAGTGCGGGAGAGTTGTTGGCCCAATATGAAGCCGGTTTCATCGAAATTATAGATATTGTAGTGCTTCATCTTCTTGATCACTGGTTCTAGGCCGCCAAACCAGTGCTGCATTAAAGCAGCAGTAACCTGCCCGCTCTAAATCGAGTTGCTGATCAGCGATTGGGCCAATATTTGAGTCTTCTCGCTGAATAAACGAATAAATGCATTGGTGATTGACTAGTCCTAGGCCAGGGGTTAGGTTGTCGGTCATAGCAAATCGTTCGAGTATTGACGTTTTTGGCACGGTCGTATCAGGGGGGTCTCTTACGTAGTGGCTCCAGAGAATGAAATTTGCAGGGTCCTCGATATCTTTGCCGTTTAATTTGATATAATAGCAGCATACGCTGTCAATCATCTCTATAATTGCACTCTCTTGGGCTTCGGTAAGTAGGCGTGGGCGATTTTGACTGCCAAATTTTGACGATGTCCCAAGAGACCCACGTCGCAAGCGCTCACAAGGCACGCGAAATTCGCGCGGTAGAACGGATAGATTGCGGGTTTCGCCACTAGCATAGATTTTCAAGGCCACAAAGATTCAATCTTCTTCTTCTGTATAAAATTTATCCATATTGATGGTGGGTGGTAGGGGTAGATAGTTGGTGTGTGGATAGATTTTATAAGGGAGGAGTTTTATTGGGGTTTGCCTCACGTTGCCCACTGTCAGAGCAGCAGCATACCCGAGAAACGAGATACTGTACATCCGCCAGATTAGTCATGTAGACAGCCCATCCAAATTGCTAGCTTGGGGCCTTCTGGCAATTTAGACTCATTGTGATTTCTTTTGGTGCACACGCCATGGCCAACTAGCCTATGTTCCGACTTGTTTTTTGATGCCTTAAGGTACGAGTAGACTATTACCCCTTTGGTCAGACCACCTTAGTGTCAGGCTTTGGCATTAGCTACTAGGGAGACAAGGTACAGGGTAAGGTAGGCTAAGCCTGATAAATATGATCTGGTCAGTAGCTCCTAGTAAATGGCAACCTTACAAGCGTAACCTACGACCGAGCTAACAAGCCAAAAACACATAGCAGGTGCGATAAAATATAAATTCATGTACCTACAACAATAATTAATTTTTACTTAAGAATTAGTATATACGCTTGTATAGGTACAAAGGACAGCATATTTTAATCGACTTCAGAAAGCATATTGTGATACTAACTTAAAATAAGCGGTGGTTTACGTACTTGATATATGCCTTGGTTGATATTTCTGATAATTCCCTTAAATTGAAGTAATGTGTGTTACCAGCTGGTCACAGTGAGTATAACGTCTCAGGTTTGTTTTTACCTGCTGAGGTTCCACTGAGGATGCCAAGAGATATCTCGCAACCGTACCTTTACTGTGCTAAGCCTTACACTGACTCGGGTCCTATTGAGTATCTTGCTGCCTTGCAAGATGCCACATAGTGCACCAAGTAGGTCAGTCACAGAGTGAGCTCCCCTATCTGTAGGATAGTGCGTTTTAAAGGTGAATTTTGAGGTACAAAGGTGGTATCCAAGTAACAATGTAGGATTGATCGCGAAGAGCTAAATACGCCTGCGTAAATGAGTGTCCCTATATATCGACCCCTCCATGGTGTGGCCTACTGGTGAGTGCCTTTGAAAGTATACCGGATCCTCGAGTTTGATATTCCATTTGGAATATCCACCTGTATACCATAGTGGTCACGTGCTTCTTCGTCATCGTTGTGCTTGTTAGGGTGTTGGTCAGTTGGTGAGGCGCACGTTGTTCCTGGTGTCGCTCCTGGTCGCTTGGGGCGTCCTTCTTGTCCAAGGCCTTTCAGGCGATACGGCTTGCACTTGATAACACTAATGTACGGTGTCCGGGGGTTGTGGTTGGTCTCCGTGGCCCCTCTGTGATGTGGCCCCTCCTCATTTAAGGTTCGTAACAATGTGTTAGAAATGCAACTTAGAACCTGGCAATCTAATAACTTACCTAAATATATATTATTGTAGAGATATGAAGTTGTAATTTATCGCAACTACTATGTGTTTCTTAGTTGTCGGCTCGGTGAATCTCTACAGACACAACGACTATCTAGCGACACAACGAATCGTGTATGTATATAGGAGAGTATGGAGCAATCTATACTCCCCTCCATAGACTAGAGAAGGGTAACCAATACACAAGTACAGTAAAGTTAGAAATAATCCCAATCCCCATTTGAACTATCGTAATATACCCACTCCGTTTCCGTATCATTATCCTCATGATCATAAGAGTATCCTCACAGTCTTCTCGAATTACCTCTTTCTTGACCCGAAAACTAAGGACTAAGGCTGAATTTATGATCAAACTGTAGCCTGGAGATTAGAAATGAAATCGTGATCAACGATACCAGGTACATGGCGAAATGATTCATGGGATGGCCCAATGAATTAAAAATAAACCCACCCGAATAATAATCCTTTGACCCCTTCCGCTTTGGCCGGTCAACGGATTGCTAAGGATTTAAATACATTTAACAATTTCTGATTTGACAATATTTTAACTTTTTCATATTCGAATCTAAAGGCCCCTCTCTCCGGTACACTCCCATCCGCGCCGTTATTCCCCGGCTATTTTGCTCATTTGTTCATATGTCTATCTGCTGAGCAGCATCATTTGAGCAACCCACCTCATCCCCTTCCACCTTTCTTCCACTTTTCCTCTGTTCCTTCGAATATTCATCCTCCTTCCTTTTCCTTTTTAGTTCTTTTCTCTCCACTCTCTCTCTCCATGATCACTGGTTCCACTGGTCGCACGCGTCTCTATATGAACTGTGCAATATGCCCTAGGTTCGCCTAAGCATCCTGGCTGTTGCCGTTCACCTTGCGCGTCGCATGCACTGAGATTCTTACTTTCCTCTTCCCTCTTTCCCCCTCTCCTCCACTCCGATTTTCTAATCTCCCATCGCCTGGCACTTTGGGTCCGCAGTTCCGCTTTCCCCGCAACTTGATCTCGTCCTCTGCGGAGGATCTTCCTCCCAGCTCGCCGTTATGACTCCTGGAAATGGCCGTAATTTCAACTGCTCTTGGACGCATTGTGACAAGGTATATCTTTATGCTAGGGACAGTTTCTGCATTCATCATCACACCCATATGCCACTTCCCCTCCCTGGGCCCAACCCGGTGCTTACGTATATTCCTAGTCATTTAATCGCAAGTCCGACCTCTGTCGCCACTATCGGATACACACCAATGAGCGGCCCTATCATTGCACGGTGCAAGATTGCAGCAAGACTTTCATTCAGCGCAGCGCTTTGACAGTCCATTCGCGGACCCACACCGGCGAGAAGCCCCATATTTGCGACCATGAGGGCTACCAGAAAGCCTTCTCAGATGTAAGCACCCTCAATTCGAACACAAACCTTGCCCTTGTGCTGCCAACTAACACGGAATTCTACTCATAGTCTTCAAGTCTGGCCCGTCATCGGCGAACTCATACGGGCAAGCGACCATATATCTGTCAAGAGCCTACTTGCGAACGAAGGTAAAGACCAATCCAGGAATATCATCTGGTCAAACGTATCCCTCACCCGCTGACACGTTCTCGCGTTCTACTTCTAGCTTCTGTCGCAAATCCACCCTTACGAACCACCAGCAAAGATCGCATCCTTCGGGATTTTTAACTCATCTACCCTCGAAAGTTGCGAGCTCGGAGCAATCGCCCGTGAATGCATCGACTCAAAACGGGAATGACCTGTACATCCTTGCGCAATCGCCGTACTACTCGCATTCTGCGACACCTAACCACGAGTTTTACTCGCTGCCAAACCTCCTGATGAACTCAGTCTCTGTGCATGAAGGCGCGCCTCCGATTGTCACACAGAACGTGCCCGTTACCTCGGCCATGCCCATGCCGCATGCCCCACAGCCTGCGCCGCTGCTCCATCCACAACAGCAGCAGCATCCGCAGCATCAGCAGCAACAGCATACGCAAATGGTGCAGCAAAGCTACCATACGACACCGCACACAAATTATATGTCTCCCGAATATCACCAACCGGCATTCCCAGGCCACCACGTACCGAAGGGACAGCTAATGACGGTGGGATACCATCTTAATTTCCAGTATAAACTCCCAACCCGAATCTTGAACCAACCGGAGAGGACTGACTGGGGTTTTCCTGGAGTAGGTTATTAGGATATTATGCTTAGATGCAACGGTACCGAGTCTGGTTCCGATTGATGAATCCCCGTCATGATTCCTGCTTTATCTTTATCTCTCTTTGCATCTCGATTCCCCAGACCGTCCATTTTCGAGAGATGCTTTGGGATTTTCACATACCGCTGTTTGTATTTGTTAATTGTTTCTTTTCCTATCTCTAATGTTTCCATCCACTGGCTCTCGGACGCTTCTGTTGGATTCTCCCTAGCCATTCTTCCCATGTCCTTGTGACCTTCTTCCTCTTCATCATCAACCTCATCTCTGAGCTCTCTTGTCCCATACAGAGGGAGAGGATAGGCGGTTTTCATTGGATCCAATCATTATCGACCTTTCTTTCTCTCTATTACTTTCCTTGGTTTGTGTCGCCAAATACTGCGCTAATTTTCCTCTCTGAGACCCGGCATGAGACCGTTACTCGCTGTTCTTGGGGGCGCTTTCCTTCTTGCCCTCAGTTTCTTTGAGGTATATGGGGAACGAAGAAAGAGTCCTTTACCTACGAGAATCATTTATTTTCTTTCTCTCATGAGAATGTAGCACTAGAAGCCCTATTCAACCATTAATCTGTCCCATGCCTAGACGTATACGAAGCCACAGCTTCTTTGCTCAGTAGACCGCTTACAGGAGACTCTAATTTGGCGCTCATCTCATCATTTTGCGCTGCATGATAAGAGCCAGAGGCCCAGCCAATTTCTCCGCGCGCTCTATTTTGGTGGACCCCCTCCGTCAAGCTAACTGAGCTCCTCTTGCTCGGTCCGGGCCGTCCTTGGGATGGTTGGGGCCATGATTGGACGCCACACTTGTCACTGGACTCGAAAGCAAATCCATAAGCGCACTAACCTGTCCATTGTAGATAATAACGTGGTCTGAATTAAATGGTGGATAGCGAACACTAACTAATATTTTCGCGAAGCTGGCGATGGATACATAGTGGGCAAAGCCGAGGTTCCAAGAAGTGGAAATTAGAATTGCCCCTTCGAAACCTCTTCAGTCCGTCAAGGAAATACAGCAGAAAGGAAAATTAACAAAGAAAAAGGAGAACGCACCTAGCTTGTTGATCAAAAATATGCATGGGTGCATGACTCGTGGCTAGCCCCGATTTTGCCATGTGCCGTCCTGTCCTCGACCTAGTTTCTACGAAAAGGAAGTACTGTAAGAAAAAAAAAAGAAAATCTTCGGAAACGCCACACTGCCCAGAACACCTCCAGAAAGGGTTTCTGAAGGACTGACTCCTCTAAGACTCAGGCGAGTAGTGTTGGCTCCCTCATGAGCAACTGGCTGGCTCAAATTTATCAGGACCAGCGCGGGTTGCTCATTCGCCCGCTCGTAACCGGTTACTTTGCGGCTGGCTGATTGGTCTTAGGATGTGGTGAACGAGGAGGAAATATGTCATGTCATATGAAATGCTCGACCCTATCACTTTCAAGGCTTATTTATTATATAGTCATTTGCGGGAGTGTATGATTGTCTCTGTGCTCCATAATCCGATGTAACACACCTTTCGTCCCAAATCCCCAATAGCGAATATTTGGATTTGTGGTAAATGTCTACTCTTTGTACAGGTATGTATTTATAGAATCTATTTTTTTTGATAGCCACCCCTTTACTACTGACTTATAGTTAGGAAAATTGGGTTTCTGCAGCAAACACAGGTGTTTCCTCCACCGATGTGGAATATGAGCTACACCACCGGCGGCAACTCGTGGAAAAAATGGCCTCCGGCTACACAGGAACTCCGTGATGTGATTCCAACCTCGTCAAATCTCCGAAGTTTATTACACCAACTATTTTTATTTTATTTTTTTTATTCAGTCGTACCAATCGCGTGCGCCTGTGGGCCTTCCAGGCACGGAGGGGCCAAAATCTCGGAGTGAACCTAGTGACGGCCTTCGATATCCAGCCGAAGCAATGGCACGTCTCTACGACACTCTTCAGCCAAGCAACGCCAACAGGCTGGTTTCTCTCGCCCCTGTTGACGACGCCCATGCTGCCAATCGGGCGCGATGGGTAAAATTCGCCATCCTGTTGTATAACTATGATATCGAGACTGGGCACTGTCTACTTGATAGTTACATACCTCTCGGAGGCTATCTTGAATCCAGCAACCACCACCGATCCTTCAATAGAGGACTTTCTGTCCTGGCAGGATCTGGAGACCGCAAACTTCAGGGGTATCTATCTCACACATACTGGAACCGTACTCTATCTCGGTTATGCAAATGGCCGTTTGACAATGGTCGAGTATGAAATCAATGGGGCTGTGAAGGATGCTATTCACATCCGCCCGTTCAATATGCGAATGCCATATCTGAACGCTTTCGTGCTTACGAAGGGTCTTGATGATATCCGTCATGTTCAGGGTGGCTATAGACACCAAAATCCGCCGTGAGTATCCTTTAGTCCTACGAATACAGACCAATAGACTAATGCAAGATATCAGACTTGACATGGACCTACCGATAATCGATATCCTCTTGTCAAGCTAGGGCCGCTAACCAACTTCCAACAAGCATGAACTTATGTGACCGAGAGCAATGGATAAATGATGTTGAGCTTTATGCCCCGGGTTACTTGGCCCTCGAGGCTGAAGGGCGTGCGGGAGAGTATCCCCTACACCGTCTCATTGTACCAGGCTCTGTCGAGAGAGTTAGAAAACAGGGTTTGAACAGGGTGCAGGACCCGAGGTTACATTCCTTGCTCCCACCTTGCCATCATGATGATGATGATAATGAATTCATACACGGATCTGTCAGGCGGTAGCCCGATTTGCTGGCAGAACACTATAGCTAGGCAGTAAACTAGATCACATCTCAGTATTGACCTTCGTCAAGGTACTTCTGCTAAGCGGCGATATCTCTACTGCAATTCTACAGAGTATTCCCCAAAACTCGGCTTATTATCTGATAAGTTTGTATTTTAAATTGAGTATATTCATAGCTATATTGAGCCTCGATCAACGTTGCGATAAGCTCCACACCTCACCCCAATCGGCTGCAGATTGGATTCAGACTATCGAATGACGTCACCCTTATTCAAATCAAGTTCGAGAATTCGCGTCCGCTTCGCAGCATTACTAAGTGATACATGTAGACACTGGAAGTCGCTGGGCTTCAATGCCCACTATTAAAGCAGGTACTGTACTGCCATGACGACGTCATCGAATGTGTGATCGGAAAGTGGTCCACTTCCGTGCCCGGTCTTCTTGGATTTATAGAAAGCAAATGTACTGCACGCTGCTAGGTAACTGGCTACTAGAGTATATCGAGGTTGGTATCCATTCGTTTAGACTAGCGCTAATGATCGACGGAATCGAACTCCTACTGTAGAAACAGGGCTGTTCGTCTGGATAGATTTCTAGCTTTGTGGTTGGTTCCTCGGGTACACGGGAAGGGAAGGAATCCCTTATAGCTGTGGGTGACTGTAAGAGGGTACAGTATGTACAGTACGATGGGATTGGATCCGCGAATCAGCGGGGAGAGATTCGCAATGTCTTTTTCTACGAGTCAGAACGCAGGTTTTGCCGGTATTGCTGAGAAGCGTGGGTCATTGTTTGCTCATGACTTTTTAGCGGGGTTTTTGGTTGGGTATTGTTTGTGATAGTAGGTTGTCTTGACTTTCCAGGTTCTGGATATTCTCCGCTTCTTGGGTGTTGGATTGTGGGGGGAACTGATGATCTAGAATTGGAAGCTTGGGTAATCAGATTATGGAGAGAGTTCAAACTTGAAGCTTGGTTGATTGCTTTTCGTGGTGGTTTGGTTGGTATGTTTTCTCTGATGTGGGAATTACATCACTGAGGTATGATGCGTTGTTCCTTGGTTAGAAGAGGTCTTGTACTTATAACAGGTCCTGTAGGGGTGAATGCTAGCTATTTTTCTTTTTAGATTTGAATCTTATCCATTTTTTTTTAAACCTTTTGTGGCCCTTTACCTTACTCTACTTTTGTGAGAGCAACGTCACAATGGCAGCTACAACAGCGAAGAAGAATGCTAAATCTGCGGGCGGCAAGTTCGCCGATCTGCAGAAGGACACTGTCGAACTCAATGACAAGGATCATATGACTACCGACTATGGCATCAAGATCTCTGATCCAGATCATTGGTTGCGTGTGGCTAGTGAGAAGAATGCTGGGCCCACGCTTTTGGAGGATCAAATTGCCCGGGAGAAGGTTCGCACTCTTCCATATTCTATATGTAGAGTCCAATCGAATAACTAATAATCGCTTTTCTCAGATTATGCGCTTCGACCATGAACGCATCCCCGAGCGAGTCGTTCATGCCCGTGGAACCGGCGCCTTTGGTACATTCAAACTTTTCGAGAGCGCAGAGGATGTTACCACCGCTGGCGTCTTGACCGATACATCTCGCGAGACACCGCTGTTCCTGCGCTTCTCAACTGTTCAGGGCAGCAAGGGTAGCGCGGATACTGTTCGCGACGTACGAGGCTTTGCTATTAAGATGTACACGGCAGAGGGAAATTGGGATCTCGTCGGCAATAATATCCCCGTCTTCTTCATCCAGGACGCAATCAAGTTCCCGGATGTTATTCATTCAGTTAAGCCCGAGCCGCATAACGAAGTGCCTCAGGGTCAGAGCGCACATAATAACTTTTGGGACTTTGTGTATATGCATTCAGAGACGACGCATATGAATTATTGGGTGAGTGGGATGGTCCTCGTTGCTTAGGGATTTCGTATCGATGCTAACGGGATTTGTCCAGCAAATGTCTGATCGGGCTATCCCGAGATCTTTCCGGATGATGCAGGGCTTCGGTGTGAACACCTACTCTCTGATTAACAAGGAGGGAAAGCGTCATCTTGTCAAGTTCCATTTCACCCCCGAGCTCGGCGTGCACTCGCTGGTTTGGGATGAAGCCTTGAAGATCTGCGGTCAGGACCCGGACTTCCATCGCAAGGATCTCATGGATGCCATTGATGCTGGTCACTTCCCACGCTGGAAGTTCGGTCTGCAACTTATTCCCGAGGAGAAGGTGGATGACTTTGAATTTGACCCATTGGATGCGACCAAGGTCTGGCCCGAGGAGCTCGTGCCTATCCGGTACATCGGCCAATTGGAGCTCAACCGCAATATCGACGAGTTCTATCCCCAGACTGAGCAGGTTGCCTTCTGTACCAGCCATATCGTGCCTGGGATCGATTTCTCGAATGACCCACTGCTGCAGGGTCGCAACTTTTCCTACTTCGATACGCAGATCTCTCGGCTCGGCCCGAACTGGGAGGAACTACCCATCAACCGCCCCGTCTGTCCGTACATGAGCCTGGTCAACCGTGACGGCGCCATGAGGCACCGTATCACGAAGGGCACAGTGAACTACTGGCCCAACCGCTTCCATGCAAACCCGCCGGCCGAGCCATCTCAGGGAGGCTTCACCAGCTACCCCGAGAAACAGCAAAGCATCAAGGCACGCGCTCTACCCGAGAAGTTCAAGGAGCACTACAACCAAGCGCAGACTTTCTACAACTCCCTCTCCGAAATCGAGAAACTGCACGTGGCCAAGGCTTTCTCCTTCGAGCTGGACCACTGCGATGACCCCATCGTGTACAAGCGTATGACCGAGCGTATCGCCGCTGTCAGCTCCGAGCTTGCGGAAATGGTGGCGACCAACGTCGGCGGCGATCTGCCATCTAAGCCTCCCAGGGCCAACCACGGCAAGAAGGCAAAGGGTCTCAGCCAGCTCGAGTACCTCCCCGAGAAGCCCATCATTGAGACACGCCGCATCGCGATCCTTCTTGCCGACGGTTTCGACTACAACGCATACGCCACCATGAAAGACGCCCTCTCCGAGCGCGGCGCTTTCGTCTTCACGATCGGCGCACAACGCAAGGGTGTCACATCCGAGTCAGGACAGACGGTCGTGCCGGATCATTTCTTCACGGGTATGCGATCTACGCTGTTCGACGCTACGTTCATCCCAGGTGGCAAGCACGTCGAGGAAGGTCTGGTGAAGAACGGCGTGGCCAAGTTCTGGGTTACCGAGTCCTTCGCCCATCTCAAGCCCATTGCTGGTGTTAACGAGGCCGTGCCTTTCATCAAGAAACAGATTGGCCTTGATGAGGTTGAGATTGCGTCACCTGGTACTTCGTTTGCGGAGTCGTATGGTGTCGTGACTGGGTACGGAGATGCGCCGTCGACGCTGAAGGTGGGAAATGTTGGACCTGGTTCCAAGGGGTTGGCGGAAAAGTTTATTTGGCACATCTCGCGTCACCGTAATTGGCAGCGAGAGCTGGATGGATTGTCTGATCAGATTGCGGCCTAAGTATTACATGGTAATGACTGGAAAGAGAGGGGATTTGTGTATGGAATACGAGTGCGCGTTGGTGGCGGCCGGTAACATGGACCTGGATTAGCAATTAGCAAACGATATAACGAATATTGAAATTGATGATTCTTAATTTTAAAATTCCTGACATACTTTTTCATGCTTCTTTTCTGGTCGAGGAATTTTGCATTCATGATTGTTGTCATCCTTGATGTCTTGTCTGTTTGGTTTCTGGGGACCTTGGAAGGATGCATGCATTCTTCACGGTCCTGGATTTGCTGCAGTCCAAACCCCAATTCTGCAGTACCCACACGTCACTGTAGGGCTGGAAGATGTTTCTCCCTTTCAAATTGATCGTCCGTTGACTCAAGTCTTTTCTTGTCGGTTTCTTCTAGCCGAGATAAAGTCTAGTCTGGCGGTATACAACCATCAATATTCATGCAATATCCAGGAGAGAAAACCACTGATGCTCGCAAACGAAAAGAAAGACGATTCATTCTATTGGATCATAACCTAGAACCTTCTCTGGTTGAAAGCTACTCAGGGAGGAGCGGATATTGGCTTCGGCATGCCGCATCCCCGTCGCATGCCACAACGCGGCTGCGAAGCTACATCGGGAAGTTACACGGCCACCACCACCCACCCACGCGCCAAACCGGTCATTACGATGTCAACTAATTAGCAAGCTGAAAGAAGTCCGTGCCTGGAGGACGGATATTTGACTGTTTGATAGATATCTTCTGCGGAGTCCTATTGGCAACCACCTCTCACAATCTTTACTTCCTCCAAAATTCTCAAATAAGCTTCCATTCTCTTTGGAGATAGGCTGCGCAAACTACTTGCTACACCCCCATTCCTTGATAAGGTCTGACTTTGGTGATCTATTTCGCAAGGTCGCAAAAGTTGGATTCATAAAGTCAGGAAAGTCAGGTACGAGCGTTGCGAGAAGGAGGATCTACTTGAGCTATGCCTTTTCGCCTCTCACGCTCAACGCGGCTGACGGTAGTAATTGGCATTTCGACATGCTTTTTCCTCGGAGAAATCTCAGGTAGGTGTGAAGGAACTTGCTCTCAGGGATACCGGTGATGCTGACTCGAATACAGTGGGGTTTTATACCCATTCGCTTGCCTTGATAGCTGATGCTTTTCACTACGTACGACTGGATTACTGCTGGTATTGATTCTCTTCAAAGCTAATCACCTGCCAGTTGAACGACCTAGTGGGATTTGTAATCGCACTGGTAGCATTGAAGGTTCGTTCTGTCAATGCCAGCGTGATTGTTATGACTGCTGAAATCCATTCCATCGCCAGGTTTCGGAGAGAGGCGACTCTCCCCCAGATCTTTCTTTTGGCTGGCAGCGTGCTCAGCTGCTTGGTGCTTTCTTTAATGGAGTCCTCCTATTTGCATTGGGTATCAGTATCTTCTTGCAGTCGATCGAGCGTTTCATCTCCTTGCACCGTGAGTCTTTGTATTTCATAGCGTATTCAAGATGCATGATTAACGGAGATCCAGGTGTCGAGAACCCGAAGATGGTCTTCATTGTGGGATGTATCGGGCTGAGTCTCAATATTATCAGCGCGATATTTCTCCATGGTATGTCTTCTACTTTGTGTTTTGTGTTTTCTTAAACTGAAAAGGTGGCTTAGAACACGGACATGGCCATACCCACGCTTCTCCACAGGTAATCGAAGATGAACCAGCACTCGTCAGAGGTTGTAACGAGGATTCTATCTCCAAGGTACGCCTGGATGCTCCCGGATGATAGTTCCATGGCTTATTGACGAAATCTAGCACCATGATCATAAGCATCCACGATTCGAGACCCGAGTGTCAGCACACTGCCATGACCATGATGGTGGCCATGGACATAGTCATGGACACGACCATGGTGACTTGGGAATGATGGGCGTCCTTTTGCATGTTTTGTGTGACGCTGCCAACAACCTTGGGGTCATTGCCGCCGCGCTGGTCATCTGGCTGGCAAAATACGATGGTCGCTACTATGCCGACCCTGGAGTGAGCATAGGAATTGCAATTATGATCATCATTTCATCTATTCCATTGGGTAAGCTGCCTCCGGTTTCCCATTAGAACAATTGGTGCTGCTGACTGACTTGCTGCTAGTTCGGACAACGGGTCTCATCTTGCTGGAAAGTGCCCCGAACGGGGTAAATTTGACAGATGTTAGACACGATCTCGAGAAGGTGAGTACAATTCCCGACCGAGCTAAGATCTGTCCAAATTATAACATGCATTAGGTCCCCGGCGTGCACTCGATTCACGAACTACACATCTGGCGCCTTAATCAGCGCAAAACCCTCGCATCCGTCCACGTTGTTGTATTTGATCCTTCAGTACCTAATTTCTTGAAAACTGCCAAGACAATTAACGAATGTTTTCATGCGTATGGCATTCATTCTGCCACCCTGCAACCAGAAGTTTTGTCCGAGGTCGACACGACAGTTCCAGGCTCTGGCGAGAAGAGCCCACGGTGCCAGGTGGTGTGTGGAACTTTGTGTGAGGCATTGACCTGCTGTGGATAATCTAGAGCCATAATTTTGTCCTTGAGCCATCCAAGCATCTTCCTTGGTCTAGTGGTCATGATTTCCGCTTGTCATTAACTCCGATAAGCGCGGGAGACCGGGGTTCGATTCCCCGAGGGAGAGTTTCTTTTTGCGCCTGCAAGGACTATATATTTTTTATGAAACAGCTTGCTGTTCCCTTTTTATCATTATTGTGAAACTGCTCGTGGTTACACGCCGATTATGAAGGTTGTACGATAGAAGTGCTATTATCTAGTGGCTGCCTTACTGCCACCATCTGCGTGTCTCCTCGGTCGATACAATAGTGCTACTGTAAGTAGTGTCAGAACGGCCTACCCTATTATTGGTTATGCATCCGATAAAGTGCTTTCTGTATCGGCAAGTTCCCAAACCGGCGGAATTTTCTCCGCCATAGATCTACCTCCCCTGCAAGCGACTCTAACTGCACGATAAGCTGAACCAACAGTTGGCCCAGCTCAGCTCCACTCTCCAGACGCGGGGATGTCCACCCGAGCAAGTGCCTATCAACGGCTTCCGATTCCGAGAAGTATGTCGTACAAAAGACTGTGTTAGCGGGGCCTGTGAAAGAAGAGGGGAAACCCTCTATGTATTTCTCCTCTCATTCTTCTCTTTCCAACTCCCAACTACTTAACTCTATACCACCCCCGAACCATAACACGAATTCACAGCTTCCCCGTCAAGATGTCGCTAGATAGCTGGAAACTGCAAGCGCAGAAGGGTAGAGATATCCTTGACAAGTCCATTCCGAAACAATGGTTGCTGCCGGAATCTCAACTTCCACCGACTACACAAAAGAATGTGATCGATTTTCCGAAACAATCAGGGCTCCTGAGCGAGCGCGAATTGATGATTACCGACCTTTCTGCGACAGAGCTAGTGGGGGAAATGGGGAAAGGCAAATTGACGGCTGAGGAGGTTGTTGTCGCTTTCATCAAGCGGTCTGTTCTTGGACAGCAGCTGGTATGAATAATTGGAGATAGCTCCTTCGTGTCGAATCCGCCAAAGCTCACTGAACGGGTCTTGCAGCTGAATTTCGCAACGGAATTCTTGGCCGAGGAGGCTATTGCTCGGGCGCGAGAACTTGATGAGCACTATAAACAAACGGGGAAATTGGTCGGACCTTTGGTTAGTGGAAGGCTAATTGAAGTCCACTGAGAAGCTTGAGTTGACAATTCTTTGATCAGCACGGTGTCCCAATCAGTGTGAAGGAGCACATTGGATTCAAGAATAAGACTTGCAATACGGGATATGTGGCGTTGTCAGTTGAATCTGGCCCAGCTCAGGAAAATGGTTGCTAATGAAATGCTTAGGATCGACAACGTAGCAACCGAAGACGCGCACTTGCTGCGATTACTAGCGAATGCGGGCGCAGTCTTTCACATCCGAACCAATCAACCCCAATCTCTCATGGTACGCATCAAGCAAAGTGTCTATCCAGCTGGCCATCCTGGCTAACCCAATCCAGCACCTTTGCTGCAGCAACAACATCACAGGCACAACCCTCAATCCGCACAACCGCACATTAACCCCCGGTGGCTCCTCTGGTGGCGAAGGAGCTTCGGCGGGCTTTAAATGCGCACCCCTCGGCATTGGCACTGACATTGGTGGTTCAATTCGGTGTCCAGCTGCCTTCTGCGGTGGCTATGGCTTCCGCCCTACTGCGATGCGCAATCCCATGGCTGGAATCCAGGTCGCCTGTATCGGACAGGAGACTATCCACGGTGTCGTGGGACCTATGGCGAGTACCTCGATCGAGGATCTTGAGTTGTTTCAAAAGGCGGTGTTGGATCAGGAACCATGGGATGACGAGACTTCCCTGATGCCTGTGCCGTGGAAGCCCCTGACCCCGACACGAGATGTGACTATTGGGATCATGTGGGATGACGGGTGAGTTTACCAGCCAGCAACGTTCAGCACCTTTCACTGATATCGGAAACTAGATGTGTTCGTCCTCATCCACCTATCACCCGGGCCTTGCGAATGGCAAAGGAAAAACTCACTGCTGCTGGGATCAAGGTTGTTGACTGGGAGCCGTATAAACACCAGCGCGGCTGGGAGATCATTGTAAGCACACCTACTCCCATTCGACAGGAACTCGTACTGAGACCCGTTCTAGTCCGCACTCTACTACCCAGACGGCGCGGCCCTACAACGCCAAATACTCCAAGAATCAGGCGAACCCGCCCGCCCACTCACCGAATGGGCCTTCTCCTACAGCCGCCCGGCACCACTCACCCACCCCGAAGCCTGGACCCTACAGCACGAGCGTGACGAATATCGCGACGAGTACCAGGCCCTGCTAAAGCGGCGCGGAGTCGACTTCATCCTCTCACCGGCTTATCCTGCCGCGGCCGCCGTCATGGGCGAGTCCCATTATTGGAACTACACTGCGATCTGGAACATGACGGATATGCCTGCTGCTATTTTCCCGTCTGGTCTTACCGTTGACCCTGTTTTGGATGCACTTACGGCACAGGATAAGAAGTATGTCCCACGCAGTGGGGTTGATGAGAGAGAGTGGAATAAGTATCAGAGTCCGGAGAGATATGAGAGTGCGCCTATTGGGTTGCAGATTGCGGGGAGACATTTTAAGGATGAGGAGACTTTGGCTGTTGCTAAGCTTGTCGAGGGGATTATCAAGGGTGATGGGAAGAATTCGAAGCTTTGAGAATGGTTGATTGACCGCGAAGTAGCGATAGCATAAGTTTCTGTCATAGTGAATCGAATTCTCGCTCAAGTGGACGGCCTGCAAAGATAGCAAGGTTCTTGGACCATGTGTTGTTCTCTCTAATGAGCTCTTGAGAGAACAGGCTACTTTTGTCTGCACCTTCAGGAGCCACAACTCTTAATCGAGAAGTAGCTAATTGGCCTATAAGAATCTGCTGGAAGCTTTGGGTGCGGCGATGCTAAAGCACGTAGCCGTCAAGTGGACGAAGTGCCTCTGAGGCATTGTTGATCCTTTCTCTACAACAGCTTAGTGGCTATTCTAACAAGATCTCTTCGCTGAGCATGGCTCTGGGCTTGCACCGAATAAATCTATTCCCATTTATGGACTGCTTATGTATGAAGACCTGCTCTAGGTAAAGTATGATTTGCATAGGTGGAAACATTCGAAAACTTGGTTGATCTTGCATGTCGCTAGCCAAATAGGAAAAAATCGTGCACCTCTTGGCTCCTCAGATGAGGGCTACCAACCTCCACAGAACAAGGCATCGAATATTCTCAAAAGTCCTCGATGACTCGAAAACACAAGCAGGTGTTTTCATGACTTGCCGCACGGCGCTTGCGCTTCTTTTTTGCATTGGGATTTGTAAGCGGTTTGAGGAATTCAATCAATTCCTGGCATCGGGCACCCCTGGCACACGACAGTGCAGTTTGCCCATAATGCTCCTGGTTCGGGTCAAGGCCAAGATCCACTAGTGCTTTGACTAGCCTGATATAGCCTCTCCTCGCTGCAGAGAGTAGGCATCTATTTTCCTCCAACAACTCGAATGGTATTCCGTACTCGACCAGGAGCAATGCGCAGTCTTCTTTGCCGCTGTGAATATTCTCTTTGCCGAGCGTAGAGTCCAAATTCTGTTGCATTTGGTTTGGTAACCGATCGAAAAATGCCAGATCGAGGGGAGAGCGATTGAAGTAGGCGATCGCTTTCGAGTCCTTTGTCAGGCTTGCATTCGCACCATGATCGAGTAAGAGTTTCACAATGCCAGATTGTCCACCGGATACTGCGCTATGCAGGGCCGATGGATCAAATGCCGCCCAACTCAGAGTGTTTGGCTGGAACCCTCTCTCGAGAAACAGTCTGACAATAGACTCGTGACCTTGATATGCTGCAAGCTGAACGGGGTAGTACCCACCCGCGTCGATGGCTAGCATATCGCCTCCGTTGTCTAGGAGGCATCTTGCCACTGCTTCTTGGCCGCGCTCAGCAGCTCGATGCAAAGGTGTTGTGCCGCAAGTTGAGAAGGCTGTCACATGTTTGTGCTTACTCTGGCGCATTGTCATGGAGCACCTATTGCGCTGTAGGTTGTATCTGCTCAAGTGGCTGAGATTCCGTTGAGCGAGAACATCAGGTTCCGCTCTGATTGTCACATCAGCACCGTTGGCGATCATGATTTGCACGGTTCCACAACTTCCGTTCGACGCAGCCCAAAACAGAGCTGAGCTGCGGTTGGATCGAATGTTCTTGGAGTACAGAGTGCTGTTGAGAACTGAGTGGAAGAGCCGACAGCTTTGGGTGAGGGCGTTGAGGCCAGACTGGCTCAAGTGTCCAGCGATGATGAAAAACAACTCATTGGGCAAGCTCTGGAAGGCCATGGTGATGACGAGCTTGTGGAGTAGAATCTCGGGTGGATGTAAGTGGAATTGCGAAGGGTAGGAGACGGCGGCTTTGGCTGCTCGAAGATGTTCTGGACTCGACGGTAGACTGTTGGATTTGATTCTCAGTTTTGAGAGGAAGTTCAAGAGAGAAGGCGGACGATACTGTTCGGTATGAAAGGACAGTGGGAGAAAGAGAGAGGAGGGTAGAGAGAGGGAGTCGGAAAGTGCAGGCTCATCGGATTTTGCCGTCGACATCTGCCCCGTGGGATATCAAATGATCAACCTAACAAACAGGCAAACAGGCATGCACTTAGACACCCTTCTCTGCATGAGGCACAGTCGATCGTCCAAAATCGATTAAGGTAGTCTGTTTTAATCCTATGTACAAACCCCTGGCGGGACATGCCGTCACCAACAAGCCGGACAACACGTCGTGCTGGACGTGTTGACGAATCTAAAAACCCGTTCACCCCAATCTCACTCTCCTCCACGATCTCATACAGTCCAGCATATCCGAAGACAAATTTCCATCCCCCGAATTCGCCCGCTGCACGACAGCAACCAGCGCAGAAGCATAACAAAAAGTAACCTTATTCTCTATCAACAAGGTCAACTGAACCTTCTGCATCCCTCCAAATTGCCACCACAACATCCATCTCTCAAGAATATCCGCAATCAGCTTCGCCTGGGCTTCGTCCAGAACCATAAGATACAGCACAGCGCGTGCCAGATCATCAAGGGTGTAATCGCTCGGAACGATCTCTTGACCAATTAGATAGGCAAGGTTAGCCTCGGCGATGACCATGTTGTCAAGCCGTGGCGATTGGATAGCTTCAATCAGTCGTCGCTGCTGATACTCCTCCAGCGCATGTATTCTCTTGATATGTCCGTTGTGGAAGCGTTGTGAATCGCGCAGCATTCTGACCTGTCTTGCTTCTGCGGCTTGCGCGGGCGGCATGGCGCTTTCCATTCGTCGGGCTAATGAATCTTCTTGCATTCGCTGGTGAACCTCAGCCTGGGATTCGGTTGCCGAGGGTGGCGGCGATGCCCATGGTGGAACGTTATCTTCGCTCAAATGACCAAGGACAACCATCACGCCGCAGGGAACGGACTTTTGTCTTGCAAACTTGGTGATATTGCTCGGTATGGCAAAGTTCCATATCCCCGAGTATCCATCTTGGCTCAACGCGGACGCTGCACAGGCAAACCAGAGGTCAAATGTGTCTCCGTGACTGGATAGCTCTCGTTGTTCACCAGTTGAGCCGCCTTTACTCTCGAAGAGCACGCGCTTGACGTGGTCTTGATCGATCTTAAATCGAACGCTGTCCGAGTCGGATTTCGTAGTCAGAGCTTTCAGTCGCTCAACCTCGTCAAGAAGCGACGCTGGCTTCGAAGAGCTCGACTCTGCGGTGGAATCGGCAACAAGCGTATTTTGCCGACTTAATGGCTTCTCCTGTGATTTTTCTGGCCCGGCAACATTCTTTGCTTCAGACACCGATGCAGAAGTGACCCCGTCGTCGTCGTCGTCGTCGTCCGTCTTGGCGAACCTTGGTTGTCCAAGTCTCATCCAGAAAGGAGGTAAACTGTTAGAGTTCCTCAGGTCCCACTGCGATTTCCAGTTGACTTGCAAGCTCAATACACCATCCGAGTCATCCGGAGCTGCAACAGTAAGAACCGCTCCGGACATGCCTTGCGGCGGGCGCAGAACGACAGTGCCAGGCGGTGCCCAGAGACCGACCGTCCTCAGCACATGCCATCCATGGGGATCAGGAACAGCCCCACGATCGAGCAAGAACGCGACCAGGTCTTCGAAATCCACATCCGCCTGCGGGATGGTCAATTCATCTTTGAACTGGCAGCGACAAAGTACTCTCCCCGTGACCAAGCGGTTCCAGTGAAAGAGCGACCAACTGCCGCCCTTTAGTGGCAGATGAAGCGCGTTCAATTTCCAGTAATCGGCGTCGGACTCGCGATCGAGCGGGGTGACGGTGCACCGCGGCAGCTCCACCTCGACAATACCTCCGATCAGACTGACGCGTGTAAACGCAGATTCTAGCAGTCCATGTCGTTTCAGAGTGGACCGGATTGATCGCTGTGTCCAGAGAGCTCGAAAAGACGTGTATAGAATTGGGAGGACACCGAGCACTGCCAGGGGAACGCCAATGTAGGTGATGATGTCGGTTGCCGTGGTTCCGTTGTCCATGACTCTTCAGAGTGGGCTGGGCGTCAAGATGTCCTCTCCTGGTGTTGACGTCCTGGCGATCTTCGCTCAGGGGCCACGATCATTGCACATCGAGGCAGCAAAGCTGCCGAATCGCTTTGCGTGCAAGCCAATCAGCCTCGTATTATTCGAATCGCGTAAGAATAAGCGAATCAATAAGATCACGTCGCGTTGAGGGGCCCACGTGATTACGGTGATATCAGTGGTCGGAAGCACTCCATGGAAGTATGAACTTCAGAGGATGGTGACGAGAGCAGCCTCAATCATCACAGCTGTCGGGTCATTGCTCTGGGGACTTGAAGCTGACTTGTATGCTTGGAGGAGGCAAAGCAATGGAAATATGCTGGGCCCTGCCAAGCGAACAATAGCAGGACTATCATGGACACGAACACGAATAAAAGCAGGAAATGGAAAAGACAAGCATGGAATTTGCATTTCAAAAGCTCTGCAGGAACTCTGTTGGTAATTCGAGCAATAACAATCTCCAAACTGTCTGTAGCTATTAAACATTACGCAGAGTCATGTATGGTTGTTCTCATCATATTCGTCAGATCGTCCTCATCAATACCCTCGTTCTCCCCCCTCTTCTAGAGAAGAGCAAGTGATTCGACATCCCCGGTACCGTCCCAGGTGAGCGTCATGGTCGTTCCCAATGGGTTCATTGCACCGCGAAGGGACCCGAGTTGATTGTTCGCGGGGATGTTGTGACCGTTATGCCCTCCGGCTGTTCTCCATGTAACCGCCACACCCACCATGTCGAATAGAGGGTTCTCTTTGAGTTCGCTCCAGGGGTGTTCGTCGAAATTCCCGGGCGCATCCACTGCATCAAATAACTTCTCGTATGGGACCGGCTCCTCTGGCCCACACTGGATGTGCTCTTGGGCTTTCTGCAATGGAGAAAAGGCATCCTGTATCAGCTGAATGATTTCCTTGTTGCCGCAGTTGTTTGCCATCTCCGTGAGAACCTTGGCCTTGGCGCTTGCTGGCTCCGGACGACGCCCAGAGTAAAAGTCACGGACGATGGGCGAGTCAAGATCACCCATGGGCGTGTAGAGGTGTGCTCGTTTTTCGAGCAGGCGCTCAACAACTTTCACGTGTCGCCAGCGAATGGCCAGATGCAAGGGGAGTCGGTCCGAGCCATAGGAGACGTTGACGTTCGCTCCATGCTCGATGAGGACCAGGGCCGCTTCTCCCTTTTGCGAGCGTCGGTACTTGCGTGACTTGGGTGTTGCAAGTGGAATGGGCTCGAGCGCCAGTTGCAGCGCGGTCTGTCGGGTTCCGAAGGTGGTGCCATCGACCTTGTACCCAATATCAAGCAGGAAACGGACCATCTCGGGATGGCCGTTTGTGGCGGCGGCGTGGAGAGGGTTGTGACTGAAACGAGAACTGGTCTGGTCGACCAGTTTGGCTCCCCGTTTCAGGAGCATCTTGACCATGGCCACGTGTCCCTGTTCGGCGGCAAGGTGTACCGCAGACTTGTTGAGCGCGTCGAGGTGGTGGAGATTGGCGCCACGCTCCAGCAAAAGCTGGGCGACGTTCAGACTCCCGGACTGCGCTGCGATGAGGAAGGGGGTGAGCGGGAAGAGGATTGGACAGACCTCAATCTCCGCGCCAGCAGCGATGAGCTTTTTGGCGGTTCCGAGCTGGCCGAGCTTTGCAGCCCAGCTCAAGGCCCAACCGCCTCCCTTTCGGACGTTGTTGGCGTAAAGGGATTTGTTGAGGAGGGCGTAAAAGAATCGGCTCGTCTGAGCCAGGGCGTTGAGGGTTCCCTGAGACTCCATCTGATTGGCGATCATCAGGAGCACCTCATTGGGGAGGGAAAGGAGGGACATCGTGGTCGGAGGTGAGATGAGGGTTTGTCGGAAGGGTTGATCTTATTGAGGGGCCCTCTGAGTGCTGGTGTCCACTCAGGGGCAGAGACGGAGGGGGAGAGAGGAAGGAAGGAAGGAAGACAGAGGGGGAAGGAAAAGAGTGAAGGAGGGAAAGAGTGAGGGAAGAAGGAAGGAAGCGAGAGAAGGAGGGAGATGAAGGGACGTGGGAGGAGAGAAAAGGGAGAGAGGTGAAAGAAGAAAATGTGGGAAGCGATTGTAAGAAGAGACGAAAAGAAGAGATGGGAAGGGAGAGATGTGAGAGTGGGAGAGGGAGACGAAAGGCAGAGACGAAAGGCAGAGACGAAAGGCAGAGACGAAAGGCAGAGACGAAAGGCAAAAGACGAAGAGGCACAGAGCGACGAGGGGAGAGAGTTGGAGGAGGAAAGAAGGAAGGAGAAATGAGAAATGAGAAGGAAGAAAAGGTGTGGGAGGCCCTCCCGCGGTCCTGGGGGAGCTGGGCAATCTTTTTTTTTTTTTTCGCCAGACATGAGAGCTGGTGAGTCCAACATCCCAAAAGGGTAATTCTGAGGCGATTCTGCAGGCAGTCTCTCGCTGGCATTTCTCGCCCGTTTGCGATGACACTTCACCTTCGGCCAGACCACTGACTCGGTAATGGCACTTTTCTTCAAAGCTAAGTAGAAAATCAATATCTTGAACAGAGATCATTTGGAAGGGATTCTCACCATTGTAACCCTGTTAGAAGTTTCTATATTGTACAGAATTTACAGGTCCGGTGGGATATTCACTCTGGTATATGAGGTACCTAACTCTCGGAGTCGGCAAACAGAGGTGCATGGCCTCAATACGCATTCTTGCTGTCAGAAGTAGGCATGAACGAGTGAAATAGACGAATGGGATGGAAGACCAGTGGACTATATACTAAGGAGACTTGGTTCAATGTCAATAGGCCAGTAACTAGGTGCCAGGAATGGCAAAATCTCCAGTGCGACGTGGATCTTCGGAATAAGTACCTTGAGTTTCAGATCCATGAACTACTATTACCATGTCTAGACAGCGCTTCGTGTCATGAAATGATGGGCGAGGTTCGAATTAACTCAGATTCCCTGCTAGATGGCTCGACCAGTCTGCTGCTGTCCATACATACCTGTCAGGACAATAGTCTTTCCGCAACTACGGTATCTCGGGTATATCTTGTGCGTGGGCCAATAGGAACTAAGAAACATCGAGCCCTGGACTGGATCCGTCCGTATCCCACATTCTAGGCCCAGTCTACGCCAAGTCCCCAACGGTATTAGACGTACAGTAGCCGACAGGGCGATGATCACAGGAGTGGGTGTCTTGATTAAGATACGGCAGTATCAGAGTGGATGACATTCACAATGTGAATCAGGGGCCACTTACGACGAGAACACGAGGGCGGCGTTTGGGGCCCCCGTCAGTCGTCGAGGCTTGCTAGCGCAGGGGGCCTCGGATGCGAAATGCGAGCGAGACGCCAATCAGCATTAGCGCACAATCAGCCCGGAATCCGGCCCGTTCAGAATTAAGTTTCGACCCTGTACGAGATGATAGCCTGGTGCCAATCAACGCTGTGGGGCCAAAATGTGGACCCTGTACGGAGTACAGGACAGTGGGTTCCTGTCGCTTATTGCTCCTTCGCGGAGGCCCCGGAAGAACGCCAGCATATCCTATATCCTACTGTACATGGTAGAATCTACCATCTTTGCCAGACAAAGTGCAGAGAAACGCTGTGTTCAGGAGCTGATCTAGTGGTCGCAAGTTTCTGATGCTCTAATAAAGATCTCACGCCCATGTACGGAGTACTGAAAGTCTTGTGGAGATTTACCACTTCTTAGCGCCGCGTGGCCAGTCAGCCGCTAAGCCAAGCCTCAATTACCGATAGCTTGCCTCGAGACCATAAATGAACCATCGTATCCTTGGCTATTTTAGTCCGAAATATCCCACACACTGCTGTGGCTGCTACCGCGCTCTCTCTCGTTCCGATGTCCTCTTAGGGAGCTTACATTATTGTGGTCGGCAGTTGCCACTTTACGAACCTTTCTCTCTCTGTCTGACATACTCTCGACGCCAAGTCTGCAGCCCGCACAGAATGATTATCTTGGGAGCTGTATCTTTATTTCTTTACGGGGCATCGGCATTTGAGTCTATCAGGGATGATGATCTGTCCACATTCGTCACAGTAAGTGCGGGTCCTCGTGCTGGGTTGGTAATTCGTTGCTCACGTATCGATCAGCTTCCCAACCACCGAGCAATAAAATGGAATATCACTTACCATGATCGGTCCTCTGTTGCCCCGGGCTACTGGTTTGTTGCGCCCTATTTCGCGGCTGAGAGCGAGCCAGCAACGACTAGATGGATACCTTCCCAAATAGGCCCTCATATATTCGATCAAGATGGAGTATGCAAAGTGATTCACTCCCGTCTAAGCGACGTTTACTAACTGTAGAAGGAACTTGTCTGGACAGGATCCAGTGATTTCAATGACCGGACTATTTTTGATTTCCGCATGGTTGACTCCATGGGCGATGATCTCCACCTAGCAATGCTTCTTACCAAAGAATACGGCAAATGGGACGATAAGGGGACGATAATTGTCTACGACAACCAGTACAATCCGTCCCCTGTTGTTCTCGATCCAGTAGTGGACGTGGATATGCATGAAATCAATATCCAAGATCCACATAGAGCCCTTGCCCTGGCCTTTCGAGAAGAGAACCTAAATATGGCTTCGTTTGGATTGCCAGATTTGAATATGAACATATGGACGGGCGGATTTGTTGAATTTGACATCACCACCGGAAAAGTTCTTCTTTTATGGACCTCGCAAGATGCAATCTCCCCGGACGAATCTGTTGCTTTCAACCCGTATCAAGAGCAACCGAACACTGACTTTATGCACGTCAACGCCATCGACCGGAATAAGAATGGGGACTACATGCTTTCTGCAAGGCATACAAACACCCTCTATTTCATCTCTGGACAAGATGGCCGCATCATGTGGAGACTCGGAGGGAAAAGGAGCGACTTTGCGCAGGATTTCGAATTTTCTTATCAGCATGATGCGAAATTCATCTCGGCCAACGATACGCATATCACCATATCGTTCTTGAATAACGGCGCTGAGGACATTATCATCAACGAGCCAACCTCATCGGCCATGTACGTCGAGCTTGATTTGACCACGATGAAAGCCACGCTCCTGAATCGATACACTCGACCCGATCACGAAAGCACCAGGAAAAGAGGAAACATGCAAACTCTACCAAACGGCAACGTCTTAGTCGGGTGGAGCGAGTTCGGATACATGAGCGAGTTCACCCACGACGGAAGGCTCCTCATGGAAGCCAGATTTGTGTCTGAGAGGTTCAGTACCTACCGCGCCTACAAGTTCCCCTGGCGAAGCCGTCCATCATACCCGCCAGTTCTCGTGGCATCATGTCACGGCGTGAACGGGACAGCTCTGTCGACAACGTTCCATGTTAGTTGGAATGGTGCTACCGAGGTTAAATACTGGCGTTTCTTCACTCAGGCAAATCTGACCGGTCCGAGTGAGCAGATCGCCATCATACCCAAGAAAGGCTTTGAAACTTCGTTCGCTGCACTTGGGTACCTGGACCTGGTCTCTGTGGAGGCGCTGGATATGAATTTCCAAGTTCTGGGACAATCCGCGACTGTTCGAACCCAGCCTCCGGTGTACTGGCCTGAGGGTGTGGAATTACTCAAACCGGATGACGCTGCAGCTGTCGCTGTTGATGATTCAACATCGACGCGAAAGACCCTGACTTTTATTGGCCTTTTTGTGGCTGGTTTCCTTACTAGTACATCTGTGTACTTGATACTCAGTATGTACCACCCGACATTCCGACGTTATCTTCGACGTACATATTCGAGGGTTCAGTCTGAAGATACAGACGAGGGACTGGGTCTGCTCAATGTGAAAGATTGACCGTTGAGAAGGTCTTCTAGTCTATAATTGTTGATATTACACTATTCTACTGTACAGCACTCACGCCTATAAGTTTTGCATCTCTTTCACACTGCTTCTTCCAAGCGCACTTTCTTGTATACAGAGATCTAAAAATCAATGCCGGTCAATAGATATGCCTGTTCAAATTACTTCTGTCAGAATGCAAGGTCGAAAGAGCACGCTTAGCTTTCTAGAGTCCCACGATTTTCCCAATGGCCTCAGTTTTCCATGATGACCTCAGTCCTCCTGATGACCACAGTTTTCCCAACTAACTATTAGTTAACCGCACTGTAGTTTTGGTTAACCGCAAATTTGCGGGTTTGGTTCTGGTTGGCAAAGTGGTACTGTAACCATAACCAAAAAGGTTTGGTCTTGGTTTTCACCTTGCGAACCGCAACCGCAAATTTTTGGTTTGGTCTTCAACCTAAGACCGCAACCAAAACCGTGCCGAGTCTAACCATACCTTTGTTCCTTTTTTACTTGTCATTTCAGGGCATCGGCGTGTGGAGCGCGCGTCACCAGTATTATTGCACCATGGCCGGGTCATTGGACAGGTCACAATCACTTGAACTTCCTCCACTCCGACGCGCTGGTATGACCGCATATATTGCATTTGGTACTCTTGTGGAGATTTTTTCTTTTTGAAACCAATGTAGTGAAGGAGTGTGAATTTCTCTGAGGTATAAGGTGGCTGAACCTTTACTTAAACCAACATCCTAAATTTCAGATACATCCTTCCTTCATGAGCAATTTCGCTGGGTTTGAAAGCTGATAAATTCCTCTGCCATACCGAATCTTAATGAAGAGTGCCCAAATAATCATTTCGGAACTAGTATTCACAAAGTTCATTGATCTGGAAACCTTTTGTAACCGATATCCTTGACAAAAGTCTGCTGCCAAGGACCTTGTGAATTTCGGCCGGCGAGGTGAATGTAGAATTCGCCATGCGCTTGTCCGTCAATATCCCCATAGGCTGGAGTTCCATCAGGTTTGCGTTCATCAGCATAGTAAAATCTGGAGTTTCTACATTAGCAATTATGACGATGTTCAAAGAGTCAAAGAAAACGCACTTGAAGCCACGATCAGAATAGGCAGCTGCGGCTGAATGAATGATATGTGCCGTCGCAGACTTCCCTACCCCAAGGGACAAAAGCGGGGCGATGATAGTAGTGTTGAGTATATTTCCAGTATATATAAACGTCTTCGAGGCGGTATCGGGAAGCTCTGAAAACCCAATAGCTGCAAGTTTGGCAGCTGCAAAGACACTTGCGGTATTGACATTGAAGTCGCGAATAAAATCGGCCTGCGAGAGAGATAACGGATTTTCCGCATCATTACGGGTCGCAGCCGCAGCTAGAATATGTCAGCCCAGATCGCTTTAGAGGCAGAGAAATACTCTCACCATTATACACGACGACACTCGGAATACCCAGGCTTTGTTTGACTTTGGAAAAAACATCGCTCACACAGTCTGGATTAGAAAGATCACTCTGAATGTGCAGTTGTTCAGTGCCGTTCTTTTCAGAGGGGTTTCTCGAAGTAAGAGCTACTCTGTAGCCTCGCGAGGCGAATGCACGAGCCACATGTTGTCCAACGTTGGGCCCTGACCCCAGGACGAGAATAATTGGGGATGTACTCGACATTTTCTCTCGGAATGTTTATTAGTGCAAGCAGAATGTTTCTTGATGGAAGAAATATATTTCTCCTGCAAATATTTGGCGCTCTTTATAGCCGTCTCGTGCTTCACGAAGAGGAATTTGACTGTGTTTGCACATTATGCACTGTTTTGTTGGAGAAACCTTGTTTGGCGATCGGTGCGGTCAAGAACACGGAACATCAACAAAGAACGTTTTCTCCGCCAACATGACAAATCGGAGTTTGCATTGTTTACATGCTTTGCATTTTCCTCTTCTGAGAAAGCTTACTAAGTAGTCCAAAAAACGGGAATTGTTTAGGATGGAAACGTCTTTGGCTTCTGCCTTGAATTTAAAAGGTAAATGACAAATCAAGCTATGTGAAACAGTCCCGGTCTCCAATGTGGTGTTTTGGGTGCCGCATTCAAAAGGTTCGGCCTGCTGAATACCGAAGCCCGAAGCTTGGTAAGCGTATCGCCAAGTTGATTCGACCATGACTTCCTCCATTATGACGATGGTTTTCAGACTCTACTTTGGCCCCAATGTTTGTACTATTGAAGCGTGGTCACGTAATAGTTCAAGTCTTTCTAAACTAAAGGTTCTTTATCTCATCATTAGACACTCTTCACTTTAGAATAATGAGACGACTCTAGGATATCTCTTGTCACTGTCAATAATTAGGGCTTAGTCACGACGCTAAGAGACTGGATAGTAATATATAGCTATCAATACTCGCCACAAAATCTTTGATGCCTAGGTATCGATCCTGGAAGAATATATTAGAAGCTCTATAGAGGGAAATACAATACGAGTAATCGAACCAATTCTAACATACCACGCCTAGTCCTATTTCATTTTCGCTTATTCAAGAAGTTAGCATAATCTTTCCAGTATATCCAAGCTTGCCTCCATAAAGAAGAGGACTCCAGCTCAAGGGCCATCTATATATATATAAGCTCCGATAGATACTTCGTCTAGTAAATATTATAGACGGGAATCACTTCGAGCAAAGCTCCTATAAATTTATAAATACGAAGCGTAATAAGGCGCTAGAATAAAATAGAGCCATAGCTTACTATACATAGGTACTAGCGAAGGTCTCTCCAAAGTCGGTTTAGAAGATAGTATACGCCCATCAAATACTATCGGCGCGTACGTAATAGTCTATCCCGCATCAAAAGAATCATAAAGATCGCTATAATCTCGTCTAAGGCCCCCATAATATAGACGGCTTATTCTTACGTCTATAAGGTAACATCGCCGGCTCTTTGTCCGACGGCTAACATCTTCTCTCTAAGGCTATCAAATAAATCGCCGGTATTTCTACTAGACAGCGCCTTTAAGCTCAAATTTTTCTACGGAGGAGTAAGTCCGCTAAGGAGCGATCCCTTTAAGAGACCTTTACGTACAGTAAGAAAATTACACCGAAGGACTCCATAATCAGCAGGGTTCAATTCACCCGACGAAATTACTATAAAATAACCATTAAATACGGGTAGGAAATCTATAGTATTCTGCTTAGATGTCTTAAACTCGTCCTATAATACAGACCCAGTAGCAAAGTAGAGGAGAACATTCCCTACGGCCTCAAGGTCCTTTCGGGCCGAGAAATAGGATAGATCGGCATTTCCAAAACTACTAACCGTAGTTTATAGGGTTTACTATGGTAAAGGTCCGACCGTAAAGGAGGACGGGCTAAGATTTCTATACGATATATAATAAGAGTATATCTATTCCAAATAGATGTCTTAACCTCCAAGGCTGGATGCACCCCGCTCTCCCATTATTCCCTCGGCAAACTCATCTCCCGCTATAGCCGCAATTCCCGTTCTCAGTAAGTCATCACAACACATTCCCCGAAGATATCATTCAACGCATACACCGAACAGGCTCGGAGACTCTGGGTAAATATCTTCTTCTGCGCTCAAAAGGCCTTTCAAATACTCAGAACAAGAGCTGAGCCATGTGTACTCGGGTGTACCCTTTGCGCCAGCCGCCCGGCCACAACCCACCACCGAGGCTCCATCTTACATTTCCGGAGGGATTGAATAGAGTGTTCACCGCATATATCGGCATTCAACTGCATAGCACAAGCTTTGATGATACACAACAAAGTGCTACCTCACTCAAACAGCCTGCTCTTCAAATCCAAGAACGGCTCTTGAATCCCGAATCCGCACCGGTGTCAACAGAGCGGTTTCAACTTCTCGGCGATGGCACAAGCACAACGCATCCACTTTCTCATAATCAAGACTTCACAAACTCTGATATACCTCCAAAGACCAGCCCTGAGTCCCAGTCTCTCATATGGGTCTGCTACTGGACCGAAGAAACCAAATACAAAGCCAGCCTCGAAAACCTCCATCTCGCAGAGATCTACCACTCTCTTGACCCGGTCTCAAAGCCTCATATCGGGCTATGGGTTGAGCATTTCGCGAGCGATACTTCACGCCTCGAGACAGTATACTCAGCTACGGATTATCTTCCCGGCCTGGCACGGTTGCCTGGTACATCGACAGCGCAACACGTGCACACTGGGTACTGGGGTGCAGCGCGAGACCGCATTCCCGGGTCTGCAGAGGATTTATTTGAACGCGAAGCCGTAGACAAAAACCACTCTACAAATCTACCAGAATCACAATCAGCTATCAAGACCATTACCCAATCCCTTGGAACGCACATCACCGGCACAAACCCACATAACATGGTACACATCCGCTCAGGCCAGTTCTGGGGAACATGCAACACCGAAGAAGCAGACGCATACCTAAACACCCTCGAACCAAAACTCCGCGCCGGTCTATCCTATCTATGGACATCCCCGCAAGAAACCGGCTCCAGCGGCGTGAGATATCTGCATAACATCGAACCCGTATTCACCGCCTCCAGCGATGATTCCATCTCGACCATCCGCCAGACGAAGGAGGCTTGCGTGACGGCGTTTTTCAGGAATATGACTGATCTGGAAGGGTGGGCTGCGCGGCATCCGTCGCATTTGGCGATTTGGGCGGGTGCTGTTAAGCATGGGAAGAGGTTTGGGGATGAGCGGAGGTTTCGTACTTGGCATGAGGTTTCGGTTCTGAGGGGTGGAGAGGCGAGATTTGAGTATGTGAATTGTATGGAGGGGACGGGTGTGGCGAAGGGGATGGCTTTGTTGGATGTGCGTGCTTTGTGAGAGAATTGGGGGCTTCGATAGTTGAACGGGGATTGAATTGAATAGTCGAGGTCCGTCATGAATGTCCAGGTCTGAGCAGGCCAGTTACCAAGTTGTAAATGAATAGTAAGGACGACAGTTACAGTGTGTTAAACGCCTATCATGGCTACTACACATACTGCAAGTTCAAGGAGTTGAACCATCAAAAAAATCATCAAATCAATCCAAACGCATAAGTACATTCCATAGTTCACATAGACACATTACCCTAGCTCTAAGAGCTGCAGGGTCATCCGGTTTGGGTAATCCATCAAAACCAGTATCCAAAAAGGCCCCATATCATAACAAATATTTCCATCATAAGGAAAGAAGAAAATGAAAAAAAACCCCAAAGCAACAACAAAAGAAGAAGGCCAATTCATAGACCCAGATATCATATCAAGAACTCCGTAGATGAGAATCAAACATCAAATAGCGGCAGATAATCAAGGCAAAGCAAGTAACACAGCACATCTATTTTCGCCAGAACATGGCCTTGCCCAAAGTCCGGCCAGCGGCCCATCTAGCCTCTGCAATGCGGTCCTTGACACTAGGTCCACCACTGTACCGGATAGGCTTTGAACTACCACTGCCTTCCGAGCTCCCACTAACACTGCTCCCACCGAAAGAACTGGGGGCAAAGTTGGACATATTGCCCGCATCAAATTTGGTCTTTCCTTCGACGATCTTGTGGACGAGGTTCAGGATAGCGTAGATCGTTGAGCCGACGGCACGCACAGCGGCCAAGACAGCAACGGCCCACAGGACGATAGCCAGATAGATGTTCGTACCGCCCGAGTCCACGCCGTAGACCTCGGAAACGGCCATACCAAGAATGACGTTGGCGACCATCCAGACGGAAACCATGTATGTACGCACAGCCCGGTAGTAGTCCTCTTGCATCTGAGCCTCTGAGGCAGGCGTCTCGGGGACTTCGAGGCGATCGCGGAGATTGCGCAGAGCAGCGTCGTACCCGCTGTCAATGTCGAGTTGCTCAGAGGGCATTTCAACGACGACTGTTGACCCGTTGATGACCTTAGCAGCACCGAGGTCAGTGTTGATGACGTTGTCGCCCTTGGTACCCCATGTCACGTCGTGCGTGTTACAGAAGGCGTATACCTGCAACGTGCAGATGTAGCTGGGCAGGAGCAAGAAGTATTGCGCGGACGAGGTGAACATGTGCCACGGGTCAAGGTACAGGAACGAGGTATAGAAGTAAAGGCCGACCGTGGACAACATGGACATGACGATGTTGACGAGGAGCGAGTTACTGACGTCCAATTCGTCACCGCCAACACCAGCGCGTGCCATGAGCTCTTTGACGACCAGGTAGAGGGCGCAGAAGACGGTGTAGAACATGATGATGGCGTAAACGATAATGCCGGAGAGGTACATATTTTTCGCACTGGAACTGAATGTTAGCTTGAAATCCTCGATTTTGGGGTGCAATAAACATACCCTTGAGGACGATTACCCAGAGAGATGATAAACTGCAGACACATAACCAAAACACAGGCATAGCGCAGCACAATAAAGATGTACTTGCCCATATTGTGACCAAACGGATCAAGTTTCTTATCAGTGAGCGAACCTGCGATGAAGTAGAAAGCAAGATAGAAGTTCGCCTAAAGGGAGGAGGTCAGTCAAGGCCCACAACAAATCACCGACGACAAGTCACTCACCAGACCAAAGTAAGTAAACAGCAAGTTGAAGAACTGATACACAAACTCAATATGCAACAAGATCTTCCTTGCCAGCGAGTGATCCGTCTTCCAGATCTGCTTAGCATTGAAAATCGAGTACACAGCGGCGAAGAAAGCACCGTTCAGCCAACGACGACGCTGTGAGATAAACTCAGGCACCGAATCCGGCACATCAGTCTCGCCAACGGCACTCTTGACAAACTTGAGCACCCATCTCTCTTCTCGCTTGGCGACCAGCTCCCAGCAGAGAATACGATCCTCGGCCAGGTACATGTTGGCCGTGAACACGTCCGCATCCTGGCCGTGTAGTGTCTCACCCTTGAAGTATTGATTCAGTGGGCCATGACCATCGGCGTCGTTCTGGAGGGCGAAAAAGCGGTAGGCACTCAGTGCACCTGGAAGCACAGTAATGTAACCGAAAACAGACTCCAGGGGCTTGTCTAGAATGTTGGACATCTTATACTCGAAGTTCTGACTGGCAACGAGTGGGTTGAGGAGACCCAGCATGCCCTTACCCTTACCAGCCTTGATTTCTCCGGCAGCTCCGGCAACATTCGAGTCTTGGTCGAATGCCTTCCATAAGTGATACAAGGCGGTTGGCTCAGGCTTCGTACCGACATCAAGAAGGATACAGATATTCGGCTGCAAGGCACGACCAAAGGCATTGAAGAACCATCGGTGAGAGTTGAGTTTCTTCTGGTTGTGCTCCTTCAGACAGAAGATAACCTGACAAGGCATGATACCCTTCTCGGCACCCTTAAATTTCAGGTCCGAGTCGAGCGACACTTGCGTTGTGTACTCGTACACATGGGCTTGCACTTCCTTCTGGTTGACAATGTTCTTCGCAATGCCCTCTTGATAAACACCCAGGGCGGCCAATGCGTTCAAGGTCCGTGGGTGCACCTTTTTCCGACCATCGGAAATAATACACACCACAATTTTCTTCCATCCGTCCTTGCCCCAGGTACGAGACTTGGTACGCGAACAAAAATGGGTGATGTTGCGCATGATACCGTGCATAGTTCGGGTGAAGCCGATCTCATCTTCGTTGTACATCGTCACGCAAATGAACAGCTCGGTCTCACGAGTAGTGCTACCAATTTGCTGGCGCAGCTTGTAACCCCGAGATGTGAATTCATCGGGGTCGGAGGTCACGGCCGTGTACCGCATGTGAGTAAATTCGCGCTCATCGCGGCGAGGCAGGAAACTATGCAGAATAGTAGGAATTTTGCACTCCAGGATCAGCTCACCGTTGATGAGCTGAACCTCCTTCTTGGCCATCTGAGTAGCGCGAACACCTCGGCGGCCTTGTTTATCGGGAGCAGGTCCATAGTGCAGATTTGGATCGATCATGCTCACCTCGTCGTCGTCGTCATCTTCCAAGTCGACTTTGGCCATTTCGTCCTTTTCATCACCCATCACGGTCGACTCGCTCATGAATGATCGGACACTGCCGCGAGATGTGTGGTTAATGGTCCGGCCACCCCCACCGAACGGGTCTGCTCCCGTAAGTCCATCACCAATGTCGATACTGGAGTCTGCACCCGACGAAGGTGCCGGTCCCGAGAACAGAGGAGCCGGAGGCAAAGGTCTCCTGGGACTTCCTCCGTATCTTGAACTGGGTGTTCCAGGGCGTGGGCTACCATTGATATCGGCGCGCTCGTATCCAACACTCGAGACAGAAGGTGGGCGGACATGGCCAGGGCTCCAAGGACGGGTAGGTGATCCCGTTCGTGGGGGAATCGACGGATAAACCGATGTATCTGCCAAACTGGCGGTAGGTGCTGGGATGCTGGGGGCATTCCCAATGCTGGATGGTGGACGCGATGGTGAAGTTGCGCTGGGAACATGGTAATACCGATTGTCGTATGCAGGAACTTGTCCCGTCCTATTTCGCGTTCGAATGTTAGCACGCGGCCTCGTAGGGTACTCCATGCTGAAACAAAGCGAGTGCTGGATCAGGGTGGAGATGAAGTACGCGACGCGGTGTATAAACAAGTACTATCGATGGACTTTTATCCACCCGAACAAGAGTGCACTGCGAGGAGTGGACGCCCCACATCCAATGGCAAGGCTCATCCCTTGACGGTCTATCAAACACTAAGGCGCATCTTGGCTCTTCTGTCAAGGGAGGAGCCGCAATGAACGCTGTGTGCATGTGGCCTCGTCGGGGAGGCGACGCAAGGAATGTGTCGGGGAATAAGATTTTGAGAGACGTGTAAAAGCACAAGACTTACGGAGTAGAATCAGAATAGGCTGGCTGATACTGCGATGGCGAGGGCGCTCGAGGGCTGCCACTCAGATCCCCGTCAACATCACCGCTGGTTGGGAGCAGGCGCATCGTCACGCCATTCTGTCGCGACCCGCCGGTGGGTGACTCGTTGTCGGAGAGGTATGACGCTTCGTGGTCCAAGTAGGCAGGCGGCTCGTCGCCGTAAGTGGATTGTGTGTGACGGCTCATGATGTGAACGTGGAATGTGTTCGGTTATGAGGAGGCTGGAGTGCTTTACGTCCTCATAGTATGGACGCAATAGGGATCCTGTGGATGGGATAGGATGCACAATGAGCCCTCGGGCTGCGGATTCACTGGTACTGCTGCTGAGACAAGGCAGGTGGCAGGTCTGACAGCTCGACTGTCGCGTTAGTGAATAGTTCAGAGGCCGCTTGGAATGTGGAGTTCCATCAAGGAATGTGGGCATTGTAACTCACCGGGACAATATCAATATGGTGATAACCTCATGGAAAGAAGAAGGATCAGATGGAGGAGAAACGAAGCAGTGGAAATGCTTTGGGAATAAGAAGAGAGGTCCAGCTTACTCGCAAGCGCAAGTGGTCTGCAAACAAGTCCCGGCCGGTTCATCCGCAGGCGCCGTCAACAAAGTGGAGGTTGTTTGGTGGTTGTCGGGGCAACCCCGCAGGCTTCCAAGTTGCAACAGTCGCTGATTTGCAAGGGAGCCGTCCCCCTCGAGCATGATTCTGCACGGGGCTCAATCAATTCAATCGTGGTTTCAGATTTACTCGATTTTCGATGCAAGTCAACTGCAAGTAGAAGATATCCATGCACCTCACACTTATAGATCTTCTCCGCGTGCCTACCGTGGTTGTTGTGCTGGATATCGTCGCCAGCTCCGCAGCTCCACTCGGAGGTGGGTCCAGCCATCGAGATTGCGCAATGACCCCAGTTCATAACGAGCATATCATTAATGAAGATGATCATGATGGCTAGCCCCATGAATTGAGGAGATCTGCCATGTAAGAATCTATATCTATCCCAACACATTGGGAGTGATGCTTGAAGAAGAAAACAGAAAACACTCTTAACGAGCGACCCGTTCTCGATAACAGAACAGTAGTAACAGTCTCGACACTGTCTGTCGAGATATATTTGATAACTATGACCAGGATCCCAGAATATAACCTAGTTAGCTCCAACCTCTACCTTGTCCTTGTTACGACTTGCCTCGACTCAAGTCTCCGACCACCTCGATTTGAAGGCCACCCAAGGCACTCCAACCTTAGTAGTTTGCAACATGGATCACTCATTTTTATGTTCCATTTGTATAACCACATATTAAGACCATGAAGAACCAAACTTCAAACCAAGATCAAGGCATAAGGGAACCATTCTCGACATATCCATGACCCATCACGCATAAATGAATTGAAAACAGTTCATAAATTCCACCAAAGCTTCTCCATCAACAAACTGACACCCAATTCCTCCTTCCACTCCCCTTTCCATCCACAATCTTCAACCAAGTCACATCCTTATGACCATACGTCCGATCCACCAAACCTCTCACATCCATCCGCCTATTCAACTCCCGACCAATTCCTATTCCAGGTCCTGCCTTATGCCTCCTCATTAAGCAGAGGCTGGCGCTCACGATCCGTCGACTCGGGATGAGCAACACTGCGGAACAAGCTGTCACGACCGTAATACTTGGTAGTAGAAATATAGATAGAAGTGACCAGGAAGACGGCGAAGATGACAATGGCAAAGATCCACTGCAGAGCAATAATCTTGACTTCGAATTGGCGGATTGCCAGCGCTAAAAGCCATCCATTAGCACGGAATGTCCTCCCCTCAACAATGGAGACTATCAATCCAAGGTGCAGAAACTTACACAGCGTGAGGATACTCAGACTATAACCCAGGATATAATCCTGGCGCACCACGATATCAAACAGACCAATAAGCAGGATCACCCAAATAAAGATATTAGCCACGATCCGGCCAGGCAAGTTGTGACTGTTCACTGCGACGGCGCCGTTCCAGAAGAGCGCCGTCAGAGTCCAGGCGTAGGGGCCTGCGACGGCGGATAGGTGGACGAAGGCGGGTAGACCACGGTGGCGCCAGTAGGTGATAGCCTGGTTGATGAAGTGGGCGATGAGGATGACCTCGGAGCCCCAGAAGTGGTTGCGGGTCCAGAGGAGGATCCAGGCGAAGACGAATAGGTTGTTCAGGATGAAGTGTGTGGCGACGTTGGCGGCGGCAGCGACGACGGGGGCTTCCTTGGAGAAGAGGTGCCAGACGTAGCTGAGCTGCGAGAGGAGGAGGAGGATCCTGTGTGAGGTGGTCAGTCAATGGGAACTTGTTCGCTGTGGATTAATAGGTTTGGTGATATGGCTAGAGGATGAAGACTGAATGGGCAAAGGGTTGTCATTATCTAGTATGAAGGACAGGTATCATCTTACCAGTAAATCTGAGTCACGGTCGTGTTCTGACTAAAGGGCGTGTTATGCTTGTTGGCCTGCTTCCAGATCTTCTTGCTACCCTTAGTATCATCGGGCGAGTGGATGGAATAGTAAATGCCGACGACGACAACCAAGGCCCAGGTGAGGGGCACAAAGACCCGGTACAGGCTCAAGGCATGGGCATTATGCGTCTCGCGACGGGTGAAGGGGTTGTAGATTGCCATGGATTGAGAAGAGCGGAGGAATTTCGGACAAGGTGAAACTGCAGCCTAACGTACGAAAAACAGAAGTTCAGAAGCGGGGGTGGGATTGGGTTATATACGGCCCAAGTAACAAAGTTATTAGTACAGTCGGATAATGTCTCTGACTAGCTCATCGGTTGAGGTTCCCCAACATCAGCTACGTTGTACCTTGGTACTTTACTGTGGTGCTTCTCGTCCGAGGGCTGCGATTAGCTGGTGCCGTGGCCAGAAGTGCGGGCATGGTCTGATGACCGAGACAATAAGGCCATCTTCCAAGGTGGCGCCAATCCGGCTGCAGCACCATGAGGTCAATCCCCTCGTTCTGGGATCTCGCCGAGATTATCATTGGTGATGTCAGGCCAGCTTAGGTTATCTTAGCGGCTCCACTCCCCGCTTGCAAAGCCGGTTCTCACCCGAGCAGGGACTACTCTACTGCTCTACATACTGTACCGTAGTACTCCTCGGACTTGAGGCCGAAAACGGGGTCTCGACTTCAGCACTAGATTAGACAGACTCTGGAATAAAATCCTATACAAATCACCCGAGAATCTGGAGTGGTTGAAGGAGCAAAAAAATCTGAGCATACTTGCGTAGGGGGTCGCACCCCACCAGTAACATGAATGGCGCAACTGAATGCTGAGGACGTCGATCCAAGGGCACGGCCCCTGCAGGCAGATCAACCTGGAGAAAAGAATGTATCTGTACTCCGTGCTCCGTACAGATGTCCACGCAAAGTAAAGTTCCTTTTCCTGCGAGGTGCGACGCCATACAGGTGCGAGGCTGACGCCCCTGGATCAGAAAGAAGCGGACATACGGCACTTGGAAGTGGACAGAAAATCCTACCGACCGGGGTTTGAAAAGCAAGGCAAATAGTAGCGGAGAATGCGAGCACGATTTCAGTCCTACAGTGTAGGCTCCTATCATTAGAGCGGGGAAATATTTACCTAGGCCTCTAAAAAGGTCGTATAAGCAGCCAGCGTAGTACGCGCTACGAGTAATAACAATTATAGCTTCACCCCCCTGCGAATGAGGAGTCCAGGAAACTGCGGGGATCAAGGGGGTCAGCGCTGAAACATCCATCGGACTGGCCCAGGAGTTGAACTCCAGTGATGACTCTAATGGAAGCGCGAGACATTTATAACCAAAACCTTCTGCTGGTCAACTAAGCCTATATAGTTCATGGTCCCACGCGGTAGTAGGTGTGGGTTGACCGCTAATTTGAAGGTCGCCATTCAACATGGCTGTCTTGTTCTCAGTCAGAAAAAGAGAAGGAATTATACAAGACACTGTTCTGAGGAAAGAGGGTTCTCCTTTAACTCGTAAGGTTATGCCCATAGACAATGACACTGGACGGAGCAATAACTTGTGGCCGCAGGCAACTTGACTGGATCGTCGTGGTGAAGGCTCATCTATCCTAAATTCGGCCCGTACTAACATAACAAGCCTTCGTGGTCTAGTTGGTTATGACGTCGGTCTCATATGGATCTTATGACGACCCTGCCTCAACAGGGTGGTAATCCGAAGGTCTCCAGTTCGAACCTGGACGAGGGCAATTTTTTTTGTATTTTTGTCAGCTGACCTGCATTAAAGTAGATATACCAACAAGCTCCTTTTTTTGGGGTTTCTAGTAAAATGAACTCGCTAAATTAGTATGTTCTAATCAATTTCGCTTTTATATTCGCAATGTCATGTATTCTGCTGTACATAATGAACCATTAACCATGAACTATGCCTGCCTCGCAGCCCTCACAGCCTCCAATACCCGCCCATGTATCGAAGCCTGAGCAACAACCATTCCATAACATCCACCAAGCGTCCTACCAAGCCCACAATTAACTTCCTGTCCCTCCAAATCCGTAACCACACACCCCAGCTCCTGCACCAACAACATCCCCCCAGCATGATCCCAAATCTTCGACCGATAACTCTCCCGCCGCGGCACCTTGACAAAGGCATTACACCCACCCTGCACCGCAATAGCCACATACCGCATCTGCGCCGACCACAAGTCCACAGGATTCGGCCACGGACAGTCCAGCTGCGCGGCTACCTTTGCATGGATATCAACGTTATGCGACGAAGCAGCCCGCGTATCCACGAAGCGCACCTCACTCGCCGTCTCAACCGGCGGTATCCTCTCCAGCGCCTGGCAAGGCTGTAGCGCGCCCGTTCCAAGCGGCGCAATGAACGCCCCATGACCCGCGATGGCCGTTAAAAGCTGACCGTACCCGTCCCGGTCCACCGTTTCCTCCGAGACAGGGCCCTCGCCGAGTTTCAGGTTCGGACAACCCAGCACACCGAGCCGCTGTACCCTGTCTTCGACTAGCGAGAGACACACCGCATATTGCTGGCCCTGCATGAAGGTCGCCGTGCCGTCGACGGGGTCCAGTGTCCAGACACGGCCGGGCCCGCAAGCGCCCTTTGCGCCGAGATCGATAAGCTCCAGGAGCTCGTCGCGCGAGCTGGGCGTGTGCAGGAATGCTTCGCTGGCTTCGTCATCGAGGTGTACGGACGTGGCAAGTTCCCAGGTACGTTCGAGGAGATCTGGGTTCTCGCGCAGGGCGGTGGAGTCTTCTTCGCCGACGATTTGATCGGTGGGGAAGGTGTGGTGGATGGCGGCGATGATGGAGGCTTGGGCGGCGAAGTCGGCGATTGTCACTGGGGTGTCGTCCTTCTTGTCGAAGGAGCCTTTGTCTACTTCGGAGAGCAGTTGTTTTGTGAGGAGGGCGGCTCGTTGGACGGCGAGGCTGGCTAGGTGCAGCTCTTTGGCGTAACGGTGTGTGTTCATTTTGGTGGGTTGGGTGGTGGTGGTCGAGCGGAATTGGTGCTTGTGATGGACTGAGGAGGAGGAATTGAGTGTCCCGCCGTAGTTGGGCCGGCTGGGAAGTGTGGAATGACTCAATTGAGTGCTCCCCCGCTATCGTGAAATATATTTCTTGGGTCCCGATCATTTCACCGGGTGGATCACGTGGGGTAATGGGCAACTACGTCATTGAAGCCTGGGAGAGCAAGTCTCAAATTCGAAATTGGCTTCCACGCTAAACACACACAATTTGCTCCTCAAACCCTACGCTGAAATCCACTATACTTAATACAGTTACTATCACTATATACCCTATTTTAAGACAGTCTCGGCGTATGGTACGGAATATCGGCCATAATACGTCCTATAAATTACTTTATTTAATGGATTAAATTTCTGGAAAACTCCACGTCTTCAAAAATCAAGGACTGTTGCCGATAAGCTTTTGCAATCCGTCTCTTAATGAGGTAATTAGATGCAGGCGTCTGGCCTTCGGACCGGAGAGCAGTAAACCGTGGTTATTCTCTGATTGTGATTATCTTTGCGATTGTGGCTTTCCTATGACTCTTAAAGATTCTCCATGTTCTGCACATTCTCTTTCATCGGCCCCCCCCCCAAATAAATCATTGAATCTGCTTATCACTTTCTTGCAGGCTATAATGTTATCACTTCAAATGCCAGCCCGAAGATTTGATTTCAAGAAGCCCCCTTTCAACTATAATCGATAGTCACGCTGTCGTTGGTGTTGGATGACTGGGTCAAAACCACTCCGTTTTGCTCGATATCTATGAGAGTAGCACCAGAAGGGCCAACCACGGAGCCGCCATCAGTAGCCTGAGCGTTGGAGAAGGTCACGGTGCTAAAGTTAGCGAACGGAACCAATCCGTTATTTTCCTCGAAATCTTCAACAATCCACTCCGCATTATACTCGCATAGGTCGCCCTGGACACCGCTAGTAAAGGTATGCTTCTCAGATTGTCCAGTGGACAAGTTCTCGAGGATCGCAGTACCTGTGATAGTGGACGTGGCATCCACAGACACCTTGATCAAATCCCCGGCGGAAATAGTGATGCCAGTGAAATCGTACGCATAGTCAGGGTACCATTCATACCAGGCGTCGTACGAAACAACTCCATTCTGAATACAGAAGTCGACTCCAGTTTGCAAGATAGCCGAGGTACAAGTATCGCCGTCGATACCCACCCATGCGGAGGCGCAATACTGGGTGTTGCTACTGGCACCTATTACAAGCCAAATTAGCCTTGAGCGAGAAAACCAGAGTTTAAGGTAATAAACCAACCGGAAGGAGCCTGAGGCTTGGGAACTGTGAATTCCGCACTAACGCCAGTGTAGCCGTTGCCGATAAGAATAGCTCCGGCCCAGTTGGAGCTGTATTCTTCCAACGCATTATTATGCCTGTTCTGAGGCCGGCTAGTCTTGCGGCCGATTTGCTTCCCGTCAGAACGCGCATTATGACGCGCCTGGCGCATCTCCGTCTGGGGAGCAGCCAGAGTGAAAGTGGCAAGCACTATAGTAGTGATGGCAGCGGATAACTTCATAATGAATGAGAAGGCATGCAATAAAAGCTAGATATTCAATGACAACGTTTACTACAAGAAGAGTAATCTGAGAGGCAAGAGACAAGTTAATCACACTAGGTACCGGAGCAGAACAGGAGATACGAGGCCTTTTTATAGGTTTTAAATCTACTTTTAAGCTGCCAGTCGCCGACCATTGATCATATCCTCGTGAACAAATTCTGTAAAATTCCGGGAGAGTGGTATAGTATCTGCAGCTCGGGAAATTCTCACTGGAATGCTAGATTCAAGATCTACCAGATTATAACTAACTTGAACTCTCAGCTAGAACTCAAAGGTAGAGTGAAATTAATAGAATACTCTAGCCGCCAATTCAAGGTTGGAATTTCTTTTCTAGTATACGCAGGCAAGGCAACCTTCACTATTCAAATCATGGATATATGACTATGATCCGTGAGCGATACTTCCGTTGCCGGCGGAAGGAATGTCGTCTCATTCCGTAGACTCGTTAAAATGGAATGAGGGAAGGCGAAGGCGCGACGGTATTAAAAAAATAGGCATTCCCCACGCTCGTCAGGAATTTCCGAGCTATAGCAGCGCGTTTACTTATTTCCTTAGGCTACGCCTTTTGGACGGTGGCGCCTCGGTGCTATAGTTCATGTATTTCCGACGGTATCTGGATTCGTGATACTAAGCTTCTTTTTTTTTTTTTTTTAAGTTCCCTACTACTGATTGAATGAGATTCACTTAACAGAATATAAATACTATATCGAATTTCATTCGACCCAAATCCCGAAGTGTGCAAACGGTATTCGGGATACACTAACGCAGTAGGTAGATTTAAGGAGTGGGTATAATCTTCAAAATTTACGCTATTCGGTGTCGATTTTGATCTTCTTCCGCTTCGGCAGGGTCTCGTATATACTTATCTAGAGTAGCTTTAAAGCAAATCGTAAAGCTAATCCACGATAGAATTGCCCCAACCTTGAACCTTGTCGGCCGCCGCTAAACCATTTCGGGACCAGCCGGATGGGAGGCCTGGTGGCATGTAAGGAGTTTCCACCTCTTTCGACTTCCATGCGAACATTCACTTCTATCTGCATGGCTCACATCTCCTCATGGCGGCCGACAAAATTCAGTTCAAGGCAGAACTTGCCTGCTTTATGTGCAAGACGCGGAAAAAGAAATGCGACAAGGCCCTTCCGTGTTGCGGATATTGTACTCGGTGCGTAGTCGCCCTCGCTCTTAGCAACTGAGCCATTACCGAATGGAAGAGCTCCAAATCTCTAACAATATTTTACGGGATAGGAAGGGTCTAAGATGTCGATATCAGGATTCTTCTCTAGATGCCGCCAAGCGATATGTGCATCTCGGCCGCTTGAATCATGTCGCAAAGGCCTCGATCTTCCTCATGGATACCTTGTCTTCTGTAGACCTCTCGAGCCATATACCGGTCGATGACCTCTCGGATATGAAGAGTATAGATATATCTGTCAGTGCGCAGGTACATCGTATTATCCATGCCACTGGGCGGTTTGTCAGTGACATAATCGATCCATTCTTCCGCGGGATATCCAATTTCGTCCCAATCTTCAGTCGAAATCGCATTCAGGAAATCATCGCCGGAATACCAGTCATCACTCCCTGCGCAGATTTTTCCGTTCTTTTACTTGCTATGTGTTTGATAACGTACCATCCTCAGGCACTCGAGAAGCCTCTACCAGGGATCGACCAGGAATCTTTGTATATCGCTACCAAGTCCCTTTTCGGTCAAGTGCAGACGGCCTCTTTCATGCAAGGCCAGCCCTCAGTATCGCTTATACAAGCGGGAATTTTGATTGCAATTTACGATTACGCGCGAGGAATGGCGAACAGTGCGTATCTTTCCATCAGCATTTGCGCGCGTATGGGCTATGCGGCCGGCATCCACGAGCAAACGAGACGGCCAGGAAGAGGGGCGCTCTCGAAGGAAGAAGGCAACACTTGGTGGGCAATATTAATATGGGAAAGGTATTCTCTCCAAGGTATCTTGGATAGTCCAAAGTAAAAGACTAACCTGGCACCGTCTTCTATAGATTGATTCGCTGCGAAGTGACAACGTCTCAAGATCAGCCATTCGCCACCACCTTGCCTGGACCGGATGCACGACTCCCAACAGAGCCCAAAGATATCGATCACGCAGAGACTCCAGACCTCGATTTAGTTACTCTCGGTTCACTAGAAACCGAGTGTATAGGTCCGTTTGGACGCGCAGCCCAAGGGATCTGTATTCTCGACCAAGTTCTACAAACAATTCGTATGGACCAAGCAAATTGCAAACTAGCTCGGCTCATTGAGTTGAATAATACGCTTCAATCGTTCATGATGACACTCATGCGGCAGCGACATGGTGGTCGTGAACTCTTGAGTGGCTCCATCGCAGTGGTGATCAGGTCAGTGATAGCCATAAAAGTTCGGGCTGCGAAGCTAAGACTCGCGTGTTGACTACGGATAGGACGATGTTCTTACTAAACGAGAAAATTCTCGCCGAACAGCCTAAATCTACACAAGAAATGGATAGCTGGTGGCAAGAGAGGGTTGAACAGTCCCAGGCAGCGCTTAGCACGGCCACAAAAATGATGGTCGATATCATTGATACCGAGTCGCGGGCCTGCCCACCCGAAGCCTGGCCTCCAAGCCGTTTGTATCGACTTCGAGCTTCGCTTAGACATCTTGAACGTCAGTCACACTTGAGTAAAGATGACTGGTATGACGATGCCGAGGCTCGACTTCGTGTTGCGCTGGATAAGGTTTGTTGGTTCTGGAGTGTGAAGAGGTAAAAGGCGCAGTCATGTGATATGAGAATCGCATAAAAGACCGATGTAAACCCGAAAAATGCCTGTTTAGAAGAACTATCCGTTCTCAATTTCCCGTGCTTGAAGATAGGACCCCCACCGGGTGACTGGGCATTGATCGGCTTTCACAGCGAAAGACCGACTCGAGGCCCCCACCAGCAAGAACCCCCGCCCTGACTTTTTGCCCCCCGTCTTAGGCTAAATGTGTAGTGTGGGGGTCGACGGCATAATTCGAGGATGAAATAGCTAGTTCGGCCGTCGGATGAAATCTCCGAAGTATTTTAAGAAGGCCACATGCCATATTACGCAAGAGATTGAGAGAAGAGGGAAAAAAAGTATCATACTCTTCTCTAATCAAAATGTCCGTCCACGCAAACGGCAAGACCCCCTCGCACCCGTTCAGCAACTCACCATTCCGCACTCGTGCGGATCTCCAAGAAGCATGCTGTGCTCTTCTAAACCCCCTACTTCCCCTCTTTACCCCGGGTGGCAGTCGTGTCAAGGTCGGATCATCCACGACTCGATTCGATGAGGGCGGTGCCCAGATTGAGGGTTATGCTCGTCCCCTGTGGGGCTTGGCATCTCTCCTCGCGGGAAGTTATGATTACAAAGAAGCAGCACGATGGCGCGAGGGCATTATCAATGGAACTGATCCCGAGAGTCCGGAATATTTTGGTGACATTGAGGATTTGGACCAGCGCATGGTGGAAATGTGTCCGATCGGCTTTGCGCTCGCGGTTGCGCCCCATGTCTTCTGGGATCCGCTGACGGACAAGCAAAAGGATAATGTGACCAAGTGGCTGAATAGTATTAATGAGCGCGAGATGCCTAATACCAATTGGTAAGGACCGGGCAAGCCCATGTCACTTCTGTTATTGCCGGCCAGAAACCAGCTAATCTGTACCGTCTAGGCTATGGTTCCGAGTCTTCGCAAACCTGGGATTGAGAAGGAATGGCGCTTCCTATTCTTTGTCGCGTATCGAAGCTGACATGGACCACTTGGATACTTTCCACGTTGGTGGTGGCTGGAGCAACGATGGCCCAAAGTCCCATCATCAGATGGATTACTACTCTGGATCGTTTGCAATCCAATTCCTACAACTTTTGTATTCAAAACTTGCGGGTGACTTTGATCCTGATCGGGCTGAAAGATATCGCCAGCGTGCTAGAGAGTTTGCAAATGACTTTGTGCATTGGTTTAACCCCGACGGTAAGCCGCGTTCTGATCGTCCGCCCACTATGTGAGATGGCACTTGAAATGGAGAGAAACTGACGAAGCGTTACCACAACAGGTCGAGCCATTCCATTCGGCCGCTCCCTAACCTATCGCTTTGCCATGGTGGGATTCTGGGGCGCTCTAGGTTTCGCAGATGTCGAATTACCCGCGCCATTGACCTGGGGCGTCGTGAAGGGAATCTTCCTTCGCAACTTCCGCTGGTGGGCTACACAGCGAGACATCTTTAACAATGATGGCACCCTCAACCTCGGATACACTTACATGAACTCGTACCTGACGGAGAATTACAACTCTCCCGGGTCTCCATACTGGTGCTGTCTCTCATTCACTCCACTGGCACTGCCAGAGACGCACCCTTTCTGGACTTCAGAGGAAGAACCCTACCCGACGGCCTCTCTTCCCGAGGTCGTAGCTCTCAAGTACCCGAAACACATCGCCATCCGTCGAGGAGGACACTCTTTCCTGCTTTCCTCCGGACAAGCGTGCCACTACCCGATGAAAGCAACGCACGCCAAGTATGGCAAGTTTGCGTATAGCTCTGCATTCGGATACTCCGTTCCCACCGGTGGCTACCAGCTAGAACAGTATGCGCCAGACAGCATGCTCGCGCTCTCAGAAGATGGCGAGTTTTGGAAGACGCGGCGAGAAGTCGAGGATGCGCATTTCGAGGAACCTGGCCAAGACGGTGTACCTGTGCTCGTTTCCACGTGGAAAGCCTGGTCTGATGTTGAAATTGAGACAATTCTGATTCCGCCAGCGTCGGAGACTCCGAATTGGCATCTTCGTGCGCATCACGTGCGAACTGGGCGAGCTCTGCAGAGCTCGGAGGGTGCCTTTGCTATCTATGGATGTCGGAGTGATAATGGTCGCCCGTTAGGTCCGATGGAGGGTGATGCAGAGGAAGGGACAGTTAGTGGTTCAGGAAATGCACTCGTTGTTTCGTCGGCTGGAGCTGTGGGCATTGTTGAGCTTCACGCTTCTGGACTGCGGGAGGGCCGGGTTGTCGTCCCTGACCCGAACTCGAACATTGTTCACGGGCGTACACTTTTGCCGTCCTTGGGTATTGATTTGCTTCCTGGACAGGAATATTGGTTTGTGACTGCTGTGTTTGCTTTGCCGGAAAGAACCAATGACTGGCGTGCTATGTGGGAGCAAAAGCCAGCTATTCCTGGATGGTTAGCCAAGCGGATGGAAGGTTCCTCTTGAGCTGGAATTGCGCTCAGAATACCACCAAATGCTCAATCATATCAAAAAGCTGCCATGTTGATAAACAGGACTTACTACTGAAGTCATCCAAGGGCATTTTATCCGTGATATTATCGCTCTAAATGTTCCCAATGAATCTCAAACCCAACCTCACTGTTGTGTCGTTAATCTCTTTGTTCCCTATCATTTTCATATAACACATAGATGAGAAGCCTCGACTGGTGATACATGTTCAGTCAGCTGGATTGCCGTACATTAAAAGCCAGCGTGCTAGGTGACACGGCTGTCAAGTGAAAGAGGGGTAGGCGGTTTTTTTTGCGACTTTGGGAAGGTGATCAGACACTAGCCATCTTGGCTATCACGACAAAGAGACTGCTCGCTCGGCTTCCTCCAAACCCCTACCCACTCTCTGCGTGTATTTCGATACTCCTCTCTAAAGTAATCAGCAGCGATCAGTACGGTCGTGCAGAGACTCGGAACTACCTACTATCATCTTCTCTTCTTATACTGAGCCGACACTCTCTCTTCAAGAGACAAACAGCAGCATCTTGTTACCGAGAGAACATAATCAATTTGAACTGTCTGTTGATTGAACCTTCTCAATATGACCTCAATGGACAAAGTATTTGCAGGCTATGCCACCCGAACAGCCACTCTCAACGCAAGCAGCAACCCCTTCGCCAAGGGCATCGCCTGGGTCGAAGGAGAACTCGTCCCTCTATCCCAAGCCCGAATCCCACTGATGGACCAGGGCTTCTTACACAGCGATCTCACCTACGACGTACCCGCTATCTGGGACGGGCGATTCTTCCGTCTAGACGACCATCTTTCACGATTAGAAGCCAGCTGTCATAAACTCCGCATGCAACTCCCTCTACGCAAAGAACAAATCAACCGTATTCTTGACGAGATGGCTGCGAAGAGTGGTATTAAAGATGGATTTGTCGAGTTGATCATTACCCGGGGACTTACCGGTGTGCGCGGTTCTCTTCCCGAACAACTTTCCAATAATACCTTGTACATGTTTATCCAGCCTTATGTTTGGGTTATGGAGCCCGACGTGCAACGTACCGGTGGTTCCGCTATCATCGCTCGTACAGTCAGAAGAACCCCCGTGGGATCTATGGACCCGACCGTCAAGAATCTACAATGGGGCGATCTGACCAGAGGCTTGCTAGAGGCCTCCGATCGAGGCGCTATGTACCCATTCTTGACAGACGGTGATGGAAATCTCACCGAGGGATCGGGATTTAATATCGTCCTTGTCAAGGACGGAGTACTATTTACCCCCGAACGCGGGGTGCTGGAGGGAGTCACCCGCAAGGCTGTACTTGAAATTGCGCGAGCTAATGGGATTGATGCCCGTGTGGAGTTTGTGTCCGTGGATATGGCGTACCATTGCGATGAGATCTTTATGTGTACCACGGCGGGGGGAATTATGCCTATTACCTCACTGGATGGGAAGCCCGTTAAGGATGGTCAGATTGGCCCGATTACGAAGAGGATTTGGGATGAGTATTGGGCGATGCATTATGATTCGAGGTTTAGTTACGCTATTAACTACGACCTGCGAAGCCAGGGGACTCCGAGAGATCAGAAGCTCTAGGTTGGATATTGGATTTCAATGGTGGAATTGTCGTTCATTTCATATGGATAATTCCGCGGAATAGGAGAAGCTTCGAGTAGGACGGCATGGTGAGGTGGATCCGAGCGGGTTGTAGTGTGGATCGATAATTCGGCTGACGATATCAGAATGGCACGCGTTCAGAGGACTTTGAATTTGCCGAGGACTAGTAAAGAGCAAAATTGTTAGTTTCGGGCTTTTTCTACTTGCCAAGGAGTACTTACTAGCAGCGTGGGCTAGCTCAGCCTGCTTGGATGCCTGGACATGCAGACTAATATCTTCGAGTGACCGATAGAGATGATCCTTGTTGCTTGTGTAGAAGGACTTGTCATGGACACTTGCTGCATCTGGGACCCTGTATTGAGAATGAAATCTTAGTGTCCGTACTCATTAACAGGTCATGCGTCCAGATTGAATCGGGCAACATACCACGTGATGAAGACTAGCTTGTGTCTCAGGGCATCACCAGTCGGGGAGTCATAGGTGAAATCGACGACGGCGTATCGAGGTGCGTCGTCTTTAAAGTGTGACAGAACTTCCTCGTAGTTCTGGTACTTTCCGGACTCGGCGACGGAGATCGTCTTGCCGTTAGCAGAAGCCTCGTAGATGACGAAGTTGAGAGCGTCGGTCTCTTTGACCGCGTCAAAGGTTTCCTCGCACTCGGGCTTGATGGTAGCGAATCCTCGTGTCATTATGGCTAGAAAAGATTGTCCGTTGGAAGGTTGGAGAAGAGACGTTGGAGGTGAAATCAGGAGGGGAAGGGGGGGAAGTGAAAGCTAGATTGTTGATGGCGATCTTACCCCAGCTTTTGTAGGAATGCGGGGAGCCCCGATTAGCTAAGGTTTGGTGGCTCAAGGAGTCAAGGTGCAAACGCTGTGCCTGAGACATCGATGGCCTGAGGACCCACACCGCTGGCTCCTTGTATGACGTAGTGTCTGTATATAGGGAGGTCTCTCTAGAGAGGAGCTGGTCGCTGTTGATTATATAGTCCAGACGAGGACTGGCCACCTGAAGTCATGAATGAATAGGACAAAGAATTTGAGTCAAAAAAGGCTCTCTCCACAGAGATCTCGGTAGATCTCGTTAGAACCCAAGCCAACATTATGTTTGGGTGCCATCACATGATCAAGGTACGTTACAGCATTTCAGAAATCATATGATGTCAAGGGAAATACACGGGTGGAGGAACTAACCATGAGAAGGCAAAAAGTAGAAAGCTCCACTAGCTTCCCCCTATTACAAGTGATTGATCATTACAAATAGGACACAATTAAAATAAGAACAAATTCTGTAGTATCCTGAGCCTGCTGCCATCCCTGCATGGATGGTGGTGCTGAGGTCAAATAGTGCTTTTAATTTGACCAATCAGGTGGCGGATCCCGAATCCCAACCATAAGAACCTCGAAGTTGAGTTAAAAGCGTGAATCCTATCATTCTACATATCCATTTTGGGATTCTCATTCTATCTACTCGGTATTAAAGACTACACATCTGAAATCATAAAAGTATCGAGCAAAATGCCTTTATCCCCCGCAGTCCAACTCGACCAAACCTTCCACCACTCCACTGCTACGCACAGCTACCAAATCCGCTGGACATCTCTCGGCAATCCAGCAGCGCAGCCTCTCATCTTCGTGCACGGCACACCGTGGTCCTCACGAGTCTGGACTAATTACGCTCAGTCCTTCTCAAAATACTTCCACGTCTACCTCTTCGACAACCCCGGCTTTGGAGCGAGCCCTCTCGGCAAGCCCCTCCCCGGCAAAGAAGATACTATCAGCAAAGAACTTGCCCTCGATGCAGATCTCTCGCAACAGTCAGCTGTATTTGCCGCTCTATTGAACCACTGGGCACGAGAGTGGCAGCAAAAGCCGCATGTCGTTGCGCACGATCATGGCGGTCTGATGGCTCTACGAGCTCATATCATTCATGGCTGCGAGTATGCTAGTCTATGTTTGATCAATGTGGTTGCGATCGGGCCATTCGGTCAACCTCTCTTTAAACTAATTGCCGAGAATGAGAGCGTTTTTACCGCGTTGACTGGGCCGGTGTTTGAGGGAGTTGTTGAGGCGTATATTCGTGATGCCTCATATCGAGGCCTGGATAAAGAGACGATGGAGGTTCTCAAGAGTCCGTGGATCTCTACTGAGGAAGGGAGGAAGGGGTTTGTTAGGCAGATGGTGCAGGCAAATAGTCGTAGCACGGAGGAGGTGGAGCATCGGTATTCGGAGGTAGGGAGGAAGATACCAATACGGGTTATCTGGGGCCAGGAGGATGCATGGATTCCCGTGGAGACAGCGGCTAGACTGAAGACGAAGCTGAATGCTCGGGAGGTGGTGCTGATTGAAGGCGCGGGCCATCTAGTGATGTATGATCAGGAGGGCAAGTTGGGAGTGGAGCTGGGCTGGTGGCTGAACAGCATTTGCCACCTGTAAATGTGTGCATAGAGATGTGCAAAGAACCATGGAGACTTGTCAAGGCCTAGTTAATAGTCATCGATATCTTGGTTGGTTAGTTAGTTAAACGCCGAGCCTCCGCGAGGATTAGCTAAGCCCCAGCAGGCGCCCGCTGGAAGCTTCTCCGCGTTAGTCACATGTTGCCATCGCATTCTACTCCAGTCGATTTTCAATATTCCATTCGTATATCTGCTTCAAGTCTCGTTCATTTCTCTAGCATTTGACATTCGCTCTTGCTACGTACTTTCGCTCTCTCGTTACCATGTCTCCCGTGAGCATATCCAAGGGGTCCAGCCCCTCCTCCACACCCAGTGAATCCTACACCCAAATGGCCGACACAGATCTCGAATCAATCGGCCGCCACTGCCAATTCGAATATTGCGGACAACTCGACTTCCTCCCCTTCCGCTGCGAATCCTGCCGGAGCACCTTCTGCCTCGACCACCGCTCCGAAACCGCCCACAAATGTTCCCACGCTGGAGACTGGGCTCGTCGACGCAACGGTACAACAAACCTTCAAGAGAACCGCACTGCGCCGGAAAAGCCCAACATCTACAACTCCGACCAATGCGCCCACGTCTCTTGCAAAACACTCATCAACACCCTTAAAGACCCCGGCGTGCGCTGCCCGAACTGCAATCACCAGTACTGCCTCAAGCACCGGCTTCGAGAGGAACACGAGTGCGCCAAGCTTACCCCGCTGGGCGCACGGCAAGGCAACAGCGCCAATGAGACGATCAAGTCCATGTTCTCGCGGATGCGTACCTGGGGCAAGGAGAAACAAGTTGCAACTTCGAATCTCATTCCCAAGCCCAAGGTTAAGCCGAATAGTCCTGCGGCGCGCGTCGCTAGTGTCAATGCTATGAAGCGGTCGGCGAAGGGCGATGCAGGTGTTCCCGCCGATAAGCGGATATACTTGCATACGGTTGGGACGGCGGATACTCAGGCAGCTGAGCCGCCAGCTGGGGACTTTTATTTCGACTCGAGGTGGAAGGTTGGACGGGTGCTTGATGATGCGGCGAAGAGGTTGAATGTCCAGAATTTCAATAATCGTGGTGGGGGAGAGGAAGCGCGATTGCGCATCTTCCATGTTGAGTCGGGAGATTTCTTGGAGTTTTCGGATACGATTGGGGGTGGGAAACTCAAGTCGGGAGACACGATAGTGTTGTTGCGAGGGGCTGGTGTGGTTCTTGCGAACTCATGATGCATTTATAATCCTTGTCATGCTTTTTATTTGTGTTTTATTTCGCGGCATCTACATTCGCAAGCGTTTCTCATCTTAATGATACCTCACAGCGGTCTGCTGTATGGCGTTGAGTGTATATGAAACATCCCGATCAAGGGCTCATTGCATACTTCGCTTTGCAAGACAGTTCATAGCATTTATTCTTTCAAAACAACCGAGACTGGTATCGTCTAAACATTATAACGTAGGCAAGAGTCCAATGAAGTAATATACACTAAACACTCATCTTCATCTTGATGGTCTTGTGAGGCTTGTATCCAATAACCTCAAACTCATCCTCCTTCCAGCCATCAATAACAGCGCTACCCCGGTCATCACGCTTGATAAGCAACTCCGGGAACTCAGTTGGCTCCCGAGTCAACTGCTCATTCAACGCATCAACATGGTCAAGATAGACATGAGCATCGCCCATAGTGTGGATCAAAGTGCCAGGATGGAGGTCGGCAGCGTGAGCGAGGATATGCGTGAGAAGTGCATACGAGGCTATGTTGAACGGCACGCCCAGACCCATATCACAAGACCGCTGGTAAAGAAGACAAGACAAAGTCCCCTTCTCAGTAGGCTTCCCCGTCTTCTCATCCAGCTTCATCCCCGGCGGGAAGGAAACATAGAACTGCGCAAACATGTGGCACGGCGGGAGCGCCATTTTGCGCAGGTCAGAGGGATTCCAGGCACTCATGATGATGCGCCGATCAAACGGTGTATTCATGATCTTGTTGACAACATCCTTGAGCTGATCCACACCTTGACCGGTATAATCTGTCTTCGCATCGACGTACTCCGCACCGAAGTGTCGCCATTGGAAACCATAGACGGGGCCGAGGTCGCCTTCTTCCCGGTGTCCCAGTCCAACTTTGTCAAGGAATTCCCGGCTGCCGTTTCCATCCCAAATTTTGATTCCGGATTCAGAGAGGGGCAGGGATGATGTGCAGCCGGAGACGAACCAGAGAAGCTCTGCGAGGACAGCGCGAAGGAAAACTCGTTTCGTGGTGAGAAGAGGGAGAACACTGATCGGGTCGCCACCATTGGGGTTGGGCTTTGAGAGCGAGAAGCGAAGTTGAGGGGGCGCAAATAGAGATCGCGTTCCAGTGCCGGTTCGATCAGGTCTGTGTTCGCCTTCGGCGAGGATTGTGCGGATCAGGTTGAGGTATTGATGCTCTTCGTGCGAGGGATCGTGTGCTGGTGCTGGCGATGGGGTTGCCGCAGGGGCAAGTTGGTCTTGTGTCATGTTGGTGATGAGAAGTCAGACAACGACGCAGAGTCTTCCCAATCAGATGCGCTGTATTAAATTAAAAAGGAGCGCAGTTATTTTGTTGCACCCTCTGATCTTGACTTCCAGCGGGGAAGGACAGGAGAGATTAGTGGGATTTCAGTGCGCGTCAACGCGACGCGTTATCACGTGACGATTATCTTATCGGCTTATTGATGTACTGTATTCAGCTAGATCCTTGAGTCGAGAGAAGACTGCAGGCGAAGAAGAGCAAATGAATTGGCCGTACTCGAGATACTGAGGTTTATTTTGTCTCTATGCGACCACAGACTGAGATTTCTCTCATCTGCCATATCTGACTATCCTATCCCGCTATAAGTAGTTTTGACGACAGCTCTGTTGTTTTCGTTCTATCAAGGTTTGCTCATAGCTCCAGAGATAATTTAATCTGAGATTTTTGCAAATCTTGTATATTATGGGAATAAGCCACTGATAGTCCTATAACTGGGTCGCGCGATTGATGAGTACTTGGTCAGTGATGTATTTCCTCATGCCACGTTGTATCTCATCTTCTTGAGAATGTCGGACTCTCTGTCAATGCCTAGAACTGAACTATAGTAGCGTCTAAAAGAAAGGTCAGAATGTCATAATTTGGATGTTCCTTGCTGTAATGAGCAATGGTTCTTCCACGATTCATATCATGCTCTGGTCAGGGCTTCCAAAGGTCTTGAACTCGGTAATCCTAGGGTAGTTTTTGCACTCTTTTCTGATGAGAATCAGCCAGCAACAGCAACAAGCATCGACTTTTCTTGTTGTCAAATATTCTCTGGCAGTGCTGCTTAATTTTCATCCTTTGGTTGACCAATGCGCTTGTTTGCAGATTGGACTGACAGCAGCATGATTGACAGTTGCAAGGTATTATAATCTTCGATAACAGTGTTCGGGTTCTATTTCACTTTCCATTTCCATGCTCCTTGAAAGAGTGACCTGGATTTTCGATAATTCCACCTCCAGTGCAGCAGATGGATATGGCCTCTGGCTTGACCTATCGCTCAAACTGCCCACCAGGTTCCGATCGGGTTCCCCTGTTTGGACGATGGCCCACGCTCCTTGTCCCATTTTCCGATCTAGGTCCAGTAATTTGTCCATTGGGAACATCACGGGGTAGCTTCCTCGCAGACTAATTGCCGGGGAAGTGGAAAGCTACCCAATGAAGCCCCACTGACTCTTGTTGACTTGATATCGTGGCCACTTGTCGAGGTTCATGATGACCCGAGCGGGGGTGGAGGTGGGCTTTCCTGACGATCATACGCCTAGTCTGAGACTACTTACAGCTGACCCCAGAGAATAATTAGGAACAAGTGATATTTATTGCCCCCGAAACAGAAGTAGAATTTCACACTCAACGCCAGAAAGCGAAGGCGCCATCACTAGAGCCGCGTAACCCTCCGTTAACTTCTGCTTGTTGATATCAAACTTTATACTTTGATAACATGTCCTCCACCGAGACAAAGACTAATCCAGCCGATGCCCAGAACTGGTTACCTCACGGAGGTAGCCATGACCTGGTTACCTTCCAGTCACGCACCTAGGGCGACTGGCGCGATGAGTTCCACAAGTATGGTTGCGTGGTCATCAAAAATGTGATCAGCCCAGAGCGCGCCGAATACTATCGCGAGAAACAGATTCAGTGGCTGAAGAACTTTGATCTTGGCTTTGATGAAAGAGATGAGAGTACCTGGAAAGAGGCGCATTTGCCTGTTAGCTTCAAGGGAGGGTAAGAATCCTCATATTGAAAGACTGATAACGAATGCTAACTCCATTAAAGCATGTATTTCGCTTATGGTTCTCCTCATGAGAAAATGGCCTGGGAAGCACGCTCGGAGCCCGCAGTTATCAAGATTTTTGAGACTCTTTGGGAAACCAAGGAGCTAATCAGCTCGTTTGATGGAATGAACATCTCTATGCCGCGGCGCAAGGACCTTCGCTGGAGCCCATGGCCTCACTGTGACCAAAATCAAAGGCGTAAAGTGTGAGTTTTCTTTATTGTAGTACTAAACGATCGACTACTGATATAGGTACAGAATGCAAGCCGTTCAGGGACTGCTTAACTATGCTCCCAACGGTCCCAAGGACGGTGGTCTTATGTTGATGAAAGGCTCCGCTAAACTTTTCGACGAGTTCTTTGCCCAAAAGCGCGAGTCCTATAACCACGAAGACGCACTGCCTCCCGAGATGGAATACATGGATCTTTTCCTGTTCAGTGATAAAGACGTTTGAGTGGTTTAAGGAGCGTGGCTGTGAGCTGATCAAGGTGAACATGGATCCTGGCGATTTCGTTCTATGGGACTCCCGGACTATGCACTACGCTTGTCTGCCCGAGGGAGACCAGATCCGCCATGTGCAGTATATCTGCATGATACCCAAGCGCTTTGCGTCGCCAGAGGCATTAGAGCTAAAGAAGCAATGCTTCGAAAATTATATTGGAACTATTCACTGGCCCCACTGGTACGCATCGTCGGAAGAATTTACTATTACTGGGAAAGACACAAACTTGAGACAGCAATATTCGGCCTGCTAAGGAGAAACCTATGCGTGGGGATGTCGTCTGGCCGAAGGACCGCAGCGTACCATTTGAGAAACCCGAGTTGACGGACACGGTCTTGAAATTGGCTGGTGTTAAGGCCTACTGAGTGTAACTCGCTACAAATAATTACATGGCAAAATCGCGACAAGTAAAATCTGGCTTTGCATTCCAAGTCTTATCTGTTGTAACATTTCCTCCGGGGAAATTTCACCAATGAAAACAGCTTAAAAATTCCAAGATCCTAGGTTTGTATACTTCGTACTGTGTTAATATAAAGGCTGATTTACCGGCTGGAGACTCTTAACCCGGAAACCCCGAGCGTTCAATTGATGAAACATGTTGTTTACGGGCTTGCTCGTGTCCTTTCAGCGAAGAAAGGTTATTTGCCAATCGAGAACTAACGACATTTGTTTCGTCTACGCGAAGCGCCAACGAGAAATTCAGACTTTTCGACTCCTTCCAGCCACTTCTTTCGCCCGAGAAAAGTATGAAGTAAATCATTCTCCAGCTCCCCCGCTCGGAAGTCCACTCAAGAAAGAGTGGTCGACCCCCACATCCCCGTAGCGGATAGCCGGATACAGTCTGGGGAAGCGGGGAATATACGTGGGCCAGAAGCCTGGAGGATCGGCTAATTTTCTTAATTTTGAATCACGACTGGTTGATTGGAGCATGGCTAGAGCGCCATCGCCCCTTTTGACTTGCCATCGGCGCTCGTGGCTGCATCCTATGGCTCGGCGGGAGTGGGAAGCTACGGCAGAGCCAAAAGGGGCTTGGATCTTATCTTGGAAACTTTGAAAATAGCCTTTCTTATTAAACTGCAAGGTTTTCGTCAAAGCCATTTCCGAATATATTTGCTACCCTTGTCTGGGACTGGACGTCTCTCAAATCAACAGCCCTACATCAATTGAGTTTTCTTTCTGTGTTTCGACCGAGCTGGTCTTGTCAACAGGAATACAATGAAGGACGTTGGCAAGACCTCCGAGGAGCAAATTGAGGTGCTTGATTATGATAAACCAGGACAGGATGGTTATGATGTTGCGAACAAAGTGATGGGAACGGTCAAGTTGACCGAAGACTCGATCATCTATATCCCCACTCCTACTGCGGATCCGCAGGGTACATGACAGCCTAGTATGAGGATCTTGTGACAATGCTAATCGACAGAACAGATCCCATGAATATGCCAAATTGGGAGAAAACAGTTGTACTTATAGTCATTTCTACATGTACGCGTTGGGACTTTTTCTGCCTTGGCCATTGGACTTTGGTTGATTGACTCATTTGACTCTAGTCTCCACTCTCAGCATCTCTCTTGTATCTGGATTCGGAGGCGTGATCACATTTTATGTTCCAGAGTACAGTGCCGCAGGCAAGGACTATGCTGCTATCTCGCAGTTGATGACATACCCAACGCTTTTCATGTAAGACTTTTCCTTTCTCCACACATTAAGAATGATTACCTGAACCTGACTTCGCTTTCCATCAGGGGTATTGGCAATCTTATTGGCATGCCTATCGCCATCGCCGTCGGCCGTCGGATCGTTCTTTTGGCATTCACTCTTATACTGATACTTGCTGCGGTCTTATGTGTGAAGGCAGAGACCTATGAATGGCATCTCGGCGCTCGTATGGTCCTGGGACTTTGTGCAGGACAAAGTGAGGCACTAGTGCCTATGATCACCCAGGTATGTGTTGTGAAAAATACAGGATTGATATGAAGGAATGCGGGTAACTGATATGTTCAACAGGAAATCTTCTTCCTACACGAGAGAAGCAAATACCTCATGCTTCAACAAGCCATTCAAGTTGTTCTGACCACGGTCTGGACACTATTTGCCAGTCCAATTGCCGGCGGTATTACACCCCAAGGCTGGTATGGTCTCGGTGCAGGTCTAGCCGGGCTCCAGTTCCTAGTTGCTGTGGTTCTTCTTCCAGAAACGAAGTATGATCGCGGTTTGACATCGTACCAAGAGACTGTCTCAGATGACAACTCAGCGAGACAGATGGATCTCGAGGCTGATGGAACTACTAAGCCCACAATAGTTGTTTGCAAGGAGAGGCCACCACTTGACTTTGTTAACTACTCCCCAAGGACCTGGAAATCGGATATGAGGCTCTGGGTTGGAAAGCCGGAGTGGCATAAGGCAATTGATGTGCTCAAGGTACGGAGTTTATTTCCTCATGTCCAAGTCGCACGTCTAACACACAGTTTCTAGCAAACCTTCCAACTCTTGTTCTTCCCCAACGTCTTCTGGGCATTGTGTATCAACGGCCTCACTATCGGCGTCAATATTGCCATTGCCACAACCTACGGCACAATCCTCACCAGTGCTCCCTACAACTGGCCAGATTCGAGCACCAGCTACGTGAACTGTGGACAAATCATAGTAGCCTTGATCGCCCTCCCACTACTCGGAACAGGCTCCGATACACTCATCAAATGGTTTGCCCAGCGCAACGGAGGTATGCACGAGCCAGAAACCCGACTCTTGCCTTTAGTCTTCCCTGTCATCGTCGGCGTCTTTACCGCTGTCCTCTACGGTCAGGGAGCTTCTCATCCGGAGCATTACCATTGGTTTGTATATGCGTGGACAGTGGCAGCCTATTATTTCTGCTTCGTTGGTGCGAACATTGTCGCCATCACGTACTTGCTAGATAGTTATCCTGCTCGGGCTGGTCCCCTGCTCGTCATTATCTGTGCGTTCCGAGGGTTTATCTCGTTTGGAACGAGTTATGGCACCACGGCGTTCGTGGATAACCATGGTTATGATGGTGCCTTTGGTACCTTTGGTGCTTTAACGGGTGTGCTTGGGTTGTTGGGTGTGCCAGTTTATTTCTGGGGCAAGAATATCCGACAGTTCACTGGGAGATTTGCCAAGAGCAAGACGGATTAGATATTGGTCGTTCATTATATTATGACTTGGCTTGAACAACTGATTCTCGCTGGAGATATGCCGATTCCAACACCGGTCAAATGCAAACGCTTTCTCTGGATGCAAATCATCGTGATTGTCTAGTCTCGCACTTAGAAGCCGACCAAATTGCGATTGGTCGATATTAGTCGATTGGTATGCCATCTAATCCTCCAAGAGATCCATTCCAACGCCACGGAGAGCACCCACAGCCCAGTCGGGATACTTGGTCTTATCTCCGGCGTAGATATTAGAGAAGAACTTGCGAAGGAAAGCCGGATACCGGTCTTCCATAATAGCTTGGCGTATAGATCCCATCAATTTCAACATGTAATGGACATTGTGTTGAGTGAGCCTAGATTTCAGGATCAGCATCGAAAGGTTCAAATGCTTAATCGATCATAAACTTACAGATGAGCACCGACGGTCTCCTTTGCGGTAATATGGTGGATATATGCCTTGGTGACACCGAGACCACCTTGATTCGTGGGGCGACAGCAAACACAGTCACAATTTTCGTCGATAGGCGAAAAGTCAGTTGCATATTTTTGATGGCGAAGATTCAGGGTGCCTGCATCCACGATGGCATTGCCAAAACGCTGATCTGATATCAGTGGGGGATCTCGAACATAGATTATAATGGAAACTTACCGCTGTGCGTGTGGGCCACACGCAATCGAACATGTCTGCACCAAGAGCGACTGCAACGACGATGTCTTCGGGGTATCCCTGCGCCAAGTTAGCATGGGCGAGTTGAACAGACAGGATAACAGGTACTTACCACGCCCATCACATATCGGGGTTTATTCTCAGGCAGCAGGCCTGTGCATGTGTCGACCCTTATAGGAATTAGTATGTGTAACGATGGTAGCAGAGGTGACACTTACACCTTGCAAAATTCCTCCTTGGCTTCACCTCCAGACAAACCTCCAATCGCAATTCCTGGGGTATCTCGAGCCACCATTTCCTCGCAGCATTGCTTTCGAAGTTCCAAGTCTAAGCCACCCTGAATAATGCAGAACAAGTTCTGCCTCTCAGGGTATTTATGCGCATCAATGCACCGATCTAACCAACGAACCGAGCGGTCCATAGCTTCCTTGATTCGCGCATGATCTGGCGATGTGGTTGCGATGACATCGTCTAGCTGCATGATGATATCCGAGCCGATAGAATTTTGGAGGGAGATAGAATGTTCAGGAGTGAGGAGCCTAAGAGTTGTCAGCCATTGGCTCAAATTTCCAACATGCAGGACGGAAGCACTGGTTGGCAGGGAGTCATACATAGGCGATCCATCATGAGGACTAAGGAAGCGCACGCCTTCCTCGGTAACAGTAGCAAGCTTAAGCAGCGAAACCATTTGGAAACTGGACTCGAAATATTCTATCAGCGCTGCCAATTGCTCCATGAAAATGTGCCACTTCTTACCCGCCACTATCGGTCAAAAGATTACGATCCCATCCTTGGAATTTATGCGCACCACCCACAGCATCCAGAACCTCCTGCCCAGGTTTCAAGCCCAGATGATATGTATTGTTCAAGCAGAGCATACACCCTGTTTCGCGCAGCTGGTCATATGTCAAGCCTTTGAGGGACCCTTGCGTTGCAACAGGCATGAAGATCGGCAGTGGGACGGAGCCGTGGGGGAGGTGGAGGGTACTCGCGCGAGCTTTCGTAGTCTAAGCACAAGAAAGGCGTAATTTGAGTCAATCGTAGCTCTTTTGCGACCAACAAAGTTTTGGCGAAGACATACCGAACATTTCGCATGATGGTCAAAAGTCAATGCGGAGGGCATAGCTTTTCGGACGGGCTCGGCGGCGGTAGACATAGCTGCGGTAGGCACAAGTAATGCCTTGGGTATCAATTTAGGACGAAGTCGGGCCAGTGCAGCGGAGCATTGCATGGAGAGCGAGCGTGGGGTTGAGGTGTGGGACAGCGTTTTGCGATGCGCTCAGGCACAATCGAACTGATAAGCTGTTTGTCTGGTTTGCACCCGCTACCATTGTGGGTGAGAGCCCACGAAGGCAATCTCTTTGCCACATATTTTGTTCTAGATCGAAAATGACGAATAATCAATTTTGGCCGAACAATTGAAGCCATTTTAAGATACATGTCTGGAAATCTTGGAGTTGGAGGTTGTGTGTAGAGAATGGAAAGCTTGATGAAGGGTCTCTCTACATACGCTCCCAAGGCCGACACTCTCTCTGCCTACACTTGTGCTAGTCGCCATAGCTTTTTAAATATTCATCTCTTTCAATTGTTCTCATTGATACATATCTGGGCAACAGAGAGTTCCAGTGTGGAAGGATTACAGTAGTACACGTGAAAAGCTAATTAAAGCCACTTCCGCTGACCTCATTCCAAATTCTGAGGTAGATTCCACCTGTACATATCAATCTCCATATCTATGTTAGGCCTGGGAACTCTCTTTCTGTAGAAGAGCGTTAATATTTTAGCAATGGTCAAACTTATTTGAAAAGGTTGCCAGCACGATTCCTTCTCGTGGGAGATTCTCCCTCGCCTCATAAATATAGTTCTGCGGTGGAAACCTACAAGATCGCGAAATCTCCATTAGCATCTCGTCGAGCATTCAGGGTAATATATTACACCCAAGTCACCTTTCCCTCGCTCGACTGAGGTCAAACATGACTCATGCTTTGTATTAAACAGGCAATCCCAGCCCCTCACCGAAGAACTCGCCAGTGGAGATTCGGCCCTCGGAGGATGACCGACCTGGTCAGTGCGGAAGGGTCAAAATGCGGGGGCCCATTCCCTATCGCCGACTCCCCGGGCAAGGTGCAGCTAGTTCAATGCCGAGAGAGAAAAAAAAATGAAAAAACAAACAAAAAGGGGGGCATTAGTGCCTTCTACGGCGCCCGGGTCCTTTTTCTCTTAACATCCGAGTCAGACTTTGCACCTTCCTGGGCGCTTTTGGATCTATAGATCTCCAGCATCATGGCGGAAAAGGTGGCTACTCGAGATGTTGAGAATGCTGTAGACGTGAGTATTCCCCGCGATCGGATTTGTCATTTACTGGGTGGATGTATGCTGATTTTGAAGGGGTAACAGTACTCTGGGTCTAACACTGTCGACCCGGAGCGCGAGGCGGCCGAGAAGGCTTTGGTTTGGAAGCAGGATCGTAGGATCGTGCCTCTATGTGCGGCAATTTATCTCTTGTGTTATTTGGATCGGTCTAATATTGGTGAGTATTAACAAGATCAGGAGGCTGGGCGGGGGCATTTGAGCTGAGATCGTGCAGGCAATGCCAAGATCCTCAATCAAAATACACACAATGATCTCCTATCCGAGACGAATATGACTTCTTTTCAGTATACGTGAGTCTTACGCCTACATCCGTGGATGAGCTTGTCGATGTGTCAAGCAATGGGCTAACATCTTCTCAGGATTGCACTGATGGTATTTTTGATCGCGTACGCATTGTTCGAAGTCCCATCAAACTACTTCCTGAAGAAGCTCCGGCCAAGTGCAAGTTCTTTCAAAATTAACAATCGATCGGCATAACCAAGGCTAACCATACCATAGCGATGGATTTCCTTCCTCATGCTCTCCTGGGGCGCAACGACAATGGGTCTCGGTGGCGTGCACAACTACGCCCAGGTCACAGGGCTCCGCTTCTTGCTCGGCGTCATGGAGGCAGGGCTCTTCCCCGGCTTCGTCTACTATCTGACATTCTGGTACCGGAACTCGGAGAGATCTATGCGGGTAGCCTTGATTCTGGCTTCAGCAACTCTGGCCGGTGCTTTCGGCGGCGCGATTGCATATGGAGTAGGCCACATGAATGGTGCACACGGGCTTTCTGCTTGGCGATGGCTCTTCATCATCGAGGGTGCGCCATCCTGTGCCTCGGCAGTTCTGGTCTGGTTCTTCTTGCCAGACTATCCGGAGACGGCGAACTGGTTGTCCGCTGAAGAGAAGGAATTAGCGGCAGATCGGCTGAGATTGGAAGGTTCAAAGGGCTCCGCGAGTGCTATGACTTGGGCGGATGCGAAAGCAGTGCTGGTGGACTGGAGGTTGTATGCTCACTATGCTGTATGTTGCCTCAGTCTGGTATGTTGAAATACACCTGTCTAATGTGTCTGGCAGGTATACTTTGGAATCTCGACGCCATTCTCGAGCCTTTCCCTCTTCACACCAGCTATCACAGCTGGCCTTGGATATTCGAACTTGCGTGCTCAGCTCATGACCGTCCCGCCTTATGCCGTTGCATATGTCGTGACAGTTACGGTAGCCTGGTCAGCAGACCATTTCAACAGGTCAGTTCAAGCTCAACCAGACGATTTCTGAAACAATTTACTAATTCCTCATATTATAGTCGTGGTCTTCACTCAGCCATCTTCTCATTCATTGGAGCAATGGGTTTCTTAGCCTCTGCTGTTCTTCCCCCCGATGCATATCTAGTAAGTAGTCCCAACCGATCATCAAAACCCCAAGACACAACTCTAACCATTGCAATTTTAGCACCGCTACGGCTGTCTGATCGTTGCAGCCAGCGGTGCCTTCGCCTGTATCCCACCCCTTCTGGGCTGGCTCTCATCGAACCTCCGCTCCACAGCCGGCGCAGGTCTCGCCATCGCGCTTAACGTTTCTTTCGGTGCACCTGGCCAGATTGTCGGCGTTTGGATCTACAAGAGTAATGAGGCCAAGAAGGGATATCCGACTGGCCACTGGACAAATGCAGCACTATTGCTGTTCGTTGCGGCTGGCTGTGTACTGCTGAGGTTGTATTATGGGTGGAGAAACAGTCGGGGTTTTGGTGATGGAACAGGAAAGAAGTTTGCATATTAGATACCTCAAGTAGATAGGTTGGATGCTTGTTCGCGGCGGGTTTTATATACCGGATATCATGTATACGGCGCTCTGTGCCGCAGGAGACACGTCGCTGCGTGGAACAACCGATAGCGCATGTTCTCGCTATCGACAAATAGTCAAATGATAATGACAAATAAGATGAATGAATGATATGCCACCAGAAACCTTCTGAAGAGCGCACTGCAAAAAAAGGTGCGGAGCTCAACCAGTAAAAACCGCCCTACTGAGAGTAGGTGATCCGTCTCCCCCTCAGACCAAAAAGGGCGTACACCCAGTCAATCCATCTCGAATACAATCGCGAAATCCAGCCCAAAATTGCTTCTCGATAGCAAGCTTCATCCATATACCAAGATACACGCAGACTATCCATATATCCCATAACCTTTGCATTCCTCTAACATCCACCTCCACCCCCTCCACCAGCCCCAGCAGCCGCCGCCGTCACAGCCACAAGTCCATTGCGAGACCTCCGCGCCCTTTTCTTATCATGCTCGATGCTCTTAGCGTAGGATTTTTGGTACTTATCATAATCTCGAATGTACCGATCGTAGTCACTGCCGTATGCGACACGGCGCGGTGGTGGGTATTTCTCTTTTGAGTTGGAGGATGAGCCGAAGCACATTATGAGAGTATGTGGGATTGACACGATTATGTAGCTGATGTTTTTGATGTTTTGATGCCAGATATCTTGGATATAGATGAAAGTGCAAGGAGATAGGAGACTGTATAAGATTGAAGATCTTTAATATAATATCCCAGTTTATTCATGAGGCAACAAGATTCTCTTTATTTCTGTTGTGGCTGATATTGGGCGTTCCAAGATTCGAATGGCATAGCCACCGCCCGATATATTCGTGTTTCGTCATTAAGTTCGATTGGAACCCGGGCGGCCATCTGAAGTTGGGGGCGGCTCGTTACCATATAAGGTAATGGGAAGGGCGATCGGTTATATCCATGGATGGATGGATCTAAATTTGGAGTCAGGGTTTAAGGCAGTTGAGTTTAATTTGATGACTGAGTGTGATGGTCATACAATCTTGCAATGAGGGCAAGGAGGGATGATTAGAAGCTTTAGCATTGTTCATGCTGAATGGGGTTGATTCTTCTATGGCTTTTCACCGGCAGACAATGGCCACAAGTAGTCTCCACGTATCTCAGAATCTGGCATACTTTGATGACAGGAAGCTTCGAGTAGGTAATCTTCGTATGCAGTAGGCATAATTCCATTTATAAAAGGAGGTACAGCATGTTGAAGAGTGATAGTTTGTAGCGGGCAGTACCAAGACAATGTTCTAGCTATGCTTTTTGAACCCGCAGAAAATTTCAATCGAATTCGAGCATTACAGACATTATACGAACCAAGGTTTCAAATGATAGGAGGTACAAGTTTCTGAGTAGTCATGCTGTCGATAATTTTGTAGTCCAATACAAGGAAACTTCCAACCATTCTGATAAACTCAGCCATCACAAGCCCAGTTGCCCATGGAAGAATATGAAAAACAAAAGAAATACACAAGGCTGATAAACCCAATTCAATACAGTCCAGTCCAATCCCAGTTCCAGTTCCAGCGGCTAGCACATAGCAAAGAGCTTAAGCTAAAGGAAAAACTCCCGTATCGAAACTGAACCCAAGAAAACGATCGTCCATGAAGATCCAAAGAACCTAAGCTGATTAATCCAAACAAAGAAGCTGGAGCGAGGGGAAACAATCCACCTTTCCCACTCGTCCAGTCAGTTCCTATAACTCCTTGCGCGGACTCGGATTCATCGCTCCTCATGTTTCATTAGTACCCTCACCATTCCTCTTTCCCTTCTAGCCTTATCTCAAAAGTACCTGGTCACTTGAAATGAAGCCGAGTGGCTTCCCGTCCCATAGGTAACACAGGGATCCGAGACCAAGAGTCTTTAGAGCAAGACAATCACAATGTACGATCCCGCGGCAAGCTAGACTGGCTCTTTCGGATGCAGATGTATAGAGGCGCACTGCAAAAAACCACCCAAGGCATAACCACCGCAGAAACAGAGCCATTTTGGAGCGCACGACACCGTTGGCCAGGCACCCGCAACAGAGTTTTCCGTAACCGCGGTTCGAGGCGGGTATCTCGACGGCAGAGCCCCACAAACACACTCCACTAATTCATTTTGACAGCCATGGGGGAGTTCCAGAGACAAGGATTATAGCAAGTCCAACGTGGTCATTTTGAACGGGTACGTTCCACGTCGGAGGTTGTGGCCATCGAAAGAAAAAAAACGAGAAAAGGTCGGTATAGGGCGTTGATGCATATAGATGTCTCCCGACCACATGGATTGTGCCCAATCTGCGAAATTCGCCGGTATCGCAAGTCCGGGCCGGAGAATTAGGACAACGCTGTCCCTGGCCTTTAGGACTGAGTGGGTAACACAGTTCCGCTGGCAAGTCGTACAAGCACCAGGCTAGGAGCAAGGTAGTCGCCCTGGTCTAGTCTCGACGCAAACCAGGACCGCTGCAGATGACCCATAGCAGTTGGGAAGACCACAGGCAATCTCAATCACCAGCCTAACGCAGTCCCGCCCATTCAGTCAAACTCTTATCCTCGGCCCCAGATGATCACCCTCCCCCACCCAACCTGTCGGATCATAAATCGGTGAGCGGTTCTCGCTGCATTGGTATTGCAGGTCGCCAACTGTCTCGGTTTCCACCGGCGGGGGAAATCCATCGCGCATCCGGGATTCGAGGAACAGGGCGATTCTGTTGGGGATGAAGTGGATGAAGTGGATGGAGTGGTATGCATGGAACTGCCTTGGGTCTTTTCTCCCCTTCGTTTTCTGCACGCGTATTAGGAGAACAAACGAGAGCAGCAACAATTCGCAATTGTTGCTGTGGGCCAGCGCAGCAAGCAGAAAAAAAAATTCAAACCCACACAAAGTGCGGCATAGCAGGGAACCCGCGGTAATCCCGAATAGAGTAAAAACACATGAATGAAGAAGAGATAGCCACCCAACAAAAGAAAAATAAGCCGAACCGTATAAGAAAGGATAAAAGGAAAGATAAAAGATTCTCAGAATCCGCCAGCACCGCGGCCGTAGCCGGCGGATTGCTAAGGGAAGAGTTGGCCGGCATAGACGGTGGAGCCGCCGGGCTGCTGGTTGAGGGTCTTCAGGGCGACTTCGGCGGCGTCTTCTTTGGCATTGTTGATGTACTGGCCATCATACCAGTAGCGAGCGGCGATAGTATTATGGCCCTGAACGGTCACGGTACTGGACCAGGCGGTTCGACCTCCTGCATTCCCGACGCCAGGATAATCAGCATCCGCTGTCAAGCTCAGAAGTAAAAGTCGGTGTACAGTGGTTGGTTTTCTGCTGCTCCACTCTGGTCTTCCTTCAATGCTGAGACACCTCGAGAGGAAGCGAGAGAGGATGAACTCGCAGAGAGACGCATCGAATGGAGAGCAGGAAACGACAAGGGAGGAGAGTAGATATGCAGGAAAGGGGCATAGATGGAAAGAATCTAACGGCTTCTGTCCTTCTTGTAGGAGCAAAAGACGGTGGCAGATGTATGAGAGGGTCAAGGAGGGAAAAATGGAAACGGGAATGTACCTCGCCGATCGGAGACGATGTTGAAGACAGGAGGAGGCAGTTTGGTTCGTCTGCAGTGGTCTTCCAAGACATTAGTCCAAGCCAATGGTTCTTCAGGGTTCTTCGTGGCGTTGTTTAAAGTGGTTCAGAGAGAGGTTCGTCTTCCAATGGCTTACCCTGAAGCTGATCTTGCCAGCTGGGCCGTGCTGCAGTACTGGTTCCTTGCGGGCTATTTAGCTGTGACATTGTGGGCCGTGATCGATTGTTGAGGAATTGCAATAGCGGGGGTGTAATGAGAGAAAGACGAGGTTTCTGATGGAGGCGGTGGTCGATAAGACGGTGGTCGAGGGGGGTTGTTGTGGTGGGGGGGAAGATGAAGAGGGCGAGTTTAAGAAAGCAGGCAGTCCAACACCAAGTCAAGGGCCGAAAGTGTTCAACGTTCAAAGTTTCCTTCTTTGTCGCAGCCCCCCCACAGATATGTATCCAAAGTAGAAAAGTAAATCAGAACCTCAAAAAACGAATGATGACGGGTAACTCCAAACTCAATGGATCCGGAACTCTCGCACGACCTTTTTAACTCTCGATAATCAAGATGGGAAGCGGGGAGGTCATATAAACGGTGGGCCTATCTTGAATGCTGCAAAAATAGAAATAGGAATTAAATAGAGAAATCAAAAAAATGAATTAAATCAAATGATGAAAAAGCGCCTCAAGAAAATTACCCGTTCTCGGAAGGAAGGGGGGAAGCCTAGTGCAAATCTTTTTCTTCGTTGTTTTTTTGCCTTTCGGGATTTCTCTATTGCAGATTTTTTTTCATATTCTTCCTGTGTCTAATTTGGAGCCTAAACCGTCCAACATAGCGGAACGGACTTATGCAGGATGACTGGGGACATGGTACAGCGTCAGCCAGATACCAATTTCCTCCCCTCCAAGGGTGATCCACCAGTCAAGGAGCGAGGCGGGATGGGACATGCGGATCATTAGTTATGAGGCTGCACACTGGAACGGCCCGGCGCACGGCGACCAGGCCAGTCCTTGAAGAAACATTAGATGGGGAAAGGGGGCGAGAAGCCAACGGCCAAGCAGGGAGATGGATCTACTTGATCAATAGGCAGGGAAAGAGGGGCAGTTAGTCTTGCGCTTCATGCTTTTTCTGACAGAGATATGCTATCCACTCTATCCACAGCATCGCATTCAATTCATGACTATCTATGTCCTATAATTATCGGCAAGGAGACTGCAAATTCAGACCCGTTTTGAAGAGGAACTTGTTATTCTACAGCCAACAGTCCGTCTTGCTCTAAACAATCCCAAAAATTACACTGATATACATATATTTAGTCATAAAATAGAACCCTAAATCCCATCTCTACTCCATGCAATTCGTCCGGGGAGAAGGGAAGACAACCATTGGACAGAACAGAAAATTGAACAACTCAGAGCATCCACCCCACATCAATATTTACCAAATCGAGTCCAACGAACGGAACATACCAATAACAAACCCACAAAAGGAAAAGAAAAGAAAAGAAAACAGTCCCTTGAGTGGTACACATTTAGAGCCCCGTTTATGCCTCATCGACGAATGGATAATCAAATCGGCGGAAACGCCTTCTGGAAGAAACCCTGCGGAAATGCGAGTGCATGGATTGCAGGTGTGGCGGGCATGTGTATGTATGTGTGTCGTTGTCTTATCCGCCTAAACTCTTTTTAGCTAAGTGGATGGCTGATCAGTGCCCAAGGCCATAGTATCTTGTGGGAGCTTTTCTGGTCCTTGTCATAGTTTGCTTGCTACTGAGGACGATTAGAGTATGTCTTTGGAATGGGATTTTGGGAATTGTGAGGTCAATCTTTCTGTTTATTGTGTAGAATGGTCATTTCCTCTGTAATTAGGTCTATATTATCTACTTCAGCAAGTCGATTCCACAAAAGAAAAGAGTAACAAGACTACAAGCACAAGAGAAATTGACCCATTGGGCTGCCGCTTTTCTCTCATTCACGGCTTCCCTTAATCTCCGTCTCTTCCCTAATTCTAGTCCTAGCCCCTAGTCCAGGTAGTAGTTGTTGGGTCGCAGTGCATGAATCAGAATCCCTAGGAGCATGAACAGCTGTTGAGGAAGCTGGAAGAATAAAAAAAAATCAACAATCAATCAGAACTAGTCAACATCAACACCCGATCAATGAATGGGATTCATTCCGAGTATGCTGGTTCAAAAGAACCCCGGTTCGCAGCTCCAGCTCCAGCTCCAGCTCTAGCCTCTCCCCTCCTCATCCGCACCTTCACCTCACGAATGCCAGCCACTCTGGGGGAGACGGGGTGGGGGTGGGGGTGGCTAACCGCCCTGGTCGCGCTCTGTCCAACGACCACCAACCACCCCCCTCCTCCCGGGGACACCTACCTCTGGGACGGATACCGCTAGTGGCCGTGGCCTGCCCCAGGGCCCCCTCCGGGGCAGAGTGAAGCAACAGTGCATAGTGACCATTACCATCGCTAATGGCTCCAGTGTTGGGCCTCTGGGTAGATATTCGCCTCCATCTGGCCTCGATGGGTTGGGCGTTGGGCACTGCGGCATTAGTATCTGCACAGTGTAAGGCCGACACGCTGCCACGTAGAGGTGCATGCTCTCTGGAGGGGCATTGTGGTGGTAAAAGAAAGATAGAAGGGTTGAGGACTCTAACGGCGGACGTTGATGGTTCCATGGTTCACGAGTATGCGGCTAAGAAGGATGGAACTCGTGGCGAGGTGACAAAGGGGGAGGCACTTGGGCACTTGGGACAGGGAACGACTAACGAAAGAGCCGAGCCGACTCGGGGGAGGGCTGGGCCGCTTTAGCAAGGGCAAGCGCCCCCGCATCAAGCTTAACCAGGCTTAACTAGGTACGGCCGTAGCTAGACTTGGCCCGAACAGCCTACATCCAGGGTAAATCGCCAAGGGTCTCTCAGGTATCGAAGCCAAGCCTGACGCGGGTTGACATGCAGATATGCATCTACACACACATATGTCTTGGAACGGGTATAGGGCAAAGCCAGAGATATGCCCTGGGTCTGTATCTTGTGGATTGATGGACGTACAGCACACTACTGTACATAAGTTCGGTATCACATACTTTAGTGCCAACCTCGAACCATGGTTCCGAACTATACCCTAAACCCAACTAACGTCCCCCCCACGGTACGTCCACAAATAAATGGATCTATTGACTCCGAACAGCAGTTCCTAATAGCCTACCCGCCACGATAAAATTATGTCAAAATAAAAGGTTTATCCATAGCCAATCGATTTCCCCGCACCGACATTGACAGGTGAGCCCGAACCGCGGGAACATACTACTGTAGATCCCACCACCGCAATCACCACGTACAGCACACCCATATCACCGACATGTGCTTCTTCACTACCTGCGCTAGCGTGGCCTGTGCGCCTCATCTGATCTCTAATCTAGCTAGACAACCTACATACAAACCCAAGTATCTACCGACCGACCGACCCTAGCTCCTGTTTGCGCCTCATCACGAACCATTACCCCCATCCCCCATCCCCTCCACAAATGCTGTCGGTGTAGACAAGGTCACACAGAGACAGAAGTAAACCCCCTTCATGTTTCCTTCAAGCAAGCAGCGGTCAACCAGTCGAGTCAAGTACGTTCTATGCATCGCCAGCAGAGCAGCGCATCTATAGTACATAGCAGGACGATAGACCCAGACCTCCATAGAGAGACATACATACTAGATGATGTGAACGATGGGTTCGATAGACAATACCGCCCAGTCAAGAACATACAGGTTGCACGCATCATGCTGATTCAATCAATTCCAACCTAACCTAACACCGTAGAAGAGAAACCCAACCATCTCTTTGAAGTCAGAGCCTAAACAGAAACTGTATCAGGAGACAACCTGCGCCGTAGTTCGCTAGGTACCTAACGAACATGTGGAGAATATCCACAACCACAACCACCCAGTCCAGTCCATTTCTAAATTACAACCTAAAATACAGCAAAGGAAATCACCCTCGCCCTCGCCATCGTCCTCGCCAACTCAGAACCTCGTTCGCATCTTCGCCACAAACAAAAACAAAAACAAAAATAAAAATAAAAATAAGTCCCAAGAAACGAAAAGTCCCGTCCCCGGAAGCCTAGATGGCAGTCCCTGATCCAATCATTTACGCCAGAGCAGGGGGTTGTCAGGGGATCGACCGCTACAAAAGCCGAGCTCCGAGCTTGGAGCTTGGAGCTGGGACGTGAACGTGAACACGAACCCGGACCTGCCTGACTCCTGACTCCTGAACCCAATTCAATTCAATTTCAAGCCTGAGTCTAAGCCTAATTTCGGGACAGGGTCTGAAGTTGCATGCAACGTGGACTTGACCTCATACCTGCAATGGGGTTGACTTGTCAGTAGACGCGAACGTGGACGGGGACGGGGAGGCGGGCGTGAACATGACTCGCATCTGCATCAAGCCGCAAAGTTAAAAACTTAAGGGACTAAAATCAACTGTGTTTCCGAAAGAGGCATGTCGAGATCGGAAGACCTTAACTAGAAAGCAGAAGAGAGAAAAGGACAAAGTACTGTACACTAAAAGAAGCGATACCCTGAAAGAAAAAAAAAAATAGAAGAAGAATAGCGTCATCATTGCCATGTCATAATATCGTTAAATGTCATGAGATCAGATCAGATCAGATCCCCTGCTATCCATGCACCGCGTTACCAGAATTGAAAAAAGAGACGAAGAATAGGCAATACATACGAAAGAAGTCAAAAGTCCATATCCACCTTCACATTTCAGGGACGGAGAGCAGGAATAGCCCTGGCAGGGCGATGCCAACTCAGCGTTCCCACGAAGATCAGTTGCTCCCTCAGACATCCAGGTCCAGCCCCAACCCTGATGTGATATAATCCCTCCGCATGCATAATCTGTCGTTTATCATAATCATTCATAGCCAAACTCATACTCGACTCATAGCGGCAGTCAGGTCGTTCTCCAACAAAAAGGGAAAAGTAATCAATTACCATCCACGAAACCGAACCCCTACTACTGACGGGGAAAAGCCGTGCCACGTACGGAGCACTACTCACGCAGACCCCCGACGCTGCAGCACCTCACCGAGTAACCGGCGAGGGCCCATGCGTTCCAGGCTCCGTGATAGCGCAGACCCACTGGGTAGCATCCATGACCCGCGGCGCTCGCGATGCCAGCGTCGTCGGATCCAGTCGTCTACTAGTGTGATGAGGCCTGTTGCGACGATAACGCTAGAGAGGAGTGTGAGTGTTGGGAGGAAGAGAGCGGTGGGGGATGGAAGTAATAGGAAGGTGGAGGACGTGTGGGGTGGTGGGGGTGGTGTGTGAGGTAGGGCAGCAAGCACTGAAACCAGCCAAGAAAGAGCAGGCCCGAGTCATGAGCGCCAAAGATCCATCACACGAGCCTTCCTTCCACCATCACAGAAATAGAAACAGAAACAAAAAATGACAGGGGGTAAGAGTGAAGCGCAAAATCAAATCCAAAATCCAAGTACTCCGCACAGGCAGGTAGTAGTCCCACTTACTCGGCAACATCAGGCATCCGCTCATACACAGCGGGGTCACTTATCCACAGACTTGACGGCGGCACCCAACCCCCTTTACTCTCCTCCTCAACAGCCTCCAGCGGCGTCAGCATATCCGGAATCATGTGCGCAATGGTCTTTGACGAGCGCATATCCACCAGATAATACGAGACTTCTCGCAAATCCCCCTCGCGCCGACACTCACAGCGCCACTGGTACCGGGTACTCCAGTACTCGTACTCGTAGCGCTTAGCTCCGGGGCCGCCGCGGCGCTTGAGTTCGACGTGGGCGTAGTTGGAGAATTCGAGGAGGATTGTATCGGCGAGGGTTTTCTCTGAGGTTGTAGATGGGTCAAGGTTGGCGGGGTCATTGGCCATAGCGTGCAGGTCGTGTTTCTTCCCCGGTCCGTAGCCAGAATCTTGACGTTTGAGGTGATCTACCACCGGTGCGTGGCCGGGGTGGCTATTACTGCCGCTGGAACTAGGTCGGAAACTGGCTAGCATGCTGCTCCAGGAGCGGCGGAAGACGGGGCGGCGGTCATTTGGCGGGTTCACCTCTTTCCGGATTGAGTGGCAGACTTCGCGGCCAGAGTCGCGGCAGTATCGGCGGAAGGAGCACTTTCGTGAGAAGAGATCGTACATGCGGAGGTGGAAGAGGATGACGTCTTGTTGGTAGCCGTCGCGGCAGGGGACGACGGTGTCGACGCGTAGATTCATGTTGCCGTCGATGGTGGCGTCGTCGTGGCGGATGAGGAGGCGGCGAGTTGAAGGGAAGAGATCTGCAAAGGAGGAGGGTGTTGAGGCGAGGGCGTCTGATGGGAAGGATTCTTCTCTGTCGTCGACTTCGAAGACGGGTTCTTCGGGGGCGATGTCGGCTTTGGAACGGGTTGTGGAGGCGTAGGTTGAGACGGAGTGGTGAGGGTCATGTTCATCGTCGTAATCTTCGAACTCTTCGTCTTCTTCTTCGACGGATACGGAGATTGGGATCTCGTCGAGGTACTCAAATTCCGGCCACTTTTGATATTTAGGACCGGACATGGCGCGCTCACTCATGAGAGTTGGTGCGGTACTTTTTGATCGATCCGAGGCTGCTGTGTCTGTCGAGCTGCAACTGCCACCGCTGGCGGCGCGATCTTGACAGGATTTGTAGCAGCCCATGTTGTTAGATGGGAAGGGGTATAGTGGTGTGATTAAAAAGAATTATTCCACTTGAAGAGAAGATGTCCGAGTGGTTGTGAGAATAGGGATAAAGGAAAGTAGTCCAGCTATGCAAGTGGCTGTCGGAAAGATACCCAGGTCCAGGTAAAATGAAGGACCATTCAAGTCTTGACGACAAAGCAAGGGGAAGGGTGATTCCCACAGTATCAAATCTCAATCTTCCCACAATAAGAATGGGAAATAATGGAATCGTGTTTCGGACGATCGGGTTCGCAGGGTTTGTTTATCTGGAGATCGAAACAAAGAGACCAGGTCGGGTCTTACGGTTAAGTACAGGGCCGTCCACCCAGCGAAGAATGGCGAGGCGAGACAGTAGGATTGAAAGAAAAAGGAGTTCGATGGTCAAATTCCCATGACGCAGTTGGTGGCATCGAACGAAGTGACTGGCATGGAGCGGGTGCCAGAAGGGGGTGGCCGACAGGGCGACGGAGGTGATGCGTGCCGGATGAACGCCTCTTCTCAGGTCTTATTAGTGCGTAGATATCTCACCACGCGAGCCAAGATCGGGGAGAATAGGCAGGGGATAAATGCGGTAAAAAAGCGCAAGTCAGGGCCCTCGGTTGGTCTCCAAAATCATATGATGGTTGCTTTGTCGCGTGTGTCAAATAGTGCGTTCTCGGGAACCCGAGGAGAAGGATCGCAAAGCCTGCGGGATTTAGGAAGAAAAGTGCCAGCACTAGCAGGGATTTGCGGTAAGCGAAAGGATGCGGAAAGTGGTGAGATTGAGAGAGTGCGATGGAAAGAATCGGGAATGGATGCCTTGTTTTATTTTGGGGGGGCTGTGAGGATTGAAGGATTGCGTGGAGTGGAGGGGAGAGCTTGTGGATAGCAGATGAAGGTGGAAGGAGGGGGGGGGGGGGGGGGTCGCGGAGGGCAGGCAGACGGTGATTAAACCAATGGTCTCTGAGTGAGGGAGGAAAGGCCGATGGGCATCACAGCCTTGAGACTGGAGTAGAGCCAGTGAGTGCCGGAGAACTGGAAGAAGAAGAATGCGGTGGTCCTGTCCGCCGTCTCGAGTTGACCAGTCCAGCCGGGTTCTGTGGTTTTGCTTTTGGGTTGGCCAGCGAACAATAAACAATCACCTCGGGGCCTAACTTTAGCTACGAAGAATCCAGTCGTCCAACAGTGGACCAGTCTAGACGATGATTGCATGCCATTCCGTATGACACCTGCTTCCTGGGACATCTGACGATCGCATAGTTCCTATGGTAACTCAAAGTGTACAAACTACAAACCTCGAAGTATACGAGGGACTAAATCAAAAAGTACAAAGTATAATCCTCCCTAACCTCCTCTACTTGAACCAAAAACTAAAGCAAGACCCTGAAATTACCACTGGACAATTATAACACTCCATACCCTCTCCTATCCACTACATTCTCCCCTTAACAGCCTGCGTCACACAAACCACCCCCCCAAAGTCAGGCTGCGACACACCTAAATCCCTACACCCAACCCAAGCCCAACCTAAGCCAACCCAACCCAACCCAATCCAATCCAATCCGAGCACATCACATCACACCCGTTCAATCGCGCAACACGAACCAGCAAAAAAGAGGACCCACGATCTAATGGGACCCCCCTCCCCCCCACTCTTTCCTGCTTGCCTCACCTCGGTAGAACCAAAGGAAAGCCAGCGTTCTCAGCGGAGTGCTGTCCCTGTACTGTTATCCATCATGGCCCACCTATAGGATAAACGACCCCGAATCCCGCGGCGCGCGCGGTATGTCTATGCACCCGTGATGAAAATCAAAGCGAGGCGCACAGGACAGGACAGGACAGTGTCACAATACTTGCACTATACTATCGAACTCTCTACCCACACTAGATATACTGTCCAATGTACAGTGGAGGTACGTACTCCGTATACAAAAATCCCAAAGAACAAATGCCAGCTCCTACTACGCCTTGTTTCGAGGTTCTACTTGGTTGGCTCCTCGCTAAGCGCAGCGCTGCCGGTGTGAGTGTGAGTGTGAGTGCGTTGGCCCGTCATTCGTCGCACATACCCCAAGATACACCATCCCCAAGCACCAAGGAACGAAAGAACGGAAAAGGGTGGCCAGGTATTGGCACCACGCTTTCCCGTCCACACCGGGGGCTGGACACCCCTCCACGACAGCCAGTGACGAGGGGATCGGGCGGGTGATAGGGGGGGGGGGGAGGGGCGGCCAGTTAGCGGGAGGGGTGTGTGCGTGGAACGGGGTCTGGACGCTGAACGTGGATATGGACACGAGGTGTGTAGCAGGGAGCAAGGAGAGTGCAGTACATAATAGGATTACACTGGGGTGGGTAGCATGATTCATATGCTCATATGCTCATATGTCATGAGTTATAACTCGTCTGGATTGGGCTACTACTGTAGACTACAGTAGACTGGGCACGGAGAATTTGAGATAGGGTCTGATCGGCGGGGAGCTGTCTCTGGTCAAGTAGAGGATAGGTTAGAGGTTCACTGATAATGTTTCCTGATGTACGGAGTATAGTGGGAGGAGGTAGGAGGAGGAGGAGGAGGAGGAGGAGGAGGAGGAGGAGGAGGTTCGTATTGAACACCCTTCGGAGCAGCTTAGCTTCGATGATGTACCAGCTGCATGCCTAGGCTTCTGCAGGTCGAAGAATGAAGCGGTATGTTGTAGGTGAGAATGCGGGACGTCATACATGGATACTCTGCAGAATAGTCCTGTAACTATCTGCTCTACAGTAGTTCTGGATAATCGATATTTCTGATCTAATCCGGTGGGGTCGCGGTCCGATCCGGTTCCGATTTGTGGGTGTTGAACTACCGTAGATAGATGAAGACGACGGTGAAAATGAACTTGATGAGTACCTAGGATAGGATATTATAGGAGTCAATTGCTAGTATGAATGACCCATGAACTGGAGCATACAATGTACATTACCCACCCTGCGATGAGTATATAGCACAGTTAGAACCAGGAGGAGTAATCAGTATTAGTATTAGTATCCTACTTGCCCCGATGATTACCGCTTTACGTGGATACCTATACCCTAATACCTCAAGCCATGAACCGAACCATACCAGACCTATACTCCTTTTCTTGCATCATGAACGCTTGAGGTCGCAGTCCCGGTGGACATGAACAGGTCAGCCCCGATGACGGAGTTATCCCTCGCCCTGCAGACACTGGCAGATACTGCAGAACCGCCCGCCCATCTCCAGTACAGCTACAGTAGTATCACCCCCATCGTCATCCGATCAGATAAACTCAAACTCGAACTCGGATTCCGAGAACCAAGCACATACAGTCCCGCTGCGCATGACGACACCGATCGTCCAGTGCACGGACACGAGCCCTGCAGAGAATGAGACTGGAGACACACTCATCAAGGTCTTTTCTCCGATCGAGGTGTTCGTGACGGTATCGGCGATCGTCTACGCTAACGTGAACCTTGGACTCTGCACTCCGCACTCTAGACTTGAGACTCACAGGCACAGTGCGGTGCCAGATACACGCGATCCCAGTTTGTGATTCCCGACCGCTACTCTGCTCTAGATCTTGAGATCTGGGAGATGGGAGATGGGAGTAGGGACTGACTGGCTTGGCAAGAAGCTAGTTATCCCCTTGTATATCGTTAGTCACCGTGGAAAGAGATCTATGATGCATCTTGCGAGGCTGCAAGAAATCATCCAATGAAAATCATATATATGGAAGAAAAAAATAGAACAAGAAACGCAAAGCCCCTAATAAGCCTCCATCCGAAAGTTCAGCCTGCGTCATCATACTAAACCCATAATAATAGAAGTCTACTGGCAAGCAAGAAGTGGGGAATGATCTCAGGTGTTGAAGGACACCGAGAAGAAATCTGCCTTGACAGAGAATACTAGCCCTGCACAGCGTTAGACCTGCGCATACAGGGGCTGTGGAAGCTCCTCGCCAGGCTTGATTAGCTCCTCAGCTCGGCAGGTCGGATGCGTAACGAGTCCAGCTCGACTGCCCGGGGCTGGCGGGCGGAAACCCACGTAGGCTTCTCGGCGAGCAGGCTCTCCCACGGTAACGGACCAAGTATGCAGCCCGTAGTAGGAGGCAATAGAGTGCACGAGCCAGCGACTGGTAGTACGAAGAAAGACCTGGTTAGTACTGGGAATCTACGAAACGCGTAGAAGCTCTGCCCACGAAAGATAAACTCACCCAAAGCCAGCAGCCCGGTCATCGATCAAACTCTCAAACACCATCTTCTCACCATCCCGTTCATGATGCAGGTTCATCTCCGCCCGCATCTGCTGCAACTTCTGCTGCCGCTCCGGCGCATCATGCATCTGGCCGTTCCGTCCCACGAACACAATCTCATCCTCCGAGTCCTCAGCCTCCGTCTCCGGCGCATCAGCCAAACCCTCGCTAGCTAGGAAGACCTGCTTCTCGTTCCACTGGCGGATGAACAGACGGATATCATCTTCCAGGTCCTGGAGCATACCGCGCGCGGCGCGGGTATGCTTGAGCTTCAGCCGCAGGTCCTTGGGGACGCGGTGCTTTGCGGGGGTCTGCGCGTTCTTGCGGGCGGAGTGGTGATCGGCCATCTTTGCGTAGTGGACGTCCCAGAGCGGTGCGAGATAGTAGGGCATCGGGTTGTGGCGGGGATATGTAGGTTGAATGGTCCAGTCATGTGGGGATGGGGGCTCGGCCCACGGGTTGTGTAGCAGACGGTCTTTAGGGGAGGAGTCAGCTTTCTCATTTTGCTTTTCACTCTGTGTAGTAATCCTCGTGCCCGTGTTCACGGCCGTTGTAGGGCGGTCGGTGATGATGGCACAGGTCATGGGTCTCAGGTCATGGGATCGAGGGCAGAATCAACTCGTGGCCCCCGGGATATAGGCGTGCATACCGTTTTCCCAGCGCTGCCGCCGCCGACTTCCATCCTTGCCCTTGAGTAGGGCCTCGCGCCGCTTCAAGCTGTCCCGACGCAGGGGTTCGCGTCGGCGGAAGCTGACCGTTGGAGGCCGAGACTCGCCCGATGTGACGACTTTGACTTGAGACGATGCGGTCAGCGTCTGGTCGTCGATCGGAATGGTCAGTGACACAGTGGTGCCGCGCAGGGTGGAACGGGAGGGTGTGGAGGTCGGGTCGGGTCCGTTCGTGGTGGTGGACTCGAAGAGGGTCAGATCCTGTAATGAGGCCGTGGCCTGCTCGGTCCACGCGGAGATGGCCAGGGTCTGCTGTGGCGACAGGCTGCCCTGGGAGGCGTCAGGCCGAAGTCTGGGATGAATGGCCATATTTGCTAGGCGGGTAGTATAGATAAGTTCGGGTGATCAATGCAAAAGAGGGATGGGGATAAGGATAGAGGGGGGGGATAAGAGGGAATCAAAGGAGCGCAGGTCCTCAAAGGAGGCCGAGGGGCTCGGAAGATAACGAGATAAAGGCGCGTCTCCTGCACGGGACAAGGACGGCGCGCTGATTCGCGGGAAGTGGGCCTAGGGCCTACTGTCTTGTACGGAGAGGGTGACTCAGTTGGAAGTGGGATGACTCAGCCTGACTGGCCGTGACTCGTGACTCGTGACTGGGACCAAGCCCTTGCCCTAGTTTCCGGATTGGGCGTGGAATTGGACTTGGACTGGGGGTGGCCAGTGAATAATCTTGTCTTTGAGTGGAGGAAATCTAGGGATGGTTCGTGGAGATCCATGGTCCTCATATTTGTTGCGATGGTCCGTAGAAAGCCTCTCAGTCAGGATATCGGCGAACAGGATGATCGGAGGAATGCGAGTTCGTATCTCCGGCCGTGAGTCACGGGCTTGCAACCATTGACCAACTGGCCAGCCAAGTGGAGTATTTCCACTGCTCCACTTCCAATCCCCGCGCGAAGACGATCCGATCCCCCAGTTGCATTCTTGCCCATTGCCGAGGATGAGGGTGGACTGACTAGCTCGTGTTCGGAGGAGGAGACGAGTTCGTGCACCAAGTGACTAAGATCATACATAGTCTTTGCTTTGATTGAGCAGAGATCAAATAATTAGATCACCAAATTGCCCAATTCCTAAACCTTTCCATCAATCGCAAGGCGCAGCTATCACTGTACCTTCCGGACCGAGTTAGTCCCAAAGGGGCTTGGCAGGAATCGATAGTCTCCTGGAAACTGCCCAAGGCGCGTGATCCGTACCACTTCCGACTCTTGCTGCTTACACTCCTCTTCTCCTCTCCTACGTACCTGACGAGGCTGACTCGGACCTACAAAACTTGTTCTGCATCCTGCGTAGACCTTGTTATTCTTTCCTCTACGTATTATTCATATCCTTCACCCTCCATCATTATTCTCTCCCGATGAAGTTCTTAACCCCGTTGGTACTGGGCGCGACCGCCTCAACCGCCCTGGCCGCGGTCATTCCCCAACAGGCACCCCTCGGCCCGTCAATCGTCCGGAACTCCCAGCAGACCAAATGGTTGATTGAATTGGCTCCCTACCAGACACGATGGGTCACCGAAGAGGAAAAGTGGGCGCTGAAATTGGTGAGTGTGTGAGATACTGCGCAGTACTTCGCAGGACTTCGCAGTGCCGTCTGATCAAGGACGACTGCTAGTTTACTGCCCCCGTCAGCGAACGTATCAACTGACCAATGCAATCCTCCAGGACGGCGTCAACTTCATCGATGTCACCGATGAATTCCAATCTGGCTCTTACGGCGCCCTACACACCACCCGCATCGTCCGCTACCCCACTTCAATGTCTCACGAGCAAGAAATCAGCCCGCTGGCTGCCGACTTGTCCAAAGCCAACATGAAGAAGAACCTCGAGCACTTCACATCCTTCCACACCCGGTACTACAAGTCCGAGTACGGCGTCCAATCTGCCGAATGGCTCTACACCCAAGTCAGCGAAGTAGTCCGCGAGTCGGGTGCCACCGAGTACGGCGCCTCCGTCGAGCGCTTCGCTCACCCGTGGGGCCAATTCAGTATTATCGCCCGTATCCCGGGCCAGACGAACAACACGGTCGTTCTGGGCGCACACCAGGATAGCATCAACCTGTTCTTGCCGTCTATTCTGGCGGCACCCGGTGCGGATGACGACGGCAGTGGAACTGTGACTATCCTCGAGACGCTTCGGGCCCTGCTGCGGTCCGAGACGATTGCTACGGGCCAGGCGCAGAATACCATCGAGTTCCACTGGTATTCGGCGGAGGAGGGCGGTCTGCTCGGCTCGCAGGCGGTTTACGCCAAGTATAAGAAGGACCTGCGCGAGGTCAAGGCCATGTTGCAGCAGGATATGACTGGTTACGTGCAGGGTACTCTTGATGCCGGGCAGAAGGAGTCGGTCGGCGTGATTGTCGATTACGTTGACCCGGGTCTTACCGCGTTTATCAAGCAGGTTATCACCACCGTAAGGATCCCCGATTGACCCATCAACTTTCGTCATTTGGCTCGTCACTAACATATTTCTCCAGTACTGCGACGTCCCCTACGTCGAAACCAAGTGCGGCTACGCCTGCTCCGACCACGCCTCCGCCAGCCGCTTCGGCTACCCATCCGCCTTCGTCATCGAGTCCCAGTTCGAGAACTCGGACAAGAAAATCCACAGCACGGACGATCTGATCAAGTACCTCAGCTTCGATCACATGATTCAGCATGCAAAGATGAGCTTGGCTTTTGCTTATGAATTGGCCTTTGCTCCTTTCTAATTTACGGTTTTCATGATGGTTATGTTGCTTGTTGACTTTAGATGATCAACTTTCTTTCGGGTTCGGCGTTGTGCGAGATATACCTTTGGGCATTCACTTTGGCTACGAGCGAGGAATGATCGATGTTTAGTCTGGCTGCACTTGTAATTGCGCCGGTTTGGAACTGGTGGGGTTGTACCCTATTAATAGTTCAATTGACTTCCTCCGCTTGAGTTTCTAGCTCTTCCTCTTGTAATCGTGTAGCATGGCAAAGTAGTTCTATCAATGCCCAGTTTCTCCAACACCCGACCCTATGAGATGGATCATTGAGTCAACATACAAGGCTGATTTATGATTTCAATTTCAATTTCCTGGGCATCGGGAAGGCAGATTCAAAGCGATCTCTAGCAATAACAATGGTAGCGGGTTATCAACAAATACGTTCAACCCCGTTGACAGTGGACACAAAGCTATGGTAACATCCCCAAAGCCCCCACGAGGCCTCGCTGATCAAAATATGGGTCTATATGGAGCCTCCCACTCCCAGCGCGGGGGCGTACCACTTATACCGCGGGAGCTCGCGAATTAGCGATCGGAGGGTGTCCGAGGGGTCAAGGTGGGATTCACTTGTTGAATACAACATAAGATGACTTACTGCCGATCGCTTGAAAGTGCATGCTACGGTGCCCCTTGCATCCACATTATAAAATCGAGCAAGTCCTACATTCCAGCCTACTCAAACACACCCATCTCCCCAATTGACACCCTCTTCTCCAGTCACCCACTCAGCTTTCACAATGGAGCCTCCCAAAGTCGGCGATAAAATCGCAGACATCGACACCCCATCCATGATCGTCGATCTCGACCTGATGGAGGGCAACATCAAAAAACTCATGGACAAGCTGCGTCCAACGGGTCTCGACATCCGTCCGCACTTGAAAACCACCAAGAGCGCTATTCTCGCCCACAAGCTCGCAAAGGCCGGTGCCAGGGGAGGCTGCGTGACCAAAGTCAGCGAGGCGGAAGTCATTGCTGCGGCTGGCTTTGACGATCTACATATCACCTGCCCGATCGTGGGCCCCGCCAAGGTGAAGCGGTTGGTGGAATTGTTCCGGAAGCATCGCGGTGTGCGGATCGTGGTTGATTCTGAAGTCGGGGCGGTGGCTGTGAATGATGCGCTTGCTGGATCGGGCATTGGGGAGCCTATTCTCACGCTGATTGATTTGGATGTTGGACTTCACCGGACGGGTGTGAAGCCTGGACAGCCGGCGATAGATTTGATCAAGTTTGTTGGCGGGTTGAAGTATTTGAAGATTGTCGGTGTGCAGGGGTATGAGGGCCATTTACAGCATTTGCATGACTTTGACGATCGAAGGACGCAGTGTCTAGAGTCGATGCGCATTCTTACTAGTACCGCCGAGGCTTTCCGTCAGGCTGGTTTCACTATGGACGTTGTGACGACGGGAGGAACTGGTACGGCTGAATTCTGCGCTTCTGTTCCTGGCGTGACGGAACTCCAGCCTGGCTCTTTTATCTTCATGGACACCGACTATCGCAATGCCGTGGGGACGTTTTACTCCAACAGTTTGACGATATTGTCCACTGTCGTTAGCAAGCAGGGTCCTCGGGCTGTGACCATCGACGCAGGATTAAAGTCCTTAACTACGGATAGCGGGATGGCAGAGTGCAGTGATCCGCGATACAAGTATAATGAGTTTGGTGATGAGCAGGGCTCGCTTGTGTGGGAGGAGGGGACTCCTGATTTGGCGGTTGGTGATCGGGTCGAGATTATTCCTAGTCATATTGATCCTACGATTAATTTGCATGATGTGTATTATGCGTATCGGGGTGGGGTGATTGAGGAGATTTGGCCTGTTGATTCGAGGGGGAAAGTGCAATAAGATGTGGACAGGGTGTATGGATGTCCCAGGTTATGCGAGCATTTTTGCCCAGGGAGAATGACATTGTGGGATATTCCTGCAAATGAACTGCAAAGTAGACAATGCAAGCTCTTCCGACTTTGTAAATACATGTTACCATCTACCGGGGCATTCCGTCATGAAGATAGATTGCCCTCCTTATGTGAGCTTGACCAGGTTCCTCCATTTCACTATTGTTTTCTCCCCCAGAAGATGCAAACCCATCGCAGTTTTTGAGCTCCATACATATCGGAACTAACCGTGCATACTGAGCAAACGATTAGACTTCCAGTTCACTTATGCCTACTAGAACACCAGCGGCGATGGCAGATCTGACACCTTCATCCCCTGGTGAATGCCCTCCGGCAAAACGAGTCAAACGAGGCCGTGAAACAATAGATCGGATTGTCAAAGAGTTAACGACCCCATAAATTTCCTTTATTCTCACATGAGATTGCTCACATATACCCAGTCTACATCTCAGCTCAGACTACAGCGATATGACCATATGTGGCGACAGGGTTTTCAAAGCACATAAGCTGGTTGTCTGTTCTCAGTCGGAATATTTTCGGAAAGCCTGCGTCCGTAGCTTCAAAACAAGGTCATTTCTAATCTGTCTTATAATGACAACGGAGTTCTGCGGCTTGGAACTGAGCGGTACTTCGTGGTGGCATTAGGAAGCTCACGAGCTGATCAAACTCTTCAACGAAGATCCGGCCAGAATGGGAAAAGTCCTCGAGGACTTTTACACTGGTGACTATACTCTTGAATTTGGGATGTCTAGCAAGAATGACAAAGACTGGACAGCAAGTTTGGATTCTGCAGACTCCGATATTCTCTCGGAGGCAGTCCTATCGAAAGATGTGCGCTGTATACAATCACCTTCTACAACGCTTACGCCTGTTGTTCTGGTTGAAGAATCTCGTTTGATGTCAAATATGGGACCGGCTCGCCGAGACGTGTCTTTTTTGAGCAGCCATGACTCCGTTGAAGACAACAACGATGGAGGTGTTGCCACAAGCTGGGCTCCATTAACCTCTGAAAATCCACCATTCTTCCATGTACTAATGTATGGCGAAGGAGACTACTTCTTAGTCGAAGGTCTTAAAGATAGAGCATTTAGCTACTTCATTTCTAATTATCTCTAATTTCCCATCGAGCCTTCTAAGAAGGAACTTCAAGGAGCCACTCGAGGAAACGCTGACGGAGCTTTATTCAACTCGAGCCAACTATCATCGATTACGAAACATTGCTGTCCTAATCATTCTGAACAATCTGGAAAGTATTTGTACCAAACATGACACACTCTTTCGTGGGGTTATGGAGTCGGCACTTGAGTTCTGACCGGGAGCCAAGGTATGAGGACCTATCCGGCCAAGACTCTAAACGGACGATGCTCAGAACTAGGCACAGGAAGCCAGTGCTCAGAGTGCGCAGGAGACGAGTATTGCACGGCAAGATTATTGCTTCTGGATTAGAGCAGATTCCATAGGTCTCACGAACAAGAACGGATAATGAAGGTCTCTCTAAATACACGTCAATCCCTCAAGCCATTTGTATAAAAGTTTCTCATATGGACTCTGTTAGAGTAACCTGCTAGGTCTCAGATATCTGGCAAGAGGACTGTAATCATCACTCATCACACTTGGTCAATATGAAGACTCATCAGGTTATGGCCAGTTCATCTTTTGAACATTAAGAACGACCAAGGCCTAATTCATGAAGTAAGTAATCATGTGAGAATGATTCTCATCTTTCATATGAGAGATGGACCATCGATCTTCTTTCCTTCATTTCACTTAGTGATACCACACTGAAGACCAAGTCAAACTGATCTCAACATATCACATGAGCACGGTCAAGGCCATCTTCTGAAGAGGCAGACAGATCTCCCATCAGTCACTTTCCCATCTTTCTTCTCCTTCTGTTTACCTCGAGCTCCCTCATATCTTTTGAAATACTTTACTTCTCCCCATCACAAGCTTGAACCTCTTTACACCTCACCCGCACACCTGAGATTCGACTAAACATAACATTCCCATCTCCACCAGCTCTTCAAAAATGTCGAAGAGAAAGCTCGAGGAAGACACGCTTGGATCTGAAGGGATAAATCCAGATTTCAAGCGGAAAAACGACGCCATGGACCGAATCGCAGAACAGTAAGTCTCATCTATCCTTGGATTCAATGCCGTCCAGACTCTCGTTGCTAACTTCATTGCAGAGCGTATACTAGCGCAGAGTACAGCGACATGACGATAATTTGCGGTAACGTGGTGTTCCACGCTCATAAGCTGATTGTCTGTCCCCAATCTGAATACTTCAAAAAGGCCTGTTCCAGTGGTTTCCAGGTACTGTTTCTCATATCATGTTCAAAGCTAAAATCAAGTTTTTGAAGTGTTACTAATCCGTTGGAATTCTATTAGGAAGCTACAGAGCCAATCCGACTCCCCGATACGGAGCCGGAGTTGATGAGAAAGGTCTTGGAGTATCTCTACACTGGCACATATACCCTTGACTTCGAGAAATCAGATGGATGCGACACGTCCCATGCACCCAATAAAGGCAACACGAAAATGGTTCAGTCCGACTCGGTATCGCACTCAGCATCGAGCAGCGGAAGAGGCCAGCTTGGGCCATTCGAAGAATCTTCTACAAAATTTGTTTCTGGACCGGATTCTGAGCCCAATAGGCTTCGGCGTGAGTCTGTTCCGACCCACTCCCAAGCGAATTCCTCCAACCCAGGTGATCAAATCGCGGATACCTGGTCCAGTGCAAGGGACTCTGACGGCAAGTTTGTAGCTTCCTGCATCGCAAACCCAGCATACTTTCATCTTCGCATGTATGCAGCTGCCGATTACTTCATAATCGGTGGTCTCTGCATAATAGCGGAAGCCGAATTCTATGGTGCATTCGCAAAGAATCCCACGCAGGAGACGCAGGAGATGCTTGAACAATCTATCAAAGAGATCTATTCCGATCGAGCTGACTATTGTGGCCTGAGAGATATTGTTCTCCGCAAGCTTATGAAGCTCATTCGAGGCCCCGAGACTGACAATCTCTCGCTTTTGTCCTCTGACTTCCTGCAGTCTGTCCCCAAGTTCACCACCGACCTGTGCCTGGAGCTCCTCACATTGGCTAATCGTCCACTTCTAAATGTTTCCCAGAGAGCTTCAAAGGATAAGCGTACTGGCTCTGTGCGTCGCGCTCCTCGAGTGGCCAATCGCCCACTTCCAGACGTCTCCTAGAGAGCGTCAAAGGCCAGGCATTCTCGGTGGCACGCATGTTCATCCGTCTCTTTGGTGATCTTTTGCCGTTATTTTCATTTGCCGGTTATATTTGGGCGCAAGTGGGACGAGGCAAAGACTTGCTGCCAGAACAGTACGACTCAAAGCAATACTCCTCCAGGTAGGAGATAAGAGGGAAAGGAGGAAGCTCGATAGCTTCGCTTGATAAGTCTATTCAATGAGAAATTTGCATATATTGCTTATACTGCCACTTCTGATCCCTAGTGCGTTCTCTCGTCCATCTCAGCCCAGCAGACATCAGGAAGCGTAGATTCGTAGTCCAACACCGCGGGGTGCTTAACACCTCCAACCACGAGTTTACTCCAATCTTTCTGGACCCCCTCTTCAATATCAGGGAAAGGTCCCATTGGAGTGATTGCCTTGGGATTGATATCGTAATGGCTCTTCGTGTACTGCAAATCATCAGCTTCCACTCTACAAAATTCAATGAAGACGACACGCACATTCTCTTTGATATGTTTGAAATCAGTCGACTTCCGAGCAGCCTCAACATCCCAGTACATCCCCTTCAACCAGTTATTCAGCACAGGGTAATCATGCCGAATAGTCCCCAAATTACACTTAAAGTGCTGCACGTAGACGGTGTCAAAGCGGATCAACGTCGTATACAAGCGAACATCAAGTTCTGTCATCGTCGAACCCAGAACAAAAGGTCCACCATGCTGAGCAATGATGCGCTCAAGTTTGTTCAATGCACCAAAGACAGGGATGACGTTCTTATCGTAGACCTCTTGCGATGGCGCAAAGCCCGCTTTGTAGACTCCGATATTGAGGTCTGATTGCATCCATGGGGCAATGGCGTCGATCTTGGCGCGAAGATCGACAGGGTAGAGATCAATTGCGGCAAGTGGTGGGGGCAATAGTTCATTGAAAGCTGTTGGAAGCCAGCGAAGAAGCTCGGCACTTTCCTATATGGATTATCTTCAATTAGCAAGATAGGTTGTCGCAGTAATGCCAAGAGAAACAATTTACATTGCAAACAGCGGTCGCGTTCTTTTTATCCCATAACAATGGAACAGAGTACCGGCCCTTATACTCCGGATCCGCGCGGAAGTAGATCTTGTGCAGATAATCCTCACCGAAGAGATGATCGACCGTCGCGCCTGGGTACTCATCATCTGATTTGGGGAAACGCCAACCCGGCCAGCCTTTCTCGTCGCCCTTGGGATAGGGTTTGACGACGCTGATATCGATAAACTCGGTGAGGCCTTTGAGGTGGCGGATGAAATTGGCGCGGTGCGCGAAGGGACAGAAGAGTCCTATGTAGAGGTGGTAGCGGCCTCTTTCGGCGGGGAATTGTTCGCTGGGGATGACGCCATGCCAGCCGTCGGTTGTGCCGGGCTTGTGGATTTCGCTGGCGGTAGACATGGAAGGGGAGTAGAGTAGCTTGGGGGTTTGAGTATGAATGAGAAATTTTGGTACGTCTTGATTGGGAGAACCTCCGAAGCTGACTGAGATACATGAATATAAGTGGAAGTGTCGGGAAAGATGATGTGATGATTTGGTCTAGCCCATTGACAAGTGCCGGAAACTTTCCGTTAACCATTTTCTCTCTTCATACTCTTCGACTACGTAAGCGTGGATATTCCAGGAGACAGATCGATAGCAAACGAGAACATCTCAATATTGCGACAAGGTTTATCAATGGAATATCTAATATTATGCGGCTCAACGAAGATCCCCGTCCAAGTGCAAGTCGATCACTGACGGAGCTGTCTTCGACCGTAACTAGCGGAGGGAACCGTTACAATCGCCAACCCAAAATTATCATTCAGGGGTCCAACCCACCAACCCCCACCGGTTGGTTGTTGGTTAATGGCGCAGCAAGCCCAGACAAAAGCCATCAAGATGCTCAGCCACGGTTGCACAAATTGTATCACTATCTGATAACAAAGACACTTTCACCCGAGCAACCAACCCCCAATACAGCCAGCCACACTAAGCCCTCTAGCGCGGTGGTACCAAACCCAATCCAGTACCTGTAGCCCGCTTCTCAGTCGTGCTAACGAGGCTTGATCAGATCATAATAAGCACGATTTCACCACTGCCAGACTAAGCATTACCAATTATAAGGGGCAACCCCGAGTCTCGCGACAATCGCTAAGCTACTAGCTCAGCCATTGGATGAATGCAAAGCGCTGGTCCCAGGCAGCCAAGTTAGCGCAAATCACTCAAAAAAAGCACTGGTCGATCACGCTTGATTTAAGTTGGGCATGGCGGGACTCCGGAGACCCTGAATTTCTTAAGCTGATTGACGACGCCTTGGACTTTCACCCCCCTTACATCGGCGCGTGGGGTCTACTAGGGCTATCGCCATGTGGCCCTCGACGCCCATGCACTGGGTTGTCCAATTTGCCCTCGTATGGCTGGTCTGTTTGTCTACGCTCGCGGTCGCTGAGCCGTTATCCGTTGATACGGTTGTCAAGTCAATAGGGTTAAATGGGAAGATTGATCTTGAGGGGAGCACTTCTACGCTACAGAAACGCGATAATGGGACTTTTCTGTTGCGAGTCATGCCGCTGGGGGCGTCCATTACCATGGGGTATCAGTCGACTGATCACAATGGGTATCGAAAGGCATTGCGGCAGCAGCTTCGGCATGCGGGGTGGCAGGTTGATATGATTGGGAGTTTGAGGAATGGAACTATGCATAATAATGTAAGTGGCATCGACGTAAAGGAGGGGGAGAGGTATCGATGCTAACAATGCTGTATAGCAACATGAAGGCCACTACGGGAACAGAATCGACCAAGTAGAAACCAAGATCCAGGCGACCATCCTCCAAAAACCAAACCTGATATTGATCAAGTATGCCACCCCTATCCCGACCTTCTCAACATGTCCATGGAAATCTACATTCATTTTACCATTTGGCATTTGGCATTAGCCTATAAAATCCCAGTACTAACCTAACCACCCCAAAAGCCTCCGGAACAAACGACGCCGACCAAAACTACCAAATAACCACGGCAGGCCTACGCATGAACACCCTCCTAACAACCCTCTACACCGCCATCCCAACCACAACAATAATCCTCTCAACGCTGCTCCCCAACAAAAAACACCCGGACCAAGTCCACCAAATCAGCTCCCAATACCGGGAACTCGTTGAACTGCGTCGACAACAAGGCTACCGCATCGTGCTCGCCGATATGAGCACTTTCATCAAGATGTCGCAGCTGGTGGATGGGACGCATCCGGGTGATTATGGGTATACGGAGATGGCGGCGGTTTGGTGGGCTGCGTTTTTGGACGCGGAGGCGGAGGGGTTCCTTGACTTTGCTGATGGTACGGGGGCTGATGGGAGGATTAGTGCGAGTGAGGAGGCAGAGTTGGATGGTGGTGATAGTATTGGGGATCCTGGGTTGCCGACGATATACGGCGCCGGCGCAGCCGGGGGTTACGGATGCGAGTGAAAGTGCGAAGAGCGTAGTGAATAGTGGTGGGGTCAGAGGTATAGGGCCGGTGGCGGTTCAGGCATTTGCTGGTAAGTGTGGTGTTGCTCTTCTTTCTAGCCTGGCGTTGAAGCTAATCCTGTTTATAGTGGGCATTGGTCTCTCATTGTCGTTGTGGTGATGATCATGGTGTACGCTTTTAAGAGAGGGAACCTGGCGTTGGGCTTTTTGATAGACATCCATCTTGTAAGGTGGAGATGGCTCTGTACATATTCTAGTTGATACCATTCATAGAGATACGTCCGCAGGGCGAGTTGTATACAACCTACCATATATCATCCTTCTACAACTTCAACTGTCGAGGAACTACTCAATGTAAACACAACCAGCAAGACCAAGAATGATAAATAGACATCAAGTCATACAAACATCTCTACATAACATATCCAACCCTAGAAACAAATCATAAGAAAGGCACCAACCATCGCCACAAAAGAACAAAGCCAACACTAGAAACGCCCAATCCCATAACCACCAATCCAAAACAAAAAAAACACCATCCAATATCAAAAAAGGAAGGGGTATATGACGCAAAATCCGGAACCCGTCAACGCCACAAATTCTAATTCGGGGGGTGATTGTGATAAAGCCGTCCACTGCCCTCATATATCTCCTTCTCCTTCTCCTTCTCCTTCTCGTTCGGTTTCTGCGCAGATGGCAGCGGCGGTTGATTTTCCTGTCCAGGATTCATCTGTGGATTCCCAGGCGTAGCAAAGGGAATAGGACTGCTGGATGTGAAGACAGGTAAACCTTGCTTGGTTTGCCCAGCGGCCATTGGGGGCGTGTAAGTATTTGATTGTGGGCCTGGTAGTTGGGGGGCTTGAGTCAGATTTGGTGTCAAGGGGGGAGTAGTGTTGTTCTCGAAGTGCGAGGATGGTTGGAATGTAGATGATGGAATGGATGGGGCGGAGGACCATTGCGATGCTTCGGAATCTTGCATGCTCGTGTCCATGATGCTGGATTCGGCTGATTCCCATGGGGAAGAGATAGATTGGGATTCGGTGTTTTCTTGTTTTACAAGATCGGCGATGGGGAGTGGAGGCGACGAGCTGCTTTGTGCGATGGAGGAGCGTGCAGATGTTGTCTTGCCACGGGGTGTTCTGGTACCGCTGGCCTTTCGGGGGGATCTGCCAGGGGATTTTGAAGTCTTGGTCGAGGGTAACCTGCGCTCGTCGGCCGCCTTTTTGTCACGGGCTGCTTGCTCTTCGGGGGAGGGCACGACGAGCTTGATCCTACGGAGACCAGCGGAGAGGTTCTCGACGTCGTTGGCCGACTCTGTCGGGGTTACTTCATCCGAAAGCTTGGAGGGCAAGTAAACCGTTGGCACTTTGGGTATTGGAGGTGCCTTTCTAGGACTTGCAGAACGTCTGGGGGTGCCTGCTCGGGAACCGCCACTCGTCTTTCGCGCACCGACAACTTTAGAAGGCGTAGCCGTGACAGCAGTGTCCACCGCAAGCGGTTGATCTCGGGAGCCAGTCAAATCACCCATACTGATGGGCTGGGTTGACATCGTGCTTGTGTTGGTACTCTTCCTGCGGCTTGCATCCACAGACGGAGACACCTCTGCCGACGGGTCAGGCAAGTCATCCCCATCAATTGTTCTGCGACGGTTCTTGAGAATGGCCTGTTGCCGAGGTGTCGCCGGTCTCGGTGAAAATGGAGTTGGAGACTTGGCCTTTCGTACACGGAGCTGTCGTTTCTCCTCTGGGGGCGGACGAGGTGGAACAGCCGCGACTTTGATGCCTTCCAAGGCTAATTGGCGCTCGCGGCGCTGACGGGATGCCTCCGCATTCAGATCCTCAGAGCGGCAGCTCATAGTCTGGCGGCTCTCCTCCGGGATGAGAACCTTGGACAGCTCGTACGCTGCAGTCGCCCAGTCGACCTCCGGGGGAGGGGGCAGGCTTGGAACAATGCCGTTGTGAGAGCCGAACGACTTGCGATCACGCATGGAGAGAACCTTTGCATCGAATGATTTTGTCGAGGCGAGGAAAGTAGGTGCTGTTTTCTCGCGCTTGACGTGTGGGGACGTGAGCGTCTCCAGGTCAGAGAGATGATCTGCAGACCACCACTTGCTCTCGTATTCAATCCCTGCAGGAGAAGACTCGTCATGAGATGTATTAGAATCACCTAGCCCTGCAAGGTGACTGAGAACACCACTTGTCAAGGCTCGGTCACTGTAACCACCTTCCAAAACGCTGATCACACGCCCATCAACACCAAGACCCTCTTCCTGAGACATCCGCACAACATCAGCCGTAAAGCGAGCATAGAATTCAGTTGGAACGTTGACTTTGTGCCGCTGCATGCCAGTACCCTCCCACTCGCTAGCATCGAAACCCGCCGAGATGAAGATGGCAGCTTTGGGAGCAGGCCCATTGGGAATATCAGCCAGTCTCTGGGACTGAGCACGCAGGAACTTGCGCGCTTTGTGGATCAATGTGATGTACTTGGTCCGGTACAGTTCCCAGAACTCTGCCTCGTTCTCCCATGTCTCCAAGTGGACATTCCAGACAGATTGGCCATGGGCACCGTCAACACATACGCTTGCATTGCGCACTTTGTCTGGGTCGCCACCCTCACAGGGGTAGGAGTTGATATCATGGAGACTGTAGTATCCAATCGCGGTCTTCTTGTAGGCTGGCGCATTCCGTGGGGCCATCGACGCTTTATAGTTATGATCCCATACAATATCTTGAGACCCGTCGCCATGATGTAAATCGAAATCCAAGATAGCCGCATGGGTCAATCCGTGATTCATAGCCGCATAAGATATTCCAACAAGAACATTGTTAACCCAACAAAAGCCCGAAGGGAAATCAGCTGAGCAGTGGTGACCCGGTGGTCGAATGCAAACAAAGGCGCGCGTAGTCGGGCCGTGATCAAAAACCGCATCGATTCCATCACACACGCCACCTAGCGCACCCTGAAAAGCATCCAGCGATTCAGAGCATAGATAAAGATCACCAGAGTGAAGTTGCGGCGTATTGGCAGCACCTTCACTGCCCTCAGTTCGCGGTCGTACAAGTTCCTTCCCACTCAGGGCTAAGCGTGACTCGGCGACATCACACATACTCTTCAGATCCGTCATCCACTGATTACCATGGACATGTGTAACAGCATTGTCATGTAATGGCAGCGAACGCGACGTCTTGCGAATCTGGAACGGCGGTGGGGGAAGCAAATGTAGATCTAGATCGGGGCGTGGCGCGAAGCGCTCTCCCTCATGTCGACATCCCATACGGACATATGCCGCAGATATTCCCAATACACAGGCACGAATGCGCTCCGGCCTCTCCACGATCGAAGCTAGTAATGCCTTCGAAGCGCGGGGTCGTGAAAAACGGTGTCCGTAGCAGGCATCATGAACCACCACCACTGTTTTCGACTTGAGGTCCACAACCTGGTGTAGGTCCACCTCTTTGCGAAAGTGCTCGGCTGCTACTGAAGCCGCCGTCGGGCCTTGCACCTCTGTGGGGGAGAATGCCAAGCGCGTAGGCATCGCGGGCGAGGTTGCGCTCGTTGGAGATCCCGGAAAGTTTGCAGAGGCGTGTCGCGAAGAGGCTGGAATAGGTGAGGTAGGGCCAGTTGATCTTAGCGACGCAGCAGATGGACGTTTCTGTAGTGTTGGGATCGATTTGCGGCGCTCGTCGCGTAGAGAGCTGGAGCTGGGGGTACGTCTTGGGGTCGGCGCGTGGGCACCCGCGATCGGGGGAGCAGTTGGTTGGGACACTGATCGTAGAGATGTAGTAGATGGACGTTTTTGAAGAGTTGAATTTGGTCTACCGTGTTCATCACGCAGAGTATTTGAGCTGGAGCTGGAGGCGCGTTTCGGGGTCGGCGCGCGGTCGACTGCGATAGCGATGGGGGGACTGGGTCGCGACAGGCCATCATGGGGAGGTGAGATAGATGGAGATGCAGGTAGAGGGATAGCAGCAGCATTCGCTAGAGTCAAACGATTCAAAGAATCCGACAAGTCATAATCGGATTGAGTCGTAGCCGTGGTGTTTGGGTCGTTATCTATGAATCGTGGAGGCGGATCACCCTGAGGGGGTTGTTTGGAGGGGTCCATGATGCAAGAGGAGCATAGAGCGGGGGACCGAGACACGTCTGTAGTAGAGCGAAGGGAATAGCAGGACTTATTCTGTGAAACTTGCAGAACAAACGAGCAAGCCTGGAGGTAGACAAAAAAAAGTAGGGGAGAAGAAGGAAGAAAAGGAGCGGGATGGAGCATGTGCTCGTGGTCGAACTAGTTTTGAGTCTCCTGCGTTGGCCTGCCTTCTTGGGGCAAGGGGTCAGTCGATCTCCATGGCCATACCAAACATGACATTCTTGTTCCCGTTCCTCAGCCACTTGTTTCAGTTGAAGAACTTGGATGACTGAGAGTATGAATGGATTTGTTAAATCTGAACAAAAAAAACCAGGTTTCTAAATTTACCATCTATAGTTGTAGTGGTTCTACAAAGCTTATTCTTCAGCCTGTTTCCTTCTGGTCTATACAAGATATTGTCTCCCAACAATATATTGAACCTGCATAATCAACTGATTGATTGTGATCTAGATACCTAACAAAGCAGATGCTGAGATCCTTCTATCCATCTTTAACTTTTTCCGCAAGTCTTCTGTAGCCAACAAAAGAAAAAGAAAAGCGCCATGGATCCATAATCCAAAAACCTAGAACCAGTCCATCCTCAAACGCCCATAAACACCTCCAATCCCCATATCCATTCTCAAAATCAAAATAACCCAAATCAGCCTGAACACCAAGGCTGGAAGCATAAACATGAAAAGAAAGTAGAGAAAGTCTTGAAAATGACATGATAGTCAAAAGAAGAGGGCGTGGCTTCCAGGTATGCAACCATCTACCGCGATAGCAATCCCCTCCATTGATACCACTGATACCACCGCCGACCAAGCGAAGCCTTCTCCTCAAACGAATCCTGAGACCGACGTCGACTCTTCTTCTCCTCCTTCTTAGTCTCCTTCTCAGTCTTGAATTTGCGGGTGGCGTGGGAATTGCAGAAGCAGTGCATATGAACGGTCTCGATGCTCACGCCGGGACAGCTATCGCGACGATGGCCGGAGCAGACGCTGTGGCCGGCGTCTTCCTCGCAATGGCACCATTCGTAGAGGGTGTAGTATTGGCGACACATGGTGGAAAGTCAAATGTGAATTTGGTGGGCGATATGAAAATTGGTGTTGGCTTTTTCGTGGTGTTTCTCCACGTCTTCAGGAGTACTGTAGATGCGTGGGTTTCAGGGTCCACTTGGATATCACTAGTTGTGAAGATGGTGGGGTGGTTCTGTGGATGGAGCCGTGGAATGCGCAATAGGAAGCCGAGGTGATCCGGGGCTTAAGGGGATGTGTTTTTGCCCCTGAGGGAGGTTGGAGAGGTCAATTGATGAGATTGACAATGAGTATGACTGGTAAGAAGTGGTTGAATGGTAGTGTCGCTCACGAGCCGAGTCGACGTGGGGATAGTGTAGTGAGAGTGTCAAGGAAAGTCCTCCCTTTCTCAAGGAGGACAATAAGATAAGTAAAGTGACAGAAGTGAAGATCAGTCCAGCTGAGAAGAGTAGAGGAGGATAGTAGAAAGAAAAAAAGATCAAAAAGATCGAGGGAACGGTGGATGCAGCCCCGCCAGACACTTTATGTTCTCGATCGAGCATGCAGACGAGCGAAGGAAAGAAAGAGAGAGATAGGGCTGGCGCCGGGTTTAGCGGAGCATCAGCCTACAGTAATAACGAATAAAGAATGAATTGGGTAATAGAGTCATGGAAGAACCATGGTCAATGACTGGTCTGACGTCAAAGAAAAATCGGCGTTTCTACGTTGGAGGGGGGGGGGGAGGGGGGAGGAAGGACGAAAGATATTAATACATTCGGGGATGGTCGTCAATAGGCTACCGGGGGGAGCTGTCAAATCGTAGTTCGTCTGCCTCTCTGCATCGTACAGACTACGGACCGCGCCGGAAACTTACTCCATCCGTCTGGCGCGTCGAGGGGAAAGTTACATCTTCGCCTAGTGAACCAGTCAACCAGCTTGACCAGGTGGCAGGGGGTGGTATTGAAGCCTGGGCAAAAGGGCCGGGAATAGACCGGGGACTGCTCTTCTTGTCTACTACTCACTTGACAGCCAGAAACCATTCTTCTCCTCCGGTGCAGGTACCAATTACAAAAGCGACGAGTGCGAGGCCACGTAGCTTGGCGAGCGCCTCTAGGGCTTGGAGAGCTGGGGATGGAGACTGGTGGCTGATGCGACGAAAAAAGAAATCCGATTGACTATTGTCTTGGCTTAGGCAGAAAACCAATACAACGGGCAAGGGCAGAAGTACCTAAAAAAAGAACCAGGCTACTATTACAATATCCAGGGGGTGTTTGAACAAACTGACGACGCATATACAATGGGCGCTTCGAGTGGTTACAATTAGACCGTAGGCCACCTTGGCCAGTTTGAATTGGAGATTTGTAAATTGTACGGCATCGAGGATGAGTAGCCCGGAACTCAATAGCGAGTATCGGACTCATCTGATCGACGAACCAAAAGAGAGCTTTTCAGGGCTGAGAGGCCCAGACGAACAGTGATCCGCAGAGCCCCGAAGCGTGTCGCTCAAGGTTTCCATATCCGACGCGATGGGCCCTTGATTGGCTGGGCTCGCTGTCAGGGCTGCCGCTAGGAGCCGGAGTGGATAACTGGGCCAGCGTCAGTTGGCGCCGACCACTTGCGAGGAGTCATTCGAGAGTCATCTGGGGAGCTGGTTAGGCAAGTCATTGGATGGAAGAATTGGATGGGTGGTGGATTCATGTCACAGTGTTCGGCATTCCTAGCGTCGCATGGACCGATGATGAAGATGACTAGATGAGATCACCGTGTCGATCCGGCTGGCGTCCGCAAACGGCCTGACGAAACCTGGAGAATCGGGGCGGAAGTGTGGCTAGTGATACAGTGTGGCTGGTGCAAAGGGAAAAGGAATCCCGGGACAAGTGGCGCAGTCACTCACGTCAGGTGACTTATCTTCTCCGCGGAGAATGCTGCCTCAGGCCGTTATCAGCGGAGTTTATCGCCCGTTTTGCTAACAAGCTCGAATGGATTTCTCCAGACTATACTCCCGACACAATCTACGTCCCATCCTCCTCTCGTGCCAGAGACAATCAATTCTCCCAGATCTCACTCAGGAACTGCCATGACCACCCCATCCACACCCTCACCACCCAACATCATGGCCGCCACCCCCGCGCGCACCTCAACCCTGCTCTCCAACCTCGCCGCCGTAACGTCGCGCATCACCACCGCAACCACCCACTCCCCGACCCCCAGCAAACCAGTCCGCCTCGTCGCCGTCTCCAAGCTCAAACCCGCCTCCGACGTCCTCGCCCTGCACAAATCCCCCATCGCCCACGCCCACTTCGGCGAGAACTACCTGCAAGAACTCCTCGAGAAATCGCGGCTGCTCCCGCCCACCATCAAATGGCACTTCATCGGCGGCCTGCAATCGAATAAATGCGTCACCCTAGCGCGCGACGTACGCGGCCTTTGGGCCGTCGAGAGCGTCGACACCGAGAAAAAAGCAACCCTACTAGATAAGGGTCGTGGAGAGCGCAACCCCGATGCGGAGGAAATCGAGGCCGAAGCTGCGGACGCAGATCGGGATTCGCGACTGCGCATTTATGTGCAGGTTAATACCTCCGGCGAAGAGAACAAGGCCGGCGTCGAGCCTGCGGCTGCACCTGCGCTGGCGAGACATATTCGGGAGAAATGTCCGCGGCTCAAATTGCAGGGTGTCATGACAATTGGTGCGATTGCGCGGTCGCGGGCGACGACTACGGAGAACGAGAATGAGGATTTTGTTTGTCTGCGGGAGACGCGGGATCGGATCGTTACTGAATTGGGGTTGACGGGGGTGGATGCGGAGTTGGAGTTGAGTATGGGGATGAGTCAGGATTTTGAGGGGGCGATTGCGCTGGGGAGTGATCAGGTTCGGGTTGGAACGACCATTTTTGGGGATAGGCCTCCCAAGGCTGAGGCTAGGGTTGTTTAAAAATTATGGAGGGGTTGATCGAAAATCTTGGATTTGGGTTGAGTGGGTTACGAGTTATGAATTGTTGCATCTCAAGCGAGGAATATTCGTGGTGTTGTCTCTGGCTCGAACTCCATGAGGCGCGTGTTAATGGCAGATGGGGAAGAAGATGTCTGCATAGACGTTAGATTACAAAAGCATATATCAACACCACTCTTCTAGTTTGAAGTATACAAAAATACACACGAGGCATCCAAATGAACGCTCGTTGATATTTGGCTGGGAAGCTACTCAAAAGATATACATGCATGCCCCATTCACCATCGCTTACAAAATGCACCCATCCTCCAGGTACCTCTTTGACCCTCGTACTAGCCCTAGTCATAGGCATCTCTCGTGATTCCTTGAGACAGTTTCTGCTCCATCTGTCGCGCCAATCCCTGCGGCACACCTTCTTTCGTGGCACGAATTGTGACTCGGTACATCTTTAAAGAAGTTAGCCTTGATACAAGAACCTGGAACGATCGTATACATACCGACTTCTCGTAGTTGGGCTCCAGTCGCAACAGACAGCCCGTCTTGCCCCCCTCAAACTGATACACACTGCAACCGACAATGTTCTTCGAGTTGGGATCCACGCCATCCAGGATCTTCCATCCAAACCCTTCCACCATCTTCCTAGTAGACGACTCGTCAATCACCTTATTCTTGCCGTGAAGGCCAAAGGTCTTCTGTGCCTCCAGTGGACCACCGCCAATCTGGCGCCAGCGCTTGAAGAACTCATCTGCAGAAAGCGAGGACGGCTCCATATACCGGTGCATTAGCACTGGCAACTGTAGGGTATATGCCTGCAGAGCACCAGCCAGGTAGGAGATACGGATGGTAGGTGCATCCGAGAAAGGCCCATGGGTCGCGCAGAAAATGGTCTGCTGGGTCTGCCCAGCTGCGGCAACGCTTGAGTCGGGCAGGTTCTTGGTATCTATCTTCAAGTTTGGCGCAGCTGGGTTTTCGATAGTCGTGGTCAGGGAGTTGATGGCGTAGGCGGACTTATTCGAAATGTACATCTTCACCACACCCATATGACCACGGTACTCTGACCGCAGTCCAACCTGAATCTGTGCATCTTCGAAGAGCACACCCTCGTGCGAGAAGTAGAGTCGGTTGTAGCCAATGTCCCAATCCGGGGTCAAGTGCGCGGCGCTGGCTAGGTTAGGAGGAGGAGCCGAGGGTCCGTTAAAGTCCAGCCCCGCCAGGTCACCCGATGCACTGGTAGCGCTGGTCGGGGTGATTCCTCCATTGGATCCTTTGCGCGTGCCGTGGACGATGGTGGTAAATGTGCGCTTGAGGCCAGTGTGCTGTGCCATGAGAACTTCTTGCTTGTCCGCATTGGCGTCTTTTCCACCAACAACCCAGGTCTTCTTCTCGCTGGTACCCGCTGTCTTCTGGTGCAGTCGAGACAGAAGGATAGACGTTCTTTCGGAGAAGGGCGGCATTTCGTCACAGACTGTCCGTAGAAGATCGTCCGTGGGGAGCGTTGCAAGAGAAAGATACTCGAACGCTCGCTGCTGCAACTCAGAGTCTGGAGAGTGACTGTAGAGGCGGAAGATTTGCAGGAGTTGCGGTTTGATTTCAGGGAACAAATTGACAAACTTGACAAAGGATGACAAAATCATAGCTCGAGCATTGTCAGATCCGGTGAACATCTTCGCTTGTAGGGCGAGGAACTGCTCAATTGGGCTTGATCCGGGATTATCGGCGATTAGGTGGCCAAACTCGCCAAGTACATAGCAGCCAATCTTCACCAAGCTCTCATGGCAATCGGTCTTGAGGTACCCAAGTAGCGTATGGGCCGCATATGCCTGGAGCTCCTCGTTGTTCGTGACGATCTGAATGACACGCTGCCAAACTTCTTCGTTGACGTGGTCGCCAGCAAGTGACAGCAGCTTCAGGGTCATGTCGATGTACCACTGTGCATCGGTGGCATACTTTTCCGTAAGAATAGCAACCTTGAGCACCATCTCCTCACGAATCGCATAGTCGGCGGTCTGCAGATAGCGCAGAAGTTCATTGACAATGGGCGCCGCATTGGAAGTATCGCACATGCTGTACAGTAAATCAAGGCCCTTACGACGGACACTGATATCTCGGTCTCGAAGGGAGCCAAGTATGATATTCTGATGCTTCTTAATAGGATCGAGTGTCTCTGCTCGAGCAGCGAAATGGGTCAAGGCATCCAATCCCAGGTATCGGACGTTGGTCTCGCGAGACTGGATGTATTTGCCCAGACGAGCGGAGATCTGCATCATCAGGGTATGCTCAGAATCAAGATGAATGAGTAGATTGATGGCTTCGAAAAGGATGGCATTTTGAGCATTGTTCTGTTGGACGTTTTTGGGTGTTTCCATGGCTGACTGCATGATCTGCGCCAGGGATTCGCGAATGATCTCGCGGACATGGCTGTCTTGGGAGGGTGGGTAGTATTGTAACAGGCGTAGCAGCTTGACCTGAATCCATGGGCATGGAACACGGTAGTAAAGGTAGTCGGGAGCGATGTCGTTGTCAACCACGATTCGCTTCAGCCTCTGGGCCGCTTTCACGTAGCTTCCCTTGTATTCCTCGGGCATATCCTGGGCGAGCGCCATGACAAGAGAAGTGACAGATAGTGTGACTCCCATATCGGGGTCATCCATGATCGAGATGATTCGTTCGGCCCATTCGTTTCTGACAATTCCGGGGTACTTGCGGTACAATCGGAGCAATGTGAGAGCGGCTTTTTTCTTGACAAACGCTTTGGATGTCCTTTGAGCAGTTAGCTTCGGTGACTCCTATATCCTATATCAAAGCTGCTGTCCGAAGACTCACGGTGAGATCAGGAGTCGGTGAACCTCGGTCGCCAATGCTTCTCCGAGTTCCCGGCCACCCACATTGGCCACAGCATGCAGCGCCAGACAATTAAATAATTCATTGTTGTCCAGCAAATCTTTCCGAATACTGTTCACGACCAGATGAAGCAGCTCGTGCTCCTCATGCAAAAACAAGGTAACCGCCAGGTAGCCGATCTGCTTCTCGGAGTATTTGTTCGAGGAAATGAGATTGACGGCTTCCAGGTGTCCGAAGTCGACGTCGTAGCCCTGGATGTAGACGTAGAGCAGCTTGCAGACATACTTCTTCTTCTGATAGCCGTTCAGATTGCCGGCCTTGAATTTCTGCCGAATGTTGGCCAGCTCCTTATTCACGCGCTTCTCCTCCAGTTCTCGCGCCCGCGCATTGCGCAGGTCTGCAATGAACTGGACGAGGCCTCGCATGGATGACATGATGCCGTTTATCTGTGATGTGGGACCTAAGCCCTGGGAAATGTTGGAGCGATCTCACGACGGTTCGTTATTTTGGGTGTGGGGTTCGAGGTACTGTCTCGCATGCCATAAAGCCGCCTCAGGGGTTCGCGATCGGACGAAGCACGTCACACAACCATATCCCTGTTATATCGTGTCGTCGATGGAGCATTGGCTACCGGGGACTCGGCGATATTTCTATCGGGTGCGTAGGCCGGAGGAAGGAGAGCTTAGAAACAGGGGGTTGGCGCTTCGCAGGCTATCTTGGATGATTGTCAGCATTCACGAGGGGCAGTCGGGTCACATCCACACGGAACAAAAGGATGGTCATACCGCACTATGGAATTTAGAACGGTACCCTCAAATACCCACGAACTTGCAGTCAAGTTGAGAGCTTCCTCTCCATAACATCTCCCGCGTGGTCCTTCACTTGGCTCCTTCCGCCGTCGATCGCCGGGGATCCGCTGTGGCACGGCGGAAGAATGATGATGCGTTGTGGCGGTGCAATTATGCATGTGCTAAGCCTTTTGGGGCCAGTAAAGTAGATGGACTTGGGTCGTTTCTGGACTTCAGACTTCGAGACTTACAATTGTGCAATATGCCCAGGCTACGCAGAAAATTGACACCAACTCTGCTGAGCTTACCTCTTGAAATCAGAATAAAGATTTACAAATTTCTCCTCGTCTCGAAGGAAGTCATTAACGTCGATTATTGTATATCGCCACCTGCTTCCGGATCTACCAGGAATGTGCACGATCTATGTTCAACCGTCTTACGCCTTAATCGCCAGATATTTCATGAAGCTATTGATATGCTCTACTCGAAGAACTCGTTCAGTTTCTCAGCTTCACACACTTTCCCACCCCGTTGCCCAGCTTCATTGCTGATCTTTTTGAAAGAGTCGGCGAGGACAATGCATCCCGAGTCCAGAGCATCAGCATCTGTGATTTAAGTGGCCTCTGCCAGTCTATCCCAGGGGACATTCTTGAAAGAGAAGATTATCCAAGACTTTCCAAGACTATCCGGTCCCATTTCCCTAACCTTTCTAGACTTGGGGTACATCATCACGATTTCCACTATCTGCTAAACCCGGGCTCAAAGGAATCAGACCAGGAAATTGGTTGTGCTTGCTGCACCCGCGATACTTGGAAAAATGGCTCGTCATTAAGGCCTTATTTCCGTACCATCGTTTGCTGAACTGATATCATTGGTCTTGGTGATTATCACCATGGCTACGGTCCATTGAGGGGCGACATATGGTCTTCGCCAAGTCAAACAGAAATTGTATGATATCTTTGAGCAATGATCTGTATTTATATTTTTGCAATGTATTATCAATATTGAGGATCTCAGAACGAGTGTCTGGGTAGTTTACAGGATGATGAGAGTTGGATGAACGTGAAGCGCCGCGACTCGGTATCCGCCGCTACATAGGATAGCGTAAAGGGAGCGCTAACTATTGGGACTGGCTTGCTCAATGGTCTGAGTGTGTGGTGAGACATACGATGGCATGTCATCAGAGATCTACTTTCCTACGGCTACTTCATTGCGGTATTTCCAATATTCAAGTGGAAGCATGATGATATTTCATGACTCATGATAGATCACATATGAGGAATGTGGATCGAACTATTATATGATAATGCAGACTAAACCCCGGGATAATCCCACCGAAACGCCAGCCTTCCCAAAACCACAAGAAATGCAACTCAAGCAGAACCCAGTAATGTGTGGATCATCAATCAACAACATAAATCAGCGAGCCAATTTATGCGCGAGTGGTAAAGTCCTGCTCAAGAGCGGACTCAACAGCCACGGCCTTCTCGCAGGTGCAGGAGGCTAGGAGAAATGTCAGAATATCTCAACTTTACGAGTCCGTTTGTTTGGGGTGAAATCTTACCAGAAGGACGGCTGCCACAGGCACAAGTCTCACCCCGGACGGGCTTGTTCTCGGTCACAGAACGCTCACAGGTGCACTGACCAGCGGGGCGAGAGCCTAAATGGAATATTAATATCAGATGATCTGATACCCAAGAGGATTAGAATGGTTCCACTTACGGCAAGAGCAACGGGGGCCCGAGATCTCGTTCTCAGTGGAAGCCTTGTTGCAGGTGCAGTGGAGAGCGGACTCCTTGCCGCAGGAGCACTTGGCCTGGGCAGCGCAGACGCAGCCTCCGTCCTGGGAGGTCTTGCAGCAGGTAGAAACGGGGTGGACCATTTTGACGGTGTTGTTGGTAGACTGAATTGAGACAAGGTGGGTCTTGATAAGCTTGTAGCTTGGAGGTGGTCAATGGAAGTTGCTGATTGGAAAGTTTGAGAGCACAAGAGAAAATGGTCTGCAAGGTTGGAAGAGCACGAAAGATGAAGTTGAAATACAACAATCAATGAAGCAGGGATGTAGTGACTTTATACTCGCCTGCATGCGTCTCAGCGATGTGGCCTGATTATTATTGCCCGTGTGTTGATTGGCTGGTTGACAATGGTCACGTGGAATGGAGGTCATATTCATCGGTCACTGATTGGCCATGGCTTCTGGCTGACTCATGCACGGGCAAATGGAGGTCTCGTGACTGGCTGATTCCTCGTTGATGACCATTGCCGTCCTTCTGATTCGATGAAAGACAAGAGCGGGGCTGTGAATGGGAAATACCGTCATTTGAGGCACATTGGAGGTGTTGCGAAAGTTGCAGACGGAGAAGGAACCCCCAGAAACTGCTGTGTATCTACAACCATGCCTGCCTGAAATCGGGCAGGAAGTGGGGACGCTCTTGTAGGCTTGAAGACAAGAGAACATCAGTACGTGACTGACTAAAGTGTTGAAGAATTCAGAAATGAAACAGTCTGCTGAATTTAGTTTAATTGAATAGGTAATTTATATCTATGTTTGACGTCTAATATCTATCAGATGGTAGTCAGTGATCAGTAACTTGATGACTTGTGGACTGTTTCCTTGAAGAACCAGTATCTAGAGGACTTTTCCGGAAGAGAAACGCTTGCTCCATTGATCAAATATTATATCACAATTCTTGGAACCTTCTTTGTCAAAAGTCTTGACCCACGATAGAGTTCTAAGGTTTTTTCCGCAAACTAGCTGGATATGTACAGTGCACGCATTCCCACCTCTCCAAAACTGCAAATCATCCATCATATCATCATTTTCGTTTAGATACTCTGGTGTCCTTTTGGCCGTCTCTCAGTACTCTAATTTCGTATAAATATTAGTCATTTGCTCGCTCTTCACTTGATTAAAATCCTATCTCAGATCTGCCTCTGTTCTCCAAGCAAAGGCATAGAGCCAGGGATTTGACTCTGCCCAATGATAGAAGCCTCTGAAGCCCTTTGCAGTCTATTCCTATACTTGGAAAAAGGTTGCCATCCCTTGGGTTGATCTGTGACATATCCATCCTCGCTCTCCTCCCCCGGCCAGATGCAATCAACCAAAATGCGAGACATATCCGAGTCACGCGACCATATGGCGTCTGCTCAGATAACGGCTTTACGGCCACTGCTTTTTATCATATGGCCCTTCGCAGAGTCTAGTGTGAGATGATCATGAAGGGGAATCCGAACATGAGAAATGATATTCAGTGAGTGAAACAGGTGTTGGAGAAATGAAACCTTAACATGAGGCACCTAACACACCATGTTCCACTACAGAACATCCTTTGGCTCATGTGGACCATGAACTTTTCAAGAGGAATTGACCGTGGTCCTTTCGAAAGTTACAGGAGGGAAAATGCGATATACCCCTCTTTGCGAATTAGCCCAGAACGTGAACCCGCCCGGTGAACCTATACTTGTGTGACACGGAGTGTTTAAGCTTGCACTAAGATTGAAGGATATTGGAAGATATATGCCAACACTAAAGGACCGCGTTTGGCTCATTCTACCTTGGAATTGCAAATCCAAGTCTGCTTGACAAAATTTGTCAGAACGTCAAACTGAAAACAAAAAACCTTTGAATCGCTTAGCTCCCACTATGAGACTTCACGCTGGCAGAATGGTTGCTCAAACAACCCACTCACATCACCTGAAGTCTATAACAAGCTGAAAAGCTACGGTGAACTCTTGTTTATGACCTTGTGGACCTATTTATTTGGAAGAGAGAGACTTGTGATAGTTTGACGGTGTTCATATATAGGCGGTTTTTCCTTGCTGCTTCTTTCCTCTTCTGCGATTCCTAGTCATTTTTTCTTCATTGGACAATATTGATTCAATTTTGCTTTTTATTGTTATAAGACAACCGATAAGAGAATGGACCTGTACCCAATTCTCGTGCTCGGTCGGATTTGCCATTGATAGGTTTCGATATATCTCAGAAGCACCAGAATCAGTTCAGTGACAAGCAATTTCTGTGTTATGGGACCGGGAGTTTGAGCATATTCCCATCAATGCCCCTACCAAAAAAGACTACATTTTTTTTTAAATCCAGGTATCTTTTGAATGACTTTGGTGCCCACGGTAATACTCGCTGGGCTTGATTTTCTGCTGGCCATACATCTTGGTAGAAACCCTTTGAATATCCTGTCTCTTGATGAGGATGCATTCGCTTAGAAAAATTTGTTAATTGCAAATGAGGTATAGAAGACACTTTTATCAGCCTTTTTTTAGTCAAGCAATATCTAACTATTAGCAGTGGATACTTCACTTAAGTGGATGTGCTGACTCGAAGTATTGTCTCCTAGACGAAGAACGGTGCACCCATATTCTTGTGACGTTGCACTTTTGTTGCTGGAAAATAGAAAACCCATGGAAAACAACCACCCATCCGTTGTAATGCCAGAAGCAGCTGAGGCTTCCTTGCCCACCGCTTAATGCTATGCAGTAAGCCGCTCGAGCCAGATCTGAGATCGACACGGCAGGCAATATCTCGATAAAAGGTTGAAGGTAGACTGGCACGGGTGAAATAGTATCAACGCTACTCGATTCATTCAAAAAAGCAATCGAATAAAGGGAATCGTGATCAAAATAGGTTTTGATTTTTCTTGCTGCCAATCACCGGACCGCTTGGAAATGCTGGCTTTGAGCACTGGTGCCGGATCGACACTCATCCACTTCTCTAGGCAGTGGGGCTCCCTTAACTTCCCGCCTGTCGGCCCGTTCGGGCACGGAGCCATCCATGGATGGCACTCTCTAGATACTCAGCCACGGACTAAATTTCGCTAGATGAAGACCATGAAGACGACACGTTAATCATGAGAATATAGAGTTGGGAGACTGACAAAGAATGGAAGTATATTGGTAGTCTACAGTGGACACGCCTTTAGTAAGGTGAATCTTCTAGCCGTAGAGATATACTTGCCCAACAGACCTCATTTATGCAGTGGATATATCACGACCGTATACTCCACAAGGGAAGAAAAATATCGACAACAACGATTAACATTAGACCAGCTTTCGCGTATGCGAGAAGTGAATCAACACTAGAGTTCAAAAAGGCGAATCAGAGGCTAAGCCTTCGAAATCAGCCCGTTAAAAAAAAAAAAAAAAAAAGCAAAACAGAACAGAAGTGAAAATCAGACTTGCTTGCAATCTGAGGTAGCCCGCCCGAGAAAAGAAAAATGCAGTAAAAAACAATGCAATGATAGATAACGAAGAAGCCAAGGATGAACAGAAAAGAGAACAAAAAATTGATAGATAAAACAGCAAGTATGAGAAGAGAACAAGATAGGAAATTCGCTGTAGAAGCATTAGGATTAAAACACGCTGATAGTTGTATGCCGTACCAAACGGCCGAAAAAGGGAAAGACCCTAAAAGAAGAAATGAAGGTTGAATGACAAGGAAAAGGGAAAGAAGAGTGGGGATACCCAGACCAGCTTGAAGGGAAAACTTCCAGAGTATATTGCTTTTGTGTGGTCCTGCCGCGCGATGCATCTATTGTTGGATATAGCTCGCGTAGTTGAAGGGGGGATTGCCGAATTTGGTCCGGAGAGACTCAAGGCCTTGTTGGTTCTGCGACATCTGGTCCTGCGAGGCCGAGGTGGACTCGGTCGGAGCAAAGGAGGGAGGAAGGCTTATGGTGGAGGCGTTGGATTGAGTGTATGGCATGGTGCCCATCGGTGCTGAGGGCTGCGCGTACGAGTAGGGTCTATATTCTTGCGGCGCGGAGACAGGCACAGACTGCAGAGGTCTCCCGTGAGATGGGAGCTGGGAGCCCATGCTGACATTGCTATTTGGCGTGGGCATTGCGAGCTGCGGCTGGTAACTTTGCTGTTGCGAGCCTAATTCAATGTAATGTTAAAATTGTTCTTCGTGGGTACAACGCAGGACGAGGGAACCCACTGATATTGCTCATTTCATATGGCATTGGCGCTCCTTGAGAATCGGTTGGGGATACGGACCCCTCGAATTGCTGGTGTTGGTCGTAATGGGTGACCATTCCACCTGGGTGACGAGGAATCCCGTAGTCCATGGGTGGTTGTCGCGTATAAGGCAGGTTAGAAGGATTTGAGGATGGCGCGAAGCGGTTGTGCATCTGCATGCTATGATGGAAAGACGGAGGGTGAGAGGATGCATCTGACAAGCTGCTAGACCTGGTGATTGAGTAGTCGCTCCGGATCGTTCTATGCAGATCGGACATAGACGCAGATGCTGCAGACCGGCCAAACATCATTCCTGAACTAGGTAGCCCATCACTCCGTCCAGCAGAAGACATGTACGTTCCCGCGGTCGACGCAGAACTTAGAGGTGAGACGAGGTAATCTTCGTCATTTGGCCGCTGAAAGCTATCAGTGCGAAGCGCTCTCAGAGATGCAAAATCTGGGTTTGGAGCCCCGTAACCATGCGGTGATGCCACTGGCGTCGGGCCTGTAGATTTGCTTTCAAAAGGCGTCCGCAGGACTTTTGTCGTATCGAAGTCGTCCGGCAGGGCTCGCGATTTTAGCATCCTTTCACGATCATTTGTAGTCAGGCGCTTCAACTTCGCTCTCCTGCAACAGTGTCAGAGAATGTGTGGTGAGTCTCTATTGATATAGTTGAAAGCCCTACCTGTTCTGGAACCACACTTGGACTTGACGTGGTGTCAACCCGGGGATCTCCCTCGACAGACGCTCTCGATGAGCAGCGTCTGGATGCGCTTGGCGAGTGAACTCGCTCATCAAGAAGCGAGTCTGATTGTGTGTAAGCCTGTATAATCGATGTTAATGATTCTGCTCATTCAGCCGAGTCGACTCAATCTGTCTCGACCGTTCTTACCGAAATCTCTTCATCTTCTTTTTCTCCAACGACGGCGACCGATTACTTTCATCATCTCCAATAACCTCGCCCTTCTCGTCGGAGGGGCTAATCGTCGACTCCTTGTCGTGATCGTCATTTGCCTCCAGGGCCGACTGGCGGGCATTCGTTGACTCGTCAGAGCGACCGAATCCAATCTGCGGCTGCGACATGGCATAATTCGTATTGCCTCCACCAGGAATTTCCAGCTTCATTCGAGGCAACAAATCCTCTCTTCCCGCTCCAGGTCTTTGGTTGGCCAGATCTCGCGCTGGGATCTCTCCCTCACGATACAAGCCGGACCCCGCCGTGTTCCCCGGGATTAGCACAGGAGTGGGTAAGGCATTTTCAGCCGTCACACCGGTCCGTTGCATCTCAACCGACGACGAGGCACTCCGAGAGGTAACCTCTCGATCTCTAGGCAGAATCAACAGCGGGGAAGCTATCCGTGGCGTCGAAGAAACCCGCTCTCCGTGACGAGCTACTGCGGATAGGTGGGATGTGACAGCAGAAAATGGCGAGGCGACTGGCGAGGACAAAGACGGCACCCAGAGACAAGGACCACCGATGGACATGGTAAGGAGGTTGAACAGGTCCTCTTCGACCGGATGAAAATCTGGATCTAAAGTCTCACGGCAAGACAACTCAAGACACGACAAGACCCAAGCCCACGATTCTCAAAGATATGGCTAGAAGAGAGAGGAGGACCCAAACACGCCCAAACCACGACGACGCGAAACAAGAAACAGAAGAACAGAAGAGAAAAAAAAGGGACAACAATACTAAAGCGCCCTTTCCCCGAGATGAGACGATGGTGGGTCTGATCAAAGTGCCGGGGGCGCTTGCGCAACAGGCTCAGGGTTCCTGGTGCAATAAAAGCAATTAAACGGAATAAAGGGTTAAGTCAAATCAAACGTAAAGCCGGACTCTGAGAGGGGTGTTTAGTCCAGCAGGAATCCCCGAGAGCCACGACAGGAGAAATCAAACAAGAAGAGAAGTAGACGATGTTGCAGTAGGCGCCGGATCACTGATCACTCGGACGTGGCGAGAAAGTTGCAAGTTGTACTCCGTAGTAGTTGCAGTAGTCAAAAAACTGTGCCAGGCTAACGAATTCGAAGCGTAGTCAGTCGCCAGCAGCCAAAACTCTCCGTCTCAAGTAACAACAGTCGAGGCCCAAGTGGAAGAAAGCGGGACACTACCGCCACACAAGCCCTTTAAGTCCTTTAAGCCCTTTGGGTTGACTTTTGGGCTTGGATCTTAGATCGTTCCGACCACATTCACACCTTATTGCGAATGCTGATCGTTACGCAGCTCGGCAATAGCAGGACACGAGGGAATCCACCGACAATTATGGAGACAGTCGAGTGGTACTGGATCAAGAGCCGGTAAATGGGTCACCAGGATCGGCCGGAGATCTCCTGGAACAGATACTGGAACGTTTACACAAGGCTGGGCCAGTCAGAGGCGCACGATGGAGAGAACTGTAACTGAGAACTTGGATGAGACCAGACAAGATCAAACAAAACAAGGCCAAGCAATGACGACGCCGAAGCAAAAGGAATGGAAGTTCTCCCCAAGCGAGGTTACCATGCCCTTAGTGGAAATAGCAAAATGCTGTTGGTTGAGTTATTAAATGGACGCCCACAAGTAATTGACCCAAAGGGTCCACCAAGGAATCAAAGGTGGCCACCGAGGAGGCGGGCCGGGTCTAATTGGAAGTCCAGTACGCAGACGCCGTACAAATTACAGGACTGTGTTGTGGTATATGACCGTTGGATACAAGGAAATACACATTGTAGTCCTCCGAAGCGCTATCCCATCTACGATATTATTGTCTTTCGAAGATCTGTCCATCTCTGTTCTCTATACCCACATACTGTAGCCCTTTCATCCAAGTGAAACTAACCTGTGCCGAGCAAGGGTATACGTAAAATTTGTGCCCGGCGATCTTTAACGGTCAAGATGATCATTGAATGGGTAAAAAGGCAAAAGTTTGAACGTTGGAAAGTCAAATCTTAGCAAGGACTGTACCCAACAAGGCTAGTGAACGGGCCACCCTAAAGATCGGATTTCCATAAACTTTACTATACGAATGCAAAGAAGATAACTAAATGCACAAAAGCGCACAAGACGACTACTTCTTCAACATTCTATGGACTGCCGATGAAAAAAAAAGGATGTGTGAAAAGCGAAGAAAATATGCATGCATGAAGAGGTTCAATGGACACGCTGGGCTGGTCATGGCATCAGCACACGACCATCTGCTTGGCAATGATCAGCACTAGAGCGATCTATGAAAGCACAGGATTCTCCTTCTGGTGGAGTGCAGGTATCACCCCGGGTCCGACAGTAAAACATTCTCCAGTCAAAGTACAGGATCAGAAGCGAGATCTGAATTGCTCATTTCGATTTTCTCCGAATATATTGAGAAACGAACTGGAGACTGTCCGTAGAATATGCCAAACAGTGATCCAAACATCCGAGTAAGGATTTACAGCCCCGAGATCTCAGTGTTACACATCTGGTATCGGGACCGCGATGCAAGGCTGCACGTACCCAACCTTGAAAATTCTGTAGTTAGTGAGTATGAGTTGAAGATTGATTGGTCTCTTGGCTCCTGAGAAAAAACACGGGGTAGCCACGGAAGCCACGATTAGACAGACGCAGAGGCATGGTATGGCGTGCACAGAACGGCAGTCTGCTTGTTTGAATAAAACCACGTCCAGTGTAGGACTGGTCTTCTGTGATGGAAACGAAGATGGGTCTGTGGCGAATCGCGGTTCTGCCCGAGCTGAAAAAAAAATTAAATAAATAAATCAACAAATAAAACAAATTGAGTAATCCAAGCTTGAAGGCATTGTGGAAGGCTAAGGACTGGACTTGAATCCATAACAAGCTCTGGATAACCAGCATGGCCGGGGGGGGGACACACTTTGTGAGTGATGAGACGGGCCTCCGGTAGCAGGTACCCACTTAGTGGGGCAGCACCAGAAAGAAAAAAGAAAATAATTAAAAAAAAATGAAGCTGGAGACAAGACCAGGAGCTGAGACTTGAAGACAAAGCGTTCACGGCCCGGAAGGTCAAGGGTCATGATTCATCAAAAAATCTCCGAACGTGGAGTGCGTGGCGGATCTCGCGGGCCAGTCTAAGCGTGGCCAAAAAGCCAGGTATCGATTGCTGCATGGACTAACAAGTCTGCCAGCGAACCGCCAGAGCCGGAGGGCCTTGGGATTTTGGGATCAGGAGGGGGGTAGAGGGGGAAGGGGGCGTATCAGGGCGTCCAGAAAAGACCCTGGTTCTCCAAGTACATTTGATGCGCCATTTGCTTTGCATTGGTCGACACTCGGCCACCATGTGGAAGACCTGTCGGGTTTGCTAGCGTGCTGACTCCATAAGTGGCCAGTCTAAAGCCGCCGGACCCTTCGGGGGCCAACGATCGATAAAAATGATTAGCCACTCAGCATCCTGCCCGCCGTAATTCTCCAACATGGATTGGGTGGTCCTTTCACTGTGATATGCCTGAAGGTGTGGTGGATGGGACCGGAGGATTGATGTGGAGTCGGGCTTGTACCATCAGTGTGGTCTGGTCGAGGAAGAAAAAAAATCCATAAAAATTGGAAGAAAGAAAAAGCAGTAAACATGCGACGAGAAAATTGAGATTGAGGCAGGAACAATCCGGATCATCCAACCCCGCGATCCCATCAATGTATGTATGTTGTCTCCAATCAGATTATGTATCAGAATCCTCATTGGTGTTAGCCGATGAGCCCTGAAACTGGCGACGGGCCAGGGCGGCTGAAAGGACCACCAAATCTACTGAACCATGTGAACAATCAGACTTTAAGAGGAAGAAGGATGAGATATCAAATCAAAATAAATAAATAAATGAATAAATAAAGAAGTCTGATGAATCAAAACTAATGGTGAACGTTCTCGGTGTCGAGAAAAGATAAAACAAATGAAACCAGATAACAAGAAAAAAAAATCAGACGTAAAGCTTTGACGGAGAAATGCAATCTGTTAAGAGCCTCTTGCAGTGACCAAAGTTCGTTGAGCATGAACTACGATAAGTACCTACAATCCTTCGATCCTCTCCCTTGAAGCAGGGGAACACACTGAGGAAAACAGTCTAGACCATGGCCACACAGCGGACCATGCACGATCAAGGGAACAATACTGTGCTAACGGTGAATAGAAAATTCGACCGACAAATGGAAAATATCGGGGATCTAGCTGTCAAGCAGACTTGTGAGGCTTGAGGGGCGTTAAGTTGTTAACCATGGCTCGTAGCCGTCTCAAGGGCCATTCCAATCCCCACCGGAAAAGGAAAGCCTGAAGCTCCTGGAAATCTCCACATCTACAAGTATGAAACAGCCCAGGTCGCAGGCTGGAAATGAAGCAGTCCTGCTCAGGTGTCCTTGTGATCAATTTCAATTTGCAAAGACCGAGGTCCTACATTTGTTAGCCTATGGGTCATTTAACGACTTTTAGGGGTTTGGCTTTGCATAGTGTTATCTCCGTGCACGGCGCTGCTAATCGAAAATTCAAAACTCAGAAAATTAATCTGACGGTTGAAGAATAAGGTGGGTCTATCGAGGCACTTCTTGCAAGCCTTTTTTTTTTTTTTTTTTTTTTCTGCGACCAGCTGTTGACACGTTTGGTTGGTTATAGGAAGTCTTTGCTTAACACTGATTTGTGCGGTGATACTGCGGCAAAGGGTGGGGAGTGAAGAGGTTTCTTGGTTCTGGATAACCCCGAGGCGATTGGAGATGCTTTTTGTCCCCTTCTCATTGAACTGCTGCATGTTGATCGTCATGACTGAATTGTTGGTCTCTTTCCCGATTGAGGAATCGAGATCGAACTTTGGATTGTAAGCAGTACATCCCCGTATATCCGTAGCGAATGTTTTGGGAGCACTGTGTGTATAGTTAGGTGGAAAACTTCTGCTTCCATCGGCGGACCAGACCACTATGCACTGCCGCAGTTTAGCTACACTTGACCGCGGACTCTGGCCATTAATTTATTTACTTTTCTCCGTTCTTCTAGAAAAGATTAGAGTGCTCCGTAATGTCGCGAATAAATGATCAACTAATATGTTATACTGTAGCTTGTCCAAGTTTTTAAACAAACAGCTATTCTAGTATAAGCTATCTCTTCTTATAAGTAATTAAGGTAACTACAGTAATGCCAAACAGTAAATCGGTAGGAATTGTATGATTACTTTTCTTTCCTTGCCCCTTTCTGCACCATTTTGACATGCTTAGCCGAGCTCAGTGGGGGTCGTCGGGACATATCAGCCCATTTCTCCTCAGAAGCATGAAGTACGGATACAGAGGACACAAGACATGATGGTTCAGAGCATTGATCCAAAGTCTTCTACTGTATGGAGTACATAATAATGCGTAGCGTGGGGAGTCAGGGCCAGGTCTCCAGTCTCAATCGTCCCCATAAACTGCATCGAGAGCTAGACTGAGCGGGGGGATGATATCCACACCAGGAGGCCTCAGCGTTGGATCCTCTGCCCTGGAACCAGTCTCGGACAGGGGAGAAAACTCGGAACCGTTAAGCTGCGATTCCGAATCATATCGCGCAGAGCTCATCCCTGCGGCCGAAACGATGGGCGATCGCTGCGACTACTAACGTTAGTGTCGGGCCTTGGACATGTCCGATCGGTCTGTTCCTATCGAGGCATGACGTGGGCATCGTTAAATCTTGGCCCGGGGGGCGAGAAACTGGGCATTTGAAAAACTCGGCTACGGCTAGGTTTGACGAATCGTCTTGGGTGTTGTAGGTTTGCTTGAACAGCCTCATGCCTGATGGATTGGTTAGATTTGTCTTTACGCTGTTGATAAGGTTAAAAGGAGGTCGATGAGGAATTTACTTTGATGCTGAGTTTGTAATTAGTAACTCAGCAACAGGGGGTCAACTATGGCGTATTTGCCTTCAGCCAAATCCGCATTCGCCTATCGAAGAGTCCCTCCATGCTCTATACTACCGTGAACACCATAATAGTAGTGCCTGTGCGTATTTATTCTGGAACAACCGGTGTGGGGAACGCGATCGCGAGCTTCGATCGCATTCCAATCCGCGCAGACTACTCCGTACACTAGTTCATTTGTGATTTACTGTAGGACGGAATACTGTTTGTCCATATGTACTGTAAGTAGTCTGCCTAGTTAACGACTTTAGGTCAGCGTGAATCGCGCGGAACTTTAATATCGGCTTCGCGCGCCGCCAAGACCGCACTGTGGCCCTCCTTCATTTCGTGATGCCACTAAGAAACCGCGATCCCTCTAATCATGCACGTCGTCATCGTGGCAGGGGAGGGGGAGGTGACGCAAGCCGATCGCTTGGCTGGGGAGTCTTTTCCCTTGGCACGCCCCTTCGTTCTCGTGTGGACTCTCTGGGCTGTGGAGGTTGTCATTGCAGAGGGAAAAAAATGGCTGGCTTTGGCGGGTACTCGTACGCCGATTCGTGCACGTTTCGGCAAAATGGGCCGACGAGAAAGGGCCCTGCAGATCGAAGACTTAGATTTGCAGAGGGTGAAGGAATACAGTATATTGTACTGTAGTTCTCCTCCTTAGCGATGTTCCATCCAGTAGTCCTTTTTTTTTTTTTGGCTGATGGTGATCCCTTCAATCAAAATAAGATTACGGTCAGGACGTTGCATTCTGCTCGACGAGCTAAGGTGGTGACCGCTTCTTCGGTACACCGTACCTTAGTGGTACTTCAGAAACTGCCTTGTCTCACGGAGCATTTTGGTATAGACGGAGTATATTTCCGAACTTCGAGGTATATATTGGGTGTGCGCTTACTCCCTATCCCTGTATCTATGGGACCTATGAGATTTATGGGGCTTAAACTAACTAACTCAGGGGAAAACAAAGCCAGCAAATCCCAATTATCTGGTACCGTTTCGGGGCGGGGCGGCTTTTCCTGAATTGAAACTCGGTTGACACCTTCGCTTTCCACGGCTCGCCTCGCCTATAACACCTCAACTGGGAATGTGTTGCGACAGAGCCCTGCAACTAAACAATTGATTATATCGGATCAATTTTGATCAATTTGCATTGAAACATGCTATGACTCTGTTAGCCACGGAGGAGTTGCTGTTCGTATTGTATTCCTGAATCAGTGATTCAATCTTCTTGAATGGAAGTTTTATCCGTATATAGTTCCAAGGCACTCATGGCCAGTGCTTCGCGCTTCCCAGATCGGGGAGAGCGTGGAAAAGAAAAAGAAAAAAAGAACCCCAAAAGAAAACGAACTAGCTTGGTTTACTAAGCTGAGTTGACAAGTCGTTAAGTTAGTTAACTATCAATGGAGCATTTGGAAGCTATCCTAGCTATGGAGCACATAGCTCCCTGCCGCACTGACATGGCCACGAAGAACCATCCTGTCGTTGCAGAAAAGTCAATTTTACGGGGTCAACCCCCTTGACAGATATCGTCGTCTTCTTCTCGAGCTTCTTTTTCCCTCTCCTGCTCTTGAACGCCAATTAGCACTAATACTGAGTCTCCTTCCATCCCCTGTATAGCGCCGACCTTGAGCTCCACTAGTGGAGTTCGCAACTCTCCGAGACAGTGACTGTGACTGGGAGCTATGCGGTTCCCCTATGTGATCAGTGCGCCTTTTTCGAGAACAATCCAAGCAGCGAACACCCGCCGCATGGCCCGGCTCCCACGGAAGACGGAGCCTGATTGTCCTCCTACTACTCCTGTGGTGGTCTGCCGTACTCTACTCTGTATGCTCCGTACTCCGTATAGTTAGTGAGACTCCATCCAAACCCCGAAGCTACGGTGGCCGATCCTTGTATCTCGTAGTTGCTCCTCCAATACGGAGCCTCTATTTCGTATACATTTACTCCATCCTCCTAACGGAGGAATTGCTCCTAGCTTCCGTGCCCACATCTCTTTCCTGAGACAACAGTTCGGGGGGGGGGGGGGGGGGGGTTTCTAGCTTGTGGAGACAAAGACTACAGTCAAAACAACGGCGAGTCCACTTCACTATCCCGCTCATCTCTGCAGTCTGCACAGGTCCTCAGATCCTCAGGCGCCATTGCCGTTGAATCTTATCCCCTGGCCCTGGTGAAGATGTGAAACATGGCTGACGGCGCGAGCGCCCTACCCTTGTCACTTGACTTGATCGTTCCTTCCTGGCACGAACCACTATAGTACTTTATTCTTCTACCCCTTTTGATTTGTTTTTCTTCTTTCCAGGGGTAATTGGTTGAATTTACCGAGGTACTGAAGTCCAGAGCAGGCGGAGGCTGGACAAGTCAAGTCAAGACAAACCAAGTTAGAGGGGGTGGGAATCAGGGGCATTGGAATGCTTTGGAAAGAAATAAATCCGCGATTACGACAGCTACGGGATTGGAATCGTGTTTGATGACTGCATGTCATGCAGGAACCTCTCGTTCGAGTACAATAGGGTTGCCGATCAGCTAGAAATTTCTCTAGTTCCCCCACGTTGGGATCATTGCGAGTGCAACATCAGAAGCACCAAACAAAACAACCAGTGTTGGGTGGCCAGGTCCCACGGATGACTGCCAGGCTTTCCTCGTCCCACAACGAAAGAACGCGGTCTGTCTCCGTTCGGTACATCATCACCAATTAATTACCCGAACCCAATGGTCTAGGGGCTCCAAATCAGAGACCATTTCCCGGCAGGGCAGAATTCTCCTCATGCAGGTACAGCCACGCAGAGTTCGCCGGCTTGGCTTTTGATCGACATGACCACACAGCATGCGTTTAGCCTTGAGTCAGCCTTAACCTTGAGCCACTGCGGTTCTTTTGCGATTTGGACCCCACGATGTAGGATGCGAGATATGCCAGGAAAATAGGAATAATGTTTGACCCCATAAGGTTTCCGCGATGGATAAGATCGCCGCGGCGATTTCAGATTTGTGTGCAGGAGGGTCCCTTATACGCAATACTTGATGAATCGAAGGAGAGCGTTGGGGCTGACAGGCGAAAAATGACGCGGACATGTTCGCTAGGCTTCGTACTAGGCATGCGCTATTGGCAAGAATCAAACACGCCATCGTGATTAACATGTTGGGTTGCAAAACCGCCTTATGCCTGGTTCCATGATGCGATCGCAAGGCTTGCATTCAACGCAACGATATTGATGCATAGGAGTCTTGTTCATAAGCGATCTCGGACAGGTGGATGTGGCTGACCGAAGGCCAGCCATGCGCCGCAAGACAATACCCATTATAGGTATCGCTCCGCAGTGGCGATGGAAGGGGTCAAAGCAGCAGAGCGTTCAGCCCAAACCCTACACGTCTGCCGAATAGGCTAGCCTTCAGCTTCATGCAAGCTCCTCTTTGAGATTATCTCCGGAAGTCGCGCTAGAAGCCACTGCCTCCGGCGCGCCGCTCGTATTCTCTTCGGGATGTGCGAGCGACCCGGCTTCAGGCTTTGCTCCTGGTTGGGTTTCTTCTTGTTGAGGATCGTTGATGACGTCTTGGCTCTCGTGAGCAACAGGGATGTCTTTGATCTCTTCGTCCTGCGCACTATCGCCACCGAAAGAGATGTGTTTTGTTGTCGTGTCTCGATTAGCCCCCTCCTCGGGTGGCTGACTAGTCCTTTCAGTCCCTTCGGTGGGTTGAGGGGTCCCCGTCGGGACCTCCGGGCTTTCGAAGAGGGCGTTGAGGTTTTCCCCATCCTTGAATTTGTCGAATCTGGCAAGCTTTGTCTTTACTGACAAGCGGAGGAGGCGCCAAGTCTTGCTTGATTTGGCCTTTTCCGCGCTATCCTTGTCGTCTGCGGCCTGAGCCATATCGATATCCATCTCGTCGTCCATGATACCCATCATCAATGAATCTGCGGAGGGAACGGCGACCCGATCGGATTGCTTGAGCCGCTCGATGTTAGCCAACGCCTCGCTATCGGACAAGAACTTCAGATCCAGAGATCCCATTGGATAAGGTCGAAGTCGCTTGTTGGCGTAGGCTTTGGTTGCATGCTCTCGGGCTTGCATGTAATCGAGCACAGACACTGCTGGCCGCTCGATCGGTGGGCATCCTTCAGCCTTCCAGCGTACCCAATTCTTGTCTCTAGACAACACCGTATCCACCATCCGGAAGTAAAAGTTCCCACCATCGCCCTGACGGAGGTACCCCTCAATGCTTCTTCTCATATCCGCCGCCCATTTCGATTGTTCTTCACTCAAGACAAAGCCGTACAGGACAGACTTGTTTGTCGCGTCGGCCATGCGAGCCTTGGCGTTTGGAGTGAGAGACAACATGAAATCAATAAGGATGAGAGCTTGTACCAGAACGTGGCGTCTGAAGGCCGTGTCGCTAAATTCGAGATCAAATAGATCCCTACTCGTGAGGTACTTGGGGTTGAAGCTCGTTCCAATCTCAGCATCATCGGTGACACGCTTGCGCTTGTGGGTCTTTCGGGCTTCATCCGACGAGCGTGAGCCGCTCTTGCTCTCAAGTTCAGTGTTGATGTTCTTGAATGCAGAGAGTGTGGCATCAAGACCGGCTTTGAAGTCGGCGAATCGCTCCGAATCGAACATCTTGCTTGGGGCAGAGAAATAGGCTTGTAGACTCCAAAATACCGGATAAAGAGTGTCAAGGTCAACTTTTTCCTTTTTGTTGCTTCCTTTCCCTGCCTTGCCCTTCTTGTCTGTAGTGACCACCACCTTTGGAACTTGTGATGACACCTCTGGCTGCGTTGTACCGTCTGTTGGAACCTCAGTAGGTGAAGAGTCCTCATTTCCATCAGCCATAATTGTGTCTTCGTCATTTTTGGCAGTTTGCTTAGAGACATCGTCGTAAGTCGTCACATTTTCAGTGTGGAATTCGCCCCGCAGATTGACAGAGCTCTTGTCCCCGAGTGGGAAGCTCTGAAACAGGAAGATGAAGACCCGACCACAGAACACCGTATCTTCAGCGCGGGATAGTCGGCGGAGGAGTTCGTTACAAGATCTCAAGATGACGAGGCTCTTCTGTTTGAAATGTTTCTGAGAAAGTCAGTACACGGGTCAAATCTCACCAAGAATGACCAACCAACACATACCTTGATATTCCGGTCGCGGCGCGACTCCAAGTAATCAAAAACCTTTCGACAGCCATCAATTGTTTGGCTGTCCAGGAGCTCCTCAATCAGCCAAAATATCAGGCCGGGTTCACATTGTTCTGTGACGTGTTAGGGAGGCTGCTTGTAAACTCTCGCGTAGCTGGAGGCGACTGACCGTTGTCGGAAAAGATAGAGACAATGTCCAGTAGATTCCAGATATGAATAAAAGAAGGGTCTTGGATAGAAGTTGAGGCCTGTACTCGTAGATTGGAAATTTAGTATTCATGCCGGCCATGTAGAGGGCTTCCGTCAACGCCGAGCTCTCTTACCAGGATGCGGTAGAACTTCTCGCGAAAGGCAATCTCAACGGCAGCAAACTGGGTCTGCGGGTTAAGTTCCTTCACAACTTCCTGCTTTTCGGTAGGAACCTGCCAGATCGGTTCTCCCAGGGTTCCCTCGGTCAATGGCGGTTCGATTTGAGAATTGGGCTTCACTTGCGCTGCGCGCTCCAGAAGCCGGTCGACGACCTCCTTGTAGAGGCGCACCGCCTCAAGTTCGGGGGCCGCCATCTTTTAGAGGCGAGAGGAGTGTGAAACGCGACAATTGTGGTCGCAAGGAGCTTCTGAGGGGAGGAAAGGAAGATGAAAACACGGGGGTGACAGTTAGTTTGCGGCTCGGCGGAGAGGAGTGCCAAGACTGTTGGAAAAGCTCCCCCCAGCTAAGGCCGCCTGTTGCGCTCAGTTTGGAATTCTGCTTAGTAAGTGTCTTCGGACTGGCAGAAAACCAATTCCGTCGCACGATGTTTCTTTAATATGCAAGCGGTGAGATAAGCGGTAGCCATTTTATGTGGCTGACTAAGTTTTTGGCAAGATGATCTCAATTGACAGCCCAAGCTTCACTTGGAAGTTCCCGACGTGCGCAGATCCACACCGCGCCTTCGACCGCCCCCAGTCTTTCAGGATCAGGGACAAGTGCTGTGATGGCGCATAGTCTGGAGTCCCGGCCGACCGTGGTGGATTTCCGCGAGGACAACCCTTGGGTGAAGCTGGCCCAGGCACAGTGGTCCGATGCAAAGAAGGTCCGCAAGGTCAAGCCTGCGGTGATTAAACAGCAATTATGGGATCCTTTGGAAGCGGAAGGCTTCACCAATCGCTCGCTGTTGATCTTGGAAAACCTGAATGTTCTGGAAAAGTATGTTTGTCCTCCGGTGACATTGCTTCCATATCTTCGCAGGGCTAACTAGTTTCGCGTGCAGGTTCCTTTGGCCGACGTACACCGAGGATGCCTCGAATCATCACGTTCTTCTGATTGCCTTGGTCGTCAGTGTCAAGTATCGCGAGCATCTGCCAATATGGGGTGAGTCAATGCGACAATTTATTCGGGCTTGTGCCTTGGGATCATGTTCGCTGACCGGAACTTGCAGACATTTTTTCTGATCGCGCCGATGATTTCTCAAGCCTATTCCATCGGATCCTGTCCATGAGCATTGATCCATCATTGTCTACTCAGTCTCGGATGTCAATCGTCTCCTTCATTATCGGTGCCTTCCAATCGCTTGAAAATGTCCTGATCCGAAAAGAATGCGCCCCGCTCGTTTCAATCTCGATATGGCACAATCTAGCCAGCGATGAGGCCAGGGAGCGCGTAATCTCCAAATCGGCAACATTGAAGAAGGCTTGGAGGGCGGTGGGCAAGCGCTACGATGCGGGAGATGATGCCGCCAAGGCGAAGATGCGGTTCGAGCGGTCATGGCTGTATACCATGTTGCTTGTTTTCTTGCAGAAGCTGAACGGCACGGAGAAAGAGCAACCGGAGAATCTACTGTACTGCGAGCGCTTCTTGGAGTTGCTGGTAGATCTTTTGAGCCAGCTTCCGACTCGGCGGTACGTGAACACACTGCTGAAGGACTTGAACCTTCTGCCCGTTATCCGCCTGTCGCAGCTCTACCACATTCCTGAAAATGCGCTTTTCCGCGATCTTTACAACCTTCTCAAGCATTTCATCTTCTTTGCAATCGATGATTACTCCGGCGAGGCGCTTTCTCCCCAGGCGGTTTATGATCTACACTGCCAGGAGCTGGCACGACTGCAGAGAACTGCCATGAAATCCTTCAAGGAGAAGCTGATGATACTCGCACTCTCGAACCTGGGTGCTATTGAACAGCGATCGGAGTTGGAAGGGCAACTGTCCTCCTTGGACGAGCCAGAGCTCCAACAACTATGCACACAGCTAGGATTCCGGACAAGCTATCCAAAGTCGTCGAACATCACTCCAGGTCGACAGCTTTATTTGGAGACCCTCTCCTCTTTCTACGAGCGAAAACTTTCTTTCCAGGAAGTCGCTGCTCAGCTCAGCATCATCCCAACGGAAGACAGCTTGTACGACCCCGCCTTGTTGAGAAGCGAATCCTACGATGGATCGAGGCCCCTTGCAATCCCCAAATTGAATCTTCAGTATCTGAGCATTGGGGACTTCCTTTGGCGCTCATTCCTTCTCTACCGGTCTGAGGCTTTCTTCCAAATTCGCAAGGATATCGAATCGATTGTGAAACGGATGCAGCCCAAGGCAAACCGGGATGGAAGTGTAAAATTTGACGGCTTCTCTCGAATGGCTATTCCGATCTCCAAACCTGCCATTGTTGAAGTTGCCCCGGCCAAGGTTGGCTCTCCTAACCCGGCGTTTGTTCGGGCCGAGATTGCCATCGAAGTTGGTCGCCTCGCAGAGAACGTTCGCAAAGAATGGGATGCTCTTCGCCCCGATGATGCGATCTATCTACTAGCTGTTCAGACACCCTCTCCCGCACGAATGGGAATGCTGGACCAAATGCCAGACACTCCATGCATGACTCACCTGCGCACAGCGCTGGTTGTGCAGGTTCTCGATGAACAAGGCCGTCCATTACGCCAGCCAGCCGCGGGTCAGACAAACGGATATCAATCCCGGCCAAGAGTGCGCAAGCTCCTTGTCAACCTGGATGTCGAGGCGTTCAAGACGGACAAAGACCGTCAATCGCACGGCAAGGCGGACATCTACCCCTCAATCAACGTTGTGGCGCGGAGGAAGGCCAGGGAAAATAATTTCAAGTCTGTTCTTGAAACTATGCAAAAGCTCATTGTTTCAGACATGACTCTCCCGTCTTGGCTTCAGGATGTTTTCCTCGGATATGGAGACCCTGCGGGCGCACAGTATACACAGCTGTCAAACAAACTCCAGTCTGTGGATTTCCTGGACACCTTCCTGGACTGGCCTCATCTTGTTGAGAGCTTCCCCGGCAGGACAATTGAACCGTCGGGCGCTGAAACATCCAGTTTTGGTCCTCCCTACGTCCTTGAATGGGCTGAGGGCGAGGCAAGTGCGGCTCCTACTGCTCCGCAGAAAAAGCGCCGCCGAGAGCAAGTCGAACCGACTAAGCAAGAACCCACTCCTATGCGTGTGTCAACGTATAAGCCACCCAACCCGGGCCCTTACCCTGTTGATGCCCCCAAGCTCAACAAAGTTCGCTTTACACCTGCTCAAGTAGAAGCAATTGCATCCGGCACGCAGCCAGGTCTGACGGTGATCGTGGGACCACCTGGTACCGGCAAGACTGATGTTGCAACCCAAATCATTAACAACCTTTACCACAACTTCCCCAACGAGCGCACACTTCTCATCGCCCACAGCAATCAAGCGCTCAACCAGCTCTTCGAGAAAATTACTGCGCTTGATATCGACGAACGCCACCTGCTCCGTTTAGGTCACGGCGAGGAAGAGCTAGATACCGAATCTAACTATAGCAAGTACGGCCGGGTCGAATCATTCCTTGACAATCGAAACTATTACCTATCGGAAGTCATGCGACTTGCGGCATCAATTCAGGTAGAAGGCGCTCATGGAAACTCTTGCGAGACGGCAGGCTATTTCAATACTGTCCATGTTCAGCCGGCGTGGGCGAAATTCTGGGATCATGCCCATTCTGAAGAAGTCTCAGGAGAGGACATTATCACCTCTTTCCCATTCCATGCGTTCTTTGCAGATGCTCCTCAACCTCTGTTTGGCGAAGGAGCGTCTAAGGAGGCCATTTTGGATGTTGCCTCTGGTTGCCAAAGGCACATCGAGCGAATCTTTTCTGAACTAGAGGATATTCGGCCCTTTGAAATTCTGCGCCAGCCACGAGATAAAGCTAATTATCTACTGATCAAGGAAGCCCGAGTGATTGCGATGACCTCCACGCACGCAGCAATGCGCCGACAGGAGATCGCGGACTTGGGCTTCCATTACGATAACGTGGTTATGGAAGAAGCTGCGCAGATTACCGAAATAGAGAGCTTCATTCCTACTGCACTTCAGAACATGAAGAATGGCGAGCTTCCTCTCAAGCGAGTTGTGTTATGTGGCGACCACTTCCAAAACTCCCCCATCATCCAGAACATTGCTTTCCGTCAATATGCACACTTCGAGCAGAGTCTTTTCCTGCGACTGGCGCGACTTGGTGTTCCGGTGATCACACTGGATAAGCAGGGTCGTTCCAGGCCGAGCATCGCCGAGTTGTTCCGTTGGCGCTACCATGAGCTGGGTGATCTTGCAGCCGTGGAAACCGTGGAGGAATTCAAGCAGGCAAATGCTGGGTTCCAATACGATTACCAGTTCATCAATGTCCCTGACTATCAGGGTACCGGTGAGCGGGAGCCAACGCCACACTTCATGCAGAACTTGGGCGAGGCAGAGTATGCTGTGGCGCTGTACCAATACATGCGACTCTTGGGATACCCGGCAGCGAAAATCTCAATCTTGGCGACGTATGCTGGTCAGACGGCTTTGATTCGTGATGTGCTGAGCCATCGCTGCGCAAAGAACCCCCTGTTCGGAATGCCCAAGATTGTCACGACTGTGGATAGATACCAAGGAGAGCAGAATGACTGTGAGTGTTTTTTTCTTCCCTCAGTAAGAGAATTCCAACCAATGCTAACATTAATCACCCCCAGACGTCATTCTGTCTCTAACCCGTACTCGCACTGTGGGCTACCTTCGTGATGTTCGTCGTCTCACCGTTGCGCTATCCCGCGCTCGTCTGGGCTTGTACATCCTTGGTCGCCGTGAAGTGTTCGAGTCGTGCTATGAGCTTAAGCCCGCATTTGACCGTCTCTTGCAGCGTCCGGATAAGCTGATGCTTGCTCCGGGTGAGATGTTCCCCACCACCCGAGCGCTGGACGCTCCGGTCGAGGGCTCACCCATGGAAAGTGTTGAGCATCTTGGTCAGTATGTGTTCGAAATGACCCAGGCCAAGGTCAAAGCGATGGGCGATGGTGATATGGTTGTCGATACCACCGCAGCAAATGGCGAAGAGCTGCCTGTCGAGGAAGACGATGAAATGCTTGGTGCCGACGAAGATCAGGATGAGGATATTATTGTATGAACATGCGTTCCCAGACATTGCCCCTTCGAAATTTAGGGGCTATCAAAAAACTTCAAATAGATGTATGTTCTCAATGATATCTTCAGAGTTGTGACCCATTTTCCTTTGGAAATTTACAGCGGAATGGATAGGATTGAGGTCATTTCCAACCTTAGAAAGCTATGAGGGAGAACTGCAGACTGCAGTGAATCTACTCTGATTAAATCTAGGCGTGAAGAATTCCTGGCTGCCTATAATGAACCATGTAATTGTTGATAACTCCTAGATGCTGGACATCCAGTCCAGCCGATGCCTACTTTAGTTCAAGTTGGTTTATGAGACGACGATAGATGTCGGCTACAACTCGACCGGGAAAATCAGACCTTTCATTCTATCTCTATTATAGAAGTGATGAATGGGCACCTCATGCCCTACTTGCTCGTACTGATCCCATCCAAGGTGTCGCTGGAGGATTGATATCCTGCTGAATGCTTTCGTATTCTCTATTCCACAAAATTGCTTCTAATCTTGCTGAAGCTTGTTTATTTCCTCGACAATGTTCTGAGGATCCTTCCAAGCAAAGCTAACATATCTTTTCGAAGAGTTAGTTTACACAAGACAAATGTAGTAACGCAGGATTAAAGAGAGCAACTTACTTGGTGTGGCTTCCACGAGCGACGACATCGCCCTTCTCGTTGGTAAACTTGATGTTGGTGTATGCGAGGGTTTTGCCAACTGTTGAATATTAGCAGGATTATACCACGAGAGATCATTGTCGATTCATACACTTGTCACAGGTGACCTCCTAAAAGCTTGTTAGTATACTGTATTTCCGATACAAGATAAAGGTAATCAGACTTACTGCCATGATTTTGTCACCAATCTTACCACCAGAACTGAGATAAGTTACTGAACGACAGTTTGAGTAAGTTGTTTGTAAGTAGACGCGGAGGCTCTTGCTCTGCGCAAGGCCAGTGTTGCTCGTGGCTAACATACCATTCAGGTCAGTGGACACGCCAGTGGCGAATAGTCCACGAGAAGCAACAGCTAAAGAACCTCCAAGGTCAACTAGGAAGTGATGTCAGTCCGAACCAGTGTCTTCAATGTATAGGTGGTCCAGTTACGTACCCATGCTTGCAATAGTACCGCCATGAAGGATATTCAAGCGGTTCTGAGATGAGAAGTACGTTAGCTGAAGAATTCATAAAATCAAGTATTGGCCAAATTTGCACAATTGAATGGAACAAACGAAGTGACCACAATTATTGAAAGAAATTTGCTTACAGTATGTTCCTTCTGGATGTCCAGTTCAAAATTGACAGTTCCGGGTCTGGCCGCAGTGACGCGCAGCTAGATGCAGTGACCAGAGGCATTAACAAATGAGCGCTATATACAAGCCTTTCAAAGACCTACATTATTCAACAGCCTTTCAACAAGATGTTAGTTATCTCGATCAACTGGATGCTTCGGTTCTCTCAGGATATTGGATGACTGGTATAGCTTACCGAGGCTCTAAACCCGAAGTAGCCCGAAAGGACTCCCAGACCTAATTGGACATACATATCAGCGATGGACCTAAAGTGAGCTAACTCAAATAGTTAGCACTCACAGACTTGACAAATCTCAGGGCGGTCATTTTGGGAGAGTTGCGAGCAGTTGGACGTTGAGAAGCAAGAGCCGAAGATCGGTAGATGGCCAGGAGCATCCATCCCGGAAACTGCGTCAAGTGGCCGCACCGGTCACCGTACACAGCACTCTTCATCAAGCATGACTTCACCGAGCACCTCTCTTTGCACTGAGCTACAGAGACTCCAGGTCTCTCGGGTTACCACCATGGCGGCATCTACGTCTCGTCCCCTCGAGTACCTGGAAAGCCTGCCTGGAATGACCTTCAACAAGCTGTACCAACAGCCATCCACTGCCCTCGCTATCTTTCGGCGAATGCTACCTGATCTGGGTATCCAGAGCTCTCCACACGTCGATCGCAGCTTTGAGACTGACAGTGAGAACAGCAAAATGCTTTGTCATGGCACTTCTTTATTTGAAGGATCCTTTACCTACGCAGGATCTTGAGCTCTGGGTCAAAGCGGAGAGCAAGAAGTGAGCGCGCATCGTCCCCAACCTTCCTTGTTCAGATTGGTGTCGCTGATATTAGAAAATCGACTAAAAGGCAGCGGGATAATGCACTCTCCATCTTGGGCCGGCTTCATATTCTATCAAAGACTCTCACCGCCGACAATGTCAGCGCTTACATGGTCACCAATCCATTCGCATCTTCTCTCCGAAAGGCCCTCATGGGCTCTGAAGATTCCCAGTCTTTTGGTGTCTTCTCCCAAGTCCCCGGCGAACACCCCGTGTCAATCACCGACCTGGATGAATATGCCCGACGACAGTGGGAAGGTGTGCTGGGTTACATGGTTGGAACGAGTGCTCTTAGTGGACAACGGGATGTAAACCTCAGCAAGGGTGTCAAACAACTGCTTCAAGCTGGTCATCTTGTCGAGATTCGCGATCGCCGAGTGGACATTACAAAGGATGGCTTCGGGTTCGTGCTGCAGGACGTCAGCACACAAGTTTGGCATATACTAATCCTCTATGTCGAGAGCGCTGAGGCTATCGGTATGGACAGCGTCGAGGTCCTCTCATTCTTGTTCCTGCTCAGTAGTTTGGAGCTAGGTCAATCTTATGAGAAGAAGTACCTCTCGTCTGTTCAGCTTCGGACCCTTGCCGACCTCACCGACTTTGGCATCGTTTATCAAGAATCGCCCGAAGCAACCCGCTTCTACCCAACACGACTGGCGACTACACTGACTTCCGACTCCAGTGCTCTGGGTAGCACTGTTGGTAGCTCGTTGACTGGGCCCGCAGGCCAGCCCGGCGCCTCGGGTACAGGTTCGGGCTTCATCGTCATCGAAACCAACTACCGCGTCTACGCATACACATCCTCGCCACTTCAAATCTCCTTGATCTCCCTCTTCACAACCCTCAAGTACCGCTTCCCAAATTTGGTCACCGGCAAAGTCACCCGGCAATCAGTGCGCCGCGCCATCGATATGGGCATTACCGCGGACCAGATCATTTCATATCTACACACTCACGCGCACCCGCAACTACGCAAGCACAATGCCGGCCATTCGACCTCCAATACAGCAGGCGTCCCGCCCTCTGTCCTTCCGCCCACCGTGACAGATCAGATTCGACTGTGGCAGTTGGAGCGAGATCGGCTCCGAGCTACTGCCGGATTTCTGTTCAAGGACTTCACCACTTTACAGGAATACCAGGCTCCATGTCAGTATGCGGCGGAGATTGGCGTTCTGGTGTGGAAGTCGGACCGAAAGCGCATGTTCTTCGTGACTCGGCATGAGCAAGTTGCCGCATTCCTCCGAAGCAAGAAATAAGGACGGGTATCTCGGTCTGGGGGCAATCCCAGATCTTATTGGGTATTCTGCATTCGATTGGTTTGGGGATTTGATACAAAAGCATCTGGTACCAGGCTGGCGTTCTGAGAGACCTCGATGGGGCATTTAACGAAATCACGATGATATTTTTAGTTCATACCATTTTCCCCGTCAAATTGTACAATACAAAGGTTTTTTTACTCATTTTATTCCCTGCTTCTATATTTCTCCCAAACCTTTGCTCGCGCCAGGAACAATAAACGACACATCCTGTTGTTGGCGCATATTCCGCTGTAAGTGGTGAAGTGTTCGCCCACGAAATTGTACCGGTCGACAGCAGATATTATAGCGACTTCTACTTTGTAGCTGGAAGGGGCTCGTAGTTGGTCAGGTATGGCCCTTTGGCCCCCTGAATCATAAAGATCATGATCATGATCACCGGATCGTCCTGGCCAAAAAAAGGACACCATTCAGGGGTAAATAGACGAGCCAAGGAACCGAATACTTTGGTCTTGGCCTGTGGCTGGGCCTTGAACGGGGATGGCGTCGGTTGCTTTGCTATGAAATTGTCGGCGCTCAAGATAGATTTGATTCTGATCGCGATCGTGATCTACGATAGCGCGATCGGGAGATATCATCCCCTGCACCGCTTGACGAAGGCGTAGAAGCTTATCGCCAAATCTTAAATCTGGCAAACCACAACCTTAGAACTCGGTCCCTGAGAGCGACCCAAAAGCAGCGGGCCCCACTGTGGCTCAACCCGCCAAGGGGAGACCAAACAACAACAGTCAACCAGCCCCGAATTGGACTCGAAATCGCCCCGCGAAAAGTCAATTTACCGGTTTTTCATCGCCTCGTGTGTGCTCTTTCCGTTCTTCGTCACTCAATTTTCCCCCTTTCGCGATACATCGTCACCTGTGTAACCGGCCTGGACTATGACCTCGGCCAGCGAAGCCAGTCCCGGTAACTGGATCGTGGGCAGTTACACGGGTAACAGCGATGGGGTGCGCATCACGATTGCGACCTTTGTGGGCGTCGCATGGTATAATGTGATTGAGCTAGTCGTGCTCATCTTCCTCACCTTCAAGCGCTACCATGGCCCCTACTTCTGGAGTATGCTCATCTCCTCCATCGGGATCCTGCCATACTCGGTCGGCTATTTGATCAAGTTTTTCGGCCTCACTTCGGCGACATGGGTCCCTGTCACGCTACTGACCGTGGGCTGGTGGACTATGGTCACTGGCCAGTCCTTTGTGCTATATTCGCGCCTGCATTTGGTGCAGGAGAATAAGCGCATCCTGCGCATGGTCAAGGGCATGATCATCATGAATATTTTTCTGCTCCACGTCCCAACTACTGTCCTCACCTATGCCGCCAACTTTTCTGAATCCCCCACTTCCGTTGCGGGGTACGATATTATGGAGAAAATCCAACTTACCGGATTCTGTGTCCAGGAGGTTATCATCTCCAGCTTTTACATGTGGGAGACCAACCGAATGCTGCATGACAATTCTGATGCTGGTAGTCGCAAGACCATTTTGCAATTGCTTGCCGTCAACGTTTCTTGTATCCTGATGGATATCGCGTTGATGGTCATCGAGTTCATGAATTTCTATATCTACCAAACCACTCTCAAAGCTACGCTTTACAGCATTAAGTTGAAACTGGAAATTGCCGTCCTGGGAAAATTGGTCAAGATTGCCCATCAGAATGTTTATGTGTCACCATTCAATGCGGGTAATGGTCACTTTCCTTCTTATGTGGACCCAACCCTCCGTGCTGGTGACTACAGTCATCCAGAGTCAATGGGGACGGGCCAAAGCTCTAAGAGCAGGGAGACCAGACATGATTTGGACTATGAGGATGATGTTCGATGAGCCAGCGCGCGACAAGATATTCACCCGCCTCTTCAGCCTGAATTGTCCTAGACCAATCCTCAGAACGGACGATATGGTATATACTACACACTCTTGTCCTCTAGCCACTGCGGCTTTCGAAGTCAGATGCCGTCAGTTCGAGCACCTCTCTCGCCTACACACTGCGACTGAGCCACGCGCCCTTTGTCCTTTGTGATAAAAGGTTTACAACCCGTCTCGCAGATTCGCCCAATATATATGACGACTACCCGTGGCCTGGAAGGGTGTGGAAAATCCCAGAACTAAACAAACATCAACAATCCCGATGTCGAAACTCCTTGGGATCAGTACTATCTCGGTCCGTCGAAGTGATGGGGGATTCAAAAGCAGACCTAGAGTTGTTTACTGTGCATAGCGATTACGAAATTACGACATAGATCTACAGTATAAACATCATATAACATCATGATTTTCACATTCACCCAAATCCTTATCATCATAGGTCCGGTGGATCCCAACCAGGCAACTCAATACCGTGGGGACAGCCATGAGTCTCTTCCGCTCTCCAGTCAGCTACCTCATCCGCTAAAGACCAGCTATTGACCTCCTTCAACTCTCTCATGTCCCGCACAACATCACCATCCAAATCACCCATAGCCGCCTGAAATCCTCGCACAAGCTCCCATGTCCACACATCTCTCCACCACTCTTCCCGAATATGAACCGGCATCTGACTTGTATGCCACATGTCAAGAACCACATCCGCACTCTGTATTGCATTCCTGAGTGGCCCTTCGATCCTACGCCCACAGAACGAAGGATCTGGATATGAACGAAACGAAGCAAACGGAGATGCAAAGGTCTCGTATTGTGACCATAATATTCTGAAATAAAAGTATTCCGACGCAACCTCTGAAGTATGGATGACGAGGTCGTAGAGCATGTTCATTCGCAGTCCGCCGAATGCTTGGAGGGGAATCTCCCAGCGGTGCACGTCTGTCATGTTTGATACTGCGATGCTGCGCTCCACCCATCCAACCGCCATGATGGGCGGTTGCTGGACAAGCATTCGGCGCCAACTCGCCTCCGGTCGTCGATATGTGTCGCTGCTTTCCAGGAAATCTTGCATATCGCCAGCACCAAAGGCAGTGGCGCATGAATTGCCGCCATCTGCGGGAAACCAGTATGGAAATTTCGATGCCAAGAGGGGGTTCTGTTGGCGTGGGGTACTTGTCGGTGCTGGTTGGAAGAATAGAATTTGCTGGATTTTTGAAGATCCTTGGATGCATTTGGCCCATTGGCGGCTGACCCGTTGGGCGAGGAGGATGGTTTGCATGTCCACTTGCGTGAGAATAGCTTCGAGGAGCTCGTTCGGTAATGATTGGCGGGCCATCATATGCTTTTGGCAAGCTTAAATGGATTCGTGTTTTGGAAGTATTCACGAGCCGGGGACCGTGGATGGCGATCACGATGTGCGATAAAGTGCAGCGCCTCCCGAGCGTGCCCCCCCCTTTTGGTTCTCTTGTCTGGCTAGCGCGGTTTATAGCCAGGTCAGGGGTCCAAGCCGCCCCGCATTTTTTGAGGATATTCTTTTTCCTGTCTAGATTGGACTTTGAGGTATGAATTGTAATTTACGGGCACAAGTTTCAGGATGACGTTATAAAGAGTACAGTTCATAGTATAGACATTGCCTGAATTAATATACGTGTTGGTCCAAGACCCTACCTCGCGCAAACTATAATGCTAGACCTCCACCACAGATTATGGAGATGCAGTGATTGTGGCAACAGGCTTAATATCCGCTGGCTGATAGCTGGGATCTTCAGAGTAGCTCCAAGCCGGCACGAAGTTGATCGAGCCACATCCACCCGATTTGGGCATACCGAAGATATCCGTTTGGTCGGGGAGTTTTTCAAACCAACAAGTGCAGGTGTTCTTGAAACTGTCTCCAAGGATTGAAGTGTCAGTATCTTTGCACTTCACGTCACCATGATCGCCGCCAGATCCGACACCGGTAGGGTCAGCCTCGCTGCTGCCGACCGCCATGATCTGGTAGACCTGTTGATGTTGTTAGTACGTGAAGCGACGTGCTGGCAGCGCCGTCAGGGTGAGCCACTTACCAGGCAAACTTCCTGGAGACTTCCGCCATATTTCTGATCCGTTGTCGAGGTATCACACTGTTTGAAGTGACTGATTAGCATCGGATTATAAATCCCAAGTGGAAGATTCGACATACCCCGTTCATAATGGTACGCAGCCGGTCCATGCAGAGATCAGTGGCACGAAGACCCTCTCCCTGGGGCGGCCAAGTGGTCATTCCCGTACAGCCACCAGAGGCAAAGTAGGCGCCAATCCACAGGTTGTCCTTGCCACCGTTGATGCTATAGCTACCACTCGCACCGAGAGACTTGCCCTTCCCGTCCTTTGTGGTTCCACAGCCTTGATCGATTGGAGGAGTGAAGACGTGGTTGTAAAGATTTGTATCACTGCAGAAATCTTTGATCTTCGCATCGGCCTCCGAAACACTGAATGCCGACCGACCTGAGGGGGTACCACTCCTTGAACTGGCACACGTAGGGTCGGGGGTATTGACATAAGAGCTGAACTCTCGCATCTGGTTTATAAATGTATCAGGGTAGTCAGTTTCCGGTGCGAGGGTGTCGGTATCAGCTTCGTCGGAGAGTGTGATAATGTCGCTATCATCGAGATCGTTTGCCACATAGCTTCCGTCTGCGTTGGTGGTAAAATCATCTGCTGAAAGTTCGCCTCCATTGATACCGAATGTTCCATTGCCTTGGGTCAAGAACATAGCGCTGGTCTTTGGCTGCCATTCGATTGCTTCGCGGTCGGCAAGAGGGAGCCAGGGGTACTGATTCCCATCCAGCTTAGACTGTACGTATTTGGCTTTGTGATAGATTAGCACACAATATTCTGGAATCACTTTGATGGGTATGAGATTAAATAATCATACATAAAGCATATTGAGCATAGTTGTCCGCTGTCGACGAGAAAATGACATGTCAGCTATCAAAGAAATACTTAAGGGGCCGGATTGACCGTACCATTCATGGTGATACCATCTTGAGCAATATACTGTCTTGCAGTCCGAGCCAGGATTTTGCAAGGCAGTGGCTGATAAACATCCCACTTGACTTTCTTCCGGTCATATCCACGATCGTAGTCGTGCCGCTGGTACTCGTAGACATACATACTCAAATCCTTGATTCGGCGATTTTTGTTTTGCGAGTATGTCATGACTGTAGCATGCATGAATTCGTGCAGAATAATGTATGCTAATCAAGAACCGTGGCCGGTCAGATCAAGCTGCTATGAAGTATTCACGGAACGGAGTATGCCACACCTTGATTCTTGTACTTTGTCAGGTCGTATCTCCACTTGAAGTCGTCGTTGTTCTTCACAGCATCAACAGCCTCGTCGAGTTTCTTGTAGTAGAAGAACTGATCACAGAAATGCATGTTGGAAACAGCATCCGCCTGATCATAGCTAGGTGCGGTGTTGGGATCAGTGGCATCTTTCTTGGTATTCCACTGGTAGGCAATAACGCCTTGCTTTCTACATCGATTCTGATATTTGATATCATTTGCTGAGCCGCAACGAGCATTCATCTGGTAGCCTGGCCAAACGCCACTGAGTCGGAAAGTTGAAATGTGCTCGAACACGGACTGGATGTTGCTCTGCCAGTCCTTGTTCAGCGCACTAGGTCCCAGATAGTCAAGAGCACCGGGGTCATTGCCAAAATCAATAGTCTTGACTTGTTCAGCCATTGTGACTGCATCTTCGTGGGCCGCTTTGATTGCCGTCTGCTGGTCAGTGGAGCAGCCCTCAAACTTTAACCATGTCCACAGAGCGTTGGGCCCATCGTCACGTTCTTGGATAGGGGACTCGTGGGCAGGAGCAGCTTGTGTAGAAGAGAGCAAAAGCAGCGTGGAACCAAGAAGAATTGGTAGGCGCCGTAAAGTAATCATTTTGAGTAAGGCCAGCACAAACGCCCGCAATGTTAATGAAAGATAGAATCAACGACTGCTTTGCAGAAATTGACTCGATTTTCTCCTCCCCCACATGAGCCTTTTATACATGAAGACGTAACGTAGTAGCAACAATAAGAGCAGGAAGCCGCACAGCCTCCAATATCGTTTGACATACTTGAGCTTAGCCCAATTTCCCGTGTGCATAGCCAGAGCAATACTTTCCCATTGGTTCAGCCATAGAGTTCCTGGATGCTAAGTGTGCCTGCATCCATTTTGAAACTGTTGCTCGTAAAATAAATGCAGGAGAAAAGCCAAAGACTAAAAACAGTACCCGCCCCCAAAAGCCTCATCCGTTTTGCCGAATCACATCTCCTCTTCCGCGCGACTTTCGGCACCACAAAGATCCGACGCAGGGGCGATAAGATCATAATAGTGATTGTTTTTGGATTAATTCAAGCTATAGTTACCAACTATTTCAGCACAATCTTTGTGGTCGAACTTCATTGAATAGTGTAGGTAGCCTCTCCCAGGCTGACAATATCTGGGGTATTACGCAGCATAGGGTTAGGATCTCTCCATCTCGGTATGATTACGGATCATGTCGAGAGTTTGAACAAACATAAATCGCCCGTAAGCAGCCATGGAGGGTCTCGCTGACTGAGGCTGAGGCTTATTTTGGGGTGGGCATTATGCTTGGCGGAGGTGCCAAGACTTCTTTCACCCTTCACAACTGGCCACGACTTCGCTCTACTTCAACCCCCAAAAACATACTTCTGCCCCCAAGCCAAGGGGTCTTCTTACCTAGTTTCAAGCTGAAGTTGTATTCTGATTCCCAGAAAATTTCAGGGTCTTCTCACGGCCCCTTGCGTTCAAATTTCATTCGGTCGCCGTCAATATGTCAGAGAGCAACAAGACCATGAAGGCAGATGAAGGTCAACAGCAGCCACGAGCTCAAAGAACACGGTTGTCATCAACTCATCTTTTCAAAGTCCTAGTCCTTGTATTCACTGTCGTTATCCTTATTTGGACCTTTCAGCAGCCCCTTCGTCGTGGTTTCACTTACCGCCCCGACACAAATGTAGCTGAAGGCCCGGATCCGCTCGGTGAGCTTTCGGTCGAGGATCACAACATCAATTCTCCTAACAGCAGATGCTCCCTACCTACCACACGTTACGACATCCAAACTGGCAAGACATCATGCTACCCTTCCTCGGGCGGTATCTGGCTAGCAGATCTAGGCCCCGTGGAGCTACAATACCTGGGCATCAACCGTTTTGATTCCACCGAGCGATCAGAGAACCAATCCGAAGAAGACCACTTTTGTCACGAGCTTCGCAAGTTTGGTGGTTCTTGGTATGACCCAAAGTCGCCTGATGATCTTTGGGTCGGCGGAGAATGCAGTGAGCTTGATGAGTTCGAGCCAGTCTTCTCCATTGACCGCCAAGTCGCATTTCCAGCGAAGGGGGGCGTATGGGTCCTTGGTAAAGATAAGGAGACTGGAAGATATCCGATTGGAATGGCTGGTGTTCGAAATTCATTGACAATGGATGAGCGCTCGATGGTTCTGGAAAGACTGGGAGCTGTTTACTGTGACGATGTTGCGAACTGCCATCTACTAGATGACCTCAAGAACGAGCCACACGACCTGGCTGCTGGCCAAAACTCTTGAATGTGATAATGACATGCAATTTTAGCTCACCATGTTTCGCAAGTTCAATAGATCATTTTGTTTCCACTCACAATCCTACTTTCGACAAGAGAATAACCATTTTAGATTCGGCAAGACCAACTGCTTAGCCCGTAGTGGAACGCAGTGTACTTGAGGGTCAGACTTGGGTATTACGACATGCGCATCAGCTAGCAGATCAATTTCTACCTTCTTGTACGCCACTAAGAAACAGAAACCTGTTCGCTCCATGTGGCTGAAAAGCATCTGTTTACCTTCAACTGTCCAGAATCTGCCCTGTAATGGTGGCATGCTCGCAGAAGAGTTGCATCATTGCCACTAGAGGCTTTGGAAGACAAAACCAGACGCAGGAGGAGCAACCAACTAAGGAAAGATGCCCACTCCAAGCAAAATGACACTCCAAGACATCAAGCTTGGCTGCCAAGTTAGTGATTCAGTTAGTGATTCATCTATGCTTAGCCAGGAAAAGCGTCATACAAATCTGACTCTGTGAGCAGCCGATTTTTCAAACGATCATCTGCGATCAGACCGATCTGTGTGCCCTGATAATACTTTCCCACTCTCCGCCTTGCTTGGTCATTGGTGTGCGACATACGAATACGAACAGGTTCATCGAGCACGCGAGGCTTGCGAGCAGCACCGCACCCGACTACAAAGGGGGCTTCGGCAGTGGAGCACCAACACAATAAGAACAAACCCGGCTCTTCCGGGCGTTGCCGTTCCATCTCACGAGTGAGAAATCAGCCCTGTTTGTAAACCAATAGTAGGACATCAGGCGCCCAAATTTCCCCACTTGGCGTCCAAATCACCATTTGGTGCATATTTTTATAGGAGTTGCGCTCATTCTGTGCTCCCTGATTCTACTTATAAGTTTCAACCCAATGGTAGCGGCGCTATGGTCCAGGATCGAGTCGTGAACCACAATTTAATTCCCCTAAGTTCCTCTAAGCGCTAAGAACAGGCTTTATCCATTGGGGCTACAGTACTCCGTACTTCCAGATAATTGTTAAAAGTGGGACTCCTGAGCTAACCGTTCTGGGCCTTAGCTAATTGGTAATCTCATGTTTTGGAAATGACCTTTCCTAGTAAACACAAGGATACAGTGGCCGTTCAAAAGTATTTGGAACACAGTACTTCCGGCCCATACCGCTTTTTTACACCGCCTACTTAAATTGGCCATACGCGTCCTCGCGCAAGCGGTCGAATCTAGTAAATTCGCTTAGATTATTGGTATTTTGTTAATCTAGTTAGAGCAATACCTCATTATGGAGAGGAGGTCATTAGATACAACAGATGGTATACTAGTTATAGAAATATTGAATGAATTAGGTGGTTTAGCCGGCAGAAAAATAAGTGGGGCATGTAGCATTTTCCAAATCCTTTTGAACGCTGACTGTATGGAGCCGTTTTCACTTGTATAAGATACCATCTTGTATTAAAACCGGAAGTCCCACGTTAACAATTAGGTGGTAGGGTATTGTACAACATTATTTTCTTTGCCCCCCCTTTGAAATGTACTAAATTATTTCCGCGTATCCTCTACCTGGCCTGCCCAGGGAATGAGGAGTTCTTGGCTAGCACGGCGTAGAAAAATATTTTACGTGTATACCCTCCCTCTCCTTTCAGGACCCTCAGCTGCTCGGTATGCAGAAACCGCGACTATTGTTTTGGCTCACTCCTAGGAGGGCTATAGTTGGTTGTATACTGATTTTTACCCTCCAAATCTCTTATTTCTTACATCGCAGTTATTTGCAACCTAGGCAAGGTAGTGACTATTTCCCCGGAATATATCCATCCTGGAAACTTTTCTAATGATCGTCCGCCGGGGCAGCTCGTCGGCATGATATCGTCAACCAACTTGTCGACCTGACCAACTCTTACACCTCGAAATCCGCAAACGCCAGTGTTGGGCTTGTCCTTGCGTCGATTCACACCGATGACTTGACGTGGCTTCTGGATTACTGTACCGAAAGGTAACTTGGTTCGGTCGGCTATTGAATCCGCGGAGGCTTATGCCCCATTTTAGTGGCAGTGTACCATTTGTTTATACGACCGAGCGATCTCCCGAGTTTGGCCTGCTAGTCCCTCCAACGATCCGTGGCCGTGAGGCTTCAGCCTATCTTTCCTATGTTATTGATTTCTACGACCATCTCCCGGAATACTCTATCTTCGTCCACGCATTTCCGGAGCAATGGCACAATGACCTTTTCGGACCTTATACGCTTAACACGTTGAAAAATATCCGATTCGAGTCCATCGATGCCTATGGATATGTGAATCTTCGGTGCCAGCACAATCCAGGTTGTCCAACGGGCGTATACCCGCTCAGTCCGAGCCAGGTCGACATTGAAAATCACGACATTCGCGCATATTTTTCAGACGCTTACCAGCAAATTTTCAGCGTTACCGCAGACAAAGTCCCCGATGCTATAGGAAATGTATGCTGCGGGCAATTTGCCGTTAGCAGGGACAGAATTAGAGCACGGCCCAAGGAAGACTACGAACGGATTCTAGATTGGATTGCGACGACTAGCCTGACAAACGATTTTGGCGTTGGCTGGGTCATGGAAAAGCTTTGGCACATCATCTTCGGCATGGATGCAGTATAGTGAGTCTTGACTTTCTTCCGGGTTAGTTGCCACTATTGCACTATCTTGTTGTACTGATCATATTACTCTCAGTTGCCCTCGGTTCGAGCAATGTCGGTGCGATGTTTACGGATGGTGCGGGCCTCTGCCATCAGGAGAGTCACTGCAAGCAGTCACCAAGACAGCTCCCCGAGAAGGCCCTCTTACATAGCAGATATTGAAAAGATTAAAATTATGAATAGAATGCTGATTCGGATGCCTCGAGTCACACGGTCTAGTTAGAATGCCAAAGCCGCTTGGCGAAGTTTGTACTCTATATCATCCTATGTTCAAATCGCCTCCCACCTACACAGCGACACTTTGACACAAAAGATCCGATGCGCACGACGGGTTTAGTATCCTGCTGCATTCGGCAGGGTCTCTGGAGTATCGGCTCGGAATCTATTGGTGATCAAGTTTCCAAATGAGGGCGACCACTCAACTCGGGGAGTAAGGCTTTCCAACCCCCAAAGCTCAGACACAAATTTGAGAATCGAGGTGTGAGTAAAATCATTATTGCCGGAGCTGGGCTTGTTCTGTACCAAACCCTTCTCGACCCAGGGGGAGATCAGCAGTGTTGGTACTCGCACACCCAGACGGTCAAAATGGAAGGTATAATTTTGTCCATCGCTTGCCTCTTCTGTATAAGTGAGGCTATCACCAGAAGGGACGCCAGTAGGCGGGGGAACATGGTCAGCGAAACCTCCATGTTCATCCCAGGTGATAATGAACAAGGTTTGGTTCCACTGAGGAGAACTTCGCAACGCCTCATAGACACCCTTCATAAAATTTTCACCCATATTGATGGGCGACTTCGGGTGCATCGACATGTAATCACAGCATTCCGGGTTGATCCAGGTGAATTGGGGCAGCTTCCCAGCCTTGGCATCTGTATAGAAGCGATCGATTGGAAGGACATTTGTTTTGCCTTTTCCAGACTTGGCAGTCCATTGATAGAACATCGCATCTGGCGGGAAGCTCGAGGGTCCAATGTCAGTAGTGTTTTGGTAGTTGATCCAAGTAATATTCTTCTCAGACAGCTGCTGGAAAATCGACTTCTGGGGCATCCCGGAATTGTAGAACACCTCTCCATTATCACCATGGCCGTAAGACGTCCCGGATGTCAAATACGCGCGATTGGGATCCGTTGGTCCCGGAATGGCCGCGAACCAGCGATCAAATAGGACGTAATTCTCTGCCATAGCGTTTGTGACGGGGACAAGCTCGGGTTTGTAGTAATTGATCACCTCGGCTGCCTCCATCATATTGTTTTGTAGGCTATACATATAGCTTTGCTCGGTAACGAACCCGCTCATGGACGACTTCGCATCCACACCTGGGTGATAGGTGCCAAAGACTTGCATGTTACCACCGGTGATAGTATGATCAGGGTCGTCCGACGCGACGTTTTTCGCTATGTCGGCCGCGCACACGTTCTCTGAATTTGGTTCCGAAACATTGGCTAGATTGCAATACTTTCTGTTAACCAATCCATCAATATCGGGATTGTAGGTAAGACCGCCTGCGAGGGTGTCAAATGACCGATTCTCCTGCACAAGCACGACGACATTCTTGATATTTTTCATGCCTGATGCATGTGGTCGAGCGACGGTACCAAGACCGAGGTTGAGTATAATAAATGCAAGTGAAAAGGACATTGCTGAGGCGTGCAGAGTGGATGATTGATTCGCTTTAGGAATTGTATTGTTATTTATGAATCGTCAACCATGTTGATCCTCTGCCAGGGACAAACACGGATCGATGTCGCATCGTGAGTGTATTCCGATGTCTCCGCATATTTATCGTGTAGATCCACTAGCAGTGCCCTGAGAGACCCCCGCATCGCTAAATGCGAGACCCTAACATTTTGGATCTACATATTATCGCTCCGATTGGTTGTCTGCCAACCTTCCGTCCATGATCGTCACTCGACGTTGCAGAGCTTTTTGGCCCCAAAGCTTGACCCGCCGTCCGACGAAACAAGTGTTGCAGTACACTCGCACCCCTTATAAGAGATAATAGATGATATGAATGAGTGTTGAAGAGGGACTATCTCCAATGAGATATCATTGTCATCGCCAACGCCTGGTGGGAGCTTGGTCAAAAGGGTGTTGTGTTGGAGTCATTCTTTAACGAGATTCACCCCAGGTTAGAAATATAGTTTGGCTGTTCCTGATGATTTCCAATCCAAGAAAACTTGTTGACCTGCGATGAAGCGTTGCAAATAGCGCCGCTAATCTCCCCGAAGCCACGCGTACGGCACGCGGACTTGCCGGTTTTCCGATAGGTAGGCAAAATCGAAATAGATCGAGTTTCACATCGCCTAAACTAATCATGCATGCGAATCGTCTCGCTTCGGGGATGTAAGGTTGCACAAGAAGGTCAACCAGTCACCTGCGATGACATTTGATGAGCAGGTATGGTTCCAGCATATAAACAAGCCCAGGTCTAGGTCCCTTGATTAGTCATGGAAACAATTCAACTAGACAGCAAATACCCGGAGCTTTTCCTGCCCTTAATGATATTAAGGCAACAGGTTCACTTAAAATATTTTGGATTCCCTTAAAGGCCGGTTTGTGATTGAGGTGGGATTCTTCCGTTACGATACGGGAAGCGATGACGGAAATATATCTTTGAGGTGGACTCGGTAGCAAAAGCCAACCTTACGAATACCCATATGGATCCTCCCAAGTTCGTGCAACAGTTCGAAATTCCGAGGAAAATCAAAATCACACACCTCAGTCATGATATGAAAATATATGGACATACAGTATATTTCCTGGGCCGGTTAGAAACACGGCTCGAAAGAATTCTGAGATGGGGAAAGTTGAGGAGTATTTAGTTGAACCGTTTCCGTGGTCTCTAGATTCACGTAGAATTTTGAACTGCTACTGTAGTCGACTTAAAGCTGTCACCTCACGGTTTGTATTGGCTTTTGATGATAGTTTACTTGCGCATACAGTAAGTCTTATCATGCGAGTTAGCGAAACGTGAAGAATTTGCTGTATTTGTCATCAGTATCTGATCCCGCGGAAGACAGTATAGCCTAATTTAGGAACGTAGGAATTAGCCAATACTAAATTAGCCGATAGAGAAATATTTCCTCAATTCTCCTAAATCGATAGCTTGACATCCCAGTAAATTCATTGGTGCATCATCTACCTCCGAAATGAATAAGCATCAGGAGATGCCCAAAGGTCTCGGCAGATGCTTCACCGATGCCAGCTCTTTCGTCTTGTTTGGGTTTGCAGTATGAAATTATTTCGGACCCGGTCAAAGCATGGCCAAAGATTCCGATGGCCTCGATTGTGAGTTTTCTTCAGTATCTTCAGTGAATTCATATTTGATTCCAACTTTTCCATCTCGGTGAAGCAAAGCCCGAAAGTTTTTGAAGGTCTTTCCCCGCGTGCCTGAGCGCGATCGGCGGTGGGGAAATCTTGGGCCCATGAGAATCCAGTCATCCCGTGAGAATTATTGGGGTCGTGTGTAATACAAAAGCCATTGAGGATTCTCTCAGGAATTGGGGGTGGTTTCTAATCGAGGACCAGAAACATAAGAAGCAACAGCTCCCCACAAGAGTTAGCTGAGTACAGATGATGCAAAAGATTCTCTTCCTGTCCTTACTACTAGTAGGGACCTCACGTTCAGAGATAACATGTAATCGAAGATCGCAAATCGTCAAATCGCTGAATGTTAGGAGGAATGCCAGCTCGAATTCAACGCCATTGCAAGTTGGCAATGGGAACTTTGCATTCGGTGCCGACATCACCGGCCTCCAAACCTTCGCACCTTTTGCCATCATGTCCACCTGGGGATGGCACAATTTTAGTTTACCGACTACAGTAGGGCAAACGTCACCCGATGGTAAGACTCACGTTGGCTATTCCTATTGTGATGCAACTACTAATACCACATAGACTTCACAGGGCTTGATTGGTGGACCCATGGGAGACTTGTCAACTACGACATGCCCAATCCGGCTGAAAATGACATCTCCAACTGGTTGATTCAGAATCCACAGCGACTTAATCTGGCAAGGACTGGGTTTTCCTTCGGTAGCGTCGACGTCGCTGAGGCCGATCTTCAACAAAAGAGTCAAGAATTAGACTTGTGGTCAGGAACAATCAACTCATCCTTCGTTTACAACGATACATCTGTTACGGTGGAGACAATTGCGGAGCCAGCCTCCGATGCTGTCGCAATCAGCGTGGAATCAAAGTTGTTCCAAGACGGCATGGGAATATTCTTTGATTTCCCATACTCGGACCTCAACAAATTCGACGCCCCGTTTGTAGGTGTTTGGAATGCGACTTCCAATCATTCCACGAAAATGACAACAATCAATTCTCACTCTGCCGAAATCAAGCACACATTGGATGAGAATAGTTACTACGTGACGATCACTTGGGAGAACCCAGGTGTTATCTCTGGTCCAACCGATGGCACGCATCGCTACCATTTCTACTCAAGCAGTAGTCGTGTGCGCATGACTGTCAGCTTTTCTCTTGAACCAAGCAAACAGAGTAATGATCTCAAACTTGCAGACATTAAGCGGTCATCCGAATCTTGGTGGCAATCCTACTGGTGCAAAGGGGCATTCATTGATCTATCAGCTGCAGCGGCCGTCAATAGTAGCGCGGCCGAGCTGCAGCGTCGCACGATCCTCTCACAGTACCTCGTTGCTGTGAACGAAGCCTCGGCAAATCCGCCACAGGAGTCGGGCTTGGTCAATAATGGCTGGTACGGCAAGTTCCATCTTGAAATGAGTCTGTGGCACCTGGCACATTTCGCCCGCTGGAACCATTTTGATCTGTTGGAGCGCAGCATCCCTTCGATTTACGAGCGGCTTCTTCCTTCGAGCATTGTGCGTGCCAAAGAGCAAGGGTACAGCGGAGCAAGATGGGGCAAGATGACGGATCCAACTGGTCGATCTGCTCCTGGCGAAATCAATGCCCTCCTTATATGGCAACAACCGCATCCAATGTATTTTGCAGAGCTTGAGTATCGAGCGCATTCGAATCACGCAACACTGGCTAAGTGGGATGCCATTCTCACTGCCTCTGCGGATTTCATGACTTCCTTTGCGTGGTGGAATACTTCTACTGCCGTTTATGACCTAGGACCGCCCATGTACCCCGTGTCTGAAAACACCTCGCCCAATGCAACTGTCAATCCGACCTTTGAGCTGGCATACTGGCGATTTGGACTCGATATTGCAGTGCGCTGGAAGGAAAGACAAGGCCAATCGGCACCAAAGCTGTGGACTCGGGTTCTTGAGAACCTGGCGCCGCTTCCCATTGTGGACGATGCCTATGCCCTGTACGAAGGCATCCCGGACATGTGGACTAGTAACGACACGACAAACGACCACCCAGCCATGACTGGGATTTATGGTCTCTTGCCACCTCCGTCAACCGGTCCGCCAATTAATTTGACCATAGTTCAGAAAACAGCCGAGAAGGTCAAGGAGCTGTGGGCGCTGGAGGATTCGTACGGTTGGGATTTCTCCATGTTAGCACTGAATTCTTTACGACTTGGTGATATTGACCAGGCAATCGCGTATCTACTCGACCCGCGATTCCAATTTGATGACGCTGGATATCCAGAGGGGGGGAAGTCGTGTTCCGACTCCGTATATGCCGGATGCTGCGTCTCTACTGCTCGCGACGGCCATGATGGCTGGGGGCTGGGATGGAGCGGAAGGGGCGCACTTTCCCCGAGACTGGCCAGTGAAGGTTGACGGGTTCAGTCCTGGAATGTGATCAGTCACTTCAAATTCTGGCAAACTCTGTAGATCCGATGGCCAATGGCTGATAAATTGATAAGAAGCCCAGAGAGATCGATCAATGCCATTGAATTTTAGGTGTACCTGAATGATCTGTACGATTTTATAGTTACCCAACCACGATTCAGGTTCCCAACAAAGGATCCACGGATCAGAAGGAATGATCCAGGTCCCCACGCGCGGGCTCACGCGTTTGTACTGCACTTGTTTACACCCCGCTGTACATCCCCCGAAGACGGGATCTTCCCATCGCACAACGGAGCCAACTTGAGCAATTTAAATCTCTCCTTCCTTTCCCGGACATACCTTCCTCTACCATACCCACCAGCCTTGGATTCGACAGCAAAGTATCCACAGCACAGGTAAGTACGAATATCGAAGACGCTGACGCAAGGGAGATTCTCATATGTCTAATTAGGCTCGGCCCTAGAGAGCATCGATACTCCACACGGGGAAAGGTGCTGAAGTCTGCTGATCACATATATTTGTGGATGACACTATCAACACTAGCTGGCCTCTTCATCATGGTCTATCCCATGGAAATCTATACCGACGGTGGCTGCAGGGGCAACAGGCGACCGGGAGCAATAGGAGCCGCTGCCGCCGTTTTTAAGACAAAGTATGGAAAATATCGTGGCCGGATAAGAGTATTGCCATCATACCCTCCACCTACAAATCAGCGTGCCGAAATCACTGCCATCATTGTGGCACTGGAGGAAGCGCTGGCCAAGTTTCGAAAGCTAGACACCAATCCACACCTAGATGTCCGGGTCTATTCTGACTCTAGATATGCGTTTGAAAGAGGAGGGAAGCGTCGAGTCTGGATTCCGAGAGAGGAGAACGAGATTGCCGATCGATTTTGCAACGAGGCCATGGACGAACAATAAGGTATGAAAGCACCCAAAATTGTGCCAACTCACTAAAATTTAATTGTGCCGATAGTCCATGCAACCAAGGCATTGACATGAAATAAGAGGGAATAATTTAAAGTCGTGCTCGATAATATGACCGCACCTGTTTTATCTTTCAACACCACTCATACCTCCACAAGTTGTTCTTCTCTTCTCTCTGGAAACTCTTCCCTTCAGACATTGTGCTTGGCTCGTTTACTATGTTCTTTTTGCCTTTCACGCCATCCTTTCTACCTACTACCAAACCGAATTATGTTAAGCTGCGGATTTACAGACTTGGCTGCAACTACCACCAGCTTATGAAAAAAAAAATAATAAAGATAGCCAACTACAGCTCCTAGGTAGACTTAATAAACACAGAGCCTGGCTTGTCGCTACCTCTTTCCCAAAAGCAATACGCACTCTTAGACAACGGCTAAGAACTACGAGTGCGGGGCTACGCGAGGCTCATTATCCCCGCAATTGTGATTCGCCCGTCTACAAATTTCCGGCATCGAATTGCACATCCATGCAAGTACCAGGGTTCGAGCCGCGAGCGAAATCCCACAAACTTGTCTGAAAGGCCGAGGAATCCTAGGAAATCTAGGTATGCGTTACACGCATGGGGTGAAACTCGCCTATTGGAGTTCCTTCAACAGCATATTATGGTCCGGTTTTTCTGCCACGTTTTTCTAATTCTCGGTCCAGGCACTTTCAGCTCGCGAAATTCATCTTGCATGCATTGATCTATATTAAACTCTAGCATCAAGGGTTTGAACCACGGTCGGGAATCCTAGATCCAGTGTTCATGTCTGCCTCTGGATTCGATCGATTCCTACTCGACTGATCCATCGACCCGACTTTACTTTCAGTTTAGACTAGTCCCTTTGCGACTAAACCGCATTATTTATCGTCCATATGATACATATAAGCTCCTCTACGCTCCGCAATCACGCGAGGCTGTGGCAAGGGGATGACAGGCACTTGACCTATATAAGCGCGTTAAGCTCATCGCCCTCATCCTCGGTCACCCCTCTACCTTTCCTCTGCTTTCTCTGACTATCCGGATCGGAGTGAGCCCGACGTCAACTTGATCCGTGAGCCTATTCAAGAACGTGTGTTGAGCATACTACCTCCTATAACGCAATTACAGAGGATCGCCCAACATGTCCGCAAGAAAATCCGAAACGCTCAACACGGATCCGAAAGCCGCAACCAAGCGTGCGCCGGTTGCAACGGTTTCCGAGATTTCTTCAGTTGAAAATGCGTTGGAAAAAATGGGCTTGGATGACAGGAAGAAGTCCATCAAGTTTATTGAGATGGAGGATGATTTACGCCGAGTCATTGAAACGATCGAAAATGTCCCAACGAACCCACCGTTCGCTATACCTTGATCTTGAAGGTGTGAACCTGTCGCGGCATGGTAATATCTCAATCTTGCAAATCTTCATCTCCCCGCTCGATGAAATCTACCTTGTGGATATCCATACGCTCAAGCGGAAGGCATTCACAGCGTCGAGTTTGAGTTCTGGCGAAACCCTTCTGAGTATACTCGAATCGCCTGATATACCAAAAGTGTTCTTCGATGTTCGAAATGACTCTGATGCACTTTTCAGTCATTTTGGTGTTAGACTGGCCGGTATCATTGGCCTTCAACTTATGGAGCTGGCCACCCGGTCTTCCTCGAAGCGATGCGTCAATGGATTGGCCAAGTGCATCGAGCGTGATGCCCCCATTACTGAGACGCAAAGGAAAATTTGGAAAGAATCCAAGGAGAAGGGTCGGGAACTGTTCGCTCCAGAGCTGGGAGGAAGTTTTGAGGTTTTCAATGCCCGCCCACTTCCGGACAGCATCCTGGCATATTGTGCACAGGATGTCCATATCCTGCCTCGCTTGTGGCACCATTATGAGCGTCAGTTGTCTCCAACTTGGAAGAAGAGGGTCGCCCAGGAGACTATTGAGCGTGTGAAGCAATCTCAAAGTGCCGACTATGTTGGAAAGGGAAGGCACATGGCTTTAGGACCCTCCGGATGGTATTAACCCAGTCTCGGTTACCGTGATCTGTCGATTTGAATCATGATCATCCTGGCCATACTTACGGTGCAAGTTACCTGCTCATATTCTATTACGGAATATGGGCGCCGTTTGTTGCTTATACAAATGCCACGTGATATCTGCTTTGCTTGGTTGCAGAAGGCTGATCAAAGATACCCTAGCTTACAATAGGAGGAATGACAATGAGGAGCATTTGTGTCATTTCTTAATTCCGGTACTTTAGAATAGTAAACATTTGCAGGTTATATTCGCGAAAATCAACAAATCACAAAGCAAACAATAGCCCCATCTGCCATGGCATATCCCAACATCTCATAGATTATTGGAGTTCAGAAATTGGTAAAGAAGAGATTCAACATCAGCGTTCCGTCATTATACCAGTATCCACTTCTCACATAGCCGTTGTAGAAACAACGTGGAATTTGGCCGTTATTAGTAGTAGCGGTCGTATCGACTTGGCCGTTACCGTTCAAATAGCAGTCAATCAGCGACACATAGTACGCCTACAGCTGAATTAGTATAACTGGTACTCAAATTTAAAGGGCTCATGTCTTTGGATCCCACCTTCAGGTCGAAGCCATATGTATTGCTCAATTTAGTGTATACACCTGTGTCCATCTTGTTATTGGCGCCGTAGGGCTGCTGCCAGGCATCGGAAACACACTGTATTTAGATTAGTAGAGATCTTTAGAATTGAGGGTAAGTGGTCGTACAGTCTTAGGATCGTTGTCGCCACAGTTGTGAGAATCGCTGGGACGTGTGAGGTAGAAACAACGGTACTCGCCGCTCTTGGCCTCGAGCCAGTAGGCACCGGTCATGATGCAGTCTTGCTCCTTGGTATCTTCCTCACCCACAAGGACGTACCAGGCTGTCTTCATGGCAGCATCGACCAACTTTTTCTCCTGTGTCGGTGGTTCAGTACAAAGTATTATCAGATGGAATCAGGTAGACGTACGACGTTATCCGCGAAGGTCTTATAAGCTGCGACAAACGATGAGTTGTCCTTGTTCTCATCGAGAAGAATGGTATTGTCCGCGAGGAATCGAGAAGTACCGTGCTCGAGGGTCGTATACGTGTAGATGGGCAGTGTGGTCGATTCACCTCCACCAGTGGCATTGGTCAAGATACTAGCAACATAGTTGCCAGCAGCACCTACGATATTTCTCAGAGTGTTTTCCACAGATGTTTTGTCAACGGTATCCGATCCTCCGTTTGTGAGCGACACATCCGTGAGACCTGCAGCCGCAAATCCAATCATGCCACGCAGAGGCTTGCTCAGATCAACACCAGTTGCAATTCCGCCAGCCATACTGAAGGCAGCAGATATCCACTTAGCCCACTCTTGGTCCGGCGAGACAGTAGAGAAGTCCTTGCTGATCTGATCGATCGATAGGCCATCCAACCATCCGGTCCAAAGCAACTGATCGCGGACGGCATTGATCTTGCTATGCAAGATACCAACGGAGCGCATAACCCAGTATGCCATCACGGAAGAATAATCGGAGCACATATCGTCAGGGTTGCAGTCGCCTCCAATATCACCGCAGCCAGTCAGAGGGGAAGTACCCTCGTTGGGGAAGATAATCTTCCAGAGGTTGTTGACCCAATCCTTCTCGCCATTTGGCATTATATCAAACATGATATCTAACCAATCAATGGCACCGGTGGAGTCCAAAATAGCTTGGACGCCAGCTGTGGTCGAAGTATCGCCAGCAGTGCATTTCGACGATGCGGACGTGGTGGTTGAAGCAGCAGCCCTTTCCTCGATGACGGCTGGGCTGCCGCGACGGCTGTTATCGTGCGGGATTGCGGTAGCAGTGGCCGCTATAGCAAATATAGTAAAGAGACTGATTCTCATCTTGGAATTTGGCTTGATTCACGGAAGGTTGTATGATTGTAGATTTCGGAAGTTGATTGCGTCTACCGATTGCCAGCTATGCGAAAGCCCAGGACAAATTCAGAGATATTTATACAAACCAGTCTAATAAGACATCAAGTAAATCAACTCTTATATTTGATCTCATAGTGGATCGTCGAGACCAAAGGGGCTCAGACGGCTATCCTTGTCTCGAATCCTTCAGCTCACTGATCGTCCTTTGCTCGTATGAGTAGGGCGATTGGCCAAAGAGACTCAGCTCGGGACGTCTAACTTATTTTCTTCTGAACGATTATTTTTCTTTCTGCTCAAGAAATTTGAATTCATTTCTGAGTGAGACTTGGAACATTTCGTTGCAGCTGTCCGTATGACAACCTACCATGATGTCGTTCAGTTCCCTTGCACTCTATCTTCAACTTTCAACAATAGCTTTTGGAGGACTAGAACTTCTTGAAAATTCCACTAATGCCGCGGCCATCACCACTGATGTCACGCCATTGTTGGATGATCACCTGATCCTTTTTTTCCAAATTTATATGCGCCACAGGGCGTGTCGTGCATCAAGGATGATAAGCACTAGAGCAAGGGCAGGGCACATCAAGATGTCGACTATTTGAGCCAGTGATATATAGCACATACGACACGTGAAATACAGATTTTCAAAGCCAGCTCTAAAGGATTCAATGCAAGACCATCGAAGATTTGCGCCCCCAACGTCCGGAAACTAGCCGCGCGGGGGCGGTTAGCTTCTGATCCAATCGACTGGGCACGAGAGAGCTAAAATAGGATATGCAGAAACCCGACCCCGTGGAAACAAGAAGGTAACTGTTGTTTCATGACTGACAGCCGAATCCTTTAATCCAAAGCAATACATTTCTTTGTGATATACATATCAAAATTGTGGAGCCAGGGCATTGGCTGTAAGCGAAGGCAGACAAGCCTTGGTGCCCAGACCCAGTTTCACCTCTAGACATTATTTTCAGCCCCATGAACATTTCCAATCTCCACACCGATTGGCTTCTCAATTGGGTCAGTATTGACTGTGCAGTGGTGGCCAGGTTGGACCGGGTAACCCCTGGACTCGAAGACGCCTCCTGTAATGCCTCCTTTCTGAAAGAGATAGTCAACATCTTCCAGCTCCAGTCCTTTAGTCTCGGGGAAGAAGAAATACGCCATAGGAATCTATTTGAGTTAGCATTTGTCAATAGAGAGGGACAATTGTATTCTGGCAGCTTACCCATGCAAAACAGAAGCAAGCGAAAATAATGAAGGTTCTCCACTCGATATTATGAATCGCCGTGGGCGTGATTTGCACCTCAATGACTATCGCGATCAGCAAGCGCCTTTATTTGGGGTCAAAGATAAGGTAAAACGTACAGACACACAACCAGTTGACAAAGCCAGCAAAGGCCTGGCCTCGAGCACGAATACGGGTAGTTGTGACTTCACTCGGGTAAAACCTGCGATTCCAGTTAGTGACCACCTCATCCTCATTCTCCATACTCTCTATGAACTGACCATGGCACAGGTAGATATCCAATGCCCAAGAAGAGCCGGAAGATGAACACAAAGACGGTTGCTGCATATGCGCATGGCTTGGTGCCAACCGACAAGAGAGCGGCTGCCAGAACGAAGCACATACAGAGGCCAGCGGCGGAGATCATGAGGGGAGATCGACGATCTAACCGATCCATGCTCCAGAGAGGAATGATTGACCCCGCCAAATAGGCAAGCGAGTTGCATCCTCCCAGAATCAAGGACAGGTTTCGCGAGGCAGAGCCCATTTCACCATCCACTCAGACTCAAGAACCTGCCGAGCAGAGAGACGATTCTCCGGCCTAAAGGAAAGCATCGGGCGCAACATTGACAAAAGTGAATCTCGTTCGCTTGGTTCAAGAGGCGACATTCCTTCTTCTATTCGTAGTCGCTGCACGTTCGATTCAAAGCATTCCTCTAATGATTGACATGAGGATCGGGATAGGATTATTGGTTCTCTATGCTCGGTAAATCTGTCTCGATGGGATTCCCACTTTCCCCACTATTCATTCGGCAACGGCTAAGTGTATCAATCTGCTAGCAAGTTATATCGTCTTCGTTGGGTTAGAAGAGGTATATAAGACTCGTATTTTATTTCTTGCGCCGGACAAAATGCCTCGTCAAAGTCTGAAAGGATAATCCTAGCTTCGGGGAGTGTAATATTTTCACTTGCTTCCCTAAGCCAGATAGGTTGTATATAATATTTTAGGACGCCTGGTGGGAGCTTTTAGCTATCTAATCGATTGACTTGTTTAAGTACCGGCTCCCTATACTACTCGTATAACTTATCTATAGATAACTGATTACAATCATAGGATAGTTGAAGGAGATTATTTCCGCGATGTAGGTCTCTATAGACGAATCTCTGTGAATAGATATACTAAACAGCGATCACAAGCTACATAGCTAGGGCTCGGGCGACCTTAAGCTGGAAAAGACTGACCTATGATCTATTCTTTGTATCAGAGAGGCTTATCCTGCCGGCTTAGTTACTAAACAGACATAGTTACTATTTGGGCTATGGATAATAAAGTTATCCAAAATTAAGGGAACTATAGTTCTGCCTATATCTAATAGCAGATGATGCTTCGAGAATTTAGATAGGACGTCAATCTCGTGTGGTTTTGAATCGGCCATATAGACTTTGACTGCGACGTATGTGTAGGATCTCTCATCTTGCGCTAGCTAAATCGGCGAGTATATACTATAGCCGAGCTTATGAATGACCCGATAACGATCGTTGAAACGATCCCCGATTACTACTAGGTAATAGCCCCCGCCCTAGTAATATTCCATTCTTTCCATATCATCAATAGGCTCGTACAATACACGGGTCGAGGCTATTGTTGGTAGAATTGATTTGAACTTGGTGAGATAAAATGCACGAGAGCTTCGGCAGTGAAGACATGGCGGGTTTGCCTTCTCTGAGAGAAGGCCACGACGAGGAAAAAATCCGGGCGAGAGCAAGGGCCTAGCGAGCAAGATGCATGTTTTTCTCATATTTTTTCTTGTGCAAGCAAGGTCTTGTTGATTGGGAATGAAGTTAGCGCATGGAACATGGCCGATAATTTTAGCCTTATCTGTTTTAAAAGTAGGGGAATGGTCCCTGTTGTGATGGTCCCAAGGAGGCGTGTGTTGATGTGGTTGAGGGTGAAACGTTGTTCCAAGTGCGAGCGCTTAGATGCCCAAACAATAATAATCCCGATAATTTAAAAAGCAACCACTCCTCAATTGCCTACCCCTCCACCGCTACGTCAAGGGGATTCATTGTGGACTTTCGACTAGTTATGACATATCCAAAGTCATACTCACTCTCTGCTAACTCCGTTTGAACAGCAACAGGGCAACCGCACTGCCGGTGACTATGGACGGATTCTCGTGCCCTGATTTTCCCATCACCGTCCGAATATCTCTGATAGCTTTCACGACACAATCCTGGTCAGTTCCTACCAAGTCTGGATGGGCCCCTCTCCATCGAGTGACCATGCTAGCCGTCCCTAGTCTTTTCTCCAACTCATTGAGCGTGGTTTTGCTTGCATTCAGAAAGTCCTCCCCGTCACCCAGAATGCCATTACGATTCCATTCGACCCTCCTAAAACTGGATTTGGAAAATGCGTGCGCCAAATCTTCATCACTCAACTCCCATGGATGGACGAGGGTCTCATATAGGTTGTTGGATATTTGGTTTGACGAAAGGGAGTATGGCGCCAGAACATTGCGCTCAAGGTGAAACAAAATCTCTTGAACTTCTTTTGCATTCACAGTTGAAGGATCTAGATCCAGTGATTAGCACTTGCTCGAACAGGCCGAAAACATATTTGGAACTTCTCACGGCAATACAGCGATGCACATGTCCATAAAGCAACTGTTCCTTGGGGCCGCACAATCCTAGCAGCTTCTTTCCAAAACTTGGTCATATCAAACCAATGGGCCTATAAAGCCAAAGAAGTCAACAGGTGGCCTAGAGGTGGAGTATTGAGAAAGGGATTGAGATGATACCGCCATCGCAGCCGTCAACAGGTCCACGCCTCCATTCTCTTTGATAGCTGGCAAAGCACTTGAGCTGTTGTCGAAAAGGTCTTCAGCCGTAGAAACCACAAATTTCAATGGTACCTCAGACTTTGTGCGGCCGCCTAATTGACCAGCAATTTTTATCATCTCCACACTGGGATCCAGGCCTATTGCATGATCGAAGTGAATGGCCAAGTCGCGCGTCGCGTTGCCCGGGCCGCAGCCAACATCGGCAATAATATGCTTTCTCCCGCTGGATTGGGTATGAAAGTCGATTATGGTGCTGTAAAGTTGAACCGGATATGACAGTCGAGATTCTGCATACTTTTGGGCTTGCTGGCAATCGTATTTACGGAATGTTGGGTCAGACTGAGGCGACATGGTTTTAATAAGCTATCGTCAGACTGTTGAACCGGATGGATTCCTGTTATCGACTTTTTTGTTAGGCAGAAATCTCCGAACTTCTGGTAAAGACCAAATGGCATCATGCGTGCCCCTATAACATGTTAGTTAAGTATGTTTACTTTGTGACTCATCTTGAAGCGGCCAATAAGCTTAAGCCAAAAGCGCATCTTATTAAGTAGCCCCTCAAAGTCGGAAGAACATGTCTGCTAGAATTTCTATTCTTCAGTGTGTCCAAAACAGTTGTCACAGATGCCCGAAGACTAATTGAATTATGGAAAGTCTAAAACCATGTAGATGAGTTATTCCGTCTCAGTCGATTCATCCCCCCGGTCGCTCGCTGGGATCAGTCCTCCTCCTCCACTCTGGTCTCGGCATGATCCACCAACTTGATTAATTCGTCGAGAACACGTTGGAAATCTGCATCATTTGGACTGCTGAATTTCACAAGATCGGAATGGTTACGATTTAAGGGATGTGTATTGACGTAGCCCTGGCTCCACAACTCGCCATCGGTAGCGGAATCGAGATCGACGAGAACCTCCTTCGGGGTGCCTTCCATCTTCCATTGCCCGTTTTCAAGCTATCAAATTGTTAGCAATTCCCTCAATATAGAGGTTAAAGAGGGGTCCGAATACCTGTTTTGGAGTGAACGACGGCTCCATCTCATAAAAGTATATAATCTTCGGCTTTCCCACAGCGAATTTGGATTTGAACTTTCGACTGAGCTCTCGTAGAGTTGGAGATTGATAAGTGATGGACTTGACGAGAAACTCGTTGGGTTGTCCTCGGATCATAGCTTCAAGAACTTCGACATTCATGCCGTGGCTAGGTACACCAAAGAATAAAGCACCCTGGAGTTTGTTGATGAAACTACCGAATTCGGGATTCTTCCTCTCCTGTAATAGTGCCTATTTCAAGATTTAGCTCTAGTTCAAACTGAGTTGGCGCAATGCTGATAAATACCTCTTTCACAGTAAGTCCCCCCAGACTATGGGCGATGAAGAACGAAGGAACGGCAAAGGCAGTTCCAAGGCGAGAGGTAGGAGAGCTTAAGACTGACTGGGATCGACGCCTCGTTACGCTCCGCATCTCATCGCGTAAAAGCTTACCGAGATCTTCCAATGTTTGTGATGACTCGTTTCCGTCGAGCTTTGTCTTGGAGCCGTAGGTCATCAACCGAGCATTTGGAAAGTGCTCTCGGAGTCCGTCTAAGACCCACATGAAAGACTGAGATGCACCCTTGTACTTGAACGACCCCCAAGCATGGCCACCAAGACCGGCAACGGCGCATATACTAGATCCAGCATCAGCGTCTAGCCTCTGATCCCGAAAGCGATACAGAAGGCAATGACAAAGTGAGTACTTACTCGATCATGTGCGGAATATCGGGAGGAGGCGAGTAGAGAACTGTCACTCCACGGAAATGTGTATCGACGGTGATATGTATATCGTCATCATCAGAAGTAGGCCCAAAGTGCCATTCATCCATGCCAGGTGCCGACAAACACGCTGGCTGGGGCCTCCATGCTATAATTGCTACCTTGTCTCCGGTCTGACTTGTGGACAAAGCTTTGATACGTCCAACGACAGTTGGCTCGATACCAAGTTTCCGGCTGAGATAAGAAAGTAGATCGGGGACAGCGTTTTCAAGCTTTATTCCCTGTACCCGATAGTCCATATCTTTGGTAGCCTTAGGTGAAGGCGCCTTCTGGGGTAATTCCACAGGGAATGTCGAGGCAGGTGCTGGGTTGGTGCCACCATTGGATTGCCTGGGTAGAATTCCAGCAGGCACGGAGTCAGCTTCGTTTGGGGTGTTCAATCGGGGGTCCGTGGATTCCCTCATGGGTGGTGCGTCAGGGTGAGGATCAGTAAGCATCGTGGTCAATGGCGATCCCGCCCTCTCAGAATTTTCTCGTGAAATGGAAATAGGTTGTCCAGGAGTCAGTTCTGTCTCGCGAATTTGCAAAAAGAAACTCTCCAATATTTCCTGGAACAGGCTTGCGTCTGTAGAAGTGAATCAGAAGACCGCGACTGCGCCGAGGCATTACTTCAAGGCACCCGGTGATCTTACCATCGGAAGTAGAGAACTCAAATCGAAGGTAGCCCAGAGAAAATAAAAATCGGGTATCTTGTGCCGGGAGCTCATCCTCAGCAATGGTATCTGTTATTTCCTGTCTTGAGTTTCTTCTGGGCATGTCTTGCTCTGCGTCGGGTGGTGAGTGACGTAGCAAGTCACTAAAGCGTCTTAGAATACCACCCCTATTCATCGAGTTTCTGCCTCTTTTGGTCTTCTGAGAAGCAAACTCAATTCGAACTTTTCTTCCTGATTCATTTGTGTGAATTGAATCTCCAAGAACCCGCAAAGGGATCTCTATATGATAGTATGGTTTGCTCTGTTGCACCATGAAGGAAATTGATTTGTTTCGGCCGTCAAGATCAGACCAGAGTTTCAGTGGCTGAGCGGTACTCTCTGAGCCCCTTCCAGAAGTGATATCTTCTACTTGAAACGTATGCATCAAAATCTTTCCTCGGAGGGCACATTGGAAAGCAGTAGCATCAGCATCACAATCAAATCTATATGATGGTTTGCGTCCCGTGTGTCGCCAAAGATCAACACCATCAAATACATCAACCGTGCAGGCTTCAAAGAGGCGAATCTCAGAGGCATGGAAACTCTCATGCTTGGTATACGGGTGGATCTCACTGATCGAAGGGACTTTTGTGAATTGATAAGTCTGAAGTCCTTAAAACTGTTTGAAAGGAAGACTCACGATGCTGTACATGTCCCCATTCTCTATCAATTCCGTTACTCACCACCCATCGCTTCTCCAAGTGAGTGACAACATCAACTGTATGAAGACATTCCTCTTCTTGAAGAGAGTCAGGTTGACTATGCAACATTGTAAGCTACACCCTGTTCGGGTTCGTCTGCGGATACTAGCTCTTACAGAGTTGCCAAAGGCCCATTATTTTCTTGAGTATAGACACGCCGCCGTAGGTATGGACAGGGTTTCTGGGTGCGATAGCTTGACTGTCGTTGTTTCAAGGTTTGCTGCGAGTATTCGCGCAGAAACTTTCTATCGCTCAATTTGAAGTCTCTTGAAAACATCAGCTGGGATCCAGGGGAAGGCAACTCGTGATCTCGAAATCTGGCCACCACAAGGATCCACAGCTTCTCACAGTGCACTGCACTCAGAGGGGGTGCCCTTTTCCTTTTGAGGGCCTCAAGAAGCTCAACAAGATGTCGGAAAAGAGGCCATGTATTATCCTCCACAGATATTTCAGCCAATGGTAAGGTGACTTCGTATTGAGGAGCGGCTTCAACGGACAACACTTGAGGCATGCGATGTAGATCGGACTGTCGGACGACAACGCAAAACAGATTTCTACGCTCGAGCAAAGATTAGCGACTTTTCAGACGATTGCGACAAGAATCAACTTGGCTAGTTTCCACGCTTACGAAATGATATCATCCAGCTTTGCATTCATGATATGTAGCTGCAAATCAAGGCGCCTCTCGAGGAGGTCCAAGTCGGAGGGGCTATAGACATAGCAGGCGGTTTGATGCAGTAAGTTCGTCTGAGGCGTTGTGTCGCGGGGACGCCATCCTGGATTGTGATGAAGAAAATCATTACACTCATCCCAGGTTTGCTGGTATTCATGGTACGACTCGAGAGTCGTGTGCTGATATCGCAGGATCCGGCGGAAGCACCTAAAAGTCCGGTAGAAGGCGTGGAAACGTCTTGCAATCCCTTGAAGCTTGTCTGGGGGCAGCGCGGCAAGTGGGCCTGCTTTAGCACAAGCAACGGAGAGCTGTGACATGGCGGAAATAGCGAAGATCGGAACATTTTGGGGAAGAAATTGATATTAATAACATTTACCTCGAGGTCCCCTTTTCGTCGTTATGAGCACGTCCCAATCATAATCAAAACGCATAGAGGCTCTTAAGAAGAACAGAACACGTTCCTTAATTGCAAGCGCTGACTGGTCGATGATTCTGATGAGTTGTGATGCGCTCGTAGCGCTAGTGGCGTTAGGCACGGACTTTTCTTCAATCAGCTCCGCGTGGTCCGCATGATACCTCGTGTCCAAGGAAAGTATAAATTCTTGGGGTTGTTGAGATGTTTAACCGGTTTCACGAATATGCTGCAATGCCCCTGAGTCTTGCCGTCTGGTTATGGCGACACCTCATCGGATCGACGATGAACGAAATAATATCTCAACGTGGCAGAAGATAAACAATTGGCTGCCGTTTCCTTTTGGCGACCACCCCTGGTGGATCGACGGCACTACCCGGGCTCCTGAAGAGAAGGACGAGAATCCACGACTTTGGCGGAAAGAAGTGATCAACATCTTTGATCATAATGGCTTCGACATTCAAGTTTTCATCGTCGCGGCGTCGGGCTTTTTGACAGACTCATACTCGCTCTTCGCGACAAATGTGATCTTGCCTCTGCTTGCATTCTTGTATTGGCCAACTCGAAGCGACAGACTACCCGAGCTCTATATCAATGTTGCGACTTTGGCTGGATCGGTGGTCGGGCAGCTACTATTTGGGTGGTTGACTGATCGACTGGGACGAAGAAAGCTCTATGGTTTAGAGCTGGTGCTGGTCATATTCGCAACGCTAGGGATGTCCCAGGCTTCAAATGGCATGTACAATAACATGAACATTCTGAGCTGGATAATATTCTATCGCTTCTTTCTCGGAATGGGAATTGGAGCTGAGTATCCCCTCAGTGCTGTGATTACCGCGGAGTTTGCCAGCACTAAATACCGTGCGAGAATGATGGCTGCTGTATTCCTGATGCAGCCATTGGGACAAGTTCTCGCTGCTGCAATTGGATGGGGAGTCTTGACAGGTCTGATGCAATCGCGTGGTCTCCAAAGTCTTGCAGACCGCGGATTTGAGTTTGATCAACTATCAGTTGAGCAGCAGCATCAGATCATGTCAACACTCGATAGTGTTTGGCGCTGGGTTATTGGTGTTGGTTGCATCCCCGCGCTACTTGCCATTCTTTGGAGATTTTCTGTTCCAGAGTCGCCTCGGTATACCATGGATGTTGTTGATGACCCTAAACAAGCAATAATGGCCACAAAACGTCAGTTCCCACGCACCGCGCAGTTGTTGGAATCGGTCAATGTTTCTTCAGACGAGGGCGATACTCTCGCTCCTTCAAATCCTCGGAGTTTCCCGACTTCTCCTGCGCTTGGTGCCACTCCTGACCCAGCACAAGATAACGAGTCGAGCTTCTGGACTTTCTTCTTCGTTGAAGGCAACATCAGATACCTTGCAGCGACTTCTATCTGCTGGTTTCTGCTCGACTTTTGCTTCTATGGTCTCGGTATCAACTCCCCACGACCACTTGCCGCTCTGTGGGCCTCACAGATCCCGAACATCACCGTAACTTCTGTACTTCCCGCTGCCACAACCACCATGACGATTCCCTTTACCCATACAGTGACCTTCAATGGGAACATTTACAATCTGACGACGTCCATTCTTGCAAATATACCACCCCCAACAACAACGATTACTAGCCTGGTGGCAGCGACAGACTCAAGCTTCCATGTTCCCGACTATCAAAATATCTGGAACCCGACAAAAAACATGTTCACCGAGTTATCTGACAACGCAAAGTTCTATATTCTTACCATTTCCATTACCTCCCTGGTCGGCAGTGGAGTATTAATCTGGATCATTGACTTCATTCCGCGCAAGAGCTGGTTGGTATGCTCATTCTTACTACTGAGTATCTGGTTCGCCATATTAGGAGGGGTCTTGGTCGCGACCGAGTTCAGTGAGGCTCATGTGGCCAACGTGGTACTCTACGCGTTTTGTCAATTTTTATTCAATCTCGGTGAGTTCTCTGATCTAAATTGGGCTTCTTTCACCTACTTACGCTTTGATATTTACAGGTCCAAATACCTTGACTTATATCGTGAGTTCCTCCATATCCCAATCACCTTCAAGGGTTGGCACTAATTCTCCCAAGATCCCCGCAGAGATCTTTCCCACCAGATTCCGTGCAACCTGCCATGGTATCTCAGCTGCCTGTGGAAAGCTTGGCGCCATCGTCATTCTCATTCTCACAGAGAAGACTATACTGAACGCTAATCCCCGGGCCTTGGACAAACTTCTTGGCGCTTTCTCGGTCCCACTGGCCGTCGGAGCGTTCTTTGCATGGATATGGATCCCGGAGCTACAAACACCACCGACCGGTAATGCACGCGCACTTCGTCTGCCGCGACTGCCCAACAAGAGTTTGGAGTTGTTGGCGAAGGGATGGAAGTTCGCTAATGGCACTGACCAAACTCGAGACCCGCGCACTCGTCTTCCCAAAGGTGAAAATCAAAGGCTAGGCTTTTCAAACAAGCTTCTTGATACATGGGTATACCTTCGATACAAAGGCAAGAGAAGGGTCTTAAGCACAGCGGGTCTCCCTGGTGAAAGGACGGGTACAACTGGCGAACCCATACGAGTGGGGAATGATGCCCGTGGATCAAATTCACAAGACGGAATCGAAATGTACTCTTAGCTCATGGCAGGCAATCGATAACCAAATAAAATACGTAGGTATAATTTCTATTCAACCATGCATGATACTGTCACCAGTATATGAGGTTCGGCCCACTATACACTGTCCCGGCTGTTTTGCCGATCAATTCTTCTCTTCCTTACGATCTTCAAGTTCTCCTTCGCTCGCAGGACGTGGTACACTGTCAGGAATCCCCAAACTATGCCCACCAGTAAGACACTTGCGATCGCTCCAATTAAACTTGCCACAGTAAACCCCACCGAGGCGCTTTGGAATTTACCACTACCATGCAGCGAGTCGGTTCCCAACCCAACTTGCATCGACCCAGCGACGATGGTGACAAAACCGAATACGGAGAACAGCCAGGCGAAGTTTCGCTCCAAGAAAGCCGTCGTCCATAATGGCTCTAACATAAAGCCCCGCATAAAATTTTGACCTGAAAACATACCGGGCGCAAAGCGATATATAAGATTTAGTCGGGACAGACGCAGTTCTCCAAAATGATAGCGCTTTGAGACAGTGTCAAGTGTGTCCGGGTCGATATTTGTGAGTAAATCTGTGACAAACAGAGCCCACGCCTCCCAGGTGATTGATGATGAAACAAGCCGAACATCTTGAGCAATAGCCAGATCGGACTTGGTGCATATCAGCCAGCAGTACGATAGCAGAAATCCGCACGCGGATTGATATAGTGGTCGGTCTTGAATTAGGGCATTGCCTTCGGTCGTCCAAAAATCGCGTGAAAGAAGATATTCCGGTATGGGCTTTATGAATATACGAGTGGCGTTCCAGACAAGATGCTCGTTAGGATTTTCGGTAATAATAATAGTTCGGCCTAGGAGAATTTGGCGATGGACGGGACGCGCTGCTTTAGGGAGTCCGGCTAGCCAAAGATGCGAGTAGATTTTGTCCAGGGCAGGGGTTCGAAGGTCTTGATCGAGGAATTTTGACACGGCGCCCTGAGGATTAAACCCACTGCTTGTATGAAAAGGCGGAAAGCTTGGTCGTAATTTCTGCAATTCATAATCCTTTCTGAAGGGCGGATTGAAAAGAACCTGGTTATGGTTGTCAGAGATTAGGTATCATAGATGGCGGTCTTCACTTACAAGTTTCTCCGCGGAGTCTTTGCTGTTCTTTGAACACTCCATCTCCTCTGGAGATACTCGTTCCATGTTGCAAATATTCTGAGATAGCGACGACACCTCAACAGCCCCTGATTCGCGCTCAAGACGGCGGGCTCGCTTGAATTTACCCTCTATCGGTGTCTGCCTTCCGGTCAAACAGTCATCTCATATCAACAGCAGCCCCTGGGCGACATGCAACCCGGGTGATAAAGTCTGCACGATGCACCTGAAGGCACGCAGGGTCATATATTCCGAGGGGCTGATTTGACCTGCAGGCACCGAAGTCTTTGGACGTGGCAATAAGCTGGGCAATCTTAGGCTTGCAACGCCACTATTGGTATTGAACCCAAAGTCCCCTCCAAGGCAGCCAGAATACATGTTGTTTTTCCTTGTTTCTGGTGACGGAAAAACAGCTAACTGCGCCCGATAGGGCGTAGTGTCGTCGGGTTTATTAGCTTGACAACATTAAGAAAAGCAAATCCGGACACCTCGACGATAATGAAAATCCATTTCAATTTATTCTAGCTGGTTCAGCCTTGTATTTAAACACTGATTGACAATGGAAATCCATGAAGGATGCCTGTTGGGACACTAAACGGTTGTCTCAGCAGCAGCACGTCTCGTGGCTTGCATGGCCTCCGCAACGAGATTCCTCTCCTCCTGTCCACTGGTGTCACCGAACACTTCGTCAAGCTCCTCCAAAGTTTTGCCACCGGTTTCTGGAACCAACAAGTATGCCCAGACACCTGCCAGGAAACACATCGCAGCAAAAAATATGTATGTGCCATAGGTGATGTTTTCCATCATACTCGGAACAGAGATACCGATGATGAAGTCGCAAAGCCAAATCACGCAAGTTGAGAGCGCAACACCCTTCGATCGAGAGGCAGTAGAGAAGACCTCAGACGGAAGGGCCCATCCGAGTGGTGAATACGAGACACCGTAGGTAAGAATGAATAGGAAAGCCATTGCTACGCAGGCCCAGCCCGCGCCCTGGTGGGATTCCCAGCTCTTTTGATACAAACCGGATAGGATTGCGATGATGGCGTATGTCACGGCCGTTCCAAATCCACCGAATATCGCCAATGGACGACGACCGACCTTTTCGATGATCAGGAAGCATACAACCGCAGCGACCATTTGGAGAATGTTGAATACGCCCGACATGATCAACGACATTTCATTTGTTTGTCCCAACTATTGACTATCATTAGTGGAGATCAGAATTGTTTGATGAACCGCCTAGACTTACTGAAGTAAACAAGGTTGGCGCGTAGTATATGAAGGCGTTGATCCCTGAGAATTGTTGGAAAAAAGCGACACCAACGCCAACTGCTGTGCGTCTCCAAGATCTGCGCTTGAAAAGATCCGCCCACAGCGCAAGCTCAAGCTTGATCCCACCCATGCCCGGGTGTCGCTTCTGTTGGGCGAGTCTCTGGAAGTTAACTTCGGCCATGATACCGTGGAACTCTGCTTGCACTCTCTCGTCGTGACTGGGTAATCCTCGGAGTCTCGCTAGACTTTTAAGGCAGTCATCTGAGCGATTCACAAGAGCAAGCCAGCGAGGGGAATAGGGGAAGAAGTGAATTCCTGCGCCCAGAAGAGTCGCAGTGACCATCTGGAGCCCGAATGGCAGCCGGAACGCAGCTTCTCCTGCAATGCTTCGGCATCCATAGCTGATCCAGAATGCTATCACCACACCAGATGTAATAGAGATTGATTCAAGAACGAGTAGTGTTCCACGGATATTGGGAGGCGAAATTTCTGAAATGTAAAGAGGTGCGCCCTATTCCCATGAATCTTGTTAGCGAAAGGTGACAGTATAGCCTCAAGGATCAGTGTTCACCATTGCCAATGTTCCAACGCCTATCCCTCCGATAAACCTACCGGCCACCAAAGCTCCATAGTTTGGCGCCGCAGTCTGAATAATTGCGCCAATGTCAAAGATCACCACTACTGCGGTCAATGCCAACTTCCGAGAGTATCGATCTGCAGCGTAAGGCATGAAGATGCAACCCACGAATGCACCCAGCAACAGCATCGCAGTCATAAACTCTTTCCCAAAAGCAGTTTCTGCAAATGGATACTTCGTATGAAACTGATCCATCACATTGATGATTGAAATCACGCCCATATCGTATCCCATTGAGAACCCGCCCAGCGATGCGAGGACAGCCGCACCAGAGACATATGGAGAGCTAACGAGACCAGAGATGCCACCAGGGCCATAAGAAATGGATTGAAGAAAGCTTGGCTCCGCATAGATTGTCTCGTCGTGTTCTGCCTCTGCCTTACCCGTATGCTGTGGCTTGGTAGCGAGAGGGTCGTCAAGTTTGTCGGTCGCCATGATTGATTTACCCACTAGGGTCCAGTTAGATAGGCAGCTAAATGAACAGCTGATCTGGGGTGAATATAAATTCGACTGATGCCCTTTTTATAGTCTCTTCACTTCCTTGACCTAGCTTTCGTCACCTGCGAATGGGATTCTCTGTAATCCTGGCTAGTTTGCGGGGTAGTCTGGGGAAGGCTGGCCCGGAAAGACCCACACCCCAGATTTTAGTATTTCTCGCCGAGAATTTCCCTCTCAGACACTGGCAATCGCTCATATTGCAACGGGGAAGCTGCCCCGATAGAGATCCATGCCGAAATACCTCAAAAATCAAACTCTCGATGCGCCCGACCCGTCGGACCGCACTTGATAAGCCGGTCTTTGTTCATTTGCCGATATGTATAACAAGGATTCGAGATGGGATTTTCCCCTATCACATCCAGAGTTCTCGCATCGGCAGGCATCGAATTGTCTTAGACTCTCTGTATCGGCTTCTACGGCTATTGTGCAAGCTCGGATTCTGGGGATCATGACTCTGCAGAGAAAAGAATCCTGAACAGCAGTCCGACTGGCTGTCGCCCGGTGACCGCAACGGCGAATTTTGATTTCCGAGAATTATCTTGATGGCAGGGATCTGCCAATGATAACGGATGAGCGAATAGCTGGAGGTTTCCTATCTAAGAAAAGGCAATTGTCTGCCTGAGGGCTTTTCCTATGGTAGTATGTCCCTGAGATTCTGATTGTCTTTGCGTCATTACGGAGTGGTTGCCATCAGGGGCAAGTATTCAATAAGTCAACTGGCAATGCTTCCTTTCCTATATCTAAGATGGTTATTGGAAAAATACGCATTGGGCGCTTCCGATCGATGTGGATTTGCGCTTCTAGTCCTTTCTCTAGCAATTTTCAAGGGGCCCGACCGCGCTCTATATCTCTGCTTGCAGACAAACCAAGTTGAAACAATTCGGTGGTAGAGAAGGAAAATCTTCCAGGGGAATTACCATATATGTGATCAGAATCCACTGTTGCCTTTCTCAATATTGGCTGTCTGTCGAGGTCATGTTCTTACGGATTGCCCCTGTTGATGCCAAGCAGAGTCACATGATTTGGGGCGTCTTGCAAGGCAGAATGCACGTGACATTTACGAGCGTGGCGATGCAGGCGCCAACCTTATTTCCCTATCCCAAGCTGAATGAATGAACATGCAATATTTCAGTCTACACATACATACAGGTTTTTGACAACTTTTTTTCCACCGTTCTGCGGGTATTTGGTCAAAAGAACCATGTCTTCAGAGCACACACCTTCCGACGATACATCCTCCACATCTGGAGATGCAGGGACAAATGATGCCAAAAGGCTACAGAATGTCTTTCGAGTGACACTTCAACCCAAAAAGGAGATATCTGGATTCCATCCTCGACGGGCTCATAAAAAGTCTCGAGCCGGCTGCTCAACTTGTAAAAAGCGAAGAGTCAAGGTACGTTCCATAACTAAATACATATCAGCCTCGGTCGCTAAAGTATCCAAGTGTGATGAACAAAGGCCGGAATGTTTGAACTGTCAGAAAAGAGGCATCACATGCTGCTATACTTCGGAGGAAATTGTTCGAAGTGATACAAATTCCTTGAACAGAAAATTATCCAAAGAAGTGCTGACTTCGACTTTATTCTCTCTCTCACTTGACAACGTCACAAAAGACATTCAGGAGACCCTGAGCCTGGATATCAATTGGAAGTGCGCTGCGTTGCGGAATCAAAATTCCATATATTCTATGGGTACCGTGGCATTCCATAACTTTGTTAGATGTTCAACGGCGACAATAGTTAGCCGTGCAATTCGGAATGTAATGAGAACCGATATGGTACAGGTCTCCTTCTCTGTGAGTGTTCCCTAAATGCCATCTATCCTCTCTGCAAAACGCTCTAATGCAGCCCGACAGAGCTCGCACTTGATGTACACCATTCTCGCAGTCGGCATGCTACATCTTAATCGGGCCTCGCCTAGCAAGGAGCGATCTATTGCAGAATCATATTTCTGGCAGCACGCCCTTCAACATTACCAAAAAGCTTTATCATCAAATGTCCGCAAAGATAACGTTGATGCCCTCCTATCCAGCTGTATGCTCATGAGCGTCATGACCGTCTGCCCTGAGAATTTTCAACCCACAGATTCCTGGGTCCTCACGAACAGACCAGATGCCTTGAATTGGCTCTGTCTACAAAGTGGACTCCGGTGTATTATATCTCTCGCTTCCCCATATATACCATCCAGTATCTGGGCGACTGCATTTGCAGGAATCGGAAAAGAAGAAGACGAAATATTCGACAACGTCCAACAGGGTCGTGAAGGTCTTGATCCGGATTTGGCGGATCTTTGCGAGATCGATGATTTTACGACGGAAAACACCAGCATTTATTACAGTCCACTTCGCATCCTCACTCCCCTGTTGAAAGTAGAAAGGGACGCCCCGAACTCTGGGCATTGTACTTCTTTCATGGGCCGGTTAGAGTGCGACTTTGTCAACCTGTTGAAAGAAAGAGATCCTCCCGCTCTTATCATTCTGGCGCACTGGTTGGGTCTCATGTGCTGCTTGTCACAGTGGCAGCCATGGATAGAAGGGAGACTAAGGGGAGAGTGCATTGCGATCTGCATGTTTTTGGAACATAGTAACGATCCCCGGGTTTTACGACTTTTACAATTTCCTGCGGAAGCATGTGGATATAAGCTCCATAACGTTTCATGAGTGTCTGATCATACAGCCTGGAATGACATATTCCCATCACCAATCTTTGAAATACCAGAAAATCAGTTCTAAATAACGCTGCGAAAACCTCATCCCATTGGAGATGGCTGGAGGTCGTTGAAGATTCCATTAAACCAAATATCAAAGTCAATCTCATCCTGATTCCAGGAGAATTGCATTTCATTGGCGTCCACACTCCGAAAGTCATCCGGGCTGTTACCGGGAAATTTGCCAAATGCCATATCGTCTTCAGGATTTAAAATCACCCGGCTCAAGGTCGAAAAGTTGGCAAAGACCCGGTTAAAGTCAATGTGACCACCGCGTTTCCTTTGTCTGGCTCCAAAATGGGCCTCTTCGGCAATCAGAATGGCGTCGATAAGAGCAACACCACGCTGGGCGAGAACATCGTGATTTCGTAGAGCGAGACGCTCGCGGGCAGACAAAACGGCCTCTCTGTACATCTCTATTTTCCCATCAGATGGGTCCTCTACCGTAGCATTCACCTCGAAGCATAGAATGACCGCAGCAGTAATAGCAAAGGCAGTGTGTGTCCAGATCGACAGGTCTTCCTCCTTGGCGATTGTCTCGTGTTCACGCAGGATTGTCATCGCGGCTGCAATGCAGGTACGCCTTGAGTGGCCATAGTTTGGGTCGTGAAATGAGCGGAATAGAAATGGTCGGTGTATCATGATGATCTTTTCAGCCGCCGTTATGGCAAGACTCCGACGGACAATACTAAGCCACGGTATTTTCGACTCTTTGGCCTTGTCGGGTCGTAGAAGAAAAGATGGTATACCTTTAACCACAGCTCTCATTTTCTGATCCACCTGCAGTATATGTTCATATTGTTCGCGACGAGACTTGCGCTTGCTCATTGGGCCAAGTCCATCAACTAAACCTGGCATCAGAGCAGCCAATTCAACGAGCACCCGCACGTAGGTGCTGATAGTGGGAATATTGGTGGGGAGTTCAGTGAGGTTCTGCTCATCGGCATTTAGAGGGCGACCGGTTGAATAATGCAACGGAGAGATGCTGTAAGTATCCGTAAAAGGTATGGCAAAGTGGTCTTGAATAATCATCTGACACCATACTCGCCTTCCAACTTCCCGCTCCACGCGTTCTTCCCATTGATCTCGAGTGTGTGTTAATGATGAAGGGTGGTCTTTGATTTTGTGAAGTCCCAAGCACTCGGCAATTCGAACGGCAGCATTGAACATTGTAGCGTTCAATTGGCTGAGACCAAGGTTGTGCGCAACCTCCGTCGATATGACAATGGCCTGAACAGAGCAGATGGAAAGATTATTCAGAAAATGCGAATGATACAACGTTTGAACCATGGCGGAGAAAAGCTGCTGGGCGGATTGCATGCTCTCTAGATCGACGTCGAGCAGGGTTTTAAGCTTTCTGCTATTTTGAATTGAATTGACCGTACAACTCAAGACAGAGAGGTAGAGTGCTATCCAGAGAGGATTGTCGCATCTTCCTGTGCTCCAGAATAGATCACATTGTTCGAGGAACGTCTCTCCGTGGAAGCAATTGTGATGCCAGGCCAAATGGCCGATATGAAACTTGACGAGCTTTTGAGCATCGTTTGATATGGGCACGAATACTAATGACTCCAGAGCAGATCCATGTATTTGGAAAGACCCGTTGTTCATCGATAGCATCTCCGGGTTATCTCGACGATATTGACAGGCGCATCTTCTGTGGGGGAAGCATCCTGCAGAGTTCCGGCCCCAAGCAAGATGCTCTATGGCTGTAAGAATTGGTGGATCTGTATTCTCAGGAGGCGCTTCGGCCAGTCGATGCAGGGCCTGCCTTTCGTCAAACTGGTCGGGTTGCTTGATATCCTCCTGCAGCAAGGCAGAAGTATTTTCATCGGTCGGTGGCGTTGATGTCCCAGTCTGTAACTGGGAGATTCTATCTTTCAATCTTTGAGCAATATCAGGCAGCTTGTGTGTGGAGCCAGTATCCAGCTCCGCCAGTATTGAGGCCAAGAATTGAATCTCAGACGCATGTTGCACAGTATTTCGCCGGAGTCGCACGGCCTCCACTGAGCACTCGAGATTCAGGCGGCGACATCTAGAACAGGGGATTTGCTTGTCGCATTTTCTTTTCCGCTTGGTGCATTCTAGGCCACGTCAGTCTCATGTACATAACTCCACTCGGGACGGGAACGGATGATCTACCTCGACACGCGAGGGGCCGCCGCTGCGAGACGCGGAGTGGGCCAGCAGCATCAGCTGACCCGGTCATGGCATTAGTGGATGTATTTTGAAAGAGAAAACAGTCGTGTTTCGACGATGCTCCCCTTTTTCTGCTCGTGGCCGTTGTCGATATCGCGAGGGAGACGGAAGGAACCTCTGCGGGCGAGTGTGACGACTCGACCGCCCCCGCACTGGCAATCGGCCAATCACAGACCCGCGATATCGGTGGTCGGACTTTATCGGACGCCGGCTGATTGGCGATTGTGCTGACATCGACATGAGACTCGTCCTGTTTGGACAAAGTTGTCAAAGCACTTTGGAGAAAGATTCCGTCTAATTTTTACTATCTGCACGGAGATCCTTATCACAACATCTTACACCAAATAAGCCATTTGCCTCCTCTAATGTCCGGCCAGCAGTCTCGGGGAGCAGAAACCAAACCCATGCGATCCCAAAAAGCGTCACAGTCGAAAAGAACCAGAATGTTCCGGTTGGTTGAAAAGTATCCTCCAGTAACATGGATTGTACAGCCTATTAACGTCAGCTGAATAACACTGGTAAAAGGAGGCCAATCAGCCTTGGACACGCCATACTGGTTGCCATAGTGAAAGCACATCAAAAGACTCGATCCGGTGGCGCGCACATGCAGGGGAAATATCTCTGCATTGATGAGAATCTCTATTGGATTTAGCTCCATCCTATTGCCCATCCTATTCCGACAAGATATATGAATACGATCGCGGCAATTGCGGCCCGATCGGTGGATGGGGACTCGCCATCGGATGCCTGACTCGACGCTAAGAAAGAACGAGATGTACAGCATGGCGACCAGCTGAATAAAGGTTCCAGACATCAATGACTCCTTTCGGCCCACACGTTCAATTAGCAGGATTGCACAAAGTAGCGATGCAACAAATTTCACGGCACCAAAATTGCTGTGACAAACAGTTTTTTCCGACTGTCCTGTCAGGCCCAGCAAGGACAACAGCTCGGGTGCATAGGCTTCAGGCAATCAGCAACACTGTCACAACATTGATCTTCTGAGGAAATACACACTTGTTATTGAGTTGGCTCCAAACCACGGGCTGAGAATTTGTTCGGGGATGACAAAAAGTACTCTCTTCTGGTTGGTCGTGACTGCCAGCAACTCCTTGAGTGAGTATATCCAAGATTTGTACACGGTAGTCCCTTGATCAGTGTCCAACTGGCTCTGAATACTCTCTATCTCGAACGAGATCTCTTCGTGCTCGACCGGGAGACCCCACAGCCTCCCTAGGGATCGCCTAGCGTGGTCGGTTCTCCAATTTTGCATAGTCGTTGAGGACTTTCTTCACATGAAAATGAAGATACACCCAAGACGCCTGCCACGATAACCTGTATGCTTTGCGGTATGATCCATTGCCGAGCAGTGCTGTCAGAAATGTGCAATGCAGCTCCCCAAGCCGAGAAGTGCTGCAACCGTCAGCACAGCATAGCTTTTCAACGCACTCTCTAACTCACCCCTACCATAATCCCAATATACTCCTCCATCCCGAACAGCGACACCAGCATTCCCCTAGCATAGGCCGGCGCAACTTCAGCCAGGTACGTCGGCACAATTACACCAGCCTGTCCAGTTCTAAGACCCATAATGAATGGGCCTGCGTATATTTGTCCGATGCTCCCACTAGAAGTGATCACAATCACGACACCGATCGACCAAAGTAGACAAAACTGTCGCATTGACCAGAGCATGCCGATGTGTTCGCAAAGAAGAAAGGCGATCAGGGCGCCCGGAATACTTCCGATATGGACCATCGATGTGATATTCGAAAGGCGGTTGGCTTGCTGAGATGCATCGAGATAGCTGGCACGAAGATTAAATCCTTGGATGAATGATTCTTGCGCAACTGTGGTGGAAATGAGGCCCTCGTCAAGTCCCGTGGCATGAGTGGCTTAGCATCTTCCGTTCAATTTTTGCTCAATTCTCCTCCTTCTTACCCCTTGACATTCCCAATAGCCCGAAACAAAAGGCTGCGCATAGCAGCGGGAAAGTGAAGCACCTTGACGAGGGGGCCAGACTCCACTTCGCCTCGTAGGGCTGAAGAGACGGGTTTTAATGATGCAGTTTCCCCTGGGCACGAACATTCTAGCTAGCGGACGACAGTCTCGAAAAATGGAGACAAGTCCTGGTTCATAGATTGCCTTGATAGTTATCTTGTTGCCTGGCATTTGGCGGGTCGTAAGAGCGAGATCCACCTGTGCCGTGATGTACATATTGTACGTATCGGTTGAATCGCGTCTCTAATTGCGCTTAGTCTTAGATGCGACCTGTGTCTATCGTACAAAAAGCCCAAAACTCTATCGCATACAGTTTCACGCCTTGCGATGCATTATGGAATATGACTGTCGCTCTCAAATGGCAGCGTTAGCTTGCGCCTTTGCAGCCTTAATCCTTCTCTCCTCCCTTTCGCTGAAACGATCACCGAAAAGCTGAAGATGCGGTCGCATCAAAATGGTATATTTGACAAACTCCTCCATGCAATCAACCAGACGATCCCGATTCCCACTAGGCTTGAGCCTTTGATCTCCCGGTTGGCCTTCATCCGGGAAATGAGTGTAGGCCTGTGGGATGGAGGATTGGTTTGGGATAGTAAACATGCGCATCCACCGGCCGAGAATACGCAAGGAGTTGACTGCGTTGAAAGATTGAGATCCGCCGCAGACTTGAGCGATGGCAAGTGTGCGGCCTTGAGTTGGACGGACGCTTCCAGTGCTTAAGGGGATCCAATCAATCTGGTTCTTGAACACTGCGGTCTAGTAATGGCGAAGCATCGTTAATATATTTGATGCTATAATTCGGTATGAATGTAGGAGTAGTACTTACCAAGTTTCCATGCTGCTCGGGGGAAACCCAAAGATGTCCATCACTCCAATTACTGAGTTCTCTGAGCTCCTGGACTTTGGCATGGTTATGATCCCTGTCATTCTTGACTGGAAGACCTTCAGGATCGAAGACGCGCACGTCACAGCCGAGACGGAAAAGAATTCGTGAAGCTTCAAAGGCCACGAGACGGGAATATGACCTCGAGCGAAGACTGCCGTAAAGTACAAGCACCTTTAACCTCTGGTTGGTGAGTCGGAGGTTACTTTCAGCCAGTTTTAGAGCAGTGGTTAGCTCGAGGCTCTCCACCCAGTCTTCGGCGGCATCTTCGGAAAGAATAAATGGTCGATAGTTCTCACGAACCTCGCTGTTGTCTTCTTTAGGACTTAATGCGAGAGTCTGCAGGCTATGCGTTTCTCGTGTTTCATTTGAGCCATCGAGTTGAATCGCAGATGCCGTTGATTGTTGAGGAAGAGCGTGAACAGCCATTCTTGAAAAGCCGTATTGAGTGAATGGTTGCCTTGAGAGAAAGATTGGTCTCGATGTTATCCCCAAGAATGGTCTGAGGAACGTGAGCTTTAAACTATGAGAAAAGCGCATATCTGCATTAACAACAATCGGAATGAAACGACCGTGGACATCTCGTTTTGTGCAAAGCATAAGTTGAAAGTCTGTCATTGGCAGATGATGATTGGCTGGTGGTTACTGAAATACCTGCGGTATTGACAATACAGATGTCGCGATATCAAGCCGAGTCAGAACTCTAATCCAAGGCTTGGGGCGAACTTGGCGCAGGATTTATGTGTATTGTCATTACAGTTCCCCGTATCATAATCGAAGGGTCAGTCATATTGAAAGCCACGTTCTTGATGGTAATTTAAGTTCGAATTTATTCCGGACTTTTCCATGACCACATTTCTCTAATTTGCGATCTCATTTGAACTGGACAGATGAAGAAAGTCAACAATACCACGGAGAATGAAAGCAGCTCCCCCACATTGACTCGCGTCCGCGATAATCAACGGCGATCGCGTGCTCGTCGCAAGGAGTATATTCAAAGCCTCGAGCAACGGCTACGATCTTTTGAAAGCCTTGGAGTTGTCGCATCCAAGGAAATCCAGCAAGCAGGGAGAAAGGTTGCGAAAGAAAATGCTCTTCTCCGATCACTGCTAGTGCTTCGTGGGGTGACTCAGGATGAAATCGAAACCTTTCTCAAGTCACACACAGAAGATACTCCACGAGTTGTCCCAAGCCCAGCATCTGCAATAAGTCGTCCCGTAACGCCATCGCTTGGGCCATCTATATATTTTGGCGTTTCACAAGAGATTTCCGATGAGAAGTCAAACACTTTACCGATCGCCCAAGATATCGATGAACGCCAGGTCACTTTCCATGGCCCACCTATTGAAGTTCGTACATTTGCCAATGGGCATGAATTGACAATGAACCAAACTTCAACACCACAGCCGGCCAACATACCTGCGAATATATCGGCAGTCCAACAATTCAATAGAGCCCATCGTGAGAAAGGTCATTTCACATCGTGCGAGAGCGCCGCCAGGATGATTGCCAGTTTGCGAGGCGATAGCGATACCCATGACCTACGATCGGAGCTTGGCTGTGGTGGGGAAGCAAGTTGTATGGTCAAAAATTTGAATCTCTTCGAGATGCTCGATAAATAATACTTCACTCTTCATGTGGCCTCAATTAATATGTTTGATACCCTGTCCATGTAAAGCAGGATCCGCTTCTGAGCCGCTGGAATGATGACCACCAATTATCGAGGAATCGCGGAGTTTGTTTCATATTCGTTCTGTCGCCCTCTTTCTGAGGAGTTCAATCAGATGAAACAAATGGGGAGATATCGCCTTTACAGTCGTTGAATCCCATCGAGGTAGATCATAGGCTTGGAGATATATGTCTCTGAATTCCGAGAAGGGAAGATTAGACTGTGCATTCACTATGTAAACCCAGAGGTTTGCCGAGTCAAGGCAAAACTCACGGCGCTACCTGATTCTCATTATTAACAGTTTATACTCCAGCGGGGAAATCTCCGCTCAAAAGATACCGTGCACATTCCCCGGAGTCTGGGCACGCAATCCTGTTATACAACTGCCGTGATGGTTGTCCCCCAATGCAGCAGCCCTTGCCTAATGTCCCGATGGCCCGCTATTGGATGATTTCCAAGGCGAAGCTTTGACATAACAACTAATACATAGATTGACCCGATCGAGCCTATTTCTTCTGTTCCAGCCCGATTTCAAGGCAGGGCCAGAAAGCAACCCCACTCCGTCCAGTCGGTGACGAATGGTTATAGCCAACTGGCTCCAGGCGGAGCAACTCGTAGTCATCATAGCCAACGCCGAAAAGTATTGTCCTCCGTATACCTCAGTCCTTTATCCGAAGAGAAGGATCAAATCGGGGGAACGCGGGGAAGAATCACGACATCATTCCTCTTGGGGCAATCCCACGCGTCCAGCACAGGCCGACTTGTCAAGTTGTCACCACTTTTTCGCATAACCTCACCGTTCTTCTAGAACGCCTTTTTGTTCCTGGAATCTCAGGGCGATCATTGCGGAAGTATGCACCAATCAGAAGCCCCGATGTATCACCGGCTAGAGCCGGTCAGATTTGATTGGTCACCACTGCCGACGAGGGGTTACGATCTATAAAAATCCCCAAAAAAGCAGATGGCCTTGATATGCACTTGTTGGGCGATAAGATGGTTGGCATTACATGATTTCGGGTCGGGAAACTATATCTGTGGGATTTCATATGGTTCATATACTCTTCCCTTCTTCCCAACCTCTTTTTCGCCAACTTCTTTCCCCTTCATTTGAAACCTGCTTGCCTGTACCCCTTCACCGGAAAGCATATTAGGGCTTTGTGTCTGGACTGATCCACAGTAAGTGCTTTCATGTTACAAGGCAGACACTGCCCCGCGTTGAATTTGTTTTATCTAATCGAGGATGTGTTGTGTCTCTAGATCGATTTCGAGTCCGGGAGGGGGAGACAATTTCCTATCTTTACAAGTACACTTGCTCGATTTGTTCTATCCTTATATCCAACTTCTACCTGCCTATCCGGTCTCGCCAATAGAGCCTGACAATTTTGTCGGCTTGATTTGAGCATTACACTATGAACCACAATATGAAAGACCAGACCCTGCCCCTGGGCATCCACCGAACGGGAAGTCGACTTGCTGAACTTCTCGTGGCCGACACCCTTGTGGCAGCAGGCTCATCGGCCCTCATCACCCCAGCGGTGATGATCTTTGACCGGTATGTTTCATCCTACACAAATATTTCATCCTAGTAACTGACCTTCGGCTAAACAACTCCCAGACTCGTCGTTGAAAAATCCTTCTATAACCAGCCCATGTTCCCGGCCTTCCGCCGACATCTATGGTTCTCCATTACACAGCCCGCTACATTTTTAACGTCTCGACCTAGCCTGTTGGTCTGGTCACTCTATACCGCCACCTTTGCAACCGCCAATATGTCCGAGACCCTGCTGAGCAAGGTCTACCCGAAGATCGACCATGCGATTGCGGGCATGACCACGTTTGCCTCGACGTTTGTGGTCAACTCTTCCGTCGGAATTTGGAAAGACGTGAAATTCGCCCAGCTATTCGGCCATAAGAATAATGCTCCTCCTTCTCCTCCATCCACGACAGCTACGCCAGCGCCAGCTCCTTCACAACCCCTATCTGCATCAACATCTACATCTGCATCTGCATCAACCTCTGCATCCACTACATCCGCATCCGCATCCAACACACCACCTAAAACCGACTCATCCCTCCCCAAAACCGCTCGTTCCATCGGCCGCACTCGCATCCCCCCTCGCCACGTACTCCGCCTTCCTCCTCCGCGACGGCCTCACCATCTTCGGCTCCTTCAGCCTGCCCGCCATGCTCTCCACGGCAATCCCAGACTCCGTCGCCTCCCAGGAATACCTCAAGATCCTGATCGCTCAACTCGCCATCCCAGCCTCTATCCAACTCATCAGCACCCCGATCCACCTCTTCGGTCTGGACCTGTACAACCGGCCCCAATCCATGCCCACCAAAGAGCGCATTGGCCGAATCAGTCGTGACTGGATCGGTGCATCACTGCTACGCATGTGCCGCATTATCCCTGCGTTTGGTATTGGTGGGTTCCTCAATACGGAGGGCCGTCTTTATTTGCACGATCAGTTGGATGAGCGGCGGATGCCGTCATGAGCTGGGCTTACGCTTTGCATATTGCATATAACTTTGAACATAACATAGCATTTCTTATAGAAATTATAGATCAATATACCCTTTTCTTATCCCTGTCCTTCTCGCTATACGGCCAGTCACCTCTCCATTTTTCCCGAGCCTGATCGCGTGTCAGCTCTTTGTGGCATTGGCATTGTCATTGTGGGGTGGACGCTGCTTATCGGTTCGTTCATCGTGAATGCCATTATCAAACAAACCCCACTTGCCGAGGCGTGGCCGGCCCGGAGCCCGCTTGTAACCGGACAGTGTGCAGCAGGGCACCGTCCACTCGTTAAATGGTGGGAAAGGTTCAAGGATCTTGCGTGTCATGTTGCTATGAGATTTTATTGGCTTTGTATATGGCTTAAGTCTTTCCCCGCGTTTTACAGGGCGGATCAGAAACCCGGTCAAACCGCTAAAGTGTACCCGGCTCATGACCGAGAGATTTCCGATTTCAGGCCGAAGGGTCCTGAAAAAGTAATCTTCTGGACTCTTTGAGACTTGAAGAATCTGGGGTACAGTAGTCGGTTTGCTTTGACACGGATATATTAGGTATAGATGTAGAGTCTTTGATTGGCTTCTTCGTCTGAAGTATCCGGATCCTACAAATTTGGATCTCCAGTCACTTGTCTCTGGTTGTCCTCTTGCATTCACTGATAGAGGTCTTTTCAATGGAATATTTTGTTATTTTCCAAGATAAATGTCTTTTATTTGAGTAAGGGTGGCAAGTAGACTCTCCGGAGAGCAAGGTTGAATTCGCTGGCCGCAGCTGTCCCATGAAACGCTTCACATAAACTTGGAAGGACCATTCACAAGCATTTTGGAGTAAATATCAACATACAAAATTCATGTCGGGAAGCGTAATGACAGACAGCAGTGTCGCTTGAAGAACCAGGCTCTGCTGGTGAGAAAGATGCTCGGATGCAAAATTTGCTCGCCAATCACAAGGTCAAGCCATCCTCGTAATTTACGTCTATTTCAACTGATCCAATTAAATGGCGCTGGTGGGGCTGGCTATTGCTGATGATTCCAAACACTTGTGGGGCACGTATCCCGTTTATGCCATAGACCTTTGGGAAACATGAAGATCGCGGCACCTACTTGCCTCTATTCAAGAGAATGGTTTTTACTAAATGAATCCCCTCTTTTGTTGAGTACCTATTGATAGGGTGAGTAAATGGTGTATATATACCCCGTTGGTAACCTTGTTATTGATATTTTCTTCGTTCCTCCCTCATTCTAAGCTTGGCAACCTTTCATCCAAAATCAACACCATTCATTCCCTTTGAAGCACCTATCACAAGACCAATCAAAATGATTCAAAACACTATCCTCGACACAATCGGAAACACTCCACTCTTAGAACTGCGCCATATCTGCCCTACAAATGGGGCACGCATTCTCTTGAAAGTGGAGAGCCAAAATCCAACGGGAAGCATGAAAGACCGCATGGCCTTGGCGATGATCACAGCCGCCGAGTCCGACGGACGACTCAAGCCTGGCGGGGCAGTCGTCGAGTACACTGGCGGCAGCACTGGCGTATCCCTTGCGTTTATCTGCGCCGTGAAAAATCACCCACTTCATCTCGTTTCGTCTGACGCATTCTCCAAAGAAAAGCTCGACCACATGAGACTTCTAGGCGCCAACCTGACTATCCTGCCTAGTGAGAATGGCAAGCAAACGGAGAAACTCACAAAGGACATGATCGCCGAGGCGCATCGCATTGCGAGGGAGACTGGCGCATATATCACGGCACAGATGGAGAATACCGATCAGCTGCAAGCATACACCACATTTGCAGATGAGATTTGGGAACAGTCAGGCGGTTGTATTGATGGGTTTGTTCAGAGCGTAGGATCCTCTGCGTCCTTTCGTGGAACTTCGGAGAGTTTGCGCCTGCGGAATAAGGGTATAACTTGTGTTGCTGTTGAGCCCGCGGAATCTGCTGTACTTTCGGGGGGGCCTTCTGGCTCGCATAAAATTGACGGCACGGGAGCTGGCTATATTGTGCCGTTATGGTATGATGGTGTGGCCGATGAGATTGACCAAGTTTCTACGGATGATGCGAGAGCAATGGCTTTTCGATTGGCGAGAGAGGAAGGCTTGTTTTGTGGTACTTCTACTGGGGCTAACGTCACGGCTGCGCTGCGCCTGGCAGAGCGCCTTGGACCACATGCCACTGTTGTTACTATCATGTGTGATACCGGTATGAAGTACTTGAAGGCTTTCTCGCGGGAAATTGATGCGTGACAGCCAAATTAACATTTCAGTAGCATGCGTCACGAGAAGAATCAAGACGATGGGTTCATCTGGCCGTCGCAAAATGGAATTTAAGGATCAATTATGGAAATACTTGTGCTGTAGATGATAACAGTGGACTTTGATACCCTTTTAATCTGTTGGAGTTCCTGGTGTGGTCTTTCTTCATTTTAGTTATCTCACCCGATGAGTCGGTTTCCTGAAAGGACGGGAGGGTTGTGTTGATCAAAATCACACTACGACATCTAGTGCCCATACAATTAAACACGTCCTATCATGCCATGATACTTTTCACCATTCGGTCGAGAAGCTGCATATAAAGAAACGACTATCAGTTATTTTATCGGGGTCCGCCGGAATACATCCCCTGATTGATGAGTCATGCAAATTCACAAGTCGAAAAATTGACCTTCGATAGCGGCCAGTCTTGGCTTTTACGAGCTTCCGAGTGCTTTCACTGGACAATAGGGTCTCTATGCAGCTCGCTAACAGTCGACCATACTTTTTCTAGTCTAGCGTTAATTCAGCTACTGAATTACTTAAATAGATTCAATAATAAATAAGGGGTGATTCACTTCTCGCCCGATAAGATCCTTAGATCTTCGGTTCCTGCCAAGCTTTGACAGGAGGACTCTGATTGAGTCATCGCCATCTTTAAAACACTCTCTGAAGTTCGAACACTTTAAATTTCCCCCACGTCTACCTCCATCGACACTTTCCATTCCATATTCACCAATTGATCAAAAAGAGTACAAGTCATGTCTCTCCCCAAAGAACCCCGCTCCTGGCAAAAACCAGGCTTCTTCATATCAACCGATAAATCACTCCTTTCAATCCCAGCCATCAACCACGCATTCGGCCTAGACATTATATACTGGGCTCAGCCCGTTCCCGACGACGTCATGCAAAGCATAGTCGACAATTCATTCTGTTTCGGTCTCTACGAGATCGTCACCAGCCACAAAGACACCACGGATGCCTCTCAACAACAACAACAAGAACCAACCTTCCAAGCAGAAGATCTGAAGCAAATCGGGTTCGCGCGCATTGTCGGCGATATGGTTACCTTTGCATATCTCACGGATCTTTATGTTTTACCGGAGTATCAGGGTCAGGGTGTTGGAGGGTGGATTATTGATTGTATTGGCGAGATGTTAGAGGAGATGCCATATTTGCGGTGGGCGATGTTGAGGACTTCGATGGAGAAGAGTCGGGATGCGTATGTGAAGAGGCTTGGGATGGCGGTTCTGCAGTCTGGAGAGATTGAAAATGGGCCTGTTATGATGGGGAGGAAGGGGAGGAAAGGGGGTCCTTGATTTTGTCGATACTACGTGGTTTTGTATAGGCTCACGACTTAATGATATCGAATCTATGTGTCTGAAGAAAACTATACTGGAATGACTGTACGGTTTCGCGCAGAGCCGCAAGTGGGGGCGGATTAAACGGTGAGCGTATAGCGAATAGTAGGCTCGCTGGTTGACTAGCTTGTTACATGATGACTCTGCCCCAGGCTGACATGGGAGATGATCATCCTTCAAGTCTATCCTACAAATAACAACAACCCTGCCCTAATCCATTCCGAAATTATAAACTCTCTCACGACTCCTCGTCATCACAAAATATCTCCATCAATCACTCCACAATGGCGTCTCTCAACATCCCCCCATCTTTCCTCAAAGACCCCCTCCAAACGCAACCATCCACCCATTAGACTTTACAAAAACCACACCCCCAATCGCAGCATACAAGAACCACTTCGCCGCCGTCATCGACAATTTCATGACCCCAGCCGAATGCACCCAACTCCTCCATCTAGCAGGCGAATCCGCCCATCCCCCAAACACCACCACCACCACCACCACCACCACCAGCAACAACAGCAACAACAGCAACAACAACAACAACAACAACAACAACAACAACAACAACAACAACAACAACAACAACAACAACAACAACAACAACAACAATAACCCCCTCGAACCAACCTGGGAACTCGCCCTCGTCAACGCCGGCTCCGGCACCCAAGTCCTCTCCTCCAGCCGCAAAAGCAGCCGCTACATCCTCGACTCCCCCGAAATCGCATCCCGACTCTTCACCCGCCTAACACCCTTCCTAACCTCCTTCGGACTAACCCGCATCGAAAACCAGCCTCTTATCACGGGTCTTGGTCCCGTAAAACGGGGGGAGGTCTTTGTGCTGGCGGGGTTGAATGAGCGGATGCGGTTTTTGCGGTATGAGGGGGGTGATTATTTTCGGCCGCATTGGGATGGGAGTTATGTTGATAGGAATGGGGGTGGATATGGGGATGGGAGGGAGAGGAGGAGTCTGTTGACGGTGCATTTGTATTTGAATGGGGAGGGGGAGCAGGATTGGAAGGTTTTGGGGCCGGAGGTTGAGAAGGTGAATCGGGAGATGTATCTTTTTGAGGGCGAGGATGGGATGGTGGATTTGAGGGAAGTCGCTGAGGGGAAGAGAGAAGGGCATAGAGATGGAGAGGGAGACGGAGGAGAGGGAAATGGTAATGGTGATGGGAGGAGTGGAAGTGGGACTGGCCGGGAACAGGAGGCATTACTTGGAGGTGCTACTTCCTTTGGTGATGACTATCGAATGAGAGATTCGGTGCGAGTGTTTCCTAAGACGGGATCACTGCTGATCTTTCAACAGCGCAATCTGATGCATAGTGGTGATGATGTTTTTCGCGGAGTCAAGTATACGGTTCGGACGGATGTGATGTATACCCCAGAGAAATAGGAATAGAGAATGGGTAGAAGTTCATGTCAAAGAGGCAGTAGCCCTCAATAAACCAGATGAAGAGCAATCCATAAGATTCGGGATAGAGGACAGTCCTCAATGTGTACCTAGTTAGAGATAATTAACTAGTTAGATCTACACTACCTAGTTAACTCATGGAGTTAACTAGCCCGGTTGTTAAGTGTCATGACTAATCTCGGCCCGCGCACTGCCAAAAGCCCGAGCTTACGAGCTGCGGGGACCGAACCCCCACTTTAGATAATCGCCTTTTAGCTGCATACGTCATATTCCCATGTCACGAAATCTTCGATATAAATCACTCCATGTAGCCTACAATTCTTCAATATTTACAGACCAGCTTAAAACCAGTCTATTCAGTCAAACACTCCTTCCAATTCCACACCCAGTCCTACTACCACTACTACTACTACCTCTACCACCATGGCACCAACAAACAACCTCGCCTTCACAGCCCCGCTAAACCCACCAAACACACCAACCCGCCTCTCAACCTCCCAAATCTGGGCCGGCCTCCTCCTCAAATGCCGCTCCGCAGAAACCTTCGTGCCCGCCGCCATCCAATCCACCACCGTGCTCAGCGACACCATCGACCCGACCACCAGCAACACAGTCGTCGTTCGGGAAGTGCTTTTCCGCGAGTCGCAGCAGCTGGTGAAGGAAGTCGTCACTGCCTTTGAGCCTTGTCGGGTGGAGTTTGAACAGCCGGATGGGAGTCGCATTAGTAATGTTGTTAGTGAGGGGGCGGATGGGGAGTTGTATTTGACGTATATTTTTGAGTGGAGACATCCGGGATTGAGTGAGGAGGAGTTGGAGAATGCGTTGGTGAGGGAGAGGCGGATGAGTCGGCAGGCTGTGGAGGGGACTATTAATGTTTTGAGGAGGCTCGTAGAAGAAGGGAAGCTTTGATTGGAGATAGCGTCGTCCTGTGATATGAGATGGGAAATGTGAAAATATGATGCTTTGTGAAAGTACTTTTACTCGAGGGACTATCAAACTACCTTAACCTTAATTTTAATCCCAAGCTTATTGTATCCTGAGCTTATACCCTGAAATACATACTCCTTCTAAACCTCCGGCACAGCAATCACTCCCTCCGAAACCCTCACAGCCGACCCCGTCAATTCCACCTCCCCAATCGCCCCCTCCCCATCCAACACAACATTAACCCCAATATCACTCCTCCGGTCCATCTCAACCCCTTGCACAAAATGATACCGATACGCCTCTCCCGCCTTCCCCTCCGTCAACGCCAAATAAGACGCAAGTCCACTCGCCGAGCTCCCCGTCGCCGGATCTTCCAATGCACCCAGCATCATCCGCGTGCGAATCACTTTTTTGCCCGTGACATCGTCATCTACGTCCCGCACAAAGAAGTACACGCAGATAAGTCCAGATTGCCAGCCAGCATCGAGATACTGCAAAACCGAGACCAGATCCCCGCCCGTGGCGCGGGGGACGGCGGCTAGAGCTTCAAGGGTGGGCAGCTCGATGAAGGTCTGACTCATGCCATTAACGATAGAGAAGAGAGGGAAACTAGTTTCCTCGGTACCAGTAGCCGAAAAGTACGGCTTCAATGTTGGATGCAGGTACAACAGATCCGATAGAGGGAAGCGCTGTGCATGAATGCGCGTGTTATGCGCAATCTTAGCAGCGACAGTCCCGCTTTGCGCGTCTTGAATGGTAATTGGGATTTCACCGGATTTGGTGATGAGGCTGGTGACTTGGCCTGCGTTGGCGGTTGCATTTGCGTCTGCGCCGGATTGGCAGAGGAACCAGTTTGCGGCGCCGATGGTGGGATGGCCGGCGAAGGGGATTTCGCATTCAAGGGTGAAGATGTCGATGGTGCGCTTAGTGGGGTCGGTGACTGGGTGGACGAAGATGGTTTCGGAGAGATTGAATTCGAGAGTTATGATGTGCTTTTGGCGTTGGGTGAGTTGCTGGGTTGGCTCTTCGGGTAGGAAGACTACGGCGAGTTGGTTGCCGCTGAAGGGTTTGGTGGTGAAGACGTCGAGAGTGACGAACTTAAGTTGTGTCATGGTGAGGGTTGGTTGTTTGAAAGGGAGAAGAAATTGGATTCAGATCGTATTCTCGAGTCCCTTTGGCTGCAGCAAGAAAGATATAGCTCCTTGCCCACGCCCTTGACTCATTTCTGGTGGGGTTGCCGATGCCGAAGGTCCCGCTTAAACTCGGCAGCCGACAAGGTCCAACACCAGGATCCATCTACAAAATCGTCAGAGAGTCATATGGAATGACTAACCAGGCATTGATCTTAACAATTTCTTCTTAGCAGGATACTAACTACCAAATCAATCTAAATCATCCATTTATGGCACCACAAATTCATCCGCATGCCCCCTCTCCCTCCCCCAACTCTTCATCCCATCAATCAACGCCCTCGCAAATCCCTCGTGATACCTCAATCCATTCTCTGGCCACGCCGGCCGCCCAGCCCTCCAAATAGCCCATTTCTCAGCCATAACCCCCTCCGGCGCACGTAGCAATCCCGTCGCAACATCTACAATCTGCGGCCGTTCCTTACACCAGTAGAACACCGTCGCACCACACGTCCCACAGAACGTCCGCACTACATCCTCCGTCGACTGGTAGGCCTTGGATGATCCGACCAGGAGGTTTGATGGAAGCGCTGGCGAGATGTGGTCGACAGGCACGAACATCCAGCCGATCACGTTAGTCCCCGTGGTGAGACGGCAGTCGTCGCAGACGTCCATGCTGGCTAGCCAGCGCTTTTTGTCGATGGGGGAGAGCCAGCCTGTACTTTCTTCGCTGGCAATGAAGGAGTCGCGGGGTCGAGAGATGTGGAAGGATACGCCGCCGCAGTGGCATTGCGCGAGTAATTTCTCGTCTGCACTGGCAGATGCATCTGCATTGCCCTCGTGAGAAACAGGTTTGTCCATAATTGGAGCTGACGCAGACGGATTCGTAGAAGCAGAAGCAGAAGTCGCAGTCATAGTCTTCGGTATATCCAAATCCACCATATTCAACACCTCCCCATCCACACTCCCAAAAACCCCGGACAACCCCCCATCCCCGGTAGACCCAGGACAAATATGCGAACTAAACTTCCAAACGCCCTCCTCGCCGCGATTCGCATCATAGAGCGACGACGAAATCATCCACGACACATCCTTCGTCAACGAACTATCACCAATATGGCAACCACAAGTACTGCAGAACCATTTCCGCGAACGAAAGGATGGATGCGTGTACGAGGTGAGCTTGTCTTTGCCGGAGGGCGCGATGAAGTCCAGATCGACGCCGTCAGGTAGGGGTGCATGGAAACAGCATGGTGCGCCGTGGACGTAGCGGCAGATTGTGCAGTGGCAGAGGTGGATTTTGAGGGGGAGGGATTCGAGGGGGAGTGTTATGGTGAATTGGATGGCGTGGCAGTGGCAGGATGCTTTGAGGGTTTTGGTTGGTGCCATTGTTGTAGGACGCTTGTTGTGGTGATGATGGCGGTTAGTTTATCGTGGTTGTCAGAAGAGTATGAGAGGACCTAGTAGTGGCCCTAGTGGGGGAATGATCGATTCTTTTTGTATTCTTCAAATGATCCAAATCTACTAAACCTTCAAAGACGGAACGCACGGGCCGGTATCCCGTTATCCTGCAAAGCTCGTATTGGGAGTCATACTCGCAGGATCTGGATGTATCGGATCAAGGCAAGAGTAGATTGCATGCAGCTGTATCATTCGTCGGGTCGGGGATCTAGCTACTTCCATCTTAGTTGGGTTGGGTGATCTTTTACCCCGCGATGATGCCCAGACTCTGCCTAAAGTTTGCTTCTTGTTGGTTATTAATTCGAAGAATAGAAAACAGTGGGATGAGCAAATGTCAATCTCTAGTTAGGATGGCGATTGGTAGACAGTATACTCGTAGGTATGTAGTCGGATTAGCTTTGAGGGCATACACGGGAAATCTACTTACATCATTACTCGATCGTCCATGAGGTAGTTAGCCTCCGGTATCAGAAGGTGGTGTCTAGTCCTATAGACCATCGCAGGGTTCTAGTTCAGTCCTCTATCGTTTGACTTTGTCCAAATCAAATGGTACAGTACTAAATCCTGAGAACTATTTTACTCGGTGCACTATAACTACTTCCATGTATGACATTCTATCCAAACAGACAGGCCCTCGAGCTGGGCAATCCATCGAATTAATATCCAATATTCCATAAATAATGTACTCATCAAACATATAGGCATGCAATATAACCCAAATGCCCGAAACTAGGTATCCTCGTATCCTCCATTTACGACTTTGTTACAATTCCTCCCCAATGCAAAACGCCTCATAAGGTCATCATAAAACATATCGTCCGCAAGCTCCACAAGCTGCGCATTTCCTTTCCTTTACTCAGAATCACTTTCAATGACGAACCCGCCTCGCATGCGGCGACTAGAAGGCGCCACGAGCGTTTCTTCTTCATCGTCGCTGTCGACGGGTGGCTCGGGATCTGTGGGCTTGGTTTGTCGATCCCGACTGAAGACAAGATCATCGTCGAAATCCATCTCATCTTCCGTGGAAGTGAGTGGCGTGTCTTCGTCTCCGGCTCCGTGGCTGGTAGAGATTTCCTGCTGAGAGCGAGGCGACACATCGTCCAGATCAGCCATGAGGATGTCGTCGTCATCGTCACCGTCACTGCCCGTAGATCCTGATCCACGACGGCGTCGTTTCGACTCGGTAGCAGTTGTGTCACTTTTGCGCTTACGAACACTCGCTTTCTTGCCCTTGTTCGTGTTCTCTGACTGCACCTGTTCAGTATCACCCATGAGGATGGCTTTCTCAACATTCCGCGCTTGCTCCTTGCGCCGTTCTTCTTCGAGGCGGAAGAACTCCCGGTCCGCTTCCTCGTCAGTCTCGTCGTCGCTAGCATGGATGAACAGATCACTTTTGATCTTGCTTTGGCGGGCCAGCGCATTGGCAAGACGGGCCTGGCGACGCTCCTCCAGAATTGCATCATCCAGGGGTTCCTTTTCAGCGTCATCGACCTTGCGTGTCTTCTTCTTGCGCTTTTTCTTAAGCTCATCTAGTGCATTAGACTTTGTCCGAAGGTTCGGCGGGAATAAAGGCCCATCGGGAACATCTTCTCCTTCAGAATCCGATCCAAAGTGCACGTCGAGTGTGCCCTGAGCTAGGCTTTCCCGCGCACTGTTTGTCTCCTTGCGGCGGAGCAGTTGGCGAGGATCTTCGGCGCTGCCCTCGGGTATGGGATTCTCGACTGACTTGTTGATGGTGGAAATAATCCCGTTCAAATCAGTCGATGACATGGCCGCTGGAACGACCCATTGAGCACCGCGCACGTCCTCCTGGCCAAGTCGCTCGAGTCCGACAGACTCCATAAGTAGACGGAGCTTGGCGTTGGAAAACATGGAATTCTCGACGAAATCATCACTAGGTTTGACGTCTGCATGAGTGTTAGTTAGCTGCTAGTTTCTCGAAGTTGTTTTGAGAATCAACACATACGAATCAAGGGGTTGGGTGTGCTGGTAGCTTCAGGGTTCTCTGCACGACGAGCTTCGTCACCAGCCTCCCAGGCCTCGCGTTCGAAGGCGGCCGATTTCAACACATCTACGAGCCACGTCACGAGATCCGCCCGCCCGTCAAGGACGAGGGCACCCACCACCACACCCTGTTTGGCCTCCTTGGTGAGAGTCTCCTTAGAAATGAATTGGAGCTCCCCCCGGGGCCGCTTGGAAGTAGACATGGTCTGTCGTTCATGCCCGAACTCAAGATAGTAAACCGTCGAGTTCATCTTGCTGAATAGCAACTCTGTGATCAGGGCAGGCCGTTGATCAATCCTCTTCACCAATCGACGAATGATCTGCCGCACAAACTCCTCCCATTCTTTGAAAACCGGTTTGGTAGAGTCCATAGCTCCAGGGCCCTTGATCATCCGGTGGAATAGGTTGATGATGTCCAAGCGGAACAAGAGGGTGGTCATCTCCTGTTTGAACGCGACGCGGTAGAAGTAGCGGTGGGCTCGTTTCAGTTGCTCCGAATTCAACTCGCGATAGAATTCAGTGAAAGCGACAAACGTGTTCACACAGCTTTGATTGCAGAACTTGGCAGCAAATCGCTTGAAATCAAATGCACGCTCCTTGGTCACCTGCGCAGAATCAATCAAGTCCTCGTCTTCAGAATTCAGGTCCTCCTCGTTCTCTTCACCATCTTGGCCTTCAGCCTGAGCGGCGTCCTTCTTGCGCTTTCTGGCTCGCCGCTTAGATCGAACTTGCAAGTCAACGTTTGTCTTGGAATAACGCTCCAGCATGCGTAAGAAGACATGTGCAAGCTCCGTTGCAGCATCCAGATACCCAAACCCTTGATCTTTGTATCCTCGCACGATGGAAATGATTCGGTCGTGCGTAGTTTCTTCGTAGAAGATTCGGTTCTGAATATTATCGGCAATTTCTTGATCTTCCTCAATCGGGGAGAAGGCCATTTCCTGCACAGTCAAAAGGATTTGCGTAAAGCATCGCATCTGTGCAGTCAAGTCGTCCCATTCCTTGTTGTCCAGGCTATTTTGCATGGCCCTGTTCAAGGAGATGAATGTTTCCTGGTTCAACACACCAGCAACCAAACCATAGCTGTCTGGCTCCACCTCCTTCGCAGACTTCCCATTCTGGGCATGCTGCATAACCTGTCGGGCACGTCGCGCACGCTCAGCTTCAAGGAACCAGCCGACTGTGTAGAAGAACTGCCGAGCATTGATCGCTGTTACCCGTTCCGCCTCCCGCTCGATCGCCTTTCGCACATGGGTGAACAGAGGGTTAAAGCCGGAGTCGAGGAACTCTTCCACGAATGTTCGGAAGTTTTTCGTCGCTAGTAATGAGAGATGAGCAGGAATATTAAAGTCATTGTACTGGACGCCATCGTCCTTCTTTCGGCGGGGTCGGGGCTTTTTCCACTTCTTGGTCTCATCCATTTTCTGCAGACTGGCTTGGTCGTCTCGCAGAATATTTTGCCCGGAAACCGTAGTCACTTTATGCTCGTCTCGTTTAACCCAGATCATGGTCCCAAATCTACCATGTCGAGTAGGTGCATTCCTGGCGTATTCTCGCTTGACCTGGCTCTCTTTGCGGAGAAGATCGCCAAGCTCGTCAGATCGTTTTGCCTTCCGTTCCTCGTCGTTCAGGAACAGCTTGTCAACATTGACACCCTTGACTAGGTGAAACAAGATCTCGAGTAAGACCACATCCTGCTGGTTGAAGTCATCGGCGACATTCGAGCACATGGTCAGAATGAGCGCAAATGCATCTTGGTCTTGGAACGCATTGATCGTGGCTGCGCGAGATGTCTCCTCCTCGTCACCTTCGGCCGCAAGTCGATCATTGGTGGTGATAATCGCAATATTTCGCAAGAGATAGAGCATCAACTTGAGGATCCCATCATCTCGGGACTCGCGCTCGGACCGGGGGATAGCCATGCTCGGAAGGGCAATGCGGATGACGGCACGCAAAAGGTTGGATCCGCCATACTTGAGAATGCTGCGCTTGTATTGCACTTGGATTTGCTGAATGTATGGAGTATGGCGGTGGTGGTTGGCGGTCATCTGGCTGTGATACTCAGCGGGCCAGGTCAAAGGTACCAGCAATTCCACTGCTCCGGTCAGCCCTTCAGTATCCTTAAATCTCCCATGGTATATAAGGTCGTCACTTACAGCATGCTAAAGCAACTCGTGTCATATGCTTGCTGTTTTGTCCATTGGCCCACCAGATCGAGAGAATTGGAAGTAGATCACCAATGACCAAGTTGGCTTCTCCGAGACATCGCACCACGTCCATTCGATTGTTCCTTTGGTCGTAGAGCCTCAGCCATCTTCTAATGTCACGAAGACAGGAGAGGGCATCATCTCCAAGCATATAACGGTCTGCATCTTCGCCATTGAAACCACCCAGCTAAAGATGAGGTCGCGTCAGTATCCCGGTCAGTCTATAATCAGGAGAGAAAGTCACAAGGATCACATACCGCGGTAACCAGGCCGTAAACATGGATGCGCACGTCCGGGTCAATGACCTGGACATCATGGCCCACGGAGGTCACCTCCTGCTCCATGGTGGGAATACCTTTTTGTTGAGTATGGACCACTTGGAGCGCACTGTAACTCGAATGGGACAACGCGTCTCGGACGCGTTTGCCTCGGCGATTCGGAGAAACTGAAAGCGCCGCCCGCTGCCGAAGATAGCCGATGACGTCGGATTAACTTTAGTCGGTCAGACCGACACGTGAAGATCTATACGACTGTAATCTTCTCTTTCTTTTGTACTCTACAAACCCGAGTGATTCCTGCGATTGCAAATATGTTCGCTTCTTCGCTTCGTTCCGTCACTCGCAATGGCTCTTCAGTGGCCCGTAGCTTCAGCTCGACCGCTGCTACGAGCGCTGCCGAGGTTAAATCGCTGGGTGTGATCGGTGCTGGCCAGATGGTCAGTAATATGCACGGATTGAAAGTTTTTCGTCGCTAATGAAATGTAGGGTCTGGGAATTGCTCTCGTTGCCGCACAGAAGGCCGGAGTACCTGTCACTTTGGTCGATTCCTCACAAGCCTCGCTGGACAAGGGTCTCAAGTTCGCCGGTAAATATGCCCTTTCATCCTTCCGCCCGCGGCTACTCCAATTGTTGGGCTTCGCAAAGTCCCCAGGGGCCCTTACAGAGGAACGGTGCTAAATCCTATATTCACTCAGACAAGCTTCTTGAGAAGGATGTCGCTAAGCAGCGCATTACTCGAGAAGCCGCCGATGCAGCTCGTGCCCTGCTTACCCCCACCCTGAAGATGGAAGACCTCTCCTCGGTTGACTTTGTCATTGAGGCCGTTCCCGAGATCCCAGATCTCAAGCAGAGCATCTTCAAGAACCTTGCCCAGATTGCGCCCAAACACGCTATCCTGGCCACCAACACTTCGTCCATTCCCATCACCAAGATTGCCGCTGCTACCACCACAGACCCAACCGACTTACAGGCTCCATCTCGGGTGATCTCGACTCACTTCATGAACCCTGTCCCCGTTCAAAAGGGTGTGGAGATTATCCGGGCTTTGCAGACCTCTCAGGAGACCATGGATACTGCCATTGCTTTTGTCGAGCGTATGGGCAAGGTGGCCTCGGTGTCCGCCGACTCCCCCGGCTTCCTGGCCAACCGCATTCTCATGCCCTACATCAACGAGGCTGTCATCTGTCTCGAGACCGGTATCGGTGGCCGTGAGGATATTGACAACATCATGAAGAATGGTACCAATGTCCCCATGGGTCCTTTAACCCTGGCTGATTTCATTGGCTTGGACACCTGCTTGGCTATCATGAATGTGCTCCACCAGGAGACTGGCGATAGCAAGTACAGACCTGCTGGCCTCCTTCGTCGTATGGTTGATGCTGGCTGGATGGGTAAGAAGTCTGGCAAGGGCTTCTACGACTATTGATCTGTATCTGCCTGCTCTGGTATGATTCTTGACGACGCAAAATCATTATTTGTACCCTCACAAGATACCTTCTGTATGCTACCATTCTTAGGTTCTTTTTGAACGCCATCAATACATAAAATACAAAGGACTTATTCTTCCAGATATGCGATGAAACCTGAGAACATACTAAGATTGGTATTGGTTTAGATGTGCACGCCGCTCACTTGGGCTATGCAATCTCAGTTCTCAGTCACGTTATCCCCCCCCCCTTTCTCCTCTCTCCTCTCTTCTCCTCCCTAGCACCACTGGGCCAGTCCCGACCTATGCATCGGCGTGGACGGCTCCAGCAGGACCATCGTCGGCAACCTGCAACGCCGCCACAACCATTGCACGGTCGGGACCGCCCTCTCCTCCCCACACCGGATGATCGTCCAGGACCTCTGCCGCCTGCCAGCAATGACAAGTGCCCCAAATTGCGCCGCACACGTAGCTACTCACAAGTCAGCATCAAATCTGATGAGAACTGATTGAACATAGACCTGAATTTCATCTCAGATACATACCAGAACTCTGCTCCACAGTTGCACCTGATGTGCGGGCACCCTCCCCTCCTCTCGACCAAGCTATGGCAGCGGTAGCATCTCTGCCACTGCTGAGTCCGGGCCACATCCAAGATCGCTCCCAGCCCAGGGTCTTCCGTGCATTGCTGGCGTCCGTGAGCCAGATCTCGACAAGTCGAGCAGATCACGGCCCGGCAATATGGGCACTTCTGTGTCTTGGACCCTGGGTGTAGGAACCTGGGAGAGATCCAGGTGCGGCAGTTGGCTGCCGGACAGTACCATCGCTCGGCCGGAGGAGTGGTGCGCTCAGACGCGAGGGCCATGTAGACCTTTCTGACGCGCAGGTGCAGCGCCGGGACCAGCTGCTTGGCGGGGATCTCTTGGCCACAGCAGCGGACAGGGAACATGCTTCTGTCCAGGAATGCGACTTTCACCATTTCTCGGATGCAGGGGCGGCAGTACTGGTGCTCGCATCCCCCGCTCACGAGATTGGTTGACTTGACTGGCTCGTCGCAGGCCACGCATGGGCTGTGTAAAGGGAGTGTTAGTGAGTGCCTTTCTCTGTATATCATATGTGGATACTGACCTCTTCTTGGACATTCCGCTCTTCAAGACAGCCTTCAGTCTTTCTCTGAAGCCGAGCTTCTTGTCTTCATCATCCTCTGCTGGATCATCGCCCGAGGTGATGGCGGGAAGGACAGGCGCCGCTGCAATGGGATCAGGTTGATCCGGTGTATTGCTTGCTCCAGGTGCTGCATCCTCAGGCTGTGGTGCGCCCCCGCGAGGTCTGGCAATCTGCTGAAGCGGGTTGGGTGCATTGCCTCCTGCGAGTAGAGCGGCTTCAACCCATGGCGGGTGGCGAGTTCTGATAGTCTTCCAAAACGCTGAGAGTTGCTCCCTGGTGGATGCTGTCCTGCGAGTTCGTCTCTGCAGACCCACGTCGAAGGCAGGAACACGAAACTGAAACTGGAAGGGTGCGAAGGACATTTTTCAAAGACGAGTTGGTAGTGGAAGCCAGAGATTGGAGTGGATGGGACGATGTTCTTGTGTGTGAGAGTGCGTTTGGAAATGAGGCTGTGTGTGAACGTTGACGACGACAAGATTCGAGACAAGAAGAGAAATCGGAAGGAGGTAATTATATCTTTTCTTCCCCTGCAAGGCTACGACTCACGCCTCCCAACGATGAGTCGGAGGATTCCCAACGATTCCGTGGACGCATATACAACTACAGATCAACAGGCATCGCCCGCAGCTGGTCCATTGAAGCATGAGGCATCGACGACATTCAATTCTTTTGGATTCCGCAAAGGCAACGTGAGCAAGGCAACGCGAGGTGACTATAGCATGACCATTCTTTGGAGACACGGTACCTGGCCGTTACGAACGACTAAGCGTGGGTTGCAGGTCCCGCTTTGGTATGGCGGGATGGCTTCAGGTAAACTTCCCATGTCGAACCAAAGCATTTTCATACTAACCGTGGTTGTACGTTACAGACCATTATACCAGGAAGAGAGCGTATCAGAGCAGCGTCATCAGATTGCTTCGTGAAGGAGATCGAGACGAAACTTTCAGAGTATCTTTATTTACGTTGTGGAGACTATGACCAGGGATAGATCTGTGGATAACCATGGAACGAAACGCAAACAGCCGCCGTAATATTTGATCGGAGTGAAAACCATCAATTAGACAAATAAAAGGGTATCATAATGCATAACTAAGGCCGTGCGCTAACACAGCTCCTGAAACTCCGAAAAAGACTGACAAGTGCACAGTTGAACCTCCCAATCATATCATACCGGCAAATCGTCGGCCAGCCCATCCTGATCCATATTCCTGGTATTCCTGGCGGGTAATGGCCAACTTGCCAAGTTCCTCACGGTTGCTCGCGAAACGAGACCCGCCGAGCCAAGTAAAGCGGAAAGGACTAAGCAGTAATGAATGGTTAGTGATTGTGTAGAATGGGGATGTATCACGTGGATGGAACTTACTCCTCGGCCTGTCGAACGCGAACCACACATTCTGATGAGGCAATCCCGCGGATATCATTTTCACTGCGAGGATACATCAGCTTATCAGTTGTCTGGATTGTAGGTAGAAAAAATCTACACTTACAGCCGTTCCATGAAGCCCGGAATGCAAGAATTACCACCAACAACTAACACATTCGCCAAGAAGGCGGCATGCAATCCAGGCGGCAATACCGACAAGCTCTGAAGAATCATATCTGGGATACCAGCTTGCTGCATCCCGATATCACTGGGTTTGAACAGAAGCTCCGGGACAGTAAACCTTTCGTTGCCCAGAACCAGCACATCCTCAGACAAAATCTCTGCACTGAGACCAGAAAGCGCACCCTTCTTTTTCTTTGCATGCAAGAGTGGATCATGTGGGCGCATGAAGCCCTTCTTGTGAGCATTTGGATCTGGAAGCACGTAGTCTACTACCACGCTTTGGGCTTCTTCGCGCTTGCGATTAGCCTTCCAGGTTCGTTCCATGTCGGCCGTGAAATCATTGCTGACGAAACAGACAGCCTCTTTGACTTCGTTCATGATGTATGTCTCGTCTACCATGTTGTATTGGCGCATGGATACGATCTCTTTCAAGTAGTTTGTAAGGAACTTGCCACCGACATCGAGCCGTCGGATGGCACGTTGAATGGGCTGGCCTTTGTATACGGGTGTCACTGTTGTATGGGAGTATCCCGAATCGACGACCAGGAGGCAGTCCTTGGGCATGATATCGGAGTCGGACTGGGTGAGAGGGTCACCGAATAGCGAATTGACTTCATTCCAAGCATTGAGTGTCGGACCTTTGGTAAAACATGGGGGTTAGTATATCTGAGTTGCACAAATACTGTGATACCAGTATTTCCGTATCTTACCCAAGCATCTCACATAGCCTCCAAACCCCCATTCCTCCATAACCATCTCATCCGTATTTCGCTGCAACACCGGGAGGTTATTTGGAGCCTCGGTAAGCACCAGAGTGGTTTCCTCCGGGTGAGTAATTCGAAGCAGCTTATTCCGCGCTGTCGCCTTCTCCTCGAAGAACGTCTGGTCCCAAATCTCCCTCTCCGCTTCCCAATTCACAATATATCCCTTCTCGACCGGGCGGCGGAACACTGCCTCATTCCAGTCCGTGACATGGGTTGCAAGCTGTGCAGCGGTCCATATCCGGTTATCTCGAGTCTTAACTATCGCGTTTGGTATCGTGGAGCAGTTGGATAGGGCTTCTTCGGAGGAGGACGAGGGATCACAGGCGTAGCCCGCTTTCATTGTATAGGCGCCATTGTCGATGATGAAGGTTTTGGCGGGCAGGTTTCGAGTCGGGACATCTGGAGAGTTCTTTGCAGCCTTCGTAGAGGTGCGCGACTTTGTTGTTACCATTTTGGCTGATTGTTGAATGCCTTGAAAGAAGGTGAGCATCGAAGCTCTTCAGATGCTCCGTCGGTGTTTGTCGTGTTTGATTGATGGGGAACTTTTTGTTATGCCTGAGGATTCAGGTTCCATATTGGTGACCGTCGCAACGAAGACTAACACTAGTGATTCGAAGTAAAGTATTTGAAAATTATCATGAGTGGAAATTTCATTATATGACCTTGATTAAAGTAAAGCAAGCGTGCGTATGTACACATGCAGTCAATGATCGCCCCCGATGCTGAATGGCCTGAGATATATATGTACGTTGAATCGCGACATCAGGCTTATACTATACAAAGAGCAAGAAACCGAGAAAGTCCAACAAATTATCAAACTTAAATCAATCTGCATAATATAGAGCCTGACCACCATTTGAATTTAAATCAACAAAAACCTGGGCAATCAAATCTCAATCCTACAAAAGCCGTACAAACCATTTCCCACCTCCAGCAAAGAGCCCCGCCGAGCCCCGCGGCCAATCTCTCAATCAAAATCTCCGCCCAAAATTTCTCCATCACCAAACAACCACCACCAAACTCACGACACAGTGGTTCAACCACACCCCTCAAAATGGCCCAACAATTCTCAGTCATAATATCCACCACCCTCACCCTCCTCGAACAATTCCAAGCCACCCTCGCCTCGCCCACAACCGCAACAGCAACAGCACAAGGCACTCAACCGCAAACGCCATCCAAAGACACAGACACAGAAGCAGCCGCAAACGCCCTGCCCCTCCTGTCAAACTCCGCTGCTGCACTTAGAGCCCAAGTGACCAAGCTCTCGCTGCTGGCTATCACGGCGCCTTTCACGCATTCTGCCGTTAGCACGGTGCTACGCGCATGCAATGAGTCTGTCCTCCCATCGCTGGTTACGGCTGCGCTGCTCGTGACGCCGGCTGGGTATACGAAGGCTTTTTATTCGGAGGTTCTTGTGCTGACCAAGAGGGCCTTGGTGGAATTCGCTACACTAGTGAAGGGTGTGAAGGGGATTGCTGATAAGAAGGATTCGGCGAAGAAGGAGGACCCTAAGAAGAAGGAGGAGGGGATTTCGAAGGCGGAGAAGGATGGTGTTACTGTTGCTGTGGGTCGGGTGTGGGATGCTTGTGATGCGGTTTCGGAGGTTGCGAGTAAGGGGGGTTGTGGGATTTGTGATGCGTCGGGTTGAGCAGTGGCGTGATCTTGTGAGGGATGCTGTTGAGGAACTTGAGGATTGGGATCCTGAGGAGGATGATGAGTTCTTTGATGAATTGATGGGGGAGGACAAGGATGGCGGTTCTGATAGTGATGATGAGGATGGGGATGAGGAGGATACTGCTGCGCTGCAGGAGCAGAAAAAGTCGACGCTCCGTTTCCTCAAACCCGTTGCGCAGGTCTATCCTGCCATTCTTACCTACCGTCTTAAGAATGCTGGAGATAAGCCCTTGTCTTCGGCGGCTGGCATCGCCAAGCTCGAGTCTTTGATGATCAATTTGCAGAGCATACCTGATCAGGTTGATGAAGCTGCTGGGGCTTTGTACGAGAGCAACTGGGACAAAGCGGCATATCACCTCAAGCAGACACAGAAGCATGCTGCGCAGGCTGTGAACTTGGTTGCTACTCCATGGGCTGGCGCTGAAAGCGCAGACGGCGAGCAGCAATCAAGTGACAAGTTTACCGTTTGGTCGAAGACCTGGCTCAAGGTCATGGATGAAGTCAGCAAGCCCATCGACGCTGCTGCGAGCGGATAGACGCTCAACTACAATACTGGCACTGTGCATAACATGATTTACAATGGGCTAGCGGGATGAACAAGTCGCTAGTCCTGTCTAGATTATCTCAATGAATAGAATAATAAATGGGATACCTCGCCACAAAATTGTATATGTACATTGAAGGAAACGAAGGGGAAGATATAATACAAATGGCAGGTGAATATGAACTGGCAAAGGCTCATCAGTAAAATCAAAGGGAGAGCATGACAGCAAGCCACTGGCTTAGAAGGTGTCAACACGAGCTGCCGCATCCTCATGCTCCCACTCGGGCAGATCTTGGGTCGGAATATGATCCTTCAGGAACTCCAGCACAGCATCAGTTCCCTTAGCGACAACTTGCCAACGGGGAACCCGGAATCGATTGCCAGCAACCTCGAACCTTCTCAAGGCTGATCCTGTGCCCCAATTTTGCGGGGAACGCTCAGCACCGAGTAAGCCAATCTTTGGGGGTAGATAATCAATGTCGTTGTTACTGATATCCAAGACCTGCAAGCCTTGCACTGCCTCGAATTCCACGCTGGAAATCTGATTGTCCGAGGCCAAGAAAGTCTTAAGCTCCAAGAATGTCCGTCGAATGTGTGGGAGCGGTCCAGTGAGACGGTTCTTAGACACATCTAGGAAGTTGAGCGATGGGGCTTGCAGGGACTTCAGAAGCGACTCCAGGGATGTGAGGCCAGCCGCACTCAGATTGAGACTTTGCAGCTTCGGCAGCTCAAGTGACGAAGACATGAGATCTGAGCTTTTAAGCGGGTTGTGCGAGAGGTCAAGCTCAACCAGCCCCTGTGTAAGCATCGTCAAAGCCGGAACAGGGAAGAACTGCAGCTCATTATGTTGCAAGTAAACGCAGCGAATGTCCTCCGAGTTGATCAACGCTATCTTGTCTGTCTCGAGGTCTGTCAGGTCGGAGTATGATCTGTCAAGAACACCACCAGGCTTGACCCGCCACCCGTTCTCCAGCTCTGGTGTCTCCGGAGCCAGTGTGAACTGAGTCGCTACCGATCCCTCGTCATCTGTATCTTGAGGGTCGGGTTCGCATCGATTCCGCAGATCCTGAATGATCTCATCTGAACTCATGCTGAGCAGCTTCCGCTCACGAAGCGGGTTATTGGCAATCTTGAACGTCGAAAGGCTTTCGATCAACCCAATTTTCTCATCCACTCGAGTGATGTTGTTTCCAGTAAAATCAACTGTCTTGACGTTTTTGAGGTCCACGAAACCGACCGGAATCTCCGTAAGACGATTCTCCTCGGCTGCGAGAACTGATAGAGATTGCCATGTAGAAACACAAGGAAGACTCTTGATACGATTCACATTGATAATGAGGCTGTGAAGATTGGGCAATGAAAGCATATCGTTGGCCGCAAGAACGTCCAATGCATTGTTTGCAACATTGAGAGACTGTAGCTCCTCCAGCCGATCCACGCTTCCAGGGATCAAAGTCCCCTCCAAATTGTTCTTGGGGGCATTCAGGGTCTTGAGAGGAAGTTTGCTTAATGCTGCGAACGGCAGACTAGTCAATTGATTCTCACCAACATCCAAGGCCTTCAGACAGGTAAGCTCTGAAAGCTGTTCCGGCAGTCTAGTGAGACCATTGTTCCGCAAATCCAAACTCTCCAATTGACGGAGGCGACCGATTTCCGAAGGGAAAGATCCTTCCAATTTATTGGATGCCAATTTCAAGTCCACTAAAGATGGAATTTCCATGATGACCCCGAGCTTGTCCATAGTCAACTCATTATTCGACAAATTAAGGAAGCGCAGCTGGTGAAGCCGCCGAACTCCCATTGGAAGAGAAAGGAGCTTGTTCCCGTGTAGATCCAGTGTCTCTAACCCGCCAAACTGAGGGCCTCGCTCATCACTGTCAGGGTCGAAATCCACAGGGTCGATGTCAGGGAAAACGGCATCCGCGATTTCAGCCAATTCGTTATCCGCAGCAATGAATTTGACCAAGTCCACGTTCTCAAACCAGTTGGCTGAGTTCTCAGAGTCGAACTCATACATGTTGATCACCTCTTTGGGAATGTCTGTCAGCGACATTGCAGCGATGTTCAATGTGCCGGACGTGCGAGCGCCCTCAACGCGCTTCTTGAGCACAGCTGTGTTGGATCCCTTAGGAAGTTGGTTAAAGGGGTCTTCAAAATCAATGCTTTTCCACGTATTGATAGACGGATTGACGACTTCCGGTTTCGGCGCGTCTTTGCTTGCCGTCGTTGCTGCCGCTTTTTTAGCGGCCTTGGCCTTTGCAATACTTTCTCGCAGAGCGCTGGATGACTTGGACGCTTTCCTTGCCTCGTTTTGCGCCTGTTGCTCTGGCGTAGGTTCATCCTGCATGGTTGATGCAGCAGACACGTATCGCGAAGCGGTCGATGGCGATCTCATTGAGGCAGGAGAATCTGTTTGAGGTTTCCTGGTCTTCCGCACCTGGAGGGGCCGTTCGGGAGGACCCATGTCTGACAAAACGGGCTTTGAAGGTTTCTTTGCTAGGGAAGGGCGAGCAGGCGACGCCTTCGCAAGTACCCCTCCCGAAGCACTGGTTTTGCCGGGCGCCGTCTTCTTGGGCTCGGCAATGTTACTTCCAGGTCCAATGCTTTGTCTCGCAGACGGGAACCGCATCTTCGAAGGGCTTTCGCTGGCCTCTGAAACCTTGCCCGATGCCAAAGATGAGGCTAAAGGCACTGACGCGCGGGGCCGGGAAGGTAATCGAAGCTTGGACACGGGCTGTGTCAGGAGGTCATTCCCGTTTGCTTGACCAGAGGACGACCGTGATGGTGATCTTGAATAGGTGGACACATTGGATGGCGTCCTAGATGGAGATCGTATCGGGCTGGCTCCATTGAAGAAGCTCGACTGTCTTTTCACAGACGCTGGTGATGGTGGGATGTGCGAGATCGTCTCTATTGTCCGTTCCGAAAGAGACGGACCGTCCTCCCGTTGGCGACCCCGAGGCTCATGCGCAAGTCCGTTATCCTCTTCGTCTCCACCCAAGAAGCTCGCGCTATCTGATGTTTGTGTTCCGTTTGTTTCCGTTTGAGGCTCATCCCGTTTGGGAGAAGGTCGGATGATTGGCTTTGCTGGCAAGGAATAGCGTGGGGTTATCGGTTCCTTTCGAAGCGACTCTCGGGACGGTCGTCGGAGACGACTATGATCCAGTCCAGGGTCGGCCTGCAATCGATCGCGGGAGGGGGAGGGGCGGATGGATTTCGGTGCTGTGGACGTTGGCAGGGGCAGTCTGGACGCCGCTAGCCGTGGGATACCACTTGCTGGGCGGATAGTGGTTTTCGGTTGGCCCTCCATCTCTGATGTGCTCGGTATCCTGAAGCTCGGGTTCAAGGTGGTCAAGCTGTCAGAAAAATTATAGGGACGCCTCACGCTTGAGGAAATGCCAGGAATGCGACAGGTGTGCGGGGAAGTCAAGGGCGGGGATTGAATGTGTTCTGGTTGGTTCCCTCTCCTGGTAAAATACAAGAAAGAGTAGAGGAACCCCTGGGGCGCCGTCAATTTAGGAAGGGAGATCGATCGAAGCTAAAAAGGTTGATTGTTTACATTTACATGTCATCCGAGATCTCCAGCGATAGCGGCCTGAGGCATCAACTAATCATGGAACTGGGAGACGATTCAGGGAAAGACATATATTGCAGGTTTCATGTTACCGTTTTGCCGCAGCTTAATGATTTATGCATAGCCTACGGATGGTGACAGGTGTCATGTTGCCTGACCTATGGCAAACAAATTTTACTTTTTTTCATTCTCAGTGTCAGCGTGGAATGGACGGGTAGCTGCCATGACAAGGACCCATCTAACCGCGTGGCATGCATGGCAACAGTCATTGCTCATGATTCCAGAAGTTACTTGTTGATGGTGGATACTGTTATGTGATCTCAGAGCAGTAGAGGTAGGTAATTTAAAGCCCAACAGAACAAAGGTTACTGGTTTCGTAGATAACATACTATTTCTTGCTACGAAGGCCCATACCGCATCGTCTATTATAGAAGCATGGTGTTGCTATCTTTCTAAAGAAGAAGAGCCACAGCTGTCCATAAATCCTGTCTCGTGTGTTGGCCTAGAGCTCCACATTGGAGTCCAACTACTTCCAATCTTCTAGTTCATAATGACGTATAGAGGCAAAACACCAGCACCAGTGGACTAGGTAGCGGACTGGCAAACTTGGATATCATTGACCTCTACTTACCTCTACGGAAAGTCATCTCCAGCAGCTCCACCTGGTTCAATTTCCCTGTAGCTACCCATCTGCCAGGTACACTGACACCATTCAGTCTTACGTCATGGAGGCATTGAGAGGATTTAGTCTGATTGCCACGGTAACAAAGGATAGAATAATTTGTCACTGATTTCCAATGGACCCGATTCGATCTTTATCAATCAGCTATCTATCATCTACGTTCTTATAGTTCTTGCGCTATATATCCAATTTTGAAGCTAGGGACGTGCACAATGATGATGATGTAAATAACGAAACGATAAAATGAGCTGAAACCAAGCTCTAGCTTAGAGTATCCCCAATTTAGCGGTTGCCAGCCCAACCCTTAGCTGGATCCCGCTGTTCGCGGATGTTTACTTGCCTTGAGCGTCCCGTGATCCACACGCTAACCTGCATTGAGCCCAGTGGGGTCACATGTGGGTCACATGATTGGCCCAGATTCCCAGCGGAGGCTGGTGCAAAGCCCCTCAAGCTCCAACTGGCGCTTGTCCAGTGTGTGCTCCCCCAAAATGGTCCCCAGCCGCACTTTGTAATGCCTGTTCCCAGCCTCCCAGCCCCCCTCCTCCACGATATCAACCCAAAACCGTCCCACTACCACTACCACCACCACGACTTCCGATTTCCCACAACCCTGCTCTCCTCCCTTCCCTCCCTTTATCCGCTCCCTCCCCCCCTGTTCTTCTTTGTTCCACCCCTCCTAATTCTGAGATCCATTCTTGACGTCTTGTCAGTCATCGAGCTTCGCGTGTGTTCTCGAATCCTTCCAATCTCCGGTATGTGATCGACCACCGTTCATATCGCTATCGATAGCGGCCTGATAAACTGACCCAATTACCAGGGCGAGGATTGCCTTCCCCACGTTTGAAAACTTTTGATTCCCAGTCGTCATACCACTTCTGTATTGGCGACATCCCCATCGGTCATGTCTCAAACCGCCTTCCGATCTCCAAGTCCCCTCCCAGCACCGGCGGAGATTCTTGCCCCGGCAACCCCAGTCCGCCGCGGCACTCTTTCTCCTTCCCCAGACCTCAGTGTCGCTCTCAAAGATCGCTCCTCTCAATCAGACAAGAAGTTCTTGTCTCCACCCCCGCTCTCATCATCCGATATGACTCCGCCTCCTTCAACCCAGATTCCTGGAGCGCCTTTACGCCGGTCTCACTCGCGCTCCCTAAGCCCTGCCATTGTTCCCCCCGCCGACCTGGACAAGTCACTGTGCGACGCTTACGGGGCGTCTGACAACCTTCCAACGACTGAGGAGATCGACAATGCCAGCGAGACCCGTCTGCGACAAATCGCCAAGGATCTTCTCGCCGTGGCCCAAGAGGCTCGCATGTCTGCACTGCACTTCAAGCTCCAAAATAGTCTGGTCTCATTTGCCAGTAACGAGGCAGTGAAGCGCGCCGAAGTCGAGCAGCAGCTCGCAAAGCGGGAGGTTGAGATCCTTCAGAGCGCCGAGTATCGCAGTCGCTCGCGCCCTGCCGAACCCTTGACTCCCAAGCAATCTCACTCGGTTCCCACTGACGACTACCTGGCCGTCCTTCACCGATCGCAGGAACTCGAGAATGCCAATCTCGTTCTGGATCGCCGCCTTCGCAATGCCAAGCGTGCCATTGACGATGCCACTGCCCGCTCAGTGGAGCTGGCGGAACAAAATGAGATGCTGAAGCGTCGCATTCAGGACAACCGTCACCATTTCTCCCAAATCTACAACTACGGAGGTCTATCTCCCGGTATGCAGAACGAGCTGCACACGATATGCCGCGGCGAGCACACCGATGGCCTCGCAGCGCTTCTCTTTGCCGACAAATTTACCAACCGCCTCCATGAGCCGCAAGGCTCGTATGGCGCTCACTCTTCTGTCCCCGTGACGCCCAACCAGCCGCGCTCTGCCCGTCAGGATCGTCACTACCTGACGCCAGGCCGAAATGCCCGCGACCAATACGACAGCGACAGCACCGTGTCCCTGTCCGCTCCCGAGTCTGAAAACGACGCTGTGGAGTCCAGACCTCAGCACGTGCGGACTACCGCCCCGAAGACCAGCACTCTTCTTCAGACAAAGCTATTTGGTCATGTGAAGAAGCCCGGTGTGGACCGTGTCAAATCTTCCAAGCGCAAGGCCGGTTCCGGCGAGAGCAGTCCAGCCACGAAGAGATCCAGGACCAATGCTGGTGTGGGTCTGGGCATCGAAACCTAAGAGCCCAATCTTCCCCCCACCCTTCGGGTGCACGTCCGCACTGACACTCGTGGTCCTGTGCATGCCCACTCTGGATACGACTCATGAAACTAGCGCTGCTTCTTGGCCCTTTGGCATTCACCTGTGACGACCTGCTTTCTTTCGGGAATTATGAATGATGAACAACCCCATCTTATGGCATGCAGTATTCTTGGATAGCGATTTGAAATTTGAGGTTTTTTTTTTTTTTTTTGTGTGTGTGTGTTTTCTTGTTTTGCAGTGTCTGAATGGCTTCTTCTTGTCCATCAGGCAAAGGCGTTTCATACCGGGATCATTGTTTTTTTGCTTTTTCAACATGGACTGTCATGGGATGATCTGGCCGCCTCTCGAAGGACGGGGCCGGGTCTTTCGGGATTGGTAGATTGGGAAATTGTTTCAGACTGCATTACTTTGCATGGCTGTACCATAGGAATAGAACTGAATTCAATCATTGAGAAACAGTTTTCCAATCAGTAGTCCCCATATGTATCTCTAATCTTCATTGAGGAGTGTAGGTTTCTCGACGTGGAGTTGATAATTCGCACTTCCTCTAAGCTTGTAGTTGTAGTAGTACTTCAAATTTTGAATGATGACCCGGAATTCATATTAAAGGGTAACTGGCAGAGCACTCAGGAGCAAGAATGCCTAACTGAACTATCTGATGCTACACCTCTGGTTGGCATTGAGTTCATACTTGCAAGACCAGCCTCAGATCGCTACTATGTACATCCAATTTGTTGACAACTCTAGATGGTTATTGTTCAAGTTACCTTCAAACGAATACTGCTGAAGAACTATATCAAAGAACTTGAGAAAAGGATCTTTGTTCTCCTGTCATGCCTCAGGGTTTCCCCGTCTTGCTCAATTGTAGACTGAACTAAGATTATTTCTTATCAAGTGTTATCTACTGATTCCAGGTCTTGGCGCGTTGAAATGCGGGACGAGACCCAAAAGATTGATGAGTCAGCCTGTTCTGGCAAATTACCCGAAAGGGCTTAGTTAGGGCTCGCTAAGCGAAGCGGTGAGAGGTGAAAGCGGCCACACGAAAAATGGCAACTTCAGTTTCTGCCGTGAAGGGAGACTTGACCAGCAACCCTCCGACGACCACCACCCGGCTCGATCCCCATCCGTCACCATGGTGCGTTCCCTTCGAATCCTGGCTTGCGAAAGATGAAATGGAAGAATGAAATGCTCTGCGATCACTCTGCTCGATTTTCCGACAAAGTGAAGGGGCTGTTGGGGGAAATGTTGAAGGTTCATGGGCTGATTCAACTTGTGTGGGATTTATAGGCGATCAAGCACAACAACCAAATCCAGAAGAACCGTGAGTGGCCCCGGACAGTCTTGCAATTCGGCGCTCGTTATTTTCTCCTCGAATTCCTGGGTGCTGGATTGATTCAAGGTTTCAATTTCAATATCAAAGGCTGTGATGTGCTAACGGAGTTTCAATAGACTTCCGCAAGGATTGGCAGCGTCGTGTGCGTGTGCACTTCGACCAGGTACGACTACGATTCCACTCCCCGAAAATTCTTTTCTTTTCCCGCCGAACGACCCTACTCCCGACCGACCGGCATTGAATGGGAAAATCTTTTTGCTCGACAGAACTTGGTCGACTAACATGCGCTTTTTTTCTCGAATTTTTAGCCCGGCCGCAAGCACCGCCGTCGTGAGGCCCGTATCGCCAAGGCCGCCGCCGTTGCTCCTCGCCCCGTCGACAAGCTGCGTCCCGTTGTCCGGTGCCCTACTGTCAAGTACAACCGCCGTGTTCGTGCTGGCCGTGGTTTCACCCTCGCTGAGCTGAAGGTAAATCGACCTCTGATGCAATTGGGACAATTCAATCCCATGACAAATGGACCGCAAGAACAGATCACTCACAAATACCTTTTTCACCACAATTTAGGAGGCCGGTATCCCCAAGAAGCTCGCTGTCACCGTTGGTATCTCGGTTGACCACCGCCGCACCAACTACTCCAAGGAGTCCCTGGTTGACAACGTCGCCCGCCTGAAGGACTACAAGGCCCGCCTGATCCTCTTCCCCCGCAAGAGCGGTCAGTTCAAGAAGCTCGACTCTTCCGCTGAGGAGGTCAAGGCCGCCAAGGCCGGTGAGGGTATCGCCAAGAACGTCGGCGCTTCCTTCCCCATTGTCAACCCCGCCCTCGAGGCCGCCGTCACCGAGATCAGCCGCGACTCCCTCCCCAAGGGTGAGGAGGCTGCCTACCGCCGTCTCCGTGACGCCCGCGCTGAGGCCCGCCACCGCGGCCAGCGTGAGAAGCGTGCCCGCGCCAAGGTTGAGGAGGAGCAGGCTGCCAAGAAATAAATGTGTTAATTTTCTGCTCGTGCTGATGATGATGATCGGGTCGGTTTTCGGATCGGGGATGAGTGTACTGTGGCATGGCGTGGCGCCTCTTCCTTTTCTCCTTTCAAACTGAATCCCTCTCTTAAACCTCTCCTCCTCCCTATCCCCATTTTACCCCCTCCCTTTTTTTGTCTCTAAAAAGAAAGAACTCGGAAGATCCTCTCGAAATGCAAAACCGCCCAATTTTTCTTCATTTTTTTCTCCTTCATTTTCTCGTCGGCTTTCTGGTTCTGGTGTTGGTTATTTTGGGCTGGGCACTGGTTCGAATCCATACTGAACCTTGGACGCTATGGTCGAGTTTTTGTATTGGGTGTGATTTTGCTTCTTGGAAGGCTTTTAGGGGCGAGGAGATATGAAACCTTTTGGAGGTGAAAGGAAATGGGATGGGAAATGATTGAGGGTCATGCCATGGGCTCATTAGAGCGTTTCAGATAGTCCTCGCAATGACAAGAGGCTTCAAAAGTTCCAATGATGTCCGGTCAGTAGATGGGTACTTGTAGATTGAGTATTTGTGTATAGTACTGTGGCTCATATGCGAAACTCGCAGCAATATATATCTCTAGACAGTCGAGAACCTCCAAGTAGATTACTTCGCGTATATGTCAACGACACTCTATGTGACTGGGCAGTTGTGCTGCGAGGAGGATGTCGATATATATGCCGAGCATGGGTGGATGTTGGCAGGATGTATACACATTAGAATGTTGATTTGCCTCCAACCTTATAGAGCCGAATAGAGAGGGAAATGCATTTGACTCAATCTTCCAATATTACTCCGGCCCCATTCAAGTGAAACTGGTATCTTAATCTCATTTCATACCCATCCAACCCCAACGCCGACGCTCCCTAAACAGAACAAAAACAAATCAACTTATCAAGCATTACCTAACAAAGCGCCGATAGCACCCTCAGTTGCTCGCAAAATCGCATCCGCATGCACACCCCCGGCCGCATTTACCCAAGTATCAGAGGTCTCTTGCTCGCGAAGCAGCGCTTGAAATAGTTTCCGGGTCTCTTGATCGATTTTCTTGCTCGACCCACCAGAGGTTGACACACTGAGCTCAGGTTGGAGCTGTGGCTCTCCAGTCCACTCATCCATGACCAAGGCGTTTGAGAGAAGTACGCGAGGGCCGTTGTTGCTGGAGGACCCAGTTTTGATAATCATGGTGCTACGCTCCAGGTGGGGAACTAGGCGTCGAAGCTCAGAGACTGTGATAATGCCATCTTGAGACTCGGGGACAGCTTCCCTAGTACGCTTAGCAGAGCCGGTGCCGTGGTTATTATCGATACGTGCCCATAGCTGTGCCCGTGCTACTGATGCTTCCCAGTAGCGGTTAATGCCCCAGCAGAGAGTTGCCACGTCAAGGGCGAGAAGTGGATTCTCTAGCCGGGAGTCGATCCATTGTCGGAGTGCCTCAGGAACTCTTCTTTTTTTGCTGTCACTGCCCGTTGGGACCGAGACAGAGGTCACAGTCTGTGTCTCCGGGTTGGTTTCGTATACAACAGAGACATTGTACAGCGAGGGTGGGAATGGAGATGGTGCAGAGAATGTTAAGGTGTGCGTCTCCAGCAAAGAAGCCGACTTGGAAGCCGTGCGGCTTGTGTTTGTCCGAAGTGTCAAGGGGGCAAACACTGTAAGATACGACGGTGCCTTTGACGTTTCCTTCAAGGCGAATGGGTTTGTTGTCATCGGAGAGGCTTGGGGGACTGGGCGAGGAAGGGTTGCGGAGAATGGGAGGAGAGTAGAGAGAAGTGCTGACATGGACACGGGGGCTCTCGGCGGCACTGGTTCATTGATATGTGCTGACTCCTCGACGAGAAGATTCAAGAACTTATTGAGTTCTTTCGTGTCACTTGACAAGTTCATACCCGAATCGATCTTCTCAGCCCATTTGCTTAAATCCGCCAAGTCGTTTTTTAATGCGCGTAACTCTGCCTCTAGGTCCTTGCGAGTTTTCCGTTTTTCGAGAAAAGCTGTGGAGACATTGCCTAGTGTGAATTCCGTATCAGGGTATTCCTCCGTGGGTGATTGAAACTTCAAGGTCTTCAATGGGCTTCCCTGAAGCACATCCGTCGCTTGTCGTTTCATTCTCTTTTCATGCCTTGCACTCGGGCTGCTGCTAAGAAGTCCCCTCGGTCGATCTGGTGCCTTTACCAGACCTAGTTGTGTTGGTGTTGGAGGCAAATCTGGCTCCAGAGAATCATCATCCTCCATAAGCCCACCACCAAGGTCATTGGTGTCCATATCAACGTCCATGTCGGCTCCCTGTGTAGCAGTACCCAGCTCTAAAGCTAGTTGGTCCTCTGGGGTATTTGAGAGGGCTTCTGTCGGTTGTGGTTGTTTGCGGATGGGCGAGCCAAATGTAAAGTCTGCAGCCGAAATTCTCTTAGATAGTCGGCGAGGCGGTTTCGAGAATGCTTGGATGCCACTGGGACGTTTGCTGGGTGACAATAGCATTGGTGATCCGGACGTTCTTGGTGCTTTGAGAGGACTCGAAGGATTCAATGAGGGCCGAAGAGCTTTGCGATCACGAAGACCGACAGTTCTGGCGTCATCTTTTTGGGGACTTTTGTTTTGACTGTCTCGACTCGGCGACTGTTTGCTGGGTGACCTGCTGAGTGCGCGTTCGAGAACTTCGGGATGCGACCTGGCCAGGCTTGCCCTCGTGGGTGATTGGAAGGATGTGCGACTTGGTGATCGCGACTCCCTGCTGAGTGCAGGGGGTTGCGACGCGCCAATGGCGACCTCCAGGGCCTCGCCCGTCCTACGGCGCTTTGGAGGCGAATCCATCGTTGGGGTATATAATGGTTTAATGTTCAATGTTCAATTGTCCGAATCGCGCGCCCACTCTGCGGAGCGGGCGCATAAACATCGGAAGTAACGGTGTTTGCAGTGTTTGCATCTATGACTTAATCTTACAGCAGCTCGAGGATCTTCCCCCGTCTGCCCGCACACGATGAAGTGTCTTGCGGTAAGCAGACAGTCTCTCCAAAGGACGAGAGTCTGTTCTGGACCCTCTCTGTATCAATCGGTACCTTTCGTACCTTCTATTTCCTCATCTCGTCAATATGCCTTGATTCCGACGCTCCGACGCATGCGCGAACACGACCAGTCGACCTCCGCATATGACAGCAATGGTCTCTTGGGAGCCGCCTCGTTGTCACAGGCTCAGCCATTGTCAGGTTATTATTCTTTGATTCTGACATCTCCTTTGCCATACAGTGGCCGTACAACGACAGCACAATCGACTGCCGCTCCAACCAAGGACCAACCGTCCCCGTTGTCAGCCGCTGCGTCCAAGCTCAAGACTCCTCAAGAAAGGATGGCCATTGTCTTTGGATCTCGTCTTGCAGGACCTGGCCGCCAGTCTCGATACAATCCTGGTGAGGCGCCACCTGAGTCCATGTGGAGAACGGTCAATGGGGTCCCTATCCCTCCTCGTCCCGAGGAACCAGACAATTGCTGCATGAGTGGCTGTGTCCATTGCGTCTGGGATGACTTCCGCGACGAAATGGAAGAATGGGCTGCTAGAATCGCCAAGGCCAAGGCTAAGGGTGGGCCTGAGAAAGGCACTGCAGATATGCGTGCTGCGCCCCGAGCCGAGGTCGACTCGGCTAGTGCCAGTATGGATGATGATGGTGGTGGAAGCGCGACCAATTGGACTTTACCGAATCAAGAGGATGATCTCTTTGCCAGTATTCCGGTTGGTATTCGAGAGTTTATGAAGACGGAGAAAAGGTTACGGTTGAAGCACGAGGAAGCCACGCCATGAAAACTTATATATGGATGCTTGATTTGTGACTGCGCCTTTCAATACCCTGCTGCTGTGTATATACTGGGAATGCTGTTGGAAAGTGCGTGTGGATAGACCATCAGAGTTGGATGGTAAATACTGTACATAGAACCAAATTTTCCATGATTCAACGAACTCTAGCATTTCCAATTACGTCCCATTTCTTTAAATCTGGAAGTCCAATTGGTTATCAAGAAAACTATGATCTTGAGAGAATCTGTGGTCTAGTTGACTTCGCTGGTCTTCTCGAACGTGACAGCGCGTTTGCCCCGGACTTTGCCCGCCGCCAGAGTCCGTGCGCCGCGCCGCAGGATTCCCTTTTACCTTTTTTTCCCACGAAACTCCCTCAACCTGCCTACTGCCAGTCTCTTCGAGAGCAATGGGTTGATTGATATGGATCCTGGTCTTGTGATTATCTCAGAGAATTCCCAGACGAGCGCAGATGGATCGGTTCTCCCGCCTCGGAATCCCCCCCCCCCGTTGGTTCGTTAGCCCACCGTGAACCTCCCTTCCTCCGCGCAAAATGGCTCCGCGAACGAACGCATGCAATTGTATCCGACATTTCAAACAAGCGCCCTTTTCTTATAGAAATGACCTGCACATCTATACTTCTTGCAGGGACTTCAGTCGCCACAATTCGAGCCCGCGGTTTCGTCGAGCCCTACACGCAACCCCCCGAACCTTGGAATCGTCGCAAAGCTCGGCCATAGTGAGGCAACCCGTGTCTAGAGAACGATTGGAGCTAGATGAGCGCAGGAGCCATGCATTTTCGGTCCGAAAGTCGCTTTCGTTCCCTCGCGAGGCTCGGCGCTTTTTAAGTACGCATGCATCGAGATTCAGTGCCTCTGAGGACGCCAAGGAAAGCTTGCAAGCCAAGACTGGAGATGCAGATATCTCAACTGGAGATAGCTTGAATGCCGGGCGGGAGGAAAACACCGACTCATTGGGAACAAAATTGTCGTCGTCAGCAATAAACGATATCAAGACCTTCAGACATATATGGAACCGAGGAATCATCCACGTATCCAAAAGCCTCAAGGTGTGCGAAGATGAAGGCCATTCGAACTTCATAATGAATTTGCGCATCTTGAAAGGGGTGCATAGTGGCGGAGATAGGAAGTTGCGAGTTCGGGGCGAATTGAAGTCCACTAACAAGGTCCGTACTTGTTACCCACGCGAATTGCGCTTATCATTCATCTGACCAAAATGCGAACAGAGAGATGCAAAGACAGCGGCCTTTTTGCGCATGATCTCAAAATTGAAAGAAGAGGGATTGTGGGATTCTTTGGCTCATGAAGGACATATGCTCTCCTCTACCGATAGTCAGCCCTCGCCTGCAGTTATAGAGCCTTCACATCCTACTGATGAGCATACTGTTAACGAAGAGCGCTCTCGTGTCGAAGAGAATGGTGCTGAAGAGCTTGCCTCTTCACTTGAACTAGGCAAGGATCGTAAAACTTTCATCGCCCTGGCGCAGAGAAAGTGCCTCCAGCTGGACTTGGAGTTCTCCGGCAATCAATTTGAAGGCATGACCTGTTTTTTGGTATGCTCGGTTAATAATCCGAAGCGGGATTTGCGAGCTATTGGCTATGGCACGACAAAGGTACGATTTGATCTCGCGTGTCTTCATCATTGCTTGTACTAATGGAAACTTCCCAAAAGCGAGAAGCAAAAGAAGAGGCTATCAAAACGTTAATTGAAAGGCTTCAAGAGACGGGAATCTGGGAACAACTTGTGCTGCAGGACCATGCCAGACTTACTGTCAACGACGATTTGCTTTACATGATGCGCTTTGGGACTCAGAGCCTGATTGAAGCCAACGATAATCTTCGATCATTCATGACAATCAAGGAGAAGCGACGCCGACTATCGCAGAGAGATAAAGATGCACAAGACGTCTATAAAACAAAGAGATCTGAGGCACTAGCTGAAGCTCTTCGCAAGTTTCGCCAATCCAAGGATCCAAAGGTGGTGGCTATTCAGTCCGCAGCGAGCAGCCTACCTGTAAACGAACACAAGGAAACGGTCCTAGATCTTATCAAGAACAACACGTACAGCATCATTGTTGCGGAGACTGGATCGGGAAAGTCGACGCAAGTGCCTCAGATGATCTTAAACGACGCCATTGAGGAGAGCTCTGGAGGCTACTGCAACGTGCTTTGCATTCAACCGCGGCGCATCGCAGCCCGTCTGCTGGCTCAACGGGTTGCTCATGAAAGGCTTGAACACATTGGCAATACGGTGGGCTATATGATTCGATTTGGAATCAAGCGGCCAGCCAAAGGTGGTAGTATCACCTACTGCACCACTGGTCTCGCTTTGAACATGTTGCAGGACGATCCTGACTTACTCAACTCGTTCTCCCATATCATTCTTGATGAAGTCCATGTTCGCGATATTGACATTGATTTCGTGATGCTGCTATTGAAGAACCACATTAACAAGTGTCGAGCAGCCGGTACCCCCACGCCCAAGATCGTGGTTATGAGTGCAACGGTTGACGTTGACCTTTTCGCCTCCTACTTCCGTAATTCGGGACCCGATGGTGAATTATTACCTGCTCCACACGTTTCCATTCCCGGACGTCAATTCCATGTGAAATCACATTATCTCGATGAAATTCTCGACGACATTACCAACAAACTTGTGAAGGATGTTCTTGCGTGGTGTTTGAAAGAGCCGTCGACAGTCAAGTTCTTACAAAATCACTACCGTAACTTTGCCTCCGAAGATCTCGCCGATGAAGCCGGCGATGATTTGGATGCACCGTCATCTCCAGAAGAATCAAATTCAGCAATCTCTTTGTCACGTCCCACGAGCTTGAAGCGAGTGGACGATGCCTCCCTTGTTCCAGCTGGGCTGATTGCTGCCGTCACCCACTATCTTCTGAGCACAAGGGACACCGGATCTGTCTTGGTCTTCCTGCCTGGCCTCAGTCAAATCATTGCCGCTGAATCCCAAATCGTACAGGCCGCGGAAATGCTGGGACTGGACTTTTCAGATGAAGGCAAATTCAGAATCTTGAAATTGCACAGTAGTCTTCCGGAAGAGCTCGCTAAACTGGATGTCGACCCGCCCGAAGGTTGTCGACGAATCCTCCTTGCAACTGATATCGCAGAGGCATCTCTTACAATCCCTGATGTACGGTATGTGATTGACTCGGGCAAGGTGAATCAACTGATGTACGACCCTCGGACCCGATCTCATCAGATGACTTGCAGCTGGGCAAGCCAGTCAAGTACCGTCCAGCGAGCTGGGCGGGCAGGTAGAGTCCAGGACGGGGAGTACTTCTTCCTTGGAAACAAGGAATGCTTCGACTCGCTTCGTATCACCAAGTCTCCCGAAATCCTTCGAAGCGACCTTCAATCGGTTTGCTTGCGAGCCAAACTGTCAAATCCTACTACACCTATCAACGAGTTTCTTCAGCAGGCCATCGAGTCCCCAGAAGCTACCGACGTTGACATGGCCATCGATTCTCTTAAGCAACTTCAAGCCCTGGATGACGAGGAGGGTCTCACCAATCTGGGCTCTCTAGTCAGTCATATGCCTATCCTACCTCCGTACCTTGCCAAGTTGGTCGTTCTAGGCGCTATTTTCCAGTGCCTGGATCCTCTCCTGATCCTGGCAACACTGGGACAAGAATCGAATTTCTTCTATCGGGGCAATGACGAGAAGCAACGAGTCCAGGCCTGGAATGACCAAGCAGCGTTTGCAGGGCAGAGTTCCAGCGATCATTTCAGCATTATCAATGCTTTCAAGGCTGTTCGCTCTGAATGGATCGAGCATGGCTGGCGAGCTGCTCAAAGATTCGCATACTCGAAGAATGTCTATCTCCCCGTCTATCGGGAGGCTTTCCTCACGTCTAACCAGATCCTGCGCCAGCTGGAACAAGCACAGGTCATCAACAAATGGCTGTCGTTCGGCAAGGACCCCGAAGGCCGATTTGGTGGGCCAAAATTAAATGTCAATTCGAATCATGTGCCTCTCATCAAAGCGTTGTTGCTTCACTGTCTCTACCCCCGGCTTGCTGCACCGAGGCCGGATTCCAATACCGCATTTACAACTCAGACCGAGAAAAAGGCAGTTCTGCACACGGGAAGCATGACCAAGAATGGCAAGCAGCCGCCACGAGCTCTGCTGGTTTTCAATCACAAGTTCTTGTGGGGAAACCCGCCGAAGATCACGGCTTTGAAAGAGGCTTCTATCGTGACTCCGCTCGCAGCGTGCCTCTTTGGTGGCAAACTGGCAGGACAGCGCTCTTCCATCGTCATGGACTCGTGGATGCGGACTGGTATCCAAGTCACTGACAGCCCAGCTACGCCAAACGAAGTGATCAACGATGTGGTCGAGTTGAACAAAGTCCTTAACAAGGTAAGCATCAGCTGCTCTAGTCCGTCATGTGCATCGTTTCATTATTGCTAACTTGCTTGATTCGAATCTAGGCCTTGACCACGACGTTCGATGCCTACCAAAGCGATTTTCAAATGATGCAAATAAAGAAGAAAAAGGGAAATTTCTTCAAGACCCGTAACCAATTCGTGGCGACCTTGCAGCAAACCATCAAAGACGTCCTGGACCGCGACTGTAACCCGGCTCGAGCATCCACGCCTGCTGCGTGGAATGAGCATGACGTTAGTAGATACTCTGATTGAGCGAAACACGTCTCTCATGTACAATAGATTCTCTACTTCTACATACAATTCATGATCAAAATAGAACATAAACCGTTAAACTACTTCTAATTGCCTACGTTACTCACTGATTGTATAGTTCTCAATGCGCGATCCCCGCTCACCGCCTTAGATATCTTTATCGCCAAAAAAGTTCAAGCTCAAGTCCAACTCCCACTTTACGCCAACAACGCAAAGAAGCATAAACCACAGGGAATGGCTCTCTCCAAAAGCGAGTCCGACATCATCCTAAACCGGGCAAATGTCGCTCTAGCCCGCAGCCAGCGCCTCGTTGCTTCATGGCTCCCCGACCGATCCGCCGACGAACTCGCAAACGCCAAGTCCGAAGAGGAGATACAACGCGAGGAAGATGAGATTTTCACAGCTGTACCTGAGACGTAAGTCCTTCCCTTCATTTTCAATTGACATCTACATAAAGATTGTTCATTGGGATCTAAATCTGATTGTTTTCCATAAAACCAGTCTCGGCGTCGGCGCCCCCCTCCCCGAAAAAGCAGCCGACGGAAGCTGGAACCGCACGGAGTTAAGCTCGAACGATCAATTACGGAAACAACTTCTTGGGAGGAACTATGATAAATTTATGAAGGCGAATGCTGCAGCTAAACAAGCGTCTGCTGCTGCTAAGAGTGCGGCGGCGGCGTCAGCGGGGAAGACTGGCCCCGGTGCTTCTGGTGCTGCGGCTGCCAATGAGGAAGATGATCAGGATGATGATGAGGAGGGGAGGGTTTCTATGGTTGGGAAGAAGAATAAGAAGAGGAGGGTTGGTCAGGATCGTACTGTGTCTGGTGGGACTCCTGTGCCTGCGTCTGCAGAGGGGAATGTTGAAGATGCAGCTGAGAAGACGGAAAATGGAACGGTCGAGACCGAGGGAGCTGTCAAGGCGAAACCGGCGCCGGCTAAGGGGAGGAAGAAGGCTACTAGCTACTTGGATGAGTTGTTGGCTGAGCGGTCGAAGAAGAGGAAGAAGCGGTGAATGTGGTTGCACTGCATCCGATTCTTTCTCCTCTCTCGTCTCTTCGATTATCCGAGCGGGACTCTTGGGCCTTGTCGGGAGTTCCAGTCGGTCGGTCTAGACTGGCTGCAGGTACGCTCTTGACAAGGGCAGCTCGAGCATCGACCCGGCCACAAGGTCTAGGCGTGTGTCGATGCGGCTGCCTTCAACGTTGATCTACAGGTCTGGAGGTCCCAAGAATGATCCTACACGGCAGCAGCATTGATTGCTTTACGCCAACCCGGCCGGAAGAGGCATTGCTTCTTATAGAGCCTTCCCTTCCCAACCAGTCAACCGGCAAGGTTTCACAAAACTTTCTCAATTCAAATCAAATGGAAGTGGACACAGGTATAGAATACAAAATTCCATCCCAGACAGTTCTAGATGCCACCATGATGTTTTTTTCTTTGCTCCGTCCGACACCAGGGTATATAAAATATGCTGCGAGAATGAAATATAAAAACCAGGAAGCCAAGTTCATCACTCAACACCGACAGCATGAAGATCTCCAAAGGAAAGAAGGGATTATGAGAGAAGGAGAGATGGAGATAAAACAGTAAATGAAATAGAGAAAGGAGGGGGAAATGGGAGAAGTGACACATCTACAAACACAAGGTAGGAAATTGGATGGATGATTGAGTCGAGGATGGGATGCTGTCGAGCTTTTGGCTCCTCCAACGAGCTGGAGATGAGGTGTGGCTGTGGGGGTGTTCAGGTATACAGATGCTGTCCAAGAAAATGAGGCAGGTAGCCAGGGAGTATGGTTGGGTATATGGAGAGTTGATTGGACCAGAAAGTTATGCCGAGAGCGTCCAATAGTATGGTATAGTGTGGGTGGTGAAATCCACCAGGAGGATGAGGAAGCCGGAGGAGGGCGAAGCCGTCGGATCGGTTGGTAGTATTGGACTCCGTCAACGGTGCATTTCTACCAAAATCTACTCCAACCGTTTTCGTTTCCGGTCCTCTTGTTGATCTTCGTCTGGCCGTTCCGCAGTATCAGCCGGGTTTAAGAGTGAATGGACGTTGCTTGCCATGCTCGAGCGGCGAGTGGCAGGTAGTGAAGATTCCTGACGGGGGAACCTCGAGCCTCCCAGGGTCCAGCCATTGTCAACGCTTAGCATTGACGGTGATGGCTCGGCCCCAGTTGGCGGTGTCGCATGACGGGATTGATCCTGGAGGCGTCGAGGCGCACCCATTTCATATTGAGCGAGCACATCCCGAACTTGTTGCTCGCTACTTGTTGGTAAACGATGAGGAGAGGATGGCCAAGGACCACTGCTTCCGCCACCCCCACTGGTATGTCCCGGAGGGAAAGGGGAAGTACCGGTAGGAGGCCAATCGGCTTGCCGAATATCCGCGAAGGTGTGGCGGCGGCCTAGATTCGGGGCCCCGGGAGGAGTCGATATGGATAGAGGATGAGGCGTGGGTTGTTGCGGCTGTTGTTGCGGGGGAGGCGGAGCAGCGGTGCCAGAACCAGCACCAGGAGGAGGTTGCAGTCGATTATAGTTAGGAATAGGCGCATTGGCACCTCCGATGGAGCCATAGCGACGAGGAGACACAGCTAGATGAGGAGGGACGGGTGGCCGGATCATAGACTGGCGTCGGCTGTCGTCTTGAGGTAACTGGCGAGGGGACAAAGGGGGTCCAGACTCTACTGGCAAGTTCCCGAAGAATGGTTGGCGTGGTGGCATGAGTGTATCGTGGGAAGCATCCATGGCACGGACTGCTTCAAGATGCTTCTCTACCTCCCTTTGCATATTCATGACTGGGAGGGTCGTTAGTAGCTTGTGATATTGGGGGGCGCAGATAGTGGATTCTCGTACTGTCACGATAGAGGGGACTCTCTTGATTAGGCACGACTCCTTGTAGGAAGCGAGAGATAGAATGCGTCCACTAGAGATGGCAGTTAGTAACGGCAAACTCTCGGCCAGAAAGGAAGACATACTTGGTAGCATTTTGCGAGCCCTTCAGCCATGTTCTGGCACTTTGAGCTCAGAGCCACGTTCCCTTCTTCCGCACGCGTCAGACGAGCATGCATGTCGTGTAGACTGTATTCGAGGTTCATAAGCCTAGCTTCTGTCGCATCGGGGACAGGCTCGGCGGGGGTGCCTGGTTGTGACACAGTGGCCTTGTGGCCGGGGAATGAGTCGCGATGAATCAAAGCATGTCGAGATGCGCGCCGCTTAATCTCGCGTAGACCGATCAAATCACCCCGTTTGAAATTGCCATTTCCGTGTTTGAATTCCCAAAGCGCAGAATCCGGAGAGCCCGTATGAAAGACGTCGCTCACTGCCAGATGCGATTAGCGACTGTCCCCTTGTCTCAGGTTGACCTGCTGGGGCAACGAACCTTTGTGAAACCCGTACATGTTCAACTGACGGACAAAGGACGATATATTGGTGTGTTTGAAATACTGGCTGGTGGGGTATTAGCGACCAAAATGACTCCGATAAAGGGTTGAGACCGACGCTAGGACTTTGGAGAATTCAGAGGTCGGCGACATGACAAAGCTGTCATTGGTGCTGGACCACGATATCAAATGCTGGATGCTGGAGTCCTCAAGCATGCTATTCGAAAGTTGGCTAATGTTAGCAAACCCTAGTAAAATCCAAAAGCGCGACCAAGACTCGTCGACGTACTTGTAGAGCTTGTGGATAAATGCGGTTTGTACCACTTTGGGTTGCTGGGCTGCTGCAGCCGCCCCAACGGCCGAGTTTTGGGGATTGCTGGTGATTCCGACTTCGGCGCCATTGCTGTTGATTGCGCCAGTGCGGTCGCTATCGGGACTGCTGTGGATAGGGATCCCGCCAGCTGCGACGGAGGATGGAGGAGTGATGTCCATTGCGGCAGGGGACTGCTGGGCGGATTGCGAGAGGACAGGGAGATTTCGTGTTTTGCCGGGAGCATCTGCAGGTCCGGCGAAGGTGGTGGCCCTGGAGGATGGGGGATCGGCGAGACCACTCATGCCGGGCGAAAAGGGGAGGCCAGAGGAAGACAGCGAAAGGTGAGGGCGAGAGCGATGGCGATGGCGACGGGGAGGACGATGGCTGACGAGCGCACGATCGTCGCCAGTATAAAAATAGGGTCCGGTGAGGAGAAGGAGGTGGGAAACGGGCTGAGGAAGTTGGTGAAAAGGCAAATCGGACGCGATCGATTCGACCGTTGGAACCCGCTCGTGGCGGGAGAACGTGCGACGGGGGAAGAAGGTCTCGTGAAGGGCCAGCGAGGCGCAGATCAACACCGAAGGAGCGAGAGCAGGTCTATCATTGCGCCCGCGAATTGAAGTCCTGAGAGGATTGAGGAGAGAGAGAGAGAGTTCGGGGGTCGAGGTTTTGCGCTTTGAGGTTTCTGAAAAGCTGCGGGGAAGGGGGAAGAGGGGAGGCAACCGGAGCAGAGCGCGTCGGTCGGGATCTGCAGCGCTTGAGGAGGAAGCTCAAGGATCGGGCGAGTAACGAGGTTGGCACTGCCACAGAGGTGGTAGTAGTAGTAGTAGTAGTAGTAGTAGTAGTAGGAAGACGACGAGTCGAAGTGGAGGTCGATGGTTGTCAGCGAAGCGATGGTAGGTGGGAGAATGAAAAGGGGGGTTGTCTGGTCGAGAGCGAGAAGGAAGGAGGAAGGAGACGGCGATGCTCCACCTCCCGCAGTTATACTCCTCTCGTCGCCTCACCTGCTTTCTCTTCTTTGGCCCGCCACCACACTCGTTCCTGATCTAACTGGCATACCTCAAGACATCTTCAATCTTGATAAAGATCTATCTTGCTCGGTCATGGATACCGATTCCGAGGATCAACCCTTTTTGAGACATTACCAGAACCTGCCCAAATCAACTCGCCAAGCTATGTATATATCCACCCGAGGGCATTGCTTTTTGCCCTGGCACATACACAACGTATAAACGCTGAGAAACTCTATAGCTGGCGTGGCATCTTAGCCCAAATGAGCCCAGATGAGTGGCGAGAAGTCAAGACACAAGTTGATATTCTCACTTTCCGGTGGGATATCCTGGGCAAGCTTCCCCCAGAAATTGCCTGCTTTGTCGCAGAGAACTTACCCTTGGGCGATATCATTCGCCTTCGAAGAGTATGCTGAATTCATATATGCTTCAAAGAAGAGGAGAGAGCATTATTCTGCACTAAGAGGCTAATTCGTTTATAAAACAAGGTCTCGCGACGATGGCAGCAAGTACTGTCTGCGCCCTCGTCGTGCCGTGCTGCGGCTCAAGCAACCTTCAGCCAGGATCTCTGGGCTCATGCCTCCGATTCTAGTTCTGAAATGGACACGGCTGCCCCTGGCGCTTCGACCTCAGCTTCAATCATCTCTTCTGATGCCCTCGCCCCTGCCAATACCCCTGGCTCGGTCCTTGGCTTCGCCTCCGACTCCACTCCTTCGTTTGATAAGATTGCTCAAAAAAGACACCGACTGGAGCAAGGAATCCCATACAGAGTTACTGAAAGTCCATCTCCAATTTTCGGTCAAATTCTCCCAGAGGACACTGACGTTAAGGCCGTTGTCACCTATTCCAAAGGCAGCTGTGCCTGGCTGGGGATGAATGACAACCAAACCACCGTGATGGTCTTAAACCTAGCGAATACCGAAAGGAAGATATTTACTACCGATAATAGAGAAAAACTGTGCACTCTTCACTTTTCCAAGCCCTATATTGCTGCGGTGTCGATCAGGGGATATTGCCACGTCTAGAATATTGATACCTCCCAATCATCATCCTTCCGGATTCCGTCCTTGGATTATTCGCTTCTACTCATCAACGGGACTAAAGTCGTGGTCCAGTATAACGACTACGTCGTGCACTGGTGCTTTAACACAAGAGTCGCTTGGACTATACAGACCGGAGATTTTGTTGTCGTCCTAGCTCCTCATCCTTCAGAGGACCAGATGACTGTGGTCCGCATGTGTCGAAAACCAGGGGGACGTGACCGGGATACAGTGTATTTCGAGGAGTGCTATCTGCATATAGCCAAATATGCTTTGGACAGCAAGAATGAATGGTGCTTACTTTCCTCGCATCACCAGCCACTTCCGGTTTCTGTTTTTGGCGGGGGATGGATCGATGTTGCCGGGATTTTGGACAGATATGGAATAAAACACCCTGGCCAGAACAACGCGATACTGTTGCACTGGCGTGAAGACAACAACAAACTTAAACCACGGAAACCTAGCCTTTTCTGCTTGTCCCTTGAACCTGACGGGCTAGTCGCTTTCCACACATTGCCCCAAGACTGCACCGCCGGGGTTGAGCTCGTCTGCCCCGAGCGAGGTATACTCTATGCATCTTTTTTCAGTCAAGACCCGCCAATATTTGCAATTCTAAAGACCAAAACGAGAATGGGCCTTTCAAACTCGTATGTATGGTATGACTACTATGTTCATCGCATCCACCTAGTTGACGACAATCCCTGGATCATGGGCGATGCTCAGTTCATGGTCCTCTTTGATAAAGTATTAATGACTGTGTGGACTATGGAGGAGGTTAATTGATAGTCGACTCGCCGGCCATGGAAGCTCGATGAGAACATTGTCTGCCAGATAACCAAGTATCTTTTCCAATGCTATAAGAAACAAACCGGACAGTGACAGTCGAATCTAGAGACCAGATAAACAGCCCGCCCTGATATACTTCCCCCTCCCTTCCCGAATGTGGCTCTAAATGTCTTTCAAATTATCTTTGTTAATATCGCATGTATACTCTTCCTGGTTTACCTTCAATTCGTGACTTTATGGGATGATCCTGAAGTCTTGTTGAAGTTCCAAACCTAACCCCACAGCACTGGAACTTACCCGCGACTCATGGAACAAGTCTGGACTAGCGGTCTTCTTACCCCCCAGTATTTGGTCGCACTCATAGTTCTCCTCACAACACGCACACAATCTTGCCCTCATCTCATAGGCCGCTCGGCAGATTTCAAGCCTTCCGATAATTACTCCGATTCTCTAACCCGCAGAGTCTTCATGGACATTAATCCAGAAGATGTGGCCTTTCTAGAACATTTTCAGACGTTGCCGAAGCTGAGACGCCAAGCCTTGTACGTTATGTCCCCACCATCTTAGCAAAGCATCTAAGCTAAAACAACTTACAGCTATCGCGGCCTTCTGGCACAGCTACGGCCAGAGGAATGGCGCGAAATCAAGGCCCAAGCTGATACTCATACTTTTCAATATGACATCCTAGGCAAACTGCCTCTGGAAATCGCGTCCCTTGTCGCAGAGTACCTGCCTCTGATTGACGTTATCCGCCTTCGAAGGGTATGTATATTGCTCTGGTTTATATTAGCCTCATTTTCATCGAGATGCTAACACACTAGCATAGGTCTCCAGGCGTTGGCACTCTCTCCTCTCGTCACCATTGTTGTGTCGTGCCGCGACACGGGCTACATTGGGGATAGACCCCTGGATACCTTCTCCAGACCCAGTCATCTTTTCGAATGGTATAATCCCCGATAAATCGGGCCATGATTTTACTACCTCATTCGCCAATTTCGTCAGAAGGAGATCCCGCCTAGAACAGGGAAATCCATACAAAGTCATCTCAATGCGCAGTCCACTGGATCACGAAGATGGTGATGGTCATGATGCCAATGACTTCAGCTATTCCAACGGCATCTGTGCCTGGATCGGTGAAGACGGGTTTAACACCTATGTCATTACCCTGAACATATTAACAGGCCGAATAAAAAAGTTCACCACGGCCAACCGCGAAGTGCTATTACAGGTCCGAGTTTCCGAGTCTTTAGTTGCTGCGCTCTCGATTCGGGGCAACTGCCATGTGTGGAACTATGATACCCCCGAGCCCTCTTCTTTCAGGGTTCCCTCGTTGGACTGTAACCATATCCTGATCCATAAGACAAGGATTGTCCTGGATTATGGGGATTATCTCGTCCACTGGAGCTGGGATACAAGAATCGCCCGGACTATTGACATTGGAGAGACTGCGGTGGCTTTAGCTGTCCATCCCTTGGAGGATCGAATTACTTTAGTCCACTTTTGTCGGGAGGATGAAAAGCGCTGTTCGGAACCGGAGATGTATGTCGACAGTTGTGGAGAAGAGGGCCCGTTGATCGAGGCTTTGCCGACGTACCAGCTACAGACGACAACATACGCGCTAAACAGCAAGAACGAATGGTTCACATGTTTTTCACGCTGCGAGTCGATTCCACGGTCGTTCTTCCCCGAGTACTGGATTCTTGGCAACATCGGTGCGAGAAGGGATGCGATAAATCCCGGGCAGAGTAGTGTGATTGAAAGAATTGAAACAGACAGGGGGGACAGGGACAGGAAACATGGCATCTTGGTCTATGTCTCGGTTGAACCAAACGGACAGGTCGCCATCCACACAATGCCACGAGAGCTTGCCTCAGAAGGCCAGTTCGTCTGCCCTGAACGAGGTATACTTTATGCCTCTTTCGTTGAGGGCGATGAGCAAGAACACCGACAGTGGACAATTTTGAAGGCTAGGATCATGCCAAGCACTTCAAACTCGTACACCTGGTATGACTACTCCATCCAGCGCATGGAGAAGAGGGAGCAGCCTCTTCGTATCCTTGGTGATGCCCAATTTATGGTTTTCCTGGGCCAGAGCACTTTGGACATCTGGGCGATGGATGAGAATGGCGCGGAAAGAGATGACGATGGCAAGATGTCGGGGCTTGATCGTACTCATGGGACATGATACCTGTCAACATTGACAACTACAAGCTTATCTCTCCGTCTACGAATCTCCGAATTCATCATCTCACTTCTTCCAATTAGGAAATGAAATAAAAATCATAGAAACACTCAAGAATACAGTGACAAAAAAGAAATGTAAATGACACAGGAACAGGCGCCGCAGCCAAGCACAGGGTGGTGTTCTCTAGATTAAAAACAAACAAAGACGTCGAAATGCACCCTTGAAGCCGGCTCGCAGGCCCCCAATGCATGGCCCTCTCTTCCCCTAGCAGATCCAATCCACAGACTCAGACAACATTCAAATTCAAAATCGGGTTTCGACGGTTTAGATGCCGAGGGTGAACTCGACGCCGACGTCGATCTCGCGGGCCATCTTGACGACCTTGGAGAACTGGACGGACTTCTCGGCGGCGTTCTGGAGGTCCTCGATGGAGAAGATCTTCAGGCCGGACTCGTTGATCTGGGAAAGGAATTATGTTAGTAAGAGGCTTAAGAAGTTAAACTAGGAGAGTGGGGACATACCAGCTTGTGAGCCTGCTCCATGTTGGTACCCTGGAGACGGGCAACGATGGGAGTGCGCAGACCCATCTCCTGCACAACGTTGATCAGACCTTGGGCGATGGCGTCACAGCGGACGATACCACCGAAGATGTTGACGAAGATGGCAGACACCTTGGGGTCGCTGGTGATCAGCTCGAAAGCGCTCTTGATAGCAGCGGGGGTAGCACCACCACCGACGTCAAGGAAGTTGGCGGGGGTACCGCCGTTCAGCTTGATGATATCCATGGTGGCCATGGCCAGACCGGCACCGTTGACCAGGCAGCCAATATCACCGTCCAGCTTGATGAAGTTCAGGCCGAACTCGGCAGCCTTGACCTCATCGGCATCCTCCTGGGAAACATCGCGCCACGAGAAGACCTCCTTCTGGCGGAACTCAGCGTTGTCATCGAAGCCGAGCTTGGCGTCCATGGCCAGGACCTGGTGGTCAGAGGTCTCAGACAGAGGGTTGATCTCAATCTGAGTGGCGTCCTTGTCCATGAAGACCTTGTACAGGTTCTGGATGGTGGTCTTGGCCTCCTCGATGCACTGCTCGGAGAAGCCGAGGTCAGTCGCGATAGTGCGGGCAATCTCGTCGGTGACACCGGTGTGGATGTCGATGGGGGTGGTGATGATCGCATCAGGGTTCTCCTTGGCGACGGTCTCAATGTCCATACCACCCTGCGAGGAGGCGACAATAACGGGGCTCTGAGTGGCACGGTCCATAAGGATGGCGAGGTAGAACTCGCGGCGGGCGAACTTGCGCTCGCAGATGTAGACGGAGTTGCAGGCACGGCCCTCGGCACCGGTCTGCTTGGTGACGAGCTTGTGGCCGATCATCTCGTTGGCGAAGATCTTGGCCTCGGCAGGGCTGCAAAAGAAACCATATCGATTAGCTTACTCTTCCGCGAATCCCAGTCCCGACAGAACCTGATCTACCGAGGGATATCACGTCCTGCGATAGGCGGGAAAAATACTTACGAGTAGATCACCCGGACACCACCCTTGAGACCGTTGTCGAAAGTACCCTTACCACGGCCACCAGCCAGGACCTGGGCCTTGATAACCATGTCATCGTTTCCTAGTCGTGAAGTGTCAGGCGAGAGAGCGTGAAGAAGGGGGAGGCAGGAAAGCCCGGAGATGGGATAATATACCGATAGACTTGGCGACTTTCTCAGCCTCCTCGGCGGTAGTAGCAACCTCGCCCTTGGGAACACCGACACCGTACTATTCTCGATTATCAGCACCCAGACCCCAAAACAGTATCAATGATAGCGATCTCTTCCGCGACCGCAGGATCCGAACGCGCTGAACATACCTGCTTCAGGAGACGGGCGGACAGGTACTCGTGGATGGACAGGTTACGCTTCTGCTGAGCCAGACGGGACGAGACGGAGGACTCCTAAATCGATGGAAAACACCATGAATCAGTTTGCAGGTTTCGAGGAAAATCGGGTACGGCCCGATAGCACGGCATTTGGGGCAGATCTCACCGTCGCAGCCCTGAGAGCCGCGGCAATTGGGCGACCGCGGGCGAGCTTGAACATTATGGAATGAGAAAGGATAGGAGGGAAGAGAGGAGAGGGGAGAGGGAGGTAGGTAGGAGGGAGTATAAGTGGTAAAGAGGAGGTGGATTTGAACCCTTCAGGGAGAATTGGAGGTTAGTCGGACCGGGAGAACAGCTTTCTTTTTCTCGGGATGGCATTGCGTCGCGGTAAAATCGGGTGTCGCAGCCAACCAGCGCCCGGTCCCTGGCTGACTCAGCCGTACCTCGGGCGCAGACGCGAATATCACGGAACTGGGTTCGGTTCAGCTTGGTTATGGGGGAAATAGAACAAGAAGTATATCCTAGAGCTCACGAACATGATATAAACAAGGAGGTTCATATTGCTGCAAATACTTCAATTGCATTGATGTACAAATTACCCAGAATATAGCAAAAGCCCATCTCAGCCAGCATAATCAGTACCACTATCTACTTCTTCAACGCCGCCTTAATTTTCCACAATTTGAACATATTGGTCATAATCCGGCCAAAGAGCCCATTCCAGGCCCATCCACCCACCAGTAGCCAGATCACCCAGCTACGGTGGCCTTCCCAGATGGTGGTCTTGCGACCCTGTGCCCAGGGCCACAGCCAACGCCATGGTGCTGACCCATACAGCACCTGGTTCACCACACTGCGGGCATACTCTTCGTTGGGCATGGCATTGTTTTGGCTATGTACCACACGGCGATTGTATTCTGCCTCGATAGGCATGTACAGAGACTCTGGCTTCAACGTGCGCTCGGTACGGGCAATGCGAGATTGGACACCGCCAGTAACCACGGTGACCACCTTGACGCTGTTCAAATGTCAGCTGTACGAACTCAATAATAGTCTTATGTCATCATTTTTGGGGTATACATACCCATAAGGAGCTAACTCGACACGGAGAGTATCGCTGAAGGAGTGAAGAGCAGCCTTGGAGGCATTGTAGACAGAGCCAAACACGTAGGGAATGATCTGTGTAGAGTTAGCATTCAGCCTCCCTTTTGAGTTATAATGATTGAAAAATAGTAGAGACATACCCCAGCAATAGAACCGATCTGCACAATCGTGCCCTTGGCTTTGATCAGGAGCGGCAAGAAAGTCTGGCACATGCTGATGACAGAAAAGAGATTGGTCTCAAATGTCAGACGAGCCTCATCCAACTCCACTTCCATGGCAGGAACAGTGTAATCTAGTATCAACACGTCAGTAGTATTCAATCAGCTTCTTCGAATATCGTGATTAACATACTCCGGCCACTATATCCGTGATTAGCCCAACTGCATAAACAAAACAAAACAGACCGGTAGCCCGGGGATAGCAAACTCACGCATTATTCACGAGATAATCAAGACCCTTATCACCCAGTCTTTTCTCAACATCGGCAAAGCATGCCTTGACACTCTCCTGGTCATCAACCACCAGACTCAGGGTCTCGATGCCAAGCTCAGCCAAATCGGCGATGGTGGCAGCCTGTCGAGCTGTGGCCAACACGCGCAGTCCATTTCGATGGAATTCTCGTGCAAGAGAGTTGCCAATACCACCGGGTGAGCACCTGTGTATTGTCAGTGGTTTGTCCTGCGCGTTGGCATCTTGAGGGGCGTCTTGCGCAGACTGTGCTACTTACCCCGTGATCAGCACGGACTTGCGAGTATCCGTGACTCCTGGCATGATCGCGCGTCAATTAGAGTATAATATGTGAGTAAGCAGGTAGTTCAATATTCCAGAAATGGCACTAGGTTGTTGACTGTGATTCTACGAAGAGAAATAAGGAGGTTCAGGGTCTCCTTGTTGATCGATGGTCGAGCTCTTATGAACCTCGGCTTATCACAGTAAGCTGGAATGGTCAGCCCTAAGCCCTATTGCTTCTTTGGGATGCGGTTGTACTTCGTACTTCCATAATGGAAATAGCACGGATTATTAGCAACACAGCAGTGGTGTTGCTCCCTTTTCTAGATCACTGTTTGTGCGAGCTAAGCAAATAAGAATTGACTAGTTCCTGACTTGTCCATAACTAGCCAGGTTACTGCCAAGCTTGTGAAGGATCCTGTGGTGGGCGGATCCAATCCATTCTTCCACTATTTATATTTCTCTTCACATACTACTACTACTTTCCAAAGGTCTACCTACGATTTACCAATTTCTACTACGCCAATCAAAGGCCATCCTCAATATACGAGAGACCACGTCCCTCGTGGGGCTGCCATGCCTTTTACATTTCCAGTATAACTCTCCGAAGTTGACGGAAATCCCCGCTAAGCGTTGACCCAGTTTATGTGCCGATTCCCGAGGAGAACCTAACTTCAATTCACGCGGCCAATGATTCCAATGGAAAAAGCTCCTAAAGTTCAAACTACAAAAAAAGCGGCCCATCACGGCGATCATCAGCTTCGGGTACCTCCACCTGTTTCAAAAGGGCTAAAGATTTAAGATGCTGTCCATTTCCTGTGTCTTGACCTCCCCGCGCCCGCATCTCACGATCCCGGCTCTCTCGCTCCACGTCATCGCCGCCCGTTTTTATTCGTCGCCAACCAGGACTGAAGGATCGTGGTGTCCGAGTCCCGCATTCTCCACCGTAAATGGCCCTACGCCTTGACGCATGAGGGCGGCGCTTTTGGTTGGTCGCTGTCGCTGTATCGCACGTTCTCTCCAGTGAGACGTCATATTAGCCTTCGTGGTGGCTTCCGTGAGGTGCTTTCGTTTCTTTTTTTTCTCTTCGTCGTTGGATGATAAGTATATTTCTTTCTCTCCTGGCTTGATCTATGGTCCTATTGCTATCAGGTTGGTGGTACATATACCAAGGTTGTGTTGGTAGGAGGGGAAACGAAATATCTCCACTTGGAATCGGCTTGGTCTCCGAGAAGGACATCCCGATTGTCCATCACCATGCCCTCCGACCTGCTGCTGGTTCCCAGATATCTGAGGAGCCCCGGCGATGATGGCTATCGGACGCCAACTATCGAAGATGCGGAGCGAACTCTGGCCGTTCGGGGCGGAGCGGATGCTCCTAGTCTGGGTAGCAATGCCCGCAAAGTCCATACTTCTGCTTTGGAAGCCGCTTTGCAGAAGGTCGCTTCTCGAGCGACTGATCAGACAGCTGGTAACAAGGAGTTTAGCCATTGTATGGATCGTGATGGTCCAGAACTTACAAGGAAAGTGACAGATGCTTCGGCGTCCAAGCTCACTTGGAAGAAACGCATTCGCCATGTCACCTGGGCATACTTCACTTTGACTATGGCTACTGGAGGGCTCGCGAATGTATTATACGAAGGTAATTTTCATACCAACCCTATATTACTTGCCTCACTGGTCTTTACGCTTGCGCTAATGTGTTGTCGACAAGTCCCGTATCGCTTCCGGGGATTGGATACAATTGGAACGGTCGTCTTTCTGATCAACATTGTGCTGTATCTGTTTATTTGGGGACTTTTACTCGCCAGATTCTATCACTACCCGTATACCTTTAAAGCATCATTTCTGCATCCCACCGAGTCCTTGTTCGTTCCTGCCTGTGTGGTCTCCTTTGGTACCATTTTGATCAACATCTCCCAATACGGCCCTGGTAATACAGGCCCATGGTTGATGGAAGCTGTCGGCATATTATTCTGGATTGATGCCGTTCTTGCTGTCTTATTCTCTGCTGGCATCTATCTCGTCCTGTGAGTGATAATGTCCGCTCTAGCTTTCCAAATTCTAGACACTGATGAGCCCCTCAGATGGTCCACTCAAACTTTCACTATCGCCCAGATGACCCCAATTTGGATCTTTCCTGCCTATCCCATGCTCATCATTGGTCCACACGCCGGTATACTAAGTGCGAAGCTGGAGCAAGCTCGCTGCCTGCGCATTATCATTGGGGGAACAACAATCCAGGGTGTTGGTTTTCTGGTCTCGCTGATGGTCTACTCGGCCTTTATCTATCGACTGATGACGCAGAAACTCCCCAAAGAAAATATCCGGCCGGGAATGTTCGTCTCCGTGGGACCCAGTGGCTTCACTGTCGCAGGAATCGTGAATATGGCAGCATCTGCAAAGCGTTCGTTTCCGTCGGATTTCATGGGAAATGGGGCTTTGGCTGCTGATGTGTTGAGGGTGGTGGTCGACTTTGCTGCATTATGGCTGTGGGGGTAATTGCATCTCCTCCATCTTTCCTTTCTGCTGCCGACCACAAGGGCTAACCATTTATCAGATTGGCAATCTTCTTTTTCATCATCGCCAGCGCAGCACACTGGTCAGCTATAGGCCCAGGTCGAATGGTCTTTTCAATGACTTGGTTCTCGTTTGTGTTTCCGAATACTGCCTTGATTACTGCGACATTCGCTATTGGTAAGGCCTTCTCATGCAAAGAGATCAATATCATTGGATGCGTGGCGATCCTCCCGTTGATACTCATGTACTTCTTTGTATGCTACATGATGGCTCGGGCCATCATTACGCATCAAATTCTGTGGCCGCAAAAGGGTGAAGACAGAGATGAGGGCGGGTTCGAGATTCATCTGGTCAAGGCGGATGCAGAGATCTCCGATGAGATCAATGGAATGGCTGTTTGAGAGACAGGTGATCCCCCGAGGCTAGATTCTTCAATCTTTTGTTTGCATTTACATAGTCATGTTACTATACCCATACCCCGTTGTACATTGTCCAAAAATTTGACGTTCAAAATATCATGTGCCGCTGATTTACAAATTGAATACAAGATTAGTGCTTAAGGTGACTAGTTTAGTAGCACGGGCTTGTGGGACGAACTTGACATTGGCATTAATAGTGCTTGGGACAGGCTTGACTCACTCCCCGTAGGGCTTTGGAAGTCAAATTGATCCTGCCAAGCACTTCTCGAACCAGAAGACTCGAAACAAAAGAGATAAAAAAAAGAAAGAAGAATAAGAAAAAAAAAGAGAGGAGAGGAGAGGAAAATTGAAAAAAGAAAATAGAAAGAAACAAAGAAAAACGAAACCACATTTCCACCAGGTATCTTGTCCCCACATACTCTCACATCTGATATCGACATCCACCTCAACAACCCTCACGCGCCAACTTGGCCAGGAAACGGGCGTACACCCCCATCTCCAGCACGAGGTCGCGGTTGCGCTCGAGGTGGCGCTCGCTCGCCGGGATCAAGTCGAACAGGATGCGCTTGACCTTGTACATGGTGTGCTTCACATGATGGTTGTGTACCTGCGCGGCAGCACAAGCCTCCTCGTTCCAGACCTTCTCCCACGGCTCCACATCTCCGAGCTGGTCCAGCTCGTTCTCCATGTCGACGAACTGGCGGGTATTGACCAAGTCGGAGATGCCGAAGGTGGGGGCGAGCATGTCGAGGTTTCCGCTGAGGAAGATCGTCTGCACGGCCTCCAGTTCCCACTCACGACGCTCCCTGCGCCAGTTTCTTGCCTGAAGCGCGAAGGTTGAAAATTGGAGAGAAAGGGCCGTGTCCCAATTTTCCAGGAGCGTTGCGAGGATCTCAAGACGCTTGATCTCTTCATTGGCGTCTTCGGTCAACTCGACATCATCGATATCGATGACGATGTCTTCAGTGACGAGATAGTAGAACGGCGCAATGGCCTTGGGGTGGAGGAAGACGTCTCGTCCAGCGGTGGGGGTTGGCGGGTCGACCACCAAGAAAATGACGGGAGCAGACTCAGCAGCCTGCGACTGACTGCTAGTCTGTTGAGGGCACGCAAACTGCTCGACGCGTCTGCCCGGATTGCGGTATTGGGCGGCAGTGAAGGAGGCCTTCACTTTTCCGACAAGGCGAGTCGGCATCTGCAGTGGGTTCCACTGCGGCAGCTCCCTCTCGAAAGGCTGGAGCTGCAGAACTTGACCACCGAAAGGGACTTGGCTGTCGGTATCGAGTCTGATCTCGCACCCTTCGGGAAGGAGCTGGATCGTTCCATCTGGAACAAAAACTGCTGGCGGCTGTTGGGCTCGGCGGAACAGCGCGTCTTGGAGGGCCCTCATCTCGGGCCACTGCTGTCTGCAGCTGTATGCGGAGCTGCTCAAGCTTGACGTTTTTGGCCCGCTCGGCCTCGGAGGGGTGGGGGAGAGCAACCTCCCAGTCCATGCTGGACATGCTGGAGGAGGACCACATTCTTTCCTTTCTGATGTGATCAGTCTAAAGGATCAGATCACAACACTCACGATGAGAGCTGCTTAGATGAATACTCAGATAACTTACGCTGAGAATTCGCGTTTTCTGTTGTGGAAGTGATGGAGATGAAAGGTAGGGTGGGTGCGTTGACGAGGAGAAAGATCGTGGGAGAGGAGAAGTGTGAAGCTCGTTTATCAACGTTTAACAGGTCGTATTCTTGACCCTCGAGATGAATACGGTTACGATTGCTCAATAATCTCCAGAAAAAGCTGTATCATGCGACGATTGATCAAACCGACCGTACTGTCGTTTCCCATGGAGATTTACAGTACGCGATGAGTTCGTTTATACATTCTACTCCCATTGCCTACGGAGGTTTACAATACGGCGACGAGCTGGTTTCTACATTTGGCAAGCACATATCCTATTGAATCTTGGAATATTTGTATTGGAACTAGACTTGAGAGTGATAAAGAGGATGTTAAAAGAGATTACAGTACAATAGAGCACTCATGACCGTGGCGTTCATACAGCGAGCAGTAGAGAACGCAATATCAAATTGGTTAAAAAGAGTATCTAGTAAATTATACCGATTTGAAAGCGCACCACCACACATAATGTCATTTATTAATTAAACAAGTATGAGAAGATTATGTTGAAATGCGAATCTTTGCAAACTGCAGCATTTCTATTTGATTCTTTGTCTCGAACATGGCCAGCGATTATTGAAAGTATGGATATCATGATGCTTCTCACGGGGTACTACCAAATATGAGCAGATACAGTTACTAGAGTAATAAAGCAACATACATGGAACTTATTATCTATATTCTGATACCCCAAAGACTCGAGATTCTTTCTTCTTTTGCTAAAGTCGCGGATATAGTTCCAGCAACAAGCTAGGGCCAGAGTAGCCACGTGATCGTGATCGTGATCGTGTTCACGTGATCTCACCCCTACTTAGCCAGCCGACGGAATCTCTATGGACTATTTTTCGCGAGAACGGGACTTTTTGATTTTCCGTACAAGAGTCTAGTACATTATTTGTGACTTGGACAATTTCATCAAGTTGGTTTCAATCTTCATGAGAGCGGAGCACGGGTGATTACATGCTTGCATAACGCTTCCAGATTTTAGATGAAACGATCTTGCATAGTGTCCTGGAGTTTGATCAAACTCTGTCTTTACCTCGTTGTGGTGAAGGGAAAACACTCTACATAATAGGCGTATTCACCTCCAGATCAGACCGATCCATATTGGTGGCTATTCAAGCACAAGCATGATTAGAGTCGATGTTGCGAGGCTTGAATGATAACTACAATAGATCCGCTCTCAACAGAGATTTATGCCAAATCACCAAGCCTAATGTCGGAGAGATAGTAGAATTCCCCGTTCAAAAGTCTCACTATCCATTTCAAAGCAAGGACTTCTACAGACAAAGAAATCCTCAAAGTTGGTCATAATATAGGAAAGCTGTTTTGAATTCACGGGGCTGTCTTTCCTCGGGATAAAGAACTACCCAAAGAAGAAACGAGCAAACGACTTTCTGACTCCATGTCCTCTCTGGGTATTTGAACTATTTCGCACTACTGGATCCAAAACTATGCATATTCTTACAGACTCGTTAGCCGGAAGTATTGCTAGATTCGAACCTTATTTCTCTGTGGAGCCATAGAGCAATTAGACTCATGCATTTATCGGCCGAGAGGATATGCATGATTCCACCTTAATGCACGATATAAGAGTACATTGCGTAAGGTAAGTGCCGACTCCGCGTGTTAGATTGGCTCTTCGATTCCTGTTTCCGGGGCGGGACGAGCACATCATATGGGGTACGATTATGCAATGCGGGATCTTCACTCGATGAGTATGCCGCAGAGAACAGCCCAAGCAATACAAAAAAGGAGACGTTTGGGAATAATCTTGGTTTCATTTTTGAGTCAGTTCGGAGCATGAATCTGGTTATGTCGATCATTCGAAAAGGCTGTCTAGTAGGATGCTTAGAACAGTTCTCGCCATCTAGACTTCTGATGATGCGACCATCTTTAAGAAATTTATATGATGTGTAGGTCCTCTTTAGAATTAGTATCTCGCGATGCCATATACATGTATTTTTGCTTTGCAACCCCGATCAAATTTAAGTTCGAGCTCGAATAATGCCTCCCGCGCACTTCCAAAACGCTGCAAATGGCAGCAAGAACGTCGGGAATCCTGTAGACGTCGAGAGACAAGGGACGCCCATTCAACGGGAGACGAAAGCATCAAAATCTTTGGGGGCAGGAGTATGCCATTCTTTATCTAGCAAAAACAAACAACTACTGACATAGACTACAGTCTGCTCTAGCTCTAGGCGGATTCGGAACAACCTTGACAACTCTTTCGCTGAGTCTCATGGAATGGCGCGGTGTCACGACCAATAATGTCTTTGTCGCAAACTTCTTTTTCATTGCAGCTTTCGGCTTGGTTATCACTGCGCAGTGGGAGCTCTCGATTGGCAATGGTTTCGCCTACACGGTCTTCAGTGCTTTCGGCGAGTCTCCCTGCCTTCCGTCGTGAGAGTATAGCTAATCCTGATTATCGAATATCTGCAGGTCTTTTCTACGCAGGCTATGGTGCCCTTTTGACACCAGCTTTTGGTATCGCCCAGGCATACGGCGATGATACGGCGCAGTATAACAACGCGGTGGGATTCTTTATGATATTGTGGACTGTTTTCGTGTTCACTTTTCTCGTCGCTTCGCTTCCAAGTAACATCGCGTATATTCTGGTCTTCTTCTTGGTTGACCTCGGATTTCTTACCGTCGCGGCGAGTTACTTTGCTAAAGCTGATGGCCATGCTGCGGCTGCTGTTGCACTGCAGAAGTCAGGAGGCGTGGTTTGTTTCCTTGCGGGATTGATTGGGTGGTATATCGTGTTTCATTTGCTTTTGCAGGACTCGCTTCTGGATTTGCCATTGGGTGATACTTCGCGATATTTTGGTAAGAAAAGGAAGGGTCAGTAAATTATTAAGAAAGTATTGACTGTATCTAGAGGTATATAGGAGATATCAAGTGGATTAGGAAAGATAATACGAAGGATTAAGGGCACATGAACTCGCGCATCAATATTGTCAATATGAATTCTACCTCAAAAATCTCGCCCAGTCACCATGCTCGCGCAAAGTATTTTCTCTTTCGCATCTGCATCTGGCGGTTCGAGTAAGGCTCCCACTTGGCCGTCGTGGTGGGGCATGAACGATTGGGTGATCATCTCTCCCCTCCCCAAATCCCGATGACGACATATTCCACAGCATTGACGAGCACATCTGAATCCCGACTCCTCAATTTTGAGTTGAGAATGGCGAGTACCATATCGCATCATCTGGTGTAAACAGCATGTCATGTATGCGCAAAGCGCGCGAAGCGATTCCTACATATACGGGCTTTCCCCTGCCTTAAACCGATCGCACACTCACCGTGGTTCAGCTTGATCTTCTATTTACTATAATTACGACACCTGAAAAATGACACAGGCCAACGTCCCTGCAACAGACCCGGCTGTTTATGCCCAGTACCGGGCTAAATGGTCTGTTCTTCCTGACACTGCGGACGCATGGTTGGCGCGCGCACGCGAGGTCGCAGAAGTTCTGGCCCAGGATGCGGCGCAACGAGATCAAGAAAACAAGTCTCCTCGCGCTGAGGTGGCACTGCTCAAGCACTCGGGCCTACTGAAGCTGCTTGGGCCTAAGAAGTATGGTGGAGGAGAACAGCCTTGGGCTGTTGGATATAAAGTTATTCGGGAGGTTGCAAAGGCAGATGGGTATGACATGCGTCAAATTACGGTTTAAACAGCTGTTAACATCGCATCACTCTCTAGGTCCATTGGTATGCTGCTGGGTTACCATCTCCTGTGGTCCACCACCGCCAGTATCGTTGGAACTCCCGAACAAGCCGAGCGAACCCATGAACTGATCCTCTCAAACAACTACTTTGTGGGTGGCGCTGTGAATCCTCGTGACAACGACCTCAAGATTACTTCTGACGGAGACCACATCGTGTTCAATGGGTCTAAACACTTCAACACCGGAGGTGTGGTATCTGATCTCACCGTTCTGGAGGGTGTCCTCGAAGGAACTGATGGTCATATCTTCGCGTTGGTTCCTACCGAGCAGCCTGGTATCCAGTTTGCCTATAATTGGCACAACATTGGCCTGCGCTTGACGGAGTCCGGTGGCGTCAAGATTGAGAATATTCGTGTGCCATGGGCTGACGCGCTGGGTTGGGATGAGTCTAGCAAGACGCCTCGTGAGGATATTCTGCTTATTCCTTTTGCCAGCCTGCTTCTGCCAACGTAAGTCTCCAGTCTTCTATTGCTCGCCTGTGATGTGTGGCTAACTGTCTCGTGTGTGCTTAGCATCCAACTCGTCTTCAGCAATTTCTACCTGGGTATTGCTATCGGCGCATTGGAATTTGCTGCCAAGTATACTGCAACCTCGACCCGGGCGTGGCCCTTTGGAGGTGATAACAAGGAGTCCCCGACAGACGAGTTCTACATCCTCGAGCGCTACGGCAACTTCTTTGCGCATCTCCGAGGTGCTGAAGCTCTAGCTGATCGTGCCGGTGACCAAATTACCGCTTTATATAACCGATACTCGGATAATAGGTCTGGTCTTACTGCGGACGAGCGAGGTGAAGTTGCCGAATGGATTGTCAGCGTCAAGGTGGTCACCACGGACGTTGGGCTTCGAGTCACGTCGGGAATCTTCGAGGTGACTGGTGCGCGGGCTACTGCATTGAAAGTCGGACTGGATCGATTTTGGCGCGACATCCGCACTCATACTCTCCATGACCCGGTGGCGTATAAGAACCGCGAACTTGGGCGGTTTGTGCTCCTGCAGGAATACCCCGCTCCAACGTGGTATACGTAGAAGGGGGAGATCATAGGGGACTTATTAGCGTGGTTATGATGAGTATATGAGATGAGATCATGTAATAAGAAGAGTTTATGAATTTATTGACTTGATCAAAGTGTATATCGAGTAGACCCTGATAAGAAAAGAGGGTCAAGATGTCAAAGTATTTTGGGTGTGGCCGCAGGACCCCGCCGGAGATAAGCGCCTCCCCACGCCCACGCGATAAGGGAAAACAGAAAAAAAAAAAAAAAAAAGTTGGCGATCCGAAAATTTTCTGCCTTCTGTGGGCCTCGACTTTCCTCGGCTTCTTGGAGATCTTCTTTTCTACTCGGTCTACCCTCTTCGGATTTTGTCCTGCTCATCTGCTGCATATACCCCTCTAAGCCGACCTATTTCCTCCTTTTTACGAGTTCTTCCCCATCATTTTCCATCCGTCAAAATGTCCCAGAAGTTCTATGTCACCTACAACCAGGTGCACAAGCTGTGCCAGCAGTCTGCCGATGCTATCCTCAAGGAATTCCACCCCAACCTGATGATTGCCATCGGTGGTGGTGGTTATGTCCCTGCCCGCATTCTTCGGTATGATCTTGATCCGCCTCAAGTCACGTGCATGCAACCAGTGCGCCGGGGACAGCTGCAACAAGGTCTATTTTTCTAACATCCCCTTGCCCTGGATTCTAGTTCTTTCCTCAAGCGCTCCGGTGACCCCAACATCCCCATCCAGGCCATCGGTCTGTCCCTCTATGAGGATCTCGGCCGTGGTGATGCCGAGGAGGTCCCAGGTACCAAGGTCACCCGCACTCAATGGCTCGACCTGAGCTCCCTCGAGATGGCCAACTTGATTGGCAAGAACATCCTGATCGTCGATGAGGTCGATGACACCCGGACAACTCTCGAGTATGCCGTGCGCGAGCTGGAGAAGGATGTCCAGGAGGCGCAGAAGCAGCTTGGCCGTGAGGGCGAGAAGACTAACTTCTTCGTCTACGTTCTTCACGTACGTTATCTCGTCCACTCCTTTACTTTAGTGGGGCTTTTGAGCTTGCTTGCTAATCCAACTTTTTTCGCTTATAATAGAACAAGAACAAGCCCAAGAAGGGTGTTCTGCCCGCCGATATGATGGAGAGCGGTCGCTACCATGCCTCTGTCACCACCGACGATGTCTGGATTTGCTACCCCTGGGAGGCTAAGTACGTGCCCACTACGCGCATATTCTATTCATCGGGAAGGTCCGTTAAAGCTAACCATCTAATTTTTACAGGGACATTGATGAGCACGATGCTCTGGCCAAGGAGAACCCGCTCATTTAAGCGGCTCATTATTGCATTGGCGAACTGCATTCCATTCTGCGAGGCGCTCTGATACTGTTGGTGGCTATTTGGTGCCTCAGTTTGACTACGATGGCCCCCCTCTTCCCGGCGTGGAAGTAGAACCCGGGCATGTCCCTTTTACGATATCCTTATGACTTTAGAAAAGTTATCCCCCGCCCCCATACATATTCAATCAAGATTACCGGTTCCGGGGTACAAGTGTGCAATGACGGTCTCCCGCAAGCAAGATCCGAGAGAAAACCAAAAAGGTCAAGGGTATCAAACGGGACGTTTATTGTTGGCAAAAAGAAAAACAAAAACAGCAATTAAATCGGCACCGTGTTGTATAATGCCCTGATGCAGGTCCCCTCCCCACCCCTTCCTGGGGTCGGAGCTAAGCACATACACTCAAGCTCTAGGCGAGGTCGACCCCGGTAGCCGGCCATGCCTGAAATCCAGTTCCACGCAACATGCTTTGTATATCAGAATTTAGTCCACCTCGATATTGCCCTTGCGCAGGTCGACCTTGGCCAATTCGATCTCCTTCTGCAGCTCGGCGTGAGCCTCGGGGACGTCGTTGAAAGTGAAGATCGCGACACCGAGGCGACCGAGGAGGTAGCAGCCGAAAACAATGAGCGCGTAGAAAGGGAGCTATAGTTTGAAAGATGTTGGGTTAGTCTCGATTGCTTTTTGCGCAGGTGGTGTCAAGAGTAGATTGCGTTTGTCGCGACGTACCACCGGGATGATCTCGGTCTGGACGGTCTCGTTCAGGGGGACCAGACCGAGGTAGAGGGAGAGGTAGAGCTATGAAGCATGTTAGCAACGAATTTGGTTATTCTTTTGCGCGGGTCGGGGTGAATGTGCTGAGGCTGTCGACATACGGAGGAGACGAGGAGGAGGACGGAGAGAGTCTGCTGAGCGCGTGTCATGATGAAGGCAAGGAGAGAGGGGAGTTGACAAAATGGAGATTGAAGAATAGGAAGGAAAGAGGCGACCAGATCAATGAGGAATTTCAATACCAGATCCAATTGACCGCAGAGAATGAAGGAGAGACGGGGTCGGTAGTTGTCGTGCTGCTGGGTTGTTGGGTTGTCGAGTTGACGGGGGAGGCCAGCTTGCGGCGATGCTTGGCAAGGCGGAAGTCCCCTGCGGCCCGCCGTTTCAGGTGTCCATGTCGATGGTCTGGGACTGTGAAGGGTCACTAGTGCGACGATACCATGTACAATTACCGTAAGAACGAATCGTGTCATAGTTATTTACTAGAGCTGACTACTACTCTAAATTTTAGCATGTTCTTCTCTTCCAATCAAGATCCATTCTCCAAATTCTCCATCTGCACTTGTCCCGCCAACTTGTCCACACTTTACCTAAACAGGGTGGGTGCCTGAATCCACCTCAGGCAGCACTCGCGCGATTGGATCACTCCGCGTGCCAAAAGGTTTAGTCTCTCTTGCCTCAAAGCCCTTCAAGTTCACTCCAAGTCCCTCGTGAACATATCCAAGCCCCACCAGCAAGGTTGCATGACTCAATGTCTCATTAGCGTCCTCACTTTGGCCCCTAATTTCTTCCATCTAGGCTCCTCTGGTCTTCTCACTCGGAGGGTCTATATACCCGTCTGGGAAAGGAGCCTCAACACACTCCACATCTGTTCAAATCACTCGAAGGCAGCCATCACCACTCGCGGCTCAAAAACAGGCAGAGCACAGTATGGCTTCTACAGATAGTATATCTATGGCCATTGCTGCCGGGACAGAGGCTGCTCGCCAGCCTTCTGTCCCAGCTGCTACCTTTGATTTACCTGCTGTGCAACACGTTCTCTCGGAGTTGCCTGAATCATCTTCATCTTTGTCAGACCGAGGCACGGAGACGCTCAGCTTGGAAGAGCAAGAGAAGATGTTTCGTGCCTTGAAAAATGTCATTGAGGGTGCCGATGCGGAGGCTGGAAATGCTTTTGATCTCAAGGAACTGCATGCATCGCTGGAACAGGCTGATGCGGATGCACGACGTGGTCGAAGAGATTCGGAGTCCTTGCAGAGTGTGCTGAAGGTCATTAACCAGCTATGGGCCAGTGATTCCGAATTCCTGGCCCAGGCCGCTGAGATTCTGGCTAATGGGAGTCGGGACCGTGAGCCTACCCTGCTTTCTTCTTCTTGACTGGAATACAAACTGATAGATCTCTAGTATCATGGCGTGGTCCAATTGGGCAATCCGGGATTCTAAAATTCTTTTTGGAGGTCATCTCATCAAAGAAGGATTTGGATGTCAAATTACTGCTTCATTCTTTGCGGCTTGTGGGAAATTCTTGCGCTGACACAAGTATGTTCATGTGATATGCATCTCGTTATTGCCTTATTAACAAAATACAATAACGTAGATGAGAACAGGCAGATTGTTGTGGAGGGTTCCTATACACTCCCGATTATCCGGCATTTCCTCAATCCTGAGTTGGTCCATGTCGCGATTCCAGTCATTTACAACATCTGCATGGACTACGGTGAGAAAAATCCTCCGGTTTCTAAAACCATGGCAATTACTGATGAGGACATAGAGCCCGCACATGCCCAGATGGCTGAGAATCGAACGGCGTACATCATCTTGAAACTTCTCAAAGATGGTGCCATTAAGGATAATGGTGCTCTGCTCAGCTTCTCTTATGACCTGGTGGAGCTGGCCTCAGAACAAGGTAAGACATGAACAATAAATTGTTGAATGATTCAAGCTTATCAAACCTGGAGCAGAGAAAGGCATTGAAAACTCCCCTGATGGAACAGTCTGGCTTCTCACGCAGCTCGCCCTAGAAGAGACCGAGTTCGAACACTTCTCATCGCTAGTGAACAGTCTCTCGGCTTATTTGGAAAAGGAGCGATTCCAAAACGCCTGTATTTCGAATGACATGGTCGAGGACGTGCTATCTGTCCTTCGTCGGTCCTTCTCGATCGACATCGACGAGTCCTCCAAAGAGGAGGTTTCGGGTCTTGCCCAGATTAAGCTCAAAATCAACCAGGCCCTTGCTGAAGTTTCAGCCTCGTCTTTGTTCGCTGAGCACTATCCGCTTGACTCAGCCATAGCCCACACATTAAAGTCATGGATTGTCGCGGAAGAAGATCAACTTCAAATCTGCGCATGCGTTATGCTCGGAAATCTGGCTCGATCTGATGAGGTCTGCCAAGTGATGGTGCGGGACTTGAAAATTCATGAAGAGTTGATCTCCGTCCTCAAGAATGGCTCTCGCGGTGCCGTCCTTCACTCGGCTCTTGGTTTCTTGAAGAACCTTGCAATCGCTGGTGATAACCGGGTCAGCCTTGCGGAAGCCGGGATTATCCCGGCAGTATCCCGCTTATGGGCGTTTGAGTCTGTGCCACAGGTCCAATTCTCTGCCGCGACTATTGCTCGCCAGGTAACCATCTCTTCTATGGACAATATCTCGCGTCTACTGGCTCCGCTGTCGGAAGATCCCGATTCTCCTGCTCACAAGCGGACTTATCTTTCTTTACTCTTGTCTCTCTTTGAAAAGACTGACTCTGCGCCTATCAAGACAGAGATTGGACGTACCGTGGCTTCCATTTGCCGAACGGTTTCTCCAAAGGCTCGTGAAGGAGATGAGGAAGCCAAGTCACTGTTGGAGAAATTGTATACCCTTCACGAGGGTGTTGCTCGACCGGTCGGTGCGATGATTACTCAAACTCAATGGCCTGTTGTTCGAAGTGAAGGATGGTTTGCTTTGGCTTTGATGGCAAACAACCAGTCAGGCTGTATAGCTGTGGTGGACTGCTTGCACAACGAAGAGGTTGCAATGCTACTCAAGAAAACTCCGAGCGGGGAGTCTTCTGCTTCGGATGTTTCGAACGACTCCAACGAACCGAATACCACCCAAGTTGCCAAGGATCGCGATAATGCGTTTGTTCTTGTGCAGGAATTGTTAAAGAATGAGGTAAGGCATCTACACTTTGATCCTAAATGTGTGTATACTGATTACATGGCAGGCTGGCGCACTTCCAATGAGTCATCGGCAGGCGATAGAAGACTTAGCGAAGAACAGCGCATTGCGACAGTTGAAGCCTGCGCAGAATGCCTGAGGCGCTGGTCCGGGCTGAGCGAGTGCATAATGACTATGACATGATGTGATATTCAGTCAATTTTCTGGAATACTTTGCAGGGCACTACAGATGGTGATAATTAGAATGCTGCAAGAGGAAATTACAATATCAATCGGAGCAGGGAAAATCTCATAAGTGAGCGAGACAGGGTATCTCCTGCGTTTGATGAGAGCTGTGGGTCATGTGTCATGATGAGTTTGAGAGTTCTGAATCCAGGATAGAGCTCAAAGCCTTTTGAGAGTCATTGATACTCTCGCGCCATTCCATGGGCATGTATTTGATTTCTAGCTCAAAGCGTGTCTTCGAAACCTTGCCTATACTTGCTCCTTCTCTTTCTCTGTGAGCTCAAGCCCTTGATCTTGGATGCAGAATCCTCATTTTACTTTACATTGCCTGATGCTTCTATTTCTCTGTGAAGACAAAGGATGCTACGTGTAACAGCCGCATTCACGGCCACAGCAGCCCAGAACAATTTTGTAGAAGTCTCTCTCAATTCCACACAGTCTCACAGATGTTATAGGTTTGTTCATGGCTTAGGATGGGCCACCTGCTTGGCAGTACCGAAGACAACAACAGCCAGATAGGCGCTTATTACGACTCCAGCGATGACTGAGTAGGCGATGACCGCACCAAGTGGAACTCCAGGTGATCCGACCCCTGCGAGCATGAAACCCAAGCCCCCGTTGATAATGCCAAGTATAACCATAATCCTACCAAACCAGCGATGAACGTATGCAAAATTACTCCTTGCCCCGGTTTTGCGGAGGTGCAGATGTGAATAGAGACCCATGAGAGGTTGGAAGAGCAACAACCCTCCAACAACAATGAAGCCGATGATGGGATGATAATAATCTATTTTAGATGTCGAAACACCTAGATAGATGCCAACGCCCATCCCAGACACGAGCATAGCAAGGGCGAAAGCTTGCAGTGGTGCATGAATGCGACTCACTTTCTTCTGCCAGGGCACCACCTGCATGACCATGGCACCTATTGGGAGGAATAAGCCAATGGCGAAAGTCATCAGGAAGCCATGGGCTATAAGCGCAGGAACAGGAACATATGCGGATGAGTATTCGCTGTAAGAAGAGGCGGGTGACGATGACGATGCTGGAGCAGGTTTAGAAGCCGTTGCCGGTGAGGTAGCATAGTTTTCGCTCATGTTGAATGGTATTGGTTAATGAGACCAGTAAAAAGGAACATACTCGTGTACGAAAAGTCAAGAGGTAATCTTGTTGTAGCATCACATCCTCGATATATGAATTAGCTTCCAGGGGGGTGATATAATACCATGGTCATCGTGAATAGATTGCGGAATGCGTTCCGAAACTGTATCAAAATGATTGCTATCCATCATGTCGCCACTGAAACTCAGCAGATGAAGAGAAAACATCTGCTGACCGACTAGAGAAAATAGCCCGATGTTAAAGTCCACAATAGTGTCATCGTGACATCGAGAACGCCAAGACAAAGTACAAACCCAAGGTACCAAGTCAGTTTCCCTTGGCACCTCTGGATCCTAATGTGCACATCGAGAATAGGATGAATTTAATGTTTCTGTATGTCCAAATATTCTATATATGTGCATAAACTTATCGAATAATCTCCACAACCCCAAGCTTCATCCCATAACTCGCCTTCTCAGTCTCATCACATGGTCTGTCGGCAAATCCTTTCCTGTGCATAGGCGCGATACCGCTCCAGAAGATCTGTCGCATCTAAGCCATCAGCACCTAATTGAGAGGAATAATGTGAGACTAGGCCTTTGCCGTCGATCGTCACGTTCGGACGAGATCCGTCTGCTGCAGTCCACGACTTGGATAGTTCTTCACTGGATTTGTGGCCGAAGATCTCTCGCAAAGCCTCGGCGTCCTTGCCCCAGAAACACCCGAAACTGCTACTAACAGGATCGGTCGGGTTCACCCACATCGGAAACTTGTACTGACTCAGAGTATCTGTTTCGAGGTGATCAAGGAACGAGTAATGCTGCTGGGCACTGACTGTCCAATCTTGCAAAGTCGGGCCTGTCTCTGTGTACACAGAAGACGCAATGGGATCTCGGTCTGAGCCTGCACCGGCTGGTAGTAGCCACCGATGACCCTGGAAGGGTGGCTGAAAACCTTTCTTGACTCTGAAGCTGCCAGGTCCTTCCCATCGTGGAAGGCTTGATGCCCTCCAATCGCTGCTGAGCTGGGACTTTGACCGAGAAGGTTGTTCGACGTGGTGTAGTTCTGGTAAATATGGTAACGCAATACCAGGATGGCTATGGAGAGAAGAGAGGGTGCCTTCGTTGATAACATTTGCGGAAACCATCATTGCTCCAGGATTTTCCAGTTTTGTTTTGACGATGGTGGGGATAGTGTGGTCTTCAAAGAAGACGACATCTCCGTCAATGCGGATGTACATGACATTCTCCTGAGTAAATCTCCAGTCCATATCATGACCAGAGAGGGAGATGGCGTATTCGGGGGTTTGCTGCACTAATGATTTGAGCCATTGGAGGCTAACAGCGTCTTGTGTTTGAGGGATGAAGACAACCTGATCCAGGAATCCATGGTTGTGGACCAAATTTTTCTAAGAAATGGTTAAATCCGAAAGTCACTTCTCTGAAAATTAGAATAAACTCACCTGCAAGTAACAGTCCAAAATGGCAGCGCGCTCATGGTAGTTGAACGGAACCAGAGCAACTACCTTAAACCCATGAGGCTTCGGGTAATGTCCCGAACCCTGTGAGAATGCAAGGAACGGCGAAATATCCTTATTGAACAACAAGGATGTCGGGTCAAATGGTAATAGAGACGGATTATAATAGCCGATGACTGTCAATATGATACATAGATAGCCTAGCAGACTCCATGATAGCACAGCTACCCAGTCACGCCACGTACAAAGCTCCTCTTCTTCATCGTGGATGGCCTCGAGATCGTCCAGATACTGTGAGCGGCCCATCGTGAAGGAACCAGACATAAGTCGAGTGATAGGTAGACTTTAGAAAGATTGAGAAGGAAAACACCATTGTGAGCATAGGGTCACCTTCTCCCATTTAATTACTACGCAAGATCTTAGTCTGTTTCATCGATCTCGAGCTTCTATGTCCCGTTTTCGGGGTAGCAGGACTCTCGATGGTACATGAAACCGCTGCAAATAACCATGATCGACGGATGAGCACTTGATTTCACTTTAGCCGAATGATTAGTACAGATGCCCCGGAATAGGAAAGGCTTGGGGAGGTGGAAAACGGACAAAGCGACGATCGAAGAATGCTCCCTGGAATGTGGAGACCCTGGGGCTTTGCGACCGCTGGTCCCTGCTGCAGGACCCGTGCAAAATCTCATTGTGTCTTTGAGGATTGGTAAATTGAGACACTTCGAAATCTGTTTAGTTGACCTAAATTTATTGTAATCTGTGTGGCCCAAAGGTTGTATAGTTCAGCAAAAAGGCTTGGGTGGCGTTTGTATAGTTCGGGATGGTCAGAGAGTGAATCTATGCACTTTCGCTAATTACCACACTCCCATTTTTGAAAGGCGTGATTTATTATGACTTGCTTCTGACGATCTCTCCATGTTCATCATCTCAGACTAGATTATCTTGATTCTCAGATGGCTATAGTCAAGAGTACACAATAAGCTTATGCATCCTCGGCCCACGGAACCGGTTTTCGATGACGTCGCAACACGTGCCAGTTATCAGCCTGTTATCGCGCGCCGCTCACTTTCCTCCTCCATGAACCACGATCAACCATGAGGGCCGTCCTTCTAGGCCGGCTCTGTCTAAGGCGCGGCTTTACGAACCTACCACGACACACATTTACACAGTCATGGCGTGCGCCAGTCAAGCACATTCCCAGAAGGGCACCGGTGGTCGCTGGGCTGGTGATGGCCGCCCTCGCACCCAGTGCATTTCTCAGGCTTGCGGAGGACTCGGATGGTGATCAGAAGACCGGCGAGATGCAAATGCTGGAAGCTTCCCGTGAGGAGATCCGGAAAACTGTCTCAAAAGATGCGCGGGGTCTTGCGCGACTTTGCCAATCAATCCGCGTGTTTTGGTACTACTATGTTTACGATCCCATTGCAACGGGGTTTCGGTTTCTTCACCTAGCCGTCATTTTCATACCAGTGGTGATTACAGTGCCAGTGATCTGGATTGGTCGGAGGGTTGAGGGAAGCAGTACTGCGCAGACCGGCACGTTATGGTGGTATCGGCTCCTGGTGAATGCTATGGAGCGAGCAGGTCCTGCATTTATCAAGGTAGGTTATCCGAGACGAACTCATCTCCAAGACAATTCGATCGCAAATTTTCTGACTCAATATCTATCTCCTAATAGCTTGGACAATGGGCCGCTTCCCGCACCGATATATTCCCACCGGAGATGTGTAATATCATGTCCTCACTCCACTCAAATGCCCCCGCGCACTCGCTCGAGGATACCAAACGCATCATTCGGAAGGCATTCAACGACATGGCCTTTGAAGACATCTTCGAGGAATTCCAGGAGGAACCTCTCGGTGTTGGCGCCATTGCCCAAGTGTACAAGGCGAAACTAAAGCCAAGCTTGGCCACTAGCGACCAGGAGCTAGGACAGGAACCCATCACGCTAGGAGAGAAGGTGCGGAAGAACATGGACGTTTTGGTGAAGAGCTCACCACAGCGAGTACCATCGTCGTACGTTGCCATCAAAGTCCTGCACCCCAAGGTTGAGAAGATGATTCACCGCGATTTGCGCATTATGGGCTTCTTCGCCTCTTTGATCAATGCTATCCCAACGATGCATTGGCTTTCTTTCCCCGATGAGGTCCAGCAATTTGGGGAGATGATGAAGCTCCAGCTGGACATGCGCATCGAAGCGACCAATCTTGTGATTTTCCGCGATAAATTCAAGACTCGCACGACAGCCTGGTTCCCGCATCCCTACATGGATTATACGACGAGGGAGGTGTTGATTGAGGAATTCGCACAAGGTATCCCGCTAGCGACCTTCTTGGATATTGGTGGAGGTATCTACCAACATGACATTGCCAATGAAGGGCTGGATGCCTTTTTGCACATGCTTCTGATCGATAACTTTGTGCATGCCGATCTGCACCCAGGGAATATCATGGTTCGCTTTTACAAGCCTAGTGAACTTGACTTGTCTCTTCAAAAGCACACACGCGCCACAGAGGCTCCCACTCGGGCTGAAGTAGACGTGACAGAGGCAGTTTTGGCGCGCTTACGTCCGCATATGGGCAACAAAGCTGCCTGGGAGTCTGCGCTCGCCAAACTCAATGATGAGGGTTACCGTCCCCAGTTGATCTTCATTGATACGGGCCTCGTCACTCAGCTCAATGAGCTCAATCGACGGAATTTCCTGGATCTCTTCCGAGCCATTGCTGAGTTTGATGGCTATCATGCTGGACATCTGATGGTCGAGCGGTGCCGTACACCAGAAGAAGTCATTGAACCGGAGATCTTCGCGTTAAAGATGCAACACTTGGTTCTCAGCATCAAATCTCGCACATTTGCCCTGGGCAATATCAAGATTGGTGATGTGCTCAGTGAAGTCCTCACCATGGTCCGTGGCCACCACGTTCGGTTTGAAGGTGACTTTGTGAATGTCGTCATCTCTTGCCTCCTTCTTGAAGGAATTGGCCGAAGCCTCAATCCTAATCTGGATCTTTTCCAGAGGTGAGTACTCTATCCTGCTCCAAGTCATTCCGTTTAGTTCTAAAGCTAATGGTCAACTCTAGTGCCCTTCCCATTCTCCGACAACTTGGTACTGGCCAAACCTTCTTGCAGACAGTGCGCTCGGGTGATACGTCGATGCTTCGGGTGTGGGTTGGCTTGGAAGCTCGTGGGTTGCTGCAGGCCAGCATTGAAAGCGTAGAACGGTGCGTCAAGTATGATTTGCTGTCACCGAACATTTGAGAATAGACCATTCTTCTCTTGTATTATAGATTTGCACACGAGAATTCAATGACATGAGACATTTGGCACTAAGGACGAGCGTTTTGTACCATATTAGCAGGTTAGAGATTGAAATAGATTCATTCGAAGCTGAAGATAGAGCCATGAAAACAAAAACCAACTCCAGATTCATTAATGCATCCACACAGCATCGCTTTTCTTCGATTATCGTCCACTGGTGCAATAAGTAGTTGGCAATAAGATAGTAAGACACGGAAATGATATAAGACAGGGGAAGAAGAAAAGAAAATATCGAAGGTGAAGAGAACAACCCGAAGAACGCCTATGCCATGTCTATACAATTTACAAAGGGGGAGTGGAGAAACATCGAGCTTCAAGGCCGACTTGGAGATGTTTAGTGGTGACCGTGGCCGTGGCCAGGTTCGCGGACAGCACCGCCACTGGCTTTCCACCACACATCACCACCCCATCTCATCAGACGCTCGACGGCAGCGGTGGGCGAGTCAAGAGCGGGACGAATGTCAAGGTAGAAGACGGGCTCGCCGTTCGGCTCGGGATCGCCGGAGTAGTAGTCGATCACGTAACGAACCTCCTTAGGACCCGAAGGAGTTTGACGCTGGACGAACCAGTCGTGGCGGTCGAAGGGTGGAGGAGTTCTGTTGTAAAGTTAGCGAATGCTTGCCAAAGGCCCAGTGTAGCCAGTACATACTCAAATTTGGTGGGATACACCCATCCAAGAGCCTGGAAGATGCGAGCCTTGGGAGTCAACTCCTTAGGTCGGCCCTGAAATCTGATCAGACGAGGCTCAGTCGCCTGGTCCACATTGCCTGTCAACTCGTCCTTCATCAACTGCCAGTTCAGATTCTCTTCACCCCGACGGCATCGCTCCCAACCGGCCCCAAGACCCTTTGCGAACGTGCGTTCCCATCCAATAATCTCATTCCAAGCACCCTCATTCAGGAAGTTGTGAACAGCAACCATCGACTCCACCGCATCCTGGGGAGTGTCTGTGTATCCTTTGCGCAGCATCGCGTTGTACATTTGCTGCGCAGAAGGGTATTCCCAGTTACCCTCCGAGTCACCCCGGGGAATCGTTGACTTCTCACGGTCAACGGAGAGGTCGACGGTCTGCTGGGGTGCGCGCTCCTGGGAGATCGAGGAGAACATGTAGTTCAACGGGTTCAGCTTGGACAGGGTGGACTGTTGGGGTGCGGCGGGCGCTGCCAGAGGTTGCGCATTGGAGGATTTAGGGGCAGCGTAGAAGGGCGAGTCCTTGGCCTTGGACATTGGGCAGTTGCTAGGAGGCTCGGCAGTCTGAGGTGCCGCAGTGGGTGCAACAGCTGATGCCGAAGCCGACTCGTGCATCGGACATCCGGGCTGTCGATAAGGGTCAGTTTGCGAAACAATCATTCTCTTTTCAGAGGCTCATACAGGAATAGGAGCGCCAGGTGTTGTTGGGTGTGGCGGTACAGGCGCCTTTGACTGTGTATCGGCCCAGAACCAGCCCATTTTGAATTAGACGTTCAAATTTTGAAAAAGTCAGACGTGTACAGGATAAAATCGCCCTTCGCGATAAAAGATCGGGGAGAAAATCGCGGAGATGACATAATGGTCACGTGATCTCTATCGGCTTCCCGATGCCGAAGTATAGCCATCTCACGGTTGACTGTAACAACGCAGATTATTAGTCTCACATCACTCTTTCTTCTATCTTGTTTAACATTTAGCAGCTCCCGACTCTCTTCAATGTAAAGATCTGAAAATTATCCCAAAATTGCAAAGAAACCATCTAGATCTTGAATTCCTTTTACCCTTGAAGTAGACGAAGAAAGAGCTCAAGTCTTAATTCAGTCCACCCACTATAAATACAGTTACATTTGACCGTTGGAGTTGTACATTGTTTGGCAAGAGATTGGTATAGCACATCTAGCGCCTAGCTTTCATGATTCGTCCGCCGAGACCACGTATCCAGTCATCGCCTCATTCCATACAGACCTCCATTCCATGCCATGGAGAGCTGGAAGATAAAAGTAATCCGACATGATCCTTGAGACTTGGTCCCAGGATTTCCATTCACAAATAATTACAACGCGGGCCAGTCGTTCCACGAACCAGGGTCTCTCGGGTCGGCCGGCCGATCCTTGTGCCCCCACAAACAAGGCCCAAGCAAATAATCCGAAGTTTTCCTTGGGCATGGTGAGAAGAAGGGAGAGTTCGCAGTTGTTCACGGCAGCGACGATGTGGTTTGTGAGTGCCCGGCCGAGACCTGACGATGGAGGAGAGACGATCAAGAAGTTGTTTAGGAAGCCGATTGTAGCCACTCGTGTGACTGCTTCGAGAGGATGACTGTCTATAGTGGGCGGGGAAGTGCTTGTGGTGTCCTGACTTTCAGGATAGATATAACTCAGGAGCTGATGTTCTGCTTCGCAGTTCAGCACTCGGAAAAAGTGGTTATCAGCCTGGTGGATTGTTTCGGGTTTCGTTTGCACAGTAATGCTGTAGTAAATGATATCGCGTATCACGTGTAAGATGCGGATGAGTGGAGAGCTTAGCAACATGTTAGAGAAGAACCCAGACCCAAGTTGATGGGCTGGGGAAGTAGCTGGAGGTTGGATGCGCTGCTGGATATCTGGGGGCACGGGCTGCGCATCCCAGGTGAGGGGAAAAACTGGCCTGACCAGTAGTCCAGAAGCCGCTTTCACATCGGTACTGGAGCAAGCTGTTAGCCAAGCTTCATCAGAAGAGCGTGGTTCAGGCACATACGTGATAATTGCAGACAACATCGAAGCAGAACGAATGCTTTCATCCGTTATACCGCCACGCAGCTCAACCATACGTTTAAGACCAGTCAGATGGATACGAGCTTCATCAAATAGACCAGCAATTAACTGCACAGGGTTAGCATCAACCCAATGTCAAGTTCAAGCATCGTAGGCAGGAACGCACCGAGCCTGTGAGCAGGTTCACGATCGTATCGAATGCCTCATTACTCAATGCCCGGTTAGGATCTCGCATCTTGGCGTTCATCTCTCGAATGGATTTTGCTTTCATAATACAGAAATCCGGGTCATTGACAATCGTGCTTGACTGAGCAGAGCTTGATGCATCAGAGCGGTCAACAGACAGTATGGCCCGATGTGCCGCGCACATGGTCATCAGACCGAAAAAGCTTCCAGGGTCTGAAAATGAGGATCGAACCATCAATTCCACTTCCCGGGATTCTTGGCCATTGAGCTCACTGGGGAATGTCATTGGTACAAAGACAGATTTCCCTTGTGAGGTCTTGTTAGCTTTGAACGGATCAAATCGAAGGTAATGAATATTACAAGCCCGGCTCATACTTACAGTAGTAAACCAAATGTGCAACCATAGAAGGTAGCTCACTAGTCCCCGGGAGTGAACAAAAGGGATCAAAGAACCACGAGTTTGGTAGTGATCTTGGGTTGGGGCTCAATTGAGGCGACAATGGATAACCAGCACTCCATCTCGCGGGTCGACCTCGCCGAGATTTAGAATGAACATAACCACTGCCGGTCTCGGTGTCGATTGCGGATGAGGAGGCCGATGAAGGAGAAGCCGATCTCAAGACTAGTCTTTGCTCCTTGGGCTCTTCACCTGTCATGAACTTTGAATTCGTGGCCGCTGATTGACCCCCGTTGTCGCGCTTAGAGGTTCGTTTCAGGCCAGCCAGCCTCTCTCGACGGCGCACATCGCGCATGACATGGGAGCGGATGGCCTTGCGAGCACTGGCATCTTTGATCCGCTTGGACGTCAAGTCATCGTCGTGATCAATGAAGGTGAACGATGGACGATCCAGCGGCGCAGCGGGTTTCGAAGTTTTATCTGGATTCGAGATTTAGTACATGAGCTTGAATCAATAGTTCACCACTGGTAATTATTCTTGTTGGATCTGCCAGGGGCCATTGGACATCAGACATCATCTACCCAGCAAGGACTAGATGATGATGAGGCCCTCGCAAGGCAAATCCGGAGGAGGATAAACGAATTCGCCACCGTACAGCGGACGAAGCTCAAGCAAGCTCCAAGCCACCGAAGGTTCCTCTATACGAGCATCACCGCGGACCAGGCGCATCAAGCACAGATCGTTAGTGTCGAGGACGCCCAAGCCCAAGGAAATAGTGGTGGGTCTAGCTCGGACAATGCATGAAGTAGTGAGCACAAACCTGAATGGGAAGGCCGAGAACCCGCCGCAAAGCTGTAAGGCTGCAGCTGATCCATCGTGGGCCCGAAGGCCAGGGGTCGGTAAAAAAGTTCGCAGCTTAAGATAGATCAAGCAGACTAGCAAACCGACAAGACCATTCACAAACCAATGAAGAAGAGAAGTGTGGGGGAAGGCGGATTTAGAAGGGAAAAAAGGAGTAGTTACGATGACAATAATTGCGGGGGGGGGGGAGGGGACGAGCGCCAGCCCGATTGAGCGTCTCGTCCACCGGGCAGATCCGGTGATGTCCGGTGTAACGACCAGTTCTTCTTGGGAGGAGCGCGAAACTCGTGGAGAATTAAATAGTTTACTTGAGGTAGCAGGAATGGGTACAAATTGAATATTCAGGACAAAGGCGCCGTTGCATGCAGCCAAAATCAAGCAAGTCGTACCCCCCAAAATATCTCTAATGCGCCACGGGATGCTGTCAAAATAAAAGCAAAGAAGAAATACAGTAATCGCTAACGACAAGGCCGAAGAGAAATCAAAAGCAAAATACAGTAAAAGATGTCTAGTGACCAGCCCAGCATCCTCAGCTCAACTCTCATCCTTGTACGTCACTGACCAGTCGAGACAGCAGCGCATAACCGAACAGTACGGCCAATCCGATCCACAGTCGGTTTCGTCGAGCCCAACTCTGTCCGGCTTCCCGAGCCACATGTCCCCCTTCCATCACGGCCCCGATCCCGGGGGCACTGCCATTAGGTCGGCGACGGAGGGCACTGGTCTCTGGAGAGCACTTGGTAGGTGCGTTGGGGTCCGGGAGGATCTGGCCGGTGCTGGTATCGATGCGATGCTCCTTCATCCAGGCCCAGTTCTCCTGGTCTAACTCTGGCCATTCGGTGCGGAACTTCAGGCCACCATCTCCCGCCTTGACATTATTGATTCCCTTGGTCGTCTTCGTCACACCGGGGGTGGCGCTGGAATGCGAGCCGCCACCGGTCGAGTTCCACCATCGAGATCGCGCGGCGAGCACTCGGCGCTCGCTCTCGGAGGCGCTGACACTGCCCGTGGTCATCTCTTCACTGGTCATGAATGATAGTAATCCGATCAGGATTGTCGAGACCTCCCATGCGGGGTTAAAGGACTTTGGGTGGAAGTCGCTAATGCTCAAGCACAGTCGCGTCGACGGTTGGAAACGCCCACTCGGAGTGTGCATTCGAATGGCAGGAGGCGCAAACGGGTACTCGGGAGGGAACATCAGGGTACCCCAGTATTGTCCATTCTCGTATGGGGTGCCAGGGGGTCCGGTCAAGACATAGTGCCACCTAGGCAGACGTCAGTATCGAGAAACTGGAGAAAATAAACAGCGCGAATGAACTGACTCTAGAATATTTGTCTCAGATGGATGGGCAATAATAAAAGGGGGTGGATTCTTTTGAATGTTTTGGTACTCGCGAGTGAGCTGTATAGACCGTCAGAAGGTTGCGACATTTGCCTACACAGGAAGTCACGTCCGGCCACTTACCCGCTTGAAAGCTGCCTTTGTCGCCATTTTCGAGGATTGTGATCCTGGATTTTCGATTTGCGAGAACAATAAATTCAAAGAAAATGAAAATCGTGGCAGAGAAATACTGACCGCACGCAAAACCGACCGATGAGTGTTGAGAGTGTTGGAGAGTCGAGGGTCGGGAGTCGGGGGATGCGCAAGATGTCGCCGTTACGCCGCACTGGTCCTGAAGGTCACGTGCAGCTCCGTTTTCCCACGCGATCAAATGCTCCCAGAAACCACAGGTTCTGGCCATTGCAGCCGTCACAATGTCCTCCTCCTCCTCTCTGCCGACGATGAAGACGTATGAAACCCTTCAATACAGCTTATGTGTTGTCCCTGTCTCGCCGTACTAACCATTGCGGCAGATCTTCGAGCGCCTGCAGCAGCGCAAGGATCCGAAGGTGTTGGAAGAGCAGCAGCAGGCTGTGAACGAGCGTACGCAAGCTATTCTCCAGAAGGCCCAAGCTCGTCTTTCAGAACTGGTATGAGTATCTCTATTTCTAGTCTCAGCACCAATCGCATAACAATTATGCTGGCGTGAACGAATTTCGGAGCTTTCGGCTAACCATAACTTCGTTATCAGCTTGATCAAAACTCGACCTTGCCATGCGCGATCTCGTCCGTTCAGGTGCTGAATGCTCCTCATACCCGACGTGGTTTCCTTGAGAAAGTCGTCAGCCCCCTCCTCAGCGAGAACAAGGACCGACCCTATACCCTGTCCGAGGCATTGCGGGAGATTTCGGCAACGGCAGACAAGCTGGGACGATTTGGTTCGTGAGCCAGGCACGATACGGAGGATATTGTTGCTTTGATATATCTAACTTGGGATATAGACCTGTTCCAACAGCCAATCGCAGTTCACCTGGATGAGTCGAGCAAGGATCCCTCCGGACTGCGGAACATCGATGTTCTTCTGGCAACCCGGGAGAAGTCCCGGGTGCTTTTGAAGACCGGCACTGATCTTGGAAACGCCGAGGGTTCGGCCTACGGTAACCTCTTGTGGCGCAATGTGTTTGGTGGTGCCGAGACCCTCAACTTGAATGCGTCATTGGGCACACGCACGCGGTCCGCTTACCAGGCGGCTTTCGAGACCCCGATCCTGTGTGACCCCGACTTCCGCCTGGAGGTAGGTGGTATCGCCAGTTCCACTCAGAAGTCCTGGTCAAGTCATGAGGAGGTGCTTAAGGGCGGTTGGAGTAAGCTCCGCTGGCTGTCGCAATCAGGACACCGCCACGAACTGGGCTACAATGGGTTCTGGAGGCAAACCACTGGTCTGGCGGAGAACGCCTCTCCTACTGTTCGCGCGGATGCAGGTGACAACGTGAAGAGCAGCATATTCCACAGCTGGATCAATGACCAGCGTGATAATGCCATGCTTCCTTCTCGCGGCTACTACGCTAAGATCTTCAACGAGGTAGCTGGCTGGGGCCCGTTGAAGGGTGATGTCTCTTTCTGGAAGTCAGAGATCGAGACCCAAGGCGCCCTCCCCATCCCGATTCCTGGAATTAAGGGCGATAGCGGGATCAGCCTCACCACCGGCTTCCGTGCTGGTCTTCTGTTCCCCCTGGGCTTGGACTCTGATCCACGCCCCCAGCTCTCCCGCATCAATGACCGCTTCTTCCTCGGTGGGCCTACCGATGTTCGCGGATTCCGTCTGTGCGGGCTTGGCCCTCGTGAGGGCGTCGATGCTCTCGGTGGTGACGTGTACGCTGCCGGTAGCGCCAACTTGCTCTTCCCCCTCCCCCGCGTAGGCGCTGACAAGCCCCTGCGCTTGCAACTCTTCATGAACGGCGGCCGCCTGTTGCCCCTTCGCACGTCCCAGAAGGCTGCACCTACCACCAACGGTGAGGTGCAGGATGCCGTGATCTCAACCGTCAAGGACCTGCAAACTGGCCTTCCTAGCATCGCTGCCGGCGTGGGTATCGTATATGCCCACCCAGTAGCGCGTTTCGAGCTCAACTTCTCTCTGCCGTTGGTTTTGCGGAAGGGCGAGGAGGGCCGCAAGGGCCTGCAGTTGGGAATTGGCATCAACTTCCTGTAGAAACACATTTCTTTTATTAGACCTTAGCGGCGTCAAATTATACCTTATTTCTCAGTTTACATCAAAAGCCATACACTGTGTCTACAACATCTACTAGTTATGGATTCTGCTCAGATATTTCCCTCAATAATAATGTTTAGCCTCGTATACTTCACTCGCGCGGGTCCGCCTGGAGGTGCGGGGCTGACTCAGCAGGCATCAGGGCAACCGCCAGCTGGCTGGAGCATCTCAAGCTCTCCCAGCTTTCCCATTGCCAACATCAAACCCCCCGCGCCAGTCCCTTTCACTCTCCTACACTCATTGAAGAGCAAACACATCAGCCTTGACTCCTCGCCAATCTAGCCGCAATGGCTCAGTACTACTCCAATCAACAGCAGCAGCCGGGCTACGCGCCCCAAGCCAACGCACAGAATCTCCAGTTCTTCCCCTCGTCCTACTCCTCAGTTTCCGGCCACACAACTCCCTCACAAGCCTCCTATGGTGCTGGTTTTGGCGGCGCATCGAATCCCTCTGCCCAAGCTTATCCGGTGGGCGCCGCCTATGGAGGCTTCGGGTCTCCCGCGGCAGGTGTGAGTGGGAGGATGGGGGAACAGGGTGGTTTGCGCACGGGTTGGTTGGCTGCATTTGGGACGGAGGGTTATGATGGTGAACCGCCATTGTTGGAGGAGTTGGGTGTGAACTTTGGGCATATTCGGACAAAGGTTAGTTGAATTGCGGCGAAGCCTTTGGTTTCAAGGAGAGAGTGGAGGGAGTTGCAATGCGCCAGGGACCTACAAGAAGTACATACCTCGATTGGCTTCTTACTTGGACATTCCCATGCGGCATGATCAGCTCCCCTTCGATCTGAACCTTACTCGATCAATCGTGGCATTACAAGATATCAAAACTAACTCCCACCCAGACCCTAACAGTCCTCAACCCCTTCGCCTCAATCGACAACCACCTCATGGACGACAGCGACCTCTACGGCGCCCTCCTCTACATCGTCCTCTACGGCACATTCCTCCTCCTCTCCGGCAAAGTCTTCTACGGCTACATCTACGGCGTCGCTGTCTTCGGCACCGTCGCCCTCCACCTTATCCTCAGTCTGATGTCCCCCGTTCTGGACGCAGCAGCACCCCCCAACGCCGGCGATCCCGCAAACTACAACCCCCACCACAAGCCCTCGCTGTCCGGTGCCTCCGCTGCTGGCCATTTCTCTGCTACTTTGACTTTCCCCCGCTCCGCGAGCGTGCTGGGTTATTGCTTCTTGCCGCTTGTCTTGACTGCGTTGATCGGTATCCTGATTCCGATGGATACCTTGTTCGGGTACCTTTTGACTACTGCGGCGGTGGGCTGGTGCACGTATAGCTCGTCGGGTATGTTTTGTGCCGTGGCACGTATGAGTGGTATGCGTGGTTTGGTAGCGTACCCATTGGCGCTGTTCTATGTTGTGTTTGGTATTATGGGCATCTTCTCGTCTCGGGGGACGGGCTCGCTAGCTGCGAAGACGGGTGCTGCGTAAAGCAGTACCGTGGCAGTGTCTTGCAAAAGCGTGGTGTTCTTTCTTTTTCTTTCCTTTTCGAATTCCCCCATGCCTTTTAGTTTTGCTCGTGGGGGTATGGCGAAATACACGGATGGGTTGGGGCTAGACGGGGGGTTGTGTAGGGAATTTACTTGTTCCCTGCGAAGTTTGGCAGGGGCCTTTTCTGCTTGCATTTAATCATGAATATTACGAGACTAGCACCATGTGTTATATATATCATTATGCATTTCATCTTCATTAGAACTCGTCAGCGCTTCTTCTATTCAAATTCCCCAACTCCTGTAATGTATCCAGTTCACATCCTTGTATAATGCAACGCAATTATGATCCAGATCAGATGAGACAAAACCCGGAAGTATAGCTTGGATAATTTACCAAGCAGACAAGATAAAAGAAGATCTTCATCTATTAACAACCCACGACTGCACCAATATCAAGTCGCAGTCTCCCCCCTAGCTGGCGCCCATTTGCCCAGCCATTCTCTGGTCTTCTCCAAATCGCCACCAGCAGCCTCTGCGCCAGCCACACACCACGCCAACTCATACGCTTTCCCCACCCCAGCCACGCCCTCGGCAGCAATCATCTCCGCCAAATTCCGACGATGCTGGCCTGTCTCATCCGTACAGAAAAAGAAAGGCGCGGTATTAGCCACGTCCGGGTTGACAATAACGGGCTCGACGAGCGGGCGTATCACTTTCGTGATATCGGCCACGCTCATCGCTGCCACGGTCCCAGTTGTCGTCTTCTGCTTGCCGGTCTTGCAGAATCCGTTCTGACACCAGGGTTTCCCGCAGCCCGTCATTAATTGCGAGAGGTAGCGGCGTTCGATTCGGCGGCGGAGCGCTTTGCCTTCTGGATCGTATGTGTCGACGTATAGAGGTCCGAAGCAGATATTGCATAGACCGAGGGATTTGTTTCCCGTGCTGGTGAGTGTGCGGCCGCAGTTCTGGTTTAGACAGATACGTGGTGGTGGTCGGGATACGCGTTCTAGATCGTGGTGCCGGAGGTGGGTGTTCATGTCTCGGAGGCGGATGATTTTGCTGCAGAGGTGGCATTCTGTTGTTCGACCGCCGTCGACTAGTTCGTGGGGTGTTAGGCCTGAGAGCATTACTTCCGGATCGTGGAGGTCGGGATCGGAGTCGCCTTTTTGGGGCACGAGGAGATGGCAGAATTGGCAGAGGATTAGTTTTCCGGGGCACTCGGTTGTTCGGTGCTGTGCGAGGTTGGGGAGGCCTTCGACTTGAGCTGGACAGTCTGGGCAGGTGTATGGTTTGTGATATATTGAGTCGTGACTTTGTTTGCTTGCGGCGTCGTTGCCGTGCAAGGAGTCGTGTGGGCAGTGCCAGTGGTTTTCCCATTCGGCGGAGCGTTTTTGGAAGACATTGCCACATTGCGGGCAGAGTATATTATTTCGTAGACAAAAGTTCTCGTGGAGGACGAGTGTTCGCTCTGGGACCCATTGTTGACAATTCTTGCACTGCACATCGCCTGGTGCATGAGGCTCCTCGGTGGCTCCATTATCTACCGTCTCATCTGCGGTGTCCACAGCATTTGATGTTATCCGTAGATTATACTTGAGAGGCAGTTGCCTTTGTGCTGATGTTGAGGACTCGACGTTAGAGTCAGGGGCACTGGCATATGCAGAGATGTAGATAGCTTCCGCCCCCTCGAGAGCGACGTTCGTTGGCCGAATCTTAAACCTCTTCGGAGACTGCGAGGAAAAGTCTCCCCAAACATGCATATCTGTCCGAGGCCGACCTTGTTGACGCGAACCAAGAGGACTTGCGAAAAGAAAGACATTCGGTTCATCCGTCGTAAGCTCAATCTCAAGCTCATCCTCCCGGTTCCACTCGCGAAGCTCGTAATCCACATATTCGCCAGCTAGCACTTGAGCAGCCACCTCCTCTCCAATACCCAGCTCACCCCCTACCGAGCTGCCACTCGTCGTGCCGGGAGCTCGCGCTGTCCGTTCCAGCCGCTTTTTGAGTGTCTCTCGGGCCTGTTCTTCAGACAGCGCCACAATATCCACCTCCAGATCGGTGTCCACAACGCAAATTCCGTCACCTTCGGGGAACACCTTGTCCAGCAAGAACCGGAAGGACTCGTTGCGTGTCCCAGGTACAGTCAAGATTTCACCCGTCGTCAACGTCGTAAAGTTATCTCGCAAGTGTCGCTCGAGCAGTGCTTTCCAGTCCTCAGGGTCATATCCGGCCTCGAGCGGGCGTAGTCGTACATACGTGCCCTTTGGCAATTGCTTCGCATGTACGGTGACGACAGCCGGTTCGGCTCGTGCTCGTGCTGGTTGTCCCTCCACGTCGTCCCCGTCTCCTTCCATTGACACGTCCTGCGCATTATCACCATTGGAATTGACATGTCCCTGAACAGCGCTCTCGAGCTGATCGTCCGATATCCCAAGCGACTCGCGCAAAATAGCACTCAGAGCGACCTCATTCTCGGCGGCCGAGAACTCGCGAATCCCCGCGTACACGAACCGATTATTCTGCGGGTTCACGATACGGAATGTCAACGGGTGGGGCAGTTGTTGCTGGCGCTCTTCGATCTGCTGGCGCGCTCGCGACTCGGCGGCGAACGTATGTGGGTTGAACGGGTCAAAGGTAGACGTGTGCACGCGAGCGTTGTTCGGCGCAGTCGAGACGGGTTGAAGCGGTGCGGCGGCGAGGAGCTGTTCCAGTGCGGACTGTGGTAGAGTGATCTTATCGCCTGGTAGGCGGGGCGCGTGCTGGGGAGCAGTCACGGCTAGTTGGGCGGACCAGTTTAGTGTGAGAGTATTGTCCGCCATGGTGGAGGGGTGTAATGAGAGAAGGGTGGCATTTGGGGGGGAGAGAGCAGAAGAGCTTGAAAGTATTTGAAGATTATAAACGTGGAGCGGCGCGGGAAGCTCGCGGGATGTTCTGGAAGAGTCTCCCCGCGCCCCCACTATAATTAGTGATCGACTGCTCCGTACATACGGAGAACATATGGGCGACATGGTATCTTAGTACTATATATCTTTTTATAGATTATCGTATATATATGTATTGAATACTATATCTCTTTTAGATTAGCTAGTAAGTTTAGTTCTTTATACATTAGAGAATATAGATTCTTAGCAAGTATATTAGCTAATTACTTCTTAGTTAAGATATATTATATATTCCTGTTTTAGCTTTATTTAATCTCTTATATTGTACTATTATATATCTATATATTTAGTTCGTTTATAAAATTTAGGATTCTCGAATTGCCAGCGCTGGTCTTCAATGAGCTTCCATGATTGATGTTGGTCGTGTATCGTCCGTCGTACCCGAGAAGCTATATGCCTGATATCATCTAAACCCCTAAATCGCCAAAGAAAAGGATAGTAGGAAAAATAACGAGGACGGGAAGTCTTTAAGTCATAGCAACAGAGGGGAGGTTTCGAGACCGCATAATGGGACGCTAAACTCTTTTGTGTAATTCACCGTCACCGGATTATACGGAGTATTGTATGGAGTACAGGACTCAAATGATTTAGAGTCAATAAAAAAGGAAATGTACATGCTAGGTGAGATACCCGGCTTATAAATCCCATGGAATTATATCTTATTTGTTCAGCGCACCAAAATCAATGCCGCCCTTCCTGGTTTAATGGAAACTCCGCATTCGGTGGCGAGAGCTGGTGTTGCACCAGTCGCACTAAGTTGATGTGTTAGCTCTCACCGTATCAAAAGATTAGACACTAGGTTTTTTTGCATTCTAGACGTACCATCGTCGCCGAGCATCCCTCGTTATGCTCGATACAGTAATCGCCACCGCAGCTCCGGCAGGTGTGTTGGGTGTTCCGCTTGCATGAACCACACTAGACAGATGTTATCATCTTGACTCTTTCTTATACTGTTTTCGGAATACTCACAGTCGGGCCACACTCCCAGCAATCTTTGCTCACACCTCGCTCGGGTCTCTGTAAGAAAAGTTAGTAACAGCTTAAAATTGGGAATCAAGATCTTCATCACATACCTCTTGCTCAACCTGAGCCGGTGCGGTCCCGTGGGGACGGTGACCCGGTGGTCGAATCGCAGTCTGATGTGGCGTGAGGCTGGCCTGGACGTGTCGCGGGTGTGGCAGACAGTTTGAGCAGAACCACTTGTTACACCGGTGGCACCAGCGATCCGTCAAGCAGTCTGTACACCGCGCGATCAGGACGGGATGCTCACCAGGGATAAGCTCCGGCCGCTTGGCTGCAGCAACACTGGACACATGCAAAGGCACGGGACTCAGCATTGGGAACTGGGTGTCTGGCGACTGGCCCCAGATTGACGGCCCCTCGGGCGAACTATGGCATCCATCACACCCGCGTGGGCCCAGGGCTACGGAGGCGATGGCGGGGCCAAGTAAGCGGCCCTCGGGGGCGGGGTTCTCATCATCTGCGTTGGAGTAGAGGTTGACATCATGGCGTGGTCCGCGGCATAACACTGCGTCGAAAGCAATGATGCCCTCACATTTCTGGATGGTTTGTGCCCAGCCTTCGTCCAGGCTGCGCTTGAACACTTTACCTGAAGGGGTATACCATTCGTTTCGCTGGTATCGTCGAGCCACTGTGGCTTCTGTCTCCTCTTCTTCGTTGTCTGAAGAGCTGTTTGACGGGCTCTGGCTGGAACTTCGTGAGCTGCTCATCCGGGACCCCCACCAGTCACGGTATCGACGTCGCACTGCAGTGCGCGGTGGGCTATGCATTGGGGAGAAATGATAGATTCCCTTCACTTTCGGGGTTCCCTCTGGGCGAGTGGGACGAACGGCATGTTGAATGACTTGGATCAGCTTGCGCTCATTGAGGTGCTGGCACTCGCGAATAGATAGGATGTTGACATTGAATCGATCGGTCAGGATAATGTCCGCAATCAGGTCGGCTGGGACCGAAAGACCGTCCAGGACCAGTGTGCGTACATCTTGTAGGATAGACCGCTTCTCAAGGCTACCAAAGATGCGCCGCAATGGAGCAGAGTATATCTCATCCTCCGTCTGCATGTCATCCTCTTTGGCCGATTTGTTGGATAGCTGCGCACCTCGGCAGCGGGTCAAGTCCAAATGCCTGAACACATAGGGAGTGCCCGTAATCATATTATAGAGGAGTCGCGAGGTTGAAGCCAGGGCCATCAGCGAGGGTGCACCCAGGTACGGTGACATATGATCGAGGATCAGACTGTTGGTGAGCATGTCCTCTAGCGGTGCTCGTCGTTTGGGTGTAGGCTTGGGTTGCGGAATGGGCTCTGCAGGTGCAATCTGCTCCACCGGGAGTTCTCGTACGACAGGCTCGAGGCCCAATTCCTTCGCGGTCAATCGTCGGGAGCCATAGAAATCTGGGGCGCGACTGATTAGATTCTGGCGATAAGCGGCCATGGCGCCGACGGCGACCTCATCGCCGATGCGCAAGAGTGGCGCATGAGGATGGATTTCCTGGAGGGCCGCGCGAGCCTTGACCAGCTCGGACTCGAGCAGGTGAATGGTCGATTGAAGAAGGGCGGGCATGGTGTCGGAGTTGGGAGTGGGATGAATCGCGGAGACCAAAGAAACCCAAAGATCGTCGGACATAGTCCGGTCCTTTATAGTTCAGACTTCAGAAGGGTTTGACGACGAACAAAGGGTGGATCCACAAGCACCATGGGGGGTGGGGGGGGGGGGAAGAAATAAAAAAAGAAATCGGACAAGGAGCAGAAGTCAGGACGGATAAAATGGTAAAATGATAAAATGGCGGTTGAAATTGACCGGATCGGATCACCGTTTGAGTCAGAAGGACGAATGCGCGGAGAGATTCCAGTCCTCCGTCCAGATGGGGGATGGCAATTGTATGGAGAAACGGGGGACCAGACCAATAAAGCTCCAGTGGAGACGGAAACTGAGATCCGGGGTGGAGTAGTCCAAAAGGGAGAGGGAGGGGGGAAGTTTAGAAATTGGATTATTCAATTGAGTAATGATAAGACGTGCCCGAATGGGAACGGACAGGAGTATAGAAGGTGAGTAGTAATCTGGCAATGTAACCGGGTACAGGCTGGCGGAACAGTCGGTCAAAGTGGTCGGTGGGAAGTCTAAAAAAGACAGTTCGGGAGGCCCGAATGCAGCAAGTCCGGGGGTCTCGGGTGGGTTCTTATACTTCAATGTACAGTATGGACTCTGTACGGAGGAGATGATTGATGAGCCTGGATTATTATGGTCAGACAGACGGAAGAAAAAGAAAAGAATAAAAAACAGAAAGAGTCCAATTAAACAAGGGAGTGGGCCCATCAAGATCGTGGCAGGTTCAAGAGATTCTCCTGTCTCCATACTGTACAATCAGAAAGGGAACAAGTCCTCGGTACCTAGAAAGACTTGGCGGCGGGTCCAAAGGGGTCCTTGGCTCAAGGCTATTGTCTCTACCTACAAAGTATACCCAAGTCATGCTACTTATTAAGCTACAAATACGCTAACTACCAACTCTACACACTTCATACCCTCCAAAAGTTATACTTTGAGTGTATACTATGATAAATCTCTACTTAATACCCCTATCACCACGATCCCACGATACCTAAGCTAATTCCTCAAATCTACCACAGAGTGCTGTACATCCTCTCTTCCTTTCTTTTTTTCTTTTTCTTGCGCCTGTCAATCGGTCCCCACTGATCCGCCAGTCACGCGGACATCCTTCTGGGCCGCGTCAGTGCAACCGATCCACTTGCTTCTTTTTCTTCTCGAATTGATTATTCTTTTGGCTTATCATCACTGCAGTAAGTAGTGCGAGATACCCTTCCAGTAGTGGCGAGGGACCAGGGGTCCGCTGTCGTGGTCCAATGGCTTTGGCGCGTGGGGGGAGAAGAACCCTTTCCTTTCGACTGCCCATATGTATGTACATCCTGTACTGAGGCCTGGCCCATACCTATATACATATTGTGATGCAGTCTATCCTCTAATTGATGCAGTTTCACTAGGTATATCCTTATCTGGAATCTCTGCCGCCATCAGGAATGCCCCGTCTATGAGATCATGTACTTAGGTACTGCCCACTATACCGATTGAGACTCGTCTCCTTTCCAAAGCACGTTATACCTGATGGATTATCCTGAATTGTGCAACCTCCAACCCCCTACCCCTTAGAAACACACTCACAGGCCCAAGAATCTTGGATCCTTGGCAATGGATGCTCACCATGCTGTGAAGACTGCAGTTATCTCGCCAAGACAATAGCTGGTCATCCTAAGATGCACATTGCACTGCCGCCGACGCTGGGGAGATCTTCGCCAAGCAAATGATGGCATTTTACGCGGTCGATCATCTTGGGGAGAGATCATCGTTTTCTATTTTTTGATTGCTATGGTGGTGACGATGATGATAAGCAACTGATAATTATAATGTTCTGTACTATTGCCCTGGTAGTATAGTTTAGCTTATAGTTCCACGCCAAGGACCTCGGGCCAAGTGTACTACTACTCCTACCTAAAGTACTCCCTTATATTTCTATAGAGTGTTCGAAAGAATGAAGATATCTCCGCCATCCGCCCATCCCACATGAATTAGCAATAAAAAAACCAACACGGACGATTATATCCCCGTGCTGACTCCCGTTCCCCCAATCCCAGTATGCATTGCACCATCGCTCCTCAAATCCAAGTTAACCGATCCAACTTAGCCGAGTGGCTAAGACGGAAGGGAAGGGATGACAAGCCAAGCCAATTGGGGCCCAGCCCGACTCTGGACATGTTCAAGTCCCCCCCCCCCTCTAACGCGAAGGTGGGCTGCGCAGGGTTACCGGTGGCTTACACTTTGCGTCCATCGAATGCCCGCTCAAACAAGATCTCCCGCCCCTAGTCCCACTTTAGCCGCCCGGTGAGCGATGTTTCCTGTCGGAGGCTTGAAGGCAAATTGTGGAGGGGACGGTCAACGGGCATCTATCCTCCGGGGAAATTATGCAGCTGATGGCCGGAAAAATTGTCATGAGTATGACCATGGCTGTGGTTTATGAGTAATGATATTTAGTAACTTAACAAGTTAGTTATACATGGCACGATGATACTGTACTGCTAGTGGTAGGACTAACGGTTGGCGAGTGCTACTGTAGCTGTTACTGGTAGGTCCAGTACTCCGTACCTACTTACAGCATTATTCATTACAGATCTCGCCCAGTTGAGTAGTTCCAAGCGTCCCAACGGTCAATCTACTAACATGATTCCCAATTAGAGCACGGCACGATGCGTTCCGTTGCCCGTGCCAAGGTATACAGTGGTAGTTCAAAAGTCTGAATCTAGAGACCAAGAAAAAGGACCATTTAATACGCTTCAACTATATGTCTTTAACAGATCTTTCTGAATGTCTTTTGAACCGTCTTTCTAGATAACCAGGACACTATTCATCAACTTGGCTTTCAAAGTATGGCTGATGAGATGATTTTGAACTTTCCTGGTTGTTGCAAACTTATAGAACCCCACGCTATACCACCCTCTATCTCCTCTCTACACTCCATCCTGACCGTTTCATGCCAACACACGCCGTAACACCACTATGCAATGCATTTCAAATTCGGACGGAAATGATAGGATTAAAAACTAGTGGTACAGGTCGTCGATCACCCCCTTTCAAGGTCGGGGTCTTCCCCAGGATGAACGCTGCACGCCCTCGCTTGGCGCTTGGGAGAGGTTGCAGTTTCTCACCCATGAAACAGTCCTGGTTTACTTCCACAACTTCGACACCGCAACCTCCTTATCATCGTGCTTGTTGAGAATCTTGGCGGTCGCCAGGTCAAAGTCCTCCTGCGTAACATGCACTCTCCGCTCGCGCAAGGCGTACATGCCGGCCTCTGTGCAGACTCCCTTCAGCTCCGCACCAGAGCACCCGTTCATCTTCTCCGCAATCTTGCTCAGGTTGATTCCGCGCGTCAGGTTCATCGACCGCGAGTGGATTCGTAGAATATCGGCACGGGCTTCGATACTGCAAGTAGAAAGGAAAGGGAAATGTGTTAGTATACGTATAACACGGCACGTGAAGACTAAGACTTCAAAGCCAGAGGGAGCTTGGACAGCCACTCACGATGGGGGAGGGAACTCGATCTTCCGGTCAATCCGCCCTGGGCGGAGCAAGGCCGGGTCCAGAATGTCCAGTCGATTCGTGGCCATAATAATCTTGATGTCCTTGGTGGGCTCGAAGCCATCCAGCTGGTTCAGCAGTTCCAGCATGGTCCGTTGCACCTCCGAGTCACCACCGCCCGCCGAGTCTATCCGGCTAGAGCCAATGCTATCAATCTCGTCCATGAAGATGATACTGGGAGCGTGCTCTCGGGCCATGACGAACAACTCTCGCACCATGCGGCTACCCTCACCAATGTACTTCTGCACCAGCTCCGATCCACTGACACGAATGAAACGACAGTCCGTGTGATGAGCCACGGCACGAGCCAGCAGCGTCTTACCGGTACCGGGAGGGCCGTACAACAGGACACCCTTCGGTTGTGCGATACCCAAAGACTCAAACAGCTCTGGGTGCTTCAGACCCAGCTCAATCACTTCCTTGATTTCCTTGATCTGCTGGTCCAATCCACCGATCATATCATATGTACTGTCCGGAACCTTCTCCACCATCATCAGGGATACGAGCGGGTCGACTGAGGATGGCAGCATCTTTTCCAACTTGTAGGAATCTGAGAGCAGGGCCACGCGCTTGCCGACAGTGAGCTTGGCAATGTCCACGCCGTCTGCGATATCAACCACTGTAGATAGAGGAAAAGAGCCTTTGTTAGAAATACGTCCGATCGTCCGAAACTAAGCGAGTGAATCATAATCCCTTACCATATTTTCCTTCTGGGTGTACCTTCACCAGCACCTTTTTCGTACTCATCACCTTCACCACCTCGCCGACGTACGAGCCGGGTTGTTGGAGCAGACCGAGCTCCTCCCGTAGCAGGCGCACTCGCGAGTTGTAGTCATTGCGCTGTGCCTCTAGACGTCGAAGAACTGCCTGGCCCTGGATAATCTCGAGCTTCATGCTCTCGATCTTATTCCGATAGTAGTTGTCCAGCGCCATGGCGGATAGAGGGATGACGCTATCGGGCAAGCGAAGTCAAAGGGGAATGCCGTGGACGAGTCGAAAGAATGAATCCGGTGTACAGAGCCTCCACAGTTTGGCCCAGACAGAAGTATAGGAGCCTGAAGATACGCAACAGGAACGGGTGGTGAGGAGCGATGACGATGTTTGGGATGAGATCTGGAGCTGGACAGCTTGAAGCTGCGGGCAGTGGCCGAACGCCAGCTAGGATGACTAAAGCTACAGGCCTTAGAATTTAGGCTTCCATAACAGACAAACTGTACAAACAGAGCACCCCAGGCAGCCCGGCAGCTCCCCACTGTGGATGAGTCAGCATCTCCGTGATTGGCACAACCGTCGAATGGTCATCTGGAAGCTCTCCACGCGGCCGTGCTACTCTGATCGTCTTTTGTACGCTTCTCAGCTGAGGAGAAAGCAGATGATCCAAGTATCCGGGGTTATCTCTTTTCTTGGTTCCCTGTTGAACCCCGCAATGTGAAGTGGGAGTTGCCAAGAGCCCCCTTTGCCTTGATTTAAATCCTCCCCCTCTCTGCGAGCTTGGACGGTCGGCCGTTTTTTGGTGTTTTAGACCGTCGATGGATCATCCAAGAAACTTGACGGGCGATAAGAGGGACCCCGACCAGCCTGAGCCCTCTCGAGTATCGGGTATACCAGGCAGCGACTACGCCTCTGCATCATCCATACCTCCCATGCGATCAACGGCGTCGGTTCGGAGAGGCTACGGTAGGCTTGACGATTTCGTGTAACCCCAAGCAAAAAAGGAACGTTTTGTGCTGACCTGGGTCTGGGGGAAATCAGGAACCCTGGATGCGCAATCCGTCGACTCGGCATCCGAGATACGCAACGATGAGCCCACTCAGGAGGATAGTTCGAGCCGCGCGTTTACCTCCTCATCTATGGTCCCTGATCGGCCTCGAAAGCCCTCGGTCACCCGTCGCATGTCGTCGAAACGACAAGTGCCCCACAAGGGCCAGGGATTCTCGACCGACGATGATGTCAAAGAAGTAGAGGAGGACTTTGCCCTACATAAGGCTTCGTCCACCCAGCAGCTGTCTCCGAGGCTTCGTCCCATGCGGGTTCAGGGCTCCACGTTACGCCGTCATGTTAGCGCCCGTCTCAGCCCATTGGCTAGAGGTGAATCAGACAACCTGAGTGAGGATGATACCATATTGCCAAAACCCAACTTCGACCTACCCGACGATGCCCCGTCGATAAGGCAGTCTGATGGCGGTAGTGATATTGACAGTGGGGATGAATCTCATGTGGCCGATGAGGATGACGAGGAGACTAGTGATGCTGAGAGCTTTACGCTCAAGGACCGCCAGCAAGCGATCAACGAGACCCATCCCTTCGGTATCAGGATCTGGAAGCCCGCCCTGTACAAGAAGAGCCGCTCGGTTGAGAAGACTGCCGAGGGCGATATCCACTCATCTCCCGGGGGTCGCGTCAGTCCCATGCTCTTTTTGACAAACCTTCTATGGTCAGTGCTCTTTGGGTGGTGGTTGGCTCTAGCGGCCTTGCTGGCTGCGATCGCATGCTTTTTCTGTGCTTTCTCTTCTAGCGCTGTCGCGTATGGAAGGGTTTTCGCTGGGCTCTCGCGCTACTTGCTCTACCCCTTTGGCTCCTTTGTTCTCCTCAGAACAGATGATAATTATGCCGAGGAAGACGAAGGAGAAGGCCGCAGTATCAGCGAATATGAACAATGGCAGAACGGTGACTTGGAGCATGGCCGACTTTTCTTCGGACCTCGCAGAGATCGATCTCTTGTCGGACGGCGGCGCAACAGCGTGGATTCTGCTGGCGAGCAGGACAGCCTCCTCGGCCGGCCCCAGCGTGGACAAGGCGAGGACTTACAATTCAGCCCCTCCAAACGCCGCCTCTTCGGTCGTGGTGAATGGACTCTCGGTCGAGTTGTGTTCTTTGTATTCTTTTACTTCTTGGTGGGACCCTTGATGCTCATAGTCTCCCTGGTCTGCTGGCTGCTTGTCTTCTGGATCCCAATGGGCCGAGTCACTACCATCTTGGTGAGCCACCTGCGACGCCATCCTCTAGCCTTGTCATTCCACTCCGATACCTCTTATTCCCGACTTGCCACGGGTTCTTCATCTTCATCCATCCTTCTGTGCACGTATCGCGCGGCAGGGACGAGATACTGGAAATACACCATTGACGGCACCAACATCTTCTTTATCAATTTGCTAGCTCTCGTCGCTTTCGTCATTTTCGACTACTTCGTGCTGGACACCTTCCTGGGAATTGAGTCCTGGCTGACTCACCCCGGACTGATCTTTACTCTCTCCCTATTCTCCATCATCCCGCTAGCCTACTTCATCGGCCAGGCTGTGGCATCCATCTCAGCCCAGTCGTCAATGGGCCTGGGTGCCGCGATTAATGCCTTCTTCTCCACCATCGTAGAAGTGTATCTCTACTGTGTCGCCCTGACTGAAGGCAAGGCCCAGCTTGTGGAAGGGAGTATCATTGGCAGTATCTTCGCGGGTATTCTGTTCTTGCCCGGGTTGTCCATGTGCTTCGGTGCTATCAAGCGCAAGACGCAGCGATTTAATGTGAAGTCCGCCGGTGTGACCTCGACCATGCTGTTGTTTGCGGTCATCGCAGCCTTTGGTCCTACTCTTTTCTACCAGGTATATGGCAGTGTAAGTTTCTCGCCCAGCATTGGCATTGCCCTCCAATTTTGTGATCAAAAGCTAACCCATCCAATAGCATGAGCTGAACTGCCATTCATGCGTTCGCGAGTTTGACCCAGAGAGCCGAGACTGCCGTCGTTGCTACTTTTCCCAGAGTGCAGCTGTTCATGATACATTCTTTGAAAAGGCAGTCCAGCCATATGCATGGTTTTGCGCCGTGTTCCTATTCCTGTCATACGTCATCGGTCTCTGGTTTACCCTGCGTACTCACGCCGCCTTGATTTGGGCTACTGAGAACGAGGAGAAGGAGAAGAAGGCCGCCCAGCCGATTTCTGATTCGTTTACTTTCGAGCCTAGGCACCTACTCTTCCCGCCTGGTGGTCCCGAGGCATCGGGCGCGATCTCTAGCCACAAAGACTCCATTCGCGAGTCGCAACTCTACAAGCGCATCCTTGGTCAATCACTGAGACAGGTTGGCTTGGAAGATACTAGTGGCGCCAATTGGGATCAGGTGGAAAGTGGCTCTCCATCGGATAAAAAGGCTGGCATTCCTCATCTGGTTCCTCCGCGTTCTGGCGGAGATGGAAGTTCCAATGTGCCAAAGGCTATCCACGGCCTTTCTGGAGAGGAAAACGAGCGACTCGTGCGTCAAGTCACCGAAGTGGCGGCCACTGCGGCTGCAGTAGCTGCTCGCGATGCAGCTCGTAGTCGCAAGTACTCGGCCCAACAAGGCAATTCCTCCACACGCCAAGCTTATCGTACCCAGGCAGACCAGGCAAAGACTCATCCTCCCGGTGAGGATAACGAAGACATCGGTATTGTTGCGGAACCTGCCCACAGCGGCGGTCACGATGCTCCGAACTGGAGCAAGGCGAAAAGTTCCATCATTTTGTTGGGTGCTACTTTCCTCTACGCTATTATTGCTGAGATTTTGGTCAATACGGTGGATGTCGTATTGGAGAGTGTGGACATTGATGAAAAGTTCCTTGGTATTACGCTGTTTGCCCTGGTGCCGAACACTACCGAGTTCCTGGTATGAGAATTCCCTGCTCTAATAGTTTCAACATTTCGTACCAAATTCGAGGGGTTGATCGCTAACATTCTCGCAGAACGCCATCTCATTCGCCATGAACGGAAATATCGCTTTGTCTATGGAGATTGGTTCTGCTTACGCACTTCAAGTCTGCCTATTGCAGGTGCCGGCCGTGGTCCTCTTCAGTGCCCTCTATACTCAATCCATCGACCCCGCCGAGCTCGTCAGCCACTCCTTCAAGTAAAACTTCTCCTCTCAAGCCCTCTCAATCATCGAAACCCGATCTAACTTTCTCGATAGTCTAATCTTCCCTCAGTGGGACATGATCACCGTCATCCTTTGCGTCTTCCTGCTATCCTACGTCTACGGCGAAGGCAAGAGCAACTACTTCAAAGGATCCGTCCTTGTCCTGACCTACCTGGTCGTCGTGCTCGGTTTCTACCTCTCGGGCTACAGCAACATGTACACTCTGGGCGTGGATCGCTTCGACACGCTCGCCCTAGGCGAAAAGTTCTACACTGTCGGCCGCTCCCGAGCTGGCGCGGCGTACTAAATTGAACATAATCGTTTCTCCTCCCAAACTCAACTTAATGGCTATGGCAATGTTTTGTTTTCTTCCGGGAAGTTCAGCACGGAACAGCAGGGCTGAACTTTTCTCGCGTATCATAATCTTCTTTGCATAACGGATTTGAAGTTTGCATCATGGCCCCCAATGGCTTTCTCTTTTCTTTCGGCTCGTCTTCCCCCCCCTTTGATTTGGCTTTCTTGTGATTATTGTACCTTGTTTTTAGGCTTTGCTCCTTGCTGGTCGGGAGATGATGGGGAACCTTTTGTATCGTTCCTTCTACCGAAACGTTGCCCGTTTCTTGATTTGGTGTTGTTACTCGCTGCTTTAAAATGGACATAAAGGAGTGCTAGACGTGATATTACTTTTTGGCCTTGATTTGTATGTCAACGTGCTGTAATGACCGTCATATTTGGAAACTCTTCATATAATCATTACGTAGTTCGTGTACTGTTTTAACACTCTCAAGGTTTAGTCCTGGAGCCTTGTAGTCGTAGTCAGGATTGCCCTATGTCCTGAAACACCCCTCTCCTGTTTAGGCAGATCCCCAATCGCCCACAGCCTCATCGACCATCTCTCGGTACTTCTGCTGCCCGAAGCACTGCTCCAAGAACACCTTATACTTGGCCTGCAGCAGAGCCTTCTCCTTGGGATCTTCCGTAGGCATCACCTTCTTACCAGGCTTGCTCATCCGGTCCATAATTTCCCACAGATCCTCCGTCCGACCCTCCGAGTCAGAGCTGGCGGCTTTGGCGCCAAGCATGGCGGCACCGTGGCACACGGCTGCGTGGATGTAGCGAGGGATCACGACGGGCATGTCGCATGCCGATGCGATCAGATGTACCAGGATGTCGTTTTGACATTGCGAGCCAGACATGAAGATCGAGGTGATATTGTGTCCGGCTTTGTTCATCGTTTCCACGATTTGCTTGGTCTGCAGCGCGATGAACTCCAATGTACCGTAGTAGAACATTGCCAGTCCGTCGACGCTCTTGTCGCTGGTCAATCCGAAGATGGAGCCTGTCATATTCGGGTCTGCAATGGGGGATCGGTTGCCCCAGAGGTCACCGTAGAAGAAGAAGTGGCGGCCGAGATACGAGACTGTAGGTGCTTTTTGGTCCTGCACCATCTCCTTGAGATGCTCATTCAGGTACTCGTAGATATTGGTGTGGTAGGACTCGGCAATCGAGTGGGCTTGGTTGAATGCTGGGTGCGTTTCGATTACGTGCTTGAGCAGTTCGCCTGTCGCGGACTGCCCACCCTCGGCCATCCAGTAGCCTGGTAGAATAGTGTCCTTGTATGGACCCCAGACACCGTTCACAAAGACCGCGTCTGGAGACATTGCCAGGTGGCATGTCGACGTTCCCGCTACAGCGGCCAGTCGAGAGAATGCTTGTGTCTTGTCGTTCTTGGCGACTTCATCACTCAAATGGGGTGCACCCAGGCTGACCTTGGCTCCGACGGTGCCAATCCACCCGGCATAGGCGTCAATGACACCACTGCCAATGGCAATTCCAGCCGGCAAGCCCAGCTCCGCAGCAGCCTTTTCACAAAGAGTACCGACCAGCTCTCCGGCGCTCAGATAATCACCATTCTAGAAGGATTCAAAAGTCAGCGAATTGGGTGCACACTTATTTCCCAGAAGTAGGCTCACCACCCCGTTGACTCCGCCCATGCGCTTAAAGTTATCCTCCGTCAAATCACTCAGTCCAATCTCGTTCAAGAAATCCTCTTGCCATCCCTTGACACTGCCGTCCACGCCGACGGGCACATAGCCCTGCTTGCAGACGACGCTGCAGAAGCTCCGCTTTTCATTGCCTGTGGCAATGTGCGTCAGCGCATCGCTCAAGTCGTAGAATTTACATTTGTCGAAGAGCTCCTTGGACATGTTGTTCTTCAGCCAAAGCACCTTGGGGATTTCCATCTCAATGGACATCTTCCCGCCGACGTATCGGAGTAGATTATGGTTAGTTGCGTTGATCTTTGCTGCCTCCTCGACGGGTCGATGGTCCAGCCACAGAATCACATTGCGGTCTGAGTCGAAGTTTGGTCCGGTTACCGAGACGGGCTCGTCGGTCTCATGGTCAAAGACTGCTAGCGAGCAGGTAGCGTCGAACCCAATACCCCGGACGGTCTCGGGGTTGATGTTGTGCTGGCTGATGGCTCGCTGCACGGCAATGCAAATGCAGCGCCAGATGTCGGAGGTGGATTGTTCCTGGGCTCGCGAGTCAGTCGATTGTTGCTTGGGCCGGAGTTGGTCGGGTTGTCCGGGCTCTGGGAATGTCCTACGTAGTAACCATGCTCCGGCTGCCAGAGCCCGATGTTCTCGGAGGCCAGGCCGACGATGTCGCCCTTGGCATCAATGATACAGGCGCGGGCACTGCCAGTTCCAACGTCAATGCCAATGAAATGGTCCAATTGCACCTGTATGTCCTCGCGCGGGTCGCTCGAGGCCTGGCGGGAGGCCTGGCGAGAGGGACGACGGTAGGGCAGCGAGGCCATGGTGTCGTCAAAAGTGGGTTATACTTCGGATGGGGGAGGGGCAGTGGAGAGTAGAACAGGTGGATGCTGTCTATAGAGTATGCGGTCAGAGAGTCGATCAACAGTTGGGCAGCTCGGCGGGGTAACCTACTGATAAGGATGTCCAAGGAGTGAGGAGATTGAGCAGCAAAGAGTTGAGGAAAAAGAAACAAGGCGGGGGTCCAGATTTTGTTTTTTTTTTTTTGTGCTTATGAGGGGAAGCTGTCGAGCGTGTCAGACTGGTAAGTCACTAAGGTAACTAGTGACCCCGTCTCGAATCCTCCGTACCTAATCAGCGGCACTGGACATGCTGTAATAATAAGATAATAATAAGATAATAATAATAAGATAATCTCCACCGTAAGATGCTTCAATCCATGGTAATGAGCTTACAGGACCCCATGCGTAATTCACAGTACCTGTAAAGTATCATTGCAAAAGACAGAAGCTTCACATGCCCTCCTCCTGTAATTTTGGTCGTACGGCCCATACCATACATACACCTCTCCCGAGTAAAGGCTACTCACGCTGTATAACCTTGTTTTCTTGTAGATCTCCCAACATATCCCTCGATAACATCGTCATGGCCATACATATGACTGTCGTGCAGCTTCTCAATATTGAAGACCCTTTGGTCTCAGACGACCATCCAGCACGCGATGACGTCACTTTTGACTATGAGCGCTGTACCAGACTACACAATTACCTGGTCGCATATGCGTGGATGGTCCGTCATGGACGAGACACGCCCAACCTCGATGCGCTAGCTAGACAGAAAAGATTCTTCAGCGAAAAGAACCAAATCGAGATGCAGACCGTGAACACCTGGACCCGTCGCTTAGCGCTTTCCTGGATACGATCTACGATCCTGAACCAGGGCTCTTCTACTGGATCGTCGGTCTTTTAATGGAGTCCTGAGACGAGACTTTTTGCCTGGAAGACAATGAGCTTGAAGATGAAGAAAAAGCGTGGTTTGTCATGATCTATAATACTACGCCTGACCTATACTCATATTGCCTCGGCGTGGTCTACGATCAGCAGCTCCATAAGGCTACGTTCCGTTTGACTATCGGCGACTCTGAAAGCGTAGAGCCCGTTGATAAACACGAGAACCTGTGGTTCCCATTAGAGACTATTCTTACCCACTGGATTTTCTTGATTCGTCTAGGCAAGGTAGTTGCGGGGCTGCCCGAGTCCGATTCGAGGCACCGATATCAGGAGGGATTATAGTCGTGGCTTCCTTATTACGATGCCTAGGTTGATAGCATTATAGCTACAATAGAGCGCTACGTAGTTATGGTCGAGTCACGAATGCCCGCAGACTCACTTCTACCTATGACCGGGGCTCTCTTCACAGACGCTGAAGTAGACGCGGAATCTGTACCGTAGGAATGCTTTATTCGCTTGGTTCTGTCACCGTTAAAGGCCCCGCGCTTCAGATTTATCGCCCCTAAACTAGAGGTCCCGTATGATAAAGAGGCGTTCGTGAGAAGCCAAAACTTCACCCGTTTCACTTACGAGGAGGGAACTATACCAGCAGTCTTGATATTTGCAGCAATAGACCGAACTGTGGACTTCAATATAGAATGACGAGGTATATTCTTCACACACTTTTCCAATCAAGATGTGCCTATAAGTATCGGTACTCCTATATTTGCGGGATTATACAGCGAGCCTGCATCTCAAAGCCACGACAGCACAGAGGAGGCAGGATTCCGCCTGGTGCTTCCCTTTGCACTACGACCTGATATACGTGATCAGGACGCGCGCAGATGAGTGATGGTCGATTAGTCGCCCCAGGCTCATTCACAGACCTTTTTCAATATGGCGTAATTCATCCATTTGGAGGTTCCTGGCGGTCACAGAGGATGGAGAGGCTATTCAATCGGTGGACCGAGCTGATCGAGAGTGGTGTATGGACAGTGGGTGAAGAAGGTGTGGAAGGAGGAATCGAAACATTCCGCGATGCAGATAATGGCAATGGTGCCTGGAGAGATTACTGGATTCCCCCAGATTGGTGACAAGGACCACAAGGTACATCATGTCAGATCTAGTAGAGCGAACGTCGAGTATGAAAAGGAGATAAAGATCTATGAGTTTTTCTGAAACTCTCAAGCTGGAGTGCATATATGTCGGAATATGGCTGTCCGAACTGGCTGGAAACCTAGAGACCTGGACGCTACACTATGGAGTACTAGGATGGAGCACGACTAGATACGGAAAGAGATAAAGAGCTACATGAAAATAGCAAAGTAGAATGCCGGGTGGAATATACATATTTTAGACAGCCATTGATCCGCTTGGAGAACCTAAGAACTAAGTACATATTTGTAAAGTAGCTAGGACCAAATACTATTCTATCTACCAGAAACAGCTATAATTCATACAGGCCATGACACGCAATTTTTTCTTTGCAAATAATTTCATACTACAGACTCGATAACTGCTTCGTCGTCTAAATAACTGAACTAACAATGACGGAGAGAAGCACGGGCCGAGTCCGAACCCTCCGAAAACCACGATGACCTCCCAATCTCCACCTCCACCTCCACCAACACCTCTCCTCTCCTCTCCCTCAACAACCGCATAACCATGCACCTCCTCCCCCTCCTGGGGGCAATTACGCTCCTCATCACCTCCACCCTCGCCGACTCCCTCCCCTCCTCAACAGAAATCTTCTACTGGCCCGTCGGAGCCGCGCAACCTTCCATCCTCGCCCGCGTCGCCTACGATCCAACCTCCCTAAAGTCCAACGTCCTAGCCTACAACCCACCCAAGTCCAACGACGCCGACAGTCTCGTTCGCCTAGGACTCTACACTGCGACTCCGACAAACCCCAAACAATGGACTGGAAGTCTTGTCTCGCTCTCGTCCCTGGCGGGCGCTGAGCATGCGCCCACGTTGCGTCTGCATTTGGGTCCTGCGAGTGAGGTGTACCATGTATCGCTGGCGGCGTTTGAGCCTGCTTCTGCGAAGACGAGTGAGCCTAATGTGGAATTGGTTGCGAGTGAGCAGGGGGTGCAGCCGCATTTGAATCGGCCGGTGGTCGTGGGTCCGGATGGGCAGAATGCGGAGGAGGTGCCGGAGAAGACTCTGTTTCAAAAGTAAGTGTTTCAGTGATCAATTGCAAGGGATTCAGGTGTGTTTGTGTTGAAACATTGGCTAATTTGATGCTTCTCTTTTTATTAGGTACTGGTGGGTGCTTCTGATCATGGTGTTCTTGACCATGTCGGGTGGTGGTGGTGGTGGAGAGGGGCAATAAACCGTTATAGTCTACGATTAATCAATGACCCTTTTCAATCCGATTTTCCAATGCGTTTTTCTTTCGGAGAAAATGAAACAATCTTCATTCCCTTCTTGCTATGTGTGAAAATCAAAGCTAAAACCAAAACGCTATGCATGTGGTATCAGGAAAACTAGCTTTCGCTGGACGGCTTCAGTTTGGAAACCCAGGCTCAAATGCAAAGGCTCAAATGCAAAGGCTCAAATGCAAAGGCTCAAATGCTTAGAAAAGAAAAGCAAAAGGACGCCCTGATCCCATGCAGTCAAGTACGATATCGAGTCCTCTTGGTGATGAGCTCTGATTTAGAAAATATTCCGGGGCTCGATGGTCTCGACACCTCGGCCGGAGGGCCTGATGTCCAGCAACATCAGCCCGCGATCGGTGATGGCAACCAGCTCGTTCTCGTTTTCTGTGAACTTCAGCTGCGAGCAGACAGCATCCAGCTCGATTTTTGCCGGTCGAAGCTCCGTCAGTCCGGCCGAATTGGTCCACGACTCCGGGTAGTGACCAGCTTCCTCGTCAATCAACACCCGCGGCTCCAGCGCCCATACCGTCACAGTCTTCCAGCTGGCAAGTGCAATTCGAGTGCCTGATGGAGAGGCTGCAATCAGGGAGGCTTGGGTGGCATTGTGCTCGTCGTATCCGCCGAGCTGCGCCACGGCGGTCCAATCTTCGAAGCGTCGTCCTCGGTCGAGGTTCATGAAGTGGTTACACCGGAAAGCCTGCGGGTTGGATTCAGATCGCAAGAGACATGCCACCGTCCAGTGCTCGACTCGGTGTGTAGCGATGGCCACTGCCAGATACTGCCAGTGGCAAGTGCCGGGTATGGGGCTTTCACTGCCCGTACGATGGGTTGCGAAGAAGGGGATGCCTATCTCAAATTGCAGCATCAAAGAGGGCGAGTATTCTACCACGCAGTTGTTGTTTCGCACGGTTGGCTCTGGCGTTCCAGGGATGGCATGGAGTTTTTGGAATGAGCTGAAGAGCGTGTTAGTTCCGTAGTGGTGGAGCATTTGGTTTCCGCGGTCGTTGAAGACGAGTTTGGTGGTGGGACCCTTTCCCACGAGGGCTGCGTCGCTGGTTCTTTCACCATTTATTTCAGTCAAGCTGTAGGCGTCGAATGTAGACCCTGATTTGCGTTGTCAGTAAAAATCACTTCTTTGAAGATCGAGGATGAAACTATACAGATGATTTTGGGCACCGTCTTTTGTGATTTGCCCGAAGCCTTCTGTTCGTCACTATCTTCGTCTTCCTGCTCAGTTTGCTCATCCTCTTCATCCTCTTCTTCATCCTCGTCGTCCTCCTCATATTGCTCGTCTTCATCATCGGTATCATCCATACAATAGATGGCAACGTGGTGATCCTGATCACGTTGTCGGTGTTGCCAAGAGATTGCGAATTTCTCGTCGTGGTGAGCAGCAAGAGCAATGGGATCGTACTCATTCTCGTCTGGGAAGGTAAAGATTTTCACGATGTCCTTCGACCCAAAGCTATAGTTTACCAAGAAGATACTCCCTTGTGAGTATGACTGCATTGCCTGCTTGACGAATGGGTGTGTAGTATCCAGCTGCTTGTCGACAAATGGCTGGAAGCGATGCAAAACATAGGCTCCATTGCTATTGAAGGCTGTGTGTAGCACTTCGATAGTGCCGAACCGCTTTGCGGGTGATTCCAGACGGCGTCGAAGGCTGACAGTTCCAGCTCGAATATCCACAAAGTAGACTGTTTCATCGTCTTGAAACCCAAGTAATGCTCTGTTTCTCAGTATTGGGGCCTCCAGAGAGGAAGCAATGGTGTTGAGCTTCTTGCCCTGGAAGTCGATGAGCTTGCGGTCTGTAAAGTGCTCAGTGCCGAAGAGCTCTTGGTGGGAGAGCAGTTTGAGTCGGTGGACGAGTTCTGGGGTTGTCATCGTGTCAACATTCTCCGTGCCGCCAGGGGTTTGGCGCAATTGGTGTAGGACGAGTTTACGGCTCTGTGTAGCCATCTCGTATAGACTGCGGCAGCAGTACGCCAACTGCAGGTACGTCGGAGTGTCGCAGCTCCGAAAAATGAGCTGGACCAGCTCGGTGGGGAGGTTGAGGACCATCTTATTGGGTTTTGAGATGGCACTCAAGTGAGGACAATGGTCGTAGGAGAAGTTGCAAGTAAGAAAGAATTCACGTTGGTGGATGTGTAAAGGAGGTTTTATAGAGTCGGGAGGCCGCACGAGCCGCCTTGTTGCCTGGGAGGGTCCGATAGACTGAGGAAGCTAAACTGAAAGAAAGATCAGCCCGCGATCCGCGTTTAGGCAGAGAGAGCCGCAGTGGAGACGGAGATTCTCTCGTCAGGCAATTTCCAGTTGGGGCGCTGGAGTTTGTTGGACGAGTCGGATCTTGGAGAGTTGATGCTCAGTTTTCTGGCTGATTGTTGATTCCGCAGAGCCCCGCTCTAATCTCACTTCCACGTTTCAATGAACTTCACGCGAGACACTCTTGGTATGTACTTGATCTCTCCTTACTCCTTTCTGCCCCTACTCGACTGTCAAACGTTGGCTCATCTTTTCTACACGGCTCCACCTGACCAATACCGACTGACGAATCTACGAATCGACTACAAAGAAGAGACAGACAGACGGCATATTGTCATGAGCGAGAAAATATCAAAATTCGTTGCTTTGATGCATATGTCCAGCTAACCGCCTTTCCCAGGCCGAACGCCCACAATGCAAATACGTAAGATCCGATCGAGCTTCGAAAACAAGAAAAAAGGGTATTCGCTATCATCAAGGAGAGAAAGAGGAGAAGAAGGAGCCAGGCCTCTCGTCGTGTTACATGTAATCGTCCTCATCATGCATCCGGGAGACGAGCCACTCCAGCACACTCTCATAACAGAGTACAAACTGACTCAGATTCTGAACCATGCTGGGTCGCTGAGTTCGGAAGTCTTCCACAGTCTTGACAATCAGGTCGAGACTCGGGTTTTGAAGAGCCCCGATATCGGAATCTGCGTTAGCGTTGTTCATGCGCTGCCGCTTCAGCATATCGAGCACGCTGTCGACTGTGCAGAAGGTCCCTGTGCGTCCACAGCCTGCGCTGCAGTGAACCAAGATGGGCCGCTGGCCTTTTGGCTCGGCATCTTGGTTCCCGAAACTGGAAGTACCGGTAGCACGGATGACCTTGTTACACTGCTCAATCAGATTCAGTAGGTGAGCCGGTTGAGATGTCGTCCCAAAGTCTGGCCAATAGGGATATTGAAGCTGAGTGATATCCCGTAGAGGTTGGAATGGAAATGCGGTATGATAGAGACTGAAATGCCGTACGATGATGACCGGGTTCTCATTCGACCCATCCGGGTTCTGTGCTTGCTGGCCAGGCCCGACAGGTGATTCCGCCGTGGGGTCAATGAATCGATCCTTGGTATTCACATTGACGAATCTCTCTGAGTAGGCCTTGACCTTGAATGGACCATAGTCTCCCGACTTCCAGTAGGGATGGCACTTGACCTGGCCTCGCTCGATCTCGGCAGTCAAAGAAACGAGCAGCCGGACGTCCTGTTCCCATACCACGCGCCAAAAATCCTGTATCACGGGTGTCAGTAATTAGTGACGAAAAGCAAAGAGCAAGAGGTGACTTACATTGAAAGTATCAGGCACTGGAGCCTGCGTGGCGATGTATCGTCGATTACTGAACTCGGCCTGAATATGATTTGCATTCACATAGTCACAGCCCCCCGACGGAATACCTTCAAGACGGACGCGAGAATGATCAAATGGATAAATGTCGTTATAGCGGTTCTTCGTGCCTTTCTCAATCCCTGCAACGCGATATTTCTTGGAAACCCCACCAGTCGATGCCGAGTTTGCATCGTACGTCAACGCCTGCTTCATCCGTGCCAGTTCCTTCTTTTCAAGATCCAAGAACTTCTCAGAGACAAGGTGACCTTGATCCTTGACTTCCGATGCATCTTGTAGCCACGGGGGGAGTTCTCGTCGTTGCGTTTCTGTCATCCCATCTGGTAGCTTCAAAGGTATTTGTCCGACTCCTCCCATAAGGTCCATATTCTGTCGAATGTTGCCAAAGAAGGGATTGACGGCGGATGAGGAATCGGGAAGTGCACAACCTCCGACAACTGGAGCAATGGACTGGAGATCGATGCTCATCGGTGAACGCTTCTTCTTCGGTGACGGTCCTGTCGTCTGTGCTTGTGGTCGGTGGACAAATTGCGGAAATTGGTTTGAGAAGGCCTTGAATCCTCCCTGCAAGATCAAGCCTTCTCCCTTCCAGTGTTCTGCCTGAAACTTGGTGATCACATGCATCAAGGGGACGGCATCCTTGGCATCTGATGTAGCAGAGTCGTAGACAACAATCATGGTACACTCTCGCCATCGAGCAAAGTTGCGTTTGTCATCATCACTGGTGAAAGTGTTCTCGAGTTTTTGCGTGTCGAACGAGCGACGTTTGAGAAGAGTGGTGGGGATGCATAGATTCAGAGAGCCAGTGATATTGGACTGCGAAAAATGGGCGTATGGGCGAACGTCTAGAAGCAAAACTTTCTGTGTCTTGGATTTGATCAGCTCAGTGACAAGCTCCGCGGTGATCCAGTGAGATGATATGGATGTCCCGTTATCTATCGGCCAAAGCAAGTTAGCACATACGCGAGGTATTTTGTGGGAAGATCAATGTAGCTTGTTGAAAGGGGACTCACCTCGTGAAGATGCCCTTGGAATTTGTGCGGGTTTGATGGCATACCCACTCGGGGATCCCAGTACCCGATTGTTGAACGGCCCACTCGTTGGTGAGGAATGAGAGGTCCTCGACCATATTCGATTACCCTGCGCATCTCCGTTTGTAGAGAAACTCTGTAGAGCCGACTCGCGGCGCCCTTTATCAACGTCTGACTCGGACCTCAGGAGGTTCGACAGGCCCTCAGATACCGACTCCTGGGAGTAGAGCTGCATTTTGGGGCTTGGTAAAGAGCATTGAAATGCTCCCCAGTTCTTTTGCGTGTGGGGTCCTGGATTGGACGTGGGGGGATTACTGGAGTTTTCCACGGTGATACCAAAGTAGTTGGGGCTGGGTCGTTCTGCACTTGATTGCATACTCGTTTGGGAAGGTGACAAGCCGGGATGAAAAGGTTGGTTGGCTCTGCCTTGTACACTCTGCACCCACGGCGAGGAGGGTGATCGCCCTGGACCGGTCATGATGATGACGGTCTGTTTGACGCCGAGTTGGATGAAGGTGGTGGTGGTATCGGAAAAAGCAACGGGGTCTCTTCGCTATACCATCGGCTCAACTCTTACGCAATTGTACCGAATAGATAGTCAAGCGGTCAGGGACCTTTGACTTGAGACCTGTCACCAAGATTTGGCAATCCTGAGGTCTAGAGCGACGAGGAACACCACGACATCGACTGCAGAGCCCCGAAATGACTGACGTAAGTGCGAGTGCGAAGAAAAAGGAAGTCGACAGTCAGATGGGCAGAGGCGAAAGAAGAAGGGGGGTGGGGATGGTCCAGCCCAACGAAGGTAATGAACAAACCAATGAAATGTAGGGCTTGACCTGGAGGAGGGGAGTTAGCATCAGAACAGATCGGTGTCATTCCATGATTAATAAGATTATTAAGGCACGGGGGGGGGCTTCCAGAAAAAAAAGGGCAGCTATGACGTTATTGTGTGGGGATCACGAGTTTGGTCAGCCCTCGGTTCGGCCTAGACCCATCTGGATCAACTTACGTCGTGCTACGACTGGACTACGATGAAGATGGTAACTATGGTGATATGATGGACTGTTTCTCTTTTGGATGCTCAAGAATTAAACATGATCAATGGGGATGGACTAAAGATTACCTATCTACTGTACAGACCGAGAAGTCCTTGCTTTCCAGCCCGATCAACAAAGGAAAGCGCATGGTCTGCCGAATCCGGCCACGGTCCTGAACGCCTCCTGGTCATAGGCCGTGCCCATCGAACCCTCTAGACCGACCAAGCGACAATCCGGCAGAATGGGGCATATACGATGTACCCGACAGTATTTGACATTCCAAACGATCCTGCGGAATCCCCGATATTCGCCTCTCTGCCCTGTACCTTCCTTGGCAACCGGAGAGGCAGGAGGTCTCCGCACCAAATGCTCAATACCCACTGGGAGCTCTCCACATGATCTCATCTTGAGGGAATAACGGAATATCCAACCAGGCTACCTGAATTTCCCAGCCCCAAGTGCACATGTCTCCACTCCCCCTGATTAGCATCATCTCTCGCACGTCAACATGGACATGACACATCCTTGAGGGACAAATATGGACAGGGCCGAGGTTGATCCTCGTTCGCCTTCCGGTCGCGTGCGTTGGTTACAGCCTCCCGAGACGCCGGCGCAGTTCTTCTCGTCGATTTTGCCAAGTGGAGGGTTCGTGATGAATTGATGGCCAAGGTAGGTGGGCTAAAAGCCAAACGACCGAGCGGACCTCATAGGATATCCAGTACGCCGTGCTGAACACAGGATGACGTCCATTTTGAACCATGCGCTCTCCACCTACACTGTACCTGCCTGCATAGGGAGGCTTCCTGGTCAGGAGCGACGGGCACGAGCACCCTTTCACCGGGGACGTGCGAGGCGTCAAGCGGGTGCCAATTAACACCAGCAGATCACAGTCTCTAAGCACTCTTCTAGTATTCACAGTCCTACTCCACATTATAGCCTTCCATCAGGCTCGCCCTCGAATCGCTTGACTCGTTTTTGTTCCCAGTTGTCCAAGTCCTTCGCCATCAGTCTCTGTGAATGCGATCAGTACGGCGTCCAATCGTTTGGCAATTGAACAGTCTCGGGTAAGCAAAGCTCGTACATAGTATTCCTCCCGTTCGTCGCCAATAATTCTGCGGCGTGGGTTCCGCTTGATTCCCTCTTCTCCATCAGGACCTTTAAGTCCCAATTCGAAAGCTTCCTCTTTGCTGAGTTGTTGGACTTTACGGTCGTATCTTTCGTACCGAAGGGCTGCCGCGGGCGTCAGAGCAAATGATCCGGCCACAATGACGGCCATGAAAGGAAGGCCGAAGAGAAGAAAAGGGTGTCGAGTGAGCCGGGCCCGGTAAAAAGCTCCAAAACGCTCTCCGAAGGAGGATGATGCGGTGGTCGTTCGACGAAAAGTCTTGGACTGAAAGGTAGGCATTGTGAAATAGCAACTCTTGTAGGTCGAAGAAAGAGTACAATGAAACGATGCTGTCAAATAGAAAAGAAAAGGTTCAAACTAAAGTGGTGCCATTCCAAGCCAGGGAAAGATGAAGACTAATTTGGACGGAAAATTGTTTGTCCGTGATACCGGGATTGAATTGTTTGGGCCGCGCATTGCAGACAAGCATGAGCTTCTTCAGAGCTGACCTTCTTTGCATTCATCCAGGGCCGTACTGGGGCAAAAGCAGAGACACTTGTAGAGTTGCCTGAAGCTGACTCTGAAGGCAGCAGTTTGTCCACATTGGACGTATCCGGTCTTTGTGTCTTGCTCCTAAGGCGTTCGCGACTTCAGTTTTTCTCTTCCCCTCAGCAACGCCAGCCAGAAACCCATCCTCATCGAAGCCAGTCCAGAGCTTGTTAGTGACCACCTTTGGCTTGCGACAAGATCATGACTTCAAACTCAAGCTCTTTATTCGGAGGAGCCGGTGGTTTCGGGTCCACAGCAAACAAATCTTCAAACCTCTTCGGCTCGACCACCAACGCGACCAGTGCCTTTGGAACCACCTCGACCGCACCAGCACAAGGTGCTCAACCCTCGTCCTTATTTGGTCAGAGTCAGCCTCAGCCTCAGCAACCAGCTCAGTCCTCTATTCTTGGTCAGCCCCAGCCGCAAGCCAGCAGCGCGCAAGCCCCAGCACAAGCTTCGACTCAAGGAACCCAGCCTGCGTTCTTCAACAGCCTCCTGGAACGTGGTAAGAAGCGGCCGCTCTCTGCAACTGTGCAGAATGGCAACTTCGAAGAGGTCCCCAGTCTGCAATTGGGCTTGGATGACATTCGGAGAAAGGCTAGGGAACTAGGAACATCTGGGACCAAGGATTCCTTGCAGAATGGCACCGCTACCAAGGCGTAAGTTATTAAATTTTTGTATCGTCTATACTTTTGCCTGCATATTTGTCTGATCACGTTATTCTCCGAATAGTCATTATCTGCTCGCCTCCTCCGGTATTTCTCCGGGTCGAGCATTGCGAGACCTCCGGTCTCTAGGCCCACAAGCTTCTATGGCCCCGGTGCGAGAGCCTGACAGCTTCGATCCGGACAATCAGCGATTTTTGAGAAACATTCAGCAGCGTGGCCGCCAGGTGATGATCGACGAGAGTCTTTCTCGCGCGCAAAGAGACTTTGACACGTTTTTGGAAGAGAAAGTGGACATGGACTGGGAAGAGCAGCGCCATAAGATTTTCCAACACTTTGGGCTGTCGCAGAAAGACGCATCCGGTGCTGGTGATTTGAAGTCGGCTGCGCGTAGTGCGTTTGGTCGATCGGCGAGACAATCCAAACAAGGTGGAGGCCCTCCTGGTGGATCTCGCCGAAGTGTGTTTGGTCGTTCTGGTCTGGACAAGTCTGTTATCGGGACCCCTGGGACTGGCCTTGCAAGCCGCAAGCTTTTCGAAGACCCTGCCGAACGAAGCGAAGGACTTGCGACTTCCTCGCCTGATCTCCGTTTCTTGCGCGAGAAGATGGGCCACTACGCCGAGAAGGTTCAGGATTTGAATCTTACTCGGCTTCGGGGCAAGGCATATCCTATCCTGCACAACTTTTCGGAAGTTGAAATGCATGCCGGCGGTGATGTAAGACTCGCGCTACTAGCTCATTGTTTCCCCCATCTAATCTCGCTAACCATTACTCCAGGTACCTCAACAGCTATTAGCTGCATACCGGGCTTTGATGACCATTGTCAAAGAGAACCCTAGCATCACTGACAAGACTGACCCCGGTGCGGTGAGAGAACGACAGTTCGCAGCTGACTACCTGGAGGAGTCGACCAAGTCCCGCAGCTCGGTTAACCTCAAGAACAAGATCCTGGAAGGCTCAAGGACTTTCCTGGAAAAGTCGTTCTACAGCGAGGTAGAAAACGCTATTGCTAAGAATCCACGTGAAGCTCAATTGGGCGGTATCCCAAGTACTGTCAACAAGATTCGGGCATACATTCGCCTCCGCGCCGCAAGGAAAGACTTGGCTCCCGATGGAACAGAACTCCAGGTGATTAATGGTGACTATTGCTGGATTCTGATCTTCTACCTGCTTCGTTGTGGATTTGTTGAGGAAGCAGCAACCTATGCGACGAATGATCCCGGTTTCCGGTCGCTGGATGCTAAGTTCGTGACTTATTTGACAACTTATGTGCAAGACAGACGACTTCGGCGGGACATGCAGCAAAAAGTCAACGGCGAGTACCAGCAACGACTGCGAAATGCGCCGGAAAACACACTCGATCCCTATCGAATGGCTTGCTACAAGATTATTGGCCGCTGTGACTTGTCCCGCCGTCGGCTGGAAGGTATCAACCAGAGTGTTGAAGACTGGATGTGGCTGCAGTTCAGTCTCGCTCGGGAAGATGATCGTGCGGAGGAGGTGGCGGGCGACGTGTTTGGTTTGGAGGATATTCAGACGGATATCGCTGAGATTGGACAGAGGGTTTTCACCAAGGGCCAGGGCCAGGATGCCCCCGGCGGCTATGGAACTTTCTTCCTCCTTCAGATCCTGGGAGGCATGTTCGAGCAGGCTGTGGCTTATCTTGGCACATACGCTCCAGTTACTGCCGTTCATTTTGCCATTGCATTGGCTTACTATGGCTTGTTGCGTGTGTCTGACTTTTACACTTCAGGAGAAGAGATCTGTAAGTTGCGCCCCCCAACGCCGATGGGAAGCTTCCAAAATGCTTCTCTCTTGTGGCCCCCACGCTATTAAAGGTCCTGACTAATGGCTCCGGCTTTTGTAGTGTCGTTCACGGTGAAGCAATACCCGCAGATCAACTTCGGATACCTCATCACCCAATACACTCGCGAATTCCGAACTGGGTACGTTGAGGCTGCCGTTGACTATTTCTCCCTGATCTGCCTCAATGCCGACCTCGGGGGCGCTCTTGGCAAGTCTCAATCGTCTGTGTGTCATGAAGCTCTCCGTGAATTCATCCTTGAGACCAGAGACTTTGCCAAATTGCTGGGTGATATTCGTGACGATGGCACCCGAATTAAGGGTATCATTGAGCAACGCCTTGATTTGATCAACCTGGCCGATCAGGAGGACTTCCTGAAGAACATCACAATTCAAGCTGCTGGCGTTGCAGACGACAAAGGCCTCATTACCGACGCGGTCCTCTTGTATCATTTGGCAGAGAACTATGATCGTGTCATCGATATCATCAATCGCGCTCTGTCAGACGCGATCGCCATTGAGTTGGGAGGAACCATGCCCAAGTTGCAACCTCTTCGCCCACGGCTGCAAGAAGGCCAGCAAGGCCCCATCGACCCGGGCAGCAGCCTCAGCTTGACTTCTGTTGACGACCCCGTCGAACTGGGCAAAACTATGATCAGCCTTTACGATGGAAAGCCTATGTACTATGAACAAATCCGTCCCATCAACCGAGATTCTTGTGGCCTTCTTCTCCGCATGCTGACGGCCAAGCATGAAGTTGAAGCCGGGCGATGGGCGCCCGCACTCGATGTAAGTCACTCTTGCTCAGCAGTCTGTATACCTTTTTGACACTAACTTTTGTCTCACAGTGCATCAACGCATTGGGCATCCTTCCTTTGCAGGCTCAGGGTGTCATGCAGAAGGTCCGTAGCGCAGCTCAGGCGTTCTCATCCTTGCCGGAGATCATTTCTCGCAACATTGGACATGTCATCATGTGGAGCATTGCGTGCATTGGGAACGAACGACGCCGGCAGACGAGCGGTCCGTATGAGACGGAGATGCACCAAGGCTTTGCGGATCAACTGCTGGTCATGGCCAAGGATCTGATGATCTTCTCTGGCATGGTGAAGTACAAGCTGCCCCCCAAGGTTTACGAAGCTCTTGCGCGTGCCGGGGCAGACATTGGCGCGTATTAGGAAACCGCCAGTGAGCTCGCTTCATGTACTTTTCTGTTTTTCAAGTAATACAGATGCCCATTTGTTTAGAACAACGGATAATTCTCTCATTGTGTCGCGTATCTCTGCACAGTACCATCCGTCGTACCTCAACCTTACGGTAAGTAGATGGAGAGGCAAATCCGTAGTCAGCGATCAAAACAGACATATATTTCCGCCGCCGTGAGGGTCTAAAAGAGAGTATGAGTTGTGAAATTCAGAGCCGGGAGTTTTTGGATATATTTGAGTCACTGTACTCAAAAAGTTACCCAGAAGTTCAAATTTCAAATCAGCAATGACCCGATGTGTTGTATACTGAATGCCAAATTGCCGCGGTTCCCACGGATCAGTTCCGCTAAGAGCGCCAAGACTCTGGGGGGGCCTGCAACATGACATCCACTCGCTGCAAAAAGTCCCCGTTGACCGCTGATAGATCCGCCTTTTCGATCACGCCCTAAATTGCCCCTGCCACTATCAACCTCGACCGGCCACTGACTGACCTCTACACGCGTCACTGTCGGGCCTCAGCCCACCATGGACGATGTTCCCCCCCGCGCATCGGACTCGAGCGCGTCGGCGGATACAGTAAGAAGTGGCTCGATCTCCCCGCACGAGGACGGACATACTGGCGATGTCGTGGAAACCCGCAACCAAGAGGCCCGGCCGCCTCCAAACACTATACGAGAGGATACAATGGACGAAGACACCCCATCCGAACCTATCATAGCCCCCATCAACCTGTCCAGCGCGTTGGCAAAACAAGCACAACAAGGAAACACCCATGAGTCTATGCCACAAAGTACCACGACCGAGCTTAGTGGAGCTGAGACTAGGACCTCTGGTATGCAAGCAGCTCAAAGCATGTTCGACAACCCGCCAAACCTTGCACGGATTCGCCGAGTTCTGTTCGAGTGCAAAGACCCAATCGAGATCAGCCTGGAGGAATTCGAAACATATTGGCCGTTTATCGACAATGTATGGGTTAAACAGAGGACCAATGCTAGCAAAGAGGGCCACTGCACCACAGACTACTACATGTGTCGGCTACGACGCCCAACCCATCGCACATCCGAAACTCGTCCGCTGCCGGAGGGGAAACGTCCCCGGAAGAAACGCGTGCGAGAGGGGGGCCTCTGCAATTTCCAGATCAAAGTGGTCCGGTTTGATGGCGCATATACCACGGTTACCATTGCGAGAACGCCTGGAAGTGGTAGCGTTCATTCCCATGAGTTGGACTATATCGACCATGTCAAGCGCAACTCGGGACTGATGGAATTCGCACGCAGAGAGTCTGTCAAGGGCTATCTGCCTTCCTCTATTTATACCAAATTCCAGGAGGAACCAGAGAAGCTGAATGAAGCTGGAGGGCGGTTCCTCACCGTGACGGACGTGCGCAACGTCTCCGCCAAGTGGCGCATTCAAAACCCCGAAGTCAAGCTTATTCCCCATGATGGGTATCAGCTGGTCAAGGGCCACGGGATTGTCAAATCCGCGAACGCTGTCAATACCAATGAAGCTGTACCGACCCAACCCAACCCGCCGACCTCATCCTCTCATCTACCGCCGGACACGTTATCCTTCCCCAGTTTCGCTCTAGACTTCTTACAGCCCTATTTACCTAATCACGCCGAAAGACGCGAACTGCCTCATGTCACACTGTCCTATGCTTCATCCATGGACTCCAAAATTTCTCTTCTGCCGGGCATGCAAACGGTACTATCGGGACCTGAGGCCAAGCTCATGACTCATTATCTTCGCTCCCGCCACGATGCGATCCTCATTGGAGTTGGCACCGTCCTTGCCGACAACCCGGGGTTGAATTGTCGCCTCGAAGGAGCTGGCGGCTTTGGGGGACTTGGTCGGATGTGGCAGCCTCGTCCTGTGGTCATTGACCCCATGGGTCGCTGGCCTATACACCCGGAATGCCGCATGCTTCGAACGGCCGTGGAGGGTAAAGGCAAAGCTCCGTGGGTTGTTGTATCGCCCGGAGCCCAGATCAATCCTCAAAGGCTGATGATGCTCAAGGGGTACGGTGGTGACTTCCTCCGAATCGTGGAATACAATCAGAACTGGCGATTACGGTGGGAAGCTGTCCTACGAGCCCTTGCTTCAGAAGGCATCAAGAGTGTCATGATCGAAGGTGGTGCTACAGTCTTGAGCGAGCTCTTGAACCCGGAGTATACCAACTTCATTGACTCGATCATTGTGACGGTGGCACCCACCTATCTTGGTCGGGGGGCGTGAGTGTCAGTCCTGATTCCAAGCTGGACCAAGAGGGCAAGCCCAATGCAGCGTTGAACCCTCGCGATGTGAAATGGACACCGCTGGGCCAGAATGTCATTATGTGTGGCAATATTCGACAACGTGAGCCTGAGCGACCAGAAGATGCTGTATGAGAGCGCAATGGTAACGGAGTGGTATGATAGTGTGATCGTGTGATATTTTCCTGTAATTACGATAGCCATGACAATGACAACGAGACAATGAAACATGACAAAGGAAGTCAATCCCGAAATCGGGCTGTAAGGTGGAAAACAGCATGGAGGGCTACATTAGCCTACGTGAGGCACAACAATCAACCAGATGGTGGTAGAAGAGGCAACAATCGGTTGTTTTGGTTGTATTGTGAGGCTACCGCCTTATCATTCAGACATTGAATAGAGAATGACGTCGGGTCTGCCTCCCTAAGGCAGCGTAGATGAGCTGCCTCCTCTGGCTACGAGGCAACAATTGTAGAGCTAAGCTGGCCACTGTAAATCCTGAGGCCACGCTCGTCGACCAAGGCAAACACGTCGAGATAATGGCCCGATTAGGAAATCAATAGAGCTTGCCTGGTGGACAATCGCGGTTAGTGCCTTAACTTTTTTTTTTGCCGCTGCTTTCGGACGGAACGCCAAAATTATTTATTGACCCTCACGTTTCCCGGCACCGACTTCTTCCTCTTCTTCGTCGCGTCTCAGCTTCCTCTCTCACCCTACTCATTTCTCGATTCCACCCACCCCCTTTTCATATCAACACGTTCACATTCCTCTCCTCCAATGCCTCCCAAGAAGAAGAATGTGGAGTCCGCGGCTGCCAAGCCTGCAAAGGCTTCAGCGGCCAAAACAACAACCAAGCCCGCCGCGACTGGCCGTGGTCGCCCCAAGAAGACCGACACCAACACGGCCACCCAACCCACCAAGACCACCAAGGCCTCGGTGAAGAAGGTCACCGAGACGGTGATGAAGAAGGACCCCGCCCCCGCCGCGTCAACAAAGAAGACGCAGCCCGCCGCGACAACAAAGAAGACGCAGCCCGCCGCGAAGGCGCCAGAGGCCAAGGGCAAGGCCGCGACCAAGGCCTCGACCAAGGCCACCACCATGTCGACCACCGTGTCCAAGAAGCGGAAGGCCGACGACGCCGAGGAGGAGAAGCCTCGCGCGCCCAAGAAGCCTCGCGTCATCCGCGAGCCCAAGGCCAAGGTCGTCAAGGCCAAGGTCGTCATCAACGACGTCCCGAAGACCCGCCTCAACGTCTTTGTTTGTGGCGAAGGTAGCTCTGGCGAGCTGGGCCTGGGTGCCGCAAAGGCCGCCATCGACGTCAAGCGGCCCCGCCTCAACAAGTTCCTGGATGCCCAGGAAGTTGGCGTCGTCCAAGTCGCCGTGGGAGGCATGCACTGCCTGGCCCTCACCCACGACAACAAGATCTTGACGTGGGGCGTCAACGACCAAGGCGCACTCGGACGCGACACCACCTGGGACGGTGGTTACAAAGAGATCAAGGAGGATGCCGGCAGTGACTCGGAATCGGATGAGGATGACGACGACAGCGGTCTGAACCCCCGGGAATCGACTCCCACTGCGATTCCTTCCAGCGAGTTCCCTGAGGGAACTGTCTTTGTTGCCGTCGCCGCCGCCGACAGTGCGAGCTTTGCCCTGACTGATGATGGTCAGGTTTACGGTTGGGGAACCTTCCGAGTAAGTGGACACTCCCTCCTTCACCAATTGCTTAGCTTGATCTCATTATACTAATGTACGACTGGGTTATTTAGAGCAACGACGGAGTCCTGGGCTTTGATCCCGATCACCACATTCAGACCACCCCCATCCCCATTCCCGCCCTCAAAAAGATCAAGCAACTTTCCTGCGGCGCCAACCACGTCCTCGCCCTGAATGACCGTGGTAGTGTCTTCTCTTGGGGTTCTGGCCAGCAGAACCAACTTGGTCGCCGCATCGTCGAGCGCACTAAGCTCCATGGTCTGCAGCCTCGCGAGTTCGGCCTACGCAAGAACATTGTTCACGTGGCCTCCGGCTCCTACCACTCCTTCGCCGTCCACGCCAACGGCACCGTCTACTCCTGGGGTCTGAACAGTTTCGGTGCCACTGGTATCCGGGACAACGCTGGTGACGATGAAGCCGCCATTGCCCACCCAGTCCCCGTTGAGTCGCTCTCCAACCGCGGCATCACTCAGATCAGTGGCGGCCTTCACCACTCGATTGCCCGCACTGCCGATGGCAAGTGCCTGATTTGGGGCCGTTGCGACAGTCACCAGAGCGGCCTCAAGATCGACTCTCTCCCCGATAGTTCAGTCATCAAGGATGACCATGGTGCTCCTCGCATTCTGATCGAGCCCACTCAAATCCCCGGTATCAACGCCGTCGTTGTTGCCGCCGCTTCCGACCACTCGCTTGCTATTGACGCTGATGGTCGTGCTTGGTCTTGGGGTTTCTCCGCCACCTACCAGACTGGACAGGGCACCCAGGATGATATCGAGGTGGCCACCAAGATTGACAACACTGCCACTCGGGACCGCAAACTGAACTGGGCCGGTGCCGGTGGCCAGTTCTCCATCTTCACTGATCCTGCCTGAGCATGATTCCCTTCCTATCCCTTCGGTCCTTGGTCGTCTCGCTGGTCATCTCTGATTCTTTTTGATTTCTATTTTCTCGTCGTTTTTTTTTTCTCTTCCTGGTTTCCTTTCTGGATTTCTTTCTGGATTTTTTTTTTGATTTTTATGGGGTTGGCTTTTCTTCTCAACTCATATTCTTCGGCGCGTGTATGTCCACTCCTGAGGATTTGTTCAGGAATATTAGAGTAATATCCCAGGTCCAGTTTTCATCACTCCACGAGTCAATGTTCTACACAAGATTCGGGTAGCTGTACCCAAGTTTCACTGAATGAACGAAAATATCTTGTACATTATGCTATTCATTTTCATCATCATTAGAAGTACAGTAGCTCGAGGGTCATCACTACATGCCCATTTCATTCATAGCTTCGTATTCGGCATCAAAGTCATCCAGGCTAGTATTTGGAGGTCCTGAAGCAGCTGGCTCAGGCATCCCAGACATGACCTCATCCTGCTCCCGGAGAAGATCTTCCAGATCATCATCATCGGGCTCGGGATGACTGACCTTAGGTCTAGTCTCTGTTTCAGGATCTGGCATGAACAAGTCTTGGTCGGCCGTGTCTGATCCAGCCTGATTGGATCCGGAGGGGTTGAAAGCTCGAGGTTCTGGTGCATCTGTACCATTTTGATCGGCGGAAACACCCATGGTAAGATCACGGGTGTCGGGCACGTTGATTGTATCATTGAAGAAATTCGGTTTCTCCTCGTCGATCCACTCCCGTCTCATCGTTTGAATGCGCTTGGTGTGGCCCAGTTTCTCGATTATGGTCAATCCGTCTGCAAATTTGGCGCGTGGGTAGAGGTCATCCAGCCATAGTTGATAGAAGTTCAATAGTCGCTCGGCGTCGTGGAACTAACAAACCAACGATTGCGTCAGTCTCAATGGCATGGTTTTCGAGGCATGTGGCGAGCTAACTTACTTCATAGCCTTTGCCCTTGAACTTGAGCTTACGCTTGGCTGTGCGGCGTAGCTTGGGGATTCCTGGCTGTGACAGGAGGCTGTGAACGATTCGTTAGTCTCAATTCCAGACCTAGAAAAGCGGAAAGTGGTTGGAGGGCATACCGGGCCTCATCGAGCTTTGGTGCAGGCTGTCGTTTCTTGGTAACCTTGACTTCCTCGTCAAGACCAAGACCTAATGAAGTGGGATCGCCCGTGGCCGGTTTGGACGCATCGGCGTTATGCGTAGTATTGGGTTGCTCTTGGAAGATCTCGTCGAGGCCCACGTCGTAGTTGAAAAGATCATCCACATTAGTGGGAGAGCGTGCAGGCTCCGGGGTGGTTTCCATTGCAGCGAGTAGTAGTTTCTCAACAGTTCGATAGCTCAATGCCTCCGCTCTTCACTTCGTTGTTCACGATCACCAGAGAACGCGTCCGAGGAACCAAAAGACGCGCCGAGTAATCAGTGAAGGTGATTGGCAGCGGTGGTGCTGCCCGCCCGGCGTGCGCTAACCCCAAAGCGGCCTAGCGGCCTCCTCCCTCCAACTTCCGAACTTCGAACTTCGACTCTGCACAACAATCCCCACCAACTGCATCATGGCTTCCGATCACAGCACGGCCATTGTGCCCCCCAAGCGGGCTAACACTGATTACCCGGTAGGAATTGATCCCTTCGGGGCCCTTGAGAACTCCTAGCTGACCATCTTCTCTCCCCGCAGCTGATTGACTCCGACCCGTACGATATCCGATACTCCCCCCGGGCTTTCCTTTGAATCGAGACTCACCAACGTTATCTAGGCATTTGCGCCGCGTTTTTGGATATGCGCGCTCCTCTGATTATGCTGTTGCCGGTGCCGCTGCCTCTGCCTCCCCCATTGCCTTCTGGGTTATGGAGCGAGTGAGTCCGTCTCATGTTGGCCGTGGTGGCTTCTCTCCAGTGATGCGTCTGGCCACCGCCGTCGGCCTCCTTGGTGGTCTCCACATCATGTACCAGCGTTCCTGCCGTATGTTGACCGTGGTTTGTCTTTTGATTCTTGAATGAGTAGCTAACGCTTGCTCCAGAACGGTTCTACGGATTCACGGAGAACTCCCGGGAAGTCGAGATGGACATGCGTGAGATGGTTGACAAGGTGAAGAAGGGCGATCCCCTGTACGGCACATCCCAGATGTCATCCTATCTCCAGGGTGTCGCTGCTCGCAACTCTCGGTACTCGGAGCTGTTCATCCATGTCCTGCCGTGGATCAACGTTGTCAACCACGACCAGGTTAGTTTCTATGCTCTCCCTACCCCACTATGACCACTGTACTCTTCCACGTAACTTCATTGTCACTTGTGCTGACCTTTCGACTTAGCACGGTGTGGACACTGCCAAATATTACCAGCAAGCGGAGCGGGAATTGGAAGCAGAGCGTCTGAGCAAGGCCTAGTTTTTTTCACCCATGAGATCTCTACGGTACCACTCGTGAGGGTGGACTTGGAGTTGCACCAATTTTGTACACATATCCTTTTGTGTTTGTTTCATTTCCCTCCCAGGCGCAATTTTCAATTAAAATAGTTATCCGTTCATGTCCGAATCCTAGTGGGTGGGAAGCCTTGTAAGCCTGGGCCATTCCTTAACTCCTGATAAAGTGAACTCGAAATTATCCACATCAAAGCACGTGCTAGCAACTGCTTCTCCTTCTAAGAGATTGGCAGTACTTCGCCTCCACTGGTGGCCACGATTTCGCGCACGCTGTCGAATGCAGTATTGAGCTCGCGGTTCTTCTTGGGTCGGGGATTGGGTGCTGGCGAGGGATGTTAGCACTGCGAGAGATGTCCAACTTCAAAACCAAAAGTTCAACTCACCTTTGTCATTCTCCTGGATGTAGAAGCGGCGCAAGAGCATGATGGCTTCCTTCTGAAACAGGCCACCATAGACCGGATAGGTTGGGTCGATTGAGTGGCTGTTGGCAAAGTCAGTAAGCGGTTACAAGCTTCAAGTTAAGAGGCTCGCTACTGACTCGGAATGAATGGTCAGAACACCACCGGTGCCTCCAAATCGGTCATTGGCACAGCCAAAGTACACACTTCGGATCCGGTATTGCTTGAGGGCCGAGGCACACATGACACAGGGCTCGACAGTCACGTAGAGATCGGTGGACTGGAGAGCAGTCTTGGGATAGCTCTGGAGCATTTCTGCAATGGCCAGGAATTCGGCATGGCGGGTTCCCTGCTAGACTATCAGCATTCGAACGCTTCTTTGTGTCTGCATCGAGCAAGCCGAGTGAAGCCTGAGCTTATAGGGGGAGACGATCACCCACATTCATCGACCGATTGGTATCATTCATGCCTCTTCCCACGATCTTGCCATCGTAGACCAGGACACATCCCACTGGAGTCTCTCCATGCTCCAGGGCTGTCTCTCCCTGGGAGTCATCGTCAGTCCTTGAAACCTGGCCGGGAACAAGGATATAAAGCGACTTACCATCTTCAGGGCCTCCTTCATCCAGTGGGCATGCTTGGAGTCCTCGGATACTGCCGGGGTAATCACACACTCCGTGATAGGTTCGTCCATGGTGGTGGCGGGTTCTTGTCTGGGGATATGATGAGTATGTTGGAGAGGAAAAAAGAAGACGTGAAGGGTGACACCATGCACGTCGTCTTTGTTATGACTAGGCGGAGGCAGGTGCCAGAAAAGGATGAGGGTGGTGAGGTATCATGGGCGATGGGGATGTGAATAGAACAAGCTCACAAGTAAAAGTCAGAAAGTTAAGGCAAAACCTGAAGAAGCCTTCCACCTGCTTCAATTCGACAATAATTGTGTTATTCCTTTCCTATAGATCTTTCTCTTCAGAAAATGACAATGAGAATGATTCACGTCACCATGAATACCCATTTCTCCTGTCTGTGGTCATCTATAAGCACCCTCGACATTTTTCTTTTGAGGATTCCGACAAAAGAGGCAAAAGTGGTGGGGGGAGATTGTGGCCTGAGGTGTCCGCGACACCCTTATCGTTATCGGCAGCGCGTATTGGTGGCTCACTCTTCAGCTCGCGTTCATCTTCGAATCATCTAGTCTGGGAAAATCAACCTCCCATGGCTATGGACACCTGTGATGGCAGCTGAAGGGGACTTTGCTCAAGGCTCTGCCTTTGAAGATGAGAGACCTGCCGAGCCAGCCTCGTCTATCCTGGCCACGCATTTTGCTCCACGCCTAGCAACCCAAGGGCATGAGCCGCAGCGACTGTCTCGGGAGGCATTTTCACAGCTCCGACAGGAGCTGCTGGGTGAAAAATATACCCACTTTCGCGTGGATGAGGGAATCACCGATATCAATAAGCTGATATGCATCATTCTCAAGGCCGGGTTGGAAGTTAGCCCCACTAGCAGCGGCACAGAAGAAGACTTGGAAGGCCAAGTCTTGGACTGTTTGGAGATCATCCAAGTCAGCATTGACAAAGCTCCCCAGGCTTTATGGGATGTATCAGATCCCCTCATCTTGAGTGAAGATGTCCAGGCACCCTTGTTCTCATGGTTGATCCTGCGCTTGATCAGACTGTCCTGCATGTGGCACGTCGAGGCTGTTCAGGACAGGGTCCATTCCATTCTCACCAGCATGGCTTGTCTGCAGTACAAACAAGTCCGTTCATCGCCGTCGTGCTATGGGATCTCGGCATTCCTTCGGAGTTGCGTACTAGGTAAGCTGGTGTACTTTTGGTTCATAATGTGTACCTCGCAAGTAACTAACACGTTACAGACATATTGTGTTCACTGGAAGGCTTCCTGGATGTGGACTTGCGAAGTTTCCGGCCTGTGAAGCTATTTATCCCATCCAAAAGCGGATCCCTGATGATAGACCTGGATAACCTGGGCCTACCTCGTGGTCTGCTGAAACGCAGCCTGACTCTAGGGACATTTTCCCAGGCGGCTGCTCTTGGCACAGTTTTGTTGGACGCTCTTAGTCCCGAGGCGTCGGTTCAGGATGTGGGCAAGCGGCGAAACTGCACACTTCGACAGAACCTCCCATGGGCATTGAATGGATACCATCGCCTTCGAAGAGTGCTTGTTAGATGGCTACAGACCCCGGGTATAAAGGTCACGCCAAGCGACGAGCAGGTCCTCTCGCAATTCTTGATATACACCCGCCGTCTCTGCGTGTCCGAGTCATCAATGGCCACCCTGTTGTCTGACATGAGTCTGGCTTCCACATGGACTCAATGCCTTGCTGAATTTCTTCCTCTCAGCATTTGTCTCCCAATGCCCGCAATTCAACTCGACTTGAGCCATTTTCTGGACGAAGTGATGTTAGCTATCAAACAGTCTAGATTGGCTGTGCCACAGCTGAGGGATATTCTTCTGCCTGTTCTCACGGACATTCGGGCCCAAGACTCTAATCCTCAGATAGTGGAAAACTGTCTCGGAGTAATTACCATCCTCCGTTTCGCTGGATATCCATGTTGGCTAATTAATTTCCTAGACTTCCATCCGCAGTCTCTATGCACAATTGCTTGATAGCACCACGCTTTCACTGCACTCCTTTGGTGTGTCGTCGGCATCTGCAGATGTTGGTTCATCCGTCGTAAACCGAAAGCAACGAAACATGGACCAAGACAGAGAACAAGGTGACGAAGAAGTACGAGCACCAAAGCGGCTATGCCTATCGGTAGAGTCCTCCGTTGCGGACTTGATTCAAATGTTCTTGGAGGAACTCTCAACGCTTTTGGGCTGTGAGTGTGCAGCAAGCTTGACAGAGTTGTGCGCTGCTGTACAGTAAGTCCGGATGCTCATCTTGACTCGAAACTCGATACTCAACATATATCAACATAGGAACCTTTACGAAGGAGTGTCCGAACCCCAAAGAACACAGTTCCTTCAAGTTCTCGGTAAACTTTCATGTGCAGTAGTGGGAACTTTAGTGCGGAAACCATCAGGCCTTATTACGAGCGACACCCTTTTTTGTCAAAGGTGTGACAGTGACCAGCATGAATTGGACATCATACCCGGGAAAGATATCGCCGGCTATGAGGACCTATGGACAATCTTAAACTTCGTCCTGCCTCGACTCTCGCGTACACCCGGTCCGCGGATAGCTGCCATGGTCGCTTTAAGGCGAATACTGATGCATTCCCCAAATCTAAACCATATGCACCTCTCCTCGTCTGCGTCTGGGGAGTTCTGCCTGCATTCACTTCGGAGCTCCATACGCGAGCTTCGAGTTGCAACCGGGTATGTTCCCAATACGGCGTCCTGGCAATGATCCAGACTGACTTGTCTCTGTAGACACTCGGTGGTAGCATTTGTGCGACCAACCCTCCAACCGGACGTTCGCCGGGCCAACTTTGTGATCATTTTAGAATGGCTGAGAAATCTGTCCGAAAAGAACGACATGCCTCTGCAAGAGGCATGCATTTTGACGCTATGTCGTCTCGCAAGGTCTGTTTCTTATCATGAGGCTCTTCCTTTGATAGTACCCAGCTCATCGCGTCATCATCAGGGTCTCGGAAGATGATGAGAAGAATATCATCCTCTTACGTCTGCTGGAGTACCTTGGTCATCCAAATCCCTATGTCTGTGCCGTGGCCTACAATGAAGTAAGTAATGTAGTGGATTTGATCAATGATTTGGCAGCGGGGCCCGTCTTTGCCTTATCTGCTTGCGCAATCTGTGCTCGAGAATATTACCAAGACTGACCTGCTTTATCAGCTATCTAAACTCGCGCAGCAATTTTCCTTGACTCCCGCTGGCTTGTTCCGGCCGTACTGGCGAACGCTCTCCGTAGCAGTCGTCAAAAATCTTCAGACTCGCCCGTACATGGCTGAGCAACTCTGTGAATTACTGGGGATGAAAGTTGACGGCTTTCTTCGGCTGACAGAGGTCCACGTGCTGCCCTACTTGGTCTTGACGAGAAAGCGAGATATTATTTGCAGGATTGGGGCAAGCCGCAACGAAGGCGAATCGCCGTTCGATGTTTGTTCTGAGAAAAATAACCTTGCTGCAATTCTGGCCTTCCTTCTGGCCCAGCAGTCTGATAATCCGGAAGCCATGATCATGTCGCTTCTTGCGGAAATAGACCCTGCATTCAAGGGTCGGTCCTTAGCTGAATTGGTGCGAATCGAACCGATTCTCATTGCTTGTGACTTGCTGAAGAGCCTTGGAGATGCTGGAGAGCAGAACAAAGAAAGGGTAAGTATGATAACTTGATTCTCCGAGGCCCTACGATTGTCATTGTGAGACAATAATACGACGGCAGGCACTTTACTAAAAAATTGGTATCAGTTCCTTCAAGCCCTCCGTCGCCTTGCGACCTTCGTTCCCCGGAAATTCCTGCATGCAAGCTCCTCCAAAAAAGCAGATCTCTTGAGCCACTTCATCGAAGAGCATGTTCTCGGAATTATCACTCAATTTGCAAATGCAATCAACGATTTTCAAGTGAGGCAAACTCTGGCCGAAAAACGGCGGAACCTCAAGGCTATCGAAGAAATGATCAACATTGCTCAAGGACATGTTAGCAATGCACTACCTCAAGTCTGCGCCTGTCTCCGATCTGCGCTTGAGATTGAAGAATTGTGCGACCATGCATTTTCAGCTTGGAAGACACTGATTCGTTCTCTAAGCGAGGAGGATATCGAGCCTCTGATCGACCAAACCTGGGCAATTGTGATCAGATATTGGGACAGGCTAACCGATGAAAGCAGAAGACAAGCTCATCAACTCATTGACCACATCTTAACCAACCAGCCCAACCTTGTTCGGGATACCTTCAATACCATGCCCTCGCTTGCCTCCATCTCCGAATTGGCCGCTTTCGAGACCAAGATCAGTGAGCTGCGAGCGGAAATGGATGTTAGAAGCAGATTCCTAGCTCTCATTCGCCGCTGTCAAAGTGAAAATTCAACTGTCGTTGAGCAGGCTCTGAGGGAACTGATGCCTTTCCTCTCTGACAATGAAGAATTCCTACATGTGTCTGTTCTCAGCGAACAGCCCGATCCCGTGGTTGCACAGTTGACGCGAGCATTGCTCGATTGCTGTGTGAAATTCAGCACCAGTTCCGACTCTATTACTTTATTATCGTCGCAATGCTTGGGCCTCGTTGGCTGCCTCGATCCAAATCGAGTGGAAACAATCAAGGAAAAGAAGGACATCCTTGTTCTGTCGAACTTTGACCGAATGGAGGAGACTGTGGAATTCATTCTCTTTTTCCTTCAGCATGTTCTCGTCGAAGCATTCTTATCCGCGTCCAATACGCGAGCGCAGGGATTCCTAGCCTACGCCATGCAAGGTCTCCTCAAGATCTGCAATCTGAATGCGGCTGTGACCCAAAGATCCCGCGATCTCCAAGGCGATGAAAAGTATCAACGGTGGATGGAGCTTCCAGAAAGTGTTCGAAATACACTTACTCCATTTCTTACGTCTACATACACTGTCACTGTCGTCGCAACAAATTCAAAGGTCACATACCCTTTGCTGTCACCTAAAACAACACACAGTGAATGGCTTCGGACTCTGGTGCAAGATCTGCTCCAAACGGGTAATGGAGACAACGCAAAGCTCATATTTGCAGTATGTAGCCGTGTTGTCAAGGGTCAAGACATATCCATTTCCTCGTTTCTCTTTCCGTTCGCTGCCTTGAATCGCATTGTTGGGGGTACCGAGCAGGAACAGCAAGATCTTCAGCTCGAACTCTTAAATGTACTCTCCCATCCTCTCCCTGAGGCGAACAACAATTTCCGTGAAACAATCATCAGCAGCAGCCAAGTAAGTCTTCTTCTGTTATCATTACAGCATATTGTACTGATGTACATGACGCACAGAGTGTTTTCGAGGTTCTAGATTACCTGTCACGATGGCTTCAGGGCAAGAAAAAACAGCTCAATGCCCTAAATCTTCAGTCGTATCAATCGAGTCGATCTCATAAAGATACCAGTCGTGATGCGCTGCTCGACAAGTATGCTTCACAGATCAAATCTGTAGAAGTTCTACTTGCCTCAATCCCACCAGAAATCATTTCGAAGAGAGCCGTCGAATGCAAATCGTTTTCCAGGGCTCTTTTCCACTGGGAACAGTACATCCACAAGTGCAAATCACAATTGGAACCGCAGGAAACAACAAGCTCTGAACAGCTGTATGAGAGGCTACAGGATATTTACAGCCAGATTGATGAGCCCGATGGAATCGAAGGTATCTCAAGCCATCTATCAGCACTCAGTATTGATCAACAGGTCTTGGAGCATCGGAAGGCAGGTAGATGGGCTACCGCACAGAGTTGGTATGAACTGGAACTGGAGAAGGAACCCGAAAATATTGATGCTCAGTGGAATCTCGTCACTTGTCTCAAGGAATCCGGCCAGCAAGGTAATATTCAATATCTTGCGCTTCCTCTCCTATCTCTCTTTGCTCCCAATATTTGTTAGCATTTTGCTGATTACCTTTTCAGACGCAATTGTTACCAGATTCGAGGTCCTCAAGCAATACGAATCCGCTGCCTCTCGGCTTCTACCATTTGCGGTTGAAGCTTCATGGATAACCGGCAGGTGGGACAAACTGCAGGGCTACCTGGAACTGTGTGCCAGCAAATGGACTGGGGAGTTTAACGTTGGCATTGGATCAGCTCTCAATGCACTTCGCCAAAAAGGGACCTCTGCTTTCGTGGAGATTGTCAACGAACTCAGACTCAGTGTGGCAAAGTCATTGACGGCTAATTCTGTAGCATCGTTACAGTCCTGCCATGATGACATGCTTCGATTACATGCATTGGCTGATGTGGAAGCTATAGTTCACGCAGGGCCTGACGATTCTCATCCTTCCAAGGACTTCTTGCTTCGTACTCTGAATCGGCGGTTAGATGTGCTTGGGGGTTATCTTGCTGACAAGCAGTATCTTTTGGGCTTGAGGCGAGCGGCAATGGAGCTAGCGTATGTTTGCGTTGATGCTATAAGGGGTATTCCTTATTGACTTACTCTTCTAGGGGCGGCTTTGGTAACTCCGATATATCGGCTGCTTGGTTGACTAGTGCCCATCTTTCGAGAAAGGGTAATTTCACTGGCCAGGCATACCACTCGATGCTGCATGCTGCGCGCTTAAAGGATCGTTCAGCCAGCATTGAACACGCCAGGTTGCTTTGGAAAGACGGACACCACCGAAAGGCAATTCAGACCCTGGAGGGTGCCATAGCGTCTAATGAATCAAACACAACAACCTCGTCTGTTGACTCGCAGACCGCCTCCTTTCTTTCGGGTCGTGGGAAGAATCAGAACGAGACTGCTGCTGTGGTATGTTTCCGTAGTGTCTGGAACTTCGTTTTGACCGTCCACTGATCAGCAACAATCAGGCACATCTCATGTTAGCGAAATGGACAGACAGGGCCGGACAAACGCACTCGCGTGCCATCGTTGAGCGATATCGGGCAGCCATCAGACTATATCCCAGGTATGTGATGGAACTGACCTCAGCTATGAGGGTGGCTTTTAACTGTGAGAATTAGATGGGAAAAGGCGCATTATTACCTGGGAAAGCATTACAACAAAATCCTCGAACTGGAAAAGGTCAAACCAATGGGAAAAGAGGCACAGATCTAGTATGTGCTTACCATGACTGATGCTCAGTCCATGACTGACGCGATTTCTCTTAGCCTGAGTGGAGAAGCCACGAAGTTGGTGATTGATAACTACCTACGCTCGCTGACATATGGCTGCAAATACGTGTTCCAAACACTGCCGAAGATCTTAACACTGTGGTTAGAACACGCCTCTGTCGTCGACCAGCCGATGGACCCGAAACGAGGCGATAATGAGTACGTACCCACCAATTTCAACGGTATCATTGCTCTTGCTTACCTGCGGGACCAAATCAACCAGGGAATTCCGGCAACATGCCCATGCTCAGCGACTTAAGAGTCTGGACGAGATACACAATCAGCTGAGAAAGTACATGTTAACTCGCATTCAAGCCTTCTTGGTAAGCCATCTTATTTTGTGATGAAGCTTTGTCGCAACATTTAGGACTATAGGCTGACAACCGCAGCTGTTCACGATCCTGCCTCAAGTAGTAGCTCGTATCTGTCATCGCAACAACACTGTCTACGACATTCTATCACGGATGGTGATAAAAGCTGTTCAAAGCTTCCCACAGCAGGGCTTGTGGACTGTTCTTGCTGTGGTCAAATCCTCCAACAAGGATCGAGCCCTCAAAGGACAAGCTTGCCTCGCCAAGATTCAAGAATCCAACAGCAAGGTGAAGAAAGATGCCTCCGATATCCGCCGTATGATACAGCAAGGCCAAAAGTTCTCAGATGAGTTGCTCCAACTCTGTCTCGCTCGTGTGGAAGAAAGAGCTTCCAAGGTCACTCTTGCTCGAAACCTCGGTTTCAATCACAAAGTCGCCCCCTGTCGCTTGGTGGTTCCCTTCCAGGCAATGTTGATTCCCAGCCTCCCAGTCATCCAAGATTCTGAGCACTTGAAAGGGTTCCGGTCTTTCCCTCGGGATCCAACGACAATAGAGGGTACGATACAACACAAGTTTTGATCTATTCCTGAGGATGTACTGACTATTTCTAGCCGTTCTCGACGAAGCTCAAATTCTGAACTCTCTTCAAAAACCCCGCAAGATCAGCATTCGAGGCTCAGACGGAAAAATTTATAATGCGCTTTGCAAACCAAAAGATGATTTGCGCAAGGACCAACGCCTGATGGAATTCAACAACATGATCAATCGCTTCTTGAAACGAGACGTCGAGTCAAGCAAGCGACGAATGTGTACGTAACGCCTGTCTAACATTGGCCTTGATCTAAGCTGACCGATAGCCAGACATCAAAACGTATGCCGTGACTCCTTTGAACGAGGAATGCGGTATCATCGAATGGGTCGACAATCTTCGCACCTTGAGGGACATTATCGTGAAGCTTCTGCGCGAACGAAGAATCCAGCCGAATGCAAGTCTACCATGCCCCTGCTCGATCTTGTATGTGTGGCTAGGTTAGCTAACTTCTGCATCTCAACAAACAGTACACCGAAATCAGACATTACCTCGACGAGATTTGCGCGGACCGAACCTTTTCGAAGCTGTCCCTCTGGAACACGAAGATCCTACCTAAGTATGATCTCTTAGATAGATGTTTCAAACGCAATCAGTACTGATGCGAACAGGCTTCCTTCCGTGCTACACGAATGGTTCATCGAAATGTTCCCCGAAACCGAATCGTGGTTCACGGCAAGACTGCGGTATACGCGGTCCGCGGCTGTAATGTCAATGGTTGGATACGTTCTAGGGTACGTCACGCTTGGCCGTGGAGGAAATTGCAAAAATTTCCCAATGCCTCGGACTTGGAGCCTATCAAATTTGTTATACTCATCATTCTCCTCAATAGACTCGGCGACCGGCATGGTGAGAATTTGTTGTTTGAAGAAGGAACAGGCGGCATTCTCCACGTTGATTTCAACTGTCTCTTCGACAAGGTATGATTATAATGAGCCCTATCCTCGTATTGTCATCATACTGATTTCAACAGGGCCAAACCTTCGAAAAACCAGAGGTGGTTCCATTCCGCCTGACCCATAACATGATAGATGCCTTTGGCGCTTACGGATACAACGGTGAGTAGTATGTATATACCATTCAATTGTCTGTCTACTGACATAATATCATTAGGACCCTTCCGCAGAACCTGCGAGATCACCCTCGGTCTCTTAAGGCAAAATGAAGACGCACTAATGACTATTCTGGAGACCTTTCTTCACGACCCAACAACAGATTTCATTGGGAAAAGAGTAAGTCCTATATGCTTGACAGAGCGAGAGAGTCTACTTGTTAACCTTAGCTCTTCGTTATAGCGTCGCACGCATGTCAACGTGCCCGATACACCAGCTGGGGTCTTGGAAGATGTTCGCAACAAACTTCGGGGATTCATGTCTAAGCAGCCCATTCCACTCTCTGTGGACGGGCAAGTGGATGAGCTGATCATGCAAGCAACTGACAAAAAGAACCTTGCATCAATGTATGTCGGATGGTGTGCATTTTTCTGAGCTCCACAAAGACCTGCGGATCACCCTGTTTGATTTTGAAAATCCATCGTTAGGGGCAATTCATATTGGCAATAACAACTCTTAATTTCAAATACAAGCAATCACAGAGCAAAGCTTAGGATATTTTCTGAAAATCGGTACTTGTTCATTTGCATCTTGAAATTGGAATATGTGAAATTAGTGGCCAACTAGGCAGGCTACTTTTTCACTTTTCTCAGAGGACCTTTTGGGGGGCATATCTTGTTATTGTTTTTGTTCGTCTAACAATTATGATTAAACAGACGGCACGGTGATCCATGGCGAATAAATTAGCGCCCAGGAATCGTTTCAAAGAACTCATTCGTGCACGTCTGTAATCCACTGGCTAGACTAGTGTCGGTTCCGACTGCGGCTCCTCACTGGACTTCGACTCCTGTCACTGCGGCTGCTGTATCCGTAGCTACTGTAGCTGGGGCTCCGCCGCCGGCGCTGTCGCGGGCTCTCAGGGCGACGGCTGCCCCGTCGAGGAGGGGAACGAGACCGAGAATAAGACCGCGATCGTACCGGTGATCGTGATCGCGACAGAGAGGGGGGGCGGTATGTGTCGCGCCTTTCCCCAGGCCGCGGACGTCCATGTCTCCTAGGAGGTGAGTCTCCGTGTGGCCTTTTGCCAAAGCGAGAGCGCCCGCCAGCCCCTCTGTTCGATACCGGTGGTGGGGAGCGAGAGAATGTTCGACGAGGCAGCACGATTGAAACGTTCAGGATAGCGCCATCAAGTTGAGCCTCGTGCATGTGGGCAATGGCTGCCTCGGCGTCGGCCGGGTCGTAGTACAGGATGTAGGCGGTGCCACGGTTGGTCATAACTAGATGAAAGCAGAAAGGGATCAGTACACCTGAAAAGCATCAGCGACATTCATCCAGGATGTTCGTACAGGATCTGTTCATCGGTAGGTCGAGGTACTCGATATCTCCAAAGCTGCCGAATATTTCGCGAAGATGTTTCTCCGTGACGTTCTTGGTCAATTTCTCAACCACAATCTATCAAAGCGAGTACCATTAGCACAACTCATCAGACAGCAAAACTGGCATGAGATTATCTTACCTTTGCGCTCTGTGGAGGACTTTGATTTGGGCTAGGAGAGCGACTGTAACTTGCGCTCCTGTACCGTCTACCCCCTCTGCTAGGACTGCGAGAGCGCGAAGGGGATCGCCCTCGCGATACGGATCGACTTTTGCTCTTGGTGCGTCGTTGACGGTCTGGTGTTGGGCTTCGTGTAACGCTTCGTGGTCGGTGATCTCCTCGAGGTGATCTTGCCGGGTTGCGATCTGGAGAACGCATGGGCGAATTGCCCCGAGGGGATCGCAGTGACATGGCTGGGACTCTGGTGATGGTTGCTGAGCGAGGGGTGGCTAGATGAGAGAGGGACGAAGAAACGTGAGGTTGAAAGAAAGAGAAAGGAGCTGTACCTGCATGCTGCATGTCAAGTCATGAGCCCGCGAGGTTAAATCAAGGGCGCAGGGAGAAGAGCCACGCTAGCCGCATCGGGTAATCACCTTGATGTCACTAGCAATTTGGTCCAATTGTGAATTGATCGGTTCAAATTAATCTTAAAAACGTTGAGGAAGCCCAGTAGAGAGCGAAGCTCCATGATTGCAAGTATCACAATTATTGCAATGCGAAAATGGTATTGTCAGAATCATATGGCACCAGAATCTATTGAAAGGGCTACAACGATAGAGGGGGTATCAACAACCTAACAAGTTCACAGGTCGTCTATCATATCTATTTCTGTGCATCTCGCCACTGTTCATACTCTTGGATAACGGCATCGGTAATTTGACGCCGCACCTGAGTCAAGGCGTACTCGAAATGCTTCAGCTTCACATCTTGTTCCTGTTGTGTTTCCTCCTCTTCGTCCAGTGCTGCGTCACCTGCAGTCTCACAGATGCTGACCATTTCGGCGCCCGAGTAGCCCTCGGTGCAAGATGCCAACTCATCCAGATCAACTTCTGGGCTGACGACGGACTTACTCGCCCAGATCCGCAGAATTTCTCGTCGAGCTTCCAAGTCTGGAGGACCGATATAAAGGATGTTATCCAGGCGACCAGGTCGCATGAGGGCAGGGTCAAGGACATCTGGTTTATTCGTGGCAGCAATTACCAACACATTCCGCAATTCCTCGATACCGTCCATCTCATTGAGAAGAGTGGTTAGGACATTAACGCCGCCCTGGGAGCTGCTGCTGCGACGAGCAGCGATGGCATCGATCTCATCAAAGAAGATGATACTTGGCCGTGCCGCGCGGGCCTTGCGGAAAATTTCTCGCAGCGATCGCTCAGATTCGCCAACATACATACTCAAGATCTCTGCTCCTTTGACAGCCAAGAAGTTAAGACCAGCTTCCGTTGCCAGTGCCTTAACAGTAAGAGTCTTGGAGCACCCGGGAGGGCCGTATAGAAGGATTCCCTTTTTACTCTTCACGTTGAGTCGGCGCATTCGTTCAGGGTGCTAGGATGATAATTAGCCTGGTTCCAAAAAACAATATAAAGAAGGGGGAGGAAGCTCAATAAGAAGAGCGCTTACCTTAAGAGGTCTTTCCACGGCCTGCTGGAGGCGTTTTTTAATCTCATGCTGCCCTCCAATGTCCGACCACCGGACTTTGGGTGTCTCCAGGAAGACCTCCCGCATGGCCGTTGGGCGGACCTCTTGCAGGGATGCAAGGATATCCGTCTCTCTAATATCTAAGTCGATGCACACCTCTCCATTGCTAGCATCACTGAGGTCACTAGGGGATGAATCCCCTTCTTGGGAGGGTGGTTTTGCCGGTAGAATGGTGGAGCCTTGCTCAATCAGCTGTCGTTGTCGAGCTTTCCGACAGATGAGCAGAAGGAGAGCGTAGAGATCCGCCCCAACGTATCCGTGTGTTTTTTCAGCAATGAAATCAATCAGGTCATCATTAAGTCCTGCAAAGGCGGGCCCGCGAATGGCACGAAGGATCTGGGCCCGATCCTGGGCGGTAGGAACTTGTAGTTCGATCTCGGTTCCCAGTCGATGAGGGGTTCGAAGAGCATCGTCAACATTATTGGGATGCCGTGTGGCCGCCACCACAAGAACGGAACCACTTTGAATCGCATCGAGATTTTCGCACAGAACAGACACCAGGGATGATGATTCGAAGGAGGTTCGCTTTGGTGCGATAAAGTCCAACTGGTCAATTAAGATCACACTTGGCTTGGCACGCGCAGCTTCTTGGAATATATTGCGGAGCTTCGACTCGCTTTCGCTGGTACTGCGACCCAGGGAAGATGTACCAATCCTGAACACTTGCTTCCAGCCAGCAGACCCGATCTGTCGCAGGAGAGCCGTCTTTCCCGTTCCCTTGGGACCATATAGAAGAATTCCCCGGTTATGCTCGTAGAATGACGGCATAGCCGGACTACGTGGATCAAGGTTGAAGTCGGACAGGCTTTCGTTGATGTCCTCGATTTGACGCGAGAGACCACCCAGGCCCACGGACTGAACGGCAATGCTCGATCGCGATTCTTCTCTCGGTTGCACCTCCGTTCCAATCGAGACTTTGGAGTTCTTCGTGAACCGGAAGATGGTACGGTTCGGGCTCGCGCCAGGGGCATGTATACTGACCACCCGAAAGCTGCGGCGTTGACCCTTGAGCTCCAGCTCGAAGACCAACCCAGTCGCCAGAACCTCGCTTCTTAGAAGCGGGAACTCCAGAGCCCACTCCCAGTGGCTTTTTTCACCGTCGGCAATGGGGCCATGTTTTTCAATCTTCTCGGGATCGGAGCAGTCCACCAAAATGATTGATTCGATATCGTCAAGTGTCCCATCGATTTTGGTGATGGCCACTTTCTCTCCGATTTTTATACCGTAGCAATCCTGAAGAGCTCTTGATGTTTGTACCACCGTACTTTGTATATTCTCCACTGCGGTCCAAGCAATTGCAGTCTTCGGGGACCCCTCGGCCGACGACAGGGTACATAGGTCATCTGCGCGGAGCCTCAGAGCAGCCAGTGAGGAGGAAGACAGATAGATACGGAATGCATCCTTGAGATCACTCCGGGCCTGCTTCGACAGTGGTCGAGCAGTGAAACTGCGGACGTCGGCCATGTGTGGGACGGGACACTCAAAGGAGCATGAAGTAAACGAACGGGTCGCGAAACGGAATGAAGAACGAGCGAGTCTGAATCACCGGTACCTCTCGATAGTCGGTTTGCAGGAGTATATTCACGCGCAACACGCACGGCCAAGGCTTTCGATCGTTGGACTGGAACCTGAAGTTGCCAAATTAGCAAGTTTACTCAAGAATCGCAACAAATGAACAAGCGCACCTGTTAACTCGTGCCTGATGCCGCGCAGGGCGGGAATTGGTCGAATTAAAAACCTCAATACCCCAATTCAGTCGCTTTCAAAGGCCCCGAGTACAGCAAGTCCGCTCCTCCACGGTGTCCTGGGTTCTTTCAGTATCTGGTTTGTTGGAGATTGTAGAAATTTAAAGTGGGGGGTTGAAGCTGGAGGGCTCTTATCGGGCGACTGATAGGAACGAAGAAAAGTGGGTCCGAGTCGGAGGCCATCTGGAGGAGACCTTGTGCCGAAACGGCATGTTCCCTGTTTTTTCATTTATGTATTATTAACTACTATTGTAGCATGGATGATATCTACTGATTTCTCAAAAAGGAAGGCTACTTAAGAAAGAACTATAGACATATCCTCTACAGACAGACAGGATATCAATGATCGACCGACTACTCAGTAAGCACTACTTGGCATATACAAGCATCAAGAAAAGGATACGAGTTGCCACGGGGTATGGACAGATATGTACGATACTCGACTGTAACAGGCGCCAGGTCCCCATAAAAACGGATGGAGTTTCAAATCTTAAAACATGAAATTGCAGGCGAAAGGATATGGGAGGGGAACAGCTGTGCGGGAAATGACCAAGTGCGGCACGAGAAAAATATCAAGAAGGCGTGCGCGGCAAAGATAAACAGACACGGGCAAAGGAATTAGGAAAAGGAGAGGTGGCGGTAGTGGTCATGGCGATGATGGTGGTGATGGTACAGGGTATTTCAGCAGCACTTCCCTCCAGTGCTACTCTGGCCCGATCCCTGGTCTATATGAAGCGGTGGCGCAGCATATTCGCTCTTGGAGGTATCCATGCCCTTCTTGATATCCGATGCAAGGCTGTAGAAGGCCTTCTCAATGTTGATGTTGTTCTTTGCAGACACCTCCAAGAAGGGGATGCCAAGCTCATCCGCCAGCTGTTGGCCTTGCTCGGTGGAAACAGCCCTCTTCTCCTCCCAGTCACACTTGTTTCCAATCAAAATCTTGTGGACCCCCTCACTCGCGTGTTGCTCGACGTTTGAAAACCAGGTTCGGATGTCTGTTTAAAATAAGTTAGAACGGATGGGTTTGGGTGGGCTGGGTGTCTTTGCTGGAGGAAGAACAACAACGACAAGAGGACAAGAGCCATATAGTAGAGGGAGGAAAATATGATACTTACTCTGGAAAGACCGCTCATCAGTCACATCGTAGACCAGGAGAATGCCCATCGCACCACGGTAGTAGGCGGTGGTGATGGTTCGGAAACGTTCCTGGCCAGCTGTGTCCCAGATCTGCAGCTTCACTCTCTTTCCATCCAACTCGATCGTGCGGATCTTGAAGTCGATACCGATGGTTGTAATGAAGGACGGAGTGAATGAGTCCTCGCTAAACCGCAACAGACAGCACGACTTGCCCACGCCGGAGTCCCCGATCAACAGCAACTTGATCTGTGAGACATTTCTGGTTAGAAATGGTGATTGGAGGAACCCAGCAGCCCATGAAGATACTCACCAGGAAGTCATAATTCCGTGTGCCAGCCATGATGGGGTGGTTCGTTTGTCGGTCGGCGTTACGGGGTCGTTGTTTTCAGATAGGAGGCAGTCAAGACTGTCAGCACGTTCCACGGTCGGACGGGGAAATCGTATGAATTTGTTCAGTGGCTCTTGCAAGGATGCTAAGAGAAGATGTCGGTAAAGAGCAATCGCAAAGTGAATCGCAGGAGATTAGGGTGACCAGGTTCCTGGTGCCTCCAGGGACTTTATCAGGAGCGCTGGGTCGGTGGTTTCAAAATCACCCGCTGCTGCAGGAAAGCAGGGAATCAAATGTAAATTGTTGGATATGTGAGAGACTTTAAATCAGCCTCAAATATTTAGAACACAAGCACGTCGGGGGAAGGCCAGGAGGGGGAGGGAAAGGTTAGAGTGGTCAATACCGAGCGGAGTGATGACGGTACTGCGTTGCTGCGATCGATGAACCGGTTATGTAAGCAGCCCCGATTGAGGCCCACGTTGAACAGAACAGGTGGATGAGCTAGGCGGCAACAATTGGCATGCTAAGGCTTAGGTATACTTAAGGGTAGGAGATGTCTTGATATAGAGACTTAATAGCCAGTATAATATAATCATCATGGATCGTTACTTAAGGAATAAGCCACATATTACAATACGGTGCACCTCGACGCGGACAAAGATATTCCACCGTACCCACGATGGGTCTGTACAGAATGATATTCATATCTCACAACAACTATCATACCAAAATATCACTACTACCCCTCTATTTTATTGGAAGTATGCCCATCTCATCCTCTCTACAACCCGTAGCTGCTTGTCAACGCCGCTCTGGACGTCGAGCAGGTCTTGAACATCCTCTCGGAACTCCTGGTATTGAATACCCCCCAGGACTAGCTTGATCTTCTGGAGAAGGGCCTCGGCTTCACAGATGAGTCGACCTGATTCCTTGTAGGACATCATCCCATCGGACGACCGGGCAGATGTGAGGATACGCGTAACATTCCTAATTCGTCAGTCAGCTGCATGCCTCACCACTTCCAGATTCGATATGTGTTTACCTCAGACCCCGACGAAGCTCATGTCGTTTCTTCCCCCTTTGCAGACCTCGGCGGTTGCCAAAGAGCCCGATCAGCCAGCGTAAAGTGGCATAGGAGACCAGAATTCCAGGGGTAAGACCAACGAAACTAGACCGAATATGTCAGACCATGCGTAATCAGGCATTCGAAAAAGAAAAAAATGAAAGAAGAAGAGGGGAAAGAGGAAGGAGAAGAAAAGAGAGACAGATGTACCCAAAGACAAGCTCTTGGCTCTTCAGGAGAGCATCAATGCCGCTGATGGCGATTTCAACGTCGACCTTGGTCTTCTGGATCTGGATCAAAAGAGCGCGCACTAAATCTCCACGAATGGTACCCATAAAGGGTGACCGGAGATCTCGCTCATAGGCTTTGAGGACTGGAGTCAAGTCCCCTTCCTTGACCGCGTTCGCAATGGCCGTTGTGTCTTCCACGGGCGGTTGCCCTTGGCTGGTGTCTGGACGGTCATTGACAAAATCAATGACCATCCGCTCCAGACTGGCCCGGTCAGCCAGTAAGCTGTTCTTGCTCATGATGGCAATTTCACTTTTCTCGTCGTGTCGAATGGTTCCGATTAGTTTACGAATGGGGTCCACCACCCAGTTGCCGCCAAAGTCGATGATAGTGGCACCGAGATCCATGATCCATTGTAGGATCCGGTCCTGTCGCTGGGCCAAGAACTCCAGGGACGCACTGCCCGACAGGACCGCCAGCGAGACTGGGATCCAATACCGAGTCACTCTCGACGGGCGCCCATGCAAAGTGACAAAGGTTGACATCGAAGATCTGTGCCCTGGCAATTGATCACGAAGGACGGAAACCAGCCGCTGAATCAAATCCGCTGGAGTTTGCGTAGAGTACAGACCATTGCCCAGCGTGTGTATACCGGCCTGGTCCTCTTCGAGGGTCGTGAACACCCGTTCCTCAAAGCCCCCCACATTTGACTGGTTGATTGCCTGCTGAAGAATAGCTTCTGTAAGAATCACAATCCGGGTGACCGTCTCTTGCCACTGATCACGAGGCAATTGGGCGCCGTCCATGGCCATATTCTCGGGTTGGAAGGCGTGCCAACTTTCCATAAGCAGACCCAGGCTACTAGTATGAATGTCCGTCATGGCTACGAGGCGGTCTCTTTTTTGGCGAGCCTCGGAGCGGCAAGATCGGATGGGAGAGGACCAGTTGAGTCGGAGGGGGACTCCGACATGCTCTGTCGAGCGATTTGATAAAATTGTGCCCATTGAGCCGCCAAGGACCTCGAGAGTGAGGCGGAGGAGGCGTTTCGGAGCGAAGGGAGGCCCTTGGACCAATGCCAGAGACGTGTAGGTGTTGTCTGGGCCGTATAGAGACCACTATTCCAGAATGACCCGAGCACTTCGTTCCAGTAGTAAGTCTCTTCCTGAAGTCGGAGCGTCTGGTCCAACAGGGAGTGCATCACCAGGCCTGATGCCTGGACCGAGGCTTTGGCAGCAACCAGCCACAGATAGTCCGACACATGCTCCTCAGTCTCAGTCTCTGCCTCGACCCGGACGTCTGCGGGGACGGGTAATTGACGCGTCAAGGATGGGTCCGTAAGCAAATCTACGAGACGAGTGGCAGGAAGGAAAGACTGGGTCTTGGAGGTCACCGAGATAGACCCGATGACATTTTGCAGGCGACGAACGAGCACCGGGGGAGCATCTTCAGTATACAGAAGCTTCTCCGGACGTGTAATCTGCTGTTGCAGTCGATCGAGTTGGATATTGACGCCGCAGGCCGTTCTAGATGGGTAGGACGGTGTCAGCTGGAACAACCATGGAGGGATCAGATCATCTCGGAAGGAGGTAAAAGAAAAATCGGAGAGGGATCAGGAGACGTACTCCTGGACAATCGACATGGCGGCCTAGAAGAGCGTCGACTACAGGTTCGACTACTACGTCCGGGTCAGCATTTACCCTCGAATTGGTAGTCCAGTATTGATATTAGTATTGGTATTGGTATTGGTATTGGCCATGGGCATCATTCCATAAGGTTGGCATTACTGGTCTGCAGAATCACATGACGTCATTATGCAAACCAAGCAAACAAATACCTTTCGGCGGATCGATGTTATGTAAGCTGTCGGCACTGACCTTTGTCAGGTAATGTGCAAACAGTGCAAATAGGCAATCTGCTCCCGACTGTACTCGAAAGTACACGGTACTCCGCGGTCCAATCCTCCCGAGGTGGGATGATCATTTTTGGCAACCAAAGTACGAAATATACTTATGCACGGAGTACAGTGTAGTACTGTAGTGTGTCCGAGGGCCCTACTACTACTGTACGGAGCAGCCTGATGAGAGACGGAACACGTCGAACCGGGGTTGAATGATCTTTTGATTATGATCATGATGGTTATCCTATGGTTGAGTTGGGTTCGTGGACTACAGTAGTTCTCCTACAGCAAGAATGAAGAAACTAATACTATATACAATTTAAGAAGCATACTATGTAGTGAATGCCCGTACCTCGTATCTCCTGTATATGTCTTATGTAGGTAAGTATAGAGACTCTGGTTATTAGCTGTTACTACTATTTCCGTGCGGATATATTCTATCTTCTGCTACGCTCCGCATGGGCTGAGCAAGGCGATCTCGGCGGGGGGCGAACAAGCGCAAAGATCCAAGTTGGCAAGTTGGCAAGTTGGCATGGCCTGACGAGGCACCAGCCAACCAGAGACCCGGAATTTCCATTCTTGTCGCAGGGTGGATCTCGGATGGTGATCGGCTCGCCAGTGGCCTTACCCAGTCCTGCCCGGTGTTGCCCAGTTTAGCAGGCCGATGGTTGGTCGGAGGATAGCCTCAAGTACTCCAACCCCCTTTATCGCGGGCAACTGGCAGGTGCAAACCCGACAAACTGGTGTCACCCGCATCTCCGGAGTCCAATAGGTACTGGATGTTAGGTTAATTTTTGATTTTTTGATTTTTTAATTTTCAGGGGAAATTACCAATTCAAACGGGTCTCGCCACTTCGGGAATGGTCCTGCCCGCCCCGAAGGTCGAACAAATAAATCTTATTCATATATCTGCTGCACTTTCCAACTCCCTTTTCTCCCTTCCCCTTCTTAAACAGCCTCTGGCTTTAATTATCACCTCTCCCACTTCTCGACTTGGCCCACTCTATTCCTCGTTTCCACTGATTTCCTTTCACTTTCTCCAATCCCGTCTGGTGACACCTTTTCTAAAGGGGAAACACAATGTTCGTGACCTTTCTTCCGGCCTGCCAGAGCCTCCTTCCTCCCTCTTTCCCCACGATCTTTTCGAAATGGCCGTGCTAACCTACCTGCTCGGAACACGTATAGGAACTCGACTGTGCTGTCTTCGGTCACCTACTGGGGCCAATTCGAGGAGATTGGCAAATACAATGCCCACTTGAACGTTGCCGAGCGGCTGTGGGCTGCCTGGTACGCGTGGATGCAGAACGATGTCCTCGCCACCGGTATCATGTCTTTCATGATGCACGAGCTGGTCTACTTTGGCCGCTCGCTGCCTTGGATCTTCATTGATAGTTTAGGTCTCTTCAAGGGCTACAAGATTCAGAGCGTAAGTTACATGCCGAGACTCCAGCGTGGGGCCAGGTGAACCGTCACTTGAATGGATGGGCTAATCCTTCGATAGAGCAAGATCCCTTCCTTGCGCGAACAGTGGGACTGTGCCAAGTTCGTGCTCCTGAGTCACTTCACCGTCGAACTCCCCCAGATTTGGTAAGATTGACCATCTTCTTTTGGACCCTCGAGGTCTTCACAGCGACCCTGGTGGCAAAACTAATTGGTCTTTTGAAACGGCAGGCTCTTCCACCCCATGGCTCAATATTTCGGTCTCTCAACTTCGGTTCCTTTCCCCTCCGTGTGGACCATGGCGTACCAGATTGCGATCTTCTTCGTGATGGAAGATACCTGGCACTACTTTTCCCACCGTGCTCTGCACTGGGGTCCTCTGTACAAGGCCATTCACAAGATTCACCACCAATACTCGGCTCCGTTCGGCTTGGCCGCTGAATATGCATCCCCGATCGAGGTCATGATTCTGGGTTTCGGAACGGTCGGCTGCCCAATCGTCTGGTGTGCCTTCACCGGTGACTTGCACATTCTCACCATGTACATCTGGATTGTCCTGCGCTTGTTCCAGGCAATCGACGCGCACAGCGGCTACGAATTCCCCTGGAGTCTCCACCACTTTCTTCCCTTCTGGGCTGGTGCGGACCACCATGATCTCCACCACGAAAAGTTCATTGGCAACTACTCTAGCAGCTTCCGGTGGTGGGACTACGTTCTGGACACCGAGTACACCCCTGATGCTCTGAAGCGCCGGAGAGAGAACCAGACTTCGTCAAAGAAGGCTCAATGAGTCAACTTGACAACCTCTCATTCCAGAGAAAGCTGACCTGCTGGATCAATTGCTCATAGTCCGTGTGAGGTGCTGCTTTTTCTACCATTCTTTTTTTCCTGTCCTCTAGTCTGCCTCTTTGATACCACGAGGGTCATGGGTGCAATTTCAGGCCCTTCACCTGGAAACGACATGTCCACTTGTTGCAGGCAATTGGCAAGATGGCATGACGCGCGATACTTCTCGCGCATAGTCGGATAGCCTCCCAACCAACACGCCCTATGTGTATAGCACATCCTCGTGCAATGCGGCGCCGCGACCACTAGTAATGTTCTAATGTATCTACTTAATTTTGCGATGAATCCCCGGTGCTAGAGTCCGGGCCAATATCATGTTTATTCTCAAAATCTTGACGCCTATGATTTAAAAGCCCCCGTTGTATTGCTGTTGTCTAGATTCTTGGTTTGGCGGCAGGTGCGAATCCGGTTGAAGGTAGATCGACCAAGCTCTGTCTAGTAGAGAATAGTTTGAGAGAAGTGAATGGTTTTCGTTGAAGAGGAAGTCAATCAAATGGAGCTGGGTGGAATGCAAAGTGGCGACAGATGAAGCTGGATATGAGCAGGGTGATTGATCATCAAGAGGTAGACCCCTACATACTGTTGTCTACGAGCTTTACCAGCGCGAATAAGATTCCGGCTAGTCAGGTCAGGTAATTGCAGTTCTAGGAGTATTTCCATATTTTACTACTCAAGTAACATTTTACCGTCACATGTGAAGGTAAAAAGAGCTAAAAAAGGACATCGGGGATAAAAAAAGCAATGTTCCCTCGAACCGGAATCGAGCCGGTGACCTTTCGGTTATATGATGATCCATTACAGCCGAACGTGATATCCAACTACACCATCGAGGGTTTGATTGCGATGCGAAAGTCCCTACCTATCATTATATTCTAATTTGACAGCTTCCAAGAAACATAGCCTTATGTATGTAAATGGTCCTACTGTGGGTAGATTCTAATGGCTTACCCTATCAAAATTATTCTTCTTCATGGAAACTTCATTGGTTCTTTAGTTATTCAGTTTCAGTTTTGATTTTAATATCACTTTTCAATCGTATTTTAATTAATTGTGTTTTCAATCCTTGCTAAGAATTTCTCTACGAACTTCCACTTTAACATGATGAAGTTGAATAGTATGAGCAGCTACCAGCATTGGCTGTGTAGGAGGGTGGTGGCCGGATTCCCCCAATTAATTACAGCGCGCTTTGACGTAAGTGCCATTCTAACGGAGAGTTAACTAAAGTTATAAGTTTTACTAACTACTTATAGGAGTGAGTACTTGGTGTCTTGGGCGGTGCGGCTATAGCTGTACGGAGTACTCCTGGCAACATAGCCCATATCTCGTAATATAATAGCCTGACCACTGGTAGTCAGGTAGCCGCGAAACAAAAACTTCATACTCCCTCGAACCGGAATCGAGCCGGTGACCTTTCGGTTATATATCATCCATTACAGCCGAACGTGATATCCAACTACACCATCGAGGGTTTGGTCATGGTGGGGCGGTAGACTTTTTGCTAGATCAATATTAAGAAATTCATCCAGATAGAGAACTTTCCCGCCTTTTTCCTTATCTCATAGGCACCCAATACAATCATCACTTTTCCACTGCGATGCGACTAACAATATCAGATATTGCCAACGTATTTCTAGGATAATGACATTCTCTCGCATATCTTCTGGATCAACGATGTTCGTTGAGGCTACTTACTTCATCGTGCCCCTCCGATATTCAGAAGTTGGCCTCAGCCCAATGCTAGCTCTTGACAATGCTTCATCTCAGTATTCTGAACTATGGCCAGGGTTTTTTTGAAAGGACAGGACCGAAATTAGTGTACCAGCCGCCATACTTGCGGGATTCGATCAATTTGATGTCTTAATAGAGCCTAGGAGTTTCTTTCGACTCAATTAGGGCTCTTCCAGCAAGAAGCTGACCAAAAGTGTCATGGTGTACATACGTCGCTCGTGCGCAAGGTGTATTGAGGCTGCAATTTAGCACGCAGGCTTCGAAATTGAAATGATTCCTGGAAGCGTCTCGGTACTATATAGCATGTATAGTAATGTTTACTTTACGTATGTCAGACTGTAAACCTTGCTCCGAGGCTGTATGATTTGAGAACTCCATGTCAAGCTGTGACTACTCGGAGGATAGTCCATAGCGGTTGCCTCCATAATTCTTGCTCTACCTACAACTCCCAGAGGCCAATCAAGAATAAGCTCACTTCGTAACAGATCCCAATACAGTGAAAGTGTGAATATAAGTTACCAATTCTTCTCGCCGTCATAGCAATAGAATTCTAATCCCTTTTTATCTCGAGCTTCCCTAGGCCTTTCAACCCATAGAAACTGATAGCCACTGAAAGAAAGCTCAGTGCACAATTATACCACCAACCGCCTCGATAACCAAGTAATAGCGCCTCTTTCTGGCCCATAAAATCTGAGTGCGCTGTTGTTATCTGGCGCGCAATTAATGCGGAGGTTGCGATACCGACACTTTTCCCAATCTGAGCAAGCATGTTAAAGACACTTCCTGCCAGGGCCTGCGTCTGGCTTGGAAACGCTGCCGTCATCACCAGGTTTGCAATTGTATATATCAGATCCGCACCTAGTGGATTAAGGGCCATGGCTTGGAATATACCATGCCAATACCCGGGCCCATCAAGATGAGAGAGGGTGGCCAACAGTAATGGCGCAATGCCGCTGACAAGACAACCTGCGGGTACGGCAAACGAGGGCCGTAAATATGGTAGTAAGCCGCCGATGGCGATGTTCATTAATAGTCCACAAACTGGCGCAGGTAAAAAGTACAAGGACGAGGTAAAAGCAGAGGCACCACGGACGTCCTGTAGGTATAGTGCGGTGAGCTGTTCGCTTGCGTTCAAGGTACCCCAGACCAAGAAAACAGTAACGCAGATTGCTGCAAAAGGCAGGTTGGTCCACATCGAGTTTGGAATCAACGCTGGGCGACCGAGGCGAGCCTGTCGATGCATCCACAGAACAAAGGCAGGCAAGAGTACTATTGCTGTACATAGTATGGTAATATGTAGAGGTTGACGTATGCTCCCTTCAGCACTTGATCCCGTGGCCACAGCCAGCTCGTATGAAAGAAGGGCAAGGCAGGTGCTAATGAGCAATGCACCGATCCAGTCAACTTCACGAGCGAGACGTGAGAACGACGACCGATTAAATGGGCCACCATCAATATCCCGTGGCAACACCCACAGCGCAAGAGCTAGAACCGCACCGTTGAGGATCGCGGTAACATAGAAGCCCCATCGCCAACCGACAGTGTCTGAAAATATGCCCCCTAGCACTAAGCCCAACCCAAAACCGACAGCTTGGCCGCCTCCCATGGCTGCAAAGGCGATGCTGCGGCGGCGAGGGCTATTGTTGACAGGAAAGAGTTTTGCTGCGACCCCAACGGCTCCGGGTAAACAGCAGGATGCAGCTAGACCTGCCGTAGCCCGCAGCAAAATAAGCTGCACTGGGGTAGTGGCCAGGCCAGCGCCTAAAGCGCTAGCGGCCTGAAACAGCCCACCAAGTAGACTCACACGACGAGGGCCAACAATATCGGCAGCTGCACCACATGGGAGTAGTGTGCAACCGCATGCAAGCGCAAAGGCTGCGGTGGGCCAAAGTTGTTGCGTCGGGGGAATGTCCAAATCTGTTGCGATCACAGGAATCCCTACGGTCAAGAGTCCTGCTAACAGGTTTCCAATTCCTGTGATACAAGTAATACATGCAATAATCACAATCGCTCGACTTCTGGAGACATCTGATACAGGTTCGGCTTGCTCAGCCGACACGATTGAGAAAGTTTCTTTCATAGCTGACCGTCCCGTTGACGAGGCAGGCTGTGGTACAGATACCAATTCAGTCAGAGTTATCGTATCGGGACAGGCTGTAACGTCCGAATAGTCATTGGTCATGGCCGAGATGAGGATTTTTCCAAAAGTGTGACCTTCCGTGGCCTAGCAGGCAATGTTGATGAATTATTTTTTGAAGATAGTCCAGCACAATTTGCAGGGTCGGGTCGACTTGACACGTGGCAGGCAGGAAGCAGAACAATCAGGGGGATCTTCATGGACTATATGTATATGTATTTCCCATCAATAATAATGCGAGTGGGATTACATAGTACGTGCTAATATGTTGATTATGTAGGACTTGTCCAGCTTGGTTCATTAAGGTTTCTACCAGATTGACCTAGTTGCCGCTACAGTCTAGTATGCACATCCAGTTTGACTTATGATAATAACTCAAATAAATCTATTATTCCAGTCTGTCTTCAGAAATACACCACTAGTGGAATCGCGTTCCCGCTACTCATATCAACACGGTTACAAAATCCTCAAATAGATGGCAGCTAGTAGATGCGCAACAATGACCTGATTCGATTTCTCTGCGCAACCACGAAGCGATAGAAAAGTCAGGCGAACACATACTGGCCTTGATATAAGAAGAAGATACTCGGATTGAACAGACGAGTTAATAATAGCAGCCATCCGTTTTAAACTATTGACAACCCCTTCAACAATAAAGACTACGATTTTGATCGTACAGCCCCAGAAGGCGGCAAGCCACTCACACATTGGACAGTCTGCTATATTGAAAGCTAGTATCCCACAAAAACTCAACTGACAATGAATTAGCGGATGCTGTATTCGCCAGATCTGACTTCTCACTTATTTTGTTGCACTGGACCTGATAGGCAACTACAGGCGCACTCTACTACTACCTAGGGTTATGTGCCAGCGAGATCATCACAGCCTCGGTACTCGGAATGTCAAGGTGCACCACGCTGTTGATCGCTCTGGCAGTCTCCCAAATCTCCTTGCCGTTCTCGACCAGCCTGCCATCTGTATAGTTCCAGCTCTGACCGGCCCACTGGATACCCTCATCCGCGCTCGCGCCGTTGCCGGTCAAGCGCCTGACATTGACGTTGTCGACGCCGCGGGGTACTTCCAGCCTGACCGACTGCACGGGGCGCTCATAAGGTGTAGTTGCGTTCCACTCGTCAAAGTTGAGGACAACGTAGCGCGCGAGGTGGCCAGACTCATACACGCCGTAGGCGGACATGTTCCACGGCAGGCCGGGGAGGTTGTACACCTGGACGTTCGGGTGATGACCGAGAACATCGGCGGCGAAGATTTGGCCGTACAGAGGGGCGCGAACGTATGGGTCGCGGCCGCCCGAGGTGACGGGCACCCAGCCACTGTAGCCGAAGGTGGTGCCCTGGATGAGGTTGTAGCGGGTGATGCTGTGGACCATGCCTGTCATCAGGTGGTCAATCAGCCACAGGGCGGAGCCGAAAACGCCCTCAACCTGTGACATGTTCAAGTTGTACGCGTTGCTGTTGGTCTCGCCAAGGACGAGCGGCACAAAGGGCTCGTACGAGTGGCAGAAGTCAATCGCGCTCTCATACTGCGTCACGTTGTCTGTGACGGCGGTGTGGTTCATGTACGAATTCTGTAATCGTACCCAGCCTTGGTTGCTGGCGGCATACTGATGGTACGACATAGTCTTGACGTGGCCCTTGCCGTCCATGCCGTGAGCAAATGCATTCTCTCTGTGTGTTCCGAGGGGGTCAGCATCCCTTCTACCCGTTGCGTTTCTCAGATTGACACTCACACATTCCACTCCTCATCTTGACCACCTATGAAGGTACCGCCCTGGAAGAAGCGAGTCTCGTCAAGCCTGTACTTGTTGCCCTTTAGGACACGCTCCGAGGCTGCGTCGGCATACTTGTTCCAGTCTCGAACGTAATCGTCTATGGTGTAGTTCTTCTGACGCTCACCTAATGTAACGAAGAACTCAGGCTCGTTGCCAATCTCAAAGCTCTCAAGCCGATCCTGGACGTGGTTCATGACGAGCTTGGCCACCTCCATAGCATTGTCAAGGCCGCCCTCTCCGCTGTAGTCGGTGCCCCTGTTAATTTGCCAGGACCAGTGTGTGCCTGGGAAGTTGTTAAAGCCCCCAAAGAACGCAGGCCCGACGTAGACCCGGTCAGCGATGCCCAACGCGGCCGTTGGGGATGACTCGTTGTACCAGTTGTACGAGTCAACCTCTTGAGAAGCATTGTACCAGACCCGATCACTGTAGCCGCGGTCCTCGCCGAGTCAGCAGTCCAGTTGAAAGATATCGACCCAAAGAACAAAAAGCAAGGGCTGGAGATTCAGGAGACCAACTTGGTCCATAGCATTTGAATATACGGGTGAGGTCAAACGAATTGCGGGGGAATTGGACAAGGGGACAGACGCACGTTGAGGTACCACCTACTCGGATGAAAGGGTGAGCCCCGGTCTTGGAATAAAGAAGATCGAAGATGTCTCGGGAAAAGAGATTAGGGTACGTGGTGTTGCCTGTGGGATGGCCATTAGCTTTGCTTGCCTGCATGGAATTGGATCCGTCTGTAGCTTCGGCCGGGTATTCAGAGCTATCATGGGCATCCGTTTCCAGCATAGTGAAATCGTACCAGCATAGTCCTTGAGAAAGTGAGCCGGGAAGGAGAAGGAGGCAAAATCATGGGGCACGCTCCAAGAAGCACCAGTTGGCACCTTTGCGGGCGATGATACGACTAGAGGGGAGGGAGAGGCACTCGCGGCGGCGATAGCGGCGAGACTAAGGAGAGAAGCTGAAGCAAGAGAGGGAGCCATGTTCGATTGATCTGTCTTTTGCAGCAACGGAGGGCAGAGGCAGAGAGAGGGCGGCAGAGGCAAGATGAAGCACACCCTTGACTCTGTGAATGGCCGTGTGACTGACCACCCCGTGCTCTATTTATGCTCTGCCGGAAAGAGAGACGAGAAGGAGGCAGACTGCTGCTTTGAATTAATCAAGGCATTGCTACACTAGGGGCTCGTCATTCGTCTCCTCCTGTAGCTCTCTCCTCCATCGACGTATCGACGTCGAGTTAGTTTGTTAGTCTGAAGGGCCGAGGCAGTCTGGGGAAGCCTAATTGAGGACTGCTTGACTGCTTGTGGTCCACGCTTCTCCGCATTCTCCACTTTCCCTGCCACTGGGGCCGTTGCCAATCCCACGGGGATGGCGAGGGGAAAAAGAATAATTTTCATTCACAAGTCTGGTGTTGTGTAGAACGACCGAGTTGAGCTCCCCAGGCCCGGCTTTCGGCAGCGTGCGAGTTCCGGCATGGTGGATCCTGAAGATCCAGTCGATGTACTACTTACTACTCTACTACTCCACACTCCACGTCGTTGATCCCGGACCTCGTCGCGTCGGCTGGGAGAGCTAGCTAGCGGCGGGGATAGGAAATACTGCTCTAGTAATATCTGGAGTCGCGGTGGCGAGAGAGAGCATGCTCGAGTGCGCCGATAAAAGACGCATCCAACACAAATGCAAACGTAAACGAACGCCGAACTTCTCGTCAAGTAGACAGACCATTGAGCCAGGCCACTTCAGAAAGAGAACGAACCTCCCGAGCTGAACTGAGAGCTGACTTGGAGCGCCGAGGCACAGACAGGACCGTCACCCATTTCGTCGACATCAACGTTACTTCACCTTGTTTAGACAACAATCGGTCACAATGGAAAAGGACACACGCCCCAACTTTCTTGTCATTGTCGCAGATGACCTAGGCTTCAGCGACTGTGGCTGCTTCGGGTCTGAGATCTCAACTCCTCACATAGACGCCTTGGCGACCGAGAGCAATGCCCTGCGATACACCAACTACCATGTTGCTGCGGCGTGCTCCCCACGCGGTCGATGTTGATGACCGGTAAGTTTCCTTGCGCTCTTCCCTTTCCGAGCCCGTGATGCATCTGGGAGCTTCTATATGCGGGCGCTGACAACGATGGGCCAGGAACTGACCACCACATTGCCGGCCTCGGCCAGCTTCAAGAAATCACTCGGGCATCGCCCGCCCATGCTGGCAAGCCGGGACATGAGGGCTACTTGAACCACCGAGTCGTCGCGCTGCCAGAGTTGCTCTCCGACGGCGGCTACTTCACCTGCATGTCGGGCAAGTGGCATCTGGGCCTCAAGCCAGAGCATCACCCCATCCGCCGCGGATTCAAGAAGTCGTTCGCATTACTGCCGGGGTGTGCAAACCACTATGCCTACGAGCCGCAGTACAAGGATCCAGGCTCCGAGCCTGACAAGTTCTTCGAGACGGCCACGCGCGCACTGCACGCCGAGGATGACGTCCTTCTCAGCCGCCTACCCGACGGCTTCTACAGTAGTGACGCCTATGCCGACAAGCTCATGGCGTACCTAGACAACCGCACTGAAGAGGAGAAGCAGCAGCCCTTCTTCGCCTACTTACCCTTCAGCGCCCCACACTGGCCACTACAAGCGCCCAAGGAGGTCTGTGACAAATACCGGGGCTTCTACGGCAGCGGGCCTGAGGTACTCCGGCAGAAGCGCCTTGCGAAGCTCAAGGCACTAGGCATGGTCGACCCTGGAGTAAAGGCCCACCCGATGGTCGTCGTAGACGAGAAGCCAGAGAGCTGGGATGACCTGCCCGAGAACGTTCGCCAGGCGTCCAGCCGGGCCATGGAGGTCTATGCCGGCATGGTGGACCGCATGGACTGGAATATTGGGCGCGTGATCGAGTACCTGAAGGCCCGCGGTGAGTATGACAATACGCTCGTCCTCTTTATGAGCGACAACGGCGCCGAGGGTGCCAGCTATGAGGCCATGCCGCTTGTCGGCGGCCGCATCATGGCCCACGTGGACAAGTATTATGACAACAGCCTCGACAACATCGGTCGCGGCAATAGCTTCGTTTGTTACGGGTGCCGATGGGCTCAGGCAGCCACCGCACCCTCCCGCCTCTACAAGATGCACTCCACTGAGGGCGGCTGCCGCGTACCACTCGTCGTGAAGCCGCCCACCAGCGTCGCCACCGGCGCATCCGGCGGCGGTGGCCTCATCACTGACGCCTTCTGCACTGTCATGGACATCGTCCCCACGTTCCTGGAGCTGGCTGGCCTCGAGCACCCGGCGCAGTACAAGGGGCGCCAGATCGCACCCCTGCGCGGCCGTAGCTGGGTCGAGTTCCTATCGCTCGCCCACCACGGGAGCTCGACAACAGCAGCAATACAGGACTCGGCCCACTAAATCCATGGGCAGGATTACGTGATGGGCTTCGAGATCGCTGGCTCGGGGGCCCTGCGGTGCGGCGACTGGAAGATCACCTTTGTGCCAGCGCCCAAGGGCCCGCAGCGGTGGGAGCTGTTCAACATCCGCGACGATCCCGGCGAGGTGTGCGACCTGGCCGAGGAGAAGCGGGAGCTGTTCAAGGAAATGCTGGCGCTCTGGCGCTCTGGGACGAATACAAGAGCGACGTGGGCGTCGTTGGTGTCGCCGGTGAGTACCCCACGCCAATTCAGGGCCAGGGCTCGGTGTTTGACGAGATGGACGACCCTTATGCATGGATCAAATACATTGGCAAGCCAGACATCACGCCGGAGAGGCTCAAGGCAGTCATTCCTCAGGTGGCCGAGATTCATTGAGCTTGCAGGCAAAGTATACCCTCCCAAGGTGTATGTAGCCCACCGCTTACGATATCATCGGATACCCCAGGCGCTAAATGAGCTAGAAGCTGTATGATAAAGCATCTGGGAGGGAAATAGCATTAGAATAGAGACGTCCACATGAATTATATACTTTATTTAGCATCTTGCCTAGCTTGGTAGATACGGGAGGTCGAACGTGATCCATGGGGGCAGCTCCGATAAGTCAGAGACATCCCATGTCAGGTAATTTCCCATCTCATCGGCCGTTCAAATGTAGTCCTCCATTGACGGCTGCTCCGGCTGCATTGATGCATCCTGGGTTATTAATGACAGTCCACCAGCTCCCATGCTGTAGATCGCGTGGTGGTTTGCATGCACCGCCCCCATCACCAACCCTTGATTGGTAGTACTAAATTGGCATGCGTCGGAATGCGCTCTTCCATATTGTACAACAGCTGCTGATTCTGATCCGACACGGACGTGTTTGGCGAGCCTGCCGGTCCTCCTGAGGATATCGTCTCGGGACTGGTACTTCCGACCTGCTTGGCGCGAACTTCAGACCTGGCCTTACGGAACGGAGCCATCGTAGATAGGTGATGTATGTCAGCGGACCCAGTCACCTCGGCCTGACTATCCGGCGATCTATCAAACGAATTTAGCCTCCCTTGTACCCATTTCGGCAGGGAATTATCAAAGCGGGAGGGGACCACCGTACATGTGACGCGCTCGCCACTCGACTGCGATATCCTGCAGACCGAGGTATGATGGCCCGAATCTGATTTGAATGAACAAACTTAGCGCTGCGGTGAGCCCCGCCAACTCAGTTGCCTAGCACTCACATAGGGGCTCAGGCCATCTCTGCCGGCATGTAAGACTTTAAGAAGCTGGAGATTCGTCCTAAGATTGGTCTTCGTCAACTCAACCGACTCGGCGTCATTAGCCACCGTGCTAGTGTAGATTATTTGGATCTTGGCGGATTCTAGCGCGACGTCAGCGCAGAAAGGCTGGTCAAAGGCAGCTGCACCGTGTCTAAAGCCCTGTCGAATCACATTTGAGACCTCGCTTGCATGGAAGCGGCAGCGTTTTTGACAATCGGCTCTAAAGTCGGGCGGCGCGCCGGCGAAGGCGCCGGCGAGCCGGAAGTTGAAGCCAGCAAGTGAAATCCTGGTCAAGTCGAACACGGCTGCGTGATAGATCATGTGGAGGAAGAAGACTGCTCCTGCGATATGTTGCTCCTTGTGTATGTAGGAGTTAAGTGGAGTAAGGCGGAATATATCTGGTATGTGCTCCTAGAACGTCTCCAGCTGCCGAATCAAGCTCATAAACGGGGATGAAGGATCTGAGATATTGGGCTCAGATGGGGGCGTTGTGCGAATCAATCTACGCTTTGGAAAATAGGCTACCCGGCGTAAGTAGGCTCGAAATTATGGGTTTTATCATTACCTTAGGACCGTCGCTCGTATCTTTATCAAGACAGTCACAAGCGAGGGGAGATCGAATTGGCCCAGGACAGAGAGCGAATCTGGATCCTCAGGATCGGAGAGAAATTGCGGAGAGATATAGATGGGAGAGAGGAAATCTCGATCGGAGCAAGGGAGCGGTATAGTGGGGAAGTCACCGCGCCAAAGCGAATTTCTGTCCACGCCGGACGCTAAAGGAAGATCGATCTGATAGCAAGCCCAGACAATGCGGTTCTCCACCTCCCCCTCAAGGATCTCAGACGGCAACCCCGAGACTGTGGTCTGCTGATGCGGCGAGTCAAGGCCCAATAGCTGTATGGCACGGAATAGGTAGCCACAGAGGACATAGACCATGGCATTTTGGTCAGTTCTCAGCCCATACTCACAGAGAAGAACAAGAGCCTAAAGAATGAGTTAGTGGCAACATTCAAGAGCGCAGAGATGGTGTGTTCTCGACAATGAGAAGCAAAGCGGACACACCATGAGATGCTGGACACTTGGAACAAGTGTGCTTCGGAGAGCACGTCCTTCCGAGCCTTTTCCGCCCATGTATCACCAGGAATCGTGGAGCCAGGTGGGTGAACTAATGCCCCACTGCGCACCGAGTCAAGGAAAATAAGCCTGTCATGTTGTCAGAAAGGATCTAGCTAGCGGAGAGGGAAGGAAGAATGGCTGAATGCAATCCGGTCCGCTGTTCAGGGAACCACCCATACCTAGCGCCTAGAGCACACATGATATACAAAAGTGGTTCACCATAGTCTTCCATGACCGTGTCGCAATCTAATGCGTGCAGAAATGAAGGCTTATGAATAAACGCGAGACAGCGTAAGGGGTGGATGCGATCAAAGTAGGTGCTGATGAGCCTAGACCTCAAGCCGGCATCTTGGGGGAGTATTTCAGAGCACAGTCTAGCACAAGACACAATGTCATCATCAGCATGGGATCAAAAGCACTAGCATCCCAAAGGCTCGGGTAGTAAAGAAGAAATTAAGCCGCCATCTACCCCCTAATAGATGGCCGAGGCCGATATGAGGGAGTTACTACCAAAGTGAGGTGATTAGCGAGGAATTCACTAACTGCTGATAGTCGACCTCGAGGCCGGAGATTACGGGGGCTGTCACATTCGGGCCCCGCAAATCTTGAGACGGTGAGTTGCCGATGGAGGTTCCACGGCCCGACGGCTGGGTGACAGTGGGCGACCTGTTGTCAAGCTTGGTCCGGTAGACGCAGCTCAGGCCGCGGAGGATACGCCTCTTGCAAGAAGGCTGGTTGCGGGTACAGAGACTCTTGGTGGCCCGGCACTGTTCACAGGAACCTATCCTCCGCTTCTCCTTGCCGGCAGCCCTGAAGATGTCCTCGGTGGACTTGGCCATCTGGTCACGGGGGATGTTCCGGCGGCCCTCATCGTAGCCGGGACACACCACACCAAGACGGACACAATTTCGGCATGCGGGAATAGCCTTGTCACAGCGGACCTAAGCATGGTTGGAAGGTGTTGAGCATCCATCCATATCATGAGCTGGGGGAGATGTGAAAGGCCGCTGGTTCATCGGTGGTGGTGGAGATGGTGAATGACCAGCAGCCGCATCGAGATATACGTACCTTCCTAGACCGGCAAACTAGGCACGCTGGCCCTGAGCCTCAACGCATCCATCCTGTCAGTCTATGGAGCCCCCTTCCTTTCTTATGCAACAAAGGAATGAGATACGCATAGGCACCTGACGAGCTCCGGCCAGACTCCCCTCTAGCGGCCGCCGGGGCCGCTGGTGCTGGTGTTGGTGTTGGCCTCTCCATTGGGGGGGGGATACAGAGGTAGAACAAGTTGTCATACTGCGAGCTCAGAGTTGATGACACGCCTGCTCGGATACAAAGATGAAGCAGATTTGTGTGAGGCTCTGCTTGATGACTTGGGCTTGACCACCTCCAGTTAGATACCGCGGGTACTGGGACCTGGCTTATCCATAACCAGGACAACTGCCGTGGCCTGGTCATGTGATTAGGCTACCAAAGTGATATCAAGTCACCATACAGTTTTATATATATATATAGATAGATTGATAAATGAAATTAGATGTATACTCACCATTCTACTCTCTCTCTCCCTCTTATCCATCAATGGTCTTTTGTATAATATAGCAGAGCGGTTAAATCAAAGTGACCACCTCTAACCCTCTCATAACAAGGGTTCCTAATAAACGAGGACACGATGGAAATCGCTATCCACACAATATCAAATTAATACCATATACTTTGTTTTGCGTCCTGGTGATAACTATAAGGAGAAGTCAATGGTAAGTTACCAGCCAAAAATCAGCTCACGTATGAGGAGGCTTTGCAGAATATCTACCTTGCCATGCGTCGACCAGAGCTTGTCTGGTATCGCAAGGGGATACCCGATAATCTGATTAAGGAGGCCAAGGATTCTCGCAAGTCATAGGAAAAGAGCACGAGCAATTCCATTCGTCGTATTTTGGGCTGGTTTAGTTACGCCAAAGTAGTATCCGTGGGGAGGTATGGAGTACTGTCCGTTTGTCCGCTTCGCAACTCGGTTTTGTTTGGTTTTTTTTTTGGGGGGGGGGGGGGGGGGGGGGGGGTTTGCCGGAACTCGCATCGGAGTTCGCCCGCAAGTCGCGACCAAAACGATGTGGCCCTGTGCTGAAAAAGGTCCCCAACAAGATCGCCCCCATGAGTGAGAACTCTAGTTGGCTCAAAGAAGGCAATGGCCGACGAATGAAGAACCGTCAATCTCCAAGGCCCGGGGAAGATGCGGGGCCCCAGGACACGCTCAGCATCCACCTCAATTACCCTACTTGGGATCGAGTTTTCTTCTCCCTAGGGTCACGGCCACTAGGGAGAAGCCGCTCCCCTGGCGAAGCCAAACAAGCCCTCCTCCTATATAAAAGCCGCTCGAGAAAGCCCTGGCAGACTTGAAGTTCGTATCTAGATCACAACATTAACCTCCTTCACCCAGATCCAAGCTCCCAGGGGCTCAAGAGGTCCGATTCGTCAGGGCACGCAGGACACGGTATCGTCATCAGCATCATCCTCTTTCTAGGCGGCGTGCATTTGTGCTTCTTGAATTCAATCTCAAAAGGCAGCCGCGAACCCTCCTCATCATGCGACGAACGAAACGCTATTCCAGCGTCTAAATCATTTCAATGCCATGCTCATCTTCCTCATGCTGTACGCTCCACCCTTCCCCCTGCTCTCTTACACACCGCAGACGTACCATAACATGGATTTGGAGAGATGTGCAACCTGACTAACCGGTCTGACCTGTCAGATACATGGCTATGTGTGCTTTCAACTTCGGGTATGATGTCGGTACCTTTGGAGGTGTCCAGGCCATGACTAGCTTCGATCAACGGTTTGGCAAGTACAACAAAAGTACCGGCGCCTGGGCGCTTCCGGGATGGATGTCCTCCGTCATGACCGCAACGCCGTTCCTCGGCAAGGCACTTGTATGTCGCTCATGCACATGAATAGCACACCAAGCTAACACACAAGAACAGGGCTGCATGTCAGGCGGCTGGATCGCTGAGCGATGGGGTCGTCGCATGGCTATCTTGGTCCTTTGCATCGTGTCATTCATGTAAGTTGCTCCTCCACCTGGCGCAGTATATCACCGCATCTTGCCCTCGAACAACAGTCTTGTGCGTCTTCTTGTTATACTGACCCAGATGCTACTACTCAAAAATAGTGGTGTCACATTGCAGACGGCGGCGGTTGACTCTGCCATGTTCACCATCGGACGTGTCATCACATTCGGGATGACCGGCATGGCCATTGTCGTCGTGCCCATCTACCAAGCCGAAACGGCACCTGAGGCTCTCCGTGGCATGTTCAGCTCTACCATCCAGCTCATGATCATCCTAGGACAGGTGGTCGCCATATGCGTCACCTACGGCACTAAGAATATCGGGGGCAATGCCGGCTGGCGCATTCCTATCGGCCTACAGCTGCTTCTGCCAACGGTCCTCTTCATGCTTCTGCCATTCGTGCCCGAGTCGCCCCGCTGGCTGCTTAGTCGCGATCGCCGCGAGGACTGCGCCAGGAACCCGCGCAAGCTGCGCAAGAATGCGTCTGAGGAGAACATCCAGATTGAGATTGAGGCAATTGCTTACGCACATGCCAACGAGCACAAGGGAACCTGGACCCAGGTCTTCGACAAGACTAACAGGGTAAGTGTCTCCGTGTGACTCGGAGCAAACAGGAGTCTAGTTTGTCAGACTTATTATCCTGCTAACACCACATGTACTAGGTTCGAACCGCCGTGGCTATCTTGGCTATGTTCGGCCAACAAATAACTGGACAGGCCTTCCCAACTCAGTATGGGGTAGTCTTCTGCAAGTCTCAGGGCTTTGGTGACAGGTCTTTCCTGTTCAATATTATCCAAAATGTTGTCTCTTTGGTCGCTATTATCTTTACATGGTTCTTCATCGACGGCATTGGTCGTCGGCCCTTGTTGATGGTGGGGGGTACCCTTATGGCGGCCTTCCTCTTCATTCTTGGTGGAGTAAGCTCTGCCCCCGGGTACCTCAACCCCTCAGAGAAGAGCTTCATGGTCGCCTCCATTATGCTATTCCAATTTTTCTACAACCTCTCTTGGGCTCCAGCGTAAGTTCTTAGCACCAAGACTCTCGCCCCGACGTTTCTATTGGCATACTGACTTCAGCTTATGCAGCTCCTATGTCCTTGTTTCGGAAGCTGCTGCCCAGGGCGTTAAGGAAAAAACTAACCTCCTTGCCTGCGTTATCTCCGTGCTCACGACACTCGTGACCTCATTCACCATCCCTTACCTCATCAACGCGCAGTACGCCAACCTAGGTGGCAAGGTCGCCTTCATCTACGGTGGCATCAACATCATCATGGTCGTCGTGGCCTTCCTCTACATTCCCGAGCTCAAGGGCCGCACCCTTGAGGAAGTGGACCAGCTCTTCGCTAGCGGTGTACCCCTACGCAAGTTTAAGGGCATTAGGACGAGGCGTGCCGAAGAGATATATGAGGAGGAGTACGAGCACAAGTATAACAATATCGAGACTGTGGAGAGTGTTAAAGCTGCTTGAGTGTCGGCTCCACTTCATCTGTCGGTGGTGTTTAATAATACCTGCTTATAGTATTTAGTCTAGGTATTTATATTTATCATATCTATAAGGCAGTCTTCAGGGAGTAGAAGATAATATTAAAGAGTATGCTGCTCCTTCTATAATAGCCTACGGAACTAGGAAATCGGGTAATTTACCTAATCTTTAGAAGTATCTAAATCCGATCCTATAATCCAGAGTAACCCTTATTAGATAGTATTTGCTCTAGTAAAGAGTGTTTAACGTTTATTTATGTATAAATTTCTAAGGTATATTTAGGCTACGGCATATCCGCTCTATTAGATCCTAAGGCCGATCCGTAATCCGTAATTTGCGGATTGCGGATACTCCTCGAGATTCTTATCCGCGCTGCGGATGTCCGTAAGGATCCTTATCTACACTACGGAGCTCCTTGGAGCTCCTGTGAGCAAGCGATCTGCTGCGCAGGTAGATAGGAGAGGAAGAAGGTTGATGATGATTGAATAAGATCGATTGATCTTTCTTCCTCTTGATTGAATAGGAAGGATAAGTTCAATTCGGCTTAGAATAGATCAAGATGAGAGAAAAGTGAGGTAGGACTGAAGCTTGGTTGATTGTATTGAATCGTCTTGTTGCTTATGAACATATATATACATGATAATGAGATCTTGGTAGAGAAAGTAGGGCATATTTATAATCAATATTTTATGCAAACTTATCAAACTTGTTTCTTGCATATGATCAATCCAGATAGATCTAGATGCATAGTGATTTCATACAGTAGCCGTTTGATGTGTATTTGCTTGATTGTACGATGTAATTCAATCGTAATAATGATATAGACCGTATAACTAGGATGCGTCTATTCATGCCTGATTATCCGATTAGATAATAATAATATAATAGCATAAAGCTTATAGAGATTCAGAACATCGTTCTAGCCTTGGTATAGGCCTTATGAATCTAGCTTGATATGCTGCCTGATGGCTTAGGCATCTTGCCCGATATCTAACACTCATGAATCTTGCTTGATATACTACCTAACGGCTTAGGCATCTTGCCTGATATTTAACACTCCCCATAATCTTTATACTATAGTGTAAATAGTAATAGAGTATAGAGATTAGTAGAGTAGATAGGATCGATATATATATATACTACTATAAGATAGCTAGATATATATCTTCCTAAATCTCCTAGAGGTTAGCTAGATTCTTTAGGTCTTCAAATATTTCTCTTCTAACGTTTTTAGTCAGGAAATCTGCTAATTATAGTTTAGTAGGGACGTATTAAATATCGACCCTTTTTTG